GCACTGGATAAGTGAACAGTATGGAGTACACACTCCCGAGAAAAACCGTATGGCCTGTGCTGACATCTGTCACTACATGACGCACTACATGAAGGAACTACGGGGCTGTTGCGAGTAATGCATCTGGAGTCGTGACAATGTGGCGCATACTGAAATCATGTTGACTGTACCTAGGCGTACTGAAGAAAATGTAATCACATTCGAGGTTGTGGAATCACTGATAGTGATGTAAATCTCATAAATATTGCCACCAAAAAATAGTGAATAGTCAGCCACATACCTATGTTGGTATATGCGTAACCGACCATTTGTTGCTGCACCATTTCCTACAATTTTGACATATAAATACGACGATCATATACATGCTTAGGTGCCTATTCATCTTGGCATGTTGCTATTCACATAGCTGGGAGTAAACAGTTTCAATGCTATAATAAACATGTTTAGCAAGGAGTCGAGATTTGGGGAACCGAATTATAATCACCCTTTATTGGTGACCTCACGCAGTCAAGATGGAAAATGTGTGTATAGTTTGGCCGCAACGGATCACCTGTCGCTGAGGTCTTACGCGTAAACGCGTTAGACCGCAGCGTCAGAGAGGGCCCCGTCCGCGCTCCCTCGTGGGGAGGCAAGTGTCTTTGTATTGTAATGGCACTATGAATCTATGTACATAGGGAGGTGGGTGGGAAAATCAAGTCTTGACTGCGTGAGAGATGACGAGCAACTTGCGGAGGCGAGCGGCTGACTCTCATGAGGCAGTCAGTTGTAAGGAGGAAGAACCCCGCAGTACGCAGTACGTGAAGGGTGAAGACTAATCCTGCAGTATGATCGTCACGTGAGGCAACCCCAATAAAACAACCTCAAATATACAGAGTACTATGATTCGTGATCACATGCCTAGACTAAACCTAATTAGGCGAATATCAGTTTGGGGGATCGAACTACTTTAGGTTTAGTTACATTTTTATTAGGTTTAGCGCGCCTTGAGTTCAGTTTTCCAAAAAGTTCCACCTGCTAAACATGTCTAATGCCAAGTGATAGCCATAGTTCCAAATGATTGGGGCAAGATAAAAGTAATAGTCTTAGCTATCACGGACGGATCTCTTTGCCTCGTCCATGCCAATATATTCATAATAAATGGTTGCTTTTTGGGCCTATCCGAGCCTGTATCGTTCAATTAATCAATCGGGCAGTCCGAGCGCAGGACGGACCGTGACAAAAGATCCACAACTAGATCAATACATACCCGGTCTGCTGGGTCCGGACTCTGTAGTCTTAGGATCACGGAATACATGTTTAATGTCCTAAATGATTACAACGCGGTACTCATTTAGAGCTGCCCAAGTACCGAGATGTACGAAATAGCTTTACAACATGAACCTAGGGCTTCAACAAAGCGGCGTACCTGGGTGGCTGGATTAGTGACCCCTCTATTATGACAGAATTTTTGAGTTTGGAGGTAGCCTACTTTGAGAAGTAGAGGAAGATGGAGGAAAGTCCAACAAGTAGTCTAGTATACAGATTAGTAGGACAAGATTAGAGAGCGCCATTGCGGTGTCCCTAACTAACATTAGGCATTATGAACTTTTACAATCGCTTTTGATGATGCTCTATTTTTTTGGGCTTAGGTTGTGCAATGGGAAAGCCCTTGAGAAAAGAAAGCTACAGGGGCCTGTAATCGTTCTTCGGTTAAGCTATCCGGTCCCAACGATGTCCTTGGATTGAACTAAGAACAATCTCAAGCAATATCATTTAATATCAATACATAGCGGATGCGTGGCATATTCGAGTGGCGACTAGATCTCGAGAGTCCAAAATTACCTGAATAGGAAGAAATGTCGCTGGGTAATTTCCTGTGGGCGAGGAGGCGTCAGCAATCGTACCGTACCGAATATGTACGTGTAATGTATTTTTTCAGTCTTACCTAGACTAGACTAGGCGCTGTAACGCACAATATCGAGCATTTACGTCTCCTCCCAAGGTTTTGCTTCCTCGATTGATCTCTCCTGCTCCGCAAATCGTCAATCCACATGGGCGATGCTGGAGCTTACCCATTAATTATCACTCAGATAGATTCCGTACATGCTCTCAAATCTAAGGCTTGGTATTTCTTGCATCTCCACTTGCATATCACCAACCTCTAGCGTCTACCTCAACCTGCGCTTCAAGGAGTCCTCCCTCCGTTTCTATTCTCGGCTAGAGTATACATTTCTTGTACTTTGTGTGCTAGGATAAATGGAAATTTCTGTCTCGGTATTCTTTCCGCCATCCCTTCCTTAATACCCTTCGTTAAAAGGGGGGGAGTGGTTGATTTCTTAGAACATGAGTCCGACGTTCTCCGTACATGCTTAGGGTTTGACCAATCGCTGTGGTTGATCCAAGTTATGTATGGAGTATTACCCGAATAGCTATGAGCTGACGCCTATCAGCTGACGCCTATTGTAGATTATCAAGCCATCGGATCTTCATCTACGTCGTATTTCAGCATTAACTGCTCTCCATTATAGGCTAGCCACGAATGCCGGCCAATGATCATCACCGGGGGACCAGCCTGTATCTCCGCCAAATTCGTCTAACCGAATGATCAAGTGTACCAAGGACAGCCTTGTTAATTTTTATTATTTGATATTATTCTATTATTTAATGACTTGACACCGTTCACGATGACTGACACCCCTGAGCATTGGCCTTCATATCTGAGATTTGGTGACGTCTTGAGGAATCTGGAATAGATATGCTTTACCTACTCCTCCCTTGGCGCTGGATCAGTGCTTTACTTTGGTCTGATGTCTTTCATCAGATGATGTCCGGAATGATGTGAGTAGTATTAACCGTTGAGTCAGACACAATTTGCAGAAAGCATGGTTGGGGCACATTGTAGCTGAAAGTCATTCTGCTGGTGCAGATGCGTTTCCTTTATTAGCAATGAGTGACTTGCAACGGCCAAAGTTACTGGCTGCTCTTTACAGGGATAATCCTAGCAATCCTGAGCAGCTCAATCCTATAATGTATAGTACGTATTACACAACTGTGAGCATTAGTTGCTCGACATATTACATTCGCTCAAAACGGTATTGGTATTGCTTATAGACGAAACATTGGCCGACTCAAACGCCGACAAAACAGGAGGTTCAGGAACGGTACAGTGTCTAAAGACTCTGAATACGACTCAGGGGCCCAGCGTTGTGGATGAAGCTATTCTACTTTGATTTTAGACTTGACAAATCGGTCTACCTACAGGCCTGAAAAAGAGGAACAGGAGTTTTTGCACTTTAGGATCCACTGCTCCAGTCAAAGTCACGCTACAAAGATCTACGACTGGAATAATGGCACTGTGTTATGCTTCATAAGTTCGAAAGATACCGTACTGCAGGCGCCACACTTTAGGCACGTACCAGTCTTCCTCCTGCAACGGAATCTACGACGTGACGAGGTCTATGCATACGATCCCATCGAAAACCGAAAAACACTTTGAGATCCTACGCATCATGCACAATTCATGGAACCTCAATGCCTATGACGTCGTCTAGCTGAGGAATGCTGCTTTGACCTATGGTTAGTACAGGCGATTTCATACCCAACTAGTTTAAGGTACAGGACTGTAAGACCATTTACATACCTAATTTTCTTTCTTGGTAATTTAGATCTACGAAGACTAAAGGGCGGAAAGGGCATATTCCAACAACAGAAGAGAGTGCATAGCTAGCCCACGGGATTTAAATTCAGTTGATATCCCTCACTTCCACTGTTGCAGCTATGAACCACCCAATTGGACGCAAATTTTGAGACAATTGGCCACAAAATCGAGTACTAACAGAGCGTACGGACGAGATAGTTACGAGAAAGTAATTTTGAAAGCACATCGCTTCCTCCCCGTCGCTGCATCTGTGGCTGTTGAGTAGTATCACAATCTATCGACCCCGTCAAAAGTAGTCTCGTCTCCGGAGTATAATCCGCGCGATCCTGTTGGCTAACGTAAGACTCATCGATATTCTTCCTGTTGTGACCCCTGGTGTCAAATTAACTCGATCGCTTATCCCTGTAAGTTGGCGCTCTTAAACCTCGTATCCGAGCGCTTTTAGCTTGAGATTTAGTGGCCCTCTTAGGGCCCACGATTATCCGCGGGAGCCTAGCAATCTCTTCCGAAGAGGCTAAAGAGACCCTCAGACGCATCGTACCGCATCGCAACACTTTTGTCTAGACTTGACTCTAGCGAGTCTAGTCCCTCAACTGCTTGCCTTTAGCGTACCCTGAATCTGGGTGTTCCCCACCGATCGCTTTCACCCAATATGTGACCACTGAGCACGCATGGAAGATACATGCGTCCTAAGACGGTAGGTAATACTTACCCTAGTAAACTAATGCCGCCAAAAACTCGCTTTTGCCATGGTTTCTGGGCGGGTCGAAAGGGCCGTGCCGTCAAGAGACAGAATCGTTCACTCAGGTCTGAAAGATGTCAACTAGACAGGGTATATCAAGGCCATCCCGCCTCACCCTCTCGACGGCACTCTTTTGTAATTCTCGGTCAAACCATTGTCTGTCCATATTTTGCTTATAATTGCTCTAACTTTTGTCGTTCTTCGAGTGTACCCAAGCTTCCTTTCTCAACTGAAGTTGACCCAAAGACCGTCGCTAGATATAGACAGTATCACACTCGGATCTGTCTTTGTTCTCGATCGTGTGTTTAGTCGAGCTTTCATATCTGTCCATGTTGTGGGTGGCCGTTGTGCTTATTGTTATTTGAGCATATTTCATGTACGGCAATCTACATGCTGCGTTGCTTTTACTGGGATACCCTTTTTTGCTGACCTTGGCGAAAAGTACAGGGGACCCTGTCTTCCCCGCGCCGGATACCTCACCGAAGCAAGGCAACACATCTGATCAGCCCAGTGCACTGCCGGTATTATCATCCCCGAGCAGTACATACGACCATTATAAAACAACTGTCGTCTTTCTGCATACGTCGCAGTATTCGGGAAATCCATCTAGATACGAGAAGAATGACGATCAGAGGATCTCCGCCAACCCGTAAGGGGAAGAAGCTAGCAGAAGCCGGTGTAACTCCTGAATCTGAGAACTACAGGCCATTCAAAACACTCGAGCTGGTTTGTATACCTTTTTCTATTTCCACTTGCTCCACACTGACAAGACTCAGGATGTTGTATTCAACGGCCCCATGCCCTCTCATTGGGCTATGATATACGTTGATAGGTCTGGAAACATCAGAGAAATGTCAAACCTGAATACTCCGATTTTTGACACTCGTGCGCGGGACGCATTCGCACATGCACAAGGCCTGTTGCCGAGCAGGCATAATTCACTGGCTGCACTGACGGAGTACAGCGGGCCATCTTTACGTGCAGGGCGACCGAAGCGGCGAAGAACTGGACATCGCGAGGAGCGTCTGACTGTCAACGTTACGGAAGCCTTCGAGGATTCAGGGGATCAGATTTCTCTAGAAATCGGTAATCGGAAAAAAGTCTCTGCATTTTATGGAAGTGCTTTCAGACGGTTGCAACAAGTCAACTGCCGCATATTGGCTAAGAGCTTCATCAAGGTCATTGAGCCCCGTAAGCAGGTCAAACACCCTTATAATGGTGGAAAGGGTGCGCTGCCCGGCCAGAAAGGGGATCCCGAGAAAACCAAGCCTGACTGGTGGCCACGCCATGTTATACACAGAGAACCTGACCACATCAAGAAAGATTGTAAGGTCTATCAACTGCCTGGTGTCAATTGACTAGATTACTGACAGAGTACAATATAGTTCGTTTAATGCTGCTCGTTCATCTTGTCCAAAATCTTCTTCCTATGGGAATAACAGCAGAAATGCTCGAAGACGCTGCCCTCGATTGTAGAAGACAAATCGGGCCAGAGGAGCGAAGGGAGGAACGACTTGGAGTCATAGAAGAAATTTTTCGTGTGAGGAAAATTGAGGAGCGGTATGAAAGAAATGAAATCGGTAGGTATAAGTGACTCTTGAGAGCTTGCAAACAGCACTGATCCTGTTCAGATGGAACCACCCAGGTTTTCGTTTCCGATCACGCCGGAGCCAGGAGAGGAGAGCCTGAGTCCGAAGACGAAGGAGAATCTGAAGTAATTACTCCTCCTGAAACTGTCGCCTCTTCGCCTCAGGCGCAGCCCCTCGATTCCTCACAACAACAGAGTCCTCTAGACGTCGCCAGCATCCCTCAACATATCTCACCGCTCGAGACTACTTCGAGCTTTCAAATACCTACTGAACTAAGCTTTTCGAATTCCGAACACCAGACACCAGAATTCGGATCTTCACAGCCTGAACTCGGCCACCGAAGTTTGGTCAGCACACCAATAGCAGGGCCTCTTCTCACTCCCACTCACAACCAGTTCATGGATCATTCGCCATTCGCAGAGCCCAGTCCAACCAGCCAGTTACACGCTGTTGGTCAAGACCCGGCTCATGTACAAGCGAATCCATCAACATCTTTTACAAGCTGGTCTCCGGCGTATCAGCAAAACATGTTTTCACCTGTTGACTACAGTAACGGAGCCAGTCGTCAAATGCCACCTCACATGGCATACACGTCATATGCACAATATTCTCCACCCCAGGATGCCCCCCCCATTTTCGCAATGCCAGAACTTGCACGTCCTAGAGATTACGATGTGAACATGTACAACTTGCCTTTTCGAACCGGTTCTTTAAGTCACCCACACATTCTACATCGTCGTGGTAGTGGTCTAGATCCTGGTATATAAAGTAATTTGTGAGCGTTTTACATTCATGTGAGTTTGGCGATGTCGAAAGATCAATAATGAGCCTTTGATCTATTTTCCTATTTTCTCTCTATGGAGGGGGCAACCATGAATGAATGCTAGTACATGATATGAACGTTTCGGTCAGATATCGACGGGGATAGGGCTTTGTTCCTTTGTTTGAAGATATTTCATTTCTTGTCAATAACGGGTCGCTTTTGTCTTTTCCCCTTTTATGTTTGGACACTTTTTGCTTCTTGTTTTCAGTTTTGTGCAGACCTGTCTCTTGTGGATTGACAGAAATGAAAAAAAGGAATGGCATCACAGTACAGCCTACTGATAGCTATGAGAACATGAAGGACAATGAATAATGATAGTTTATCTGCTTGCCTAAACAAATAGACACTGGCATTAGCATTGACCAGAATAGCACTGTGGAGGGCTAATGGTTAGGGTTTCTTGTCGCACTCCCAAAGAAGAAATTAGCCGACGAAGAACTCTGATTGGCGACCACATGGAGAAAGCTGGGGTAAAGAAGAATATCCCCGCATCTTTCAGGAGATTCATTCTTGTCCTCCATCCGATGAAAATATTAACCAAGATAAGATTAACCTCGCTACATTGATCGTATAGTACTGCTGCGACGCTATCTAGTTTCTGAGAAGACCAAACCCTTTACGGATTGGATCAGCATGTTTCATCAATGGCAGCAGCATGATCCTGAGCAGCGGCCCCGTGTGGCGAGAACACGGACAGGGTGTCTTACTTGCCGGTAAGTACCATCTCAATTCGTAGGCTGATTTGGTTGAGGGGGGATTTTGCATGAAGACTGACCATGAGCTTGCTTGATAAAAAAAATAGGCGGAGAAAAGTCCGTTGCAATGAAGTCCATCCAAAGTGTGGACATTGCTCGCGATTACATCTGTCATGCAACTGGCCCCCGGACTCCTCTTTCATTATACCTGGGACTATCAAAGTCTCAAAGACGAAGTCGAAGTCGAGGCAAGATAGTCGAGAGAAGCGACTTTCACAGCAACAACCACAAGCGAAATCGAAATCACAGTCGCCCCTACAGAAACAACAAAGGCTGTCACTGGTGCAAGAGCAAGTAGAGCAGCCATCCTCATTCAGACAGCAGCTATTGGAGCATTCAGACACACAGACACAGCTTCTTCCAGAAGCTGATTTCAGTGAAATATTCAACTATGCGAGTTTTCTTTGGGATAATGATTCTCCTACAATCTCCTTCCCTACGGGTTCATCACCCTTGGACAGCTTGCACACCCCGCACGATCAGCTGCAATTAGTCATGCCTTTAGCTGACTCTGACGCTATGAGAAGGACAACTTCGACGGCTGGTCCACCTTTATTCGTGAGCGATAGATGGGTCAGTGATAATGGGAACTTCATACCTGGGGCCTCTGGCGTAAATGTCAACGAGTCCGAGTTATCAGACTTCTTCGCCCGGTCTACCGCACCGCCAATTCTAGCACCGTTGGAGACAAATTCCCGATGGTCTCGGATGAGGAAAATGTTGATCTATATGGGGAAAAAGTCGCAGATGGTTAAGAATGCTGTCATGGCCTTTGCTGCTCTGCAATTCGAGTCGCCGCGCTCAGGATGTAGGACCATACATACGCAATACTATTCTTATTCCAGGGACATGCTCACGAAGATCCTTGCTGATGTCTCCATCGATCAGAAGCTTCTTGCAGCTGAACTCCGGCACATATTGGCTACAGTATTTCTGCTGACTTATATTGATCTTCTGGATGATGATGTGCTCAAGGCACATGGCAACCTACGGGATGCCTTTCATGTCATCCAGCGAGTTCGATATGAAGATCTTAGCCTGACAGGTTCGTGTCATTTCCTTTTGCTTTGTGGTAGCCTTACTTACTATGTTTTACGTCTAGAGAAATGCTTACTGTCCTGGTTGCGACTCCTCGATGGGCGTGCCGTGAGTGCTGGGGGAGAGGGACTTTTTCTAGATGAAGACGATAATAATATACCCCCGGATATGGAATCACCTCCAGACACTGTTGATGGCGGTTTAGAAAACCCAGAGACTATTCTCGAAGAGGTTCTTACGCGCCCGGCTTCGTCATTCTTCCAAAAAGTACAATCGTTCATGGGTCGCATATCAAGAATCGACCCGTGGCACCGTTCTCGAGGCACTGTGGACGATGAGACCGAGGTCATGATCATTGCTCAAAAGATAAGCAAGGACATCAAGGCTCTTTGGCATCAACGACCGGCACTCATGGACCATGCCATTGCATGCAAATTAGTGCCGCCGTTACTTTCTCCATCATTGACCAACACATTATCAAGGGCGCTGATGGTATGTTATGCCAATTATCACGCATGCTTCGTTCATTTGCATCGCGTTGCATATAAGAGTAAGAAAGCTACTGTATTGATGTCGAACTTTGCGATTAACCTTGACAATAGCTCTCCCACGAACACCAGACCTTGAAACAGCCCTTTGCGCCATCCAGCAGGTCACTGAGAATCTAATGCGCACACCCATCGATACTACAGGTGCGGCGACAACGAACTCAATCGAGGCCGTCTCCAACTTCACCTCCGACCCTTCCCCTTTACCAATAAACATGCTCTGGCCTCTCTTGATGCTTGGGGTAGAATCAGATGATGCACACCAACGAGCATGGGTCATCGCCGCAATGAAAAGCATGGAAAGTATCGTTTCCAATGCCGGGATTACAGCTGATGTTTTGGAAGAGGTGATAAGACGACAGGATGAGGCCGGGCAGAGGATGGATATTCGACAGGTCATGTATGACACTTTTACGAGGGCTTTTGCCATTGTGTAAATCCGACATGCTCAGCGATGAGACGAAGGACTTGATGACTTCATGCTTGAATGATTTACTACTATATACCCTGTATCATACTGATTGTGCAGTGCTAAAGCGTTGCTTCATGCTCGTTAACTCTTATTGTTCAGGTATCTCATACCAGATTTGATATATGTAACAATAAAATATGCTTCTAGCATGAGAAATGGAAAATGATTCCGAGTACTCGAATAAATACGATCGGCCAGAATGCCGACTGACATCCATTTTACTCCAGGATCGGAGAACCTCCGGCTCGCTTCGTTTCCTAAAATGGAAAGACGACGCTTTTCTTCCAGATCTCGGGGTAACGACTTTCTGTATATTTCTCTAAACTTGTACAAGAAGAAAATGCTTTGCTGTCAATTCTTATTCTCCTTTTTCACTTTGAACTTGATTTTGGTTTTGTATCACCGTCGTGTTTATGTTCATACGTCAGCGAGCTGTGTTTGAATTGACCTAGCCGAGCGAGAGATTGGAGCTATTGAAACATCAAGGATTACTCGGTTTACACTTATATATACTTCTGAATAAGAAAGATCAGTCCTGGCAGATACAGCAAATAGCGAAAGCAAGAACACAAAATGGGATCTACCAGCAAGACCGGAACTCCATACCCTCCCGGGATTCACGTTCCCAGTTTGACCTGGTTCAAGTCAGACGAAACCCAAACCATAGACTGGGACGTTCAACGAAAACATCTCGAGTTCTTGATCGGCAGCGGATTACCTGGCGTTGTTATCTGCGGCACGAACGGTGAAGCTGCGGCAGTCACACCCCAGGAGAAATCAAAGCTTATAAGTCTTACGCGCTTGGTTGCGCAGGAACTCGGACGAGCAGATATTACTATTACCTGCGGCACATATGGTGGTTGCACACAGGCGATTATTGAGGATACAAAGCTTGCGGCGGAAGCTGGTGCGGACTTTGTCCTTGTTTTGGTGCCTTCATTCTTTCATTTCGCGCTTGATCAGGATGCTATTGTTGGTTTCTACCAAGAGGTTGCCTCCGCTTCACCGATCCCTATTGTCATCTACAACTTTCCCGGGGTCGTGAGCGGGTTGAATGTGAACTCGGAGATGTTGCAAGTCCTCGGTGACCACTCTAACATCGTGGCCGTTAAGCTTACCTGTGGTACTATCGCATCTGTGGCGAGGACGGTTGCCAACTTCGGGCCGGGTTTGGACTTGAAAAATAATAAATACGCTGGACAACCTCGATTTGTCGCTCTTGCTGGCCAGAGTGACTGGTTGGTCCCTTGTTTGAGTGTTGGAGGTACCGGTTGTGTGACTGGTATGGCGAATTTGTATCCTAAGGTCAGTATCGTTCTCATTTAGAATTGTGCGTGGGAACATCATCATTTGCTAATAGCAATGTACTGATAGACATGTATCGAAATCTTCAACCTCTATGTCGCCGGTAAGAAAACCGAAGCCGAGGAACTCCAGATCAAGCTTGCCAGCGTCGAGTGGGGCTTTGGAAAGGGAGGGATCAATGGCACAAAGTGGGTTGTTGGTAAATTTCTGGGATATCCAGAGGAAAGCACTTGGTGTCGACGACCGTATCCCAAATTCTTGGATAACGGAAAGAGGGAATGGATTGAGACTATTGTGAAACCACTTCAGGAGATCGAGACTGCTCTTGACAAGAGAGGCTGAGCCCGTCACTGCGCAGACCGTTTGTCTTTTGCTTGTTTTAGACCAGCCCTGGTTTCCATCAGTTATAGATTTGACGATCGCAGCCACGATTAATGTGCGCGTGTAACGACTAAAAATGATTCATTGCCCTAAAAGGCTGCGAGACTAAGTGACTATAGCCTTTCTTGCTTTAGACTCGTCTCTTTTCCACTGCCACTTTGACCTAGTCTGGTATTTATACATTAATGAATCAGAATGAGTCAGAAATAAAGGTTGCAAAAATTCTTGAGGCTTAGTTATCGGGTACCATTTTAGGCGTGATAGCGATGACATAAATACCTAGCCTGAGCCGCAATAGCTTATCGCCGTTCCTAACCTGCAACAGCTTGTTGCATCCGAGTATTTGAACATCACATACAATGGCGGACAGCGGTTCACAGACTGAGGCCTTGTTGAAAGGTCCTCTTTACGGTAAGTCAGAAATGAGAATATCATTGGCGGACTTAAAGCCTGACTATGGCCGGTTTCCTTAGTTTATGACCTCCCCTCCAAGATCTTGGAAAACCTGACGCTCAAATCCCACGCGCAACCGATCGCCACTCCTCCAACTGACACAGTCGCTGCTACTGCCCACTCTTCTGACCGGGAAACTGTGATCGCAACATCGAACTCATGTACGCTCTGTCAAATATCTTTTCAAAATGTGCAAGAACACCGTGACCACGCCCGATCGGACCACCACCGATACAACGTCAAGGCCCAACTGAGGGGTAATCAACTGCTGAATGAAGCGGAGTTCACCAAAGCTATTGGAGAAATAGACGAGTCGATATCCGGTTCAGAAAGCTCAGAGTCCGATGAAGACGAACCCGAACCTCATGCGTCTGATTCTAATTTAGTGGCGCTATTAAAAAAACAGGCAAAAATCTCGCAAGAAGAATCGACAGTTCCACAGGAGAGGAATGCCTTGAACAAACAACCCATAGTGTGGTTCTCTAACCCTGACCTCCCTCAAAATACAGCTTTGGGAGTATACAAAGCGATTTTCTCAAATAAGGAACAGGACAATCTGGAGCATATCGTGGATGCCTTGCGAAGAAAGCAACTGGAGCCCATCAAGCGGGTGAATAATACCGACAAGGCTTCTTCAAACCAAGGGCCACATATATTCATGTGTATGATAGGCGGTGGGCATTTTGCTGCTATGATCATCGGACTTGCTCCTGAAATACAAAAGCGACAAGGGGGTATCGAGGAGCGTCAAGCCAGAGTACTTGCGCACAAGACATTTCATCGTTATACAACACGTAGGAAACAAGGTGGCGCACAGTCGGCTAACGATGCGGCCAAGGGTGCTGCACATTCCGCTGGTTCAAGTCTAAGAAGATATAACGAAGCTGCGTTGGAGAATGATATTCGCACTCTCCTCAAGGACTGGCAAGCTATGATTGATACGGCGGAACTCATATTTGTTCGAGCCACAGGAAACACCAACCGTAAGACATTGTTTGGCTCATACGAAGGACAAGTTCTTCGAAACAACGATGCTAGATTACGGAGCTTCCCATTTAGCACACGTCGTGCCACCCAGGCGGAACTCATGAGATGCTTCAAGGAACTCACTCGAGTCAAAGTGAGCCAAATTGATGAAACGGCTTTGGCAGCTGCGCAAGCAAAACCACGCGAGACGAGTACAAAGCCTGTCAAACCAGCTCCACAGCCAAAGGCACCAAAGCTGTCCGAAGAGGAGGAGGCTGCAATGCTACATACCTCACAAATACAGGCACTTATTCGTCGATCAAAGGCGCCCGCCCTCTTATCCTACGTCTCAAACAATGCCATTCCTCCATCTTTCAGATTCTTTCCCGCAGATGCACCTCAGAACCATCACGCGCCTACTCCACTCCATCTTGCTGCCAACTCAGATTCCCCTGCTCTGGTAATTTCTCTCTTATCGAAAGCCAAATTCGATCCCACTATGAAGAATAGCGAGGGGAAAACGCCATTTGATCTTGCTAGAGATCGTGCCACCCGTGATGCATTTCGAGTGGCGAGGCATGAATTGGGAGAATCAGCCTGGGACTGGGAAGCGGCACACGTGCCGTCCCCGATATCTCAAGCTGAAGTAAGCCAACGTCAAGAGAAGGAGAGAGAGGAAGCCACCAAAGAGGAAGCAGATCGTCGCAAAGCCGAGATAGAACGTTTGAAGGCGGAAGAGGCTGCTAATGTGGCTGCGGTAGAGAAGCGGAAGAATGTCGGTGGCAGGAAATTAGCTTCGTTGGACAAAACAGCCACAGAGAAGCGGGAAGACGAAATGCGTGGTATGACGCCTGAAATGAGGATGAGGCTAGAAAGGGAGCGACGTGCTCGAGCTGCGGAGGAGAGAATTCGCCGTATGCAAGGCAGTTGAGCAGCCTTTTGATGAATTATTTTCTTCCCAAGCAGGTACGCAGCAAGTGCTAGCTGCGTATGATGCTATCCGATGAAACCGAGTCGCAATCTGTCTGCGATGGTATATCTGCGGGCGTCAAACTTTGGACCTTTTGTCCTGTCTGACAAAATAGAGGACCTTCAGCCTCAGCAGATTGCGTCAAATGCGTATATTTGATAGCTACATCACTTTTGAGCTCTGCAGTGTACATAGCAGAGTGTCCTAAGATGATATTTAAATAGTGAACTATCTAGAGAATATATATTTGAGGAAGGGGTCTGCCCACGCTCCGCACCTTCCTCGTCTATCACATCACCTTCTGCTCCTTCCCTGAACGACACTTCAACTTGCAAACCTCGACAAACTTCTTCCTTGTTACAAACATACAAATCCCAACTTTTCAAACAATACTGATATAGCGTCATCCATTCATTGACATATTACTAGTACTTCTTCCTGAACACAAGCTGATCTGTCGCCGCGACGGCGGTTAGGGTTACTTGTGAAAGATGACGATGCTCGAGTGCGTGGGAAAGATATGCCGATGGGATCCTCTGACCAAGCAGGCTACCAATCCACACTCAATTTCAGCATTCCAACCATTGATCGTTGGGCGGAATCGAAAGACGTGGTACGTCTTTGCTTCGGATCTCTGTTCTTCATCGCTACTAACCCGGGCAATCCGATCCTAGCCAATATGTACTTCATGATGCATGTGTTTCCAACCAGCACCTTCGGATCTACACCGTGATATACGATCTAGAAAACCCCTTAAATATTCCTCCCCTGGTGTATGCCCAGGATATATCTACAAATGGAAGTTTCTGGAATGGGCAACGTATTGACAAAACGAACGGCGGTGCGGTCCTCCTTAGTGATGGCGATATTATCCGGCTTTCTTCCAAGAGTTTCCTCGAGTACAGATCTGAGTACCAATCCGAGAGGCCACTAGACATTGTTCAACAGAAAGAAGCGAAGGTTAGATAGATGCAATGCTGGTCAGTAGCCCGTGCTAATGACTAGTAGGAGTTTGCGAACGAGTATCTGATCACGGATCGCCTGTTAGGCGAAGGCAGTTTCGGACAGGTTCGCATGGCTGTTAATCTCTGTACCACCAGCCAGGTTGCTTGTAAGGTTGTCAATCTCCGTGCGGTTAAGGAAGCCGTTACAGGAAGGAATGACCTCTCTGGTACAGACCTTTTAGAGCTTCAGAAGCGAGAGGTATCTATACTGGAGAAGCTAAGTCATGTAAGATGGATGATCCTAGTTGATGATATCCGTGCACGACTGACATGAGCCGACAGCCTAATATCATTGGCGTCGAGAAAGTGTTTATGATGGAAAGTTCATTGTTCGTTTACTCTTCCAACACATCATGTTTGTCTTCACTAATACTTTAGGTAGATACATTTTCGAAGATCTCATCACTGCCGGAGACCTCTTCACGTTCGTTGATTCGAAGAGTGGCAACATAACGGATTTCGACGCGGCTTCTATCACACAGCAGATCCTGATTGCTGTAGACTATTTGCACGACAACAACATTGTCCACAGAGATCTAAAACCAGAGAATATTCTCATGACTTCGCATGGATTCCCACGCCGGGTTGTGCTGGCAGATTTCGGGTGTGCACAAGTTGTCTCGTCAGGGATTAAGCGGATGTCGACAGTAGTCGGGACATGGGACTATACTGCTCCGTAAGAAATCCCGTATCTATACTTAGAATACGAATCTGATTATGACATAGTGAGGTTTACAAAGAAGTAAGTACGTGTGGCTATACAAAGTCGGTTGATCTCTGGTCAGTCGGTTGCATCACAGTCGTGTTACTGATTGGCACACCTCCATTTCCCTTCTCGGCCTCGGGAAATGTTGAATACAATGAGCCAGGGGATTTGAATGATGTGTTCATGAACACCAAGTGGAACGAGGCGAGCACAATGGCACAGAACTTTGTTCTTTCTCTACTAGTTCTAGATGAGAGAAAGAGGTTGACAGCCAAGCAAGCCCTGCAACATAACTGGTTCTCGGATGCACAGTATCAGTCAAGATTGAAAGAGTGTTATGAAGAAGCTATTCGTGACTGGCGCCCTCGAAGTGCCATTGTCCCTCCCGGGCATAAGAGCCGTCTGCAGTCCGTTCACAAGTCTTCGAAAACTGCACCTACGTCGAGATTGCAACATTCTCAAAGAGAACTTACCAATTCTCCTCCTGGAAGACGGAGTGTCATCGAGTCAAGCAGAGAGGGTAATGCTGGGAGAGCCAGTGCTTCTGGCTACAAGCAGTCACTGTATGAGAGAGCCGTTCATGATAAACTATGTGCAAGCCCAAATTCGACATCCAGTCAGAGTTTCCGCCGTTCCTTTAGCCCACAAGCATGGAAAATGACTTCTGAGTCCTCGTCTTTTACGCGAAGCTCCAACCGAAGGAATTTCTACATCGGTCGCTTGAGGGTGCCCAAATCAGATATACTTCAAGCACGGGGACTATCAATGAACACTTCGGCAAAGCTAAACGACAAGATTTACGGACCTACGGACAATCTAGAGCCGGCTTTCAGAGGCTTAGCAGGGTCTAAGAGGAGTTTGGGTGAAGCACTCTCGCAATCGCCAGAGATAGGTGAGGTCTACGAAGAGTTCGAGAACGGAATCACTGGCAAGGTACAACGGATCCTATACACGGAGAAATGAAATGGAATCTGAACCTATATCTCGAATCTCATTGATATATAACGACTAAGAGATGAGTCATGTATCATGCGATTTACATGTATTATTACGATCTAAGAATGTGATCTGCTACTTGATGCGTGTTTCATTTGAAATTGCTGGTCCTTTTGTCGGACAATCAGGGGTATAAGATAAGTGTCTCATATTCAGCTAGATAATAAGTACATGAGGTATCCATAATGCTTCGGATCATTAGGAAACGATGCTGGTTTCCATGTCCATGTGCGAAGGTACTTTGGCTTGTGCTGCAGTCATTAACAAATATCCATCATCTCCCTACCGCCATACAAATGCTTATCGGAGCTTATCTCCCATCTGCAGCTTCCAAAGCTTGCGATCAAACCGCTGCTCCAACAGAGCCTGCGTGTCACCAGCGTACCATAAAAGCTTTCCCACGCACCTCCTTTGACACCTCCTCATCTTTGAAGTATATCCGACAGCTCACAACTTCATATGCACTCGTCTCGTAATACGACAGCTTTTGCGCCTCTTCTTTGGTCTGTACAATACACGCATATCCTGTAACCACCTCTCCTTGCTTTCCATCAATGAGAGCTGGATAATCACCCCATTTCGCGGTGTTGTGGTTCTTCCGGTAAGTCGATGATTCCTTGCAGCTGAGATGGAGCTGTTAACGTTCCGTAGAAGAAGTAGTATACGGGAAATTTGGGTGAAAATGCGCGTTGCTCTGGTCGTTGCAGTAGGTAGTCTTCCGGTGCTGACTGGAGCATATTATAGAATGGAGATAATGGTTCTGCCTTGGTTGGGAAGAGGCTCGGAAATCTTTGATTTGGTGACTCTTCTAGTTACTCTGTCATCTTACTGTAAAGCCCAGCAAGTTCATAGGATTTGACTGTGAGGTGGCAGGATATCAAGTAAAGCCAAGGTATTTGATATTGGAAAAGTCGCGAAAACGGTTGAACAACAGTCGACTAACAGCATAGTACTGTGCTAAACCAACCGTTTTTAGCTGAGTATCTTCCTCGATATCAGAACATGTATTTTGTCAAACACAATAAACAGTCTCCTTTGTTGTAAAGTGTTGCCCTGTTACTGAAGATTTGTTTGGATGAACCTGACCTCTAAAGTATAGACAAAAGCTCTTCTCTAATTGGTCGACCCGACGTCAAAATTACATTCGCTCGGTCGAAGATTTGGACCAATTATGATAGAGCCCGGTATCGCCTACCTATTTCCCCACAATTCTCTCCTCGTTTTCTCTGAGTCTCTGAGGGGGGAAGACAGTTGTGGATCAACACCCAACACCAACGATAGTATAACGGCCTGGAGAGTTCCCCCATGGACCTAATTTTGACGGCGCACCTATCTCTCCCTTATGCGTGGTCTCTGGTCATTGGGGCAGAATGATGAATACCCCAGGAACTGCCAAGCTCGCCTCGAAATGTGCTACTCCTCGAGCTTGTGACCAATGCAAACTTCGCAAGACCAAGGTAAGTCACTTCATCTCAGCATCTATTGGCATTGTACGGTCTACTTACATCCATCCGTAGTGCAGTTTGTCTCAGCCATGCGCAGCATGCACGGCACTGGGGTTTGAATGTACATTTCTCAATCCTCAAAAGAAGAGAGGCCCAGCGGGACAGTAAGTCTGTCCATTGCTTTAAATTTCCATATAGCCTTGGACTAAACCCAATTCAAAGCCGTCTATCGCAAATTCGAAAACAGCAGAACCAGGCAAGAAATCTGGCTGGCGGATCTAGTACTAACAGTAGTTCTGGCCCATTACCTCGAACTCGGTCCACCCATGGGACGGATGTTTCTGATTTCCAGCTATCACCGGCAGCCACGATGACAAACACAGAGGTCATTCCTCAAATGGAGCTGCCAAATTTCCCGCAGCAATTAGGCCAATTGGACAATACGCAAGTTGGATTCATGGCAATGCCTGACGAAAGAGATCGTACGGCGTGGACTGAAGACCCCGATCTTGAATCCTGGCTTCCAAATAGCTTCACATCGCAGGCTCCGTCATTCGGCTTCTCTGGAAGTAATATATTTGTCAGAACTGCGCTTCCTCCGGTCATCGATCCCAAAATCAGCCAGTCCTCTGGCAACATGCAGCCAGGAAACTCTCCAGATATTTCCATGCCGGAAGTAACATTGACCTCTTCTTCCTATCCACAAGTTCCCAATTTCTGGCCCTCTTATATCAGTGAGACGAATCTCATTCATTGGATTGACCTCTATTTTGATCGCTTGCACCCAACGTTACCCGTGCTAAACAGATCTTCTCTGTTCATCAAAATACTACAACAAGAGCATCGACAAAATCCACAATTCGGCGCTATGATCCTGTCTCTCTGCGCCTTTTCTCTAACGCAGCCTATTGATATCAGCGAGCGACCAACTTCATCGTCGAGAGCCGACCAAGCACGGATGATGATGGATGAAGCGACAAAGATGCGCAGCTCATCCGATTTTGGTGAAAATCCTACATTGGAAGCCGTGTTAACTAGCTTTTTTCTTTTCGGATGTTTGTTTGGGAGTAATCAGCACAATGCAGCGCGACTCCGTTTACGGGAGGCTGTAGACCTCGCTTCTACGTTGGGGTTGAATGATCCAAATACGTATGTAGATTTTTCGGGCGAGGAGAAAGGACAGAGACTGCGGACGTATCTGGTTTTGTCTGTCACGGAGAGGTAACTAATTGCCTCCTATTCATGCTATGCGACATGCTAATCATGCGTCTTCAGAGCATATGCCCTGCAGCGACGACATTCAATCAGTTTCACTGGCAGGCCAGGATATGCCATGCGACCGACAGACGACTTCCTCCACCATGCTACTCATAGCCTCATATCTGGAATTGTTGTCCATAATGAGAAAGATGCAGCCGGAATGATGGGTCTTGCTCTCCTGATGGAAATTTTCGACTCCATTGACGAAGAAATACTAACCTGTTGGAATTCCCGCTGCGATGCCAGCAATGGGAAGTGCCAGATACTCACTGAAGCCAAAGTCCTGAGCATTTACCATAATCTCGCTCGGGTGAGTAACTCGAGTCGATATAACAGCAACGACTGGTTTGACCCAGATCATACAAATTTGACAGATCTAGAAGACAATGCAACCAAGACATTGGGGAGTTTTCTTACCGAGACGCAATGTGCGGATGTATTAATATCTCAAAAATGGGTGCAGGACCGACTGTGGAATTTATGTCTCAGCCATGGTCTTCTTCTGCCAGAATCGGAGCATTTAGAGCTGCGGTTTTCGTATGCATTTCACAATGCTGAGAGGACTCTTGAGCTATGTAAAACATTACGAATTAGTGCCATGGAAGCTCATGGAATTGGGATTGTGAGTTTCATTTTTGAGACATGGAGATTCTCCTGCTAATTGGTTTATAGATTGAGAAGTTGTACAATATTGCGAGCAGCGCTGTGATGACACCATACAATACGGGAAATACTGGAACCAACATTAGAATATCTGACACACAGATGCAACTTCTTGGAGGTCATTATTTGAAATTGATGGAAACTCTTCGTGGCGGCAGCCATCCATATACAGAGCAATACAGGGCGCAATTGAGATCCCTGTAACAATGACGGATGAGACTCGTTGATACTGTCATCTATTTGTGCAGAGCGTTTTCTTAGATGTACTCTACGCTTGGATACATGTATATTATACTTATACACTTATGACAAGTCTGTCCGGAATGGTAGGCAATATGACAGCTGGGCTACCTATTCGGGTCGACGATACCTACTCACACCTTCGAAATCACATCAACCACCTTCATCTGCTTAGCCGCCGTCGTAGTCTGATAATTGCGCCATTTCCACATCGGAATTCCAGCATCATACATCTCATCCACCTCCGCAAAAGTGCGACCCTTGGTCTCCGGCATAAAGAAATAAACAATCACCAAAACACAAGCCATGCAGCCTGCAAAAACAAGATAAGTCTTTGCACCGAGGTTCGCAGCATCGGCAGAGGTCAATTGTGGCACGGCAAATGTGGTAATCACAGCAGTCGTTTGAGCACATGCAATTGTATATGCCATTGTGTGATTACGGAGCTTTGGAGTAGCAATCTCAGACGGCATCAAAGCGGATAGAGAGTAAAAGCCAGCGCCCCAGAAGAAATTGAAAACGAAGCCCAGGGCGGCGATAGTGAGAGCGGAGTTTTTGTTACTTGTGTTGAAGGCGAGTGCGCCGGCCGCAATGTCTATGATCAAAAGTATACTCATTCCCACAAAGGCTGTAGGACGTCGACCGACGCGATCAATGACGAGTGGCGCAGTCATGGTTCCAGCTAAGGTACAGCAAGACGCGATGACGGTGAATGTGAACGGATTGCCAACACCGAGCTGAGTGAGGAAGACCGTCGTGTACGTAGTCGAGAGGATGATACCAGAAATCTGATTGAGAGAATAAAACGACCCCGCGGTGAGAGTGCGCTTGAGATTCTGTCGGTTGAATATCTCCCAGAAACGCACGTCGGAAGTAAGGGCTCGTTCATTCTCTTCACACATTCTCATGACGCGGAGCTCATCGTCTACTTCCCAGTCCGAGAAACCTCGTAGTTTGCGAAGGTTGTGGCGAGCTTCTTCCATTCGACCTTTGCTGACGAGCCATTGCGGACTCTCCGGTAGACCGATTGTAAGTAGGAGTAGGAGGACGGGGAGTGCGCACTGGACTGCAAGCGGGATCATATATTGTTTTCGACCGTCCAAGGTGTGCGTTCCATTGACAATAACCGTTGACACAACACCGGATAACAGGGACAAGATATTGATAGACGTCACACTCCGACCTCTCATAGATGGAGGCACTACTTCTGACATGTACAGCGGTGCGGTTGCATTTGCAATTCCAATGACAGCTGCATTCCAGAACCGTCCAATGACAAAAGTAGCGAGGTTTCGAGCGAAAAGCTGTAGGAATCCCCCCCCAAGCGAGAAGACATATGCACCGATGAGCGTCCATTTACGACCCAGGCGATTATTTAATGGCGAAGCTGCTAAACCGCCAATTATGGATCCGACCAGAGGAACGGAGAATACCAGATCTTGATTGCGAGCTGTTAGAGCTAGAGCTCCTTTCGCAAGGTCTGGACCTTGGAAATCTTCTACCTGTTGGAAAGTTAGATCGGATCGTCACAGTATTGGATGTCCAATTTAGGGGTAATCTTACAAAAGCATTCAAAGCTGCAATCGGCGATATGACCTTGTCATCGTACCCGAACAGAAACGAAGCCGATCCAAACGCTATACACGCAAGGATCAAAAGTGCATTGACTGCACCTTTGCCAGTGGCGATGGGTTCGGAGTGAGGTTTGACGGCATCCACATGTTGGATTTGAATAGCCTTGTCGTTGACAACTGCCACATCTTCTTTCTCAATAGTAGTTGAAGCCATTATTGCAAGATTTGAGGCTCAAAATGGCGAGCCGATAGTTAGAGACGTAGAGTGATGGGTGACAGAGAAATCATCCTGGGGAACATGCCGTATGGCGCTGTATTTATAGATCAGCTAACCAGATACATGCCCATACTCGTGTGATGTCTCCATGGTCATTTAGTCACTACCCCAGGAAATCCTCCAGTGGAGAAACCAGCTGTGATTTCTTCGGGAAATTCAACTAGAGTATGGGGATGGTGGAGCAGTTTCCCCGAAGATTCCCCCACGATTCTCCCACGATTCTCCGGTGCATGTTCACCACCACTTACTCGTTGCCAAGTTCATCTTGAAGTTATACCATGATGTGCGATTGATTGACTGGTCTTGCAATATGGCAGGAAAAGTTTCTCCACGTCTATGCGGAGTTGTTTCACCGAAATTGTCCCATACCGAACGACGCTGATGTATCGCCACGAATGCTAGCATTCTCGATGGATGTTTTTCTTTTGCGTCTTTCCCAGATTTGTTCTTTGCAGTACTTTGTCTCAAGCCAATTTTTATTAACATCTCTTGGACCTTACTGTCTCATTCTTCAAACATGGCTGTACTGGTAAAGAACCAACCATTCGACATTATCCCCAAAATCGAAACTGCCGAGAGAATAGAAGAGCTCGAAAATACTACAGATAATATCTTTCATCATACAAATTTTGTGACTCGACCCGATTTCACAAGATGGCGACCTATTCTCCATCTTCTTGCTCCTCATGGATGGCTGAACGATCCCTGCGGTCCAGGCTACGATCCTTCAACTGGAAAATACCATCTCGCTTTCCAATGGAATCCCAACGGTAACGACTGGGGAGATATCTCCTGGGGACATGCAACATCATACGACATGATTAAATGGGAAACCTCATCGAAACCGTGTCTCAGTCCATCGACTTGGTACGACTGTCGAGGGATATTCACGGGATGTTTCCAACCGAGCAATATGAACGGAGAAGTTGATGGAACATTAATGTATGTCTATACGTCGGCTAATCATCTTCCCATTCACTACACGCAGCCTTATGTCAATGGAAGTGAAAGTCTCAGTATCGCCGTGTCTTGCGATGGGGGAAAGACGTGGAAGAAGAAATCCTGCAATCCTATCCTGCCCGGACCGAGCCAGGGATGCAAAGTCACCGGATGGAGGGATCCGTTTCTTGTTTCCTCGTGGCCATCTACGCCGGAGGGCATTCGGAGAATTCATCGTGGAGAAAACGTTCTGTACGGGTTCATATCGGGGGGCTTAGTGGACCATACTCCGACAGTCTTCGTCTATACTGTGCAAAAGAACGATCTAACAGATTGGAAATACGTCGGTATTCTGTTAGATACGGGCCTGAATTTCCGCCCATCTCGATGGTCAGGAGACTTCGGAGTGAATTGGGAGGTTGCCAATTTGGTAATGCTGACAAATGATGAGGGCATATCTAGAGATTTCGTAATCATGGGAACAGAGGGATGTCTCCCACGAGACAATCAATCTCCGCAAGACAACAATGGTCCGACTGCGCGAGACAACAGGATACATCGCTCTCAGTTATGGATGTGTATCAAAAGCAACGAATCTACCTCCTCTGCAGCCCTGATGCAATACTCCTTTGGAGGCATATTCGATAGCGGACTATATTACGCAGCAAACTCATTCTGGGATCCCATCTCGAAACAACAAGTCGTGTTTGGTTGGATAACGGAAGAGGATTTACCTGATACTCTTCGCCATCGGCAGGGCTGGAGTGGGTTGATATCGTTACCTCGGGTACTTAAGTTAAAGACCATGCATAGAGTTGTAAGAGCGCGATCGACGGCTGATTTGGGGCTTATCTCTTCTATTGAAGTGACGCCGGATGACTATGGGACTTATACGGTGCGTACATTAGGCATTGGGCCCGATAGACGATTAGAAAAATTGCGGGACAGAGCGCTGGAAAAGACTATTTGTGATAGAAGACTTAGGTCGTTAGATGACTTTAGTTGTGGTCGAAATTTGCTGAATTTTGTTTCTCTGAACACACTGCAATGGGAGTTGGATGTTGAGATTGAAGTGAGTAATAATTGTGGCCGAGTAGGGTTGGTCATCGGCGACCCAGGTAAGCTGTTCATGTTTTACTTATTCAGTACTTTGGTTATTGACAAGGACATTGATTTCTGACTGACCTTATCTCCAGAATATTCAAATAAAACAGTCCTCTTCTGGGACCCAATCAGCGAGTCCTTCATCATCGAGCGACCAAGTCTTCATGTGAACCTGGATGACAACACCAACACCAAAATCAATCAAGGACGAGAAGTCAGTCCTCACACTCTATTTACATATACAACTGAATCACGAGAAAATCATGACAATCTCGTCAATAAATCGACCGAAGTAGAAGAATCACTTTATATCCGGGCCATATTCGACGTCAGCGTTCTCGAGGTATTTGTGAATGAGCGCACAGTATTATCGACTCGGATATATCATACAAGTAATTCAGAAGAACCACACCCAAAAGATGCTGGCTATTTTGGAATGTATTTCTTTGCGGACAAATCAGATGACGGATGCAAAGGGGACGATGACGAGCACTCTCCCGCGAGGCTGGTTCGTGCTACTGTTTGGGATGGGCTGTCATTACATTAGATACCTTGATTTGCTCAAGATAGATCTCTGTTCATTGATAGACAAGTTACTTCTTACCTAGAGCTTTATGTGACATAGTAAGCTTAAATTAATCGCCAACGCAGAAAGATTAGTAACATCGACATGTTGATCCGAAAGCCCTGCCCACAACGGAAGTCGGCGTTGTAGTCGTAAAGCCAGCAAATAGTAATTTACTTGCTAGCTACAATCATAGACTGAGAACTTTACCGTAGAAGCCACTAAGCAAGGTCTTTTCAGACCATATAGCCCTGATGAATTACCTTGCATTGCATATACGATAGTACATGTACACTTGACTTTCGGAGACAATGGTTGAGGCTTGTTCTAATGACTTGCACTGATCCAAGTCGTGCCCTTTATTCTTCTGATTGATTCGATCAAAAAGTCTTATTTGACTATGAGTCAATGGTAAGTAGACCAAGGTATAGTGTTATTTCATTTACTTGCAATGGAACCAAGGTTTTGCTGCTGAGATCTAGGAAGGGATCTGATTATTTCCTTTTTGGGACAACTAGGGCTTGATGGTAGATACATCACCTTGAGCATTATTTAGGACTTATACTTTCTACAAACACAAGAAGAGGAAGAAAAATATCCGGTACCTAGACAACTTGAATTCTTGCTCAATTCATCATTTGGAAGGGCTATGTTGTGTGCAGTTGACGGGATTAGGACTAACTACAGTATATGGCAACAAGAAACTCGAGTCATGTCCACGACTACGTAGTACGCAGTTAAGTACTGGCTCGTGACTATGCATATTAAGTTTCTTTAATCAATTAATCTAATTGGCTCTATTGCTTAAAAGTTTCGTAGATCTGATTTCCCCAGCCACCAGGGAGATTGTATCCCTTGTTTCGTGCAGCTGCGGACTAGTGTACTTACTTGCATTTGCTTGGATATCCACGAGTTTTGTGTACGTAGATCGTAGAAATAATGAAATTCTGGCCGTGATCTATTTTTTATCTGCTAGTGTGATGCAGCAGAATTAGGAGAGCTAGGAGGTTGTAAGTTTTAATCTTCTAGCCCTGTTCCAACCTGGAAGGTTGTCTTAGGCTGAGGACATAACTTCTTGCAGGCTCTCTCTTTCTATGAGACCGGTGAACACAAACTCGGCTTCACCTGGGTGGTTCCAGCAAAAGCCGATAACATAGACCCCCAATCCCTTACTCAAGGGCCCCAATCAACCATCCTGGACCAAGGACTCAAGCCCGGAAACTTTCCGCCTCGATCAATATGCATACACAAATATCAAGGGGCCGAGAAGCTTGGAAAGTTGAAACGTGGGGTATACACGAGCAACAAAGCAAAATCTCCTAGATAGGACTATTCTTTTATGGAGCGCATACTGCATAATCAGTACAGCACGTATGTACAGATCTGCATCGTGCCAATAGACAAGATTCTCCGATGCGGCTTGTTCTGTCTGCAATCCCCTTGCTGCTTACTTAGGTATATTGAAACAATAACCAATCTTCGGCGTTTGAACAGGTTGCCGTTGATAGTTGCTATGGAGAAATAGTCTCAAAAAAGATTCTGTGGTTTTGACAGCTACTGCTTAGCACATTGCCTCAAGGGCGTTTGCAGTGCATAGTACATAGTACATACAGGATATGTCCTACGCGGCACTGTACACATGTTCGGGAGACGTACATGATAGCCACTGTCTGGTATGCGTGGCAATGTCAAAGTCGTGAGATGATTTGATTGACTTTCTACCAGCCACTAGTTACGTACTATGTTTACCACGTAATGAATTCAGCAATATTCTTCTCTTCTGACTATAGGGATATCAATGATCAGATGTAGAATACTAGAAAAAAAGGTTTGACAACCTTCCGAAAATGGCAATAGCCCTAGATGATCTCAACCAAGCAAGAGGGTCCAATGGACCAAACCCTAACCCAGATTAACACTTCTAGTACTACAATTAGGGCTATAATAGAATCGGCATTATTGAAATGCTCTTTCAAGATGATATCATATCATTCTACTAGGGCTGACTTCTTACGGGATTTGTTCCTGGAAATCCTGTTTTCGGAGTTTTGCCTTCCTGCTGAGAGTGTATCCAATTTAGATCTGGCGGCGGCGTCTAGTAAGAAGACGACTGCGTGAACAGGCTCAAATCTCGGTCACGTTCCCTGCGTCGAATCTGTCTACAGGGTCAGGACTTGTTTATCGGCTATCTCTTATGAACTCAGGCTAAGTACAGGCTATATGCTAGATCATAGCCGTTGTACCGTGAGTCATCTAATCGATCGGAGACTGAAGAGTAGGTTGACTGATCAACCTAGGCAGATGAATATGACTTCATCTCTTTCGTAGACTTCGAGACTTGACTAGATCACTGTCTGGATGGGCCGGCAATATATCTAAAATAGAGTCATGAGACCGTAGGTCTCAGCCATTCCCTGTCTCTTCGGTACTTTAATATACTTTAATAGATTAATTGACTTCGTGATGTCAGGCATCCGGTCACTCCATCACTTCAAGTGAGCATCAGCTTGTCCGGCTTGCTTCGGCCGGAGCTCTGCAAGGAGTGATAGAAGGAAACTTCAGTATACAACACGTGCTGAAAGAAGCATCTGACAGAAAGACAAAAGCGACAAAATGAGATCAGCCGACCAAAATCGATTTCCCAAAGAGGTTATATTTCCTGGGTGCCTGGGTGCTCAGGCCACAACACGTTTACGGCGTATCTGATTGGTCAACGCGCGGATTTGCCACGACGCGTCGCGTAAAAACGCGTAAAGCACACAAGCGAGACTGAACAATTGAGTCCATCTGTAGAACAGAATAGAATCATAAAAACGAGACTGATACTGACGCAAGGTATTGGTAGCACAAAATCAGGGGGGAAAATAGGAGATTTTATTACTTGCAGGTCGGAACAAAGGGTTGATCTACTGACAGAACGAGGAGGTCGACAGATTGAGATTCAATCAGGATAGTCGCTAGGGGAAACCGGAGAATATAGATATGTTCCTTGCAGAGGCACGATGGGACGAATAACCCTTGCTTGCGAGGACAGTATACTCGTGGGCAGCGGTTGACTACATGTACATCTGTCCGTAGTCGATACTATAATCCTGTCGTGGCTGGTGAATAGCTCGGCCAGGGTCACGGTTGTAGTTCGTCTCGGACGAGATGCGGATCTGCAGACATGAAGCCTAGAATACATACGGTCCAGTCAATACAGAGACTCTTATGATATGATACAATATGATATCACCTTGTCTAGACTAGACACACAAAGGATCAAAAAGCAGAATAGAATTGGATAGTGAACCGCTGCTTTGTGATTTCTAGGGCAAAGGATGTAGAGGAATAATGAAGATGGCCTTGCGTAGAGTCTCTCTCCAGAGTCTAGACAGGAATATCCTGGCAGAGGGATGAAATCGAACGATGAAAACAGAAAGAGCGAGACAGACGGGGGTCAGTCGCTCCTTCCGGCGTGGGCCCCACTGCGCACTGGGTGCTTCCTTCCCTTTTTACCAGGCGGCCAGCCCTCGTTCCTTCCCCCGAGAAGGAAGAAAATTAACCACCTCCCGCTCTCTCCGTTGTGCGACAATCCATCTCTCCTACACACTCTTTGCGCTTCTCGCTCTCTCAAAACCAACACCACCACCCCGTCGCACCTCGTCGCAATTACGCTCAATCGATCGCTCTCTATCCCTCTCTCGATTCTTTCGATATTTTTATCAGTTTTGCCCGCTCTTCATCGCGCGATTCCTCCGGCGCATTCGGCTTGCTCCCCAGCCTCCGGTTACCTGAGAGTCGCTGGGTTGCGCCGTTGCTACAGCAATTCGCACACAACTGCGACTATCTTCTTTGTTACTTGATAAATACTTGGACAACATATTGCACGGAATTTTTCAACATGTTGATGCAATCTGCTCTCTCCTGCGACACCAGGAAATTCCTGGGTCAGCAATATTATCGCACCCTGTCGCCTACGCCTCCACCTTCGAGCGACAGCATCAGTGGTAGTCTACTAGGCGTTAGCCGCAAGTTACAGAATCTACTGAATGTTTCACCCGGTGCTACTCCATCGACTCCCCCTCGTTCCGTGCGCCTCGCCAGTCCGTTCCATCAAGAGATGAAAGCCAACAAATCCAAGCCCAAGACACGGTCGCGTAAGACAACACCTAAGACAACACCCAAGCCCAGCACACCGAGAGCCATCACGCCTACGGTCAGCAGAGCACAGACGCCAACTGCACCGCCTCGCACTCGCAAGCGCAGCCGCAGTGTTTACGAAGACGGTGAAAGCGAGACCGAAATCGAAATGGCTGGCCCCCGACGCCTGCGCGATGAATACACAACACCGAAGCGTCTAAGGCACTTCCCCTATCACATGCCTCGGGGATTAGGTATAGCTGATTTCGAATCGCTAAACGGCCACTCTGCTGAACAAAACACATCTCACCAAGAGACTGAATCTGAAGCGCTACCTCAGATCATCCTCCCATCAATAGAAATCGAAGATACGGAGGTTTCAAACACCAACGACAAAGCAGACTGGACAGCCGAAGAAGATGAACAACTAGTCGACATGGTCTTGGAGAAATTCCGCCTGACCAAGCGCGACTGGCAAGAATGCGCTCGTCGAATCGGCAAGGATGATGCTAGTGTTGGCAAACGGTGGCAAGCGCTCCTTGGAGAAGGTAACATTGGTCTTCGACGAGGATCTGGTCAATTTGTCCGTGGTCGACTGGATGGATGTTTTGATCAATAACCCTCGCATAATTCGACTATTTGGTCTGTTTATTTGCTTTCGTCGCGCATTATATATGGAGTTTTGTCAACAGATCAAGAGATTGTTTACAACTGGAAAGATACCCTGGGAAAACGGTGTTTGGAAGAAGAGGTTTAATTTGGTCCTGTTATTTGTGTCTGTTCTTTTACTTTCATTTGTGCACATTCTACTTAATTTATTTTCTTCATTCATTTTAATTTTCAACGTTTCTTCTCTTGTTGCTACGGCATCTGTTAGGTTATACAGGATCACCATTGTTCGTGTCACCGAGCCGTGCCGTCCGGTTACTCCCTAGTCTCTTAGTCGGAATCTAATTAAATTAAACCCGTTGAGCATTGACCTGAGCTCCCAGCCCATACTCATTACATATCTATGGCATTGTGTTACAATTGTTTTGGACTGTAGTACCTCCCGTTATGCTATTGATGTTGATCTATCATGCAATGCAATGCATGTACGTCCTGACTATGCGTCAGGGGCAGATCGCAGATTGAGTTGAATGGCCGTGCTCGAGCATGCCAATCGTTGTTTCCACGTGCGACTGTTAGAGTTCCTCATACTCCCATACAAACTTTGACTAATTAAGTGTCTGTGTCCGCGTGATGTATCCAAGCTCGCGCCCGGTTCAATTGATTCAACTTTCAAGACCCTGACGGATGCTGCCGGAGCATTGACTAGTTGTTAGTCTACGATATGGATTGGTACTTGATATCAACGTCTAAAGTCAAGCTGGTTCATGATCTCGGGAAAAAACATATGGGTATGTTTCGAACCACATATATATACAATACTATTCATGGGCCATGATGCTCCTAAACAGAAGAGACAAGCTTTTAGACAGGGAATCAAAACCTATATACTCAGTCAGTAAAAATCATAAATAGAAAGGAGAGGGGACGAACCGTATTTCATAACTCCCAGCCCGAGTCATATACCGTACCCACTTCACACTACTATAATTCCCCTTCTCAAACACCTTCAGATACCTCACCAACAACCCACTACTCGTAAACATCAAAAGATTAAACGACAGACTCAATGGTGGCCGACTCCACGCCTTTTGATGCGTCATACTCGTCAACGTCGCCTCCGCCGTAAGCACATACTCGCTCTGTCCCGTAAACCGCGCAATCTTCCATACAATATTGTTATGTTCCGGTTCATATTTCGCCTTTCCCTGGGTCGTGCGCTCGGTGATTTTGGCTGTGTTGAGCGGTGTCGGGATTCGAACCACCACGTTACTCGCAAATAGTTTTGCACCGTAGTTGGCTTTTATAGCGACACTGTACTCGACTTTTGTCGTGCCGATTTCGCGTACGATCGGGTGGACTTTGAATGGTAGATTGATATTTTCAGTGGCTCGATACCGCATGAGCTCGAATTCGCCGTCGGGCGGTACGAAAGAAATTGTGCGATCGGCGTCAAATCGTCCTAGTTTTACGCATTGATGGAATTGGCAATCTTCCAACGTTACTGATCCTGCAGCTGCACGGGTTGCCTTTGTTCGACCATTTCGGTTCCCCGCGGAACTCGAGTCGTCCCCGTCCAGGAGTAATCGATCGTTGAGTCCGAATTTGCATTCCGGTGTACCGGAAAGATATGCCCTCATTATAATTTGTCCGTGAACGTCGGCTCGCAGGACCGTTCCCGTCGCGGACATGAGTAGGTTGACGTCCTCGATTACGTCCACAAAGGCCTCATTTTTGCGATATTTGATATCTGCGCGTCGCCAGGAGAGAGCGCCCGTCGCTTGCATTGTGATTTTGCTCGAGTCTTGGGCCGAGTTTGCAATGGCGGATTTCACGCCTTCGGTTGTGATGTACATTTTCAACGTGTCGGTTTCTGTGTTTTGGGGGTATCCGAAGTCGATAATTTCTTTCCAAGATTAGCATATCATCGACAAAGACGAGGATGAAATGATATACCATCTAATAACTCATAAACCAACACAAAATTATTCTTAACCGCCTCCTCATCAAACTTCCCAAAATAACCCCTTCCCAGCACAATAAACCGATACAAAAACTCAAACACGAGCGCCGCATTGGCATTGCTCTTGGTAACCACGACCAGATATATATTCTCGTGTTTCACATGGCTGAACGTCGTTGAGCCGAGCGTTAGAATCGGCGAGCGCACTTGTGGATTGGAGATGACTTGGATGCGGAATATGTCTGCAAGGCGGGGGCGGCAGTCGTTACGGAAAGCGCGGAAGATGAGGTTTTCGCCTTTCTGGTTGAAGATGAGGATGCCGGAGATCATGTTTGCAGGGTTTATCGTTTGTTGGTGTTTTTTACCTGCGCATTGTTCGAGGGTTGGGTGTGAATGCTTTGGTGATGTCGGTGACTTGTGATAATGGTGGAGGTTGATGAGTGTTGATTATGATTGGTCCTAGGAATGCTAGAATAGGGGAGCTTCTCAGCCTATCAGCTCCCTGAAGAAATACGATCATATAATATCTGACTATGGTTACTATTAACATATCACGAGTGATATAGATATGTTATAATTAGAATAATTAGAAGCTTATATAATCAAGTAATGTGTAGTCAATCATCGCTGGTATCACAAATAACAAGCTTGGTATCATGGCAGAGTCCGTCGATACATCAACCAAAGAACGCTCAAAAGGAAATGCATAATCACAATAGTAATAGTAACAATCATCGCAAATGCGACGGTGCCGGCGCCGTAGGAGTCTCAGCATCAAAGCCAGTATGCGGCCTCGTCCCAGGCATAGAGCTATCCTCCGGGTTGACGAGACCGACCTTCGGGTCTGGAATTTGTATATCTAATGTCATATAAGCTGTGCGTCGGAGACTCCAGATTCGCACTCCATCTTTCGACCCGACCTCGCGATTCCATTTTTCCAGCCAATCTTCTACCTGTCTTAAATGAGTTTTAATCGCAGTAAAGCCCATCTCATCCCATAACCAACCAGTCAATAAGCCCATTGCAGAGTCGAACCAGTTGCGTAGAGAATACGGGTTGAATGCTTTTACCAGTTCTCCATTGACCTTGGCGATGATACGTCGAAACTCCTGCTCGGGCAATAGAGGATCTAGAATCTCCGGGTACAGATTCGAGAATGTCGGGGCAAGATCACCCTTCACCATCCAATCGCGACGGATGCGAATGATTCGAGTTGTTGTGAATTCTTCTGATTGTATAGGAACATGCGGATTCATATGTGGATAACATGGATGTGCAGGACCCCAGGCTATTTCTTCAGGGCCATCTGCTTCTGCACTAGTGGTATTATTGCCTCCATTGGATGGATACGAAGCGAACGTTGAAGCCCGTAACGAATTATTGGAATGTGCATGGCGTGGGGGATGTGTTATACCGTCATCTGGTCGAATATGACCTCCCTTCGTGGCATTTTCTGTTGTTGGCATATTGGGTTGTTCGACAGAGCGTTCAAGCTGTTGACTGTGCCGACTGCTCGGCAGCGCGATGCTCGTTCGACCACTTTCTGCTCCTTCTCCCGTACTAGGCTCAACGACTAGACTATTCCGAGATGCGGCAACACGCTGAGGGCGCTCCGATGGTATCGAAAGGAGGGGATATGCGTCGCGCTCCGGTATTGCAAATCCAACGTCCTCGTCGTTTGCTAGTCCACGCCGGTTCGGAACAATAGTGACTCGTGGAACGTGATTGATAGGATTCCACAGACGAATTCCCGAGTGCGACGGATTCACTCGTATACCAGGTCCTTTTCCGGAGGTATTATCGTGACGGTAGGGAGATATTGGTGGTAGATCTTCGTGACGGCTGCGGGAATGAGTCTCGGGTGGATGGTGGAGGAGCGGTGGCAGAGCAAGAGAAGACTGGGTCGTATTATTGTTTTGTAGTATATTGCGGGAATTGGGATCGGTAGAATAGTAATAGTCGTCTTTCGCCGCCAGCGGTGATAGGTTATGAGAAGACTGGTGGCCGACTGGAGAAGCCGTGGTGGCTGAAAGTTGCGAAAAGCTCGGTGAACGAGAGCACTGGAAACGCGTACGCTAGGTGGATTGCGATACGGCGATTCTGAACACGACTTTACCAATTCAGAGACAGAATTAAAAATAATATTTGCTAATCGAGGGTGTGGAGCGCTGGATCGAAGGGAGAGAAGTGGTTGCGCGGAAGAAGACTGAGCGAGAGTATGAAAAGGGGAAGTCTTGGTAAGAGTCTGCAGCAGCCGCTTAACCCCCATGCTGTGGCGCCGCCAAAAGAAAAAAAGAACAACGGCCCAGGGAATTCCTGATTTTCATGAGAGCTGTCAAATGGACTCAATAATTGAGACCTGAGAAAAAAGAGCGATGTTCTCCTATCATAAATGAAAAGTCAGAACCCCCAGGGCTGTGTAACTGACCGCATTAATTTTCCAATTGTGTTTTTGCTTTTTTCGATCTTTTACAAATCGGGGAAAACGACAATACGCCAGACTCGCGAGGCTCGCGAGACTGCACGAAGAACACGAGTGTGGTTATATAAATTGGTAGAAAGGGTTCCGATTCTGACGAGTATCACATAATTTGAATAAAAAAATCTATCTCAAACAGGGCTTTGCTGGGTTTATGGCAAACCGTGGAAATTATGTTTCGTCTTTGCGATCTAGGTGATACGCGATGTGTATCGGCCAGCCACATTGACGACATGGGTGGATTACGCGGGCAGCAAGGGGTGAGGCTTTAATCGTTTAGGAGTCCTGGACTATTAAAATAGTTCTAAGATTATTGGGACGTCAGTGCCAGCATTGACATGATCAAAAAATGGCATCGTTCTTGGTGGACGGCCTGATATACGCAGTCTCACCACGGCCTGTAAAAGGCCAGCGAATCTGATGGGCAATCGAAAAATCCACTCCCAGTTCCTCGGCGAACTTCCAAACGAGATTCGGATTCTTCAGATAACCGCGGCCGACAAGAGCAAAGTCTAGTCCATCTTCCTCCAGAACCTTGTTAGCTAGTTCGGCAGTATCGAGCATACCGACCGCTGCAACAGCAAGCTTGTCACCGACGGCTTTCTTGATAGCAACAGCAAAGGGGACCTGGAAACCGGGGAAGGAATTGATCTTCTGGGCGGGGTGTGCACCACCGGAGCTGACATCAATCACATCGATAGCGCCCTGCTTGGCGAGAGCTTCGGCGAACTTGACAGTGTCGTCGATTGTCCACGTGCTCTCGGAACTCTCCTGAACCCAATCCGAAGCAGAGACACGAAGAAAGACAGGAACATCAGGACCAACGGTATCGCGAGTGAGCTGAGCAATTTCGAGCGAGAGACGGATTCCATTCTCAAAACTGCCGCCGTATTCGTCCGTTCGGTTGTTGTAGTACGGAGTAAGAAAAGAGTTTAAAAGAAATCCGTGAGCTGTGTGGACTTCGACAAAGTCTACTCCTGCCTTGATGGCGCGTTTCACGGCAGCTACCCAAGCGGACTTGAATTCTTCAATGTCCTGCTTGGTCATGGCCTTGGGTTGGCAATAATTCGGAGCAAAAGGAATGTCACTGGCACTCTTGACGTTATCAGGCCAGCCGCCAACTTTTTCAGTAGCAATGACACTACTCTGTAACCAAGGGGCGTTGTTGCTTCCTTTAGGACCAGAGTGGAACAGCTGAATACCGATGATCTGCCTTTGACTGTGTACAAATTCAACTACGCGTCTCATAGGCTCGATTTGGGAATCCTTCCACAAGCCAACATCTTGAGGCGTGATCCTTCCCTCAGGCAGGATAGCAGTGCCTTCAATCATGAGAAACCCTGGTCCACGCTGTGCGTACCCACCCAGGTGTGCCATATGCCAGTCTGTCATATGCCCGTCTTGTGCGGAGTACTGACACATCGGAGACAATGCGAGGCGGTTCTGGAAAGTGACTCCGCGGACAGTCAAAGGTTGGAAAAGTTTAGGAAGTGGTTTGCCGGTGGATTGAGGATTGGCTGCAGATCCGGGGATGGGGTTCTGTGCAGGAGTGAAGTAGGAAATGCCCTCCGCTGGCTTGCTTTCGACGTCCGGGAGAGCAGGCTGAGTCATTGTGAGTGTACACCTATGTCGATTGAGAAAATGGAAAGGTAATCCGAGGATAGGCGCAGGTGTTTTAACGAAAATTGAATGGAAACGGCATTCTGACTTAGAGGATGAGAGAAATCAACTTGGATTTATAGAAGTGCCACGCGCCACTTCTTATATGGATATCCATGATTGCTCGCTTACTCTTAAACTTTACGAGGTGGTCCATCTTTCTGCGACTTTATTGTACCATGAAGCTACGCACTTACTAATAGAATAAGGTACCTGGAGTCCGAGACACGAAGGAGCGTCCTAATGCGATATAGTGACACAATGACTAATATCGCCGATCCTCCTAGTCGAGGTCTTTTTACTTGCGTTGCACTCGTATTGGCCCAATTTTCTATATGGCTAATCAGATCGCCTACTGTACAAGTGTGATTGTGGGTGTGTTTAGTCTCATCCTTGAGATTGGATTCTCCATCGTGTCAGATCAAGCAGTGAGATAGTAGGACTATACGCTAACTGTAGAGTTCTTCCCAATGATAGGATTCTTGCAGCTACTTATAAGAATTTATACCAGTATCTTTACTCGTGACTAATATTCATGCAAGAATTTTTGCGGATTAGGAAGCAGAATAACAAGTCGAGTAGTGATTACCAGAGAAATTAGGGCTTGTATTTACGGCTGAAACTACAAAGTTGCTCCGCCCCGACCAGTCCCGGAAACATTCTGATGTCACGACAGGTACCTGGAGTAGTTACTTTTTGGTTAGTCTAATAGAATGTTTGCTATGGTATTGTCCTCAATGATAAGCCCTGTCCTTCGGACTGCTTGTAATGCGAAGTCGTGTCAGATAACTCATCGTTTTGATGATTACAAATCCTTCATCTCGATTACAAATATTCGCTCCCTTCGCGTGAATTACTTCCATTTGAGTATACGGTCAGTAAGGCTAGGGCTAGGGCTACAACGATACAATTCCATATTGTATCAGTATCAATCCTTTCCCAAATATTCACCCCAAACCCGTAATGCTTCCGTAAGTAACTCCTTCTCACAGACAAACCCAATCCTGAGATACCCCTTGAAATCCCATCTTTCACCATTACCAACCTCCCCATTACCAAACGTATACCCGCCTGGTACAATCAACAACCCTATATCCCGGATCATTCTTTCGCAATACTCCTTATCATTCACGGGGTGTCCAGTAGAATCAAAAACCTGTATGAATGCCGATGCTCCTACAACTGGTTTCACCCAACTCAGCCGGCCTTTGCTTTTCCACTTTTCAATAAAGTCGGTAAGTAACGCCAAGTTTGAGGCACATATCTTCTCTGACCGAGATAGTATCTTTGTCCGAATATCAGGCAAAAGAGCAAAAGTCGCAAGTTCCTGATCAATTCCGGACACTGACAGAGTGATATAGTCTCTGGCAAGGTTGATCTCGTCGATAATTTGCAGATTTGGTGACAGAACCCATCCAATTCGAAGACCGGGGAGAGCGAATCCCTTGGATAATGATCCAGTCGATATAATATTCCTATAGCATCCCGCCCAGGCAATGATTGATGGTGAATTCCCAATATCTGGATTCACGCCGTGATACAATGGACGAAAAACCTCATCTGCCAGGATAATGATGTTGTTCTCAGCAGCGATTTTGACGAGTTCACCCAATACGGCAGACGGAATTGGAGCTCCTGTAGGGTTATTGGGTTTATTGATGACGATCATCTTCGTCCTGCCTTTCTTTACGAGTTGCTTCAGTTGCTCCGGATCCAGACTCCAGTCGTTATTGGGATCCGCTTTCCAGAGCGAGATGCCAATACCTCTTCGACGAGGCACAGAGAAGAGCTGTTGGTAAGTAGGATATTGGACAATGATATGATCACCTGGACGAAGGAAGGTGTCGAGAACTAGATAATTCGCTGAGATAGTACCCTGCGTAATAGCCACATGAAGATCTGTGACGTTTTTTGAAAGTTGAGACTGATAATACTCAATGATACGCTCGCGTAGCTGGGGCTGGCCAGTTACAGAGCCGTAGCTTATCGGAGTTGATGTATCGAGAGATGTCGTTGTGCCTTCAGCTGAAAGCGCGAAGAGCTCGTCAAGGGAAAGCGGATCAACGCATGTACCTATTAGCCACTCAATAAATCAGGTATACGTCCTTATATACGTCCTTATATTGCTGGGGTTATCATTATACTGACCATGCAGCGCGTACTTGGCGTGAGACTGAATACCACAGTCAGAACCTGACCGCACCAAAAAAGCATGAGCCAGGGCATACCTTGAATTTCCGGACTACAGACATTAAATTATCAGTTCATGACACATTATATTCGTTATGCTTTGTATGACTCACCCCAATCGTCCAACACGAAAGGCTCAATGTAGTTCATGGTTGTTATATTGTTCGTCAACGGAACCCTACATTTGTAATTTCGAATCTTCAACTCTAATAATCTGAACTGCTCGGTGTGCTCATAACCACTAAGAGCTACAGATTTTTCTTGAACCAATAGGTTCTTGGACACTTATTGAAATATTTTGCGATATTCTCCCCCCTTTTTTATGCCTAATCACCAACCTTGGAAGATAACCAACGAGACACCTGCATTGATAGCGGACGGTGAGTCACTCCATTCATGCTAAATAAGAACCCCTGTTGGAAGCTTAGTCACATAATTTAGCTACCGCTGATCCAACAGAACGAATCATAGCTTCATATTTTCAAAGAACTTGCGACGTACTCTCATTTCTGTAAAGGGGTTTGATGCGCATTACTGGAATATTGTATTCGAGACTTTGTTCGGATCCCGAGCGAACCTTGGTGCTGTGGCTTTCTCATTCTAGCGCGTGGCTGAATGAGATAGCTCTTGGAATGTCAAAGAAAGTTAAGTATGGCCGCCAGGCCATAAGATGCATCATGTCATGGGGCTTTAACTACTCAAAGCATCTATGATCAACTGTACAAGAGAGGCTACATAACCATGCCTTTTCTTACTTCTGTCCAGCACGCGACGAATGGGTAGATAGATGTAGAAAAGAAAATCCGAATATGTTCTGTTCACGTACTGTTCCACTCGACACTCATCATGATGAATGCCGCTTCAAACTATACAAAAGAAAGATCGAGATCCGCCGAGCGCCAAAATTATCATGGCTACACCAGATAATAAGGTATTTCCTATTTCCTCTTTCCCCCAAAACTCCCCTTGTTGCATACCATAAATAGAAGAAGAGCCGATTGACGTTTCTCAGCCTCGGTATGCCAAACTCCCTTTGACTAGACAAAATGGCGGGCTTAAAGGTTTTGCGGCTTCGACAGTTGAAAAAGACCGCAGTTAAAGGAAAACTCACGCATATAGCAAAACACAGACATTAAAAAGGAAACCGAAACCGAAATGAATGTTTTACATGGTCCGTATTTGTCGCCAACGAACAGATGTGACAGCCTTAGGCGTCCCAGTTGAAGAGATCTGCAGATCTATTAGTAATGTCCAGGACAGCTAGTCAAGATATTAATAAGTGAAGGCCCTATGTCTCACCGGCTGCTAATTGGGAATTTGCCATGTCATCATCATCTGGGTCGGGTTTAATCTTTATTTCGTGATTCTCAAAGGAGACAGCATCAGTTGGTTCCTGTTTGATGGGGCTAGCCGCAGCGGAAGACGATAGCAACGTTTCGGTTGCCCCCTCTTTCTTGACGAGAACTGGATTCTCCTTCAACTCCGGTGTGGTCTCCTGATCCTGGACATCAGCAACCGCTTCACTCGAAACGTCCTTCTTGATTTCGGGCTGAATCAATTCTTTGTAGGATGTCTCGCTCTCCATGATATGCTTCAGCAATTCCTGAAGTGCAGCACGTTTTTCCCTAGGCAGGATACCACCAGCCGCCGACTGGCTACCAACAACCGCCGACCTGTAGTCGCGTTTCAACGACATAAGAGTAGTATCTGTACTGGCAAGCAGGGCTTCCTCTACGGACTCGAGCATCCTGTTAAGAGCCGCTTCAACTACATCAACACTCTTCTCAAACATCGAGTCACGGTTGTCAGATACATGAGAAGACATGGTAGCTTTCATGCGCATGAAACTTCCGGGGCCTATGGGGAGTTGTTAGTAATTGTTCTTATATAAATACCAATAGTAGTCATACCTCGTTCTTCGACACAACTAGTATACGCAGGAATCATTGATTCGACAATAACCGGCTCAAACATGCGGTTAATGTCCTTCGATTGCGCCGAAATATCCAACGCTTGCTGGTTGAAAAGCTCTTTGACAGACTGCTGATAGACGCGCAACTGCTGCGAGAGCATATGAATGCTTCCGAGTGGCCCCGTAGTCTGAGTAATCTTCTTATATACATTGTCGTGGAACTTTTTAAGAAAATTTGCGCCTTCCGACCCGGCATTGCTGAAGATTGTGAAGATACGTCGCGAAAAGATCTTTTCCCAACCTGGGGCCACAGCCTTTATGATAGGCTCTATGAGCTCAGCGTTCCAGTCGTGTTGCCCCTGGGCATTGGCGTAGACACCATCACGACGGCATAGGGCTTTATAAGTCGCCCAGTAATATCCTCCTTCAGCACGATTTGAACGGTTAACCGGTGCGCCCCAGCGAGATACTGTCTCCGTGGCCAGTTTGGCTGCTGTAGGGGTTGCTTTGTCTGTAAACACGACAAAAAATCAGAAGTCCGTGTACGCACAATATAGTGAAATGAACCCATACTGTCACTTACTACAGGCCTCGGTTATGTCGGATTCAATCTCTTCAGCTATCTGATCACAGATGTTTTTGATATGTTGAACCAATTCCTGCATCGAGAGGATGTATAGTTAGTACACGATCATGGAATTATCTGGCTAACACACCGATCACAGTAACATCGGTTGTAAAAGGATGCGCGAACTTGCCTTATCCAATTGATTATATGTACTCTCAACAATTGCGGCTCGAGTCGCTTTTTGCTTGTCAGTAACCTGAAGGCTGTCCGAAGAGGCTAGTAGTCGAAGCGAGTTTAGGAGTTGATCCAGGTTATTCAAAAAGCGACGAGAGTTTGCTTCTCTGCTCGCTTCAGTCAACTTCTTGCAATGAGCTTGAAGTTGCGGCACTTCTGTTTCTTCAATGGTTTGGAAACCAGGAACGTTTGCTTCCTTTTGAAAACGTCCCTGAAGCTTTTGATACGCCCGTGAAGAGACGCAAAACACAGGAAGAGATTGGGCAACCTTGTCATAATCACGAACATCCACATCAGGATTGAAACTGGATGCGTCGGTCTCTTCAGCAAGTTCATGGTCAAGCTCTCGAATCCCACTAGCGAAGTCTTGCTGAATAGCTCCTCGAGAGTACTCGTTTCTGCCAGAGATCGCTATGTGACGCATCTCTGCTTGAACCTTGGCATCGACCTCGTTGAGTTCTGTGATCTGCTTTCGAACAACCTTCATTTCAGCTTCGATTTCTTGTCTCTGGCGACGACCCTCTTTCTTCGTCGTCTTCAGTTCCGAAAGCTTTTCTTCAATAGCATCTATTGAAAGAGGCTCCCCTTGGGTCTCAGACTCGTCCTCTTCACTATAAGCTTCATCTTCGTTATCTCTGTTGGTATAATCGCTGTCGAGATCCGAATCAGATGAACGCTGCTTCTTCTGGGGTGTGCCCGAAGGTGTGCCCGAAGCATTGCTGTTGCCGCCACGTTTTCTTTTCTTGGATGACTTGTCACGGGGCGCATAGACTGTCTTGCCATCGTCAATATCATCCTTTAAAGCCTCCCATTTCTCGATTTGCTCGTCAATTTCATCCACAACTGTAGTATATTCTGCCTTTGTTTCCTTCAGCTCATCGAGTCTCTTTTTGTGTTTTTTAATTTCCGAGTTATATTCATCAGATTTGGCCCACAGTCCACCCATTTCTTGCTCCAGTCCCAATGACTCTTGTGCCTCAAGGATACTAATGTCATCAGTCTTGCTACAAATGAATGTCACTGAATCAAATCCGCCATCCATCTTGAGTTGTCGCTTGAAGGTCTCTCCAAGAAGAGACTTTGCGGCTTTATCATCGACAGCCCGAGTGATTGGCGCCACGATCCACAAACCAGTGCATTGCTTCATATAACCCTCTGCAACACGCGCACGAGCAGCATTTGAGTCGTGGACACCAGGTAAGTCAACGATCACAGCGCCGGTCGATAGGGCTGCGGCTTTTACGTAAATCCGAACCACCTTGATCAAAGGCCAGTACTCTATTGTTGACTTATTCTTCTCATGTGCACTCGTTGTCTTTTCTTTACTGTCGACATAAGACTGGAGGTGCTTATAGAACTCCGCTGGATTTGATTCGGCAATGGCTCTCTTTCCGCCAAGCACATCCTGAACTGCGGGATGCTTCAGTAACTTCTCTGCAGTAGTCTTCTGCAACATTTCGTGTGTGTATTTTGGATACACTGCCTTGATCTTGGCGTACGCAACACCGGCCTCGGAATCTTGATTCGAAGCCTCACGAGAGATGTTTCCGTTACTATCCAGGAGATCGCTGAATAGTACCTCAAGCTCTTTTTCCCAGTCTTTCTCGCTAATGAACTCAATCTCTGCGCGATAGGGGATCTCCTCATGGTTGTAGGAGATTTCTGTGACAACCGCTGTGCACGCTCGCATACAGTTAGTCGGCACCAGTCGCTCCTCATCAAGCATGGCATTGATCACTGAGGATTTTCCAGCACCAGTATTTCCTACCACTCCAACAATTGTTTTTGGTTGTGCTGCTTGTTTCTGAAGATTCTCAATGCTTTTAAGCCATTCGGCTGCATCTAGATCGGGGACGACTCGGCGCATTGGCTCCTTTAAACGTTCCAGCAGATCGACACCATGCTTAACCCCAGCTTCTAGGAGTTCTGGAGTACAATCGGTGAACAGGCTTTGGAGACTAAATTGTTCGGAAGGTTCTGGTTCAAGATCATTGGGTTTAGACACGCTTTGGTTTGAAGAGCGGCTTGTTTTGTGTTCGGTGAAAGCTGCTGCTGCAACCTGATTGTCCATAGCCTGCTGGCCATTGGCTTGAATGGCGATCGGCGTGTAGCGCAAGTTCCTACCGTTGCGGACCCAAAATGCAATCTTACGGTGACTCATCTCTCTCCATTCCGTATGTCTCATCAAGAAAGCTTCATCTGAGATACCGTTAACAAACTCGCAGGTGCTTCAGGTACAGTCTCGAGGAGAACTTACCTGTCCCATAGGTACTGATATGTGCATTGTATTTATCCTTGGTCGAGAAAAAGAACGCATAGAAACCAGCATTTTCGTTTTTGAATCGGATCATTTCTTGGGTGGCGGACCCGTTTTCGATACTAGGCGAGTCGATGAATAAGACCGCACGTTTCTGATACCATTGGCATACTTCAGGCGTTAGAGCAAGCCACTGATCCAGAATACTTTGTCGATCGGCCACTAGTTCCGAGTCAGTATGTAATTGGCTTATGTTCACAAAAAGATTTGCACAACGGCTTACCATTAAATGAAGTGAAGCTGGCCCCCTGATTATCGCGAAGTTGGGCGAGTTTCTCATGTATAAAATCGACCATTGTGAAAAGCAACATTAATTCTCCATATATGAGTTTATGTTCAGTCAAAGCGTTTTTGCTAGTCCCTTCGTATTTGCAAATGAGATCCATCACAGTGACAAGTCGACGCCTATCAATTCCTGGCGGTGGCAACAATTGGTATGGCAGCGCATGAGCGATGCTGTTAAGTGACGGAGAAGCCTGTTTCACTGGGGTGCCTGTCTCAGTTTTGATCATCACATCATTTTCTGAACGAGTCTGGAGTGGACCCCTTTGCGAGGTATTGTTGGAAGGTTTTGAACCTGTCAGTGTGACTGCCTCGATAAGAATCACCTTATCAAGGTTGGGGTTGAGTTTGGCGATCGTGTCGGTTGGTTGGAGGATGTAGCTGTCGCATCGTAGAGCTAGTTTCTGGGGAAGCGCGACGCCACTTTCATAAGCTTTCAAGATTGAGGCTGCTGTGGTATCCTACGAGATGTGAGTGCAGAGCATTTGGACAAAGGTACAGACAAACTTACCAATTTACACTTGAACCACATCAAGTCCTTTTTCGCATTTGCATTCACTGGTGTTTTGTCATCGTACAGGACTCCGACGCAATACTCATCTGGAGGAGCATTGGAGCCCAGCTGTTTGAGTCCCTCAGTCTTCGCCTTCTGACGAAAAAGATGGAAACTATTTCCCTTTGTATAAGACAGGACCGGTTTTAGAGATATATTGGAGGTGGAATAACACTTACCTGTCCATGTTGCTGTCTCGAAACCCAACACATTTAGAGGATTGGATGGTGTCCCAACGGTGTGGAATGGATCTAACTACGGAGTCAGAAGCTGTGTTGAGGTGATGTGAGGAGACAGGGGGAAGTACTGGAGACGCGAGGAAAGAGCGTGTTATTTCCTTCATTCCAGAATTGGTTAGCATCATGACGTCTACGGCCGCTACGACTATTTAGGAATAGCCTGCGATCGGTCTGTCTTATCACCACGTGACCTGTAATTTACCCGAATTGGGCTGTAATTAAACAATCGCGCTCGACACGCAAAACGCGGCGAAGGACCGCGATCGCGACGGCGGTCTAGCTGAGACCACACACTATGAAGGGCCGAATGTCAAATCTTCCGACACTATTTATCGAACATTACTCTCCCTACTTGTGTCCTTTCTCATCGAAGAGTAACCGCTGGATCTTCATATACTGATGGACTGGCATCGCAATATCACCGAGGACCCTCGGTCAGATCCAGTTCACAGTTCATATTCCCAGGACATACCGTCTTCTCCTCCATCCATAGTCTCTGAGGCTGGGACTCGACGAAAACCGAAGAGGCCCCCTCCAGTGACTCCACGCTCATTCAAGAGGTTTTTCACACCTCGGTCGTCCCTCAATGCCGCCGCAGTCAGTTTGATGCCTGCCACTCGTCAGGCTCTACGGGAGCTTACCACGACATCTTTGAATCGGCGGGGCCCAGCATTCACCAAGGCAAAGTCCTTGAATGCACCCAATACTGCAAGTCATGGAATTTTGAAAAGCCCATTCACGGAAACTGCTAGGACTCCCAGTAGGAAGCGAAAGCTATCCTTCTCTTCACCTGGCTCTTCCCCGCAGTCTTCTCCAATTCGAAGAGTTCGCCTTGCCCCTCCTATTGAAGATGCTCACCTGGTCGAGAAGACGGTCAATGAGATTGAGATCCCACCGGGCCCTGAAACAATCCATTCACCACAAAAGTCGATTCAGAAGCAACTATTTGTTGAGAAACCTCCCGTGGAAGCTGTGCGTCGGTCGAGAGTTCTTGGTACATCTGGCGAGTATTGTCTCCGCAGCGTCTCGGGACGTGTGAATCGACTTACCATGCGATACAATTATGGAACTGGTAAGGCAGAGAGGATGCTTTATTTACTTACATATGTCTAATCTGTCCTCATCCCAGATTGGAGAGATCAAACATCAACATTCTATTCTCGGCCCACGGATGTCCATCAAAATACCAGTGTCAATGAAGACCGCCCTGCTCTTCCCTTTTGTATTGCACCATGCAAAAGTGAGTCCTCCATGCCATCCCGATTGTTGTTTCACTAACTCACCATTCAAAAAGCAAATTCACTTGTAGCTATTGGAGATGAGGAAGGGGGAATTCGCTTATTGGACTCCGCGAAGGAGGATAAGGTTGGGTTTTCAAAAGCGCACGTATCGTTCCGTGCACATGGAAATTCTATAATGAACCTCGAATTTTCCTCCGATGACCTGCTTCTGGCAACTGCTGCTGGCGACCAAACGACACTCATCTTCGACATGGTCGCCCAGAAACCGATTCATTGTTTGTCGAATCATACGTCATCAGTGAAGCACGTACAATTTCAACCAGCATCCAACAACAAAATGCTTGCGACATGCAGCCGTGACGGTACCGTAAATATTTGGGACCTACGATGCAAAGGTCATGAAAACCCTTCCATGCAGATTCACTGTGCTCTTGATTCAGATGGCGACTCTTCGGCATCACCGCCCACGGTCAACTATCCCCAACCCTTGAGGACCATTCATGATGCCCATGCGTTCATGTCGAGAAGTTCAAAGCTGGCGGCTGTCCAGAAACAGGATAGTCACTTCAGCAGAGAGAACGTCACAGTAACTTCTCTTTCGTTCCTACCAGCAGGTCGTGAAAACCTGTTCGTGACGGCATCCGAGGCTAATGCATGCATCAGACTGTGGGATATGCGTACATCTTACAATATCCGCAGAGGAAGCCCAGCTCCCTTGTCTACCACACGCGAACCGGATAGCCATGTCAACCACAGATCTTACGGCGTGACTTCATTGGTATTGAATGGAGATGGCTCGAGATTATATAGCCTTTGCCGTGACTTGGCTGTATATGCCTACTCGACCTCACACTTGGTCCTAGGCAGTTCTCCAGATCTAGCGCTAAACAACGACCGGCCTAGGCGTACCGGAGGCCCCGACAAGGAAGGCCTAGGACCGCTGTACTGCTTCCGTCATCCTCGGCTCCAGGTATCAACATTCTACGTCAAGGCTGCGCTACGATCAGCCAAGGATGACAAATCTGAAATGCTTGCTGTTGGAAGCAGCGATAACTGCGCCATTCTGTTCCCTACAGATGAACGATTTTTGTCGCTGTCTCAGCCGGCCGTGCAGACACAGACAGATCTGCCGCCTACTGTTCGGCCTCCTCTTGTACGGTCTGGTCTTCGACGAACTAACTCGGATATGTCGTTCTCCGGCAGACCAGAAAGTTCAATCCCTACGTATCGATCAGGAACTCCTCTTGTCGGGGGTCACATGAAGGAGGTTTCGGCTGTGGCATGGACGTATGACGGCGAGTTAGTCACAGTTAGCGATGACTACAGTGCCAGATGCTGGCGTGAAGGGCCTGATGCGCGCGATTTACGTACCGGAGGTGAAACGGATGGTCGACGCTGGGGCTGTGGTTGGGCCGACACCCCAGACTCTTACGATGATGACGAAGAATGAGTAAATTTTCCAGGGGCATACACAGATGAGCGTTGTGTCTTGTCTTTTACTATTTTCTATACCCAACATACTGCTCATTTTGCATAGGAACTTTTCCACTTGGGAGCCCTATATAGAGCGGCATTGCGATGGCGTTCTCTTCGGGCTTGATTACATGTTAGGCGTATTGTGGGTTTATGTTTTTCAAAATGGCATGCATAGTTCTGTTACCGCTGTATACTTATAATTGTTCTGTCTATTGGTGTGCAATGTTGTTCCGTCGTAACCGGTATACAAAGTTAGCATTACACTTTAGGTGATGAGGGCGAACATCAAACCCTACTACGATTATAGCATCTATACATGTCCATGCGAGACTGGCTTCCAAGGTTGCACCAAGACCAATTTCCGCCTAGGGATTCGAATACGATAATGTAAGTCAATGTGGTATTACTTTTCTGTATAATTAGGTACACTCTAAAGTTAAACCTTCACATATTTGCTCATTAATATCTTTTTTCTAAGAATCGAACCCACCACATCCGACTAATGACCATGTCCATCATCCTCTGTTGGCTGTTCAGGGTCTAACTTGATCATGGTATCAATACGCATAATAGCGATACAAGCTTCGACCGCACTCTTCAATTGCTTCACCTTGCTCATGCTGGGTTCAAGTACACCGGCTTTGACAGAGTCCTGGACTCTACCCTTGGTCAAGTCGAGACCGTAGTTGCGATATGTCTTCTTCTTGGCAATGGCCTTTTCTTCTTCGTTGGCGTCACCTTCTTGGATGCGTTGAGAGATGGCATGACGGACTCGGAGTTGGGCGACGAGCTCGGAAGAGTCCTTGGCAGCGTTGACGGCTAGGGTTTTGGGGATGACGAGGAGGGATTGAGCAAACTCACCGATGGCGAGTTGTTCTCGAGAGCTCTGTTGTCAATTGTTAGCGAGATTCATACATGTGACTATTGAATTGTAATGAACATACCACAGTGACAGCAAATTCTTCAAGATAGATATGTAGTGCAGTTTCGACGGCACCGCCTCCAGGGACAACACTGCCACTCTCGAGTGTTCGCTTGACAGCGGACAATGAATCATGGACAGACCGCTCCATCTCATCCAACTGGAAATCGTTGGGACCACGGAGGATGATTGATGCAGAAGAATGGGCTTTGGTTCCCTTGACAAGGATACACTCATCATCTGAGATGCGCTCTTGCACAACTTCCTCCGCATAACCAAGATATGAGGTCTCAAATTTCTCATCACCGTTCAAGTCCGAAAGTGTGCTGATAAGTGTGGCTCCAGTAGCCTTTGCAATCCGCCTCAAGTCCTCCTTCTTACAACGTCGCACAGCCATGGCACCCTTCTCGACGAATGTCTTCAGAACCATGTCATCAATACCTTTGGTTGTAAGTATGACATTTGCGCCGGACTTCAAAATCATTTCAACTCGATCCAAGACAATACCGGACTCTCGCTCTCGGATCTTTTCTAGTTGCTGGGGATCGTCAACAGTGATATGAACGCCAAGCTTCATCCTCTCCTTCTGTAGATTCATGTCGAGACAGGCAATCTTGGCATCTGTTATCCGCGTCTTCATAGCCTGAGAAGCAACAGTACAGTTAAGGGCATATCCCTTAACTAGAATGGACTCGGTTGCACTCTTTCCGTGAGCTTTCAACACGTTCACTGCCTTGACAGGGTATTTAATCTCATTCTTTTGGTTTGTGGACTTGACGAGAAGCATGGCCTCAACGACCATGTTTGCGAAGAAGTCACCATCGGCACCGATGATCTTGCTAGACATTGAGGTCCTGGCAATATTCAGTAGGCTGTCCTTTCCCAAATTTTCGACCTTTGTGCTGATATTCTCATTCATGTATTTCACAGCTTCTCTCAACGCCAATCGGTAGCCGGTGATAATGGTGGTGGGGTGAATTCGGTTTTTCATAAGTTCATTGGCTCTTCGCAGAAGCTCGGAGGCGATCAAAACGACAGAGGTAGTGCCATCTCCAACCTAAAGATACACAATCATCAGGCAACAAGTAGGGAAAACAGTCTTCCCGAGAGCCTTACCTCTTTATCCTGCTGTTGAGCCAAATCAACCAATATCTTACCGGCAGGGTGTTCGATATCCAGAAGACTCAAGATCGTAGCGCCGTCGTTCGTGACTGTGACATCCTAAAAAACATTCAATATGGTGATTTCTTAACATCCCAGCAGTGTGGCCTTACTCCGATATCATCCACCATCATCTTGTCCAACCCAGACGGGCCGAACGAACTCTTCACGACATTCGCGATAGCCTGTGTTGCAAGCACTATTCTGAATCAACAAACTGCAAGCAATCCCACGAATCAAATCCCACACTCACCATTCTGATCTCGTATATCGGCGCCGCTAATTTTCGTACCACCGAGGACTGTGTCAAGCTTTGAGTCAGTCGCACGCACAACAGGCAGAACAAAACGTTGATGACTCAAATTTCGGATGACTCACAGAGAGTGCCCGCATTCCGCGGCTGCTCAAAGATTCCCGCCATTATGCTGAGGTATTATAAAGGAGTAAAGGATGAATACTGGGGTATTTCAGGAGCTTCTCTCAGCAGTGAAGCTTTCCCAAGTATTTCTTGTCTGTTAGTGGGACGTTCGGGTCCGTGCATTGCGGTAGGAATTATTCTGCCAGTTCAAAGGCGGTCAGTACTACATCCCACTTAAACGAGGGGAGAAAAGAAAAGATTCATACAATTCCACCGCAGTGATTAGAGATTTGCGACATTAGATATCGTTTCCCTAAATATTCAACAGCTTCTAGGGTCTCTTTGCTGACGAAGACAAAATGTCCAGCCAAAACGACGAGTCGGCAACGCAAGCATTGCCTGACCGTACACAACAAAACCCCGCCGAGGATAAGGGCGAAGAGGTCTCGAAAAACGCCGCAAAAAAAGCCGCGAAGGCTGCCAAACTAGCAGAGCAGAAAGCAGATAAGGCGAAGAACAAGGGGATTGGAAAATCTGAAGCAAAAATGCCCACATCGAAAACCCCAAAGAAGAAGATTGACGGCGCAGCTTTGATTGGTATCGATGTCTCGAAAGAAGAGGACTTTCCTCACTGGTATCAACAAGTCCTGACTAAGGGTGATATGCTGGATTACTATGATGTTTCTGGTTGTTTCATTTTGAAGGTAGGGCTGTTCTACACAGTATTTCGTTCCCTCATGTCTGCCTAACTAACATGGATACATGGATAGCCCGCTTCTTACTTCGTCTGGGAAACCATCCAGAATTGGTTCAACGATAAGATCAAGAAGATGGGCGTGAGGAATTGTTCGTTCCCTCTTTTTGTCTCAGAAGATGTTTTGCAGAGGGAAAAGGACCACATTGAGGGTTTTGCTGCTGAGGTTGCTTGGGTTACACACGCGTATGACTCTCTACCCTGGAGAATTCTATAGACCAAAGCTAACGATTTTTATGTACAGAGGATCCACCCCCCTCGAGCGAAAGATTGCCATCCGTCCCACATCTGAAACCGTCATGTACCCCTACTACGCAAAGTGGATTCGAAGCCATCGTGATCTTCCCCTGAAACTGAACCAATGGAACTCGGTCGTGCGTTGGGAGTTCAAACACCCTCAGCCTTTCTTGAGAACCCGAGAATTTTTATGGCAAGAAGGACACACTGCACATCTGACTGAAGAGAGTGCTGCCGAAGAAGTGTTGCAAATCCTGGACCACTACGCCCATGTCTACGAGGATCTTCTTGCCGTTCCTGTTGTTAGGGGTAAGAAAACAGAGAAGGAAAAGTTTGCCGGTGGATATTATACCACTACTGTTGAAGGTTATATCCCTGCTACCGGTCGTGGTATCCAAGGTGGTACATCTCATTGTTTGGGACAAAACTTCAGTAAGATGTTCGGTATTACTGTTGAAGACCCTAATGCCAAGGGAGAAGATAAGGGTGCTTCTTTGTACGTGTGGCAGAACTCCTGGGGTCTGTCTACAAGAACTATTGGTGTCATGGTCATGATTCACAGTGACAATCGAGGTTTAGTCCTTCCTCCCCGCGTTGCAGAAATCCAGACCATCATCGTTCCTGTGGGCATCACCAAGAACACCACAGATGAAGAACGGGCCCAGATCTACAAAGACTGCAGCGAACTAGCTTCCAAACTTGCTGCTGTCGGTGTCCGAACAGAGACCGATCTTCGGGATGGATACTCTCCCGGCTACAAGTTCAACGACTGGGAACTCCGCGGCGTTCCTCTCCGTCTAGAATTTGGCCCAGGTGAAGCTAAGGGTGGTTTCATCACTGCTTCCCGTCGTGATATCCCCGGCAAAGACGGCAAGACGACCATTCCCCTCAACTCACTTACCACAGCGGTTCCTGAATTATTGGACACTATCCACAACGACCTATACAAGCGAGCAGATGATCAGTTCCGCGAGCACCGCAAACAGATCACCAAATGGGACGACTTCACCCCTCTTCTCAATCAAAAGAATGTCCTCCTTATCCCTCACTGTCTAACAGAGGAGTGCGAGGATCAGATCAAGGAGTTGAGTGCTCGCAAGGCAGAGGAAGACAGCGGGGTCGCTCAAGATGCTCGCGCACCTAGTATGGGAGCGAAATCATTGTGCATTCCCTTCGAACAGCCCGAAGGTATTGAGCATGGAGTTACAAAGTGCTTGAATCCTCAATGTACCAGATTGGCGGAAAAATGGTGCATGTTTGGCCGTATGTTTCTTACGCTTCACGTTCTTTTATGCCGTTACAGAGAAATACTAACAAAAATTTTTAGGCTCTTATTAAGCAGCATGATATTCAGTGAGGAGAAAACCAGAGTCTGTCAATGGCTAAGCCGTTTCTTTTCACGGGTATTTGCAATCATACCCGGCCATGATAGGGTTACGAACGTATATGTGTCTGGGCATTTTCTTTTCCTTACCTTACCCTTCTATCCCTGGAGACGAATTGAACTAGGAGGGAGCATGATTAGGCGTAGTGAGCATGGTTGGTTGTGAGTCAGGTAACAGTTTCTCGTTCAATAGTACCCACAGAATAAATCCGGTCTACGTTGCCTAGGTATCATCATGACCGTCTGTGTCCAGCACTCGTCAGTTGGCATTGAATCTATTCTAGGCATTGTAGAATGAATCCATCACATCTAATACAATCATTAATTGAGTCGATAATAGTACAAAGATGATTGATGTGACAGAGAGCGATTGCCTGCCACTACAAGCTTCCCTGTAGGACCAAATCTTGAGGGAGTCTCATCATATTCTTGTCGAGTTGAACACTATCTACCAGAGTATCTCCGTCTCCTATACGGTAGACAACAGTATTCATGATATACTCCGTAGGAACCCTACTATTTCACTTGCAGTGGGAAACTCTTCCACTCAAAATCCCAGCTAAACTCGTTGAATGGCCATAGATCGAGAGATAAGAAAAGCGCGAGCCAGGCGTCTTGCAATTTCGCCCTCTACCTAGATCTATCCTATCCCAGATAGACGTAGCTAGCGTCTTGTCACCCAAAAAACGTCTGCGTGGAAGATGGAGTTGTTCAAGATAGGGAGCATATCTGGCAAGGTCGATGAGATCGGAAGCGTTGAACACGGGTTACAAAGGGTGTTTATCATCTAGCCGTTGACCAGAAGGCATATAGGGTTCGATAAAAAAATCCTCGTAGGGTTGGACCGTGGTGAAGGAAGATCTCATGGATGATAGTCGTATCTTGAGGACAGCAGGCGCGAAGATACTTGAGCGGTTTGATACCGGCAAACATAGTTCTCAGATCGTGCTCAAAGCTAAGGTCTCGTTCTAACAACCCAGTTAGGCTTTGAAGACCAAGATATAAATATTCCAATTTTGGAAAGCTTGAGAGCTGAGCCATAATATTAAGTGGCCAAAAAGAGCGAGGAAACTCGAATGCTCGCAGGGAAGAAAAATCTGTCGACTTATTCCATTCCCTAAGCGCATCAAAGGTTTAGAGCCTCCGTGTCTCAGTGGAATTGGAGTGGACACATATTGTGGATTGATTCTTGAAGTATATTCCCTCCAACATCGGTTGCATCCACTGACGTCGTCTCCGATGACACGCATTTCTCTATATGTTTGAGATTTCGGCGTCATTGTAACGAGTTGGAAAACAGACTCAACTGCTATTTCATGCGGAGTGACTCTTTCGCACTGAAAATCTAACGAGAGCGTATGTAAACAAGGTAACCGTAAGATACCAACCTCACAGGGTCCTTCAGAGTCGGACAATGGCCTGAGTGCGAACATTTGCTCTGGATACCTTAATTCTGAAGGCCGCAGGAGTTGCCTGCCCCAGACACTCAGTTGACAGGTGGGATGATATTTATAGATCACATAGAGGAGGCAATTAGGACACATATTCATAAGCAAATAATGTATATCCATCAATGCACCAATCTACTGATTAAGGAGATCGACGGCTCCCACTTTTTCTCCTTATGATATTCCAGCCAACGAGACCATTGAAGAGTAAATGGTATAGAGTGCTCCAGCTAATGAGGTAGTTATACCACCACAATTGACCTAAGTCCTGCAGGACACCGCTGCGTAGTCAGATGTTTGCAGAAAAACGGAAGTCTTTATAGCAAGGGGGGATGCTGTAGCAATCGCGGGGTTGACAAAGTAGGAGGACTAACGCGGTTCGTTAATCGGTGGTAGCTACTTGTCTTGACAAAAGATTGTTGTACTTTTCATGTTTCTCGTCAATGATGTGTTCGATAGCAGAGTCACCTAAGAGAAGCAAGAGATTATTGTGACGACAGGAGAAAGCCACGCGAAATATATGAACGCCAGTCCTGTTCGGTGTTTATATAGGGTTAGGGCTATATGTAAAGCAAGCCCTATGAAGGAACGTTGAACTATTGTATCGAGCACTCAGCTTGAAGAGCACACGTCTTGGTTCCCTAACGAAGAAACAGAACAAAATGACGAAGTGGTAGACTGGGAACCAGGTATGTCTTCAACAACACTTTTTAGAGGTATAGAAAACTAAATGGAAATTAGGCGAGAGAAGTTTCGTATTTACATGGCGAGGAAAAGAGCAAAAACGAGGGAAAAGACATGGGACGATTGAAATAGTTAATCTTCACCACCAATGCAAATGTGTCATGAAAGTATTAGTTAAGTAGTAAGGTAAGGTATATCTCAAAGAATGACATGTCAGAGTAAGATCTGACGGATATCTCGGAAAGGCTTGTTGAGGGTCAAAAGGGACCTCTCCGTTTTCTTATACATGAGTTCATAAAAGTAGAAAGAAGCATATACCTCGCAGGGGTTGCTCCCATTAATGTTGTCGCACATAGCTAGGAAATATAGGCGGCGTAGCAGCGTCCGTAGGGATGAATTCAGTAAAATGCGGAGACGGAGGGACCGGGTCCGACTTGCGCTTGAAATGAGATTTATATCGAGGTTGTGGGAGAGGTCTTGTGACTGGGAAGAGGCTGAAGCTGGAAGAGGAGGAAACAGAAGCTGAGGAATTATGTGCTTTTAGTGAAGGTCGAGACTGAGGTCGTTGTTGTGGTTGATGCTGTGACTTTTGCTGTTGCTGTGGTATTGGTGTTGTTGTTGTTGTAGATGGAGTTGATGGCTGTCCGTATGTATGTCGCCGTCGCCTAGGGATTATTGGCTGGAAGTCTCTTGGCACGGTCTTTTTGGCTGGTGATAGGTATCTGTCGGTTTCGGTGCCATGAATACTGTAGTTGCTGTGGTTTGCATAAGTTGGTGGTGAGTTTTGAGGGGTTGGCGTATTGACAGGAGAAGTGTTTGGAAGTGGTGGGCTTCTGCTTTGAAGTCCATTATTTGATCGTCTGCGAATCAGTCTAGATAGCGGACTTTCCCTCTCGGGAAGCGGTTTGACTCGTGAAGGGCCAGGTGGAGGCAAAAGGATATCATCGTCCGCCGAATCGTCAGAAGATGGAGGGGTGAAGAAAACGTCGTTTGGTACGGGGACTTTGCGGAATGCGTCATGAGAGTTGATTTCGCGGATAATGATCTCTTGCAGCGTTTCAAATGTGGGGTATAGAGGACTGGCCTTCTGACTCGGATGATCGTAGGCTTGCTTGAGAATCTTCAAGATCTCGTCAATATCAAGGGCGGCGGGCGAAGGCTGGGGAGCGATATTGTTAGGGTTGACAGTGAGCAACGGGGTGTGCACGATTTCATCGATACTGGCATTTTGCGCAATAGATGCCGGATTAAGGGGAGTCGGGGGTTGGATTGCGCAGTGTTCTATCCTTATGCTCGGTTTCTTCATGGCCGTTATATTTGTATTGATACTAAGGTCGCGCACATTCTTTTTGCTCGTTCGACAACTCGCGGATGATTTCGCATCTGATGGCCGGCTGCTGTCGGGGCTCAACCGTTGGCTAGAAACAGGAGAATCTTCTGCGACTGTTTCTTCTTCTGTTGTTGTTTTCTCGGGTACCTTTTCCACCTTGACAGGTACAATTTGAGATACCTTTTCAGGTATTTTCTCAGGTTCCTCCGCAGGCATTTCTCCAGGGGTATCCGCTCCTAAAGTCGGTGGTCTAGGAAAACTGGCCAGATCAGGAGTTTTGATTTCCGTCATACTCAGATTTGGTGCCGAAGCCTGAGTTCTTAACAAGAGTCGATCCCTGTACGGCAACGAGACTTTCTCGGGCTTGTCTCTACCCCGAGCCTTGATGAGATTTGCTGGTGGATAACTTGTCCGTGGCTCACGTGAACGGCCTTGAGACTTGGATCTCGAACTGCTTTCTCTCTGTTCGTGATCATCGGACCTCACACTCAGACGACTAGACCGAGGCCCTCTGTAGATTGGATTGCTCTTTGACCTCGATATGTTCCTGTCTGCCACATCTTCCTGGTATAAGGTCGACATCAAACGCGAGTACTGGGGGTTCATATGAGGAAAATGCTGAGCGATTATGTTTCGGTCTGCGATGTCCTCGTTGTAGGGAGTTATCGGTGACAGCGATCTGATAGACGAGATCTGATACCGATGATTTGAGAACAGCGCCTCAACGACATCGATATATCTGTTTTTCTGATTTGACGACTCGTTGGACCCATTGTACCGGAACTGACGAAGGGACGCGAGGGTTCGGGAGTAGAACGTCTCATGTAGTTGCTCAAACTGCCTTTCTATTCCCTCATAATGTTTGTTCACATCCTGCTTACCCCGTGACTGGGGCGGATAGGCATAAGGAGATGCAGGCGTCCTGGGCTCATGGGTTGGCGAACTGGGGTACTGATTGGCATGTTGCTGGTTGCTGAGGCCTTGGACTTCTCCAGACCGCGGTGAAGAGGGCAAGAGGAGTTTCTTGAAGCTTGCCATGATTGTCAATGCTGGTTCACCTTGGCATAATCAGTCGCAGTGATTTTCTCGGGGAAGGCATGAGCTGAGTAAGATGCCGTGGCCCAGCCAAAACGGCGAAAGTGAAACACAGAGGAAGAACAAACAGAGAGATACTCTCTGATCAAGATAAGGAGAGGACGCAACGCAATTGATATGTGAAGATGCCGGACAACCACATTGGCTGGTGGATTTGCAGGACGGACACTCGAGGAAGGCAGAAAGTAGAGGAGGAAGTCACATTTTGGCGTGTGATGGAAGAACTTAGCTTTGCATACGCAATACACAAAGAAACATACAGAGAAATACATTGATACCAGAGTGGGTCAGGAACGAGTTTATTATTGGCTGCATGCCGCCCACGGCAGTGGAAACGATGGGTCGAGGCGCTTTTAGCGCACTTACTTTAATCTTGCTGTAATTACTGTTTGTACGTCGTTACGAGCGGAATCCAATAACCCCCTGAAAGCGACTGATTCATTGGGATCCACATAAGAAGTTCGTGCCACTCGGCTTAATCTAACATTATTAGCGGGAGTAAGGAGTGTTATCTGGTTCGTGCTCTGCCGGGCTAGTTCATACTACATAGTACTAAGTAAGCATGTATCAAATATCCGTTGCTGAAAGACCTAACTACAGGGTATTAATCTAAACATGTGATCAGACGAGATCCTTGGCTACGTGTATCGAAGCGAGTCGTCGAAAACCTTCTCTTTTTGAAGCAAAATCGTTGGAACACACAGAGTTTCTTTTGGGCTCGCAAATCTCCCATTGGCGGCGATGATGCAGATCATGGCAATTCTCAGATTAGTGTGCATGGTTCCTGGCTAAAGTGTGGGGATGGTATGAAATACCTGTATTGGTATTACCATTTTTGGTCAGAATAAATGGGACAGCGATCGAGTGCTCAACAGAGACTCAGAGAGAGAATAACAATAATGCATACCAGTAATAATACCTGATCTCATTTTCATCGTGAAACAACCTTATCGACAAATCTGAGCTATAACTGATCGTATTAAGATCTATGTTCCAATCATCTGATCAATTGACTCAATACATTGTTAGCCTAGCTCTTTACCTTACTTCGTATTGGCAACGTTTTTTGGCCCTCTTGTCACCTGTCAACACCGGGAACCGACCAGCTATTCCTCACCGGATCGACATACGACCCAGAGTCACCGGAAACGAGGCGGAGCTGCTCCTCGGTTGAGTGCTCTCTCCGTATGCTACGTATGTCCTAATTTTGCTCTGTGTTGAGACCCAAAATTCAAGGTTTGTCAGACACGTTGAGCATAGATCCCTTACTCTTTTTTCATTGTGCGTCCAGTACGGAGAGTATTGTAAATACGGCCAAAATACGATTGTGGTAACCAAATAATCATCTTACACGACAGCAAGTTCTCGGTCAGGCCAACAATTATTGTCAAGCAGTTGCTGGATTGCAGCAAATGCGATTCTGGAGATTATAGGGTTTACTGCCATTGGCTGAGAATTTGTTGCCCGTTCGGCAAAGTACAGAAGACGCAGGAATAGATCCCCGAGACAAGAGCCAATAGAGCTCGATGCTCACCAGACAGTCCTTTTGCTGGTGACCTTGCCTTAATAGCATACTCAATGTGAATACGAATAAACCAGTCAGTCTATCGAGGGTATCATTGTGTAATGTAATAAGGTCTTGCAGACATGCATCTTCTGGTATAGGGGCAATTCGTTGCAACAGCTCGAGTCGAAAGCTCATGTCTTCATTGCAACATCTGTCCCTGCTTTTGTAGTCTCCGGAACACCTGCGGACTGCGCAATGAAGCGTTCACCAGACTCTCTGACAGCCGCAGCAAGCACAGATCGTGCTGCACGTGCGGCATCAATAGCACCATCAAGCAGTACTTCATGCCCCGGCACCTTTTTACTTCCCGGCGTTGTCGAAGCTACTTCAGATGTATCACCTTTCAACCAAATCTCAGTAATCTCATCCCGACTAGGAAGATATCCCACAACACAAGCGGCGACGATGTTCTGATGTTCTGCTGGATCTGGATCCAGTAATAACCTTGGAGGACGAGAACCACTATTTGTGCTATCGGTCTCATCCTCATCTTCAGTAACCAACGCAGCTACACCACCAGCCACCAAATCCAAGCAATCGATCCTCGCATCAGCAATTGCTGCTGCTGCCGCCGTAATACAGCCTGCAAGCACATTCATCATTCCCCAAGACGCATCCGATGAACCAGATGCATCACCCCACCATCGATCATCCTCTGCTTCGAGAACAGTGATGGTCACATCCAAAGCACTTTTGGGCCAGCGTTCGGCTATAATGGCTCCTCTGATGGCTGTTTCAAGATGGACGCCCAGGTCACGCTCACTGGCGTCTCGGATATGTCCTTTCCGTCGTCGGTGTGCGAACGGTGCATATTTCACATGTGTTGTTAGGAGAAGATTGGGCGAATAATTTGCTGAACGTGGAAGAGGTCTTGGGCCATGCACTGCGCATGCGATTTTTAATGATGTAGCAGGAGCAATTAACGATTCCCGGGTGTTAGTTGGCCGTCTGGCGGGTTCGATTTCGAGATATGAGGATCCGCTTGCCGATGGAATAAGTCCCGTTTTCAAGACTAACAATATATGTAAGCATTAAACTGCGAAGAACCATCCTGTCTGTAGCCTACATATTTTTCGTAGCTCTGTAGGTTTCCTTGCTCGCCGAGGTCTCTCTGCTTTTTCGCCTGCTGCATTTCGTAGTAAGGACGCATATACGGGCGGTCTGGTACCGCTTGGTGGACCGTTATTTCTCCTTCTGTCAGCCATGTTGTTTGTCTAATGTCGATGTTATGAGAAAACAATTGGGTCGATGTCGAGGTTGACACTTTCGTCGTGACTGCAAAAAAGTTGAAGCATGTTTGCTCTGTTTGCTCATGTCATGTGGGGCGGGTCGGTCCTTCTTCTTTTCTTCTGCTTTTTTTCTTCCGCTTAACCTCACTCCTTCACTTTCTCACTTCAAAAGAAAACAGTTTGATTCACTGGATTTCAAATCTTGATTGCAAGGATACCATATCTTTTACTCGGTATTTACGACTAATTATTGTGAGTTTCTTCCAAATACAACATCCAGCACAATTTCACAGGAGGAAAGTTATAACCAAAACTCTGTTCGGCGAAAATTCATGAGCCATTGAACAACATGCACTACCATCTGAAAACCATTGAATATTCTTCATTTCATCAATTCATCGACATGTTGATATTGGACTTTTGCTGATTAGTCTTGAAAGAACAGACCAGCACATCTCAGGACTGATCGCTGTTGAGCCATGTTTCAGTAGACAAAAGGTATGTCGATATTGCTTTTATTCTCTGCCCTGGATATGTTGTTTCATGATGAAACAAATATTTTCAGTTCTGCTTCTGCAAATTCCTTGAAGATAACAAATACCTTACCAAAAACGTTTCCTGATACCACCGTCATATCCCAATTCTTTGTGTCTCTGTTTCACCATTGAGCAAAAACAATTGAGCTAACACAAGTTTGGACACAGATTATAGGAACTTTTCTGTTCAACCTATTTCATAGATTGCAGTAAGTGTATGTCACACCCATTCCCTAGCTAGCCAGCCTTCTCTTTTCTTCCTCCATTCTCTTTATGATGACAACTAGTCAATCCATTCAACGATTTACCGCCTCCTGAGCTTGTACGTCGTCGAGGTACCACATTGATCCAAGTTTTCAAATTTCCACTCTTCCAAGGTGTTATACGACTCCTCCCTTATACCTGACTTGACCCCTTCCGGTGGTTCAGGGATGATAGGTTGTGGAGTGTTTTGTATTCCATCTGCTAATGGAAGTCTTGGTGTTGATTACGTATATGGTCTTCGTGCCCTTGGTTTCATACAAGCTCGGCTTTGTGTCGATTTTCTTTTTCTGCTCTGGGATACATTTACTCGTTTTGGGTGGTGTGTTCTAGGTCGGAGTCGGCAGGGGATGGGATGAGTAAACCGGCTTGCTGATTCTTTACTGCTTTTTCCAATATCATGTCGATCCGTCTTCGGTGAAGTTGCCGCTAACGACTTGAACGTAGGAACCCTCACGTGATTTAGATAGCTAGAGAGTATGAATGCAAATGTTCTATCATTAAACTGTTCGTATACCAATGATAAAATTAAGAATACGTAATCGTTAATAATTATCCCCTTTTCTTATTTTTTTCTGCTCTATGCCGTACAAAGTAGACATCACATCATCCCCTTTCCCCTCCCCTATCTATCATGATTTATTATGATAATTCCTTTTCTTGAGTTGTCGGCGTACTCGTCCCTCTTGACCGGGACATGCTGTACGGTGCCTGCGACAAAATATTAATTAGCTAGGTTCATAAATATATGAGTGTGAAGTAAAGCATACCAAAACTTTCTTCGCATTACAGATTCTCCATGCCATATTTCGTACATTCCCGTCTGCACGGACAACTTCTGGAGCAAGCTCGATGCCGAACCTATACAATGCATCAGCACGACCATGTTATGATGTGATGGCGGTAGTAAGAAAACTCACATCTGATGAACCGCAAAAACAACACGCTTAGCATACTTCCCATCCCGATCCACCAAACTCCCAAAATGCTCATCGTACGTCTCCGGCGCAATCTCCGGATCTCTATCGAAACAATTTCGCACAACAGGTAACAAAGCCTCTTCAATAGCCGCTTGGATTATAGCATCGCTATTGGAACTGGTAGTATTATTATCCATATTGAGGACATCATCTTCATCGAAGCGGCCAATGCGAATCTCAAACGGTCGCGAAATCGCCATGACGTTGTGTTTGCCGTTGTGGTGGTAGCGGAACTCGAAAACACCTGTAGTCCAGAAGAGTTTGTCGCCCGAGAATACCATTTCGCCGGATGCGAGGTCACGGTTTTCGCCGTCTCGGCGGCGAGAGGCGGATATCACGATGTCGCTGGATATAAGACCCTTTTCGCAGGTGAGGCTGTCGTAAGCCCCTTCGTTGGTGGCGATCCATCGTCCCTGAGAAGAGACGCGGGTGACTTCTCGGCGGGTGTTGTCGGTGACCATGTACAGACCTACCCAGTCCCTTTTGCTGTGGTTCAGAGGTGCGGTCCATTTAACTCGGATGGGGGCGCCGTATTCGAATATCAGACTCTTTAGGTCGCCTCGTCGCTCGGGTGGTGCTCGAGCGTGAACACCTTCTTTGCCGCTACTGCGTTCTACCTGTGCTGATGGTGAGGACTCTGTGCCTTCGATTTCAAGAGAGTAGTCCTCCAAGTCATAACCTGCTGCAACTTCATCATCCAAGCGAGAAATGGTAATTCGTGCGGGATACTGACGGAATAAGGATTTGGCATCCTTCATGAAAGTGTTTACGCCAGTAGCCAGTTTTGGGCGAGCAGAGTCTAGGAGTTCTTCGACGAACTCAAAGGATTCATCCATCATACGATCAACGCTACCTCCCAATTGTTGTAATGGTGGAGGTAATGATCGTTTCAGACTCTTTACTAGACCTGCATCTTGTCGTAGACTTCTCCCGTAGAGCTTCTGCATATGAGGCCGTTCGACCAGCTGGATGAAGGCGAGCGTCAAGACATGACTGAGCAGCGCAAGGAAAATGATAGCACCTTTGCTAGTAATCAAAGCAGCGCCCCATAAACCAGCCAGACCCAGAACACGTTCGGGATTATTGAGGAAACGGTAAATACCACTATAGGTCAACTTGGACTGGGCATCAAAGAAGAAATCTCCAAAGAACCATCCGAATTCACCCAGCGAATCATAAATGCTCACAGAGGTCCAGATTTGCAACGCTACCAAGCTGAAGCCTAGCGTGTGCTTGAGTAGAGCAAGGCCATGGTTCCAGTCAGATGGCATAGTATACATTTTCCATGTGGCGGCAATAAAGCTAGCATAGCACATGGTCATGCTAAGATGATAGGAGCCTTTCCACTGACGCCACGCCTCGTCCGTGTTCTCGCCGTACTTGACAAAATGGCGGGTCCACGATTTATACTTGGACTGACGATGGAGAATGTACCCAATGCCTATGGAATACCAGCATCTCCAAATCGCAGCATTGGCCACGAAGAGATATTGATAAAATGGAGTAGACGGGGTAAGCACCGTTAAGGCGAAGACAAGTAGCTGGATAAGAATGACGGATGAGTCTGTTACTCTATGAAGATCCAGATTATGTAGGCCGAGAAGATTATGTACGGATGAAGGAGCAGGTTGTCGCATTGCGGCTTTGTCGTCTGGGGTTGCAGGAAACGAGTCGCTTATTGGGGAAGTCTGCGAGTTGTTGAGAGCATGCAGATCCTTGCTGTCGTGTTGAATGGAGCGCTTACGAGGTGGCGGTGGATTATAGACGCGGTCAATGTGTGGGTTTTCCACCAGGACCAAGAATGCGAACTGAGCTGCGTGGGCGATGATTGAGATGAATAGCACTTTATAGCTGGCGGCCATCAAGGAGATTCCATAATAACCAGCGTAGCCTACAGAATACATAGGGTGTGGTGCCATTTCGAAGACTCCATCAAATGTGAGTTCCTGGTCAATGAGGAAGAAGAAATCACCCCAGTACCATGCAAAGTCTTTAACCACTCGATGGGCATCAAGCTTGACCCAGAGATTAAATAGTACCAAAACCCAACCGGCCGCCCATCTGAGCGTGGTCATTAGGGCGGTCTCATTCTCCGGGCGACTTCCACATGCTAGGGCAAAGAGACAGTACGACGCGAAATCGCACATCAGGATAACATCGACGATGCGTCGGAAGACGAGCCAGGTGTTGTATTCTAAGGGGGCGTCGTCGAAAGAGTAATCTTCGGGAATCATAGTCTCCATGTCTCTTTTCAACAGCCGGTAAAGTGTTGGGTGAGGGTTCTCGCCCGTCGATGGGTTGACAAAGATCTTAGACTTGGTAGCCCATCTTACCATAGTATTATGATGTGACTGGTTGTGTAGTAGCCATCCAATTCCGCCATTGTATGAGGTTCTCCAGAACATGTATATTGCCGCAAAGACTGAGATTCTCGCCTCTGGTGCAAGAGCCACGAAAATTAATATGTGGGTAGCAAGAATTGCGAGAACCACGAAATCGGATACAGTCTTGGGTTCAGTTGGAGAAAGCAGTTGTGAGACCATGTCATGGGTCTGGGGCACGGTAAAGACTAGGCGAAGAAACTGTAAGCATCCAGATAGGCGTCATCGTAATTACTGCAACCCAATTGAAGAGAATATTTCTGTCCTCAACAACAAAATGGAAGAAGGAAACTTACCAGTTCCATCCGGAGTCCTTCCAAAGGTCTTCTTGTTGTCGTTTTTCCTACTGTCGGTGGTCACGCCGTAGCCAGCAGTCGCTAGCGCCTGGTCAACAGCGTTGACGTCGACCGCCTGAGATGACCGGATCCGCTCACGGAGGCCCTCGTCCTGCCGCTGGGCACCGGATGCACTGACGGAATCCATGAAAATGAATCCTCAGGTAAGATCACCTTGTGATTGAATTGACAGAGAAAGATGTTGTGCGAAGAGATGGAGTCGACTAGTACAACTTTATTCCATGTGATTCGCACGGACTATTGACGTATTGTGTCGTAAAATACATCCCACTCCGAATAATTCTTCCCCAACGGTTACGAAATACCGAGGAAATTACCGTATCGATTATCTCTCATATTAGCCGGGCAGTTTAGGAAGCACAAAGAACATCGTAGACTCGAGAAATTTAGTGATTTTCTTCCTACACAAAAATATATATGACGTTTGTTGAGATACATCAGATACATATATGACAGATCTAAGATCTTAAACACGAGGCTAGAAGATACAAGACATAATACAAGCAAATTTATTGGCTCAGCGCGAGCTTATTTATTTTTTTTTAATGCCTGAGGCTGACAGTTCGCCACCCCGCCTAGCCGCTTCCTCTGGCGCATTTCTAAGCATTTGATTCATCAGCATAAGGCTTTTCGACTGCTTTTCTCCCTTCTCTTCCCTATACTCGTTGTCTGCCTACCTTCCTTGAATCATTACGGAAGACCAGACAACCTGAGAAGAGGGGAAACAAAGATGGCCCCCGCTCTAACAGACCCTACCGCGGCGTATTTAGCCGCGCCTACAAAAACACCCAATCTGGTTGCGCCAGAACCTGGTATGTGTGCAAATCATGCGAGTTTTGACTAATTTTACTTACATGGCCATGCGATCGTCTAGAACACTGTCCCGGTCCCGAATCAGAGCAAGCAGGCCAAGGTGATGCCTGCGCCGGATGCCCCAACCAGACCATCTGCGCCTCTGCACCAAAGGGGCCAGATCCAGATATCCCGCTCATTACTGCACGACTTTCGCAGGTAAAGCACAAGATTCTTGTTCTTTCTGGGAAAGGGGGTGTTGGAAAGTCAACTTTTTCGACATTACTTGCTCATGCCTTTGCGACGAACCCAGAATCGACCGTCTACGTGTGCGACACTGATATCAGCGGACCCTCGATACCGAAAATGATGGGCGTTGAAGCCGAGACCATTCACGTTAGCAATGCCGGCTGGAGTCCGGTGTGGGTGACGGATAATCTTGGGGCGATGAGTATTCAGTTCATGCTGCCAAACCGGGACGATGCTGTGATCTGGAGAGGTCCGAAGAAGAACGGACTCATTAAACAATTTTTGAAAGACGTGGAATGGGGTGAAGCCGATTATTTAATTGTCGATACCCCTCCCGGCACATCTGACGAACACTTGTCCGTCAATTCATTGCTCAAAGAATCTGGCGTGGACGGCGCGGTGGTCGTAACAACACCGCAAGAAGTGTCCTTGCTCGATGTCAGGAAAGAAATCGACTTCTGCAAGAAGGCCGGTATCAAGATTCTCGGTCTTGTGGAGAATATGTCCGGCTATGTTTGCGGTAATTGTCAGACCACCTCTCACGTTTTCCGACCAACGACTGGGGGCGGCCGACGCTTGGCTAGGACGATGGGCATACCCTTTTTAGGATCTGTACCCTTAGACCCTCGAGTTGGTATGGCGTGTGATTACGGGGAAAGCTTTCTGGAAAGTTACCCCAACAGCCCAGCTTCCAAAGCCATTCAGAGCGTGGTTCGGGCGGTGAGCGAGCAAATTGGCGAAGATCCGGAGAAGGTCATTCCATCAGAACCTTTGGTCTGAGTCATCAGGCGATATACCGCTTATCTGATGAAAAGTTTCTTTTTTTTTCCCTCTCTCATGTGCGACGTCTCTGCATTGGTGCGACTGGCTACGATCGACAATTACCCAGTTAGGGCTTCACGGGTAACGTGTCCGAGGCGTTTGGGCGGGTTGCATTGTGGCGTTAATTTTTCCGTATATATATCCATTTGGAAGACCATTGTTTTACTGCATATACACACATAACTATAGAAATGAAAGTGTTATTTAGACTGAAGTAGACTAAAGTCTGTGTTCTTCACGGAAGACTGTCGCAGGTTACTCGCTTAGGTTAGTAGGAGAGGGTAGAGACTGAAGTAACTCAGTTAAGTTACGAAATAAATCGACTCAAGCCACCACTAATACCCAATTTAGTAAGGATAGCAGTGCATCCGCCTCAAATTGTAAGCGCCGAGGCATTGACGGTTTCAGAAAGACAGCGCGGCCACAAATCGCTTTGAAGCGCCTGGTGTCAGAGAACCGCCTAGGGGCGTTAGGGTTCCGTCCTCCGCGTTTCAGGAGCAACCACTCAACGGCGAAAGATCGCTAGACGACTCCTGTTGAGCTCTATGTGTGGTGGCCTTTGAAATAGGTTCTCCGGCGAGTCCTGTCAATTTGTAAACAGACAGGGGGTAGTTTGATCCGCAGTGGAACATCGCATACTCAGACGTACGACGACTATAGGTGTAAGGGGAAGGCCGCGTATGTCTGTTGCGCTCCCTGAGCTGTATGATTCGTAGATGGGCATTTGAAATACTTTCTTCGAGTGCTCTTAGCTATCCAATTGTATGGCCAGGTACAGACAGGCTGTGTATACACTATGGAGAACCCTATGCCTAGACCCAAGACATTCACCAACCCCAATATCAAACGGTCTAGGGCAACAAAGATGTTTGATGACCTCTCACCAGGGCTAGTCTCTTGTTAGTATCTTGTTACAGATAGAAGTGTCAGATGCTTAGTGACTATTTCTCCTTGGCAAAGAAGGATGGTTTTAGATTGACTACATAACTCTCTCTTTCTCTCCTTAGTCTTTGTTCTGATATTTCCATTCATACCAGTCATCATTTCTCCAATTTTCAATTCTCTGCATCAAGTCAAGCGGGTTCTTGCATTTTTTTTCTTAAATCGATCTCTTTTTGTTTTTAATATTAGCCTTCCTTGTGTTCTTTTCCTTCGTCTTATTTTCTACTCAATCAGGACTACCGGGCTGGACTTGGATCTGATATTCAAAGATTTTCTCGTCTCAACACATTTTTATGACAAGAGAGGTTCGGGGCAACATCATTTCACCTTCTTTCACCTTTACACTCATTGCTCATCCCGCTTGTGAGCCATCCCGACTCCAGTCACTTGAGTTGACTCATTGAAAAAGATACCAGAGTTCTTTGATCAAAAACAAAAAGAAAGATAAACTCGACGCCATGTCTTCTTTCTTTTCAATCTTTTACACCTTACTATTAATCACAACGACTGTTCTTGCCGCGCCCACAACACAACAACCAACGCTCAGGCGCAGGTCCTTTGAGATCCCTCGAATCCGTCGCGCTAATTATGTCCCTCATGGGCCTGCAGCGCTGAAAAAAGCATACGGCAAATTCAACATTACCGCGGCACACCTTGGCTTTGCACCTCTCGATTTTCAAGCGGTCAAACAGACTGATGCTGGTGCTGCGAATGCGGCAAACTCAACAGGCACAGGTGAAAATGGAGCTGTTCCTGCTGTCGCGACTACCGGTGACACTGAATTCGTGGCTGCTGTGACTGTCGGGGGTCAGACTATGAACATGGATTTCGATACTGGCTCGTCTGATTTGTAAGTTTATGCGAGTCGAAGAGAAAAGAAAAGCCGGTGCGCTAACACGATACTATAGGTGGGTATTCAGCACAAGCTTAGCTGCAAAGAATCAACAGGGCCATACTGTCTTTGATCCTAAAAAATCAAAAACATTCAAGGACCTCAAGGGTGCAAGCTTTAGCATCTCTTACGGTGACGGATCTAATGCAGCGGGCACCGTGGGTACTGACACCGTTGACATCGGAGGCGCTACAGTCCAGAACCAAGCCGTCGAACTCGCCAACCAAGTCTCTCAATCATTCGTACAAGACACTAATTCTAATGGTCTTGTGGGTCTTGCATTCTCGAAGCTGAACACTGTTAAACCAAATCAGCAGAAGACTTTCTTTGACAACATCGCTTCCCAACTCGAAGAACCGGTCATGACCGCTTCACTCAAATCCAACAGCAACGCTGGAAGCTATCAGTTTGGAGTGATCGACAACACCAAATTCACAGGTAGCCTCGCCAATGTCAGTATCGATCCCACCAACGGATTCTGGGAGTTCAACTCGGCTGCCTTCATGGTTGGCGATAATGCCACAATGCAGGCTATCACCACCTCTCCCACTGCTATCGCTGATACCGGTACCACCTTGATGTTGGTCAGCCCTGAGGTTGCTGATGCATACTATGCGCAAGTCCAAGGTGCCCAGCTTAACAATCAAGTGGGCGGTTTCATCTTCCCCTGCGATGCTACTTTGCCTACCCTCTCCATTGCCGTGGGCGACAACAACCTCGCAACCGTACCAGCGTCCGTTATCAACTTCTCCAAAGTCTCAAACACCAGTAAGTTAATTCAGTCAATTGGTATGCATAACGTTGTATCACTGACAGTTCGTGTAGTGTGCTTTGGTGGTATTCAGTCGAACCAAGGTAGCCAGTTCCAGATTTTCGGCGACGTGTTCTTGAAATCAATGTTTGTCGTCTTCGACCAACGAGGCCCATCTCTTGGTCTTGCCAGCCCTGCTTAATTGCATGATCATATAACCCGAAGCGCGAAACCCCTTGGAAGTTGAATCATTAGAGCTGTTTAAATACGAGCTTATCCACATTCATCGTTGGACTCGAGAAGGCCATTTCTGATTATAGCCACTTGTCTCTGAGACTATCTGTGTATCTATGTTGATGATCAAGGATTCTTCTGAATAGAATGAAAGAGATGTTGACTGGACAAGGGAATGTTTTGACGTAGTTGGATGCTTAGTGGGTCATTAAGTGCGGCCTCAGGCTGCTCCTCCTTAATTTCCGAGAAAAAATCAAAATGGCCAGAGCTTCAAATAGCACATCTGCCTGCAAAAAACTCCATGAATCCTCAATAAATTCACAAATTGTTCCTATAAGCCCTGCATATCTATCTAGTGAGGTAATTGGCCTCACGAGTCGCCCACATTGGCCCAATTTTTTCGGCGGGCCGCAGGAGCCCCGCGTCTCATTCATCAATTTCAAAAACTTCAAATTCCATCCTCGCCTCTTTGGTTTGCAGCAACCACAACCACATTTTCCCCGATCAGATTAGCTCCTACTCGATTTGCAGTACATCGTAGGACGCCGCTTATTTTTACCAACAATATGGCTACTGCAGCTCTCCCCGAGAGCTCCCTTCTCTCTCTGCTTTATCGATCCTACCCCACTGCCATCTCAGCTGATGCTACTGAGCTCGACCTGGCTCAAGCGACGCCCAAGATCTTCTCGCATTACACTTACACCGACGAAGAAAAGGCAGCTATTAAACAATGGCTAGACACGATACACGGTCTGACAACTGCTTTCACGAAGAGCGATACAAACGTCATCGAAACCATCCTCAAGCAGATCAACACACACTTGGCAACTCACACGACATTACTGGGGGTCAAACCTTCCGTTGCTGATATCGCAGCCTACGCCGTCCTTGCTCCCTTGGTCGAGAAATGGTCTATTGAAGAACGCACCGGTGAGAAAGGTTATCACTACATCGTGCGACATGTGGATTTTGTGCAGAATGGGTCTCTCTTTTCGCTAAGAATTCCGGATGAGGAGAAGGTCGTTATTGATCTTGACGACGTCCGTTTCTTCCCCAAGGCAGCTGATCCCAAGGAAGAGAAGGAGCGCAAGAAGAAGGAAAAGGCCGAGGCTCAGGCAGCAGCAAGGGAGTCAACAGTCGTGACTGGATTGACCAAGGAACGTGTGCACGAAGCTCCCGAGACTACACAGGAGAACCCTGCTGCCTCAAAACGGGAGAAAGAGAAGAAGGAGAAGAAGGAAAAGAAAGAAAAACAGCCCAGACAGCCCAAAGCACCTGCTGCCCCCGCAGCGCCCCCATCGCCATCACTCATTGATCTTCGTGTTGGACACATTCTCCGCGCCATCAACCATCCAAATGCCGATTCCCTATACGTATCGACCATTGACTGTGGTGACGCCCCTGGAAGCGACAACACCTCTCTTGATGAAGCTACGGGCAAGACTGTCCGAACAGTCTGCTCTGGCTTGAACGGACTGGTACCATTGGAGGAAATGCAAGGTCGCAAGGTCGTTGTGGTCTGCAACTTGAAGCCCGTCACTATGCGTGGCATCAAATCCGCCGCTATGGTCCTCGCCGCATCCCCCAGGGTTGCTGAAGGTGAAGATTCACATGCCGGTCCTGTTGAGCTGGTCAATCCACCTGCAGATGCTCCTGCCGGTGAGCGCGTGTTCTTCGAGGGCTGGAGCGTCGGCGAGCCTGAGAAGCAACTCAACCCCAAGAAGAAGATTTGGGAAACCTTCCAACCTGGATTTACTACTACGGACAATCTTGAAGTTGGATTTGATAGCACACAGGTTCCTTCTCTGGCAAGTGCAGAGACTGCTGCTACTGCTGCCACTTTTGGGAAACTTGTTACTAAGTCTGGCGGTGTATGCACTGTGAAGAGCCTCAAGGGAGCTACCGTTCGATAAATGTACTCGACTGAAGAGCTATGTTGTATGAAATCAAATTAAATGTCTTCACCAATCATTCAGTAGATAACGGTCTGCAGAATGTCACAATCACCTATCACCTTACGACTCTAGACAATTCTGTCATACAGAGCCTCGAAGAGCCAGTGGTGGCTCTGAAAAAAATAAAGTCCTTCTCATAGAGCTAGCTTGCTAGCTTTCTATCTGCCCTAAAAAAGTAATCGTTGAGATATTGTACTTTTTTTTTTGTAGCGGCAGAACGAGGCCTTGAACGTCACTGGCCGGAGATCAACGACCGCTGCCTTAGCGTTCAGGCCAACAAAATCCGTTGGCTGGTCTAGGCTTAGTCTCGTCCTGCAGCTTCGCCATCTTTAATTAACTGGTTTCAAGACAGATTGCTCTTTCACCACTCCAAGCTGCAATTGCGCCGGACATTATACCTGTTTGCTCAACGACAATCGCTACTCGAAGACTACGTCCGAAAATTCCGTCCCCTGTTGAATCCGTCTTTACCGAATTTCGCTCGTCGTTTTGAAAGTCCGAAGTGGCGTTTGCTAGTTTCCATCGCAGGACTGGAAAGGGACACGAAAAGGGGATGATACCCTGGGCTGGGTATTTGAGTAGTATAATCGTGAAGCGGTCTTTTAACTACAGCAGACATCTCGGTTCACATATGCCGGTGGTGCTGGAGCGATGAACAGGCAGTTCGCCTATCCCAAGGGCTACAGTGCCTATCCTCGTGGAGGAGGCGGGACCTTCTCTATATCACCTCATAGGTAGGAGCATTACGAGCCTTTTGCATGCGAATTTGATTTCGGGCTAATGGCCTTTTCTTATGAAGATTTCAACCACGTTCACAACCAGCTTTATTGCGCAGACGACAGCTCCTGATCAAATTATGCGCCGTTGCCGGACTTTCACTCCTCGTCTTATTCTTCCTCGTCCCGTCATGGCGCGCCGTCATCCTTCCGACAGTGTCGCTCGGCTTGTTCTCTACGACGCATGACGATCTTTCGCTAGAAACCGTTCGCTACTATGACCTTTCTGATGTACAAGGCACCGCAATGGGATGGCACCGGGAAGAACGGGTTCTCATGTGCACTCCGCTACGTGATGCGCAAGCTCATCTACCGATGTTCTTCTCGCATTTGCGCAATCTGACATACCCGCATCATCTGATCGACTTGGCCTTCCTCGTGTCCGATTCAAAAGATAACACCCTTTCTTTACTCTCGTCACTACTCACCGAGCTTCAGAATGATGAGGACCCTAAGATGCCGTTTGGAGAGATCTCGGTTATTGAGAAGGATTTTGGACAGCAAGTTAATCAAGATGTTGAGAGTCGGCACGGGTTCGCGGCGCAGGCTAGTAGACGGAAGCTGATGGCTCAAGCACGGAACTGGCTTCTTAGTGCTACACTGCGACCAACTCATAGCTGGGTATATTGGCGAGATGCGGATGTGGAGACAGCTCCGTTTACTATATTGGAGGATCTGATGCGGCACAACAAAGACGTCATCGTTCCGAGTAAGTCCTTTCTCCATGTTTTCAATTATCCTCATTTCTAACGAGACTAGATGTCTGGCGACCTCTTCCCGACTGGCTCGGTGGAGAACAACCATATGATTTAAACTCATGGCAAGAATCCGAGACAGCTCTTGCCTTGGCGGATAGTCTCGACGAAGACGCTGTGATTGTGGAAGGCTACGCCGAGTATGCGACCTGGAGACCGCATTTGGCGTACCTTAGGGATCCGTATGGGGACCCGGATATGGAACTCGAAATCGACGGAGTGGGCGGTGTCAGTATTCTGGCCAAGGCCAAGGTGTTCCGGTCAGGCGTTCATTTCCCGGCCTTTAGCTTTGAGAAACATGCAGAAACGGAAGCATTTGGCAAGGTACGTCGTTTCATTCACGAATAAAGTATTCGTTAACTAACCGTAACAGATGGCTAAGCGCATGAAATACTCCGTCGTCGGCCTTCCGCATTATACAATCTGGCATCTCTACGAGCCTAGCGTCGACGACCTCCGCCACATGGAAGAAATGGAACAAGAGAGAAAACAACGCGAAGCCAAAGAAAGAGAAGAAAAGGCCGAAGCGGAACGACAGCAAAAACTAAAAGACCGATTCAAAGACTCCAAAGATGAATGGGAAAAGGACGGAGCTGAGGTCAAGAAGAATATAGACAAAACAGAAGAAACACAAGAGAAGAAGTCAGGAAAGGGAGCAGCAGTAGCAGCCAGAAGAGAAGAAGATATAGGAGCTGGGAAACCCGCTGTGCCTGCAAAGGGCGAGAACGAAGCTGCTGCTGCTCCTCCCCAGAAGGAGACGAAACCCGCCTCACAAAAGGAGAAGACTCGACAAAATTCTTCGAGCGGCAAAAACGAAAAACTACAATGATAGATATGGATTTGTACGGAGCGTATCTGGATAGGCATTCTAGGCGAAAATAATTTTTTTGTTTGGTTTAATTTAGACGATTATCCTTAAACATTCTTATCATCTTATCACTTATCGATAAGCTGCGGTCCGTGCATTATACAGTAGATCGCGTCTTTCGCGTCGCCGTGATTTTAGTTCTGTAGAGTGCCCAAGAGAACTTTCTTTGCTTTTCTATTGAAGAAGATATTGTAAGGCTTCACTGTGTTTTTGATATATATCTGAATATATGATTGTATGAGGCAAAATGTCCACTCAGTCAGCGCGGAGCATTCGCCTCACACACAGCTCTCCGCAACAAGCCTTTCGATTACTGGAATTGACGCCTGAGATTCTGGAATTAATATCTTCTCCAAATGCGCCGACGTATGTATCAGCAATCCCCTTGAACATGTGAGCTCTGAGGACTAATTGTTTACTTGTATAGTTTATACCTCAAATCCCCCGGCACCGACGACCCCTCCATAACAACGACAGGCCCAGAGAACAATGCATACGTAAATCTATGCACGCCAACAAAAACATTTCGAATTCGTCAAGTCCAGTCCTCAAACTCGGTACATGTGATCAAACCGAGCGATGGTCAGAATGAAGTGATTCCTTTACTCAAGAGACATGGTGATACCAACAAAGCAATGAATACACCAGAGACAGTAACAGCAATAGCGAAATGTGGCTCGACGTTGGAATTGCATGGATTAGCTGATGATGAGAGTTTTGCTTCGGCGAAGAATATGCTTGCGCGGATGTTGACGGTTTGGGGTGGAGAGACGAGTTTTAATAATGATGACGAGGGAGACGTGGATATGGATGACAGCGAACTGAGCACGAAGAGAATGATGACGGTTAAGAAATCCGTTATCGATGATCTTCCCTTTGCAGATACGCAATGCCGAAAGGCATGGATTGAGATATGTGCATTCGTGCCTGACAATTACAACGGAGAAGATAGACCCGTTTTCCGGCCATCTGCAACGGTCAGATTAGATATATGGAAGAGGATATTGGAAGGTTGCATATTGCAAAACATCGATATGGAGAAACAGTTCCTTGTGCACGATGTATGGAAAGCTATTTTGAGAGATGTTGACGATGAGAGTGAGGAAAGGATTCCGCGGTCGTTGTTTGATGCTATTGTTAGAAGGCTTGCGGAGCAGAGTGGCGATTTGGGGGATGAGAATGATTCTAGATTGAAGTGTTGGTCATACCTTTAAGACGACCCGTTCTAAGCTGGATTGCTGACATTGGTATAGGGTCAAACATAGACAAGGAAGTTTGTATCAAATGGATAGGCGAAACCTATCTCGAAGCGACTGCACCAACTGAAAAACGTGCCATAGGTCGATCAGAGTTTCTAAACGCCTGGAAGGATTTGTTACCGGAGACATGGCGGGATGAGACATTGTTAAGCAATCTACCGGTAAGTCATGTCATATAAACCCGGTTTGCTTCGATACTCATTCTTACGAATATAAACTAATAATGAATAGGAGGCTTCATACAAGCATCCAGACCCAGTATCAATACATTTTGTGGCAGAGCCAGAGAGAGAAAATGTCAAAAAGGAAGGCCAGGATTCTGCAGGCAGCGGCGCCAAAGCAAAGAATTCAAGGAATTGGCATGAACGATTCAAAAGTCAGAGAAAGTGATCTTTTCACCGCCCAAATGCATAATGATATGTTGTTGCAACACAATTTTCAAAGTCATAAAGACCAACACGTTTATAATAAATCAACACCAGCTATACTTCTCATTCCACACCCACTCCACCTCATCTCCAAGTCCCTGACTAGCACCATTCCATTTCAAACTGCTGATACTGCTGTCCTCACGATGCACCACCTGGACATTCTGATCCATCAACTTGGCCGCTTTCTCTACCAAAGGGGATGGATTCCAGAAATCGACGCTTTTCATCTTGAGCTTATACGCCGCATATTGCGCTTGACGGAGGACAGCTGCAATCGCTTCGATTGTAGCCAGTTCCTCAGCTGGCGTCGATGGCTCGTCATATATCAATCGCAAGATGTATAGAGTGTGACTAGTGGGGGAGTCGCCTACACTTCGAACCCACGAGCAGTATATGTGGTGATGGTCAACACCAGCGCCTCGCACGGGTGGATCCGCTTTCTCAAAGACGCCGACATCTTCATAAAACGCTTCACGCGCCCAGTGCCACACCATATGATCATAATCCGGCGCAATGGATATTTTGGCGCTGCTGGGAGACTTCTCAGAGACAACCTTGAGAAAGTTTCTATTCTTCTTCTCGTTTATTTCGCTGCACATGGACTCACGAACATCTTCGGCAGCCAACATCTTTGCCTTGGGCAACTTTGCCGTTTCAAGAGACGTCTGAAACTGGCTGTCTGACAGCGGTGGCAGGGAGATGTGAGAGGATGGGAACGGCTTCCACCCATACTTGGAATAATAATTCTTGCCAATGTCGGAGAAGAGCACAGAGAATATTCCTTGCTTCCGCGGCTGATTTTCTGATTGCCAAGTATCCAGCTTCTTGGCCAATTCTTCCATCATGCGTCCAGCATACCCACGACCTCGAAACTCCGAGCGTGCAAACACACTTCCGACTCCATGGCATATGATATCTTCTACTTTCCCTTTATATGCAAGATACGCGGGCTTACGGTATGTCTCGCAGGAACTCAGGATCAATCGCGAGTTTGGTTCCTGCCTGCGATCCACGAGTATCCAGCACGTGAGTGATCCGTCCTTGGTGAGGTTTTGCTTCGAGAGTCGAGTCTCACGCTCAATGTACTGGTCTAGCGTTATTTGTCCCTTCCAGGCTTTGCTGTTTAGTCGTAGAGTCTCTAGATGTTCCTCTGGGGTAGCTGGTACGAGCTCGAGGTAGGGCGAGTCTGCTTGGGGGAGGTCCTCGTTTTTGGGTGGAGCGACGGAGCCCATGGTGGAGGTGTCAATGCGTAGTATAGATATAGCAAGAATACTGACTCTTGTTCTGAGGAATACAGTTTCTCAATCAATAATAGCCGACAAACAAGTAGCGAACAAGTCGAATTGAATCGTTGAAGCAAGCGCAAATGTAAGGTTCCAAAGAAGCTTCCAGGGAAAGCTCCATCTCAAATACCTAGCTTCACTGACTCACTATCGAAAGTTCCACAACTGACTCCACTCACAGATGATTTGGATACGACGTCTTGTCTTATCAAAGTATCCATACGGTGTACACTAATAATTGATATGATACGAGCTTAATCGCGAATCACAGGAATTACAATGACACAGCATATCGTGATACATGTAACGTTCCGATTCTGGTAAGTAAGTTATACAGTATTTATGTATATCCCGGTATTAACCACGAAACCGGCCCGGCTGGAACCGTTGGCAAGCGAGGCCAGCCTTTATATTACGGTATGGTATTGTCAATTCGCTGTAATGAGATCGTATCTGCGATCTGGTAGGATTGATGACTGATGGCGCCGAATCAGAGTGCCTACGTCCGACTTTGCTATTAACCTTTATTCTCCAAGACAATGTAAGTAAGAGTCAGGCTGAAGTCATTTATGTCTTATTGGAGATGGATCTGTTCAGTCGAGTACAGTCATGAGGCTACTGACGTTGTTAGTGGGGTGAGATAGGATCCTGCAGGCTGAGGCTTGAAATACACAGCGTTAGAATTTACAATACAGGCTTGATCTATATTGCTGTAGTCTTCTGGGGTCATACTTACAGCTCGTCCGCCTTGTTCCCCGCAACTTCGTGACGACGTCTTACACTAGACTATCCAGCCTCTATCGTCGATCTTCCACTACCCCCCGGGTCTTGTTCCTGTCATTCTCCTGGATTCCCGGAGACACCACCACTATGGAAAATCACTCGCCCAGACGACTGGATCTGAAGTAATTGACGAGATTCCCTGGGTGTATGCAACCAACTCAGGCAAGTTACCTAACCTATACATTCCGCTGAGCTTCATATACGCTAGTCCAAACCTCAGGGGTTCCTTTTCGACAGTCATGGAGGTCCTCCGGAGGGTTCTGGATATCCCAATATGGTCAATCGCAACTGACCCGCCTCTTATTCCAAATCTGTTAAAAGGATTTGCCTGCTGCAAGCGTAGATTTTTCCCATGGGTAATTTTTCCCGAAGCCTGGCTTCCGCCAACAAGGCGCGGTCAAGACCTTGTGCCGGGTGGCAACACTTATAAGACTGGTTTTGTTCCCAAAGACGCAGTCATTATCGTCTCGTCCAAAATATGAGATGCCATATAGGGGCTTGTGTCGACAAAGCAGGTGCCGGAACAGTCGTCGACAGTACACCCTGCTGCAGGGTTGTCAGGAACAATCTGGCCTCAAGTACGCTGATTGTCATCTGCATTATTATCTACCCCTGTCAGAACTGTATAACAATAGAGATTCGATAGCATTGGGGGGGCTAGATTGAGTGAATGTCTTCGAAAGAAGCTGGCTGACAAAACGCTCGCTTTCTTACTCACGAGAAGACATTCTCATTCGTGATTTTCTGTAACTTGAGGGCTTTCTTTGACATCATCTGGCCGTAGGCGAGTACCAGAGGTCGTTGACAGTCATCAAGGCACAAAGGCACCAAACAAACATGTGACAAGCAAGTGCGCTAATCCATATCGGGAATCTCAACAATAAAGCCTAATTGAGATAAAGCGGGCACTAGTGTCATACTTTGACCAATCATAATTCTTATAGTTGAGACATTAGGCCAAATCAGGCACTAGGTCCCGCCAGCCGCCCGCGATGAACTACACCGAATCCATTTCACTTCCCTTTCTACCAACATATGATCATGATTACTGCTACATTTGCTGCTCATTATTGTGTTTCGCCCGCAGAAGCTGTTTCTATTATTTCCAGTTCTATTGTTATTTGCTTGTTTCAGCTATCCATAAAACAGCTTACGAAACATTGATGGCGCAGTGATATTCAGCCGAGCTGTCAACTGACCGTCTTGGTATTATATCATTTCATATTAAGCCTGACTAGCACTACCTACATCGGCATTGTCAAGCTCCTATAAATTACGGTTGTATCGATGTATGCAATATCTGAGTTTTAATTGAGGCTCCTCGATAATCTGTGATCTCGATCCTCGACTCCACAGCATCCACAGCATCCACGACCCATTTCCAGGGAAATGGATGGCCTACTCGGTTACCCACGTCGTAAGTTGCTTTCATTACCTCTCGAGTTGATATGTTTGTCCTGAGCATGAGTGCAGAACCAATAGCATCACGGCAGCCAAGTGCGTTGTCTAGGACCCCGTCGCGACTCTCCCAGGATAGTCTGCATCAGTTGGAGCAAAATGCAAGTGAACCAGTTGCTGCTTCCAGAGCATCGAGGGTCCGAAGCTGGATTCAAGAACTGTCAATTAACACAGCTGCTACCGGCAGCTTGAATGCTATGTCATATCAGAATGACCATTATTTACAGGCTCAAGGTGCTACTCCGCAAACTGGTCAAGTTGGTGGTCGTAGTAACGCAGTAAGTCGATAGGGCTCTTCTTCTGGCTGTATCTATCGCTCCTGGGGTAATGCACTAATATCGAGTCAGGCTTTTCAAGGCTTACAAGGCATACCCCGTACCATCATGCGCACTGCATTTCCATTACCCGGCCCTCATCTTCCCGTCATAGATCTAACAGAGCCTTCGACGAAACGTCTCAAAGTGTCTGATCATAATCATCCGTCAAGTCAATCTCGCGACACAAAACCACAGCCTTCCTTCAATAGCACTGCACCACAGAGTGTGCCAAGGGCTCAGCTATCGAACAGGAATATTTCAACTAGCAGAGAATCACAACCGTCGCAGTTCTCGCAGTCGGCGGCAGCGGCCACAGTTGCTGCTAACAAGCCATCAAAATCAGTTACCGCCAAACAATTTTCCCCTCAGAAAGATACAGTTATTGATCTGACTGGCCAGGAAGCAAAGACACCGGAGAAGAAAGATGTGTTTAAATCTAAGATAAAGGATTTTTTTCCTGATATTTGCGAGGACTACATTCAAACATTATACACCAAGCATGATATCGAAAATTGCAGTGGACAGACGTTCCTCCTGTCAGTACAAAACGCACTTGATGAGGTTCTCGCAAAATCATCCTACCCTAAGAAACAGGCTTCGAAGAAGCGCAAAGAAATAGATGAAACTATCGATAACGAAAATTTGCAGAGGATTCGAGGAGATAAGATCTATTACTATCCCGTTGCGTATGTATCTATTGAATCTCATATGATAGCCTCTCGCTAACACATGACATAGTTGCAAATTGCTCCAGAGACATTTCACGTCTGTACCCGAGAAGACTGTTAAAAATCTGTTGGCTCAACACAAAACATTTCTCAAGACTTACATTGCTCTTCATTACTATGGCTGGCCAGAATCAGATGCGAGTGAATACTGGAAACGCTTACACAATGCTAAAGAGAATCATCCATCACTCTTTGCCGCAATATTGGAACATGAGCTGCGGGAAGCGAAGAGAGTCATTGCCGAGAAAGAAGGTAATCCTCTCTCAGACTTGAAAAACTTGTCTATGAAATAGTGCTGATGGCCTTTAGGTGCCGAGAAGAAGAAAGCGGAAGAAGAATGGGAAAAGGCCATCGAAGAAGAACATCGGTTGGCCGGAACCTTGGCTGAATGCCAATGTTGTTTCACCGAAGTACTTCCAGATCACACCGTGCCGTGTAATGGAGACAAGATTCATTTATTCTGCAATTCTTGTATCAAGCAGCACGCTGAGACACAGGTTGGACTGATGCAGTACGAACTGAAATGTTTTGACACTAGTGGATGTCATGCTGGATTTGATCGCAACTTGATCAAGAAAATAGTCGGCGACAAGCTAATGAAGCGGCTAGAACACTTGCAACAACAAGACGAGATTGCAAAGGCCAGCATCGATGGTCTCGAAGAGTGTCCCTTCTGTGAATTCAAAGCAATCTGTCCTCCAGTTGAAGAGGACAAGGAGTTTGCATGCCTGAACTCGGAGTGCGAAATAGTCAGCTGCCGCCTGTGCAAGCAAGAGACGCATATCCCCAAAACGTGCGAGGAAGCGAAAAAAGAACGTGGCCTTGAAGAGCGTCACGCCGTCGAGGAAGCGATGACCGCAGCTTTGATTCGCAAATGTACCAGATGCGGATTGGCGATTATCAAGGAAGACGGTTGTAATAAGCTGACCTGCCGGTGCGGAGCTCTTATTTGCGATGTATGCAAAAAGGACATCTCGGTGGAGGGGTACAATCACTTCCACCGTGGAACGTGTAATCTGCATGAACGTGATACCGGCGTCCGACGACGGACGTATGAAGTCATGCAAGCTGAAAAGGCTGCCGTGGCGAAGGTAGTGGCCCAGGATGGGAAAATCAATCCTGAGATGTTGCGTGTTACAACGGGTTCACAGGAAGATCTCAACCCGGAAAATCAGGTGTTGCCTATGGATGATGGGCCTCAAGATCCGATACCTTTGGATATACTCCAAGTACCTCAAATGCCTCCAGGCGAAGAGTACGTTATGCCAGCGATAGATCCAGTAGCTCGAATGCACCGAATCGCCCAACTTCAGCAAAGGGCTCAGTTTCTCCAAGCGCATCTAGGGCCTCCGCATCAACTACCTCAGGTCCCTCGAGTGCCCGAATATTTCTGGATGGGTGAGCAGTTTTATGGCCGGCCTAATCCAGCCATGAGGCCACCGCAAGCCGTTCCCCAGACACAAACCCGTCCAGCATCATCGCCTAGGGTTGCTACAGATCAGCGCCAGAACAACCCACTGACGACTACACAACCACAAACTACCGCTACCGCTGCTGAATTGAGACCTGCTCAGCTACGACAAGGATATCTAATGGGACAAGCCACGGAAGCTATGCCGACCCGTGCTCAGCAACGAGAATATCAGCGCGAAGTGCAACGTCGAATACTGCAGCAAAACAATAACACCCAGGCATTGCAAGAACGTGATCGACAGCAGCGAGAAGTTCTACGTCAGCGACGACGAAGCGATGACCGCTAAACAAAGCCGTCATCTGTTTCTCAAGCTTTTCCATCACTGGACTCAATTTCTGTCTTCATAGAGGTGCAGCCACTACCCAGCCTACCGTTGACGATGCTGAAACCGATGATGCCTTGGCAAACTTACTATCATGGTCAACAATACGAAATCTTCCTTCTTCTTTTTTTTCAATACGATTTTTAAACCAAGGATTCCCTCCAACTTGCATAACGACCAAATACCCATTTCTCGCGCAATTTGAGACCTCTCATTCTATACTAGGCTAGCATACTTACTCTTTTTGTGACGCTTGTCTGTTATTGGGTATATTGCATCATGTCACTTTTGGCCAGCCGGTTTTCTTTGAAACTCTCTTGACGAAATTAATGCATTTGTATTGGGGCGTATCCCCTTTCTATAAGAAAAACATACCCTTTTTCAACATCTGACACAAGAAGCCGTATAACGTAGAAGCCCATGTAGTACATCTACTCTGTACACATTTATTAAGATACGTCCTTAGTTCAACCTTCTTTCTCCCAAGCGAATGCTTGAATAGCAAGCATTTCCTAACCCTCTCTTTCGTAAAATCACTACATTCCCTATAGATATATATATCTGACAGGGCGCTTTGTCGTTTGCCCCGTTGTTGCCCTACAAACAGTCAGGTAGCTTATCACGAAATTCGAAAGCAATTAGAGGAGTGGCCCGCGCTCCGCCGGAACTTCGAACGGGATATGTTTTTGCTGACCAGAGAATGCTGGGGCTGTCATATGGTCACTCTTGGCGACCACTATGATTATCGCCGCTGCCACGAAGGATAACGCATTCATTTCACTCACAGATGAAGAGGTTCGTACCACTATTAGACAAAACATGGATATATTGAAAGCGGCGAAAAGGAAAGGAAATGCCGATTATCATCGAATAGCGAGCAAAAATTGCGAGACTTCTGTCAACTTAAGGAAGAGTCTTCTCTTACCCCATTCAATCGAAGACCCCTTCATGGTCGTGAAGAACGTTACTCGATCTATATTTGCTAAGTTTGACAAACGATTACTAGGGCGTGCGAACTACTCACCGTCACTTATCAGTGCATCTGTTGATCCGCACTGGCCCATATCACCCTTACTGTCAACTCATCTGCCTGGGTCATCTCACTCCATCTTTTATACGCCTCACTTCATTTATCTACCTCCAAATTGAACCGAGAGTAACAACTACTACAACTGAAGTGATATCTCTCTCACAGCAAACTCGAATCTCTCTTAACCTGATACAACTCCGAGGAAACTCACATTTTCTTCCAACACTATTATGCATTTCTTACCTTCATCTGATCCGTCACGGTGAAGACACTTCACAGTGGCATCAACCTGCTACCAGTAGTTTACTGACCATCATTATGGCAATCTATGATAACCTGACCCTAGAACAGCTACGCACCCTTCCAGAAGTGGGTGCAAAACTGAAAAAAGAAAGGGAGAAAAAGAAGAAAAACAAACGTGGTGCGTGACAACGGATTGATATGTGTCTTCAAGAATGGGCGAACCATCATCATCATGTTGAGACTCTGCCTCACTCCATGGCTCTAGATAGTAGAGCCCGGCCATAACGAAGGAAAGGCTGCTCATTGAGCTCTGCTATCGAGGGAGGGCCGAAAAAAATGAACCCTCGCCTTCTTCTTCGACGTTCTACTCCAAGAGATGGAACTGTCAAGCCGCAAAGATATTCTCCATCAACTGACTCCCTTTTCCACTTTGACCGACAGTGAACGCACTGATTGAGGACTGCAAAAGCCTCGCGCGTGAGTTGGAGGCACGTAGGACGCCAACTCGTACGTGAGCTTATAAGCATATCAGACGTCAACCCCTAGCAAAAAGGGGTCGAGTGGAATTAGGGTTAAAAAAGCTCTAGTGGAACCAAGCAAACAGAACAAAAACTGATCACGTAATCAGTCCTATCCACTAACTTATCCATTATGAGACTAGCGTCCGTCGTCTTGACTTGGCAAGCTATGGCGGATAGCCTCTAATTTATACGCAGCATTTCACATGGAGTACACAAGACCATGTCGTTAGCCATCAATTGATTGTTTTCATAGACGTGTAGGTGGCTGTCCACATTCGCCTAAGTACATAATGCTTTCGTAGTATGAAAAAAGTTGCCATTTTTTCAGAATCCATAAAAAAACGAACCAACACACCCCATTCCCGAATACCTTCTTCAAGTTTACTCCTTGGTCTGTGAAAGTCAGCTTACTGAGCGTCAAATTTCTCGAAAAATTGAGTCAGATTACCTTCTGAGTACCTCTCAGCAAGCCCGTTCTGCGAGCAGCAATAAGACCAGCTTTTTGACCTTGTGCGGCGTAGCGAGAGATGGTTGAGGCTTTACCAATGTGTTGATGGTTACCACCACCGTGCTAGACGAAAAAGTTAGGTATGAAAACGTGAAGAATGCGCTGATAATGCGCCAGATCAAGTCGATAGAACTTACAGGATGGTCAACTGTATGAAAAAGTTAGTTATCAGATCATTAGAGCTCAAAACATCGGGGAGAGAAAACTGACCAGGATTCATAGCAACACCACGAGTCTTGGGCCAGGAGTTACGCTTAACAGCAAACTTATGCTTGGCACGAGAGGCCTCTGTAATGATGAATTAGCAATCTAACGCATTATATGCACCACCGTGCCGAAGAGGAGTGTAAACATACTGAGCAAGGGCTTGTCGGTACGACCACCACCAGCAACGATACCAATCATACCACGAGCCTTGGAGCTGACAACCTTCTTGGCACCACTGGGAAGCTTGACACGAGTCTTGCCCTCTTCGGGGTTGTGACCAATGACGGTAACGTAGTTACCAGAGGTACGACCAAGAGCACCACGGTCACCGATCTTCTCCTCGACGTTGGTGACAACGGTACCTTCGGGGACGGAACCGAGAGGGAGGACGTTTCCGACGGTCAAGGAAGCGTTCTTTCCGGCGTAGATAAATTGGCCAGTGTACATGCCCTCGTTGGCGATGAAGGTCTCGGTGATCTTCTTGAAGCGGTATGGGTGACGGAAGCTAACCTTGGCCAAAGGAGCACCACGACCAGGGTCGTGGATGATCTCCTTTACCACACCCCGGACGTATCCATGTCGTTCAGCGTAGTCAAGAGTGCGGAATTGGGCGGGGGCCTTGTTGAGACGGGTGTGAGCCGCTGGAAAAGTAGAAATCAATGATCAGTATGCTTTATTCCTTGCTTCGAATTTGTAGTTTATGTTGAATTCCTGGCAGCTGTCGAATTCTTCTGCCAGAAAATACTCGAGATTGTTCGAAAAAAGAGTCGCACTCACTGAAAATGGATCCACGACCCTTCCTCTGGTTGCGGATCACACGACCCATGGCGTCTGTCTATATTCAAAGTAGAGTTAGAGATAATTGTCGACGAGAAGATGAAATTGTTGCATTAAGATTGTCGATATGAAGAGAGGTGGTGGGTGTGCGTACCTCGACTTGATGTTGGACTTGTCGATTAGATCAAAGAGACGGTCTGAAAGTGTGAGAATTCAAGAAAAGAGCGCTGTGTGGGCTTTAGGGTGCGATCGCTAACCTAGCCTAATGGGGGTAAGCGGGACTTATCCTTGGCGGTAGTCACGGGATTAAATCGTGATGCCTCAGGCCGAAAGCTTCTTCAGGCCGAAAGCTTCTATATGCCTCAGGCCACAAACTAGAGCAAACAAGGCAAACATCCTGATGAGGCTTCCAGTAGCTTCCAAAGCCCAGGCCACAGTCCAATAAACGCTGAACTTTAGACTGTGATCTCAAAGCAACGATTATCCATCTTCTTCACAACGCCTCAAAAGCATCACCTTTTCCTCATCCATATACTCACATCACATACTCGCATATCCTCTGTCATATTCACCTTACTCTCTTACTCGTCGTCACCTTATCTCTGCAATGGCTGCTCTCACACCTGAAGGTATGTGGACCATCACCCCGCTTGTTGCTTGTTTGGAGATGGGCAGAATTCAGCCTCGTCAGTGTCAGGATGACTTGATATTTGGCATTGTTCGATTGAAGTAGCGCATATACAGAGCTTCAGTCCTCAATATCCGCTCACCTTCCAGCTACTAACACTCTTGAATAGTCACCTGGGCTCAACGCTCCTCCGAAACTGACGAAACTCGCAACTACCTCTACGTCTTCATCAACGTACCTGACGTGCCCCCCAAATCGGCAGACCTCAAGCTCACAGAGAACAATGTCTCCTTTACGGGCACAAATCTGAAAGGCGCCAAGTATAGCGTGTCGCTGGATCTCTATGCCGAAATCGACACGGAGAACAGTAAAGTACACCACAGCCCACGTGGAGTTGAAATGGTGCTCCGAAAGAAGAAGCTTGGTTTGGAGTATTGGCCTCGTTTGTTGAAGGAAGCTAAGAGGGTGCATTTCGTCAAGACTGATTTTGACAAGGTTTGTCCTCCATCCCACCGTTTCTTGATGAAGTTAGATATATGCTAATGTGCCTGGCAGTGGGTCGATGAGGATGAGCAAGATGAAGCTCAAGAAGATGACTACGCAGCCAACTTTGGCGGTTTCGGCGAGGACGGTGGTCTCGGTGGTATTGATTTCTCCAAGCTCGGCGGCGGAGCTGGCCTTGATATGGCCGGTGGAGAAGCCGCCGGTGAAGAAGAGGAGGATGTATGCAATGTCCCATCGGCCGAATAATAATTGTTGAACACATACTAACAGCTTTTCGAAACAGGACGAAGATCTACCTGAACTGGAAGGTGAAGAAAAGGGCGACAAGAAGATCCAGGAAGTCTCATAAATCAAAACTCCCCTCACCATTTACCTCCGCCATAAATCTAAACCGTATATCCTTTCCTACCTTCGCTACCTAAAAACGGGGATCCTGATTTGTCTGTGCTATGCTACATCTTCTTTACTCTTAATGTGACACGTCGCATGACTTCTATCATATATTACCTGTATCTGCTACCTGCAACTACTACTACATCGAGGTCCGGTCCGTCATGATTTTCCGATAGCGAAAAACAATGCCAAAATAAAACCGGCTACCTAAATGACGCATTCATTTTCGTGGTAGAATTGCATGATATATCCCTCCAATTGTAGGAAATTAGGGCTCTGTGGTAGATTGTTATGTCTGTATAAGTTACGTTTGAGCTGCATTGTATACGTCAGGTAATTATGGAAGGATGAGAGCTGGACACAGTACGATTCACATGCACTGGCCTTCGGTCTTAAGAATAGACAGGTCGAGTATTTGTGGCATTCTAGTTAGAGGAGTCTCATCTAGTAGTTATGATGATGACTGTGACTGTGACCATGGCCTTGTCCATGACCGTGTTCATGTTGATGATGATCATTATCCTGATCACGGCGGTGCTCATGCTCGCGATGTTCACGATGCTCCCGATACCCTTGATCATGGCCATAAGCCCCTGACTCTGGTGGCTGATAGTAACCGCCTCCCTGTCCGTAGAGCTCATACCTCTCATTCCCAATTGAAGCGGGTGGTGGTGCTGAATATTGTGGTTGATATTGGGAATACTGATTCTGTTGATGTTGATACTGCTGGTGCTGCGGCGGCTGCTCATAGTTATATGAGGACTGCTGCTGCTGTACGTATCCAGAACTATGACTCGGTTGCAGCGTTTCTTCAGGAGCATCGCGAGTGAGACCAGCTCCTGACAGCAGCTTGCCGAATCCGCCTAGCTTATTAGCAACATTGGTAACTTCGGAAACGCCGGGAATGTTCAGCTTCTGTAGCTGTTCCCAGGGAACCGACGACGATGATGACGACTGCTGTTGCTGTCCATGCGAAGAAGCAGCACCAGCTCCATAGAGACCACCACTGACAGCAGGGAAGCCACCACCACCGTGAGAATGACCGTGGCCGCCGCCAGTAGAAGAAGAATTCTTGGTGAGATTCTTCCCCGCTCTCACGCTCTGCGCACTGAGGAGATCGTTCAAGTTATGACCACGGTCAGGTCTAGACTGAACCCAACTCTCGACAGCTTTGAACATCGCAGTGTGGGCTTCGTTGTGCATGTCCCTGCAAGCAGGATGATGGAAAACTTGTAGGCAGTCATGAGTTACTTGATCAACGTTGACATCGATATGTTGCCATGCATACAAAACACGGGGCACAACATATCTCAAAATAGCAGCTGCAACTTGACCGGCTGGCTCGTTGAGCATGTTGGCAAAATGATCCTTGGACAACATGGAATGAGTGGGATCAGTGCAGTGAGGGTTATCCCAGACCTCGTACTGATGCTGCCCAGAAGATTCAATGACTCCCATTGAGCCAGTTTGTAGGGACTTGGAAGCCACATTGATAAGAGGCCGGATAAAGGGTGCTAAGAGTGAAAATACAAATAGCGTCACTGTTTCGGTGATCTTATCAATGAGCTTCTCCAAGCCAGGGATCTTCTCGACGATCGAGCTGATGCGTCGCACGACTTTGTCTCTGAATTCAAGGATGGGGTAGATCTGCTCAACGGTCTTTTGGGGGTCAATATCTGGCAAGCCTGACACTTTGCTTGTCTGCTGATTTGACTGGAAGTCACTTGGGCCTCTGCTTTGGTCATATTCATTTGACCCGTAACCACCTGCCGGGCCTCTGCTCTGTCCATAGTGACTTGACTGATAGTGATCTGCAGGCACCCTAGTTTGGTCATAGCTTGGGATGGGATAATCGTCCACACCTCGAGAAGTGGCATATCCGGTGTTGACATGTCGGTTGCGATTCGCCTCAGCCTGCCTATTTGAACGCTGCTGCAACTCTTCGGCTTCATCAACAAGCTCCTTTGTACCTGGAATCTTGCCCAGAAGGCTCGTCAATGTGTTGATAGCAGGAGATTGTTGATTTGACTCGGCGCCGAGCAAAGTATTGTCTGCCTCGTTGAGTTCGGATTGGGTGAAATGATCATTTGCCTCGCCTAGAACAGAGTGGAAGAAATCCACCATTCCGAACGTGCCCGTGACAAGAGGGAAAACCCGTTTCCCCCGGAGATGAATCTCTGTCGCGGCACCAACATGAGGGAAAACATTGTGGAAACCCATTTCTCGGAGAACGAGTTCACAGTAATTGGAATGCGCACCAAAGTCCTCTAAAGTATGGAGACCTTGACCCAGACATCTGAGGGCTTCAAAGAGATCCTCTTCTTTGCCTTTGCTCTGACCTCCGCTTGTGTATAGTCTGCCGTAATGAATGCAACGAGATATGCTGTACTTGATATATGCGGCACTCGTGGCCCAGTCGCCTCTTTCGTTGGCAATGTAATTCTTCATGCCAGTCTCGGGGTCAATGTCGAGCTCGATTTGACGGACTGGAGGACGGAGGCGCTTGTCATATTGTCTTGCGTCTTGGTTATCGGCGTAATCTTTGGGATTGCTAGATTACATTAGCCGTTATACATCTGTAGTAAGTTGAACAATGACTCACTCGATGTGCTCTTCTGGACGATAAACACCGAGTCTGTCGGCAGTAACCTCAAATTCTCCTGTTGCATAGCCAAATGTCATGAATGAAAGGATCCAGACAAGAACTCGAATAGTATCAGCTTGCAGATTCTTAAGTGTGCCCACATCCATGGCCTGGGAACTGTTCATTTTAAGTTGTAATTAGCATATACTCAGCTCGACGCCAAACTAGTTGCAGCTCACTAATCGCGCAGCCAATTGCCAAAGTAAACACGCTTGATCATGGCCGAGGTCCACTTGTGCCCATGAATGAATGCAAGTGCTTGAATCGTATCCTCGATATCTCCATGACGCCAATTCTTGCCTTCGACGGTGGATATAGAAGCGATGTCTAAACTATCAATACCCAGCTAGACAAGTAGAACAAAAGAAAGCTTACTTCCAGCACCAAATGCTTCAGCTTTACCGGGTAGAGCGATAAGCATCAACAAGAAAACAAAGACGAACGCAGTCGTCGGACTGCTCCTGAAAGACCCCAACGCCATGATTTCTGACTATACTGGAATATCGAGCGAGAATGACAGAAGATCCGAAAAGGAGGTAAGTATATGTATGAGTCAAGAAAAGAGAAAGGATTAAAGAAATAAAGAAAGTTGGGATGTGGCTGTGCGGTGTCTCTCTTTTCTGGGTATATTTGTCGAGTACCCCTCCGCCAAGAAGAAAAGCGCTGTTGATGCGATGGCAACGATTGGAATTGGTTCAGAGGCGTTGCACAAGCCACAATGAGTATACCATAAATTTGTTTCTCGGGGGATAGAATGGCCAGGAGGACAACAGAGACATGAAGGTTTGGAGGAAGAAGAGGTCGTTGCCAGCTAAAGGAGAGAGAAGTAAACAGAGAATGGCGGAGTCTGGCTATGACGTAGTCCAAGACTGACAACACATCTGTGTCTCTCGACACTCAAGAGAGTTGAGATATATCATTGCGGTGATACGAGGAATTGGTCTCATGTTCAGGTCTATGCAACAAGCTAGCAAGTGAGGTAGCATCTAGTGTGTGTTATTGTATAACTAACGAGCCTCGTTTGATAGATACTAACATGGTGGGGCAGCAATTCGATGCTACCATCGTACACCAACAATTGATCGTCAATATCTGAAATCTGTCGACGTTATTGCACATTTCTGATCAAGATATGACTGACAAAAGAAAAGCAAACATGACCGACGCATCACCATATCTAAGCTCCCTCCAACGCGACGGCTTCGTCGTAATTCCATCTCTCCTATCCAGCCCCGAAATCACCACTCTCCGCGACGCAGCAACAAAAGCCACAACTCTCACAAGAACTGGACAATGGCCATATTTTCGTACAGTCCCTAAACAATTTCCGCCATGGCCTAAGGATGTCCCTCCTGCATCTGAGGGAGGAATATGGGGTGTGCAACATTTATTACATCCGGATATGCCTGGTCGTCGGGAGTTTGCAAAATTCTATTTTTCGGAAAAGGTGCTTGGGATAGTTGAGGAGTTGTTGGGGTTGAAGGCGACGAATAATATCCAGAAAGGATCAGGGGAAGAAGAAGAACCGCTAGTAATGGAACTTCTCAACCTTCTCGTTGCTCCCGAAACAAGAGATTTTGAACTCCGATGGCATCGTGACGATATCCCACCTACAGTCACCCCGGAAGAAGAATTGCAACTCCTCAAATCAAAAAGTCCTCAGGGCCGACAGTCACATGCCCAATACAATCTGGCCCTATGTCCCGACACATCCTTGATAGTCATCCCGGGCTCTCATCGACGCGTACGAACAGAGACAGAGCGGAATGCTGACCCATATGAAGCCGAATTACCAGGTCAATTAACCGTGAGACTTGAACCAGGTGATGCAGTATTTTACGATTCAAATATTTTACATAGAGGTGTATATAAACCCAAACCCGAAGGCGGAGAAGAGACCAGACTTACCTTACATGGAAGTGTTGGTTTGAACCAGACCTCAATTACAAAAGATGGAGACACGGAAGCTGCTGCTGATAAAGCCAAAGTTAGAGCTACTGCTGTCTTGCAGCATGGTGTGGGCATATGGATTGATAGAGATGATGCGGATTTGTCGTATACAAGTGACCGGGCGGAGAGGATGAGGAGGAATTTGATTGCGATGGGTAGGGGAGAGAATGTAGGATTTTCTCTAGAGGGATAATATCTTGATCCTGATATAATAGCATATATTAAAAATGTATATACATCTATCCCTCCCCCGACGAACGATATTGATCTGTAGGAGGCAGATTCCCATCAACTCCCAGGACACAATCAACATGTACATACGACACGGAATCCATATTCACCGGAATCATTGACGACGCCGAGTCCGGAGATTGCGAATCTGACGTGGTCGTAATCGTGCTCGCTGCCATGACCGTTCCCCCATCATTGCTATTGTTGCTGTTGCTGTTACTATAGCTATATCTGCTACTCCCACTCCTCAACAATGACCGAATAGAGACAATCGCATCTTCAGGCGACAAACTATTCCGCACAATATCAATAATTGAAGGAACCCAGTATTCGTCACAGTCGCACACAATTTTGTAGATTGTTTCGAGTTGTTCTTGTTTTCCGCGCCAAAAGTCGGGTTGGCGGTGTTGTTGGAGTTGGTGCATGCCGTATTGCAGAGGATTAGTACTCACAACAGTGTCTATTGCGGCAGTGTTCTGTTGATAGTATTGTTGATGTTGAGGATGATGCTCCATGGGAATGTAAGCATTGTGTTGGGCCATCTCAGGTTGAGTGCTATAAGCCATTCCTGTTGCAGCTGACGCCGAAGTTGCATATGGAGCCCCCAAATTCCATAAATTAGTAACATTCCCCTCCTCGCCAAATCTTCTCTTGTTTGGCCTTTCATCTACCACCAAAACACCACCATACCCATAATCTTCGGCAGTAGACCCATATGACTGTGACTTTGCCTGCGACTGTGACTGTGACTTCTGCTCCCCATCTTCCAACTTCCTCTTAAGTCTATTCAACTCTTTCCTCAAATTCTCAATCTCCTTCGCTTGACTGATATGATACCGATCCTCATCTGTCCTGGCATACTCACATTCATCCTCGGAGCCGCGGAGTAAGCATGCAGTACAGGGATTTTTGCGATCACACTGTTTGTCCCCATTAGAAAGTAATCTCAATACAAGATAAGAAGAGAAGTGAACATTCCTTGATTTTTCGGGCTCGGCATTTCGTACATGATTGTTGTAGGCGATCATTTGCGGTGGACTTGTTGTTTGTCGATTCCATCTAGTAACTCAGATACGTATGGTATATACATATATGCGTATGCACATACGGAGAATCCACGCGTGGGGCAGGGGAGAGGATCCTTCGCCTGCAGGTTACTGTTGTAGATATTATATAGCTCTCAGGCCTCTGGGGGGGTCCACGTACATGTAGTAGGACCCTGTAGCGAATGACGCGACGAACTGGATATGACCAGCATGAGATTGAGTCGTGTGGATATCATGCAGCGGCCCTCAATTTAGGACAGTGTGATACATCAATTGATGGATCGCACTAATCATTAATCCTGCAATTGAGATAGATAGATAGATAGATAGAGAGTTGGAGTGGTTGATCAAAGGCCGAGAACAAAGTAACTAGCCTGAATCGAAGCATGTGAACGAATTTAGCGCCGAATGACAATCAACAAAATCAACCATCTAGAACCACCACCCATTGGGTGTGATAATCCGAGTGGCGGAATCTTTAATTTTCATATCTAGTAGATCGTACTAGCAGTATCTATTGACTGATACCAATCAAAGCAAATCTATTTCGTGGTCGGCTATATAGTAGCTCTTTTACTGTCTCATCACATCATAAATTTAACTACGTACCACCAAGGTATTCCCAAATCAGCCTAAACTCCTCAGCTTATCCTGTTCGGCAGGAGTAAGAGCCGCAAATAGTTCCTGGAATCCAGGTTTAGCAGACGCTTCTTGGAAAAACTGCAACAAAAGCGCTTGCGTCTCATCATCGCGCTTTCGAACAGCAAAGGAGCCCTCCGTGCCCCCTTCGCCAAATGACATCAGCTCCTGTTTTGTGACTCCCAGGCCAAGGTCTAATGTATTGCTGGGTAGATCTTCCCACTCATCGTCCTCGCTGTCTGCTTCTTCAAGGGCTGCAGCCGTTGCGGCGTCGATTTCTTTGTTGCCAGAGGCTCCTGCTAGTTCCTCCACAAGAACCTTGATGATTTTTAGATTAGCCGATACAGTCGTAAACTGGTCGGGGTTTTGACGTGCTTGCGATCGCGTCTTGATCCGTCCGGTTTCCTGGATGATGAGGTCGCCCTTGACCTGAACTTGCGCTACCCGAGGGTCTTCCAGGTTATACAGTTTGCATAGGGCGATAATGTTCTGCTTGATTTCATCATACCCGGCAAAGTTGACTGAGTTTTCTAACCATTTGCTCAACACGACGTTAAGTCCGCTCTGTCCACCGAGATCAACCTGAGCCAAAAAGTCAATAACTTCTCGAGCACTGATCAGAGTTAAGCGCGCAAAAACAAGGATTAAGCTCTGAATGAACTGGGCTTGCTGTGCAGTAGCCAGACGCTGTGCGACAGCTTGCAGTAACTGCGGCAGATAAGGACCAAGTTTCTCGGAACCGGCCTTTTCAACCAACACAGCCGCCAGGGAACCAACTTCTGCTGCAGCCACGTCGTCAATATTGGGGCTCAAAAGATGGTCGATAATCAACAACACAGTTTCAATGGCATCTTTGCCTGACTGCGGCTCGCGCCAAGCAAGGAATTGGGTAAAGTCATGACTCAAGATATGGTACATGGCTAACGTAGCAGCACGGACGAGTTCGCTATCGTTGCTTTCTAGTAGAAGGCGGTTCAACTTTGGCATTACAGTAGCAACGAATCCATTTGGCAGAGGTTCTGAGCCATGGTCCGCCAAGGCTCGAAGCAAGTCTGCTGCTAGAACAGTGAGTGCACCCTCTTGCGTTATATTGCCAACATCAATAGCGCCCGTTAATGATGGAAGCACCTTCTCACACAATCGCACGTAAGCATCTGCGCCTTGTTGCGACACGTACTGCACGATATCCTCAAACGTCTCCGTCACGACCATGACCAAATGGAAATTTTCCGCTCCATTGCTAGCCACATTGAAGAGCACATCCAAGGCCGCTGAGTCCAAGACTACTTTAGGTTCAATCATGATAGTGTCGCGAAGCGTCTCAGCCAACGTGACCTTGAGGTCGTCATTATCCGTGCCCTCCCTCAGATCGTGTGATCCTATGAACTCGTTTATTGAGCTGATTATAGGTATTTGCATAGGTTGTGTGGTTGACGATGGAAGAGCCGGTAGCAAATCTTGCAGGACTCGAATGCAGGCAACTTGAACAACTTCTGAAGCGTCTTGGGATATCGCTTTCATCGTGGCATCAAGGTAGCTGGCCGCAATCGGCTGGAACTCTGCACCGGCAGTCTGGGCAAGAACGCCTGCCACTAGATATCCTCGCGCGCGTAGGTAATCTTGCTCGTTTTGAAGAGCAAATTGAATACTGTTTGTGAATTGAGAGGCGACGTCCACGGGAATCTGTTGCTCGACCTCATTAAAATCCCGAAGCAACTGATTGAGGATGAACAATGCAGCTTCCTGGTTTTTCCATCTAGTTTTGTCAGTTAACTTCACAACGTGGCAGGATAGAAAACATACGTCGAGGCGGCGTCGGCGAAAAGGTTGTTGATATACACCACCAATGCCTGAACGACTGTCACTTTCAACCATTCTCCCAGCTTGATGATGAGATCGCCTCCACATGTTCTCGGCGTGTAGTTAGCGGTTACAGACGTTTCTTCGGACAAAAAGAGGTTGACATCAATCTCCCAAATACCCTCTTCCTCTGTAGTGATTTGAGCATAGATCGCGGCAAGCTTGATTATTTCAGGGAGCCATCCAGTGGTTGTTGCTGCTTCATTGGCGTTTTGTAGCTGCGCTTGTAGCTCGGCCTTGACAGGAGGAGCCTTGATCAGGGCCTGCATCAGGTCGATTTCTTCCAGCACGAGGAAGTCGAGGGTGTAAGGTAAACCGTCCGAGTCTTCCAATCGCCCCTGCCGCTCGTCCTGCACATACATTTCGAAGTAGTGGCTCTGGATACTTGACAATTCCTCCCAAAGCATGGTGAATAGTTGCGGGCTCTGTGTCGTCAATAGCGTGGGAAATACCATACGAATTTTCATAACGGTCTAAATGAATGAATCGTAAATAGCCGGCTTGTTGCAATGCGTAAAGAAACCCACCTTGACTGCTTGCAGCTTCAGTGCAATGATACCTCTCCATTGAGACGAAACTTCAGTGTCCTTTGACTCTTCCTCCTCCGCTGGACGCTGCGGCAAGGACAATTTCATAACCGACAGGAAATAAGGCATCCATCCACTCAGGGCCTCATCCATGAACTGCTTGACGGCAGCTTTGTGCTGCTCAAGGACCATCTCCAAGGTATCAAAACATGATCGGAAGACGGAGATAGCCAGCGCTCGGATGATTGTTTTCCGCGACTCATTGGTCGCAACGGCGAAAAGAGTAGACACCAAGTCTCGGGCAATGCCAAAGAACTGTTCTTCACTGAAACCCGTGTCTACCAAATCCAGCAACACCTTCAATGCACCATGCAGTGCCCCATCACTACTATTAGGGTCGTTGATGATATGCAGTAACGAGGGAAGTAGCTCAGGCCATTCTTCGGGAAAGTCGGCAGCAGCGATCTTACTGACAGCATAACTTGCAGCAGCCTTAATCTTGCGGTTTGTCTCAGTCGTGGTTGCGAGGTTGAGGAGGGCATTACGCAGGGTTGCTTTGTTCGCGTCGTTTACCCAGACGCGGCCTTTGAATTCATCGAGAAGGGGGGACCATGACGCTACAATAAAGGTTCGGAGCACGGAGATGGCGGACTGGCGAAGGGCAGCATCGACAGACTCGTGAGCGGCAATTGCAGCGAGAGACAGCGGGAAAGCCTCGTTGGAGTAAAGCTGCAGCAATTGTAGTTCAGCGGATTGGCGAGTCGGTGCTGCGGGGGACTGGGTCGCCGCGAGCAGCTGGAGGAGCTCCTGCTCCATTGTGGGCGTGGGCAGTTCGTCCTCGACCTGCGTGTCGTAAGAGAGAGTGGATTAGGACAAGCAGAAAAAGAAAAGAAACGGCGTAAGACGGGGAGGATTAACGCTAGTTCGTGTTTATCTCGTGAAGACGCGATATATATCAGAAGGTTGATTTTAAGCAAGCATGATAATTATTTTTCCCCACTACGGTAGGAGTAAGCAATGGATTATTTTGCCGGAGTGGAGCGCGCTTCCCCTGGCGCGTATTGGCGTGTGTTCACCTTTGCGTTTTGCTTTCTTGAGGCATATCACCATCGCTTGTTTGATGCAATATTCACTCATATTTGGGTTAACTGGCAAAGTAGTGATCAGGCCATGACCACATAAGGTGTTCGATACAAAAAATACCAGATACAGTAATACCGAGACACGCAAAAAAATACAGTGGGCGGTAAAAATAGTCCCTTCCTTCTTCGTTCTCCCCTTCCGCTCGGCTGAGTAATCTTGCTTCAACGACTCAGTCACACAGCAAGAATCTACTTTGATACGGCAAGAGATATTCAGGTTGCTGACTGCAGTCATATAAAACGCCTCATATCATACAATAAATGAAAAGACATGCACGTCCACGAGGGCGCTGTGTTGTTGAGTTTGCTACAGCGGGGCGGCGGGCAACTGTCTCTGACTGCGATTAGCCCGTCAGTTCAATAGTTAACATTAGTGTTAACCACTTTATCAGCAAACTAGTCAGTCAACTCACCGTCCCAGGAAGTGTTTGATTCAGTGATTGCCTCTAATAATAGCGGATTTCTAGTTCTCAAGATCCTGGTTTCTGGAGAAGAGCCACATGTATTGCCATCGCGGAGACTGAGTCACCGTACGAGCACATACAATGGATAAAACTACTACTTACTTGGTAGTTACAGGATTGCAGTATATGACGCCGCTGCAGCGGGGCTTATCCATGACCCTCGACAGGAGGGGCTGGGATCGTCTCCTCTGCCCGACCACGGAGGCCGACGAATACAAATACCCATATTATTATGGATCACGGGGTCGTCGTGTTTTCGTCGCTTGCACGAATCGTATTTACTGTGGCAAGCGATGGCAAGGATCTTAGGAAGTGTTGAATGGATCGGATGGCGACTTGCAATGATTCACAACGCGTTGGATCTTTCCCCCCGGACTCGATCATCTTTCCTTGAACAGGGTGCTCATGAAGCATATCGGTCCATATCGTGCATCAATTTATCAAGCGATACCGCCCGGAGCTGTCCCGAGATTCCGTCCAGTCTTAGCGTGTCGTGGCGGCCAATTCCAGGATCCGGGCTGAATCAACCCATTAATTCTCCTATCGATAATGCGGCTGCCAGCCTCAGCTCGGTACTACTGAAAATGCGCACGCGAATATTCACGGCAGGTCGTACACTGCCATGGAAACAATTTCCAGCGGTATTTCTTTGAGGGTTTTGAGTTGGCTGATATCATAGGGACAGCCCTAGTCAGTGGTTATTCTCTCGTTTTTGGCAATACAGAAGCGCACATCACCGGTGATCGACATGGACAAGCATACCAGCAACTTGCTCGACACTTAGCGGCTGCCCGGTGGAGCTGTACTGGAGCACGGTGTACGTACTACTACGTATGTTCTTCGCAGGGTCGAAATTTCTGCTCAGAAAATTTTGTTGCGATTGGCGTAATCCTTTGGATTGATCCAGTATGTCAGCCGGTAGCATTTATTTTGCATATGTTGTAATAGAAAGAAAAAAAAGAAAAGACAGTAAGTAACTTAAGTCAACGTAGATACTTGCCATCTTATATAATCATACTGTATTCGGTAAAAATACGATGACCGTATGACGCAAACACGTGACGGCGCTGCTCTTAACGCAGCACTCTGTAAATTACGCCGTTGGTCGTTACCGTACAGTGTACTCTCGCTCTCCCCTCACCTTCTCGCTCTCCCTCTCTCTCCCTCTCGTCCTCTGATTCTCACCTTCTCTTCTCCTCTTTTCTTCTCCATATGGGATCTTCACTATCTCCTCCCTCTTGGTTCTTCTTTTATTCACTGCCCAAGTATTCCTTCATCACTCGCGTCCGTCCACTTCTAGGACGTGCCCTCCCCTTATCTCCATCTGTCACGCCAATTGTTGAGTCGTGCTGGTGAGGTACATAGGGCACAAGTCACTAGACACGAGATACATACAGAAGAGAAAACACCATCTGCATCGGGAAAGGAAGCCCCTTCTCCCCTGCTAACCCCTCGATAAGAATTTGATATTCTTGGGTTTGTCATCACGGTCGTTGCTTATTGCCTTTTCTTTTCCATTCCATTCTATCAGATCGCTTTCCTGTTTGTTCTATCTATCCGTTCAATTTTCTTGCCTGTCATCTTCCTATTCTTCTTTCTCAAGGGCAAAATCCCCCTCTCTTATCTGCCTTCGGGGAAATCGTGTTTCAGTCGCTTCCACAACGGCCCCGTTCCTCGAATTACCACGTTCAGTAAACAGACCGGCCTGACCCGTCAGTACAAAAACATACACCTCAACCTCTGCAGGATCGGTTTTTATAAATGAATTCCGTGCTCTGACTACGGCTGTGTCTATAGTCGTGGATTACTGACCGAGGTCGTTTTGCTGTTATCGACGGAAACAGAGACATGATTAGCCGTCGAGGGAAAGACCAGACAGACTCCCTCAACTCCTCAACCACGAAAACGACGAGATTCGATAACCAGTCTCCTCTGATAACTTGAATTATTGCTACGTGAAATCTTTGCTCAAATCTCCACCGATGGCTATGGCCAGTGAAAGCAGCACTGCGGTGAACACTGTGAATACCATAAGTACCATGAACACCTTGAATACGATGGCCACGGGTACGGCTACCGCTCCCATCAGCACCTCCAAAAATGTACCCAACACTCAGGCCGCTATTGCCGCCTCATTTACGAATTTCCTCGGTGTTGCCATGCACCAGATATTATTCCTTCGATCGGTCTATCCGCGAGCAACGTTTCTCCCAGTCCGAGCATACAATTACCCAGTTCGGCAATCGCGTCATCCGAAAGTATGCGACTACATTAGCGATGTCGCTCTCGCTGTTGAAAGTGAAATTCTCAAAGGGACGATTACCGCTGTGACAGTGATTATTTCTTCTATTCGCACAAATCAGCCAATGGAACGGTATGCATTCGACCTATCCGGCTTCCCACACGTGCCCGTGGGGGAGATCTACACCACGTTTGAGGAACGCAATAAAGAAGAGGCCACAAGGCCACCGTCGACGGCACAGACGATAGATCTCGAGGCACAATTCCGTGCTTGTTTGGCTAGATTAGCATCTGCCTGCGCGCGATTAACGCCCTTGCCGCGTGACGACGAGTTTGGATTTACCGTGTGTATTGAAGTGCGGGAAGACGCTCTCCCACCGGCCGGTACCACGAAAGAGGAGCAGACTTGGATTGTCGCTGAACCCGGTCAGGTCCACGTCCGATCATGCACCGCTCCATTTTCTGTCAGCAAACTGGGCAGCCATTCTCAACAACCAGCAATACCCAAAATCAACGGACGAGCCAAGACCGTGCCTGTACGACGAGTCGAGGCTGGCGAACTTCGTTTGGAATTATGGGTCGAAGAAGCCAGGCAAAAATTTGACGAACGGCTTCTTTAGATTGATCATTATCATCATGGTCATCATCTTATCCAGCTTTATCTTCTTGTAAACATTATTTTTTTTGTCCTTTTACTCAGTTCGATGCATCAACGTACACGGACATGATAGACACGCCGACGATGGCGTTACGAAAGAGACCGAACACATTATTTATCTGGAGACGGTCAATTGAATGACATGCAGCCGGCACACCGATTCGGCCATGTTCAAGTACTTGCAGACTCAAGTCTTTGGGATGACCGGCAAGGGAAGGAAAAGGAAGGAAACTGTCGTCGCCTTTTCCAGTCTCATTTTCATACATTATTCTTCTGACGCCTTTTCATATCATCATCCATCATCATCAATAGACTGGAATGGGGCGGGCGCATTTTAACGATTGTTATTTTGGTCATATTGTTTTTCCTCTCGAGTTCTTTATATGACTTCCTTGTATCATTGGATCATATGTCTTTTTTTTTATCATCTCATATATCCCAGCAAGAAAACGCGAGCATCCATCTCATTTGTTTCATCACATCATCTATACTACTCAGATTCTATTTGATCCATTGTAGTAAAAATCCAAGCTTTTATTTTCAATGGCAGATTGTGTGACATTATATGAAAATGCAACGCAAGCTTTTCCCTCTTTGGTTTGATATGATTCTTCGTCCGATGTTTTTTGGCGCATTCCATCATTTCTTACTTTTCTTGCTTTTGCTATGGGAGAAGTGCCATTAGATGATATACGGATAAATGATATTTCATGTATATCATAAGTCAGTGCTCAGATTACAACGTGGGCATGCTCAGACTTATTCGTCATGTCTTTCTGGAACCCTCGAGTGCTTACTCGGACACGCCAGCATAGAGATGACTCGTAGCGTCGACCTGTGATAACATCGAATTGAAACTAATACTTCTGCATTCCCGAACCGGTAGATACATTTAACATCAAATCCAACATAATCATATACATATATACATAAGAATCAAAAAACAGACAACTCTTTACTAACTACAACAGTTGAATCAATCCCACGTCCCGACTAATCGCCGGACTAAACGCGGCACAATACTCCAAAAATTCAACCATCTCCCTATACCATCGTTCCCAACCAGAGGGTAAAGTCGCACGCAATCGCGGGTCGGGCGAGTTTGATATACAATGGAAGATGAGGAGTTGGCCGAAGAATCTGCACGTTTATCCATGTTAACTTGTCTAGAGGCCGGGGGTGGGGAGATCATACTGCGAACAAAATGCAAACCGAATCGGAACACAACTCCTCATCTGCCGAAACACGCCTCTAATCATAGGCCAATCCATAGCAAACCTGAGTCCACTCCGAATCTGCTCAAAATCGTCTTCTGTCAACAGATTCGGCGTTCTCAACGCTTTGTATAGGTAGGGTCGACCGATATGAAATTTGCAGATTCGATAGCGTGCTCGGAGCATTGAGTCTGCGACTAGCATTGCGAGGGATGTGGGTGTTCGCGGTGCGTTGGGTGTGATGGATGGGGAGATGTCGTCGTTGGATGTGGTGGTTGAGTCCTTGGCGGAGAATTGGATTACTGGAGGGAGGTTTTTGCGCCATTCTTCGACTTGGTTGTGTAGTTCTTGACTGACGGCTGGGCGGGGGAGGGTTCCTGATTCAGCTGTTATTCGTTCGTTAGTGGTACTTCAAAAGGCTGCTGGGTAAAGAGGCGTACAGAATAAGTACAGACTATGTCGGATTCGAGTAAGGATAATCCGATTCGCTATCTGGGCCAAGAAATGGCATTGATGATAGTACGAGTCATCCGGATCAGGCAGCGGAGTGATCTCCGATGAGATTTTGAATGGAATGAATTTGGGGATGGGAACGTTGTCTTCGAGAGACAGCAAACCACTTGGGGGAAGATCCAGTTCCTGCACGAGAATCGTTTCGTACATCACTGTATTCCAGAATACCCTAGCAAAAGCAAAATGTCAGCTAACTTCCAGATAGACATGTGGAGGGTGATATACCTTGACTTCATATCGCCTTCCCATTCATTATAGTTAATATCGCGATTCGCTAACATGAAACACAAACAAGCAGCAGCTCTATTAAGCATTGCGCCGGAGTCAAGCGGACGGATGATCTGCGTATAATACATCCTATCAAGTATCAGCACCAATCCCTTGTATGTATTGCATGGAGAAGAAACATACGCTGATAAAAGATAATACTGGCAACTAGATAGGTTATTCTTCTCCATGAGGAAACCCATCCGTTTCCGAGCTTTATTGAAAAACGACAGCCCCGGCGGATCTTCCATGACCACTTCATACCAGGCCGGTCGTTCGAAACGATCACCAAGTGTCCCCGGTAATGGGAAATCTGCTTCCTCATATGCACGCACAGCCAAACAGCCTAGCGCCATCACATTCAAGACCAGACAAGTCTCAATCGTCGTAGAAAATCCATGGTTAATAACTGCTCCGAGCGTAAGCGAGAAGAAAAAATGTTTATCCATGAACGGGGTGAAGGGGTGGAAAAGCGAGAAAAACGCCTCGCATAACCCTTTCACCAAAGCCATGGGCAAGCCTTCTAACCAGCTGCCTGTACTCGGTAATCCAAGCGGAGTATTCACCCACATCGGTAAAGCTGATCTTTCCAATTCGACGTCAAGGACATAATTTTTTCCTAGTTGATCATAGACGACTAGAAATCTCTCCGGTAGACTGCTGATAATTCCCGGCCAAACCACGACTCCATGCTGACTGAATGAAATAACCTCTTTACCATCCACGGATGCCTGCGCTTCGACCTCAATCTGACCCATTGCCGCGGGTGAGGTATTCTGTGAAAACGACAATTTATGCGACGACGTCCTCGCACTCGGCGTCCCAGCCGTTGCTGCAGAGACTTGAATAGCTTCCACGGCCTGCAAGACATGACCCGTAATGGGACGAATATCATTCGAAATCACAGACGGAAGATTTTCCAACTTGGTCTCAATCCGGTGTAGTGTGCTTATAATCATGCCGATGGATTGATCCTTTTTGGACAGTTTGCGTTCACTGTACACGCATTCCAGATTCAGGGCTTTGCAGAGCCCGCATTTGGGACGGGATTCATCACATCTTGTCTTTTTTAGACGACAGTTTTCACATGCCTATGATCATTTGTTATTATACGTGTCTATCAATTTGAGGTTTCGAATGAGAAAGGAGAGATATACCACAGCAGCAATAAAGTTTCTAGGCTTGCGAGTACTATTATGAGTCTCGGAATGATCTGCCTCGGGTTCCTCGGAATTGGATAGAAGTTCATTGATAGAGATACTGTTTCCCGGCGTCGAAGGTGTCCGCTCCTCCAGAAACCTGGCGGTCTTTGAGAAGACGGAATCTTCGTGTGAACGCTTGCTCATTGTCGCATTGCTGGGCGCGCAACGGCCACCCGCATGTCTTTTCCCCTCCTCTTTCGCAGGCAAGGAAGTCGCACTGCCTTTATCTCGGTTTTATTCGGAATTCAATTTGACACTCGATTCTCTTCAGATCGATACTGTTTTTGAATCTTTTCAACGGTTGTAGTCATATCGCGAGGGCCGAAGACGGGCTTGGCGGGACCGGTGATCAATTGACCAATCATGTTGGCTGTTGGTATAAAACAGAACGTTAGACTGCAACCCGGACGAAGTCATTCGATTTTGCAGAAGTTCTCTCTGATCGGGAAGATCGAGTAGTTTCGATCCGAGTGTGGCCCGTTTTTGTCAGTGGGAGCGTCGGTTGTTCTACGCCATATATCGCTTGTAGTGACGATTAAATATATATCGGGACTCTTATCTAGGTAGGTGATTTCCCAGGAGATTCCAGCTTTCACAACAGAATTCAGTGACAAGAACCCTTGGAAGGGAACAGCAGCTACTTCAAGCAAAGACTCTGCTAGTGTGTTGACATTCCACTGCTCATGAGCTTCAGGGACGCATATGTCGAGACTCATCTTTACGGTGCTTGATATTGCCCAAACCACGAACTACAAGATACACCAAGACATATTCAATATTTCTGCTGAAATACTATCGATAACCAAGATATCAATCGGCAACTTGCAGGAGATTAGTCACGCATTGTATGGCAAACAGCTGTTCTCGAAACAGAGCTGACCATGCTGATATTGCCAATGGCAACATCAGCCAATGCAGACCTGCCGGTCCGGGACGGCACTTCGGGCAGCTCTTATCCGTATTGCATGCACCATTTACAACTCAATTCGAGGGGTTGCATCTTCCAAATGTATTGACGATACATATTCCATTGGTGAGAAGGGGGGAGCGACGCTCACTATGTACGTCGGTAGGGTATGGATCCGACCTGCCGGCAACCAGATATACGCCTTCAAGGAGTAAGTACGTAGTAGATGGGATGCAACTCTATCATAGATCGTCGAGTTGATCCGTCTGAGAAGAAATTGAAGAAGGACTAGTCGATCCTCACAAGTCCACAACTGCCCGAGTAGAACTACAAACGTAGGATGCATTCCTTGAGGAGGAGGAGGAGGAGGAGGAGGAGGAGGAGGAGGAGGGGTTATACATGTATGCAGCATGTACGACGTAGGTACCGGGCACGGTGCCTTGCAACCATCGACCATCCCAGGGTTCTCTAAAAGAAACAAAGGTACGTATGACAGCTCAAGCGGTGCGATCGTTCAAGCTTTATTGCAGTATAGATGCAAGGGGTGCTCCATACTTTTGTCATCTCGTGATATACCCGAGTACTTTTGAAGCATTTTTCGTAAGGAGCAGAATGTCGATATGTCAGATGTCATGCACATATTCATTCCCAAGTCGCCATGTTCTGTGTTGCGATTACTTTGATAGCCGTTGTGAGTGATGTGCTTACTTACTTACTTCCTTACATAGCATAGCGTCGTTCGAATGTTTCACAATGTCCCGAATAGATCTACAGTCGTTTCATATCTCAGTCGGTAATGGTGGACCGATAACCAGTAGCGTAATAGTGTCAGGAACTATGGTGTATACAACTCCAAACACGAGTGGTGTGTACAGTTATACTACCATCTCCTAAGACATAACTACGTCTTCCATCCATCAATGGGACCGCCACGATAAACACCATCAAACGATAAGTTAGGAGCTAGTATCATCTGATAATTAGCAGGCCAGTTTGACTTGCATTAGTAGTGGGTCGAACAAAGAACTCGGCAACTCCAAATGATAAATGTATACTTGTTCTTTTTTTCCCCCTTATTTTTGTAGGTCATGTCATGTCGGTACCGATATGAACATCTCAGATTGAAACGGGCCGAGGTGTTAAGTCCTACTATGACTCGTAGCTTCAATAGGACGGCGTGCGTATCTTTCCAGTCAAGCGGGAACGCAGGAACTAAGTGTGCTCCAGTGGGAAATGGTTCGATCGACCACTGCATCATTGAGAAGACCAAACTCTTATTGTTGGATTATCTGCTGGAAGATGTGTTTAACTTTCTTAGAGAGGAAGAGGGCAAGGATCACGCGACGGTGTCACGGGTTGGTGATGGCCGACTATACCGTTTTGGGAAAATTGTAATCAACGCCAAACTTCAACCCTTCCACAAGTTGTCAGAGTCTCAGAAATGCTCAACACGAAGCTAGAATGGAATAGAAATTCATAAGCAATGATCTGCGTCTACAAGAAACAGGAAGTGAAGAAAAAGAATCACTACTCTTTTTTTTTTTTTTCTCTTTTTCCCTCCCCAGATATAGATCAAGGTAGCAAGGTAAGCCTGGTAAGGTAACTGGTCACAAATGCTCGGTTCTGGTTGGTCGGTTCAAGGAGCGGTCTGGGGACGCTTATGCACAACAAGTGTACATACTAGTACATAGTACTTCCAAGGATGAGGTCGAATCCAGGTACGGGTTAGCTTGTAGATGACTGCACATATCAGTGGCTTCTATAGTTACTAGCTACATACATTATAGTACGTAGTTGAGTATGCGAAGTAAACATAGAGTTAGGCCTGGCTACATGATACATGATACATTGGCAAGAGCTGGGTTTTGGGCAGAATTCCAACGTGTTCTTGTCAAACCCACAGGCAGGCCTGCCGAGTGGCAGGATAGGCGCTATCCCAGCAACTCTGGCTGCTGGTTGCTGGTTGCTGTTTGGTGTTTGTACCTGTATCGATGCCTCCAGTACGTATCCGTCTTCGTGCAGATGCACAACTTGGGAAGTGTTTCGGCAGATACGACTGCGCAGTGCTGCTGTACTGGAGGGGCGCTCCTTCAGTACATTGGTCGGGCCTCTTCTCATAAGCTTTGACTCTATTGCAGAATGCATGCATTTGTTGTTGTTTCACTGCACCCTGCCCACTGATTGGCGTCAACCCACAGCATCCGAGCACCAGACCGATTTGTACAGTCTCTATTGGCTGTCTCGCTTCGAGCTTTACCCTTTTCTCTCCGCCTGCATTCGGATTCGTCTCATCTCAGAGACAGAAATAGGAGTAGACTCGCATTCCATCCAATGACATTGTACTGCTGCTGCGGCTAGTCCGTATTCGTCCTCGCGCGTCAGGAGCCGCCCACTTTGATCTCTGCAGGCCAGTCAGGAACAATCGTGGGCCTCCACGCATACTTTTTCATTCTGGAGTCGAGCTTTCTTTGTCGTGGCTGATTCGACAATTGCCTGCATGTTGAATTCGGCGTTCAAGTTTCAACACATTCAACAAAGGGAGCACAGCAAGACATTTCGACTACATGATCGAAGCTTACTCCATACACTACAAGTCGTGGCGGTCGCCAAAAGGCGGTGGATAAGATAACAGGGTTTGAAGGGTCCCGACTCCCGGCTCTCGTGTCAAGAAGCGGACCATGCGTATCATCTTGAGTACTTGGCAGTAAGCAAATCTTCTCAGTGATAAGCCGTTGTCAACTGGATGATGAATGGCTAGTTAGTACAGAGTAAACCTAGCAAAGTCATGAATTTGAATGAAGCCGACGACCAGAATTTAGGATTGGCTGCTTGCGTGGGTATTGGATTGTGAGGAGCCAATAACATATCAATCCATTCTTCGGTGCTAGCAACCAGCATCACTTAAGTTAGTTACTAGTTATGTAGTACTTACTTACTTACGAGACACACACGTACTCGGCGGGATCATGTTTACTATGAAGATAAGGGACTGACTCCAAAACCTACTACGACATAGTAAGGCTACAAGATTCAAAAGACCGGCTGACTCACTGACTCAGGAGTGTGGCGCGGCCATCTGGAACCTTCTGGCCGAGCGCAAACGCTCTGTCATTTCCGCAGAGTCGTCCTTTTTGGCGTTCAATCATCAATCATCAGAGAGAAAGTATGTTGCAAACATACAATTGCGTGACACGGTGCTTCATGTTTGTTCTGTTCTGTCCTGTCCTGTCCTGTCAGAGAATGGAGTGTGATTCAGAGCTATGCAGGCCTGGCCAGTGACGGCGACTGGTGGCGCGATTCCCCAGTCTCACTGCGTCAGCTGTGACAATACGTGGCCGACAGCATCCATACTATGGTAGAATGGAGCTGCAATTTGCGCATATTTGCAGTATGTTACCGTATGCAACATAATTAATTAGGTAATTTACATAGCTCCCTGGCCAAAGGCAAACCCTCAGCCATCTTTTTCCATCTTTTGCATATTTTCCATTTTTTAGCCGTAACAAAACCCGTATCAGAACAGGCCCACATCCTTCCCTCGGCCTCCGTGATTGGACAAACGCTGCGTCATGACCATGGCGTGACCGATCTGCTGTTTCTCCCTCGTTCGCTGGGCTTCGGTTGGGTGAACCTTCGTTTCTCCAGCTTAATTGAATGCGGTTAGTCACTCGTGCTCTCCTCTTATCGCCGGCCGTAGTCCCATGTTCTCTCCCGTCATCTCATCCCATCATCCCATCCGCCCCTTCCTCCTCTGTCTCTATCCTCACTACACTACTTCCCTACACCGACTCTCTCCATCCACCCCCTTTCTCTTCTTTCATCCTTCGACTTTCCTGCGTACTTTTACTCCACCAATTCTTCTCTCTATTCCTCCTCTTGCTTTCGACAACATCCTCGACTCCCCAGCTCGACCGAATACGCCTACCTCCGAAACCGTCACACCTATAAGCTGTCTATAAGCTGTCTATAACTCACTTGTTTATCGGCAGACACTCTTCTCCTCTTACTCGTCCTATAGCTTTCCGGTTATCACACGTCAATCAGATAATCTCTTTCCGTCCATACCTCGAATCCTCGATATAGTTCGGTTACTGGAACTGCAGAGCTCGAGTTTCGGACAACTACTCCTTATCTACCACTTATTCTTCCGTCTATTCGACACCACCCACCACGACCGCCGACAGTTTTACATCCGTGAATTGTTTCAACGAAACATCGTTCGTCTTATCTTCCACTCCCCCCTCCGTGTGGCTGCTACTGTCGATACCTTCTCCTCCTTGCTGTGGCGTCGAGCTGCCGGAGTGAAAATTGTTAAGGTGTTGATGTCTCGATTCGTCTCGAGAGGTGCTTCATTGAACCTGTAGTTAGTCTCTTGGAGGGCTTTCCGGTGTCGTTCCGACTCTTTCACTCGTGATCATTGGATCTTTTCTGGAATATCGGCACATCGTCCAGACTCTTAACCTATACGTTGTGCTGCGATACACGTCGTCGTATGACTCAACTAACAACGATCCTACTCCGTTGTCTCCACTTTTAATGATATATGCATATTGAGTCACGACTCTTACAACAACTCAGCCTGCGACTGTCAATTCCACCAGAAACACAACTTTCACGATCTTACGAAGCGCTCCCCCCGCCCCACCTCTGTTGAGTAAAGGGACTTACTTGTCCATATCCACCTTCTCCCCTTCGCTTTTCTATATATCTTCTGCTTTTTGCTTTATCGCACCACCTCCTTCGGGAAACACTTTCGTTACATTTCATATCTTTTGCAATCATTGCAATTGCGACTATTCTTCACCACTTGGCACGACGCCGCTTTTATTTGCAAATATATTTGCAAATAACCACCAATGAGCCTATAACGCCAGTTCCCGACTTGTCGACGTTACCCATCCGGGTACCCTCATACCGACCTCCTCTCACCTGTCCGACCCATCGCTTCTCATCTCTTTTGTCAGCATATATCATCACCACTCTGCAGTATCTATATGAACTTCTAGAAGAAAGTTCTACAGACCTGCGTCTCGTTTTTTTTTTTTCTTTCCCCCTTCTTTCCCCTTTCCTGATACTGCTCTCCTCTTTTTTGCCGTCATCAGCTGCTACTGCCCAGCTCGGTGATTAGGGAGTTACGCAAGCCGTATCTTGTCTCTTTACTCAACATACCACACCACTTATACTGTCTATATACATTCTACCATTGTCCTTTTTTGTTTCATTGTCACGAAGCTACGAGCGGATTGCTGGTTCATCATCCTTCCCCCTTACTCATTATAACTCTTTTTATTCTCGTGTTATCATAATCTTCGCCTCTTCTGTTTTCGCATTCGTCACATTGCATATTTGGCGTCCCACTGTTCACATCTCTATCCGTTTTTCAAAACTATCATGGATTGTTTCAAAGACAAATTCGTTGAGGGCCAGCTCCTGGACGGGCGGTTCCGTACCGTCGCCCCATTGAACCATGGTTCATTTGGAATGGTCTTCCTTGCAAAGGACAATTGGACCGGACAAGATGTTGCCGTCAAATGCTTGACCAAGCCTACATCCGCAGATGCTTCAACCTTGGCTGTCGATATGTCTTCCGAGGAGCTTGAGTGCCACAAGAAATTGAGCCATCACCCCAACATCGTCAATCTCATTCACTCCTTCGAGACCACTACTCATACGTACTTGGTTTTGGAGTATTGCTCCATGGGTGACCTTTACGAGGCCATCCGCGTCAACCGTGGCCCTCTTGAAACCGAGCATGTTCGTGACTTTATGTTGCAGCTTCTCGATGCCGTGGAGTTTATGCATTCGAATGGCCTTTATCATCGTGATATCAAGCCGGAAAACATCTTTTTGAGCCAAGATGGTTCCATGAAGCTCGGCGACTTGGGTCTTGCTACTCGCAATGCTATCTGTCATGAGGCGTGCGTTGGTAGTGACCGCTACATGGCCCCGGAGCAGTACGAACCGCCTCAAGGTGGCTATTCGCCAGCCAAAGCTGACATCTGGGCCATTGGTATCTGCCTGCTCAACATCTTGTTCGCCCGCAACCCCTTTGTCACGCCAACCGAGTCCGATGTCTTGTTCGCAGACTACGTCAGGGATCGCCAGTCCCTTTTCGACATCTTCCCCAACATGTCTCAGGATACTTTCGAGATTTTGCGGAATGCATTGGCCCTTGATCCAGAGAAGCGTACTCTATCTGGTGTGCGGGAAGCCATCATGCGTACAGTCAGCTTCACCACCGACGACGAGACTTTGGACGAGTTCTGTACCGAGGATCGTGACGTTGTCGCAGCCAGTGCCAACCGTGAGCCGCTACGCACTCCTTCAATCCAATCTCCTCACATCAGTGCTGGCGACAGCTTCCCTTGGGCCAAAGCTCTCCAAGCAAGCCCTCAACAGCCTGTTCGTCAATTGTCGGCTATTCCGGATACCGAATACTACTCGGAAGACCTGTTCCCTCCTTCGGAGACAGCTGGTACTTCCTGGTACTCGGTTCACCCAGAGACACCTTCGACCGCTTCCATTCTGGAATCCGCCATGGGTGCTTCGTACAATTCCCTGGCAGCCCGTCCAATCCAGTCTCTTCACTCTGCTCGCATCCCCATGAGTGGGTCCTTGCCTACTCATGTTGCCAAGCCCTTGCCTGCCATGTCTCTTGTCTTTGGCAACAAAGGTAAACGGGATCAGATTTCCAAGAGCTGGAGCGACCTCTGGGATGAAGAGGAGGAGGAGTCTGAAAACGAGGACCTCACATTGCAGCAACGCCGTGAGAACAATGCTCGTAGCTGGAGCCAGGATAGCAAGGAAGATGTCAAGGAAGCCAGCAGTCCTATTCAGCCAGTAGGTGTTTTTGAACAGCAGTTGCCGTCTCCTATTGCCAGGCCAGCTGTAGAGAAATCTGAGACTCTGTCCAAGTCGGTGCCGCTGCCTATTTCGCCAAAACCTCAAGCAGTGACACCAGTCTCTCAGACACGTCATCGAAACGCTCGATTCACCGGTACTCCTAAGCGTTCCGTTGTTGATAAATGGGCTGCACTTGGTGATCGTCGCCGGAACTATCGTTCAGATGAAGAGACTGTTCCTCGCCTCAAGAAGCAGCGTTCCATGAATCTGAGCTGGAGACGCGAATCTCCACCATCCAGCCCCCAGTCATGGCGCAACCCTTTTCTCGACAAGGAATGGCGTCCGAAAGCGAAGTTGAGCAGTGACTATCACGGCAGTGTGGACGAAGACCTCGATTTGGTCGGCGGGTGGCACGATCTTCACCTGTAGTTTTATACCATCGCAACTCATTTTATTTTTCTTTCCCAATATTCTATCACGCAATCCCCCTGCTCTCCTAGACTCGTGCGTGAAGGGTGCTCTTGCTCAGTGTTTTCTTTTGACCTTGATTTATTTTTTTTTTCTTTATTTCTATATCGATCTCTACTCGACTTGTCGCCTTTGCTTTACTACTCTTCACGGGCGACATCCCGCATCGGTTTCGTCGCGGGCGATGGAAAACGGAGACACCGTGTCTTATGTATACTACGACATCACTTTCGATGGCACGGCGCAAATGGAAAAACAAAAAAGATCGTTTTACGGGGCATTGGAGCGGTAGAAGTCAGCGTTTTCTTCAGACCGGCGTTATTCTTCATGAAACCATTTCACCATATTCTTATTTTGTTGTTTGAGCACATTTCTTCCTACGGTCATTGAAAATTGCAGCTTGTAGTCACCTTTCGCATTGAGTTTTGAGAGTCCTCGGCATTTTGGTGCTCCATCAAAAATGTCGGCAAGAAAGAGAAGGAAGTGCTTGTACATTAGCACCTGGACGTCTGCCACTGCTCTATTCTCTGCGAATAGGGTAGTGGAAGGAGAAATTTTTGGGATTGCGGAATGCTTTTTTGTTTTTCAGCTGGCTTATTTTGCAGCGGTTCGTCAGTCGATTTAGATCTTCCTGTCGTTTCTGGTCACCTAGTTTGTACTTGGTGTGCTTTGAAGTCGATTGGAGGAAGGGCCTGTATTGTAGGTAGCTAGCTAGATCATTATTCTTTTTCTTGAGAAAGAAAGGAAAAGCAAATGGACAGTTTTGAAATTGGGAATTCTGCCTTCAGGATGTAGCACGCCACATATTATCCGTTTTCGTTCTTTGAAGTCTAAAATTAAGGGAAGTTTATCCGATGTCAGCGGTAAATTGTTAATCCGGCGCTCACCGTTCTGCCATCGCCGACCGTTGAGAGGCTAGCGACTCGGCTTATCTTAACACTTCAACTACATTCGACCACCTTTCAAAGTTAACACCAAGATAACTACTGTACGCCACACTTTTGAAAAATAACTTGTCGCATTCCTTCTCAGAGCCCTCGTGACAATCGCAATCAATTTCGTCTTTGTTCATCTTCCCCCTCTTTCTACCCTTCTCCCCAACCACCGGTTTCTTTGCGAACCGTGGTTGGGACCGCCGTTACATACACCGTTTCGACACCATACCTACTCTGGCCTTTTCCTTTTTGACCGCTTGTCCATAACGCCATAAGAGTTTCCACTTGGGAAACTTTGACACTGGACAGTTTATTGCAGTGCAGAATTAGTCGGTTATTTCAGAGGCTGTATATGCCTAATTAGCAGATGTGAGTTGGACATTGTACCCACTGTGTGTTCGCAAGCTCGTGATGTTTGCGCCCACACACAGACTTGATATTGTCGACAATATCGCTTCTCCAATTTCTCTCTCTACCTCCATTTCCTCATGCTGGACCATGACTTCGTTCGGACTGCAATTATCGTATTGGTTACTAACATGTTTGCATCTGCACAGGACTTTTTGTTATACTGGGTGAGACAGCGCGCTGTCATCGCCGCACTCCGCAGTGCCTATTCCAATAACGACAAAAACCAAACCTTCTCTTATATCTTGCGCTGCCGCGACGTTTTGATTATTATCGTCATGACGGGAGCTTGCATAATTCAGGTGTTGAGGTGGATGCAGGTGTGGGTGTTGCTTGCATCTGACTTCTTGGCGCATGCAACCGCGTCGCAGCTCCAAGTTCAGTCTAATGATAATCAATTTCTGATATGTCATGCGCCGAGTTTTTATGATGTGATTTTTCCGATTTGTTCTATATACGATGAGAGTGGTCGAGGGTCTGATTACGTTTCGATTGTTCCTACCGAGCCATCTGCGACAACTACTTCGACGACGGGGGCAGCGCAGTCATCGCCACCGCCAGTACAAGACACCGATGTTAATGAACTTGACGCCGACTCAGCTCTTGATACTGCGGATTTCCTCTCATTCGAAGACTGGAAGAAGCGGAACCTCGCCAAAATTGGACAGTCTGCTGACAACGTCGGCGGCAAGCGACAGGGTGGCGACATCGGCCAGGAACGTCGGACACAGGCTAGAGCCATTAATAACGCTCTAGATGCGCTTGGAGATGATGCAGAGATTGAATTGAATTTTGATGGATTTGGTTCCGAATCTGCGCAGGCCACACCTTGGGAAAGTGGAAGTGGGAATGAGAAAGTGAATAGCGATGGAGAAACCAGCGTCGATAACGATTCTGCCGACGGTGTCTCCGCGGTGGGTCGGCGAAAGGACGCTGGCACGACGTGCAAAGAACGGTTCAACTATGCATCTTTTGATTGTGCTGCCACAGTACTCAAAACAAATCCGGAATGTTCTGGGTCATCCTCTATCCTTATTGAAAATAAGGATAGCTACATGCTGAATGAATGTCGCGCAAAGAATAAATTTCTGATCCTTGAGTTATGTGACGACATTCTCGTCGACACAATCGTTCTTGCCAATTACGAATTCTTCAGCTCTATCTTTCGCACATTTAGAGTCAGTGTCTCTGATCGATATCCCGTCAAAGCAGATAAATGGAAGGAACTTGGAATATTTGAAGCCAAGAATACTCGAGCGGTCCAGGCTTTTGCGGTGGAGAATCCGTTGATCTGGGCTCGTTATGTGAAGATTGAATTCCTCACGCATTATGGGAATGAATTTTACTGTCCTTTGAGTCTTGTTCGAGTGCATGGTACCACTATGCTGGAGGAGTATAAAAACGAAGGGGATGCAAGCCGTTCTGACGAAGAGGTTATGGAAACCGCTGAAGAGGTTGGAAGGCCAGTAGAGGATGAGCAGGAGATATCTGTGCAGGGGCAGGGGGCATTGGATAACTCTACCGTACCCATATCGAATCCAATCTTGGACATTTGGGAAAGCACTAGTCCATTGAATGGTAGTGTGTTAGAGATGGCGGCTTTGGAATTTTCGACGTTGAAGACAGCTACATGTGCTGCGGACTATTCCGCCATCGAGACGCCTGACACACTGAATCAGACTGCTGTAGCTGCTTCAACTGGAAGTGCAAATATCACCATTGTTACGCCTTCCGACTCGAAGGCATCTCCAGAACAAACGATCAATGGTGACATGAACATGGCTTCACGAGTCGGAAGCCAAAACGCTACCACCCGTGGATCAGCTCAAGATTCCTCAACAGTCAGAACATCGGTTGCATCCGGGGAGGACTCTACCTCTGCAGTAGAGCCTACAAAAGTAATACCTTCATCCCCGCCGTCGCCCAATCCTACTACGCAGGAGTCATTCTTCAAGTCGGTCAACAAACGACTACAGATGTTGGAATCCAACTCGACGTTGTCATTACTCTATATCGAAGAACAATCGCGGATGCTCAGGGATGCCTTTAGCAAAGTGGAAAAGCGACAGATGGCTAAAATGAATACATTTCTCGAAGACTTAAATAACACGGTCATTGATGAGATTAGAAACCTTCACATGGTCTACCAGTCTCTTCGTACAATTGTTCTCGATGACTTTGAGCATCAGCAACGAGAGGTCTCTACAGCTGCCTCTCAGCTCGCGATTCTTACGAACGAACTCGTGTTTCAGAAACGCATGACGGCGTTATCTAGTGTCTTGATCATGATCCTGTTTGCTCTGATTCTTTTCCCGCGTGGGTCAGGGATTGTAGGTGGCATAGATTTTCAAAGCATGATTACATGGTCTCCGCGTCCGAAGATGTCCAGGTCCTCGAGGATACCTAGCACTGGGCCGTCCAGTCCTAGTCTTGAGTCAGAGACTCAAACACCACCTACTGTCAACCCTTCGAAAAAGAAAGCGCACCGACGACAGTGTTCGAACGCGCTTCGTCACGAGTCAATCAAGGATCTACGCGAATGCGCAAACTCACTGGCGCATTCGTCTGAAGAAGACCTCCAATTCAGTGGATACGAAGACAACGGCCGTTTTCGCTCCATGTCTGATTTCTCCGATTCGGATATTAGTAAGATTCCTTATACACCGTTCTCGTCGGATATTCAACATATGCTCGGTTACGACGCTGTACGTATGCGACCACAGATCAATGTGGTGCCAGATACGACGGCATCGTCGCCTAGTCCTTCGCCTTTACCAAGTGTACCCCAGGACCGACCCGTTAGCAGTCCGCCAGTGCTGAAAGCTGCTCCTAGCGTTGACCATCCCACGAACGGTGACCATGTTGATGACATACAGCGAGACGACAGCGATGCAGAAAGTGATACATCGACAGAACCTTTTCCGCCATTTCCTACAGATTAATCCGAATCTATGAAACGAAATTACGTACCTATGAACCTATTCGAATTCTTCTACACGACAACTCTTGACGATTTCAATGATACTTAGACCTCATCTCTACCTTTTACCTACGACCTACAACCACCTATGACCGCCTATTTTTTAATATTGCTTCAAGCATGATCGAGACAAAGTCCGATCATACTGTATCTTTACATTTAATATTGTGACACGATCCGCATTGGGTGGTTTGCGCGTGTATACGCATTTTGATGACAACAGCGACAGCACAAAAAGCAAGCATGGCGTTAGTTAGCGATTGTTTTGATGTTTATCAGTACTACCTATGCATTTATACCCCTGTATTTTATGAGCGACAATTCATTAATCATCATTTCTCCTTTTTCTCTAGTCGTTAAGTACGTACCCCGTAACTAAGTATGACGCATAACCCAGGCATACAATCCTGGGCGGTTGCTGGGCCAACAATCGGGACTGCCCTATCCACCATTGCATAATTTTTCAATCTTGCTTTGCTCTGATCTCTCTTAATCAACTAACTAAGATACAAGTCTAACTAACTGCTGCCTGAAATCCTGCGAATTTGGTGACTACTCCATCGGCTTGGCTCAAAGTTTGTTCTGGAATTTCCCATCCATAATACTTGGTCCCAGCTTTGTTTTGTTTACTCACTTATATCCATATAAAGCAGGGAGATCCTTCGTTTCCTCTTCCTTCTCACGTTTCATCAAACAAACATTCCTGAATCTTTGAATCATTCTCTTCTGGTCTTTCATAGACGCGAAACAATCCTCAAAACGATGGACTCTTCTACCCAAAACCAAACGCAACCACTCACCACGCGCTCAACAAACACTCACCTCTCGCAATCATCAACCGCCACGATGCAATCAACCGACGCGAAGAAATTCATCGACATGGACTCCAAACCAACAACAGACGCCTTGAAAGTGTCAATGGAACATCACCGCAAGGCCCTTCAAGAGAAACTCCAGAACGGTGGCGGCGCCGACGATCAGTACGTTTTATCATCCTGGGAAGCTAGGCGGTAAATCTCTTTCTCCTTATGTTTTATCATTTTTCTCGCCTTTCCGTTTTGGGTTTTTTTGGTTGCTTGCAATTGGAGAACACTAAAAACAGTAAAAAAGAGAAAGAGAGAATAAAGAGGATTCTTGGATTTTTCTGCCGCGTCCTATTGATCAGAAGATGGGTGCTAATTATTGTTGATACAGGTCTAATAGAGCAAACTATGTCTCGCCCTCGGATGATATTATGAGTCCTTGCACGAAGAAGTTGAGTGATCTCAAGGGCAAGCGGTTCAAGTACGTCTCCTGTCTATTACTTATGATGTATATCGTACTGACTTATTTGTAGGGCCGGAAAACCAACCTCACTCTTCGCAAAGCTGGGCAAGAAGAATTACGAACAGTCTTCTGCTTCTGCTTCGCCGTCGCATGGTGCTCCCGCTCCAGAAGCCGAATAAGAGGTTCCCTTCTTTTGGAGTTTTGTCAGGATACAGGATACTGGTTACGGATGATATGATACCCTAATTCTTCATTTTTCTATTTCTTCAAGAGTCTCCCTAGATGGAGCGCTTCCATTCATGTCATTCGTTTCATTGGCTTTTGGGATACGGAATTTATTTTCCTTTTCGACTCTCGGATATATTTCCTTTGTATCAACGAACAAATTGCTCAGACAGGCTACGTGTGTATTATTAAACATTATCAAAACAATCGTATGGTTCCTTTTCTGATATTGTATGATTGCGGAGTAACTAGTTACATAGTACTACGTAGTCAACCGAGGTTGGCGGCTATACCCCATACTCCGCTAAACCTAAGGGAGATCTCTCCGGTCTCCGCTGTTGCTACTTTATCTACGACCTCAATCACCTATCCCTTTTTATTTCCTAATTACTGCCATAGGAATACGATTCAGTATCCCTCATTTTGTAAACATCTACATATAAACTCACAATGCCTGCCTCAGCAAATATCCCCGCCATTGCGCAAGCACATGTCAGCGAACGCGCAAAGAAGACACTCGACCTGGTCAGTACTTCACCACACCTCATAACCACAAACTAACTATATGGCAGGTCGAAGAATTCGTCGAAAAAGAATGCATCCCCGCAGACCCAACGTACTTGAAACAAATCGGCGAGGGAGCCCAACAGCGCTGGAACGCCCACCCACCCATCATCGAAGAACTCAAGACCAAAGCCCAAAAATTGGGATTATGGAATATGTTTTTACCAAAGAATCATTTCTCCCAAGGGGCTGGGTTTAGTAATTTGGAGTATGGGCTTATGGCGGAGATATTGGGGAAGTCGCGTGTTGCTTCTGAGGTATTTTTCCCATCCAATTTGATGTGAGGGGAGAATGGCTAATTGTTTGAATGGGGTAGGCTACTAATAATGCGGCTCCGGATACTGGCAATATGGAAGTTTTGGCCAAGTATGCCAATGAAGCTCAGAAGAAGGCGTGGTTGACTCCATTGTTGGAGGGAAAGATTCGCTCTGCTTTCCTCATGACGGAGCCTAATGTCGCATCGAGTGACGCCACGAATATTCAACTTAATATCCGTCGGGAGGGTGATGAATACGTTCTTACTGGACAGGTATATCTCATTCCCGTTTGAGTGTAAGTATGTTACTAATTCAGACGACAGAAATGGTGGTCCTCTGGAGCAGGAGACCCTCGCTGCAAACTCTACCTTGTTATGGGCAAATCCGATCCTCATAACCCAGACCCTTACCGCCAACAATCTGTCATCATCGTGCCCGCCGATACACCGGGCATTACAGTCCATCGCATGATGCACGTATTCGGCTACGACGACGCACCCCACGGACACGGCCACATCAGTTTCAAAAACGTGCGCGTCCCCGTCTCAAACCTCGTGTTGGGCGAAGGACGCGGCTTTGAAATTATCCAGGGCCGTCTGGGACCCGGTCGTATCCACCACGCGATGCGCGCCATCGGTTCAGCCGAAAAGGCACTCGAATGGCTCATAACCCGCATCAACGACGAACGGAAAACCACATTCGGAAAACCGCTTAGTTCCCACGGCGTAATTCTCGAATGGCTCGCTCGATCTCGTATTGAGATAGACGCTGCGCGTCTCCTGGTTCTTAATGCAGCTATCAAAATGGACCAGGGTGATGCGCGCTCTGCCCTCAAAGAAATCGCAGAAGCAAAAGTTTTTGTCCCCACTGTTACTCTGGCAGTAATTGATCGTGCGATTCAGGCGTTTGGTGCTGCGGGTGTGTCGCAAGATACGCCCCTGGCGAACATGTGGGCTAATGCGCGCACGTTGAGGATTGTGGATGGTCCGGATGAGGTGCATTTGCAGCAGTTGGCTAAGAGGGAGAATAAGGCGAGGAAGGATGAGTTGATGACAAAGTTGCGGTGGCAGGCTGAGAGGGCGGATCAGTTGCTGCTTGCTAATGGGTTTGCGGCTAAGGCTAAGATGTGATCGTTCATACCGAAGAAGTTATGAATTTTTTGAGCATATATAATCATTTCTTTTGAAATACAAAATCAATGGACGAGACAGAATTTACCGAAACATCGGAATCGAGATTGAATCATTTGTCTAGTACTGTATTGATCATTCACATCTGTCTGATAAGTACGAACTGGCACGAGAAAAAAAAGGAGGTCAAACGTAGCTGATCTAATAACAAATAAAGAAAAGTGGTCAAACGCCAGGTATCATGCCATCACGATGAAGGTATTCGGAATTCATTAAAAAAAAGGGGGGGCAGAGACAAAAGAAAGATTGATTCATCCAGCATTAGAAATATGCATGTACATTAAACGGCAGTCTAACGAGACTTTGTTTGACGACCCAGCGTCTCTACGCGATATCCCAATTTCTCCATCTCTGGCACATCCAACACTCCACGGCCGTCAAATATCCATTTGGGATCTTTCATGCCGTAGGCAATGCGTGCCCATTCGACTGGCTCGCTTGACATGGCTCCTCGTAATTTGGTTGATTGACAATCTGGGCAGTCCTCGGCGCAAATAGGTGATTGACCAGGTAGGTAAGAGAAGCGACTTCCCTCGATGACTATATCCTCTGAAACAGCGTGCACATGAGGAGAAGGTTCGTAATAAGTTCGCGTACCCCCATCAACATTTGAATTGCGCTGCTTGGCGGGAGATTGACGGAATGGATCTGAGTCGTTGATGACCACCACTGCATGAGCTTGTTGGCATGCCTGGTAAGCATCTGAATATACGTGGACCCGTTCTCGGGTTGCAGAATCCAAGATTGGCTCTAATTCACGGATAATATCCTCTGACAGGCAGCATGGGTCGAAAATGGCGATCTCTCCTGGCCTTTCCTGCAACAAAACTCGAATGACATCCACTGCTAGCGATTCTCGTGTATCACCCGTGTTCTTCTTGAAAGCGAATCCCAAAAGGGCGACCTTCTTGCCAACCAGATTCTCTTCCAAACGTCGAATGATCTTATAAGCAAAGCGGTCTCGTTGCCACTCGTTCATAGAATTCACTTGACTCCAATAATGTGCCACCTCAGGCAAGCCCAACGACTCGGCCAGGTATGTTAAACTGGAAATATCCTTACGGAAGCATGAACCACCGAACCCCAGGCCGGCCTTGAGGAACTGTGAGCCGATGCGAGGGTCGATACCAGCTGACTTGGCAATTTCGTCAATGTCAGCTCCGGTTTTATCGCAAATAGCACTGATGGAATTGATGCTGCTTATACGTTGCGCCAGCATCGCATTGCTAACTAGCTTAGCAAGCTCAGATGACCAGGCGTTGACTTCCAATATTCGAGGACGAGGGACCCAGGCTGCATAGACATTGGCGAGGGCCTCTGCCGCCCGACGGCCGGAAGGAGTCTTGTCCGACCCAATGAGTACGCGATCAGGTTGCATCAGGTTTCGCACGGCTGTGCCTTCTGAAAGGAATTCTGGGTTGGAGACAATCTCAAAGGGAACACCGGGGCGGACTTCATCCAGCTTGGTAATGTTAGTGACGCGCGATTTGCGCAGCAACCTGGGAAGAATCTTACCATCTTTCGTACGCGCTGCGCTGTACCGCATGGGACTGTACTTTTCTCGACGATGATCGTGCCCGGTCTAGCATATAAAGCCACCTCTTTGGCTGCCGCATCAAAAGTTGTCATGTTAGTTGCACGGCCACCCCCGACACCAAATGTCTTTGTTGGGGTGTTGACAGCCAGCATAACCACATCGGCTTTGGCCAAACTGGTCTGTGAATCCGTTGTGAAGAATAGATTAGGAATGCGATCTACTGGAGTGTCCGCAACCGAAGCATCCCTCAAACGAGCACTGGCTCCATCGCGGCTCACTCTGACTATATCAACGAGACCCGGCTCATAGATAGGGAGATGAGGCGAGTTCCACCGGCGCACACGTCGGGGATCTTTATCGAGTACATCTACCCGTATATGTGGGTTGTGCAGCGCGATAACTGCGGCAGTGGGACCACCTATTTGGACTATCAGCACCTAGTTTCCACGACTTACATAACCAATTTGAATCATTGCCGTTCTGAACGAATTTGCTTACCAACATAGCCCGCTCCAACCACAGCAATGTGTCTCACTAGCTTGGAAAAGAGAGCGTCCCGTTGATTGGGAGCAGCATGAAAAGGAAGCTTCTTCGCGAGTGCATTGACTGGAGGTTTCATCTTGTTGAGGTATTGGGCGAGCGGTGTCTCGAGCACGTCTTCAACACGCGCGGCGCCGAGTAGAGGGCTAATACTTTCCGGTGTGGTAGGGCCAGTCGAGTCGTCGCAGGAGCTATCATCGGCCGTAGTGGACGGCGATGTAGAGAGGAAATCCATACTGTTGGCGAAATCGTATGAATCCATGGGATTACGCGCCGTGTTCTGGTGTTGCGTGCTGTCAAGTCTGTTTGACGTGCGGGCTCTGCACTAGAATCGATCGACGAGCTTGACCGAGATGCGATCTAGACAAGAGAAGCCGTTGTTAAGCAGACAGCAAGGGCATGACAAAACCTGGGATGAAGAAGAAGAAGAAGTGAGACGGGAAGGGAATAATTGACGAAGCGTGATAAAAATAAAAATCGAGAGCACAGGATCAATCGAGCAAGCCGTCTTTTGCCTTCGGCATCAATGCACATGCCACTAGGAGGCTAACAGGGTCACTGTATGGGTAACAAATCTCCTGGGAAAGAATTAAGGGCAATGCGAAGAGCGGTCTTTACCTATCGGGGCAAGGACAGGCTCGCATGACGGGGAGAAAGGCTGACAGAGACCACGGGGGCCGATTGATTTGCTCTTGACTAAACACACTGAATCCCGAAGTGGCTAAACGATGAAGTCGACGATTAATGATAGGATGTAGCGCGGACGGAGTTGTAACGGGAGAATCTGAGAGGATGCAGCAACCTGACGGCCAATCAGCGCCGTCACGGGACTCCGAGCGCGTTCCTTCCTCGCATTCACGAGCTCTGCCTGCCATTCTCGTGTGAGGGTAGCACCTGCCGTGGTGATATCGAAGCAACTGCGCGAAGGAAGGAGCGTTCGTCGAGTGCAAATCGCGGATCATTGCACGCCCTATACAATATGCGCGCTGATTGGCCGATATGGGCAGTAACGGCAGGTGGGGGCAGAGGCCATGGGCATTCGGGAAGGACCCATTGGACGAAGCCAAGAGGGAAGCTACGATAAGGAAGGCGCGATAAGATAGGGTAAACCACCCCACGTGCACGGACAAGCTGTTCGCATTCCACCACCGCGACTTCTTTTTGCTCTGAGAAAAAAAACGGCGGCCCAATTGAACCACTGGATGCGGTGAGACGGAGATCCAATCTGGCAGACCTCTGTGTGCACGCCTGGGGATCACTGCATGCCTTCATCAATCCTCACCATAACGCGCGGAATAAGGAGGCACCTGTCGGAGCCGCGAGACATGTCCGGCAGTCATCAAACCTTCATTTTTGGTCTAGTCTGAGGGGTCCAGTACAACGATATCATCACCTGTGAGAAAACTGTCCCCGCTGTGGCTCACAGTTGTGTTTGCTACCGCTCCTGACATACACAGCATAAAAAAGTGTCTCGCCCCCGGATTCACAACGAAGAAGGGGACGGCTTGCAAGCACACCTTGCAGCCGCTCCGTCAGCAACTATAGCGTTGAGGCATTCCAAAGATAAAATGGCGAGTCAAGCAAGTTCCACGAACGCGCGTGGCGATGAGTTCCCACCAGCGTTGAAGGGAAAGCGCATTCTCCTGGCTACGGAATCGCTCGGTCCCGTCAATGGTGTCAGCAGGACAACAGGTATGCTCATAGAATACCTCAGAGCCAACGGCGTCGATTTGGCGGTTGTCGCTCCTCGTTATGAAGTCAAAGATCAACTGCATACAAAACCACCAACAGCGCCATCGCATTCTCGTTCTGGATCGGAAGTGCGACTCCACGGTTATCCGCTACCGTATAACCCCGATTTGACTGTGGTATACCCTTTCCGTTTTGACCGTGTCTGCAGCCGCACGTTTCAACCGGACATAGTGTATCTCGCGAGTCCGGCGTCAGTGGGTTACCAGTTTCTCTGGCAAATCCGCCAGTTGCAAAAACCACCGGTGGTTTTGCTCAACTACCAGACCGATCTAGCGGCTTATTCCTCTATCCTGCTCCCAGGTGCTATGGGTCGCTTTGGGACATGGTTGGTGAATCGAGTGCAGGGGTTTCTTTTCAATCATCCCTCGGTCGAGACCATCTTTTATCCTTGCTCGGATGTCCGAGCTTACCTAGAAGAGGCTGGAGCCCCCTCTAATCGCTTAGTACAACTTGGCCGAGGAGTGGATACTGTCACATTCAACCCCAGACACCGCGACGAATCCTATCGACGACAGCTTGCTCCGAACGGTGAAATTATCCTAGCGTATACTTGTCGCCTGGCACCCGAAAAGGGCTTCGAATTCCTAGCCGATGCCGCTGTCCGACTCGCCAAGGAGGGTCTTGCGTACAAACTTTTGATCGTGGGCGGAAACAGGAATCCAGCCGTCGAAGCCGATGTACGAACCCTTTTCGAACCCGTCCGGGATCGTGTCATCTTCACCGGTTTCCTTGGCGGCGAATCCCTAGCACGGGCCTATGCAGCCGCAGATGTCTTTTTGCACTGCTCAATTACCGAGACCTTTGGACTAGTCGTTCTAGAATCGATGGCCAGTGGCGTTCCCGTCATAGCGCGCAACCAAGGAGGTCCGTCGGATATTGTCAAGCATGGAAAGACGGGATATCTAGTTGCACCTGATGATCTGGATGAATTCGTTCGACTGACCCTAGAAGTGTCTCGAGACTCGGAACTCCGTCATAACCTCGCCGTCAACGCTCGAGCCTTTGCCGATGAAACCACTTGGGAGAAAATCAATCGTCGCGTAGCCTGGCACATTGTGGATGGATTAGAGAACCATTCTCGACGGTTGGAAATGAAGAAAGCGCAACGACCCATTCGAAACTGGATTTCCGCCCAATACTCGGAATTTGAAGCTCATATATTGTGGCCTTTGATCGAACAGGTGCGCGTAAACGCTGCTATAGCCTTTGTCTTTTTCATGTGGATGATTGCCGTGATACCGTTGATCTTGCATGGGAGTCGGATGTTCCATTTTGTTCAAACTATACCCCTTATGTTTCAGCAGGCGCAGAGCAATCGTTTATTGCGATGATTTCTAGAAGGTCATTCATTTTGCTTCAGACGGCGTTTTGATCTTTATACCTTTTGGTGATAATGTTATGTGACACGATTCCCTTCCCCTTTTCACTTCTCACGATGCGAGTAAATAGCACACCTTTTATATCCTGAGAATTATCGATAACTGAATATAGAGCAGAACTTGCAAACTCCAACATTGTGTGTACGCACGCTACACGTTTAAAAGAAGCCCTAACCCTGCAAAACCAGGAAAAGTTGACATTCACGTCATAAATGGAACCATGATTCACCAGCTCAATGTATCTAATCAAACGCTGTAATATAAAAAAAGAAAAAGATCATTGCGAGCCTTCTCCAAGGATTCATCCTCAAAATCAGTATCCATCATAGTCATCAGCACCTACACCCAACGGCGCTTTCCCTTTCCCACTCTTATTATGCGTCCTCTTACCACCTTTAAAATGCTTCTTCGAAGAACCAATCAACCCTTTAACCTCTGACGGATCAATATTTTTCTCCAATGCAATCATGGCCCTCTCCTTACGACCAGTGAGTTGCTTCGCTTTCCCTTGTTCGGAATATTTATAGTTGAACGGCATCGTCTGATGACCCCTAGAACCACCTGAGCCAGGGCCGAAAAATCCCTTGTCGAGACGACGGGATCGAGGTCCGTTTTCTACTGGTGTTGCTGCTGAGGAGGTTTGTGAGGTTGCACCACCGGTAAATTCGGAGACTAGAGAGGCTGCGTCGTCGAGGATATCCACGTTTTCGCCGGTGGCAGCGGCGGCTTTGAGTAATTGAGCGCGTCTCTTTTCAGGCAGATGAGCGAGATTGTATAAATCGCGATTGAACTCGGCGGGATCAATGACTGGGCCGCCTTCGCTGTCTTCTTCGTCTGTCTTTGAGGCTGGGGGTGGGTGGCAGTAGAGTAGTTTACCGTTGACGTAGTCTTTGAGAATATAACGTGCCGCACGAGACTCATCAGGTTGACCCAAACCCTGGGTCGCGAACCCACGAGCTCTGGCATAGGCGCGCAAAAGTTCATTCGCATTTGGTATTCCAGTACCGCCTTCTTCGATAGGTCTGGTGTAAATCTTCATACCGTAGACTGCTTCCAAGAAATGCTTCGGAATACGGTGCGCCACAAGTCCAGCAGGACCTGTAAATTCACGCAATTGATCAATGGGGAGCACACCATTGACGACCAACTCGGCCTTTGTACTCGCGAAATTGGGGAACACAAGACCGGGACAATCACAGAGAAGTAGATTTGGTGACAAGTAGAGGGTTTGGAAATGTTTTGTTTTACCGGGTGTTGCGGAAACAGACACCTTCTTAGCTCCGAGGAGTGCGTTGATTGTACTGGACTTTCCGACGTTGGGGTAGCCGACAAGACCGATGATTGTCTTGTCTTTTTGGGGGTTATCGGAGCCTTCCTCTGGTTGTGGAGCGTTTGCCAAAAACAGTTCCTCCAATTCCTCGACATCAAGAATCCTGGTCCTCAAATCACTTTCCGTCTTTTCAGATTGTAGGTCTTTCTGTGCTTCATCATCGATATCCTCCTCACTCGACCATTCTTCATCAACGAGTTGTTTCTCTCTAAGGTTCATCTTTCGTTGTGTCTCTGCAGCCAAATCCTCTGCATCATCAACATCTTCTCCTGAAGATGAGTCTTCCTCGAGCAAACGTGCCTCATTTCGCTCTTTGGCCAAGTGAGCTGAGAAGAAACGGTAGCTGATCCCATGCTCTTCAAAGTAATCCGCCCACAATGCTCGTTGCTCCGGAGTCAACATATCTGCCTTGTTCACCAGCAGAAGATTCCTCTTCTTCGAATCTATTTCCTTGACGTACTTTTCCAGATCCTCCGAACGGAAAAGAAGGGGATTCCTTGCATCGACAATTTGCACAACCAGGTCTGATCGTTCGATAACACGCCATAATTGTCTCCAAACTTCTACGTTTCGCTCAAACGGTGTCATTAAAAGATCGTTGCTCTCTTGTAGTTCGGCCAATCCTCTTCTCCACTCGAGCAGAGACTCCCTTTCCATAGCATCCAATTTCTCAGGTGTTGTCGTCGAGTCCCATTTTGGCCGTCTCGGAATAGTCAAACGCTCTTTATTCTTTTGTTGTTTCCTGACAGCAAACCGTTCCTCGGCTGCGGACAGCAAGAACGGATTCTTCTGATCAGCGTGTATAATCTTAACATTATTGATCTTCTCCGCGGTAAAATCGGTATCTGCCAACTCGGCAGTGCTAAGAAACTCGTCAAGTGCGGCTTGCTCGGTAATACTTCGCATCTTCACCCATGATGCCTCCTTTGCCGCATTTGTGATGTACGTCTCACCACTCTGGTTCTTTCTTGCAATAGAGGCATTGTGTGATACTTTCTTCTGAGAGGATGCTTTGCCTCGTCCGAATCGATCGTTCATAAGACTGTTGCCCAGTCCCACCGTGTTTTTGGATTTCGCGAGAACCATATTGGCTGGTCTCCAAGTGGCTAGAATATGAATGTATCCGTGAAGTGTGCTCTCAATAGAGAGAATGCAATTTATCTTTTCAAGGGTATATTTTTGTCCAAGTGATCGAAAATATAAATCTGAGATGGAACTGTGGCGTTTAATTATTTCTAATACAAAATTTCTTGAAACCCCCGCTCTGTTTTTAGATAAGATAGAATCCGCGATTAGTCAGCCACTATTTTCGCTAATCGATAAGATAAGATCGCACGTGATCTCAAATTTCTGCCCACTTTATCCAAAGTGAGGGACCTTGCAAGGACTTTTGTGTCTTTCTCAAATACTGAAGTTAAGAAGTCAAATCATATATTAGACATTTAATATGCCTCCTCGACGCTGGATGTAAGCCATCTCAATAATTTTCCATTGCGATCTGAATTAACAATATTCAATCACAGAGACAAGAAAAATGCGACGACGTACCAACTATTTCACAGATCTCAGCAAGATCCGCTGATCCACGATCCTACTGCGGACGATAGAGTGCTACACCCAGTTTACGGACCGAAACAAGGCGCACCGGCTCTTTCAACCACTGCTTCGTCGGCGTCCCACAAGACTTCCAGGAACCTAAAAGAATTAGAATCCGAATTCAGCACGGAAAATGTCCGCAAAAATGAAGGCGAGGCCGCCAACTACGGCATTTACTACGATGACTCCAAATACGACTATATGCAACATCTACGAGAGTTGGGTACTGCTGGCGGCAATTCGTACTTCGTCGAGGCGGCACCAGATAAAGCAAAGGGCAAAGGTAAAGGAATGAAACTGGAAGATGCTCTGCGGGATTTCTCTATCGATGATTCACGGAGTGAAATTGGAGGATCTGCAAGTGTTTATGGCTCTGAATATGCTCGTTCAACGGCGTCATCCTACGTGCGAAAACCGACGTATCAAGATCAACAGGATGTGCCCGATGTGATTGCTGGATTTCAGCCAAATATGGATCCCCGTCTCCGTGAGGCTTTGGAAGCTCTTGATGATGAAGCCTTTGTGGATGATGAAGATGATCATGATATTTTCGGTGAACTCACGCGCAATGCTGAAGAGGTAGATCCCGAAGAATTCCAAGATACACTATATGAAGACGAAGATGATGGTTGGGAGTCAGATGCTACAGAAAAAGCATATCCTCAGACATCAGACACGAAAACCGCCGGCCAGAATGATAACGAAGCAACTGTTGCACAACAACATGATCCCTCTGAGATGCCGGATCACGATAAACCAGTCCCAGATCTAGCACCAGAAAATGCCGATTGGATGCGCGAATTTGCAAAATTCAAGAAAGAAGGCAAGACATTAAACAACACACCAGCTGCAAACCCGGATGCAGGAACCGAGAAGCACACAGTCGCCTCCACACTGTTCACAGTCGGAGGAACTCCGATCCGCAAGAAGAAGCGCAAAGGTGCATTGACAAATCCATCTGCATATTCCATGACTTCATCTGCACTAGCAAGAACAGAAGGATTACGGCTTTTAGATGACCGATTCGAGAGAGTCGAAGCACTCTATGCCCTTGACGAGGAAGGTGAATACGATGACGCCAGCTGTGCCGATGGCGCTTCAATGATCAGTGGTATGACTGGCGCCACTGGAATGACCGGAATGTCTGCCGCTTCATCCCAAGCGCCTAGTCTGGTCTCCAGAGGTGGCGACTATAGTAATGCCCCTCTACCAAGCAACTTTGATAATGTCATGGATGATTTCTTATCTGGCTGGCAAGATCGGAGTAAGCAAGCGAAGCGCAAGGGTGCTAAAGGGAAGAGAGGTAAAAATGGTAATGAGGTTTTGGGTATTGCAATGTTGGACGAGATTAGGCAAGGCTTGGGGCCTGCCCGAGTTCCTGCTCGTGGAAAAGCATAGTGTTAAGAAGAAAGCGTATATACCTGTTGATAGTTTGACGATTAATGCACCATGTCTTCTTCTCTGCCGGTTTGACTTCCAAGATTTAATCGAATCTAGCCAAACTGCTATTGATACTTAAGTATCAATTGATTATATCTATTACGTATATCTATCATTATTGTACATGGATTATCATAGCGTATCTACAATGCACCACCAACCTTTTCCACAATCCACATCGCGAGTCGCACATTCCAGCCAACTCTGCGCTCTGTTCTGCGTAGGTCCTCTCTCGAGACAGGCTTCGAATTCTCCTGTAGCCATTCTGTCTCTTCATATAGACGCTTTTTCAACTTTTCGTCGGATGTAACAACTAAAGCCCCAACTTCTAGATCAAGACTATAACTTCGTTTTGTGTAGTTACTACTCCCAACAAAAGTCAGACTTGGATATTTGTCGTTTGGTAATGTGATCCATAGGCCCTTGGCGTGATATGTCCAGCCATTGGGTTCGCCCACAGTTCCTCGGCGCCACTCTCTCAGTTGAATTGAGTTTGTTCGTTGGGCTTCGGCGACTCGGTCTAGGAATCTGGCGGATAGGTGGGTATATGCCGCTGGAAGCATTCCAGATATACCGGGTGAGCCGTAAAATCCGTTGGCCCACGGAGACGCTGTAAGAACGGTGCCTTGGGTCTTGGTTGCAGGTTCCTGTGTAGACCGTATTTGAGAAGTACTCTCTATCAGTAGGGATGAAAGTGTGGGATGTATGTTGAAATATCCTGCAGTGAAAAGCCAACGAGAGTCTTTGTACGCAGAGACGTTGGTGAGTAAGTGGAGAATGCTAGTGACAGCAGGGAATTCGGTAGATGTGTCGGGTTGAAGTAGCGGAGTCAACTGCGCCACAGGGTAGACATATGTCTTTTCTGTTGCACGCATAGAAGTAGCCTTTTCTTGAGCTATCGGTTGTATCAGCGAGTGCAGTGCTGTAGATGATTTGTTTATGAATTCCTTGGGATTCTCCAGAGGTGAGTTTGCATTGTTCGAGGAAGGCCATATCAATTGATAACCGGCTGCACTCTTCGCATCAGGAAGGACCTGAAAACTTAGTCGACAGACGGCGTCATGAATTTTGCCGTAGTAGTCGGCGAGTCCCTTGGAGTTGAAGACATGGTATCGGTCAACACGATTGGTGAAATAGTCTTGTGATAAATTCGCCCTAGAATTCATGCAGTCAGCATAAAATTCCAGTCAGACCGGATTAGCGATAGAGTTACCCACCCCGACAGGATAATCTCATCATCAATACCATACAACTTCATATGCTGGAGCCCCCATCCCTCATTTATACGTTGTGGTATATATTTCTTCCTCAGACCTGTTAGATTAGGAGTATGGAACATGCGAATTTCAACACGGTCTCCATATTCCTCGACCAATGGCGCAAGTAGTGAAGCAGTTGAAGGATTGGGAGTTCCTCGAGTGCCTCGCAAACAATCGGTAAGAATTGAGACGTGGAGGTTTGGGTTGTCTCGCAATGCCTGATTCAAGGTATCGACTAGCTCGTGTTCCGTCTGACCAATGTATAATGTTGAGAGATATATTCTTCGTCGCGCATTCCTAATTTTGTGCTGCATTGGTCAAAGTTAGCATCTCTAAAGCGGTTGATATTGCAATGCGGTCCTGAGAGCTACAAACCTTGAGTGCCTCATAAAACGAGCTAGGCGAGTCCAATATTGTGACTTTAGATGCAGATATTTCGAATCTAGGAGCGATACGGTCCAACTCAGTCGTAAGTCCCCCTAGAGGAGACGCTGTAGATGCGACAGAAGCGTTCGGATTGGTGTAGACAGAAAACTTGCGGGTTGCGACCTGCCTCCGAACCAGAGTTCTTCTGCATGAACGATGCACAGCGTGTTCTCCAACGCGCTTGAACATTATATCGTCAACTAAAAATACTTTCCATCTATACCTTCGTTAAGAGTACGCTCAGATTAGACTCAAAATGAATGTGATCGCTCTCCAAATCCATGCAAGCGCGACAATATAAATCCTGATGCAAACATATCAAACAATTAGCCGCAATCCACGCTATTCCCGAAACTACCGACGAGCCGCCATCGACGACATCGTTCAACTTCACTCGATCATCTGCAATTCGAACATTTCAGACGTATAAGTCGCCATTCTTTCAAGATGTCGACTCTTACTCGTACATTCAGAAATCTGTGGCGGATTGGTCTCAAGGTAGGGCTATCAATGGCTTTCCGATCGGTTGCGGTTGACCATGCTAATCAACTTCTTTTGTAGGAATATGGGCATCAAATGCAGGTATGTTTCAGCAATAGACATTGAACTCGATTTCGGTAATGATGGAAACTCATGGGCGATTGGTGGGTTATAGTACATTGGTCTGTCTCCGCGCGAACATCGTTATGTCGAATACCTACTTACCGAGGTGATTCAATGCAGGTGATACCAAAGCTGGCACACTGATTGCCACCGACCGTTTTGGAAACAAATACTACGAAAACTTGGAGGAGGAACTTCCACGTAAGCTTCAGTTCGATTCCGGTATATTGAGGAAACGAATGTTCTGACGATCATAGTGCGTACTCGATGGGTCGACTACAAGGAAAAGGAATTTGACGCTGCTCAGGTTGAACCTGGCTGGTAATTTGCCTCGGGATGATCAGTATAGCAAGGAAATGTGAACTGACACTGTCGTGGAATAGGCACGCATGGTTGGCTTACATGGTTGACGCTCCCCCAACAACCGACAAGATTTTACAAACTGGTGTGCGCCATTGGGAACTCCCAGAGCACCGCGCCAACTTGACCTTGTCTCGTGGTGCTTACAAGACATACTCAACGTGAGTTTTTTTCACAGGACTTGGCGCCTTGTAGGGGCATATAGGAGCTGACTGACGCTTGTGTAGTACTCGCCCCAAGTATTCTGCATGGCAACCAGTTGCTGCACCTCGATAGATCAAATCTCAATGAGAAGCACTTCAAGTTTTTGTTTCTATCATCGCTTCAGCAATACAACTTCATTGCTGCTGTAAATATTTCTTATCTTCGCGTTCGATAGAGCAATATAACAGTCAAGTACGTATTCAAAGTTCGCCTTTATATTACCTGAAAAATTATTTAAGATTACGCTATATGTACAAACGCTACACTTTTTGTTTCAAAGGACGTAGCCTCCAGCACCCAAATTCCACCAATGTCTAATGGGTTTTCGATCCTCAAGTTCAATACACCACCACAAAATCTCCTTGGCCTTTTCTATCTGTGAGCCCGCTTCATAGGCACGAGACAATGTGTACCAGGCTTCGGAATTATCCCACGCGGCTCCTGTTTTCGTCAACATGGAGACGAGACCATAAGCTCGGTCTCGGGCGGCTAGTCGACTTAGATACTCTGGTTCATCACTATTGTTTGACGTTTTCGGCGTAGGTTTGGACTCTTGGGACGTCCTGGTCACAGCCTTATCTGGCAATATCTCGGAATTGCAGTTAAGCGACGTGGACACGTCAGTTGATGAGTCAACAATGTCACTATCAAGTCGAGGCTCCACGGGCTCCAATGGAATCTTCTCTTCCCAGGCATCAAGGAGCAAGTTTGATAACGCAATTGTTGCTTTAGGGTGGTCGGGAAAGCAAGAGACAGCTTCTTCGTAGTACTGCATTGCTTCGTGTATCTGAGATTGTGCCTCTGAAAGCGCTCCCTTCTCCGCATGCACATCTGCCCACAGCTCTTCGGTACTTTTAGCCACACCCCATACTGGGCTGACAAATGCGCGAGCAGAAGATTCCTCAGCAGCTACAAGCGCTTCGAAGGCTGCGACCTGTTTCGATGCTTCTTCGCAGGCTTCAAGGGCATCGTCGAAAAGTGAAGCTCGGCGGTACATGCCTGAAATTAGAAGCCATACTTTGACGAGCAGTGAGATAGCATGTTTCTGTGCTTGGAGAACGGGGAATTTCGTGAGAGATTTCGTGGGAGAGCTGAAACGATGAGGAGTTGGTAAGCGCACATCCTGCTCTGGTGATTGATCTGTGTGACCAGCCGGACGGGGTTCGTGTTTATGATTCAAGTTATGAGCGACTGCGGGTAAAGACTGCTTGGCGCTTTCTTTGGGGTTTGTAGGCGAGGTTGGTGATAATTGAGGTTCGGATATAGCGATACCTATCGCTTCTGGTTCCATGTCGTCTTTCTCATTCTGAGAAGCATCTAGATCATTAATGAATCCGTTCTCCTTCTCCGGCTGAGACTCTTGTTGCTGGCCTTGTCTAGTCTTATTGACAGCCTCAGGTGTCACTCTAATGACTGGAGCGTCTGGACTGACAATAGCAGATGCTGCATCAGGTAAAGGTGGAACTGGTTCTGCAGGATTGGACGATCGGTCTGGTATTTTTGATCCTCTCTTTCTTCCAAAAATGCTTCCCCGGAAACTCTTCACGGTACCCGCAGAGCTTTTCGGAGGCCCGAGATGTTGTTGTTGTTGCACCTGTGAGGCTTTTTCCTTGGTAATGTCGAGTTCCAGATCTTCAAATAACGTCGCAAATAATGCTAGCAAGTTATCACTATGGTTCACAGCAACCTCTGGCCCATCCGTGATCTCAAGGAGGGCAAGTTGTGTCATGCGTGTCTCAATGATGCGTTCCTTTTCACGGCCTTGCAATTGCTGTATGAAATCTTTCTTCTTTTCCAATAGGTCAGCTGTCTTTCTGTTACTTTCACGGTTGTTGCGGCGCTCATTATGACCTGGTATAGTTACTGATGAAGGGAGTTGGTCAAATGCAGCTTCGCAAGTGCGACCGGCGATATCAAATTCCTGCTTCGCACTAAGCAGCAGTGCTAAAAGATGCCAGAGTGGAATCTTATCTCGTTCTTCCGACTGATGTAGCTCAGGAATGCCGGAACCTGAAAGTGCTGACCCGTCTCTGGGAGTGAGCGCTGCCTTCACCTGGCTGATTGCGCCATCTAGATCACGAGATTCGGCGAGCAAAAGCGCCAGGGCATACCTGGTTGAAAGGTCATATTCTGATTCAAATTCAGGAGCAATACTCCTTTCCAAGTTTTCAATAGCCTCTGCTCGTATATCGTCTCGAGCTTCGGTTTTGGGAGTCCACCTCGACCAGTTACCCAAGCCAATGCCAATGGCTCTGTAAGCCAACGCAATGATTTGCGAAGGTACACGAGACGCACTTTCCTCTTTATTGTCGGCCAAACTGAGATTATCAGCAATATCTTTTTCGATATACTTCTCCAAGATCGCAATGAGATCCCTGGCCTTTCGAGCCTCTTCTTCGGATCCAAAGCAACATAGTAGAAGCACGCCCTCCGAAACGGTCTGTAGTAAAGTTGCGTCGCTTTCCAAATGTCCAATTTCAGCTGCCTTTTCTGCTCTGTCCTTTGCGCTTACCACAATTTCAACATATGTGTCAAGTGCCTTCATAGCAAGGTCAAACTCTGCTAGCGCAGCATGCACGTGAAATAGGCGCCGCAAGATGGAATGTGAATGATAGGTTTTTGTTGACGCTCGATAGAGTATCTGAAATGTCAGCAGTGGGTCGATAACATAATAGAAATATAACTCACATCTAAGACGTTACGGCTGATGGCATCTTGGCCTCCTTCCCCGAGATCATCATTTCGCCAGCTTGGTCCGCACAGGACTTCCCAGTTACTGATGATATCTTCCGTCCATGCCTCCACTTGAGGATTGCTGTCACTTGCCAATGGAAATTTTGTTTCGCGTAGTAATACAGACTCGCACACGGATTCCACACGCCGGATCTCTGTGGCTAGTTGCCTGCGAGGGGATCCCGAAGACAGCGGGAAGTATGAAAGACCGTATTGCAATATCAGAGACAAAATTTTGTAGTAAGTCATCCAAATAGACAACTGAGACTCTGCAAGTTGCGATGAACTGTTTTGAGTGTTCCTTTGGGAAGCTGCAATATCTCGGCCTTTGGTATGGGGGTGTCCCGACCACAGTCTAAATGCTTTTAACGCCGTTTCGATCGCGAAGTCATTGTCTTCCCCATCATTAGATAACACCTCCTCACTTGCGAGCATTGCCACCCTGGAAAGGAACAGTTCTGACCAATGAAGGGCCTGAGGACAAGAAACCAACACAGGATTAGGTATGGCAAGTCGCGGTAGCACGGTAGAGGCGGTCTGAAGAGCTGCATCTGAGTTGGATATCAAAGCTTGAGCGGCGCCTGTTCAATGTTCAATCGTTAGACCCGAGCATACTAGCGGTATAGTGATCTCACTCTTTATATAGCCCGCCTTGACTATGCACACTTCCGTCCATTTGGTAAGCCCTCTCTCCCCTTCCGAAAGAGAAGCAATGGTGGTATCATCGAACTCCTTGGGCAGCCGAACCACTGCTAGTCCAGGTTCTGATAATGTCCAGTGAATCCATCCCAAGCAGACTTGGGCCTGGAATATATCTTGCGGCGTTCCGTCTGCGGCTTCGATGGCTGCAATGAGTTCAGGTATTAACTCGGAGAGATTGGTTATATGGTTTGGCGTGCTTTGGCCCTTGGCTGTGGCCGGTAGAGTCTTTGTAATATGAGCGACAACTTGTATTTCTGCATTCGCTGTTTGGATAAGGCCTAAGACGCAACGTTGTTAGCATTTATACAAGGTGGGAGTTATTGGTAGTAAACATTACATTTCCGATGGGAAGCATGCTTGGTTACCTTGCGAACCAATTCGGGGACTTCACTCCATTTGTCTTCGCTCCGCGCGTTATCCAGAGCAATGATATAACCCTGTGCCTTGTCCGCATCTCGACTCTGAAACACACCATCAGCATTCGGTTGACGATGCCAGGGGATGACACAATTGGCGCATACCGAGTTCGCACTCATCTTTAAACAGAAAACGTTTCAACCACAATATCGATAACACACTAAACAAAAGTATAAGAGACAAACTCCCCAGTACAGTGCGAATCTCGACAGTGACATGCAAACAGGCGATCTGTCTGGCCCTGTGCAAAGGCTCCGAGGTTTGCAGCTGATTCCAACCTGACTCATCCGTCATTGGCAGATCTCCCTGGTCCGCGGAAAGGCCCGAGCTCCTGACGAACTAACCTAAAAAAGGAAGGCGGGAAAAAAAAGTAGATGAACTTAGTCGAAATTCTACATCTCCTTGTGTCAATCAATATCTACTCTAATACGGAGCCACGCTCCTGTATAAGTGCAATGGCATCCTCTACAACATTGCGCACCATTACGAACCGCCTAACAACCACTCCGGTTAACGAGCTGCCGTATGTCGCAGCATTTCTTGCTTCCTCGCTCAGTGATTGTACTGAATTCAATGCCCAACCCGAACCCATAAAGAAGTCAAATGCGGATGGCAATAATGGTTCGCAGGTCAACAAACTCAAGGCTCGTTTGACGAGCCTTTTGCAAGACCGCAGTATGGAAGGGAGATGGACTGCCGTGGTGTTGATAAAGGCCCTTTTAGAAGCTGGCGGGTGGGAAATACTTCGCGATTGCGGGCCTTGGGTTCGCGGACTGCTTGCGATTCTCTCGGTACGTACGATCACCACTGCTCAACTTAATGTCTAGACATCTAATTGACTTCCTATCTAGAAATCGGATCCATCCTCAACCAAGAAACTGTCAATAATTACCTTGACTCGCATCTTTCATCTTACCTATCAGTACCCGACGTTAGTGCGAGAAATTACTACTCCCAACCTACCTGGCTTCATTACAACCTCTCTCAACCTCATACACGCGAAAAAGGCATTAGAATCCGCTAGGACCTCTAAGGAGTCGTCTCTTCTGGAAACAGTTCTCGCAGCGTTCGCAGAGTTGATTGGTAGACACCCGACCATCTTCCGTCCTTTCGTTAACCAGCTACAGAAATTTTTACTCCCAATATTATGTTCTTCGACGGTCAATAGCTCTTTGTCCTCAAGAGCCATACACCTTGCGCAGGAAGTCTTTGTTGCACTACATAACTGCGCTCCCAAAAACACATCAGGCGAGCAATGGACAAATGACTGCAAGAACACTATATCTTCCATCCACCAGGCTGCAGACCATGTTTTTCGGAGTGTGATAGAACAATGGGAGTCATCGGACCCTAATCTCAAGCCAAGAAAGATGTCGAAATACACGAGCGACTTGCCTCGAGATGACGAACAGGATGCATTGGGTCTTCCTGCTTGGCAGGGTTTACCAGCCGGTGCCACCAAAATCGCGGCACTTTTGAACTTATTGGCCCAATTCATCTCAATACGGACAGCGTCAGCCATCAACTACCCGATCGGGGCTATTCTAAACCTAACATCGCGACTGACGTCTGTTACTGTTCCGAAAACCGGCGAGGGACAGGCCAATCCTGATTTCACTCGAGACGAGAGAGCTTCTCTGTACATGGAGCTACCCAGAATCCACGCTGCATGCATTGATCTATTTCGCGCAATCATGAGCACTTTTGGCTCCGGAGTAACACCTGTTATTCACACGATTTTAGAGCAGACTCTCTGGGTATTCGAAGCAGAGAGCTTCAACAACGGCATTCGCGAGTCATCATATTTACTCATCGGCGACATATTATCGCTAGTGGGGCGATCACTTGTAAAACAGAACGTCTTTGCATTGAGTTCTCTTGTCCGACAATGTTGTCGTGACCTCGTACCAGTTGATACCGCTCGCGCAACTCAAGACCAACAAAACACCACAAGCAAGGGCGGCAAGAGCAAAAACAGCCAACTCAATATGAACGTAGATGTCATTCTCAATCCTGCTCTCAAAGAATCGAACACCAACAAGGAAAGTAACATTGGGAGACAGGACTCGGCGGCAATGGCTTTACTTCCTTTACTATACAATTATCTACCCACCGAATTCATTCCCATGCCGATTCGGACGGAAATGGAACGAGTTACTATTCTAACGTCGAATCGGTCAGCTATGGTTGCTAGCGTGATGAATCCAATTCCACCTGTCAAGGGGCGTCGAGCAATTCCAAGTATTCTGCCGTTCCTGGCAACGAGATACGCCAAAGAATTGGAAGTAGAATGTCTGATTCGTCCCCGGATGCCAGTGCTTCTCGGGAACACCGGAGAACAATACGACGCAGAAGATTATGAAGAACAAGAGGGGTCTATGGATACTGATGTGCCGGCTGTTCCTGTTTCTAGCGTTGACATACAACAGTTATCCTCAAATTTTGCAAATAACGTCCAGCCTGCCACCGTTGTACAACCGCCATCCACAGCAACACAGAATAAGAGGATTCTACCAGAAGATTCTGATAAGTCGGGTCCATCGCAAGCTATCTCGGAACAAAGTATCCCACCACAGGCGAAAAAGGCTCGTTTCGGGGACGGAGAGGTGCAAGTCGCATCTACTACCCCTGTTGTACCTGTTACTCTTTTTGAAGCTTCAGCGTCACCAGCTATCATTCCGCCTACAGCGACACCGGTGACGTCTTCTATCATGGATTCCAGTGCTCCGAGGTACAGCTCTGTATCTACTGATAGGAAGAAACCCGATGGTGGTGCGGCTGCAGGAAATATCGACGATGATGACAGTGATGATGAGATGCCGACGCTGAATATTGAGCCGGATACTGATGAAGATGAAGACGATGAATAACAGGATTGTATATACCTACCATACACTATGATTCTTTCAGCTTCTAGAAAATATAGATATTTTGTGAATATCTGAACCTCATGTCGATATGCCGCTAAGGAGAGAAATAATCTTGAAAGTCTAAGTCTACACGAGACGAATGCCACTCTGCCACCACGCATTCCCGGAATGCCACTCAAACCACGAACCCTTCCAACACCACCATTGATCACCCTTGACACCTAGCCCCAACCCTCCACGCAACAAACTGAGCGGGATAGGCTCAAACATCCATATCCCAGCACGCGCAAAATCATCCGCAATCAAGGGGCCAGTGAAATAGAACCATGCCACAACCAGAATGAGATTTGTGGTTCGGACGAACCATCGTGGAAGTGGTGTGAATGCCTTCGGAAGAATTGCAGGGATGAGTACTGTCTCGAAAAAGTACTGTATTAAGGCTCCTGCGCCCTGCAAGACAAAGAACAAGAAGGCGTTCCAGGGCCGGGAGTTGGAGAAAGTGGTATAACTGCCCATAGCATGGACCAGGCCACTTAGGGAAAATGCAAGGATAATCTGTAATATACGTCGAGCCAGCTTGTACCCATTCTTTTGACTGCCAATAGGAAATACCAGCTCGGTAATGAAGCGGCTACATTCTGAGAATCCGAAACGGAATAGTTGGTGCCACCAGGTATTCCATGCGCCGACTAAGCCGCCATCTAATACAGAGCTTGCAGATCCGAAGGTATCTGGATACAGCCAGGTCTCACCGACCGGCTGATGAGTGATTGACCGTGCAAAGCTTGGAAAAAGGTAGGATAACCCCAGGAAGAAAAGCGGGTTTAGGGAGGTGACAATATTCAGTGCAAAATGGACAGATGCCAGACTGAGGATAATGCGGTATGAGCGGACCAGAACTGGAGACCATACTAGGACGTCGAATGGCCATGGTGGAGATATTGAGCTGTCTACATAGCCCCAGAAGTATGGGTCGCGCATTAAGAGTAGTTTGAGTAGGTCTAGGGCTATGTAGTCTCGCAAGAATGAACGTAGCGCATATCGCAGCTTCACAGATGGTGATTTATAGTCTGTTTGCTTCGTTGGTTTGGTTTCCTTGGTAGAATTTGTGTTCTCTCCAATATCTCTGACGACCGGTTCTGGCAAAGGCGGCAACGATCTCAGCCGCCAATTCCAGTTGGGACCCCTGAAATTGAAAATTAAATCCGTGACCCAGTCAAGTCGATCTGAGAGTTTTCTCGGAAAGGGCTGCCATCGGTAGATTTTCTGAGGTTGTCTGGAAACATCAGGGCTTTGCTGAGTTTTCCTGCGTCTTAGTTTCGACGTGTCATTATTAACGGCCTCTGGAGAACCTTCCTGCTCGTCACCGTAATTCCCCTCAATAGACTCCTTAACGATCCTCTTAAGATCTTTCTGGACATCATTGGCAAGGAGTAGCGTTGTACTCCAAATGTAAAACCAAGTCGTAATCAACCCAACACCGTAACCATTCGCTGGACCCAGAAACCGCACCTCAAATATCGTATAGATACAAAACGCAGTGATCACGGCGTGGAATCCATAGCGCAAAGTCCTCGATTGATACGTACTTCTATGGTGAATAACAAGCGGTACAAGCAGGAGAAGAAAAGTGCCTACCACTTGTTGGAGAAGTAAAGGTGAGAATTCGCCCTGACGGAATAGCTCATCGAACTTGGCTTCTCGTTCAGTGATCAGGTCCAGATGAGTTTCATAGGGTATGTTTGCCATAGTTCCAGAATCCAGATTGCACGATGATCTTCTCTTAAGCCGAGGATCGAAGTGAATAGCTGAATTGGAGAAACTACCAGCTCATCAACGACCAAATCACTGAACCGAAAGGGCATCGTCTAAGTCGGATAAAACATGCCCTAGACAAAGAAAGAAGAGCTAGACTGCGTGCTGCACCACTTTATTGCCCTGAATAGCAACCTCTGTCCCAGATACGAAGCAATATGAGTAAAAGACATCATAGCTTGGGGGCGAGGTCAAAACTTGAGTTATGCACGTGGATCGCCAAGACTGCTGTCCCCGATCGGTTGGGATGCCAGCGCTAGAGCCAGCGCTAGAGCCAGCCTTATTGCTTGTTTATCCATAGATGGAGCGGGAAAGTAATTAAAGACAGTATTTAATCAGGAAATTGCCAATTCATAGCTTCTACTTTTGTTAGTAGTAGTGGTGGTAGTAGTAGATTTGATATACCCTCTGTAGCTAGCCACGATCTGAAGGGCCGTTATCTAGGTGTTGCAAAGGTGAGTTCTAGCAACGTATTTGACCCCAGGTCAGACGATATTGATCTATTCGGGACAGATCGGTTTCCATGGATAGCCACATTTTGTGTGAAACTGATATAGTATTTGGAGTTCTTTGGCTTCACTTAGTAAGGTGGTAGTTCTATGGCCCAAACCAGATTTTGCAATAGACTATCCACTGGTTGTTTAGTAGCGTGATCTATATATGAAGGTCCTTGTAGAGAGGTATTTGTCGTCAAGTTGTTTTACAGTCCTGTCTAGCATTCTGGTCTGGGACCTAACGGAGGGTACTCTGAAAGTGCAGTCCGGTCATTGTTGTGTTCAGAAACCCCCAATTCCCCATATCATTACGGAGTAGAAGTACAAGAAATAAAAAGAAAAATAAAATTAAGAATAGAAAACGGTCCCCTGAGCTTGATCGAACCTGCGACATTCTGAGGAAAATGTTACCCATCACAGTCGGACGCCATAACCTAGTAAACCATCAGGGTTATGTTAAACAAAACTGTGAAACAATGACGAAAATATCACGTGACCGTAGCTTGTTGTCGGAACTAAAACGTAATACCATTTCACCAAAAAGGATGCCCTTAAAAGGGAATTTGGTATTTTTGAGGTATTTGCGAACCGTTGACCGATCCGTAGTTCGACATCTGTATTCTGCTAGTCACGTGATTTTATTTCCGTCACTTGTTTACCTGACGCGAATGTAACGCGCCATGATTGGGCCCGTACTGTTGGAAGTGGGCCCATCAGGGATAGCATTTGAACATCTCACAATGGACTCCGGAGCTTCAGAACCTCACCTTATAATTATTTCTTCCTGTGCGAAGTACGGTAGAAAAAGTCCTTGAAAGACTCTGTTTTGGCTAGAAATTTGTTTCTAGCAAAATGCCTCCCCGCGCCAAACGTCCTGCCGCTGCCGTGGTCGATTTGACGCGTGAGGATCAAGAAAATGCTCATCGTCCTACCAAAATCAACAGAAAGGATCGAGTGAATAACAGCACTCCACTGGGAAACGTGACTAATGGTCAGCGCTTTGGAGAAGAGACTGACTATATCTCGCTCAGTCAGCTGGATGATGATGACTTCAACAGTATTGTTCCATCGACTCAATCTAATGAGGAGGTGGATATGAACTCGTATCAACTCTATGGTATAGTAGTTGGCTCCTCACGGCGAGAATAAGGGTTGGTCTTGTTAACTTCAGCTAGGCTGTATTAATACAAAAATTGTGGGAATAAGATTCTACAAGGGTTACGCTTCATTGGGTGAGCGTGTCATTCTTCAAAGAGAGCCTTATAACCAATATGATCAAAATGCTATCAAAGTCCTGAATGTCATGGGCACACAGATAGGCCACATACCTCGGACTGTGGCCTCCGGCTTGGCGAAATACATGGTACAATCAGACTAACTGACCAAATGTAGTTCATAACAGCTAACCAGCATCCAGGATTCCAAAGATTTAGTCATTGAGGGAATGCTTACTGGCAATATTGGTACTTATGATTGTCCCATCGCGCTCAACCTGTTTGGTCCTGCGGATCCTATTAAAAAGAATCAGGTGAGAACTCAAATGCGAGCGGACCGACTCCCGCTCGTCGAGTTAATCCGAACCGAGCAAGACAAAGCAAGAAAAGAATGGCAACGACAGAGAGCACTAAAGGAAGCAGAAAAACAACGGCTTGCTGCTATGAGCAACAACTGGGGTAGGGGCGGGTATCCCACTCTTCAAAGGCCCCGACAGCCGGTGGAGTCTACAAGCCTGGAAGACCTTGTTCAACAAAGCAGCTCCATCAATGCTCATAGAATGGGCCAAACCGTTGAGAGGTTCGGCAATACGGAAGCTGATTTGGAGAATATGCCAATGGCTGAGACACCATTTGCCATGAAGACGCAACTGCTATCGTACCAGCGACAAGGCTTGGCTTGGATGCTTGATAAGGAATCTCCTAAACTGCCAGATGCAGGCTCTAACAAAGACGTGCAGCTCTGGAAAAATGAGCACGGGAGATACAAACATATTGCTACCAACTATGCTACCAGCACACCTCCCCCTCTTGCAAGTGGTGGTATTCTTGCAGATGACATGGGTCTTGGAAAGACGATCCAAACCATTTCCCTAATAATGGCTAATTCGAACGCCGACGGAAATGGGATTACTGCGCCGACTCTTATCATCAGTCCGGTCGGTGTGATGAGTAATTGGAAACAACAAATCGAAGCGCACGTGAAAGAGGAATTCCTGCCCAAAATTCTAGTTTATCATGGCCCGGGGAAAAAGGAGGTTTCTAAATTGAAGGATTACGGTGTTGTCATTACAAGTTACGGAGCGATTGCCACTGAATATGACCCTGATAAAAAGACAGCCAAATCCACTCGCAGTGGTCTCTACTCTTTGCAGTGGCATCGTATCGTCCTCGATGAAGGACATACTCTCCGAAACCCACGATCAAAGGGTGCCCTTGCAGCCTGTCATCTGAACGCCGACTCTCGGTGGTCATTGACGGGGACTCCAATCATCAACTCTCTCAAAGATCTCTACTCACAGATCCGATTCCTTCGACTTTCTGGCGGACTGGAAGATTTGGCTATGTTCAACAGCGTCCTTATTCGTCCATTAAAAGATGGAGATCCTATGGGTGCCGCTATTCTGCAGGCTTTGATGGGGGCAATCTGTCTAAGACGTCGTAAGGACATGGCCTTTGTCAACTTGCGTCTTCCGGATATGAAGATGCACGTCTTACGGGTCAAGTTTGAAGAGCACGAGCTCAAGAAATATGAGATGTTCCAGTATGTTCCAAACCCCGGTTTTCAAATGATAAAACGTTAACATAGTTTTAGGGCTGAGGCGAGAGGAATGCTTGACAAGTATAAACACCAGGTTGGAGGAGCTAACGGAGGCACCACATATTCACATGTTCTCGAAATCTTCCTGCGACTGCGTCAGGTTTGCAACCACTGGTGTCTCTGTAAGAACCGTGTTGACAAATTAATGGCCCTACTTGGCGAGAGTGAGAAGAAAGTCGTTGAGTTGACGCCGGAGAACATCAGAGCTCTTCAAGACGTCTTGCAACTGCAAATCGAAAGTCAAGAGACTTGTGCAGTTTGCCTTGATAATCTATCCCAACCCGTCATCACGGCATGTGCTCATGCTTTTGACAGATCATGTATTGAACAAGTTATTGAGAGACAGCACAAATGCCCTCTATGCCGCGCTGAACTCAAGGATACCGGAGCCCTCGTCTCACCGGCAACGGAGTTGGGCGAGGATGCAGGTGTAGATGAAGCAGAAACAGATGCCAGTGCACCCAGCAGCAAGATCAAAGCTCTGATCCAGATCCTGACTGCAAAAGGCCAAGTGGAACAAACCAAGACAGTGGTATTCAGCCAATGGACTTCTTTCCTTGACATCATCGAGCCTCACCTTACAGCCAACGATATATGCTTCACTCGCATTGACGGAAAATTGAGCTCCAATAAACGAGACCAAGCCATCTCTGAATTCACCAACGACCCCAAATGCACCGTTCTTCTGGCTAGTTTGAACGTGTGCAGCGTCGGACTAAATCTCGTCGCAGCAAACCAGGTCGTCCTGTGCGACAGTTGGTGGGCACCCGCTATCGAAGACCAGGCTATTGATCGAGTCTATCGTCTTGGTCAAAAACGTGAGACTACAGTTTGGCGTTTGGTCATGGAGGGCTCTGTTGAGGATAGAGTGCTTGATATTCAGGCCGCGAAACGTGAACTTTCGTCCACTGCGTTGAGTGAAAAGACGGATAAGAAGAAAGGGGAGAGCACGAGTTCGAGATTGGCGGATTTGGAGAAGTTGCTTCGGAGGGTTGATGAGCCCTCGACTCAACAATAAAATTGAGATATCTATATGAGATGGTTGTACACTTTTTGATGTGTTGAGGAACTAACCACGTACCTAGATTGCTTTGAGGTCCAGTTCGTTGTACATTACTTTTTTCAGCTCTCTTTTTGTATATTTTCCCCTTCTTGTTTCGTCTTTCGCTCATATTTCCTTTGCTCAATGTCTCTTTCGGGTTCATACTTTCTGCTATCCTATCTTTTTCGTCCTTGGGTTATAGATGGGACTTTGTCATCCCCCAAATCCTCAAGATTATTTCAACGTTCTCGCCTGTCTAAACAATTGGTGAAATCGAGTATACTATTTTGCAACAATAGACACAACATCCTCATCAGCAACCATATGCCCCAATCCGACACGCTGCGGAACATGTCTGGCACTCGCTCCCCATACAAGCGCATACTTGAACGTCTCTTTAAGTGTACGATGGACCTGATCACAAACATCCTCAATGCTCGAGTTACTACGGACAATAAGTGCCTCGCTGAAATCCGGGTCGACGCCCTTTCTGTACATGATGCTCAGTAAGAGAGATTGCGCAAGGGAACAGAAAACGAAAGACGAACCTCTTTGTATAGATTCGGATTAATCGAAGCTCTTTCCAAATCCTATCAATAACGTCTTGTACGCCGAGATCGAGTTCACAGCTCATTACTGCTGTGTGAGGTTCGTGTGCGAGTTTGTCTAGGAAGTCGACGCTGATACTGTCGATTTTGTTGTAGACATATAAACTGTACAGCATTAGTATTCCTCGATTATGTCGTAGGAGGTCTAGCTTCGTTACTAACCATCTGATATATTTCCTATGGTCTTTCATAATCACATCGATCAGGTCATCCACAGTGGCTGTAACACAAAAACGTCAGATATCTAATGTAGGATGGCACCAAAAGCTATACATACCATCTTCATCTCGCACCAGGACTTCACAGTTAAGAATCTTATAATCTCTCAGAATATTGTAGACCATTTTCTCGTCCAGATTCTTGGGCGGTGACTGGAATGTGATTTTCATGCCTCCGGATTTCTTCGCCTTGAGATAAATATTCCTATTAAACGTCAGCACTGAATGTCAAGGGCTTTCCCTGGAGGGAAAAAAGACTTACGGTGGTTCTCGATTCAATCTAATCCCCACAGCTTCCAACTCTGCCTCCAACAAAGCACGCTGCTCTGCTCGTTTCGTTGCATCCAAAACCATGAGAATGAGATCACTCGTCTTAGCTGCAGAAATAACCTGTCTCCCTCTCCCTTTACCCTCAGCAGCACCTTCAATAATACCAGGCAAATCCAAAATCTGTATCTCAGCACCTCCATACTCCAGCACGCCGGGAATAGCCGTGAGAGTCGTGAATGAATAGGCAGCTACCTCGCTGCGTGTTTTAGTGATCTTGGATAAAAAAGTTGACTTTCCGACTGAGGGGAAACCGACGAGGGCGACGCGAGCATCACCGCTTTTGCTGACGTCGAACCCGGAGCCGCCGCTGGAGCCTGCGCCCCCGGTTGGTTCGAGGAGTTGAGCTCTGAGGCGGGCAAGTTTTCTATCGAGATGTGGTGAGTTTGGTGTCTCATTTTCTGTGGTTTGAGATGGGGTACGATCAGGCATACCCTTTTAATAGACCCAAATGATACTCTGTATAGCAAGTCAGTACCACGAAAGTCAAGTGTGTGAGAGATTCTTGCTTACCTGTTGCCTTATTCTCTGTTCAGATGCGACGGACATGTCAATAAGAGCCATGCTCCTGGTGTCACTGCCATGTGCAGAGAAACTTACTCTGCGTCCTCCGCATCTCATCCTCGATCCTGTCATAATCCAGTTAGTTCCTATAAAATAGTATCTCACGGGATGGCTACATAACTTACTCTTTGATTTTATCTGTAATGTTCACCATCTTAACGATCTCTGATACTTCCCCGCAATCAGATTTTACTTGGATTTGATAGGCACCTATTGTTTTCTTGGATTAATGTTTTGGGTTTTTAGAACCAGTCAATAAACAATAAAAACCATGAGAAATTGAAATGAACGAGCAGAATTCAAAAATACTCAAGCATGTTTGGGCGTTGGGATCGTGAAATACAAATTTCTGGCACTCAATATCAAAGCGGCAGAAAACGGCAGAATAATTGTGCTTCTTCACGAGAAGTATGAAGAAGATATGTATGGCGGTGGCCACTTACCTGAAGCTTATTTAGATATAGCCGTTGATAGAAATCAATGTAATTGACAAGTACCAAAGCGAGTTGTGACAAGGAGGCGTGCATCCTGAAAGACTCGACGAGAAACAGAGCTGCGATGATTACAGCCAATCATAGTCGCAGTTGTGATTAAGTAATCAAAATTTCGAATTTCCGCCGCAGCTCCGATAAGACTTCATACAGTTTCATCGTTTTCAGTGTACACATCACCGCGCAAGAACTTCAATATGGCCGAAACAGCGGTATCGGAACCTTTGGAGACAACAAATATTGCACCAGAAAACACCGAACTCTCGACTGAACAATCAGAAACACCATCAAATCCACAAACTGCCCTCGCGCAGACCTCATCTACAGATCAAGAAAATGCCCTTGTTCCCACGGGCGACGGCGAAGTCTCCCAAAAGAAGAAAAAGATAATAAGGCGAAAGAAGCGGCCAGCTAGACCGCAGGTTGATCCAGCTATGATCAAATCTGAACCGCCGCCACAGACTGGAACGATATTTAACATTTGGTATGTTGGTTCGCATTGTCGCTTTTTGATCATAGAAAAGGCTAACTTGGTCATCTGATATAGGTATAATAAATGGTCTGGCGGTGATCGCGAAGATAAATACTTGTCCAAAACTGCTGCGGCTGGACGATGCAATGTCGCGAAAGATAGTGGCTATACTCTCGCCGACAAGGTAGCGGGTTCATATTTTTGTCTTTTCTTCGCTAGGGGTATTTGGTAGGTGATATCTACTCGATAGGTCGCGACTTCTTGATTATCAATGATTACTGACGATAAATTTTCTGGATTATAGCCCCAAGGGCCAAGAATGCGAATATCTCCATCGCCTACCCACAATCCACGACATCTTCAACCCCAACGTCGACTGTTTCGGTCGCGACAAATTCAGCGATTACAGAGATGATATGGGTGGTGTTGGATCATTTATGCGACAAAACCGAACGCTCTACGTTGGCCGTATTCACGTTAGCGATGATATTGAAGAGATTGTTGCTCGACACTTTCAAGAATGGGGTCAGATAGAACGGATACGTGTTTTGACTGCGAGAGGTGTTGCTTTCGTAACTTATTCAAATGAGGTATGTCCTCTTTTTTCGGATTTGGCGGTATTCCATAGGGCGGTTGCTGACATTTCTACGCTAGGCAAATGCTCAATTCGCAAAAGAAGCAATGGCACATCAAAGTGAGTACCCATACGAATCATGACCTTGCATCAACATGCTAACAACCATATGCAGGTCTGGATCATAATGAAATCCTAAACGTTCGCTGGGCAACAGTCGACCCGAACCCGCTAGCTCAGAAACGAGAAGCCCATCGCCTTGAAGAACAAGCCGCAGAAGCTATCCGGCGGGCACTCCCAGCCGACTTCGTCGCCGAACTCGAAGGCCGCGATCCCGAAGCGAGAAAACGGAAGAAAATCGAAGGCAGCTTTGGTCTGGATGGGTATGAACCATCAGATGATATATGGTATGCACGAACGAGGGAAATCGAAAACGCAGGGGAAACTCCTCTTCAATTAGAGTCTTCTGGACAACGTCATCTTATTGAGAATGCACCCGAATCTTCTCTGGACTTGGCATCTACCATTGGCGATCAGCAACAACAATCTGGTGGCATATTGTCTAGCTCGACTTTAGCTGCCCTCAAGGGTTTTGCGCCGGCAGCACAACCTACTGTAGCGAATTCAGGAGGGCCTTTGGTGGCTTATGGTAGTGATGATGATAGCGATTGATTTATTAACCTACATGAAACGTTTTTGTATATTAATAAGTACTTTATGGGAAACTGAGTGGAGTTAATTCAATCAAAGGAGACGAGCGCTAATCATGCAAATCATCATCATCGCTTTTTCGTTTCGTTTCTTTCTTGTTCCTCTCCTTGTCACAACCATAAATTTGCGCATTGCAAATCTAGAATACTCATCCTGTCTAGGTCGAACGACCAAGGTCGTAATATATGCACATCCCAGTACGGAAATTGTATATAAAAGCATTATTTGATTCATGCTCCTTACCTCCCCCTGGTACATACTCAGAAGCAAGATCTCGAAGAAGCTCATGGACCTGCCCTAAGTACTTTCGTTCCGTTAGAGGCGCATTCTGAATGACAGCCCGCCAGCTATCAGGATCGCATAGACGAGTGTCCCGAATAGCATCTAGTAGGTCATCCCTTGTATCAACAGCCGCAATGGGTCCATTAAGGGCTTTGTCGACAAGTTCGCGAGAACGTAGAATAGCTGAGACGTCAGATGATGCTGATATATGACGGAGTCGGCTCGCACTTACCTGACTCAATAATGTTTCTTCGATTCGTCTTCTTACTCCTGTGCTGTGCTATCAAAATACGCACATCATTTCCACGCTCACCACTAGGACCAACTGTATCCGGTTGACTAGGATTCCTCATAAGCTTGGGATGATCGACTAAGATCTCGCGGTGATTCTGTGCTCGTATCTCTGCACGTAGCCAGGCAACTAGATCTGACGCCCTAACATCGAACTCCTCTTTCTTGACTAAACTTCTGATCTTGAGTCCCCGTTCGTTGCTGTCGGCTTTGACTAGCACAACCCATGAATGATTATCCTCTTTATAGTGGGACACGAGCTCTTCAAAAGAAGAGGCATCCACTGCAAGTTCCGATATTATGTCATGTGCCCATAACTCTTGTACGATTCGCACTCCAAGGGTGCGAAGGACAGTGGGATCGAAGCTTGCAACAAGAACATCACACTGGGTTAAAGGTTAGTATCTGTGTTACGAAAGTAGGGATGATGCCTACTCTTCGAGTTCGCCAGAAGCCTTCAACATCAGCTTCATTATGCTTTGTAAAAGTCTTCGCCGAATTTGTGATGTAATCAATCATTGAAGAACTCAGTCTGTCCCAGCTGAGATTGAAACCAACTGCGTGAGCTTGAGAACGACTATAAAGCAGCTTGGGGCTAAACTCTTGGATCAGCCGATCGTATCTTCCCCCAGCGGCAAACACATCTCTCCGCTTGCCATCGAAGATACATTGGAAGAGGATACTGCCTCGGAAGAACTTGTCATTGAGACTTGCAAGAGGATTGACATAAACTTTGCGTTTGATGCCAAAGCCATTGATATAGGAAACCAAAGACTTGATTCGAGCAAAAATGGGCGGTAACCTATCAGCAAACTCGGTGCCTTCCATAATGATCTGCAATTTTTGTTGAACCTTTTCGGGAGTATCTTGGGAGTATCAGTAATTGCATGCTTCAAGATCAATTCTTGCCGACTTACCTCGAAAGTCAAACCTCGCCAAATCGTCCAAGGAAGTAGATGCAACACCGATTGTGGGGGAACGAAGCTCACTCCTAATCTTCTGCATTGTCCACTTGCCCACATTCAATCGACTTAATATCTCTTTCGTGACAGGCATTTGAGCCGCAGTAATACGACAAAATTCCATAATCAATTGAAGCAGATCAGAATGGTTGATGTGGAAACACATAGGAACAGACCTCAATACAGGGAATGTTTCTATGATTTCGTCAAGAACTTTGATTACCTCTGCTTCCTTGAGAGCAAGATCCAGTGTGTTGTAGGAAACAATATCAAAGTCGGCTTCTCGGTGTGATCTTGGTTCGCCACCGTGTGGTGACTCTCTGTATACTCTCCCAAATGAGAATGTTTTCTCCAACGACGGATCTTGTCGAGGAATAGCACGAGCATTTGGTAGTGTTAGATCAAATGGAAGTTGCAGCATGTTTCCAGACGTATCCAACAGCTTCACCACACCGTTTTGATAGTGACCCGACCTAGGGAAAACTGGTTGTCTTGTAGTCTCCACCGCACCATGCCGACGGAAAATTTGTATAAGCTTCTCTTTGACTAGCCCTCTAATAAGCATCTCGTTTGCCCCTGGATTCCCGCGGGAATCCATGTCCCAAGTGAGGTCTTCGAATTTCTTTGGGGATTGGGAGAATATTGCTGACAAAATCTTTTTGTAGTCTGGGGAGCTAGGATCTGAGAGAAGACCTATTATAGCCCTCCTAAATGTCTCCTCTTCAACTTGCAAAGGGATTTTACCACTTTGTAGAAGCTCAGAAGCAGAGGGTCGCTCGCTAGGACGGTGACTCAGCAAGGATTCAATGATCTCTCCTTGAACTGCTTTCTCTGCTTGCTGAAATATTGGCGGCAGTGCATGGCTCTTCTCTCGAATTGCTCGTAACGTATGGTCTCGTTCCATACCCGTTCGCAATGGGCAATTCATCTCAAAGAAGATGATGCCAAGAGAAAACATCTATCCACTGTTGTTAGCTAATTTGCAAATAAAATTTTGGCAAGGACTACTTACATCGACTTTCTCGTTGTATTGGGCAGTAGAGGATGACTTGATTTCAGGGGCAACATAGTACGTTGTACCAATACTGCGGGTGAAATCTTCAGCTACATCTGTGGCTGCGGAGTAACGAACTTCCGCAGTAAAATGTCCGCTCATGGCCAAGCCGAAATCACCAATTCGGGGATTGTTTGCCACATCTATGAAGATATTATCAGGTTTCAGATCTCTGTGAATGATGCCATGGCTGTGAATGTGGCTGAGACCGTCCAGAATTTGACGGAATAGACGCCAGCAACGGTCAATATCGTCGTAGAGACCATCATGGATTAGATCTCTCAAGGTCTTGAAACGGTCAGAACTCACTTCACTGGACTTCCGTGAATGAAATACTTACATGTTTCTCACAGTATTCCATCTGAATATACAACGTGTTTGTCACCGGCCGACCTTGTGACCCCGATTGCACTCTACCTATCACACTGCCGACATCCGTGCTACTGCCAATCAAGTCCTTCGAAGCACCATTCTCTCTATCCGAAGACGTGCTACCTTCATCAGAGTCATACCCAAACTCGACCTTGGGATACCCACTTGAGCTGATGTAATCCAAGCCACTGGTGCTCGCGCCCAGGTCGATGTCTGTTGCTGATTCGTCATCAGCTATTGATAGGACGTCTGAATCAACTGTATCGTGGTCTTCCTCAAGCCATGCCGTGTAGTAGCGGACTACATACGGGTGATTCAATCTTGACAATAACATGATCTCAGAAAGGGTGTCTTTTAATGCACTTGCAGAGTTTTGGGATATTTTCTTGATTGCATAAAAACGCCCATCTAACTTATTTCGTGCTTTGACTACTTGGCCAAAACCACCTCTCCCTAGACGACCAGCCTCATCAAAATCGTGCGCGTACCGTGAAAAATTGGGCATTCCTACTTGCGAGTCCATTCGGGGTCGTCGCACGAAAGGAATTGAGTGCGAATGTGAAGTTGTGGAACTTTCAAGTAACGGAGCACCAACCCTGAAGAATTCAGAAGGCTGTAGTTGGAAAGCAGTTGGGCGTTTCTTCGGATCTGGCTTGAAGATTTCCCGCAAAAGGTCGTGCAGAGGCATCGACAAGTCTAAGCTATTCATGACAGCGTTGGCGGACGTGTACCGTTGTAGTACATCTTTCCCGAACCCCATTTGTAGAAGCAGAATACCAAGATCCCAGATATCTGTTTTAACTGTCGAGCGTGCATCATTCTGAGCAAGCTCCGGAGGCATCCAGAATGGTGACCTAGATGTCGCTAGAGTCTCCTGTCGGTTGTTGCTTCGCGGCAATGTCGCTTCGATGTTGCCTTGGAGCTTTATTGTCGTACTCCCAGTTGCATGAAGGAATAGCATTACACGGCCGCTATGTATATCTCCGTGTACCACGCCATTTCTATGATAGAAATCAAGAGCCTCTAGCAACTGTATCATCCACGAGCGGATCGAGTCCACTGCAATTGAGCCTATCATATCCAACAGCTCTGAGAGCGAGCCTTTATTGGCGTACTCGAAAAGGACACAGATTTGCCAGCCACTGTTTGAGGAGTCCGGTGCTTGTAATGGAGGGCTAATTTTGAATCCTATTAGATCAACAATGTTCGTATGGCGTAACCTTTTTAATACTTCAAGCTTATCTTCGCTTGTCCGTATCTGCTGCCGGAACGCCAATGAGTCCAAGCACTTCTCCTCCAGATAGATTTCCTTCAGCACGACGAGCGGTGCACGAATTCGATTCTCAGAAACAAACGGTCTAGCTGTGAATGTCTCGGAGTTCGGCGACGAATAAAGTAAGGTCTTGCTAGAGATCGCCTGGAATGTGAACGGTCGATCATCAATATCATTCATGACCAAAGGTGGATCGAATGTGACGTAGCCAGAAGTATCTTCGGGGTTACCACCAATATCCAATGCGGCAGATCGACTTTTGCGCCGAGAATCTCGTGCCTTCGTACGCTCCCGCTGTCTCATCTTGTCCTGTAACAGCCGTTGTAATGCCCTTTCTTCCTCAGCTGTGGCTGCTTCTTGCTTGCGCAGTTCTTCCATTTTATGCTGCTCTGCCTGTTGGATTGCTGCAGCTTCTTGCTCGATGCGCTCCTCCTCCAAGCTAGGCATATCCTTGTCCTCTGCCCTTGCTACTGCCGCATCTTCAAGCACTTCTTGAATGTTCACAGCAAGCTCGTATATCATTTCCGAGCCAAGTAATTCTTTTGGTTTATGATTGATGACATTCTCAATCCTCGATCTCGGACCTTGACGAATATCAGCCGACTCCTCAATTATCAAGTTTGGCACAGTCTTCGGATACGTCGTCGGGAGTTCAACGAATAGCAATATACTAACGTTAGGGTCGGACGACGCCCTAAGACGAAGCTTGAAAGCCACTTCAGATGATTGCTAATTGTATTGTAAGATATCCAGCTGCTGATAAACCAATTGCGCAAGAATGAACCAACCTTCCAAGCTGCCTGTCTGAGCTCTACATCCTGAAAATCCTCGCCGTAAATCGATCTCAGAGCTTCCGCCTCATCTTGATGAATCTCTCTGTAGTTTGTTGCACCTAATCTGGGTCCTTTTACGGCGGAAGACTCAGGAGAATCCGGCTTAGTCTCCGTTTTAGGAGAGCCGTTTTGCAAAGCATTGCTAGGTTTTTTCTGTTTCTTGTGAGGCATAGCGGGGCTGTAGGCGAGGTATTGAGTGGAAGCGTCTGGGATAGAGACAGGTCGCCCTTGTCACCCTAGAAGTGACAAAGAATGCAGCCGAAGCCGCAGCCCTCTACTTCTCGAGAGTAGACATTATCGAAAAGGGGTCGAGTAAAGCGAGCGTGGGAAGTTACAACAAGAGGAAAAGAAGGAAGGTTCGAACTCGAGGATGACTTCTTTCTCTTTAAGACTAAGTAGCGGTATCGATAAGGGCCCACTGCCGCTATTCCCAAAGCGGGTTGGGTACTTTTGCGACGTGCTTAGCGCCCTTAGCGTGTGCCAGCTAAGACAGGCAGGCGGTGACCCACTGCCGACTTACTCTAGACAATTTGTAAACAAAACACAGCGAACCACGTCAACGACCAGCAAGCCTCGATCCATAGGCTTGCGCGTTGTTCATGCTTCCAAGCTTGATTACTGCATCAATGGGATTTTTTATTGTGAGGTAACAAATATCACAGGATGTTGGGTTGGATTACAGGACAGAGTGAGGAGCAGAGGCGGGCCACTGGTAAGCTTGGACATGTCGACTTAAGAAGACCGCGCGATCATAATACTGACAATTTTCGAGACGACTCGGTCGTCATGGAACCACCGCAAACACCAGGCCCTGTCTTTGCTATGCGAGCATTCAGGAGTGCCATCTGGGGCACGCCGGGGGGCGAGGACAATGATAACGACCGTCCAACGAGTACTGAGAGCCCCGGAAAACCAATGCTACGTAAGAGGAATACCATACATCAGACCATCCCTGCTGCGCCAATCCAGCAACCGAAATTTGACAAGCCAACTTCGGACTCGACGAATCAGCTGAGCATGTCGCCCACAAAGAGTATCCTTGTCACACCCGGGACAGTTTCAAATCGACGGAAAACCGTATCGTTTGGAGAAACAGCCATTCACGGCGACTCAGAGCGAAACATGGCCCTCTCAAGGAGTAATAGTGCAACAGTTTCGCCAGCGGGCTCGGTCACGAGTCAATGGATGTCGTCTCAATCTGATGGAAGATCAAGACCCCGAAGCAGACTGACTCAAAGCCTACTCGATGCAAAGGGGCAAGCTGCAGAGGAGCCCACCAAACAGAATAAGACTACGCGCACTGAAGAGTCTTTGGAAAGCAAGGATCTTGCTAGCAACCCCAAGACATCGCCGACCGAGAAACACGACGACACTATCGATCTCGAAAATCCACAATCACAGTCAGGCCAGTACTGGAAAACCGAGTTTGAGAATTACCGAAAACGGACGAATTTGGAGATCAGCAGATTGATACAATATCGTTCATCGGCAAGGTCATTTGCGCGCAAGAAGGATATAGAGGCTATGCGATTGAGAGATGAATTAAGAAAAGAAGAAGAGAAAGTGACGAACATGGAACGTCGCGTGACGGAGCTTGCTTCAAATATGATGAATGAGAAAGCCGATGCTGAAAGAGAAAGACTGGTTCAGGATCTTACACGCCAAACCGCGTTAGCAGTACAATACAAACATAAGGTTGACACTCTACGCAAGACTCTTGAGCGTCATGGAGTAATTGGCAGTCCGGACGAACAGACGGACTCTGAGGAATCATCTAGAGACACGCAGACTGAGATAAAAAGGTTGAAAGACGCCCTCGAAGAAGCCAATAAAAGACTTGAAGAGAACAACCAAGATGACGAAATCAAGAAACTTCGAGATCTCGCAAAATCATCAGAACGGAAGGTTTCTGAACTCGAAAGAGAGAATGCTGCGCTGAAAAATAATATAACGCGTGTGAAGGAGGAAATGGGCAAGTTCAACGAACGACGAATTGAAAAGGAGACCAAATTAAAACAGCGCGTGGCGAAATTGGATGTACGATGCGAGGGATATAAAGAGAAGATGAAACAATATCGTGCGGCTGTTGACGAAGAAAGGGCCATGTATCGTCAAGAGATTGAGGCGCTGAAGGAAGAACTTGCCGGTTTAACTCCGGCTAGGAGACGCGTCTCACTCAATGATGCTCCTCGCCGTCCTGAGGGAAAGCCGTATGCAGGAGTCCACATTCAAGACTTTGGAGGTGATGGGCATACTCAAAATCCCGTGAGAGACGATGAAGAGATGCTGCAGGTAAGCAATGCGCCCTGAGAATCTGCAACTTGACTATTTGTAATCAGAGCCTGACTTTACAGATAATTGAAAGCATCGAAGAGTCAGACTTGCTAGGAGCGGGCGATTGATTCATTCATGTACGTCTCCTAACATAACTGAATCAATGAAGCCTCCCCTGGGAGAGAAAGCCACCCTCCTACGCGCTTCCCCGCCTGTCTTGTCTATACCATTCCGAAGTTCTCGCTGGCAGCATTCGGCCTCCCTAGCAAAAGCTTCTCTGCAGCTAAAACGAGAGACCGGAGGTCGTCATGAAAAGGAGGGAAAGGACACTTCTCATGACATATTTGATTGATTGATACCCCTTATGCGTTGCTTTATCTTGTTAAATACTATCTTTGTGGCTTGATGTTGACCTAAGTATTCGAACATGGACTCGTGAGACGTGTGCATAGCAAGCCGAATAGGCCCTTGATATTTATCCCGCTGTCTCTGATATGACCTAGGTAGTTGTGGGTGACGTTCGAACGTCCGCGATATGTAGTCTAATCTGAAATGTTATGCCGGTAAATATTCTATCTACATTTTGCCCAATCCTCTATTGATCACCGTCAAGTCCCAACTTGAGGTCTACTATATCCCGTCTTCAATGATCCCGGTTAAATCTTCCCATCCGAAAACGATACAACAGCCCATTTCCCACTCCAAGCCCATTTCCTCGCGCCTGAATCACCGCCTCCGTCCGGCAACTGGCGGAGACGTTCATCTTCACCTGGTTTGAGACCGACTACGACATCAGCCTTGCAAGTACGGAATGACAGGATACGGATTCCGGATTTGGGGCCCAAGGGTCCTATAGCTTCCGTGAAGGGGGTCGTTGGGTCCCATGCAACCTGTTCGGTGTCCATTAGCACACTATACACACATAAAAAAGGAGGGAGAGTCGTACATCACTGCTCAATTTACGATAATTCAAATCACCCTTAAAAAGCACAAGTTCAGACTCCTTAAGATCCTCATAAAGATCCTTGGCAGTATTAGGAAGGCGCCAGAATGAACCAGCAGCGGTCCAGAACCGGTGCGGACGAAGAACCAGTTTTCCTTCGGCATGGAACGAGCTCCATTGACTAAACAAGAATTGAACATTGCTCAACTCTTCCTCTGAGAGAGGCGGGTATTCGCGGCCAGAATCATCTGATGCAGTGTAGAATCCTTGGGGATTTGCAAGCGCAGTTATCAGATCTGCGAAGTCCTTGGGGATGACGTCCGAGACAAACCAAGGGATTACCTTGGGACGTAAAACGACGGTTGTAGCTAGACCGGATGACAGTAGATAACCGGCAAGGATTAGGTCGACGAATAATTCAAAACCTGCATTGTCGAGGATGATGTCGACTCTTCGTTCTTCACCTATCTTCTTCGTTTTGCGTGCATCACGGAGGACATTATAAGCCTCTGCCATGTCGTTGACAAGGATATTCTTCTCCGAGGCCTTGCGCGCTTCTGAGCCCTGCAACTTCTGAATATCCTCGTACGTAAGGGAGGTCAGTAATGATAAATCCGTGGCATTTCCCCAAAGACAAATCTCGCACATCTCGGTGAAGATGATCCTTTCAGCTTCCTCGATTTTCTCCTCTGATAGTCCATCTGTACCCTTTTTTTTATTCTCTTTCTCCGCCTCAAGAGCGAGCGCTTTGTATCTCGCTGCTAATTCCAAGACGGCGGGACGTGACGATTTGAATGTGGACATTTTCTGGCGTGAGAAGACATCATATCCTTTCCAGAACTTGGAGCGGTTGAAAAGAGTTGCGATTCGTCGGTCTATGTAATACCAAATCAGCGCATTTCCTTGCGTAAGACAGCCTTCCATTCGAACGTACAGAGATAGCATTCTGAATAAAGCCAGGCAACATTGAACCATTTTGGACTGCCGCGTTTCTCCAACTCATCGTTGTACTCGGCAATATCAGGTTCGCCGTCATCAAGAAGGGGACTGTAACCCATTTTATTAGCATCGCCTCTTACCCACAGCCAATAACTCGAATGGTTGAAAGAAAAGGCTCACGTCAATTGCCTATTATGTTGTATTTCATATTTTAACTTGGCTAACTCTTCAATAATGGTTTTCCCCTCGACTCGCTTTTCGTCGTTCGTGGCAGGGACATCAGCAACGGTTCGGTGAAGGTCGTCAATTGCGCTGGTCTTAAAAACATCGCATCATTAGCTCATGAGTTTCCCAACCAATAATGGAATGAAAGAATGTCTTTACAAGAATAACAGGCCATCGCTCATGAGCCGAAACCGAAGCGAAGCTCGTTTTGTCAGAGGTCAAGTATTGCGCTAGTTTGGATCATCAGCATACTCCATTAGCAGCGTATCTGATTGAACTTTCTTACTCGGAAACACTTACGGGTCTTCGGGTCGTACTCCATCTTTAGTACCTATGACTGTACCAGAAGTTTGAAACGTGATAAGTTGTTCGTCAATTGATGTTGTCTACAAGTTTCTCTTCACTGAGGGGTTGCGAGGAGATTATATCAGCGCCGATAAGCGGGCCTGCGGGATGTCCTTAAGACTCAAAGCTGCATGGCACCATCTACATTTTCTCTATTCACTTGTAAATGAAGGATATCCGGTTTCATTCCTCATATGATTCTTAAGCAATAATCAAAATGCTAGAGACCCTGCCCGACCTATCATTGAATGCTCTTTATCTAAACCGACTCCTTATGCCAAAAAAAAAAAGGCGCGCTCCACACCAAAGACACTGTCCATCTCAAGGTCATAAACGGGAGAGGTACATTGGCCAAATCAATGTGCCTTTCTGTTTCTGTAGTATTCCAAAAGATATGTGAAGAAATTCATCTTCAGGATGAGAAGGGCAACTCGTATATATTTTGCCAAAATCGCCTACATCATTGACATGAGAGAATTTTGAGCATAAGCCTAGAATATGTTAGCTTTGAAAGTTATAGATCAGAGAAATGGAAGAACATACCATTGGCTTGATGTCCGGATGAGGAACAGCTTCGAATACATGGTACTCAAGCTTAAGTTCGGGTCCAACATTGATGTAAGCACCCTTATTCTCCGTCGTATCGCAGTACTTTGGTGCAGAGAACACAGTGATGCAACGCCCATCATGCTCAATCTCATATCCACCCATTCTCACCTCGTGCGAACGAATAACCGCCTCAAGACCATTCTTCTCGCAGAAGCGCTTGGTGACATCAGGGCCGAATTGGAGGCCAACACCGCGCTTGCTAGGGCCACGGCCGGGGGTAGTTTGAGGATCTGTCCAGAGCATCTCCATCATGAGACCTGATTGACCAGGTTGACGTTGATTGTGTCTGTTGAGTTTGCGAATGTCGTCGAGCGTCGTGCTGTCGTCGGAGAAGAGACCGCCGTGTAGAACAAAGTATTTGCCGCCCACAAGAGTTGCCAGGGGTAGCGCAGAGAAGGATTCGGAAAATACTTTGAAGACATGCTCGTTATACTTGGCTTTGCACTCCCCTTCGAAGCCGTATACTTTGTTCATGTCGTCTGTTTCGTGATTTCCTCTGTTAAGGAAGAATTTGTCTGGTCGCAACCATTTGTATGCGTAAAGTAGAAGAGCAATCTCGGTGGACCAAGAGCCACGGTCCACGAAATCACCGTTGAATAGATAGGCGTGGGTGTCGGAGGGGAAGCCATTGAGTCGGAAGATCTCCAAAAGATCAAAATATTGACCTGGAATATGTCAGCTTGTTCCAACATGTAAGACAACAAGCAGTCTGCTTACCATGCGTATCGCCGCATATCGTGAGCTTAGTACCCTCTGGAACACCAATCTCCACCATCGTCGGCTCCGCCCTGACAATATCCAACACATTCTTCACAATCTGGAACGCATATTTCCGATGAATCTTCTTCCCATTCTTGAATCGCTCGATCATATCATCAATAAACTTCTGTGTCATTTCCCCTTCCAATCGCACGCCATCGTACGCATCCTCGACAACGATCGCATCAATGTCGAGATCCTCAAACGCAGATGCTGGCTCGGCCACCTCGATCGCCTTCTCAAAGTCCATTCGGCGCACCAGTTTTTCACATTCTGTAAGTCTCAGTTTTGCGGTTTGATTGTTCGGTTCTCGTTTAATGACAGATTTGTAGTCTTTGAGCGCAGCGCGAGGGTTCAAGATGGCAGTGTTGGCCAATGCTCGTCGCCAGTATGCCTATATTCCCGGGTGTCAGATACAAAAGCTCTGGCTAGAAGAATGCAACTAGTATATACCTTCACATTTGTGGGGTCAAGCTCGAGGGCCTTGGTCGCATCGGCGATAGCATATCCGTAAGCTTCCATTTTGATGTGAGCCTGTATGATACAGAGTTAGCGAGAGCTTCTGTGCAAACCAACAAGGAGGCATCCACACACCTGAGCTCTGTTACTGAAGAACGAAGGCTCCTTGTCATATTGGTCAATAGCTTGGGTATAGAAATCGATCGCAGTAGGCCAATCATGCTTGGCGAATGCAGCGTTGCCTTTTAGCTTCAAGGCATTGGCAGCCTCGGGAACAGAGGAGGCCATTTTGAAGATGAAAATAGGGTCGCGAACTGTTGTAGAACCTCTAAATGCAAAGCATCAAGAGCCAGATGAAAAAAAGGAGGAATAGTTGTTATGGTAACAGGGCACACGACGCAAAAGTCAAAGAGGCACAAGACCAGACACTGGTGGCGAGGGGCCGTTAGATAAGAAACGACTCCCGGGTTCCTGATACGTTGAATAAATCAGACAAAAAGAAGAACGCAATGAGATGCAGTAAATAGGAAAGAAATGGTATCTAACAGATGTTGAGTCGAGGTTCGCCCACGCAAGGAAAGGAATTCTGCCTTTTCGCAGAGTTGTGAAAGTCAGTCAGCCGCCGCGGAGGAGAGAGCGGAAAAGTCCCTCTTCCCGCTTATCGGAACCGTTCTTTTTCTGGCGTTGGCGTTCCAGAATCATCGACCATCCACTAAACTAACAACGGAGCTCCAAGGACACGAACTATCGCGAGCTCACTCAATCACTCTTAAAATCTATCGCCCTGCATCGAGATTCAGGTCGCGGCCATACACGCAAAATGACATCGTTCGTCGTCCCTCCAGGACAAATCCGCACACTTCGCGCGTGCATGGTCTGCTCGGTCGTCATGCCCCAGAGCGTAAGTCCTTTTACACCCTCTCGCCCACTCTTTTCATGCCGTTACTAAATTGCTTTCAAAGAAATTCGCCCGCGAAGGCTGTCCAAATTGCGAGCACGTCCTCCAACTCCGCGGCAACAACGATGCGATCCAAGAATGCACATCCCAGGTCTTCGAGGGACTCATATCTATCATCGACGAGCGCCAGAGCTGGGTCGCTCGCTGGCAAAGATTGGAGGGTTATGTACCGGGGACATACGCGATAAAGGTTACGGGGACGCTACCTACGGAGACGATTGCTTCGTTGGAAGATGCTGGGATTAAGTATATTCCGTGAGTTTTCTCCCTATTTTCTGGGGCTGTAGGATTTCTTTACTTATACTTCGGTGATTCTAGGAGAGACGGGAGTGCGAATGAAGAAGAATCGTGATTGCAGAGGCGAAATCTGCCGGAGAATGCATACCCTTTTACTTCAATTGTTTCCAAACGGTGTTCGGTTCATAAAGATTTGTCTGGATATATAGCGCGGCGTTACGAAAAGCATTCAATGATATTTTTCAAAGCGGACAAAATCGTCTCTCTCGCTGGGATTATTCTACATTATGCTCACATTGTCTGTCTTATTTCAATTTCTTCTTTTTTTTTGACTATATACGTCCTATAAAACTATATAACTCGATCCGAGCTTGTGGTATCGAATCCCCAAAATCAACGGGGAAATGCAGGCAAATCAACGAAGAGACAAACATGATATCATAACACAGTCAAGGTAAATCAAAGTTGACTAACTGAGGAGTTTCTCGAGTTTCTCAAGGAGGATGTCGGCTGTTTGTGAGTTAGCATATATTCTAAAATGGGAGAAACTGAAATGATAAGGGAACGGGAGAGACATACCATGGTGTTTCTGGAAGATCAACATTGGTCGCAAACGCACAGCACTGGCCCCGCTTCCACCGATGTTGACACCAACAGTCTTAGCCTTGGCAAGGAACTCGTCGCGGTTGGGGGTGTCCCAGGCAATGAAGGTTCCTTGGCCCTTGCCACGAAGGTTCTTAATAGCATGTGGGTACTTCTGAGCAAGAGTCTCAAGGCCATTGTACAGGTATTCGCCAGTAATGGCAGTGTTTTCAACAAGACCCTTGTTCTCGATTTCCTCGTAAATGGCGCGGAACAAGATGGCACGAACTGGGTCACCCAGCCAGGTGTTGAACTGACGGTATGGCTTGTTAGGGCGCAAAGCAGGGTTATTATAATAGAAACCGGCTGCTTGAGCCTTCTTTGAGAACGTGACCATGTCCGGAGGAGTGCTCAAGTTCCAGTGGTCATGAGCCCAGAACTTTCCAGTTGCACCAACACCAGTCTGAACCTCATCAACAATGAAGAGCACATTGGTACGCTTGGTGATATCGCGGAGACCTTGGAAGAAAGCGGGGGAAGCATGGTTATCACCACCTTCGGACTGGATAGGCTCAACGATCACGGCAGCGACAGGGTTGTGCCACTCCTTGATGAGACGCTCGGTTTCCTGAAGACAACGCTGTTCTTCCTCGGCATTCTCCTTTGCGTGCTCCTCAAGAGGGTACTTGAGGTTGGGGAAGGGAGCAGCGGGCCAATCGAAAGCTGGGATATCGAGTTTGTGGATAGGCTTGCTTCGTGTGGTCGACAAACTACCAAAGAGACGGCCGTGGAAAGCCGACTTGAATGACAGGATAGACATCTGAGGAGAACCAGGACCTTGGTTTACCATGGTCGACTTCAGTTCCTCTTCGGAGAAATCGGCATCAAATCCACGCTCCTGTGAGCGGCGGTAAATGAAGGCAGCCTTGTAGGCAAGCTCATTGGCGTCGGATCCCGCCAGAGCAGTGAAGACCTGGGTCATTCCCTTGGGGGCGGCTCTCAGAAGTCCAGTTCGGAGGATGTGAGACCAGTCTGCAGAGGGAAAGTTTCCGAGAGCAGGTCTATCAATGATGGCGCGGACCATCTCGGGGGTGTTGACGGCAGCGGCAAGGTGAGGGTTATTGTAGCCCACTGGGATGGAGGCGATTTGTGCGTAGCTGTCCACCTCTCATTAATTGGTGACCATTGAAAAGCTAGATGGCGAGTAACTTACACATCAAGGTATTCATTACCGTCAAGGTCAACAATACTAAAACATCGTAAGTCAAGGCATCACAGACGAGACAAATAATGGAGACATACTAGTTTCCAATCGACTTTTCATAATCAGCCAAGAGATTCAAGCTACGAGTATCAAAGACTTCACTGAGGTCTTTGGCTGCAGCTTGATTCTTGGGGCCAGGAACAGCAGTCTGGACTGAAGGTTCCTTGGGCTCATTTGCGAAGAAGGGCTGCGCGGAATGGCGGGGGGCCGCAGTACTGAACAGACGCCCCGCGTTCAATCGTGCAACAGAGGGCCTCATATTGAGGGTTGATCGGAGTGCGGAGGACATTCTGTTTTATACTGTTAGCGACGGAGTGTCAATTGTGTGCTCGATTATCTCTGTGCATAGTCGAAAAAACGTGTTGATGTAAATGACGTTGACGATACAAGTGAGGCGGGAAAGATAAACGATCAAGCGATGTTGAATTCAACCAGTGCAACAACGGAAAAAGAAGATGTGTAACCACTTACGTGAGATATATATGCAATTGAGTGTGGACAAAATAAATCAAAGTAACAAGAAGTTTCTCGTAGGATGGGAAACGGGATTCTTTTATACGTCCCACTAACTGATAAGCGCGGAATTGGGGAAATCGCAGGGGAGCTTGACCGCCAAGAGCGGCGATATAGCTGTTCGGCGGTCTGGCCCAATGAGAATGGCCGCTAGTGCTGCCGTGACGGCCGATCGCCGAGCGATTGGAGGCCTTGAGTAATGACAGCTCGTTATTGCCCGAGTCTGGATTCTTTGCGGGTGTTTCTAATGAGGGATCGGATTAATGCAATACTTGGAAGTAATATGTTGCTTGATAGTTATAATTTGTATCGAGATGTCATATAGGGTGAACTTGAAGACGATAGTTGCTAATTAACTTTCGGGACGGACTATTCCCAAAAGAGCAGGTACTAGCATTATCGTTATCGATAAGCCCGATAAGATTACAACAGGCGGGGGTCCTTCCTCAAGTGAAAATCATGAAATCAAATTACATACAAGAATGAAGTTGCTGTTCCACTATCATTCTCATCACTTCATACCATTCTCTCAACAGCAAACAGCGCCTCATCGTCGCTGTACAACTCCTTAAGATGCCTCGCCGAGGGAAAAGAATCTCGGCGCCGGTTCATAAAGAAAGTTCCTCCTCCATGAGCATTCCTCGCTTCCATCAAGGGTCGGGCATTGACTGAGTTGGCAGCCACAGGACGGCCGTATATCACCTCCTTGCGCTCTTCATAGAAAGTCTCTAGCTCTACCGTTCGGACTATACCTGGTTCATTGGTGGAATCAAATCGACTAAGAATACCGGGTCCTTTCATCGTTGACTCATTGGATCCCATGCGTATATGAGGATTATCAGACCGATTTGAAGGCGGCCACGGTTTGGCACCGTTGAAACGTTGGTAGGAGTCACCGTGTCCATGCCCGGAACCACCAAGTAGTCTAGGCCAGACTGTCTTGATAAGAGGCCGCAGTGCAGGTGCGGATGCACAAATCTAGTCAGAAACCATGTTAGACACCAACTCATACACGTCTTCAGCCTCGAAATCACATACTAGTCCCATGTTTATTTCGACAGAGGCGGATAAACCAGTTGCCCACCCATACCATGTCGCATCATAAGAACCAAAAGTGTTCATCCACGCATAATACGTCCGAACGGAAGAAGCGATAGTCACCGTGATACCAATACCAAAAATAGCAATGACCGCGAGACGCTGACGCCGAGGAAGTTGAAGCTTCCATATCAGCGGCATAGGCACTACAGTAGTCATGAAGTCGGTACATACATTGATGACACTGGCTGCAATGACCACAGCGTTCCCATCGATGCAATGATATGGGTAATCTGGTAGCAGATCAAAGGATGCTTTGAGAGGACTAGACTTGTCAGTATTTCTTTTGAAACGGTGACAGGTATATCATGCGGCTACGCACATGCATGTGAATAATGTGATGAAAATGAACAAGAGGCCCAATATAAACAACAACACCATAGCCGCGATAAGGCTCAAATTCAGGTACCGAAATTTACTCTTCGCGCTACTACCCAGGAGGCGACGACAAAACCACAGCAGGGAAATCTTGGTTAATATGGATGACAGACAAAACGTCATCTCGAAAACCATGCGGTATTTGAGCATAGCCGGCATCCATGTAAACGGGACATCCCATATATGGCGATCCCATCCGAATTTCACTGCAGCGATGGATGTTGCGGTACACATGGCAATTGCAAATGACTTGTCTTGAGTTAGTGACTGATTTTGCTTGTCAAGGATTGGACCAGGTTGTTACCAAGGCCAGCACGGCAAGGACATCGTCAAGACCTATAGTGGAAGTTATGAAGCCGCGGGTATAAACGCGTAATACAGTCAGAATAAAAGCCAACGACGAAAAGACAACATTGACGACCAGCAACCCTGGACCTCTGAGCTCAGGGTCAACAAAATTAGGCGCTGGCCAGGTGGCTATTACACTAGCAGGAGGGATGAGTTGGTTGGACATTGTCCGAGGCGCGAAATCAAGCACAGACTTTACGCAGTCAGAGTGTCTCTTGCTCTTTGTGCTTCACGCTTATTGCGACAGAGAGATCATATCATTTCATCAAAAAGAAGAGGTCACGCCGGTGCGACATTACATGCGTAGCTTATATATGCATCAGGAACAAATGAATACGACGATATGGAGGGATGACAGCGACAAAATGGAGGAGGGCGACCACAGACTCCGAAGGTGTTCGAGAGGAAAAATGGATTACCCTATGAGGCCAGTGAAAATCTCGCAGATCAAGGCACATTCGACAATTGTCTTGGGCTAAGCAGGGCTGCATGATGTTCGGCTTGGAAACCCCTGGTTACATTAGACGAGTCTGGATATTATCTTACTCGTGATAGAAGACCTGTTTCAAGCATGGCATGAACCACTCCACTTGTGGTCGTGACTAGATCTGAAGAGAGTGCGGGGTCACACGGAGTCGAGACCTGATTGATACTTGACATCTAGCATGTATCGAATTTGGAACTCTTTCGTCTCTATGTCGGTGTGGAATTACTTGAATGAAACGGTTGAGGGGAAGGCTTCGGTGTGATCAGAAGAGACTGAACATGGCCACTGGAGAATTGAATCGAACATCTAACCTACTTGAACCATCCAATGTGATCTTTTTACTCGTGCACATTTTCTACTACATGACGGGTTACCACGCTATGAATTACCTTAAACAATCAATGAGTGGCATCCATACTTCTAAAAACGCTTGCATACCCTGTTCCTGAATGATATTAATCCATTTCAGGCTTAGAAGACGCACTCTGATTGGTTCATACGAGGGAAAGTATATTAAGGCATTCACAAACACCAACTGACATGCATATGTCGATTTTCTTGCGAGGGGAGATTTCGGGTTTTTACCCATACATTTTAATCTTTCGATCAAATTGTAGCAGAATATGCATATATTCCTGTTATGATTGGCTTGCATTCCCGGCACTTGACCCTGGCTTGAAGTGTACCCCACGATGGCTCCGGGGATATACCCAGGTAAGGCCAAGCGGATCTGCCTCAATTTAACTTGGTGAGAGGAGTAGGTAGGGCCGAGTGATCCGATTGAAGTGGATGAGTGATCAAGAACGGGATATAACAGTGTGTAGAAATCTGTGGGTGGTCTCGCTGATGTTGCGGAGGGGTGACTTACTCGTTGGTTTCATCTAGATCAGGGCAGAGGGAATCTGCCTAGGTAACAGAATGACTAGAATCACCCCGCAGTACGTAGGGTCATGAAGATAGTGGCCTGCCCAAAAAGGTATCTTCATCCAGTTCCATCATCATGGAGTAGCCTGTTTTGTCCGATGGATGGAGTCAAACTAGATTTTTGGTTCTGGACTAGACAGCAGTATTTGGGAAGGAGGAAGTGAAAGAGATGATCCATAGCTCAGATAACGACGAATTTGAACGTTTTGATATATACCTAGGTAGTGTCTTCAATCAAATCAAGCAGCGTCTTCCGGATCCGACGATACATCGACTTATGCTGAACATGTATGTCAAGGTGATATTGTGCAATTCCTAACAGTCGGGAGATAGGAATATGTCGGCGTGTGTTCTTCTTCCTTGCGAATATTATCAATAGAGAAGACCCTCCATACTACAAATCCAGTGAGTATAGTGTATGTGAAGGTACCTCGGAACGTCGCGCTAAGAACTTTGGAAAGGTAGGGCATCTCTGGCCATGTGATCATGCATGGGGATGTCTATCAATATTTGCTTAATCCCCCACTTTTTCTCCGCTATGATATCTCGCATGGTACATATCTTACTTCGAGAACTTGACCATGGATTGGATACTGATAGATGAGGAAATTAATCGCGCGAAACTAAAATCGACGTTATCTGTCTGGTTGTGATTGACCTGACTGTTGTCTGGTTCAAGCCTGTGGGGGGGCAAATTGAAGTCGCTAGTCAGATGCATATATTCCTAAAAATTCACCAGATTTTCCGACCGAAAGGCATTAAGTGGAGATACGCCGAATAATCTAATCTATCAGTTTTAATACGGCTCCCATTCACGAAATGGAGGTTATATGCTGATTCCGTTCATGATTGTGTACCATCCAGGGGAATCGCAAGGGTCTTTCCGAGGATTTTAGGGCTAACTCCTGTTCAACAGTACGTATATACCGAAGGAATATGAGTTCTTGCTCCGAACATGCAAGATTCTATTTCCGGATTTCTGACTGTCTGGAGTGCAAATTAAATCAAATATCTGATTATTCGAGTCTGATTAAATTCGACCTTGCAGTTGTGAGACGTGGACTTCTTGCAGATGTCACGACGTCGCATACCACTCTGCATGTGATGAGGTTTATCGAGTCCTCCACTTGCGACATGGGATGTGAGAGAGCATGCATAAATAAATACGGTCGAATTTTCTTAAATTTTCCTGGACGATTTCTCTCTTGTGCTATATTTGCCAGACAGATTATCATTCTAAATCTGCTTTCCGTGCTTCGATCAAAAACGCTGGATCTTCAAAGGATGAAGACCCGTATCAGCCTAGAAGTCTCGACTACACTTATTCCACGCAGTAAATACAAACTAAAGACGCGGCTCAATACATAGCCTAGCCCTAGACAGCAAGCGCAATTCTCAGCTGAATGGAATCCTGTCAGCCCAGTTACCTAAGCAAGGCTAGTCGATAATACCGGTGTTAAAAGTCAACCTGAAACAACACTTGACATGGACAATTGATTAAGCTGACCAGAGCAGCCAACGACCTGTGTATGTAATTCTACCGGTAATATCTGGTCACTCTGAGTAAACTGATCTCTCAGCAATTGAGTGAAGTAAAATAAAAGAAAAAGTTAAAAGGTAGACGCTGTAGAAAAAAAAAGCTTACCCCTGATCAAAACGGCTCTTCCGTACGGGCCGGCCCCATACTGTAGTCACCTTGGCTGAAACATCATCGCGAGTCTCAGACCTCCAGATGAATGCCACGACTGACGTGTGGCTAATCCATGACGATGGAGCGATGAGTCAATTGGCTCTAGCACCTTGTCTGGTCAGCTTCTGTCACCAACCAGGCCCCCGAAGAGGGAAAGGAAGAGAAAAAGACCCGCACCACGTAACGTAGCGCTAGGTACTCCGTATTCTGGCGGTTTTTTTCTTGGAGAACGTGGTCTGGATTCGTAGGACCTTTTTATTCTTCTTTAACTGACTTCTTTTTCTTCCAATTGCATATTCTCTCTTCGTTGCTGATCATTTTTACTTTTCATTCGTTTCATTGCATATCGAAACTTTTACCTTCATTTATTCTCTTTCCCTATATCTCTTCTTCATCCTTTAAAACTTTCTATTCTTTCGACCTGACGCATCGTGACCCTCACCTCCACCGCTTCAGCCCTACATATATAAAATATATAGAACCGACCACTCAATCAAGACAACAATGGAAGGAGGAGGAGTAGCCTCTAGCGGCGAGGCCAGCGCTGCCGCAACTTCATCAGCAGCAGCCCATACAGCCGGCGAAGGCGCAGCACCAATTCACAGCAACCACCACCATACCGATGATCAGGCCCATAGTCAACAAGCATTCGTTTATCATCGGGAGCAGGACTCCCCGCAACCAAAATCACGGCCGATTTCGTTAAGTGACCTACAAGAAGCGCGCAAGCATTATCTCATGCCGACTCAACCTACCGCCTCGGATTTGGAACATTATTTTGTGAGTTCTTATCTCTACCTAGTACCTGATAAATGGCGCGGCTAATTGAATTGATAGACCGGTCCTCGTGATATGAGCAGACACACCAAATGGCCTACATTTCTCCGAATGGACGGTAGTATCCTGCCGAGATTGATTCTGCCATTGATTTTTATAGCCGGCTGGTCGACCGCAATTACATGCATTCATATAATAGTTCATCCTTTGACTGTGTCCAATATCTTGTTGACTGTCCTCGGTTTTGTGGTCGGTTTGGCGTTGTCGTTCCGAAGCACGACTGCATATGAACGGTACGTATCTGTCTTGCGTGGCATATCAGCGAGACTAATTGGTTTGATAGTTATGCCGATGGTCGCAAATACTGGGCTTCAATTATACAGACATCCCGTAACATGGCTCGTACAATTTGGGTACATGTAAAGGAACGACCAGGCGAAGAGGGAAAACAAGATGTTTTGGGAAAAGTGTATGTTCATCTCTTTTGTCTGGAGGGGCCATGTCACTAACAACACAGAACCGCGATGAACCTCCTCCTCGCCTTCTCAGTCGCCCTCAAACACAGCCTCCGTTTCGAACCAGCCATTGCCTACAAGGATCTCGTCGGGCTTGTAGGCCACTTGGACACATTCGCCAAGGAAGCCCACGACCCTGAATTCTTGAATCCACCTCGCAAATCATTCTGGAAATCAGCAGGAATGTATCTCGGAGTCACATTTGCAGAATCCAATCCACGCAAACTGATCAAGCGCGCTAAGAAGCCGTTGGGCCATTTGCCGCTTGAGATTTTGAATCATTTGTCTGCGTATATTGAGCATTGCGAAAAGGAGGAACTTCTCAAGTCGGCGTTGCATCAAGGTCAATTGAGTATGTTTAGCTTCTCTCACTAACAGCCAATTCGATCTTGCTGACTTGTGTCTTAGTCAACTCCGTTGCTTCATTGAACGAAGCCTTGACTGGTTCTGAGCGAGTCCGTGACACACCTCTACCGGAAGCGTACAGCATTGCCATTTCGCAGATCTCATGGATTTACATCCTGGTCCTTCCCTTCCAGCTTGTCAGTCTGATGAACTGGATCGCCATTCCCGGGTCAATCGGTAAGACCTTTCCTGCGCCTTTTCTGCTATCATCCAATGCATAACATACTGACAATAATAGTCGCCGCATACATAATCCTAAGCTTTGTCGCCATTGGCCGCGAACTCGAAAACCCCTTTGGTGACGACGTCAACGATCTCCCCCTAGACTCATACTGCAAACAGATCGCCTCAGAAGTCGACATCATCACCGCCACCCCTGCCCCAAAAATGATGGATTTCATGAACAGTAGCGATAACTTCGTCTTCTACCCCTTGAGTCTGGATGGATTCGATAAATGGCAACAACGTAGCATGGACGAAATCCGTGCGGCGTTGAGGACGAAAGTTATTGCGCAGAAGCAGGTTATTGACGATGAAGGGGAGATTACGACGTTGGCGCCGAGTATGAAGGAGTAGATCTCTGTTCCCCGGGAAAGCTTTGGACTGGTTTAAAAGTGTTAAGCATTGTTCTGCATTGTGTCGATTCGAGATTTCTGTTTATAAGCGTGCAAATGTCGGGATTTCAGTAGAGGTGTTGGAGTCTGGTGTGTTTTGTCACCTTGAAAAAAGTAAAAAAAGGGACATAAATTGGACATACATAATAAATATATGCATTTTCATCAGCCAACGCCATCCATGCTTAAAGTAATAATATCAAGGATCAAAAACCTCTTTCCCAGACCCATGCACAATAGCATTCAAATAATTCCCCTTTGCGCATACCCTCCACGCAACACCTCCATCCCCGTCCTCTGAGACATCACCCGCAGCCGCCGCAGCAGCAGCAGCAGAAGAAGATAAAGACCCAACCCACGAACTCAACGCCGCAAGTACAGCCGCGCCATCATCCTTGGGGACTCGAATCCATACATTCGGAAACTCGATTATCGGTCTCTTTGCTGATTGTTGTTGCTGTACTGTCGAAGAAGATGACGGATTCTCAATCTTGAGTATATCAATCCCAATACTCGTACCCATCAAACCTAGAAATTGCGATAGGGCAGAGCTCAGATGTGCGCGTGCCGTGAGTGGGTCGATGGTAAAGTTTTTTATGGGATGGTTTGAATGTGGGATTCTGCTTGATGTTAGAAATTTCTTCTTTTCAAAAAGTAATGGATGGTTTGGCGTTACAATTGGAGTTTGAAGTATGTCCATTGCGGATTTCGGGATGTGATGCGTCGTTGGGTAGATTTATTGTTGGTGGTGGTTGTATGTTCAGCGGTCATGATTACATCTTCTGTTTGACTGGCCATGATTCCTGTCCCTTCACGAACGTTGCTGTATCGAGCTAAGAATTTTTCTCGTAGATCAATTCTGACGAGGAAAATAGATGCTAAAATTGTACGCAGGGGACGTATGGCAAAAAAAGGGTTGACAGAGTGGGATTCCTGGGCGGTCGATTACGGCGGGAAATGATGTCTGCTCTATTGCAGCCGAGCAACGAATACCACAAATCATCTTCAGGATCGGCTACTTGACTTCAAGAATTACGATTTAATTACATTCATTGATTACTATCGACTAACTACTGCTCACTATTTATCGATGTCTTGAGTGGCGTCGAAAGAAGTCAGGAAATTACATACATCCGAGGAGAAGAAAGAAGAGAGATACACAAAATGGTTGACCCTTAGAGCCATAACAATATCTTTCTCCAAATCTGGAATCAAGTCGAAGAAGAAAAGGAAAAGAAAGAAAAAAAAAATTCAGGGAAAGGAAATCAGTTGGGATATGCTCTTTCGCATTCCATGGGACAATTGCTAGATAGCAGGTCCTAAGTTCGTGCGATTAGAGCCATCAAACCGACTGAGTTTGATATGCGCTGGCCTCTGTCCCAGACTTGTTGCTATCTTGCAAGACAGTTGAAGTGTGACTCGAATAGTGGTACTCGTCCAAGTCAGTCTTGTAAAGCTCAGGGCAAACCAAATACTTGCGGCGAAGGATGTATCGCTTGATCCACCATGGGAGAACCGTGAACAATTGATACGACGCGTGACGGCGAGTGGTCACGGCAAAGACATAGTCTAGTTCTTCAAGAGAACGTTGCTTGGTCTCCGGAACAAAAAGGAAGATCAACACAAGAGCGACAAGGTTCAGGCCCGCATAGAATCCAATTGCACCGAGTGGCTGCAATGCTCGAAGCATGTAGGGAAATGTAACTCCCAACCAGAAACCCCAGAAGTTGTTGGAGGCGACAGCCCAGGACATGCCAATTTCACGATGAGACAGTGGGAACACCTCTGCGGAATAACAGAAAGGCACAGGCCCTCCGCCTGGAGAATAAAACATTGCGAAAACGTAAACGAAAAGGGCAATCATTGCGATGTGGGCTTTGCTTTCAGTTGGGATCCAGAAGCAGAACCCAGCGGCAAGCAGTGTCCAACACATGTTGGGGAAGGTGAAAAGCAGGAGAGCTCGTCGACCAAATGTATCGATTGTCCAGACAGCAGGCCAGGCGAATATGAAGTTGATGGATCCATAGCCAAAAGAAGCAAGCAAAGCACCGAGATTGCTTGCTCCTGCCTGGGCGAAGATGCTTGTGGAGTAGAAAGCAATAATGTTGACTGAGTTGACAGTTATTTTTGCGTTAAGCATGAAATCTGCAGGGGTTTAAACTTACTTCCACACATCTGTTGGGCGACCATGACAACACCAGATGCCTGGGCGGCACGACGATTACGTGGAATAGTCCACAACTCGATAAAACGAGTGAACATGCTGGCATTTTTGGAGAATCCACCTGCTTCCAACATAAGTCCTTCTTGGACCAGCTGAGCATGGATGAAGTACAAGTCGCGTGCGGCCTGGAGGGGAGTATTTCGTAGACTAAGCAGAGATTTGTAGGCCTTGTCATGTCGCTTCTTGGTCATGAGCCAACGAGGAGATTCAGGGCAGAACCAGACTCCCAACATAAGTGGAACAGCGGGGATGAAGGCAGAGCCTAATTGCAGTCGCCAGGCGATGTCTCCTGTGTTGACAAGAGCCAGATTGGCGCCAACGCCACAGAAGATACCGAATGCAGTCCACAACTGCCAGGACATAATGAGCCCTCCACGAATGCTGGTAGGAGCGTTCTCAGCGGAGAACACAGGGACTGTGACTTCCTTAAGACCCATGCCAGTACCAAGAAGACAACGACAAATGACAAGTTGAGGCCATGTTTTAACGAGAGCAGAGCCGATAGGTGAGACAACACTGAAGATAGCGCCGAGAAAGATGACGCCGCGACGACCAAGCCAATGATTCAACGGGTCAGCGATCCAGGCAATCCTGTTCAACAGCATTCGTCAGGAAAACAATACAAACGAAGGGAAAAGAAAGGTGCAAAACATACAAGATAGCGATAATCAAGTAAGGGGTAGAGTTGATCACTCCGACGAGCCACAGATTACGGTCACAGGTGCCATCCAGGTCACAAGGTCCAGGGGACTTCTCAGAAATTCCGAGGCTCTCCTGGAAAGTCAAGTTTGCACCGTTGGAGCCTAAGTTCTATCAGCATATCAATCAACGGTTATGGAAGATGACAGGAGACTCACCTTCCTGATCCCAACCTTGGATAGCAGCAGCGATGGAGTTGAGAAGGATCGTGAAGTACAAGGTCTTTGGCTGCTTCCAACGATGGGTGACCTCCTGGCGCAAAGCCTGACGATCGGCTTCATCAAGCTCCTCAATGTTCTCAATTCCCCTGGGGTTCTGAGCGACCAGGGCACCCTTCTTGAGAAGTGGGAGGATGCCGTTGAGCTGATAGTGGTCGGCATACGCTTCAACATCTACCATGAGCTGGCTCTTTGGAATGCCCACAAGAGGATTCTTGATTCTGCATTCATTCATATGAGTATCAATCTGATGGAAAAAGAGGAGGCCAGGTTACTTACTCTCCGGTGGTATTCTCAGTCAGACCATTAAGACGCTGCTGAGACAACCGGCTGTCTGCATAAGCAGAGCTATGCCCAGCTGGTGCTGGTTGACTATTAATTGGGTTATTTTTGTTAGTGACTGCATTGATTGTCATCGTGTATGATCAGGACAAACTTACAATCCTGCACCCTCAGCCATTGTGACCAAAGGGGGACAGGTTCAGTGGATTTTTGTCGTGAAGACGACTGAATGACAGTCAAAGGGATACAATAGGGTCGTGAAGACCCAAAGGATAAGCTGTGAAGGGTTGATGGTGAAAATGTAGGGGGAAAAAAAAGAAAATCATGGATACAGAGAAGAGAGGAGGAGGGAAAAGAGGACAAGGGGGAAGGCTCGCTTTAAATACGAAGGGGGGGGAAAAGACTCTGGAGAAGCTGGGGAAGGCGTGTGAAATAACAAGCAAACAAATTGGGAAGGCACCTGCCTGTTTGGGAGGTTCTTACATCCGGTGAAGAGAGACAAAGGGCACATGCTGGTCTTGTGACCTCGATCTTTTTACGCCCTGCCTGCGCCCAGTTCACTTTATAGCTGGGCGTCAATTCTCTAACAACTATCGATATAAATGGCACACTGTTGCTCTGAAAGAAATCTGAGCTAAGAGGTGTTGTTGGCTATATACCGAATCAGTCCAAACTTTGCATCCCAGCGTCCACTGATGAGCCTTCCTCTCTTCTTTTTTATCCTCCTAAATTGGACTGCAACCGGTCCGTATCCAAGCAACACCATAGGAGGACTTCCATCAGGCCCCCACTAGACAGAGTACCATGCGGATACTGGCATGATGGTTCTCTTTTCTCTCCGTGTCGTCGTATGTCTATACATCTTAGCTGCAATAAGCGTGAAGACAGCCTTGACGGACACCCATGAAAACCGTCGCCCCCACTGAGACTCAAGCTTCTCTCCTTGATAAGAACCTGTTTGCCCTGATTAGGGTAACAGTAAAGAATGGCTGGACTAATAAGCTATAAGATAACATCCCAGTGCTATGATCTACTGTCGCCAATAGAATTGGCCTAAACCCTCTGTGGACTCCCACAGTTTCGAAGGAAGAGAGAGAGAGAAACAACAGAATGGTCCGTGAATGACACCGGGTAAGTATTGTTGTCCAACATAGAGTACTAATACCACCGAAGGCTATATCCCATCGTTGGTCACCAATCGAGAGACAGGAGTGTTTGCTGCGAGCAAATCGAGTTTGGCATATACGGTAACAGTTTCAACTTCGATATCCGATGATAATCTACTCAATAGCGTTGTCCGCCTCGGTGCTTCTCTGCTCGATACAATCCTTGACCGTCCCGTGACTATGTACGACGTTGTAGTTCGCTCGTGACAAAGGGATTAGGGTAGAGCAACATGCCAAGCATGCGTTGAAGCCTGACAGGTTGGGCAATCCTTGCAAAGGTCTAGTAAAAACGCGGTTACAACGTTCGTACGGAGTATAAGGAGATAGTATACGGAGATCTCGTACGACTACGGCATCGCTTAATAACACGAAGTATCCCATCTATGGATATTGCAATGGCTTCCATACAGGGAAGACCATGTATATGAAGCAGAAACTGACTCCGTGAAGACAAGAGTTAATGACCTTGTTGTAGCAAAGAGTCAACCTGATATTCGTAGAATCGGGAAGCGGCCGAGAAACTGTCCTAAACCAAGCTGTTTCTCCTGAACTTTTTAGCATTCCGTGTCTGTCGTGACCCGCAAAGAGAGGCACTAGTCAGTTAGTCAATTGAGTTACTTGGGTATCATGAATGAAGAGATTCAAAAATATCGCAAAACACACGACGTTGAACCAGAGTGGGGCATCAACATTGTTTCTATGCTGATTCAGGAATAGCGCGATATGATTTCCCCGGACTAGGGTAATAGCCCTAATGCAAGTAGACCCTGGTGAGATAGATCCGCCTCAAACTCATGGTCGTAGGAGCAAGTTAGTCAAGAAAGAACTACTTCGAGTACCATCTAGCAATGTAAGCCACAGCCCATACAGTTTCCACAGATTTGGTAAATGAAATGAACATGGCAGCCATGAGCTACCCATACATCAGACTGGCAAATGAGAAAATTAGCCGTGTGCAACATGAACAGACAGCCATTTAGGTAATTGCCAGAGAGAAGATAATCGGAGACAAAAATATTGTAAACAATTACACAATAAAGCTAGAATATGTGATGTTGCACAACTCTTGGCTAAACTGCGTACTGTGTACAACAGGAGTCAGGACAAATATATTTCGTGTGAAAAGGGAAAGAAAGCACTGGTTAGTTCTTTGTCCTATATGAGGTTTAAAGATATTTTGAGCCTTACTGGGATGGATGTCGATGTTTGGGTGTATTTAAGAAGGCTACTTAATCCATGTCAATATGCAGAGCTACAAACTCGAGAAGCTTGTTCGGACTGGCAATCAGGGAAGCATCCGTCTATTAAGATGAAGTAGTCTAGTACAAAATAATGCTATCCAAAGATGAGAATCCAGCCGCAACTCCTCCCTCATTACTCTCCTTACCCTTCGTTCGCATCAGCCATCCTCCTTCTTGGTTATGCAAAATTTCACCATTCGATTTCCATAAAATAGTACCAAATATGCCTAGCTCGCCAACGACATTGCCGCCGAGTACTTCTCCATCGCTACGGAGTACCACATTAGTGGCTTCCGACGGCGGTTGAATTAGTTCCATCAATACATAGCCTTTCCAGTCACTTTCTGGTATTGATTTGAGAAAGCCTGGTATGGCCTCTTTGTAAACATTATTACCGCCGCCTTCTCTTTGTGGCTTCAGGACGTGTCGTGACGCTGTTTTTGGGTTGAGGGCAAGTTCTCTACCCCGCCCGTTGGGCGATAGATCGTATTGCGGAGCGAATGTCTTGCGAAGTTTCTCCTGAGTCCCTTCTACATCCGTTGCTGCTATGAACCTTGCAAGATTCTCTGGCTTGTTCGGGTCAGCGAGGACTTGCTGGACTTTTTTGCAGCCAGACAGCTGATTGAGGATAGTAGGACACTTGATTGCGGCAGAACGTTCCAGCTGAAGTCGAGCACTCCAGTCCCGGTCGGTTATGTAGTCGGTGGGTGCGTAGAAACTTCTTAAGTAGATAGTCGTCACTTCAAACAGACTATCTGGCGCATGAGGTGGCGTATATAGTATGGGTCTTGATGGGTTACCATCTGGTATTGATGTCCGGTCTAAGATCTCACCCGTCACCAGTCGAAACACGGGAATTTTATGGAACTGTGTCAGTCGAGTAGAGAGTGCTAGTTGGTCGAATACATTGCGTTCACCATCTTGGACAACGAATAGTATGGCAAGAGGTAAAGATGGTGATGACTTTGATAGTCCATATGCTTTGTGTGCAGCGGCTAGCCCTGCACTGAGTGTTTCGACAGCCGTGTTCTCCGGTGGAACTCTTCCATCAAATAACGGATGTGACGGATAGCTTAACGAGTGACCGGGTGGTGATTGCAACAGCTCTGTATGTAGGGCCGCTACACGAGAAGACAAGCCGCCGAATGAAGACGAAATTGTATTGAATTCTACTTGCTTCAATGATGCAGTCTCGGAGTCCAGGGTATGCACCATGTAGTCGGACCGGAAAAGTCCCAGGGACAAGTCTTGCACATATCCTTCCTGTGAAACAGCCTGATGAACCTTCCAGAGTCCGGCAACAAAGTCGTCGACGTCGATCAGCCTACGATGCGGTCAACTACTGCTTTAAAATATCGTCGAAGCCTAATTTCATCTCTACTCTGGACTTGAATTCGGGAATCTCACTCTTCAATGACCTCCCCTAGCCACTTCTCGTCACTTGTTATCCGCGCATATAATTCATTATACACTTTCTGTACTGCTCTTGCCTCTTCAAAGCACGCCTTTGGGAACGGACTAGGAAATAACGTAACCGGCGCATTGGTTGCCAGCACTCCTTTTGAGACAGTCTCTTGGGAGATAAAAGTTGGTGGAGGTCTAACGGTCAGGCCATGTTGGACCGTCCAGTCTTTGATCGTTGAAACGAGAAACTGCTCTTGTGCAGCACTCAACTTCGGAGGGTATGTGGTGTAAATTGACTCCGTCATTGCTAGAAGGCCTTGCTATGCCCGGAAGACCGCAATTGGCCTCTCTTCAAAACGAAGCGAGAGTTGACTGAGCCAAAAACTCTTGATAAGACTGAGTATTTGTAAGAAGGACGTCGGCAATCGCCATTTCTAAGCTGCGGGGCGTGATCACTACCCACCTTCCTCATTCGGCCAATCCTGTACCCACTATTCACCGCCCGCTTTCTGCCAGACAAAATTCATCTTGCCGCCCAGCGACGCGATTACCTTCACTAAAATCGATCGGGGTAACACGACGTGATTTATATCTGAGACTTCATCTGACACTGATATTTCATCTGAGCACGATTTCATCTTCAACTGCTGCACTTTTTCTCGAATAGAGAGTCAAAATTAGTATACCTTAGGTCTCCTCATAATTTACCCATGTCAAACACCTCGTCAAGTTCAGATTTTGATCATGGATCAAGATCAGGAAGATCCGATCGACTGGTCAGTCGATCAAGTCGTTCAATATTTATGTCACAATAATTCGACTCCTTGGTCTGTGTCGAAGCACCCAAGCCCTCTTCCAGACCGGCAGTCGCTGGAAACTGCCATTCGTGAACATGGAATCACCGGCGAGGTCTTGCTTGATGGACGCCTCGAAAACTTTCTGAGAAACAGCTTAAAACTGAAAGAGGGACCTTTCTATACGGTCAATAAAGCAATTCAGTATGCTCAGCGTCAGTCTCGGAAATATCAAGCCCAGCAAAACCAAGAACGCTCGCAGTTCGCCTCTGCAATGTTTCCTATGATGGTAAATAATGATAGAGCTTGGACACATCCTTTCAATCCTCCCTGGTTTTTCAATACCGCCACCGCCTCTATTCCCCAACTTACGGGATTGAACAATGCTCCTAAACTTTCGAATAACGGAGACAGGTTACCGGATCAACAACTCCTGTCTAGTCTACAGGCTACGCAGCCTCCATCGTCGCCTCAAGTAGCTGAACTTGACGATGTTGAACTACCAGATGTTCCCGTCGAAGCAAGTCGCAGACGGTCTAACTCTGTTCTTCAGATCGATACTCCTGTTTCCCTTCGTTTACGCCCGAATGAAGCTGCGCATACTGATGAACGGGGTCAAAAGCGGAGGAGACTTGATCTCACAGCCATTGAGTCGCCAACGCCACTACCCAGAGAACGGTCAGAAAGGTCTACAGAAGAACATCCACCAAGGTACTGGTACATAGGTCCCGGCAAAATTGATGCTGCGAGTGTGTTTTACCCAACTCCTTCCGATTCGAACGAAGATAACTGGTTCATCTTTTCGTCTAAACACTCCGCTGGTCAAAGACTGTTCGTCAAAAGGAAAATGCATCGTTTTTTTCGCAAAGAAGTCATCGAATTACCCTCACAGAACGGGGCTTGTCGTTATGCAATGTTGCCCTATGATGAAGACGACGTAAATAGAGGTAAGCCTCGATATTACACATTGTATACTTCGCATAAAGGTAGAGTGGAAGTCAACGTGAAGTCGACAGCCGATACTACTGAAGATCTTCCATTTATCTTGGATCAGGCCTCGCGTGCGAAGGAGGAGAACCCTTATGACTACCTTCTCAAAAAATACCCACCTAAAGACGACTCAGATTCATATCCTATTTATGGCGAATCTGGCTCAGAAGGTGATTACGACTCAGATACTTGGCGCGAGATGGATGACGAGAGAGAAGAGGCCGCGCTAAAACCGTCTAAATATCTATCAAGCAATGAGGTGGATGCTATAATCGATCAACGAATAGCTCACTATGAGGGAGAATGGCGGACTAAGCAGCTTCCAAAACTGGAACTTGGGGCGCACAAAATATGGTTTGATGCTTTTAAGAAGAAGTGTCGAAATCTAAAGATCAAAATTGCGCTGGATGACATTGAACGCCTCAAATTACGGTTGGGAAAGATCAGGGAAGCACTACATGAGGATGAATGGTTGCAGCCGTCTCAACTGATAGCTCAATGCGAAGTCATGGAGCCAACGATCTTCGAAATTGAAAGTCAGAAGCGTCGCGTTGCCATATTGGAATTACCCCAATGTCCCCCTAAGCCTCACTCAGTACCGCGTCCAGCTGCGAAGCCCAAAGGAAAGGCGAATCATCCACTCTCCGACGAAGAATCGCTTGGGTTTGACTCTGATAGTTCTCTGAGAAACTTCATTGAGGATGACATGGACGTCGGCGTGCGAAGTGGCTCCGGCAGTATCTTGCCTAGAACCGACTTCGATAGCAAAATTCGAGATACTCTCGATGTTACTGGCACTCACACAGAGTCTGGTACTCCAATCAAAACTCGCAGCTCTCCTGCTCAGGATCTGATACATCAGGAAGAAGTTCTTCATGATGGTGGCATTGAAGTTAACCCTGGTTCTGAAGCCGTTCCGCAGCCTCGTTGCGGCTTCTACTATTCGTCTGATAGTGCGTCAGAAAGTGACTATGAGCCGCCGGATGCAGTCTCGGGGGTTGGCCGCCGAAAAACCGAGATCATTGATTTGACCGGCAGCCCACCCAGGTCGAATGGTTCTTCTACTCCTATTACACGTTTCGCAAATACCAGAAATCAACAGAATCACATAAGTGACGACATTCTGGTGGTTATTCCTTCGCAGAAGCCAAGACTTTCGTCAAAACCAAGATCTGCGCAGAGATCCAAGACAAGCTCTGCTAAACCAGACGGCTCCAGAGACACAAAAAGAGGAGCTTCCTCCCAGGCAGATCGTGAGGACCCTAGACAAATTTTGGAGAGAATGGTCGAAAAACTTTCTGAAAGTGATCGAACGGAAATGCTTAATCATTTTCTGAATCTCTCTGACAGAAAGATCAACCATCTCCTCAAGATTGGGCTACGAGTCATACTTAAGGAAAAGCCTAGTATCAAAGGTGTCAGTCCTGAGGAGAGCCATTTGGGTATTCGAGCTACGGTTTTTTATATTGCGTGGGTCAATCGTCGAATTGTGGACAGAGCAGGCATCCGCATAGGATACATCCAAAGAGCCATTGATGCCATCGAGCGTTCGAAAGATGCACCTGGAGATGATCTTCTGAACTATCTCTCACACTTCCGTCATCTACTTAAGAAGTCTGCTGCGGATTCAACTCCTAGCATAGAAGATTCCGACGACGATGGCCCTATCACTTTTCTTGATACTCCTCGTAATAAGAGAAGGAGACGCCTGAAAGAAGATCAAGCAGTGAAAAGCGGGCAGGTTGCAGCCAGGCAACGTGTTGAAAATCAAGAACGGCAACGGAAAATTCTTGAAGAAAGATTCGAACGCATTGGAGTCAGTAATAGCGATCCGGAACACCAAGCTGTCAGCTTTGAACAACCAACAATCTTCCTTCATCCTCAAATCGGTGGACGTGTTAAGCCGCATCAGCTTGCTGGTATTCAATTCATGTGGCGTGAGTTGATACAGAATGAAAAACGGGATGGCTGCCTTCTCGCACATACCATGGGTCTGGGAAAGACGATGCAAGTGTAAGTGGTTTTATAATACATTATTATCAAGGTTGCTTCGTATACTAACTCTTTATAACAGAATCTCACTCTTAGTCACAATTGCCGCTGCCGCAAATTCTCCTGATCCTGCTATTCGAAAGCAAGTGCCAGAATTCTTTCACCGTTCGCAGACGCTAGTATTATGCCCTCCGTCATTGATCGATAACTGGTACGAAGAGTTTAATATGTGGGCACCTCGTGGTGATCATAAGTTGGGCCAAATCAGAAAAGTTGCTCAGTCAGATCCTTTGGAGCAAAGAATGTCTACCATTGAGGAGTGGGATACAGAAGGAGGCGTTTTGATTCTTAGCTACCATCTTTTCCGCAACTGGGTGGCACCTGAATTGAAGAAGAGCACAAATACAAATACGGAAATGCAGTTTCCTACCAGGCTCAAAGATCAGCTTTTGAAAGGACCAAGAATCATTGTTGCAGATGAGGCGCACCAGATGAAAAACAAATCCTCACAGCTTGCTCGAGCAGCAGCAATGCTAGAGTCTAGGAGCCGCATTGCGCTTACAGGGTCTCCACTCGCCAACAACCTCATGGACTATTATGCTATGGTTAACTGGATCTCTCCCAAATATCTGGACGAACTCGCCGTTTTTCGGGCGAAGTACCTTGAACCAATTGAGCAAGGACTGTTCTCTGATAGTACGTATCAGGAGCAGCGGAGGTCCCTCAAAAAGCTACAAGTTTTGAAGCAGATCTTGACCCCAAAGATTCACCGAGCGGACATCTCTGTGTTGGAAGGTAGCTTACCAAGCAAGACCGAGTTTGTCATCACTGTGCCAATGACCGAGGTCCAAAAAAGAACATACAACCATTATGTGACTTCTTTAATGGAAGGGAAAAATGCGATAGCGGTTTCATCTGCTACATTCTTGACATGGATGGCTGTTTTAGGACTGTGCTGCAATCATCCGGCTTGCTTCTATGATAAAGTGGCGAAACGGGCCGAGGAACACGCTCCAAAACCCGCAAATGAAGAGCCCATCGACCCTGAGACGTTCCCAGCCGAGGTGCCGTTAAGCTCACTTGGCTTCAATGAAGCTATGTGGGCTTCTCAAAAACAACTTCTTTCCGACGTTCCTGATCTGGACGATCCCAAACATTCTCACCGAGCTGACATATTCAAAAAAATTGTCGAAGAGTCTGTGCGTCTTGAAGAAAAGATACTCTGCTTCTCGCAAAGTATCCCGACGTTAGATTATCTTGAAAGACTTTTGCGCTCATCTGGAGTGCGTTTCTATCGCCTCGATGGTAGCACCGCTGTTAAGAACCGCCAGAAGGACGTCAAAAGCTTCAATCAAGGTGAAATAAGTGTCTATCTTATATCGACACGAGCGGGTGGACTCGGATTGAATATTACTGGTGCGAATCGAGTGATTATATTTGACTTCAGCTTTAACCCTACCTGGGAAGAGCAAGCAGTCGGGCGAGCGTATCGCCTTGGTCAGGAAAAGCCTGTCTACGTCTATCGTTTTCTTGCAGGCGGAACTTACGAAGAAGTTGTACACAACAAATCCATTTTCAAGACTCAGTTGGCAATGCGTGTGGTTGATAAGAAAAACGTCGAGCGGTCGGCTACAAAGTCACTCGGTGAATATCTGTTTCCTGTGAAGGACGTGAAACAGGAAGATATTTCGGAGTATATCGGACGAGACAAAGTCTTGGATAAGATACTTTTGAATAATGACTCGGCTTCACCGAGTATTCTCAACATTGAGCTCACGGAGACATTCCGCCGCGAAAATAATGAAATGCTCACCGAGGATGAGAAGAAGGAGATGGAACAGGAACTTGAGCTGGAATTACTTAGAATGTCAGATCCGGCTGCCTACGAAAGGAAAATGATGGAGGCGGCTCGCCGGCCGGAGCCGACATTGGTATATCCCACCACAAACCTTCCTACATATTACATGTCTAGTGGTCCTCCCCTTTCTCAGCCAGCTCCACCGGCTCCTCCTGCTTATCCAGCTCATGCTCAGGCTCAGGTTCAGAGACCTATTGCACCGCCTCACGTTGAAAGAAGTTTTTTCAAGCCCCCACCATGGGCTGGCCCCGCAGCACCGGTTCCCAAATCTATGCTCAGCTCGGGGCCTCCACCAACTCATTTGCCTCCTCGTCCAGACTTCATTTCTGCACCGCCGGTTACCAGGGATACATCCGAAAGTGCTGCTCAGGCAATCTTGAAGTCGTTCTCTTCACAATCGGGCGTCAACAATACCCAGTACAACAATGTTCGGCCTTCACCTCCTTCAACAACTTCCTCTCCAATAAGTGATCAACCGTCCGGTTTACCAGATCGTGTCACTGTGGAATCATTAGCTGCTCGTCTGGGTCCGGATTGAACGGATGGTGTTTTCCCATCAGATATCTCTTCGACTCAGCAATCCTTCTTTGTTCTCTGCATCTGAGATCTATCTATTCAGCATAGATTCGAAAACCATAAATCTTACGACTTTACGAATATCTTTTTCTCTGGTTTATCTGATACCCATGGGGTTGAATATTGCGTCATTTCAGTGTATTGGGAGTGGGTTTTCATGGCATTGTATCGTTTCATTTCGTTTACCCTTCTGCTGTATTTTATTCTGGTTCTCCCTCTCCCCATCTCGTTGCTATTGCAGCGGTTTATGATCCGTCTTTTCCTTTTGATTTAAGTCCATACCTTGTTCTTCTTGTAAAACATCGGTTTCAGGGGTTATAGGGACTAGACTGTGCTCTGAAATTTGGATACTGCATCGATGCTCTATATAGACGGTGAACCTGATCATCTCAACTTCATAGCGAGAAATTCATTAGAATGAGGAGAGATAAACTGCTATGACATTCCACCAGATAACTTTGCTCGGGCATTCCCGAACCTCCAAGGTTGTAGTCTCCCGATTGTCTGCTTGAACATCATGTACCACTAGATCTTACCTCAAGACGCATAGTCTGATGTTTATTCTTTGTTGTTTCCCTGGTAAATCCCTGTTCATGAGTAGGCTATCCCTTGTCTTGATATCCTAATTTGAACACCGCTCTTGTTTTTGTTTATGGCTATCCCTCTTCTTGTGGTAATCTCAGTGGACCACTAAGTGCATATATGTTCTGACTATTCCTGGGCAATCTGTGAGACTTTGTTTCCAAACATTAATAGTCGGGGGTATCATTGCAGATGAGGGACTTTTTCGAAGTCGATAGCGCCAGCACTGCAAGAATCCGCCTAACCAAGCACTGACTAGCTGGGCAGGAGGGCATATATACCTCTGCTCTGCTCTTAACTCTCTTCTCCTGTCAACAATGTTCCCACATAGCTGGGGCTTCCTGTACCTCTTCAGCCCGGACGTTTCACAGTTCACATCTGTGATAAAGATTCAACCAATCCAACAGCATTGTTCTATTTATTCTTGACCTTCTGAATATCAAAGAGGACTGTAAGAATAGCAGATACTGTAACAATGGCTGATCTCAAGACATCACCTGCAGCTTTTAAGAAGTGAGTTGAAATGAGCACCCCAAAGAACTTGAGAATGAAGACTGAAACAATGACAGAGCCTTGTAGAGCCAGAAGGTTTGTGTACTGGTTGGTACAGAACAAAGACCTTCTATACGCCCTGAGACCTACTGATCAAATGTTTCCCGACATTCAAATCTATGTACGAAGCCGCCAATCCTGAACACCCCGAGATCAGACTCAAAAGTGTCAGCCCGGATACTTTCACGATCTTCTTCGTATGGCTGCATTCCTAGTCTGCGGAAGGACTTTGAGAGGAAGACATCATGAGAACCCTAAAACTTGTGGACTTTGCGGACAGTTACAAAATACATATCCTGTCTATGCAAACCCGCGACGCAATTCACGTAACCTGGCCAGAACTAGCCTCCAGCTTGTTTGTTCGCTCTCCGCCATGTCTGCCATGGTCTTTTTGTTGGCAGCTGTGCAAGGATGATTACGAAGATGGTCTCGAGGATAAATGGGAGTCCTTTTTCGACGTATTTCCACAACAACCCGGGGTTCCTTATGCCGCGTGACAGCGCCACAGCAAAAGTGCGCGTTCGCGAGTCCTTCAGAGACCGTTGCGAACAGGCGAAAGAAATAGCCGAAGCATATAAAGAGGCTGCTGCGCAACATAAAGGACTCCGGAGGAAGTGAATTCTGGAGAACTTTATCACAGGACGGTGGAGCAAGCTTGGGGTTTTCCGTCGTGCAAACGCAACTATAAACATTAATAAGAGAAGATCTCAGGGTAGGTGTGGAAAACATGATGGATGATATTTTTAGTCAATCATGAGGAACAGTCAGGAGGATAGTCAAAGTATTTTCTATTATCTTGTCCAGTCTTCAGCTAGAGTCAGTTTCTCATAAATTTATCAAGAGTGTACGGAGTACCTTATTGAACCTCTGTTCGTTTGTAGACTATTTGTAGCGAGGATAGGAGGGCAGGTCGACGGAAGAGGTCGACTTATATACCAGCACGTACAAGATGTATACAGTCATCATTGAGCTTGCTCTCGGAGTATGCCTCCAGTCGTTGGGTTGAAGCTGGAATTGAAGTTGATAAAGCTGCCGTCCAAGCCGATAGCTTCAACCAATCACGATGAGCTCAGCTGTCTTGACCCACACTCCAAATCATAAATCACCTGCCATCCTTCTGGTGAAGATCTCATGAACAACACCTCGACACTACTATCTTAACACATTTCCTGGCCTGCTTCTTTACGCGATATAGCTCTCAAAATGAAACGAAGAATTACATATATTACCGCCGCAGATGCGGAGTTCGACCCTTCAAAGCAAGCAATTCTGAGCAAGGACACCTTATCGATCCGAGGTCTAGACGCAGCGAAAGAAGAGCGCTTCACTTTTAACTCAGCAGAGCTTCCAACCAAAGTAGGCACTTACCATCTGTGGCCAATGCCTGTTTCGCAGGTTATACAAAACTGACACTTTAATTGGAAAGTAGCTCTTAGATAATCTGCATCATACACGCGAACTTCATATACGATGGAGTACCGAGCGAAACTACGACTCCGTGGCGCCGTTTTTGGCTCGCATATCTCCGGGTTTACAGGTTTATCATATATCGTCAAATGAGAGCGAGTTAAGAGAGGATACGTACGTGCCGAGGAGTTGATTTCTTCCATAACCCTACGCTTACCTCTGCTTCTGACGACAGAGACCGAATATGTCCACTTGTTCAGAACCTATTTGGAGATGATATCAAATGTATATCGCAAAAGAAATCCTTCTCAGAGGCCCCAGTGCTAGTAGAAAGGTTGTCATCGTTATCGGCTCAACACACTCAATTCCATCATAACCTACCCTCGATCGACCGCTTTGTCCAATTTATCCGACACAGTGTTTGCGATTTGACGGATGTCCAATGCGCCGATATTATATCGTCCCTTTCCTCGGCGGATTCCATTGCTATCGACTACGATGCTACAGCCGATACAATCACTCTTTCTGCATTCTGGTCTCAGCCGCTCTCTGATGTGGCCAGGTGGACGGAAGATATAAATGTAGTTGGATCGAGTGGGAAGGTCGAGGTCGGTCTACTTTCGAACGAGAAGTCTATCGACGCCGAGGACCTTACGCTTGGGGGATATCTGGCAGTAGTGGGCCAGGATAGCAAGCTAAGTACGTATATCACTGATTGTTGTGTGTTGCTGGGCTAATTAGGAGGTTGAAGAGCCAACATTATTCTCTTTTCCATCACGACATCATGTCCTTCCAGAGCATGCTACATATGTGTCGACATTTGAAACACCAACTGGATTACATCCCACCATGAAAATCTCGATATCCCCGTCAGCGCTTGTTCAGCCATCAGCTCCAGAAGACACCACTTGCGCTCTCCACACATATCTCACGCTTCCTTCGACCATATTTGCAGACAAATATCAACTGTCTACAAAAGATCACTTATTTTTGAATTCACATCATCTTAAAGGGCTGCGCGCTGTATCTGGTGAAACAGATCTAGAGGCGCCTGATTGGGTTCTACCGAGCTGGGGCTCCAATCTACTCATTGAGATTGCCACGCCAATAGATAATCAGTCCATAAATGATAGTGACAGCTGGGATGTCACTATTCCGTTGCATCTACGGTATTTGAAGCCTTCGGAAAGCGGGTATCGACCAACTTCCATCCCGTGGCCGATCGTCTTCTGGGCCTGCAGTGCTGAAGACACGGAGATGGGTATTAATCCATTTGACCGAGTTGATCTCGGCTACGACAAGTTGTTCCCTCCAAAAACGTATTTCTACCATCTCCATCCGGGGATTGACACTGCCGAAAGAGTGCTCATGCAGGAGATACAGGTCCCGGTGCTGCGGGCAGCTACTGAGGGCGGACGATTGTTTGGCGACGCGGGATATCAAGTAGAGCTCGGAACTGTGGCTGCTATTTTGATAGGGTTCACCTGGGTTTTATGGAAGTTAGTGTCGAGTCTCAGATCTGGGCCGCGGAATTCAATAGACGCGAAGAAAAGGAAATAAGTATTTCTTAAGAGTGGGACCCTATCCAAGAGCACCTATTTCTATTTTATTATGACGAGCGGTCAATCTGTAGTCCATAAGATGCGTTATCTCGAGTTACTAACAAAATGAGTCACTCCTAAATCGGCGACCCTGAAAGTGGGTCCGTTTCGTGCGATTTGTGTAATCCTGAGACTCTAATTGGCCAAACCCGCCTCAAGTGACGCCAGAGCGGTGAAGAAAGATTTGCTAGCGGCACGTTATCGCTCCCTCACAAAAGCTGTGAAAATCTTCTCTTTCTTTCTCCTCTTCTCTCTATCCGGAATACTCAATCCAATCCACTCACAACGCCTTGCTACATTGCTTCTGCCCTACAATTGACATTTGTCAATATCCATCTCCTTTTCTGAATATATTTATTGACTCCGCCAGTACTGGTGAGAACATAGCAACCGCGCTTATGCGTGTTTTCGTCTCCACTTTCACTTCTCAGGTATGCTGTGCTCGGTGGTTAATGGTGTCCAAAGAGACTACTTTCAGGATGCTAATTATATGTTTCTACGTAGGACTACATTTCGGGTACGCTATCTTCGATTCTTTCCGAACATAAGCGTGTTTTGAAACCCAATATGCAGTAGCTAACAGACTTAGATCACCTCTGGAAAGCTCGTATCAATTAATTTCAGTCGTCTACCCGTCTCACAATATCTATATCTACCATCATGTTCGCTCAACTCTTTCGTTCGACGACGCTCCGAGCCTCTCCGGTCTCCTCGGTGAAGGCAAGCCTACCTCAGATGCGGTCTTTGGCCACCGTAGACCGCCGTTTTGCTTCTACCAGACGCTTTGAGCCGGCCACCTTCACGATCCGGAATGGGCCTGTATTCCATGGCAAGTCCTTTGGAGCTAACACAAACATCTCTGGTGAAGCCGTTTTCACCACCTCTTTGGTCGGATACCCCGAGTCTCTGACTGATCCTTCTTACCGCGGCCAAATTTTGGTCTTCACACAGCCTTTGATTGGTAACTACGGAGTTCCTTCAGCCGAAAAAGATACAAACGGCTTGTTGAAGTACTTCGAGTCCCCCAACTTGCAAGCTGCAGGTGTTGTTGTTGCCGATGTTGCTGAGCAGTACAGTCATTGGACTGCCGTTGAGAGCTTAGGAGAATGGTGCGCCCGAGAGGGTGTCCCCGCCATCTCGGGAGTTGATACCCGTGCTATTGTGACATTCTTGCGTGAGCAAGGTTCTTCTCTTGCCCGTATTACCGTTGGCGAAGAGTACGATGCGGATGAAGATGAAGCCTTTATCGACCCTGAGCAGATCAACCTGGTCCGTCAGGTCAGCACCAAGGCTCCCTTCCACGTCAGCGCTGCCAACCCTGAATGTCACGTTGCGCTCATCGACTGTGGAGTCAAGGAGAACATTCTCCGCAGCCTCGTGGGCCGTGGTGCCAGTGTCACTGTTTTCCCATTCGACTATCCCATCCACAAAGTGGCTCACCACTTTGACGGTGTCTTCATCTCCAATGGACCCGGTGACCCAACCCACTGCCAAGATACTGTCTACCATCTGCGAAAGCTGATGGAGACTTCTCAAGTGCCCATCATGGGAATTTGTTTGGGCCATCAATTGCTCGCTCTCGCTGCCGGTGCCCGCACTATCAAGCTCAAGTACGGTAACCGTGCTCACAACATTCCTGCACTTGACCTTACCACTGGCCGCTGCCACATCACTAGTCAGAACCACGGTTATGCTGTGGATGCATCTACTTTGCCTAGTGACTGGAAACCTTACTTTGTCAACTTGAACGATTCTAGCAACGAGGGTGAGTACATTTCGAATTTTATTGTGAGCCTAAGTCCTAATCTCGCCACAGGTATGATCCACAAATCCCGCCCAATCTTCAGCACTCAGTTCCACCCTGAAGCCAAAGGTGGTCCATTGGACTCTTCATACCTCTTCGACATATACCTCGACAGTGTCGCCAAGTACAAGAAGAACCAGAGCGTCTTCCAGCCTACTCGTGAAAGCCGCCCCAGTCCCTTGCTGGTCGATCTTTTGCCTAAGGAACGTGTCGGTGTTGCGCCTACCACGGGTGCGTTGAACAACGCTCGCACTCCAACTGCGCCTTCTCCAGTCTCACAGCAGGCTCCTGCTGCGGCTGTCGCTGCTGCTTAAGCTTGAGGTTGGTGTTTCTTTCCATTTTGGATTGGTGTAGGGGTCTTTCTTCGTTATGATATTGATTTTAGGGTATAGGTTATATAAGGGCAAATTGCAAATATCATCATCATTCATTACTCACTACATAGATCTTATATAACTGTGAAACATTGTAATTACGAGTGAACTGTAGTATCGTAAGTATTATCCATCTGGATCAAGATATTATTTCTTAGGTAGCCCAAAATCATATTGATATATTGAAGCAATGTATTCACAGTTTTTACTTTTTTGATATTGAAGAGTAGAAATTTGAAAAGAAAGTCGAATTCGCTCACTCAAAACGCCACCGGAAATACCTGAACGCCTATGTGTATGCAAACATAGAAAAAGACAACCTCATAAGACAATCATATACCATCATAGCACAAAACAATATTAAGCGGGGGTGAATGACTTAATGGAGTGAAAGTCAAGGCAAAACATCCTTTAGTAATTCCTTTTGTTCCGCCGTCAATGTTGTCGGGAATTTAACATTAACTTTAACCACCATATCACCCCTCTCCGTCGGCTTCTTGGAGATTGGCATACCCAACCCGGGGAATCGTTCCTCGTACCCTGGTTGTGTGGGACCTGGTTTTGCGACGCGGATTGATTTTCCGTCGATGGTTTTCACGATGCGTTCCCAGCCTGTTAGGGCTTCTTTGAGGCTGAGGTCGACTGTTGTTATGAGGTGGTCGCCGCTGCGTTTGAAGGTTGGATGCTCTTTCTGTTGAATAGTTAGCATCTTGATACGAGATGGTTGGAAGAGGAAAAGGACATACCTCTGTGACGACAAGATGAACATCTTGACGACCGCCTTCTTCCTGGTCACCGACACCTTTATATTTCAGCTTTGATCCGGATCGGAGACCGGGCTTGATCTTTGCTTCGAGTGTGATATCCTGCACATTCCGTCGACCATTGGCGTCGAACGTCTTGCTCTTGGTGACGACCTTCTTCGTCGTACCATTAAACAATTCCTCCAGGGTTAGATTCAGCGGCTTTTCAACAACCTGCGGTTCAGGAGTTGGTTCACGGCGAGTACTGAACGATGCACCACCGGGTCCGCCTGCAGATGTCCTAGCTCCTCCTCGAGGAATACCACCACCTCCCAACCCGGCACCAAGGATATCAGCCAAGAAATCGTGATCATCAAGACCACCACCCATACCGCCGCCACCACCACTCTTTGCGAAATTCCTGAATATGTCTTCGGGGTTGCTGAAGTTGAATGATGCGCCGCCTCCGGGTCCCGTTGAGAATCGGAATGTGCGTGTACCACCACCGCCTCCGGGGCCGCCGCCCATGTTGGTGAAGTTGAAACCGCCGGGCATGCCGCCAGGTCCTGCTCCTCCTCCACCTGGGGATGGGGGTGGACCGCCCCGGAGTAGGTATTCTAGACCGAATTGATCATATATCTTGCGTTTCTCAGGGTCGGAGAGGACTTCATAGGCTTGAGAGCATTCTATAGAGCGTTAGCATATGGAAGAATACTTCCTACAAATCGATTGGAGTAAGGGAGGGAGCGACATACCTTTGAACTTCTCAACAGCCTTCGGATTATCTTTGTTCTTATCAGGATGATACTTCAATGCAGCCTTCCTGTAAGCCTTCTTGATCTCATCTTGAGTAGCGTCCGGCTTGACGCTTAGTGAATCGTATAGTTTTGTTTCTGCCACCATGTTGTTGTTGTTGTTGTTGCTTTTCCGGATTGTATTTCGATTGGAACTATAAGTAAGATTCGAGAAGTAGAAGATTTGGTATCGAATAAATATGAATGTCGAGAAAGCGTGGCGTGGAGATCGTCACCCCACTACTGTAAACACATGAGACAAGTCGAACACGGTAGAAGATTCCGCGGATGTGATTGGGGAATTGACCGTGGAAAATGGAGTTAGTTAATTGACTTTTTGAATGGGAAAAGTCGTACGATGGTAGTTTAGTTGAGGAGAGTAGAGAGGAGGAGGAGGAGGAGGAGGAGGAAAGAGGTTAATATCAGCGGTGGAGTGTCAATGACGTTTGAGGCCTTAAGGGTCACGTTGGGCTTCATGTGCCTCGAATGTTCGAGAACATTCGATGTAGTGTATCTACCATATCTGGGAAACGTCAGGTATTATCGAGGAATCTATATGAAAAGAGTGTCGTCTTTGCTTTTCTGGTGGTACTCGAGTCATTCTCCGTTTATATTCCATACATTGTTGCCGCTGATGCTGGTGGTGTTGTTCATCAGATCGGAGGAACAGCGGTGACGTCGTCTCCATCGTGAGGACGTATCACCATGGCACACCAACTTTTATCGTATGTTCCGAGAGTCAGTGTGCATGGTCGATACTCGTCTATATCAGTCCGAACTGTTTATGATATGCGTCATAGTCCTGTTTGATTCCGGGTTGGACAATGGTGCTATATCTGTCTGTGCCTTCTACTATGCACTGACTCGATCAATGCAGCTGTAAGGCTTTTCAAAGGATATCCGGGCTTTTATTAGATAACTCTATACTAATACCTAGGTACCTCCTTGGATTATGCATAGATCAAAGGAAAACACTCTTCTACCCACAGTTCCGGAGTTATAAAGCAAATAAATGTAACTTGTTTCTGATGCTCGGCAAGTGTCGAGCCCATTCCTGGTGCCCGAGTATCTGGTATACTCTTTTGAATGACTCGAGAATGCTAGATAGTTATCTGTAGGCTACTTGCATCATCCAAGATGAACTACTAATCATCGAAAGTAGAATGCAACCCTCCAGTTGGATGTTTTGGTTATCTCTCTGATCTGATCTCCATGAATGCGATGAGCGATCTCGGCGTTGCGGTAAACGGGTACTGTCGGCCGCGCTCGGCTATAGCAAGCCTTGTGGCCTCAGGCAAAGCTTCCTCCATCAAAGCAGCCGAGTCTCGACGCCGCTCTTTTACCTTTCACTTCTCTAAAGCTGCTGGGAAAGCCATTCTGGCAGCCACGATTGACTAGCTACGTTATAGACAAGACATTTTCCTGATCACGCGACAGGGATTTATCAATTCAAAATGGCGAGCGGGTTGAGGATTTTGGTCCCCGTTAAGCGGGTGATTGATTACGCCGTAAGTTGTTTAGTTATGCAACACATCACATTCAACTTTTTAGGAAGATTTCACCGGGTTATAATGCCTAACTCGAAGGCTACAACAGATGAAACCGCGCATTAACAAGACACAAACCGGCGTAGAAACCGCCGGCGTGAAACATTCCCTCAATCCCTTCGATGAAATCGGCGTCGAGGAAGCAGTCCGCCTTCGCGAGCGGAAAGGTCCATTGAAAGTCGAGAACATTCTTGCTCTATCAGCCGGTGGTGCTAAATGCGTCGATACGCTTCGTACAGCCATGGCCATGGGCGCCGACAAGGCACTACTCATCGACGTCCCCGAATCAGCCGACGGTGGCCCTGAGCCATTGACGATCGCAAAACTGCTCAAGAGCGTTGTACAAAAGGAGAATATCAATATGGTTTTACTGGGTAAACAGGCGATTGACGGCGATCAGGGACAGACTGGACAAATGCTCGCAGGATTGTTGGGCTGGTCGCAGGCGACTCAAGCCAGCAAAGTGGATATCAAGGATGAGAGTGGCACTGTGGAGGTTACTCGTGAAGTGGACGGTGGTGTAGAGACATTGAGAGCTAAATTACCGATTGTCATCACGACGGATCTCCGACTTAACGAACCTCGCTACACGAGTTTGCCCAACATCATGAAGGCTAAGAAGAAGCCTTTGGAGAAGAAGACGCTGGCGGATTTCGGGGTAGAAGATAAGCGACGACTAAAGACTGTCAAAGTTACAGGTAAGTTGTGACTCATTTGGCTTTTTTTTCTCTTTTTTTCCTTTTCCGATCTGTTCTGACATTTATTAGAACCACCCCCAAGACAAGGCGGCGGCAAAGTGGAGGATGTCGATGGACTTGTTTCTAAGCTGAAAGAACTTGGCGCTCTATAAAAACATGCAGACCATGAATGATAACAGATGAATGTCTTTTTGATGTACAATATCCAATAGTTGCATTGTATATCGGCCGAACTATTTGAGTAAGAGCTAAATAGGAAGGAGCGCCTGCCGATTGATCGAGTACCTGCTCCAAGCCGAATCTTCTCACTCCTCCATCTTCAACCTCAATAGGTTTCCCCCCCTGATACACAGCATCTGTATTATCCCTGATCGGTCGACCTAGTGAACAAGCCCGGTTCAAGAGCCGATGGTTTGGGAGCCTGTCGCATTCTGCGCCGTAAGTCATCTTCGGTCTCTCGGGCCTTGACCTAACTAGCAGCCGCTCATGCAGACAATAGATCGCACCACACTCCTGCATCTGATACATCCGTACATCAATGCTAATCGTTCGATGTCCTCAATAGTTTACAAAGCTTTCTTTTCCACGAACATCCAACGGATTCGGAGAAACAGGAAAGCTCGGAAGTACATCCAAGGTTCCACCACGCCGGCGAATCGAGGGGCAATGACATCGTTGACAATGCATCCAACCGACCTGATGTTCGATCTGATTGATCACAATCTCGCCGTCTAGTCTGCGCCACCCGGTTAACAAGGCCAAACCTCGATTACTTAACTTAGTATATGGGTTTTAGCAGAGGGGGATTCTTATTAAGCAGTACGTAGTACGACGTACTCCCGTACGACGCCTACTGATCATTCCGGTGCAGCCGGACAGACGCAACCGTTAGGCAGGATCATTTTTTTCCATTTATAACAGCCAGAGAGCCTGACAAAGCTGGCCAAACTTCTTCAGAGAGCAGTACCGCCCACATTGTTCCTGTTCCTGAGATTCACTTAGTTTGTACTTACCTTCCAATCGTACGTCCATGGTGATTTGAGTAAGTTATACGATCTATGCACATTCCCTGCTTAACCCAACCGCTCAATGGATCGCAAATGGCTAATACCGCAGCGCATTCCTAAGAATAAGGCTACATTCCCCGCAAAAAGAACTTGACGGTCTTTCGCGCCGCGACTCTTATATATTACTGCGCCTTCATTATTTGAGGTTGGTCTTTTCCTCCGATCACATCAAAGCAGTCTCAGACGCCCTTTTTCTTTTCGCGCGGGGTTCTACCTTGTCGCTTTGCGGCACACCTTACTGATGGCGTCAAACGTTGAATCGCAGGCTGGTCCCTACACGATGTCGCAAAGAAATTCGTGGAAGGATTACGGAAAAAAGGGCTTCGGCTTCGGGAAGAAGGGGTTTGACAAGGCCTGGCAGGCTTTGGATAAGCTAGGCGCTCCCGTGAATCGGCTCTCGAACCGAGTGGGCGCAGAGGCATTTTGGCCTACTACGCTCGATAAAGAGAGCGACAAGGCCGCTCGTATTCTAAGAAGCTTCTGCAAAGATGGGTTTTATGATCAGATCGATGCCGATGCCGCAGCCAAAGCTGCGCAGGAGAAGGAGGTTATCGAAGGGAAACAAAAAATCGATAAACCGATAGGTAAGCAACGGGTATTAGTAAAAATCCCGACGGAAGTGATCAAGAAAGCAAAGGGTATCGCCATATTCACAACCATGCGCACTGGTCTTTGGTTCAGTGGTGCTGGTGGCAGTGGAGTCCTGTTGGCTCGCGTACCAGAGACTGGCGAATGGAGTCCGCCTTCTGGTATATTATTGCACACCGCTGCTATCGGGTTCCTGGTTGGTGTCGATATCTACGATTGTGTCGTTATAATCAATACATATGAGGCTCTCGAAGGGTTCAAGAAACTACGAGCGACACTTGGTGGAGAACTCAGCGCAACAGCTGGTCCCGTTGGAGCCGGAGGCATCCTCGATAGCGAAGTGCACAAACGACAAGCACCAATCTGGACCTACATGAAGAGTCGAGGTCTTTACGCAGGTGTACAGGTTGACGGAACGATTATTGTTGAAAGGACAGATGAGAATGCTCGTTTCTACGGACGGAAAATATCAGCACATGAGATTTTGGCCGGCAAGATTACACATCCACCTGATTCCATTCGAACTCTAATGCGGACACTCAAGGCTGCGCAAGGCGATCAGGACGTGAGCGAAAGCGAGTTACCACCCGCTGGAGAGGCCCCTGCTGATCACATCATCATCCACGAGAACGAGTCTGGTTTTGGTGTACCGGCTGCCGATGATCCTGACCCATACGGAGTACATGCTTTGGAAGAGCAAGGCATGTTCATACGTGAAGCGGGAACGCACAACCGGCCAAGTCAAGAGGTCTTTGAATTCCGCCCTAGTCCTTCAAGTCCAATTTATAACTCATTTGTTAGACAAAGCATTGATTCGTCACCGCGACAGAGTTGGCGAGCCAGTATGCAAAGCACAAAGAGCTATGTTAGTGTGGACAGAGGTACCCAAACAGAAGATACCCCCCCGGCCCAGCCGCCTCGTTCAGCCAGTGTTGCTTCGTCTCGCAGTCTTCGAGATACTGCAGAATCGCCCATTGAGAATCCTTGGGACACACCTGATACTTCGGAAGATCATGATGTTCAATCTGATAGCAATGATTTTGAAATTCACGATGCAAGCAACGCCACAGTTGCTAAATCTGAGCGTCCCCAGTCAGTGCTCTCTAATCCATCAGACGAGAGCTCTTCAGCTGCGAACTTCTCGCGGCCTCGACTAGTCACAATTCCCAAACGAATTCCACCTGCCCTTCCTCCTCGAAACCCTGTCCGCAGACGTGGATCGCAATCCACTCAGGGTTCGGTCGTCGCTGGCCCTACGTCTCCCTCTAACTCCACACATGGGGAAGCTCCAGCGGCCATTGACTCCTCTGCTAACGGCGATAAGCATGATCTTAAAGAGGTAGTACGGGAAGATTCCAAAGAAGTGCATGTTTCTCCTGAACCGGCGGTTGACGAGGAGATCCCAGCTGTGGAAAAGGATGAATTTCATTCAACATCAACATCACCTACGGAGGAGCTTAAAAGTCTAGAATTTAACGAAGCCAAGCACGAAATCAAGGATCAGGTGAAAGAGGATGCTAAAGAAGAAGCTAAGGAATCGAATGCAGAAGCGGAAAAGACGACATGAAAGCAACGCTGTGGTTGATGAATATACTTATGACTCTCGGCAAGGCGTTTTGATGTCCGGGTTGGTCAAATATGTTTCGGTATTGTGTCTCTATGAGGGCTTATTATTGTATGTGCATGTGTGATTCCCCAATTCGTCGCGAGGACATTGTTATTCTATTTAATGTTTGTTTCAAGGGCTTGGTGCAATGGCATGTGTATCTGTACGTGTATGATGGAGCATTAGCTTGGTTGATATATTTTTATCTTTACGTCTATATGCAAATGATATATGATTGAATGCATTTTAGCGTCTTCAGGAACTAAGAGCAGGCAGCAATGACTGCCTAGTCCCCGGTGTAGCCTATGACGGAGCTCGTGCCCGATGGAGCTAGGTAACAGGGAGCTCCATCGTCTGTTCTCAGCCTCAACGCTATAAAGAGAGCTACGGCTGCTACGCCTCTTTAATTTCGTTCTCCCTTGTATATTCCTTCTGAACAGTCAATTGTATCCTTGCTTATTCTAGTCTGACTGTGACTTGTTGTCTAACCGAGTTTCAAAGAGCTCAAAACACAACAATGGTGCCGACACCGTTTAAGGGGTCGGTGATTGCTGTTAGCGGCACTTTCCGCACTATCCCTCCGATGACCCAAGGTGTGTCCATATCAGCCTCGCTGTCAACAGTGTTTATTTCGATGATTGAACACTAATGTTATCAATTCTTCCCGTGTAGATAAACTGAAAAAAATCATTGAAGAGGGAGGTGGCACATTCAGCCCCAAAGTGTCCAATGACTGCACCCATTTGGTCACTTCGCTCAAGAACGCCACAGGAAGTAACGCCAAATGTGAGTGCCAATCTAAGATGTAGAAGATTATTAATGGCACTAAAGCCCGATTTTCAGTCAAGCAAGCCTCTGCTCTTAACAATTGCCACATTGTAACAATTGACTGGCTCCTCGAGTCGCAAGGCAAGAAGAAGAAGCTAGACGAGAAGAAATACTTGATCAGCAACATAGACGACCAGAAAGACTCGACGGACGATCTGGCATTCCCAACCCCACCAGCGGAGTCTGACAAGAAAAGACCTGCCCAGGCAGTTGCTGATGGAGATGAGCCTCCGTCGAAGAAGAAGCGTGATGATGAGACCAAAGAGGAGAAGAAGATTCATGTTCCTGTAGATGAGGGATGCAAGGATGGTGGTAAGCCACGGTTGATCTTTGATGTTCGGCACACTTTGGCTAATGTTGATATAGCTGGGTATGAAGTTCTCATTGACGAAGATGGGGTCATCTGGGTATATACCCTGATACTTGGAATGTATTTCAATCAGCTAATTGAAATAGGATGCCTCACTCAACCTGACCAGCTCGAGTAATAACAACAACAAATTCTACCGAATTCAGTTACTGAAATCCAAAAAGAAGGATACATACTGTTCCTGGACTCGCTGGGGTCGAGTCGGCGAAATGGGTGCAGGCGCCATGTTCGGTCCGAGTGATTTCGAGAGTGCCAAAAAGTCATTCGAAAAGAAATTCAAGGACAAGTCTGGTCTTGCCTGGAAGGATAGATTGAATGATCCCAAATCCGGCAAATACTCGTTTCTTGAAAGGGACTATGAGGAAGATGATCCGGATGAAGAAGAAGCAAAGGCCAAAAATCAACAGCAGAAAAAGCCCGCAGGAGATGAACGTCCACCTCCTGAAAGTAAGCTTCCCGAGCCTATTCAGGAAGTGGTTTCTCTCATTTTCAATCAGGAGTATGCGATGAAGGCATTGGCAGATTTGAACTTTGATGCAAACAAGTTGCCATTAGGAAAGCTTAGCAAACGTACTCTGCAGACCGGGTTTCAGGCGTTGAAGGATCTGTCTGAGTTGCTTAATGATCCCTCTCTTGCGACGACTAGATATCAACAACCTCTCGGTGTGGCATTGGAGACTCTCAGCAACCGTTACTTCACCATCATTCCGCATGCATTCGGACGTGCTCGACCACCAGTGATAAGTCATTCGGACTTGTTACGGAAGGAGGTTGAGTTACTTGATAATCTGACGGATATGGAAATTGCGAATCAAATCTTCAGTGACTCTCTCACAACTGACAGTGAGATTCACTTCTTGGACAAGCAATTTGAGGGTTTGAGACTGGATGAAATGACACCATGTGAGTTTACCTCTGTTTCGGAGGGAAGGTTTTTGACTGACCAGCTACAAGTGTCTCATTCCTCGGCGGAGTTTGAAGAAATCGCAAAATATCTAGTAGGAGCAGCGGGACCAACCCACCACTTTAATCTCAAGGTATGTTACTGCCTACTTTTTAATGTGATTGCTTATATTAAATCCTATCAGCCACAAGATATCTTCCGTATCGAACGAAATGGCGAGCACGACCGCTTCGAACAAGCTGGAATGACCAAGCTGCCCAACGACAATCGTCGTCTTCTATGGCATGGTTCTCGTTCCACTAATTTTGGTGGTATCCTCAGCCAAGGGTTGCGTATTGCACCCCCTGAAGCCCCCGTGAACGGCTACATGTTCGGTAAAGGTGTCTACTTTGCCGATATATCGACCAAGTCAGCCGGATTTTGCGCCTCTTACGCCAGTCGAGGAATCGGTTTGATGCTTTTATGTGAAGTACAACTGGGCGATCCAATGCATGAGCTAGTCCATTCAAGCTATACTGCCGGGGATGATGCGAAAGCAGGCGGTAAATTGGCCACCCTAGGAATGGGAAGTACGATTCCGAAAGGTTGGAAGGATGCTGGATGTGTGCATCCGACCTTGAAGGGAGTGGTCATGCCTGATGTGTCGCATGGGCTCGAGTCTCTGGATCAGATGTCTCGCATCCTGTATTACAATGAGTACATTGTCTATGATGTTGCTCAGATTCGTCAGCGGTATTTGTTGAAGGTTCAAATGTAGGGTCAATTGAGAACGGCATTCATCTGATGTGTCCTATCTGTACAAAAGTAAGCGATCTAGCGATAATACCAATAAATTTGTTTCGCAGACCATCTGTTGCACTGTTGCTTAAATATTAGACTTGGGTCAACTGAATTTTCTTGCTTATCGGAGTTTCTGATAAGAAAGCTTGGCGAGAAGCCCGACTTCGAGGCTGAGTCCTGCGCCTTCCCTCACTTCAACTACATCCTGTACTGACCTGTTCCGAGTCTCTCTCATTCCTTCATTGAGTCTGTTACTTCTTTTATTGCTTAGACTATGGTACTGCCCTTGAATTGAGTCTGGATGATCTCGTCTGCTATCCTTTCGGCCTTTATCATTCCCTTAGCTCTGGGGACGGCGTTCGTTACATCAGCATAATCATTCTTTGAGATCGCATTGCACCTTACTTGGACTATTAAAATGATTCGCTCTTTTCTGACTGCAGCCAACTTAGCTGCGACTGTCTCGGCACAATACTTTCCTCCTCCGCGCGAGGGTCTTACCGTTATCAAATCCAACGTCACCGAAGGAGTGACCATATCCTACAGAGAGGTAGACTAAACCCGCGAAGGGGCATTGGATACATGCTGATTTGCGCACAGCCAGGTATCTGCGAAACAACACCAAACGTCAAATCCTTCTCCGGCTACGTCCACCTCCCGCCTCACACATTACAAGAAGTCGGTCTTGACCAAAACTACTCCATCAACACATTCTTTTGGTTCTTTGAATCGCGACATGATCCCGCCAATGCTCCGTTGTCGATATGGATGAACGGCGGACCGGGTTCTTCGTCGATGATAGGTTTATTTCAGGAAAATGGACCTTGCAGAGTGAACCCTGACTCGAATTCGACGGCATTGAATCCGTATTCGTGGAACAATTATGCCAATGTTATATATATCGATCAACCGAATCAGGTTGGGTTCAGTTATGATGAACCTCAGAACGGGACGTTGAATCTGCTCACGGGTGAATTGAAACCGTTGGAGGATGAGAACGTCATTCCAGAACAGAATAATACTTTTCTCGTTGGCACGTTCCCAACTATTGAAGGTACGCGCTCGACTGCCAACAATACCGAGAATGCGGCGAGGTCATTATGGGAGTTTGCGCAGGTGTGGTTTACGGAATTTCCGGAATACAAACCTGACGATGACAGGGTGAGTCTATGGACGGAATCGTACGGTGGGCGATACGGTCCGAGTTTCACGGCATTTTTCCAGCAGCAGAATGAGAAGATTGCAGATGGGAGTCTGCAGGGCCACTATTCTATCCATATGGATACCTTGGGGATTATCAATGGTTGTGTGGATCTGTTGACTCAGGATTTGAGTTATGCGGAATTCGCGTATAATAATACATACGGCATTGAGACGATTAATCAGACTGTTTACGAGGCGGCTGTTGATGCATGGAGTAAAGAAGGTGGATGTCGAGATCAGATTCTGGAATGTCGCGCTCTCGCTGCGGTGGGTGATCCCCTCAGTCTGGGGAATAATGAGACGGTGAACGGTATTTGCGCCAATGCCTCTGATTACTGCAGTAATGCATTGGAAGGGCCGTATATTGAGTTTGGTGGCCGCGGTTACTACGACATTGCGCACGACGTTCTTGACCCGTTCCCACCAAACTATTTCATGGGCTATTTGAGTCAAAGCTGGGTTCTGGGAGCTATCGGTGCAGCAGTAAACTGGACCGAGAGTGTCGAATCCGTGTTTACCGCTTTCCAGAATACAGGTGACTATGCCCGTTCGGACGTTTTGGGATACCTCGAAGATATTGCATATGTCTTGGATCAAGGGATTAAAGTTGCCCTTGTTTACGGCGATCGTGACTACGCATGCAACTGGGTTGGTGGTGAAGAAGTCAGTCTGGCAGTCGAGTATAGTGACGCCGACAATTTCCGGTCTGCGGGTTATGCTGATCTATATGCCAACGATACCTTCATCGGTGGCAAGGTTCGACAATACGGCAATTTCTCTTTTACTCGTGTGTATCAAGCGGGTCATGAAGTACCTGCATATCAACCGGAGACATCATTTGCGATCTTTAATCGATCGTTGTCGAACTTGGATATTGCGACTGGACGGATATCGACTGTGGCCAATGCGACGTACGGCACTGAGGGACCGTCGAGTACATGGGATGTCAAGAATGAAGTGCCCCCGATGCCCGAACCGACTTGCTACGTCCTTGCGCTAGGTGCGACATGCACGGATGATGAAATTAATGCCATTGCTAATGGCACAGCGTTGATTGAGGATTATATTTTGATCAAGCCAGATAATCATAGCAGCGACCCTCTTCCTTCTCTGAGTACGACAGCGCCAAAAGAAGACTCTGAGAAGCCTAGTAGATGGTTCCAGATGCTCTTGTCGCTGTCGGAATTTTTTGATATACTTTTATAATGCAGGTAGCATTAGAGTTATAGTTAGAGATAATGTTCAATTGTTAAGGGAAGAGATACCAGTTGACGTTCCCATGCTTCCGGTCTCTGCAGTGACTTGCTTGGGCTTACTCAGAATATGTACGTTGGCTTCCTGGATTAGCTTACTACGTAACTAACCAACTAGTAGACATCTCAACCTATATAAACCGAGGATATGCTAACTAGTGCGTGGATATATCGTCCAGCTCAATGTAGAAAACAGATAACCGCAATAGGAAAATGGGTCCACCATAAAATGCGGGGAGAGTGGGGATAAAGGCAAATATGATTGGCTCGTTGGAAAACTAGTACCATTTCCAAGGGTCTAGCCAATGGGGTCTGTCTCCTCACATGTCCCCGACATCGGGATATCGAGCATGGCTGCAGACAATGGACGGAGACATCGTGTTATTCCATCCCTACAGACTGAGCGGGCCGCGGTTGTACGATGGTCTGAATGACTCAAGATGAGGCACTATTCCATATTGGGCGATATAGCTTGCCATTTATCCGACTCTTCTTTCTTTCTTCTCCGTGTTTTCTTTATTTCGGTGTCACGAGGTCATAAGTAGCTACAACTGCGCATCGAGAACGCTGGGATTGATATTCCCAGCTTCATCTGACAAGATGACTGCATCCAGTACATCCTCTCAACCTCGTATCACGGACAACCATCAATTCTAATCATGATTTCAACAGAAAATGACCGCGAATTCGTCTGCAGCAAAAGCGAGACTGACGTCGAAGAGCCATCCGCCATCAACGACTTCCCGCAACTCACCACAACCACAGAGCGCAAATTGATGGCCAAGGTGGATTTGCACATTCTCCCTTTTCTGTGTGTGTTGTATCTGATGGCTTTTCTTGACCGGTTTGTTTTCATGGTCCAGTCAATTCCCGAATTGAGAGGGTGGGCTAATGTATTTGTGCAGGGTGAATATCAGTAATGCGGTGCTTTTTGGGCTCGAAGAGGACCTCCATATTACGAGCGGAACGAAGTATAATACCGCGTTGACAATCTTTTTTGTTCCGTATATTATTTTTGAGGTATACCCCTATTAAAGAATTAGATTATGTCTGCGCTCCACTGACGACGGTAGATTCCATCGAATATTCTGCTGAAAAGGCTCAAGCCTCATGTGTGGTTGTCGTTTTGTATGGGCATGTTTGGATTCGTTATGGTGATGCAGGTAGATCATCTCCGTCACTTCTTGTGGGTTTTGTTATGTGTGCTAACTACCTTTTTAGGGCCTGGTACAGAATTGGGGTGGTCTGATGGCTACTCGTTTCTTTCTAGGTCTGTTTGAGACTGGCATGTGGGTGTACACTATCTCTGAGGCATTATGACTGTACTAACTAGTGATCAGGTTTCCTGGATGTATGTAAACGATCTTCTACCCTTCGGATCCATCTAATATTGAACAGGCTTCTATCTAATGTCATGCTGGTACACCCGCGGCGAAGCCCAAAAACGCTTCTCCTTCTTCTTCGCCTCCACCACTCTCGCTGGCGCATTCGGCGGCGTCCTGGCCTACGGAATCGGCAAAATGAACGGTATCCGAGGCTACAAGGGCTGGCGCTGGCTTTTCATTCTCGAGGGATTGTTGACTATAGTTATTGCCGTTATATGGTTTTGGACGCTGCCCGATTTCCCGGAAACGGTCAGTTGGATGAATGAGGAAGAGCGGGCTTTTATCAAGGCGAAACTGGAGAAGGATACTGGTAAATCGGCGCATGGGCAATCCATTACTTGGAGGAATGCATTGGCAGTTTTTAAGGATTGTGAGTCTGCTCCGATCTTGTTTTGGGGTCATATATATCTAAACATTCTTCAGACAAGATCTTTGTTGGTGGGCTGGCATATTTTGGGCTTATTGTTCCGGCTTATGGTATTATTACACCTGCTTCCCTCTCTAAGTATGGATGCTGACTTCACAGGTTATGCCTACTTTGCCAACTCCATCATCAGAAGCTACGGCTATAGTCGTAAGTATTCTTTCAACAAGTGGCGTACGATTACTGACTTGACCAGCTCTCACGACGCAATTATATTCCGTCCCTCCCTGGGCTGCTGCTTTTGGATTCTCCCAATTAATCGCCTACTTCTCCGACAGACTGCGCCATCGATTCTTATTCACCGTCGTACCAATCTGTATCACACTGGTAGGTTTAGCCATGCTACTCAACATCCACCATAAACGACATGTCGAGTACGGAGCATTATTCTTGGTCACTGCGGGCACTTATTCTGCAATGCCCGTAGTCGTTTGTTGGTTTGCGATGAATCTAGGTGGACATACGAGGAGAAGTGTCGGAACAGCCTGGCAAGTTGGATTCGGTAACAGTACGTCCATTCTTCTCTTTTTTAAATCGGGTTATACTGACTATATAACTAGTTGGCGGAATCATCGCTACATATTCCTTCCTCTCAAAGGACGCACCAAACTATCGAAACGGTTTCATCATTTGTATTTCTTTTACATGTTTGTCAGCTGCAGCTTGTATTGTGTACTGGCTCGCGCTGTGGCATGCGAACCGTCAGCGCGATCGCAACTCCGCGAGTGGTCAAGTGACTGAGGATGAGGATAAGACGGAGGAACTGGGCGATTTGGCGCCTAGCTATAGATATATTTACTAGGCAATTACTAAAAGTGCTAGTTGCGCTCATATATAATCAGATATAAATCATTTTGGCTCTGACCTTGCTCAGAAGCTTAGCCTGATTGACATTCTCGTTCACTTTCCTGGTAGAACATTGCCCAAAAACACCACAGTCCAATTCATCAGACAGCCCCATATGAGGATCCATTCAACAAATTCCAACACAAAAGCAGGATGGTCGCAGCCGAAGCCGGACAAACTACAAAAAGTTGACGTCCTTGGAAACAAGGCATCCCCGGCGCCCGCGATAACCTTCCATAACAGGCTAGCGCCACGTCTTAGACGAGAAGCTTAGTCAGCGCCCACACACATTCAAAGCCGCAGTGAAGCTCCCTCATCTTGATCATTCTTACAACCATCTCCTCATTTTCAAAGAAAGTGTAAGTTGACCATCAAGCCCCCGTCAATTGAGGAATATACTTGTTGCAAAGGAATAGTTCAGTTGCAATGGCTCTTGCTTATTTCAATTGTACACCTTCACTGCCGACCACAGCTCAATTGACACCGTTGCAAGTGTCCGTACTAATGATGTGATACAAACAGTCTCGAAACATCTGCGAAGATGAGAGCCAAATGGAGAAAGAAGCGCGTTCGCCGTCTCAAGCGTAAGAGAAGAAAGGTCAGAGCTCGATCGTAAGTCTTCCCTCAGCTGCCTGCCATCACCGAACAATTTCGATTAATTTTGATTCACAGCAAATAAACGCTCGACCCCTCCATCTCAGTTTTCTCATGATGAAGCCTTCCGTTGAATGATCAAACACGACAAAATGAGTTTTTAAAACATCATTCCTTCCTCAATCGGGATTGTCCAAGAGCTTTACCGTGTGACATTTCTTCTGTCACCGGTGAAAATATCGTATACCTGGAGCTACCATCAATTCAGCACTTGTTCCAGCCGCCGAGCTCTATACCAAAAGTTTACGATTATCTTGGGCAGATTTGCTATTGGTGTTTACTTTGGTTTTTCGAAAAAGTTACACACTCGAATGAGATGGACGAAGCCTGGGAAACTTATCCATCTTTCTCGACGGAGGATTTCTTTTATCTTATGAAAGAGCCGTGTGTTTGAATGGCGTTGGAAAGGGGAGGGGAAATGAGATTTGGAAGAAATTTTTACTTCTTTCAGACCGATACGATCTACTCGCTCTATCCCCTCTTTTCGGGTTTCATGTATGAGGAACTGGTCAATTACTTTCGGCGATTTTACTAATCGCATTTTCTCGCTATGTGTGTTATGCTTATGACGAGTCTTTGCGATTTGTGAATGACCTCATGGAGACGTGTCCAACGATTTATTTACTCAAAAAAGACCGATATTTGTGTGTTTTTTTTTTCTTTTTTACGCTCTGAATGTTTTGATAGCTAAAATGCTTGCCGATTATGAAATGACAAGAATATCAGAGCTTGATGAGAACTTTTCCTTTTGTACGTAGTCGTAGATGTGTTAGCCTGATGTAAAATTGAGTAGAGTGACATGGTCCGAGCTCCAATGTGCGGCGGAGATAAGTCTAGTCTACAACGCCGAGATGATTTTTTTTCTGTGTCCGCTTTGTACTTTCAGGTCGTCTATCACGACAGCTTGATTCATAAAAGTCATTCTCCATTTCATTTTCTTAGATATATTTCCAAAATTTAATATAATTACTACGGCAAATGGCCTCCGATAAGGTCGAGAAAAAGCGCAAAAGAGACTCGGACAGACATGACCGTCCTAGCAAAAAGCCTGCTATCGAAGCGCAAAACCTGCCTCCATTGACTGCAAGCGTACTCAAGGATGACAATGAACTTGCTCCTGTTCTGAGTAAGTCTTTCCTGACAGAGAAGCATTATCCCCGTGAGGAAGAAGATTACTAACGCTTGAAAAATAGTCAACGCACCCGGTCTCCAATTCCCCAAAAAAGTCCACGGCTTCAAACCATACACCAAAGAATCATCCACATCCTCCAAAACAGCCTCCTCATCCGGCCGAAACAAAGGCATCGTCTCTACGGAACTCCTACTTCAATCATCCGAACACCCAAAACTGGACTTTGTGGGCACCGAGGCCACGGAAGACGCCGATTCGCAATTGAAGCATTATATTGCCATTGTGGACCCGGAGAAGAAGACATGGCAGTTTGTCGAGGTTCGCAAGATGACTTTACGCAGTACAGTGAAGAAGCGGAATCCGAGTGTTGCGGCGGATGAAGATGATTCTGATGGGGCTGATGTATTTCCTCCCCCCCCTCGACATCATATGCGAGTTTGATACTGACTGTTATAGGTATCATACCGTGACCAGAGGAATGCTCTCACAGAAGCATTCGGCACAAAAGCATCACGTAAAGCCGCCCAATCCGAGGCTGAGAACAGCATGCTTGCACCCGCCGGTGGCAGTAGCGCCATTGAATCTGCGATTCTCTCTTCCATGCCGTTGCAGGGTATCGCAACTGCAAATCTCAAGGCGCAGGAACTTCAAGCCCAGGTACAAGCTAACAAGCCTATCCCGACTGCAAACTTATCCGCCATGCATCCTTCAGAGGTATACACCATCGAATCGCTGGTTGCCGGTGGCATGTCAACTCTCAATCAGCTTCCCATACAGGAATGGCAAGATGCTGTTAATGCCGGTGAGGCGGTTATGAGTACATCTCGCTACGTGGCGCATCGTGTCGACGCAGTCGTCAAATCGACCAACGTCACCCATCTACAACTCCTCCGCTACATCCTCGCTCTCATCGAACTAACCAAAAACATTAAAAGAGGCAAGGGATCCGATCCACCAGGTAGTAAACGCATACCACTTCGAGCAGATCTGAAAAGACTCCTATCCGGCGGATCGTCAGCAACGACCCAATTACCCGAACCCGTCGTCGAAGCTATCCGCCGCAAATTCGCACCAGGTGGAATCATGATTCGCTCAAATATTACACTGCTTTACACAACGCTCTGCGCATTAACGCTTCATATACCACCCACCCCAACAAAGGATGGAGGCACAAGTTCCCTGGGCGGTAACACGCCCACAGAGTTGGCGACTGATCCATCCGATCTTCGCGACGATCTTCGTCTTGATACTGCCACGATCACGCAGTATTTTAAGGAGTTGGGTTGTAGAGTTGAGAAGCCAAGGGAGAGTGAATTTGCGAAGTTCGGAATCAAGTCTAAGGCTGAGGCGGCTAATAAGAGGGTTTGTAAGTTGAGGATTCCCTTGGATTTTCCGAAGGTGTCGAGGGGTGGTGGACCGAGGCGATGACCGGTATGAGAAGGGGTTTGGGTTGTTTTCATGTATATGTTTTAGATTCGTTTATTGGGTGTTGTTTGTTGGTCTTAAAAAGTACGCAGATGATTGATGAAGACAATGTAAATCAAGTTTCAAAAAGTACTAGACAGAATACTTCGAGTATGTCTACCAGTACAGCATGCAAATCATACCACTGCTACCTGCCTGGGTAGCTACAAACATATCCGAATACACATCAATGCTTCATCTAGCCTCTGATGTCCTATAATCCAATCACATCCATGGATATATTTACGCCTCATCACCAGACCCAGAACGCTCAACGGCTTTACCCCAAACTTTCTCAAATGCGTTATCATCAGTTACCGATGATGTTTCCTGCTCTTGTTTGCTTGCTATTGACTGCTCAGCCGAAGCAACATCAGCCGATCTCAGTCCCGGTTGATTTTCTTCCTGTATCTTGGCCGCAGCAGCAACAGCATTCTCAGACTCCAAAAGTCCAAGATGGAAATTAGAACTATAAATCACAGCTGCAAAGGCCTCCAATTCCTGGACACCCTGTTCCATCGCCACGAGATATTCGTTGGGTGGATTTGTGCCATTGCCGATAATATGACTCTCACGGGTAATTAGCGCTAGGACTGTTGCGAGCTTGGCCTTGGGAGAAGAAGACGGGACAATTGTAGCTGCTGAGGAAAAAGTGGTAATAGGAGTTGGCTCTGAAGTTGGGGTTTTGTTAAAAAGACTATTGGCACACTTTTGTTCAATTAACTTGGCGAATCCTTCATTATTCAATGAGGTCAAGATCCGGCTGAATGAGGGTGACTCAATCAGATCGGATGTCTCGTCGAGTAATTGTCTCAAGTTTGCGGCGGTCTGAGGTGATGATGGTGTATCGGAACTGAGGACTCCCGATTCTTGCAGTACCGTATCTTCATCTTCCTTGGGAGGAAGTAAGTATGGGAGCCATTGTTTGGCCCTGGGAGAGTCAGTGTGGAACTGCATCCTTGAGGGATTGTAACAAACCTTCTGTCTTCCTCCGTAGCTCCTTCTACTCTTTTCCGAACGTCCAGAATCAACTCTGAAAGTTTATTGAGGGTAATATCCTCCCGAGGGTTAAGAGGCCCGAATACCTCTTCCACGGCAGCGCGGACGTTCTCCATCAAGTCCTTCCATCCTCGATTTAATAACCACCAGCTGAATGTCAAGTACCGTCTATTGGTCTCAAAATCATTACCGAATGCTTGCATATCATCGTGATCTTCTAGACGAATGCTTGATCCCTCCGGACTAGCAAGTGCGAGGACACTGGAGAGATAACTCCGTCTACCGAGAAGATTGAGTTGGATTCGGGTAAGAATGGTCAGTAGAGACAATGTATATATAAGGACAATTGATCTCGTTATTGCTTGATCACGGTTAGCGCGCTGCTTTGGTATATTGTCCACTCAAGCACTTACAGTATATCTTGACATCATTCCACAGCTGTGCCTTGGTACGTCTTGGCCGCTCTGGGTCCGAAGTCGTCGAATCAGCCACCTGACTCGCATGAATATAGCTATCGGCCTGAAAGCTAGTCAAGCTCTTGCCATCCTCCTCAACAACACTTGGAGCAGTCGAAGAACTCGGCTCAGAGGTGAGCACATCCGACCCGCTAGCTCTAGCCAGTCGCTCCGCTCGTTTCCTTTGTAACTCTTGCGTAAGCTCCTCAACCGGAAGAGCTTCGAGTATATTCTCAGTGGCAGTAGGTAAAAGTGCGAGGACGGTAAAAGTGCAATCGGCTTGGTTCTGTTCGAAGCGTCGACGGAGGCTAAAGCCGCGGGCACGAGATCAGCATGCGACCATTACCAATTGCTTAGATTGCAGACAAGTACATACTTTTCCTTTGCTATCCTGTCACTGTTCATACGTTCTCGCGCCTCGGAGAACTTGGACAGTACATACTGTCCAGCGACGTAGCCTAAACCGATAATACCAGCTCCAATTGCCAGGCCTCTGCGATTGCGGCGCAACCAGCGCCTTGCAGCTCCGATCATGGTGTTGGCGCGGTGAATATAAATCTTATTGTAATTTCACTTTCGCTGGGGGGAATTCACGACATTTTAAACGATTATCAATGAAGAGGATTTATGATTGAAAATGATGAAAAGGAGAGTTGTTGTTACTAGCTAATGCAATAATATGGCTCTTTGTTCTGCTTCTTCCTTCCTCGGCAACTCTGCTTAGCGTCCCGTGACTATCGGACCTTGGTACATTTCTGCCTGAGCAATAAGGAATATATCCCTAAGATGCCTCAGGCTCTAGGGCTTAGTTGTGCCTGAGGCAACGGGTCACACGCCTAATGACGTAGAGTCATCGGGTATACCATAGTACAAGAAGTCATAAGTTGATGCTGTTTAACAGACTGTTATTATTTAAGGAGATGACTAGATCGCAGTAAGTGATAATAATCCACCTCGTATATCGCTACTCCAGACTACATTACGTACTCTGTATTGCATGCATGGGGCTACCGAGTGCATGGCCTTGGATAGACTCCGACGGTGGCCGATAACTAACTAACTTACGGAGGGGTTTAGCTTCGTTCTTCCCCTCTAACCCAGCTCGAATCTTCTCCATCCCACTCAGTACATCTCACTCAATATTCCTCTTGATTATGCACGTCGCCAATACCGATAGTACATACCACGAGTTATAGGCGGCATTATCCCCGATATTAAATCACATACTTTTAAAGCTCTCCTCTAATATCCGGCAACGGCAGCGGCAACCTCCCCACCACCACATACCGACCCTCAAACTATACAAATGCACCACATTGCTCTTCCACGACTGCTACATCTCACATCTGCGCACCCGGCTTGATTGACTGTTTTGCGAAATACTCAGCGACGTTGTTTTTTACTCCGTTTCGCTCGAGAAAAAAGCAGACAGTTCTCGCCGTGGTGAGAAGTATCCGAGAAAGAAAAGAGAGAAGGAAAATTTCTCCAGTATGGAGCCCCGCCGCAACCCTCCGGAATACTTTCTTGAGATCTTTGCCGATTCGAATTCAGTCAAGGATGTGCTTAAAGGTATGACTTCCACTTATTCTAGATTTGAAGAGCGTTTTCTTTTTTCATTTGCGATAATACTGTTTGCAGAGATATACTAACACGCCGATGGGCTCAACAGGCGTATTAAACCTCATCTTTTTCCACCGTTACTTCCCTTCCATCCGACCCGGCACTGTCGACATTCTCGACCTCACATTACCGACTGTGAATGACGTAGAACTCGAGACATTGATCGACTCGCGCGTAAACGCTCTGGTGCGCCAACATCTCTCGACATCCTCCAACTCATATAGCGCCGGAAATGGAGTACGAGGACGAATTGCCGTTGAATTTTTCGAGAAGAAACGAAAAAAATCAGGAATGTGGTTTGGCAGTTTAGCTGGGAAGGGGGAAGAGGAGGTTTGTTGGGAGATTTGGACTTTGGATGTGACCATTGCGACGCCGAGGACGGAATCAGGTACGTCCGCCCCTCCCTTCTGTTTCAGTGGTGAAGAAGCAGTCACTGATATGGGTATAGAACGAGCAAAAGTCCGAAAAGCAATGGAGAATATGCTTCAAAAAGCAGCATTGAAAATTCTCACGAATGTTAATCGGGATAAAGATCATATACCACCAATTACGACAAGCAACTCGAATCCGTTCCCGTATCGAATTGTCCTCAATCCCCGAACGGACAGTTGGGGGAATCGTATTAGTTTGTATTGAAGTTTGCACTTCTATTCCTCGTCTACTGGACCAGGGTATATGCGATAATACGGCATAATCCGTTGGCGGATTAGACGGGTATTTCAAGGTCCTCTCATCAACGAAAATAATTTACATCATTACGAAAGACACGAAGCATGATTCAACGACACTCAACTCAATACTTCATCCTCGCGAAACAGCAAGCATTTTCGCTACCGCTGCTGGGAAACTTTCATACAGTACTTGAAAAAGTCTCATACATGATCAACACGCTCATGACAGAATAAATCACGAAGCAAAATCCACACAAATTCAAAATAAACGGAGCCTGTAAAGTTTGCAGAACTCCGGGTCTCTATATCTCTCCACCATAACATAATCATGACCATACCAGCTCTCACCAAGAAACAAAGATGCCGTACTAGGCTTTTCTTGACATCCGAGTTGCCCACTCCAACGCCGAAAGAGTAGTCCATTGAATGAAACAGAAGATCGATTCATTATGATTGATTGTCCGGATTCCTCGAGTTCAATGCAGGAATTTACTGCGTCTTGCTGGCAGCTTCGGCTTGAGCCTTCAAGTTGGAAGAGGTCGAACCGCTAGAGAAGAAACGGGCGAACAAGGGCTGGATGAAGGAGTGGAAGACGACTTGGGCGCCGCTGTGAATGTATTAGAATTAAGATATCTTATGACTTGCTCAGGGAGGCAGTTTACTCACTTGAATTGAGGAAGGGACATCCAGAGAACAAGGACGAACTTGAAGATGTAGTAGAAAGCTGGTCAAAGATCAGTATACAAGTAATCCATCCTCTTTTGAAGCAGTATCACTTACGGAACCAGTAAGAGGCATTGATAGCACTTTCAATAACAGTCAAGAAAGCGTACACAACCCAGTACTATTCGTATTATTAGTAAATATCCGCCAACTCTACTCAGCACGTCAACTTACAGTCAACCACTAGAAATCAAATTAGCACATCTCCTTAATCGCTAAAAAATATCTATGACTACTTACCTGAGTATCATCAGCGGTACCAGCTGTAAACAAAGCATTCAACGAGTAATAACCCGGAATCAAGAAACCGGCAAAATTGACCAGAAATTCACCAGCAATGTTGAAGAAGACAAGGAAGAAGTAGATTCCGACAACGCCGAGGATGGCGTATACCTTTGGCACGGAGGTTTGTCGTTCGAGATTGTTGAGGAGAGGGTATTTGGAGAGCTAATTTTTTTTTTCATATTTGAGGTTAGAAATCGAATTACCAATTTCTCTCGGTACACGTATGATCCAAGCGATCGATAATATGTTGACAAAGTGATAATTTAAGATATAATCTCACCTCCTTGTCAAGCTGCGCAATCTGGTGCTGCGCACGATCCTGAAAGCTGGCCATATCGACGGTGATAACTGATCGAAAAAAGAATCGATTTATTTCAGATAAAATTAAAAGAAAATATCGACAAATAGATATATATCGTTTTCTCTGAATGTGGTTGTTGATGGATTGCTTGCGAACTATATTGATTGTTGATGGTTTGGTTATGTGTGGGAGAAAAAGAGGTGGTCAATGACGGCAAGCGCCAGAGACAGAGAAAGCTGACGGTGTGGCTGATTCGTCACGTGATTTGTATGACGTCTGACTGGCCCTTTTTTTCTTTTCGTTACGCTTGACAGCCACCATATCAATTCGACGAGTTACATATTCTAAATATTCCGAGAGATGACTTTTTCATAGATGGTTTTCCTTCCATAAACACGTTCTATTCTATGAGTATGTCGAGTGACAGAGCCATGATGTACTCGAAAATATGACATGTGCCTTTTTCATGTGATCCATCTTCGTAGGAGGCTAGGTTAAGTCGATTAAGAGACAGATACCTAGTGGATAATACGGTTTAAGCTAGATAGGCGTGACCAGACTAATGGCTCTGCCAGTCATTATGAGACATGAATGTATACACAATCAATTGACAGTCCTACTTGGGTTCTGACGATGTGTACAAATATACAGTAAGGACAAGACAACCAAAAGCACCTGGATATAAAGCCTAGAATAAATGAAAAGACCGGCCCGTCCTCAGGATAACAATGATGTCTTGACAAGAATTGAATGTAGAAACAATCATTTACTTGGTTGGAACACATGGATGAAGGAGTGGATAGCGGGTCAATCATTCAAGAGCAGGTTCGAGCAGTTCGAGCAAATGTTTATGCCGCTACTCCAACAGGAGTTCCAACAGATGCGAATCCAGCGCTAGTCGTTGTATTGACAGCACCACCGGTTCGAAGGGCCTGGACAGCCTTTGCAAGCGACGCCTGTTCTTCAAGCGCATGCTCCTTGAGTTCGCGATTGACCGCATCTTCCACGGATTCATTCTCCATCAATCCAAGCTGAGCGTCTTCCCAGATAGGCATATTCTGCTGCTCGGCGCCTTCAACGCCAACACCAACAAAGCCACCTTGAGCCTTCCACTCACTAGTACGCTTAAGACCTAGTTCGTTCCATACAGAGTTGACGGCTTGCACGAGCTCGTCACGATACTGCTTGGTGTGGCCAGGAGTAGGCGTGATGCGAAGACGTTCTTCGCCACGGGGGACGGTTGGGTAGTTGATTGCTTGGACATAGATTCCGTGGTTCTCTAGCAACATATCAGAAGCTTGCTTGGCAAGCTCTGCGTCACCGACAAGTAGAGGTACGATGTGAGAGGGGTTAGGAATGACTGGAATGTCAATCTCCTTGAAGGCATCCTTGACGGCCATAGTGTGGAGTTGCTGGAGAGTCCGGTCACGGCGGTATTCAGATTGGTACTCGATTGCCGCATTGGCACCAGCCATGACAGCAGGGGGAAGAGATGTTGTGAAAATGAAACCGGGCGCTAGAGAGCGGATGGTGTCTACTAGCTTGGACGAACCGGCAATATAACCGCCAACACAGCCGTATGCTTTGCCGAGGGTCCCAGTGATGATATCGATTCGATCCATAATAGTGCCCTTAGTGCTGAGAGGGTTGGCAGTGTCTTGGGATACATAGATGTCGTAGTCGAGATGTTCCGCTACACCGGCGCCGTGTGGGCCGTACATACCAACAGCGTGCACTTCATCCAAGAATGTAATTGCGCCGTACTTGTCGGCAAGGTCGCAAATCTTTTCGATGGGAGCAATAGATCCGCACATGCTGTAGACTGATTCAAAGGCGATAATCTTTGGGACATCGGCCGGCAAAGAGGCCAACTTCGTCTCAAGATCAACCATATCATTGTGCTTGAAAACCATCTTCTTAGCCCCAGAATGTCTAATACCCTGAATCATCGAAGCGTGGTTCAAACTGTCAGAAAGAATCACACAATCTGGCAGCTTGCTTCCCAGCGTCGCAAGGGTAGCATCGTTGGCAACGTAGCATGAACTGAACACCAAAGCAGCTTCTTTGTGATGCAGCTTAGCCAGTGTGCCTTCCAATTGGACGGCATGTTTGTTGTGGCCGGAAATATTACGTGTACCTCCGGCACCTGCTCCATAGTTCTCGAGGGTTTCGTGCATGCTTTTAAGCACCTGACGATTACGGCCCATTCCTAGGTAGTCGTTGGAGCACCAAACAGTCACCTTCTCCTCGGTAGCTGCCATATGAGCGCGAGGAAACTCCTTGGCCAAACGGTTGATGTTGTTGAAGTAGCGGTACGATTTGTCCTTGTGTTTCTTTTCCAGCTCGTTCTGATAAAATGCCTCATAATCGAACTTGGGCGCGGCGGGGGCCCGAGGGTGAGGGCCGGCGAAAGAGACATCAGGTTTGCGAGTCGCAGCCTTGCCGGCTTCAAGGGGTACATGAGGGTTGGCTGTACGAGAACTGGTCAGTAACATTCAGTTTCTAATCTGTCTGTAGTACTCACGTCGGCTACTCTTCTCGTAGGTACCAGCAACTTCAACGCTAGCGCTGTTGCCTGCAGTCGTGTGCAGAGGGCAGCGAGAAACCTTTTCGAAAGTCTTGAACTTGCTAGTAGCACCAATGCCAGCGGCGGCAGTGGTGAAGTTCTTCGAGGCAAGTCGAGAACTCTGCACTGCTAAAGCCTTGCTCATAACGGGGCAGCGGCGGGCAATGACCTGCAAATTGGACATGGTGCCACCACGGGGTCCGGTGCTGGGTTTTGTGGCCATTGACAGCGATCGCAGAGCGGCCGGTGACGTTCTCTTCAAGAACGGGCACATGGCTCGGGACTGGTTGAGAAGTGACTCCATGGCGTGGACTGCCGTATGGTTTCAGATGTGCAGGAAATCAACGTAAAGATGAAATCGCATCAATCGAGAACAAACTCACACAGACTGGACAATCTATCTGGTCTGGGAAGCAAGTCGAGATAGAGAGGAGAGATAGGCGTGTTGTGAGTGAGTGAGGATGAGAGGGGAAAAGCGATGTGTTAATTCTTGCCTCAGGTTGAAGTTCCGACAGTGTGGAGATTTTTCGGACCGGCTTACTCAGACTGCAAAATCAGACCGCCAATCAGACCACTCTGATTACAACCCGAGTATTTTTAGATTCACCACATACACGACAGATCATTCTATACTGATATTTCAATGAATGTTCTCATCAGAACAGAATATAGACTGAATTACCACTGAATTACATCGCACATGACTATGCCACACATTCCTATTTTGTACGAAATTTGTTGACGCTGCCCAAGCAGCGAGGAGAAGTCTTTGGCAAAAGAATGTTCGGTAAGCTACATCAGATCAGGCCCGGGGATATGTCAAGTCTAACTTGTTCAAGTAGTTCTACAACTTCCCATACTTGCCGACTCCACCCGGGTTGTATGGAATAGAGTGGCGATGAGTAAACGGTCTACATTTATTTACGTACGCATGGGCGTATTCAGTACAGCTCCTCGGGCTCTCAGACCCAAGACAAAAGACCACATGACGTGGAAGTTTTTCGACAGAAAAAGGAAGAGAGATGAAGCCGATATTCTGCCGTACCGATTTCTAACGAGTTGTACTCTGTACCTCGGACCTACCTCTTTCAGGCTTGGGTCCTCGGCATGCTTATGCTCTCGATAACTTTTGTGGCGAACTTGATTACTGCGTCATAACTAGCCTCTCAGTATTCTTTCTCAAGAAGTAGATGTGATGATAATGGCTTGGAATAAGTTAACTTATACTATAACTATGACTAAATAGCGGTTCCCAAACCCATCTAAAAATGGGACGATGAAAAACAAAAAGAAACTTCTTTGTTATGCGCTAACTGGGAGTCGAACCCAGTGCGATTCTTTGGAAGAGAACCATGTTACCGGTACACCATTAGCGCTTGCTTACGAATTGGCGGCGGTTTATTTGACATATGAATGATAACTATATTTCAGAAGAGCAATTAAGTACATCACGACACAAGAACACATTGGTTACACGCTTCTTCATGAATGTGAAGTTAATAATCCTTCTTCGGCTTTTCTACCCGCGGCAAAATCCCCTCTCGCTCAAGAGTCTGAAAAGTCTCCTCCAGCTCCTCCCAAGTATGAACGTATCCAGTTCATCCCAAGCCTCTCGCTTTACTCATTGCACTAACACAACTCCAATCCTTCCCCAGAATAAAAGTTAAGAAGTCCCCTGTAGCGCTTTCCCACGACTTTTGATCGAGATTATATCTATCGTGTAGTTTCCCCAAGGCTTCATTTACATCCTTGCGTTTCTCCCATTTCTCTGGATCAATTTGGAGGAATAGGGTTAGGGAACCATCCACCGAGACACCGATCCTTTGTGCATGTGCTGCGATCGGATTTCGGTTACTCATTCGTACTGTAATCGCTTCATATTGAGCAACCCCGTTGGTGTCCGGGGTACCACCCTGCGGAAACATAGAGTTAGAAATCTTGCATCCATAACGCGCCACGAGCTGTGGCCAGAGATCATGGAATGATTGAGTATCCCCCCATTCATTACGTTGAAGATATGGTTCCCGGTGTTGGGCGCCGTTGCTGGCCCAGAGACAGAACTTCGCGTGGAGGTTTGCTGAGGTCCAACAATTAAAGGCGAAGTAGTTGGCTTTGCAACCAGGGAACGGTAATTCCGGCCCAGGGAGCGCTTTACTCAGTTACTAACTGCACAGTATAGACCTAGTGCAGTGGCCTCGTTCATGAAATTTCCTCGTGCATAGCCCAGGATGTCCTCGGGCAGAGTCACGATCCATTCCCACTCGCTGCGGGCAGCTGCATCCTTGAGAATTCGTTGTTGGTCGTAGTAGAGATTGGGAGGCCAGGAGTGATTCTCTCGAGTAGGATCGTCCTTAACGGCCAGCTGCTTGCAATTCCCCAGATGGACACCGTAATACTTCAACCCACATGCAGAACAAACCGCTTCAGTCTTTTGATTGCACCGGTGATTTCCAACACTTGGATAGAGTTTAACAGCATCGTCACATTCCCCGGAGATAATGTTGGAACCACCTAGACCAAAAAGCTGCGCGCATACTAGATGATCTAGTATGGTAAGATATAGTATGGAACAGAGATCAGGCAGAGTGAGGCGGGATTCCCAACAGATAATTCGACAGGGTCATCTCGTGAAGGTAAGCGCAGAAATAGACATACTCGGCGGGGACGTCTTTCAGATTTTTGGCCAACTCTTCCGCCGACCCTTGCAGGTCTAGAGTGGCATGTTGGACATTTGGGTTATAGTTTACGGGGTTCTTTCGGGAGAGGGTGTATATCTTCTCATACTGCAAGTCCTTGCATAGGTGGTACACAATGGCACTACCGGTCATAACCTGAGAGAGAAGTCTAGTAGGTATGATCAGGCCCAGATGAATTGGACTGACCGGTGGCTCCAGTAATGATTGCAGACAGCATATTGAAGAGTTGGTTGACTACAATGAACGTTGTATACTGTAAAGGTTAGGACGCGAAAAAAGAAAAGGATCAACCAGAGAATAAAAACGTTGAGAACGCTCCATCATGCTCCATTAAGAATCCATCATTCCCCAAAGGGAAGTATACAGCTGATATCTCTGCTACTGTTCATAATCCTTGGCATCCAGGTCTTCCTCTGATTCCCTAACATATACTGGTACTATCGTCGTAGCTGGGACTGAGGCTAAGGTAGGGTTACAACTTACGACCCGCATCAACAACGACAACTGGACTCCCTCAGCATCCACACGATATGGTCCCTTTGCTGGGAGAGTTTAGTACATACGACCATAGGGTGTGGAAAACAGGGCTTCCCGTCCGCTCAGCCGTACTTAAGCCACACGCCGGCTGGTTAGTAGTTGGGTGGGTGACCACCAGCGAATCCCTGCTGTCGTATGTTTTTGCTTTTTTGCTCTTTTTTGTCTGTCATATCAAGACGATGCAAGGTTGCGACACATAACTTCTTGAATGACTTGGAGAACTTCCATTTCGAGTGCTTCCCTAAAAGTTCAGTCTTTTCTTGAAATATTCCACTAAATAGCCTCCGTATCTGGTCGTTCCGGGGACATTGCACTACGCTGAAATTACGAGCTGTAAATCGACTTACAGGGGGTATTAATTCACCCACTATTGATGCGACTCTCACTCCTCTTTGGACTTAGCCTTGTTCGACAAATCACATTTTTAATGACAGCTTAATTGAAGCTTTCAGCAAAAAAGGCTCCTCAAGAATTTCATGACTTAGGAAGAACCTTGTCCATGTCGAGAAGTCGCTGAAGCGGGATCAGCTCACATTACGGCAATGAAGCTAGGAGCCTGGTTCGCAAAAGAGTTTCCGGATACCCCTAAGCTGATTGAGGCATATGGGAAAAGAGTATTGAAAATTGCTGGCTCAAGTGCGGAGAGTATAAGGTAGCTTCTTGCACATCAGTGTGACAACAGTTGTTTTGGCATCGCCGTTCGGTCTTTACGTTACTTGAGAAACTTGTAGGTATAACAAAACGGGATAAAAAACTTGAAAATGGGCGGCAGGCGGGAGAGGATAAGTCATTGCCGCAGGAACAGTTGAACAGGTTATATAGTCTTTATAGGAAATGAGCAAAATATCAACATGCGGGCTACGAAAAGACACATGCTAGAGTTTCATGCACTATCTTTCTCATCGGCCCATTCTAGCTTGATATTATCAAGATGGTTGCGTCTACGGCCAGTACATGAAGACTTCAGGCAGATGATGTTCAGGTGAATCTAACAGTTCAGAACGCTTGTACAAATGAATCGGTACTAATCACATGGATTTCTTCTACGTTTAGTTCTTCTCGCGGCACCTGGTCTTGGGACTATTTGCGATAGCTGAGACGTTTGACCCGACGAGTGTAGCTGTGCCGTTCCTTCTCCATAGGCTGAGCAGTAATTGAAACCTCCTTCAGCGGTTGTGAAAGAGCAGATAGTTTACTTTTCTGTTCCTCCTTCAAAACCCACTCGGCATTGCCTCCGCCTGAGGATGATCGCTCCTCGTACGGAGATTCTCGCATCCAAGCCATCCACTTGCGCACAACTGCTACCGCAAGATCAAGCGGGGCCTCGAACCATTCAATGTGATTCTTTCCACACCCTGAGCAATCTTTCTCGATGCGTCTGAGGTTTTTCAATTCCGTGTGCACTAGCTTCTCTACGCGAAAAACGTGACTGACTGGAATTAGCTCCTCGGCATCGTTTCGACTTGGGTAATAAATCTCCATCGTTTTGTTGCACTGCCTGTTCCATCCTTTCATGCGCTTCTCAAGATCGTCGGTATAGCCTATTTTCAGGTGTCCGAAGTTTCCTGGCTGCCAGTAAACATATACGATTCCGACTTTCTCGATCTCGGTCTTTTTCGTCAGAGGTTTTAGCAAAAGCTTTTCAAGGGCTTCAGACACAGCCAAACAGGCCAGTCTTTTGGGAAGGTAAGGTTCAAAGATTTGAAGCAAGCGCTGTCTTTGTGGAACATCGCTGGAATTATTCTCCTTAAGCTCTGCTGGGCGTGAAGACGGTACTAGGTTCTCTGTCTGAGAGAGACTTTGCGTACCACTCAGGGCGCTGATCCAGTCAGCAAGGGCTAACAGGCGATGATTTGAAGAGACCGTTCCTTGGATACCTTCGTGGACTCTGTCAAGATTCTCAATATCTGCCATCCAATTTTCTATCTCTTTCCGCGCAACACGTTGATGCGTCTGCGAGCATAATGTGACAGAAATCAAATCGTTCAGGTACTCGAGCAACTGACTAGTTTTGATGATGATCATGTTGTCTAAGCATTGTCTAACGTGTGAGAAATTTGTCTTGTGGGGTTGTTTGCATCGCTCGCCCTTATTTGTCCATGCCGGACAGTGTTGATTGTCCTCTTTCAGGCGCCCACGAATCTCAATTGGTATGATTTTAGAAAGTGACAATTGGGACGCATTTTTGTCCTTGACGGATTCGGATAATGCCTGGATTGAGAGAAGAGACAATACATTCTGGATTGTATCATCTGCCAGCGATATGCTCTTGCTACAGAGGGTAGATTTATCGCCCAGTTTAGAAGACGAACCTGTCTGAGTATCCTGTGGAGGGGAGATAGTGATGTTCGGGATATCTTGACTTGGTGGTATTGGACTTTGATTCAATTCCTGATTCTTCGCGCAGGATATAACTGGCTTAGAGAAGGGTTTCATGCCACTATCAGCATCGCTGACTGCTCGTTCGTTGAGAATCCATGTCTTCTCAGCCAGAAACCTCAAGTTGTTGTATTTGCCACCTTCAAGAGAATAGAGATTGGTCGGCAACAAATCTTTGGGTGTGATTGCTCTTGCTAGAGCTGTTATTCCCTCTAGAGTTTCTCTTCGATCAAGAATAACCGAGTTGCTATCAATAGGGATGTCGGGAACCCCGTTTCGCTTATCAGACAAGTCGACATCGATGTTCTTTGTTTCTGTAGATGAGATAATAGTTCGCAGTCTCCAGCTGGTTATACTCTTCGTTCTACCCAACGCTATGGACTGGAAATGGTGATCCAGTACTGGATCCTGTTCGGATATTTCCTCAGTCCGCTCCAGTTCGCCCTTATCTTCATATTGAGGGGCCTCGAGGATGTTATCGTTCTCCCGTAACGATATTGCTGCACCGTTGACAGGGGTCTCCCATCCATAATCATCCGTGATATCTGTAACAATTGAGCTGGAAGGGCTGAATAGGTTATCCGCTGGTGCGGGAGAAGCAAAGGCGCTGTTGTCTGATTCAATGCTCCGAGGCGACTCACTACCGTCAAATGTTGAACCTACGTCCCCGAGACCATTCCCTGGCGTTCGGTCAACTTTGACTTTATCTCGCATAATTGTTGGGCTTCCAGATTAGTAAATTCCACATGAGTGATTTTCTTTCTGTCTCTATGGAGAGCGTGGTCAACGGATCTCTAAATAGTACGCAGGGTTTCGCTTCCCAGAGACAACCGCAAGGCTGAAATTTGCCATGTATCTCCTGATGACCATGGTTGTATGCGATTAGTTCATCTATGCGGCGCAGGACTCACACTAAATGGCACTAGCAAAGTCATAACAGCCTGGACGATCCAAGTTTTCCATGGCAGGAGAGGGGTTGGGGGGTTGAAGGGGTGGCGCAGCCAGGCTGAAATGCAGGGATGTCTCGAGAATGGACTGAGTATAGAAAAAGGGGAATTTTTCAAGTCCTCATATTGTTCACATGCCAGTTCGTATCCCGAATGCACTCAGCATGTAGGCGAACGAAAAATCGGTAGTATTATACTCCGTAACAAGGCCTCTGTCAATTCAGCTGTACGTGGTGTTGTAAAGCCAATTTGTATGGATCTAACCGGAGATAAGTCAGACATCTTGCTCTCATGACTGACCCTTGTCTATTGAGAGCTTTAGCCTTCCGACCCTTATGCTTTATCCTCACAAGCGGCCAACACCAGAGTCGGGCATTGCAGCGGCCGCCGCGGAAATGCTTACAATGCTCAGTAGGCACCTAGCATGAGCATGAGTCAGCGATGGATGCGAGCTTGCTCATGTAATAACAATGTAAATATCGGAATGTGAATATCAACCCTACGCGTTTCGGCACTGGATATTAGTTAGTCCGACGCGGCACGTGCGTGCCGCCTATATATCTAGCTAGCTATCTCCCATCCGCCTTGCTTTTAAATAAAATAAATATACATAGAAGACAGACTGATAGTAATCTCATCCTCTAGATGAATTGAAATACGACATGCTTAGATAGCTCTTTGTCAATGCTCGCAGGCAATATACGCATCAACTCTTCCAAAATGTTTTTTCATCGCGATATCCACCGAGAAAAACACTCACAGGGAGCGTAAGTAGATTAACTCTACGCTAGGCACCCCAGAAACAGAAGTGGAAGAAAGATATAAGAATTAAGACGTAATGAAGGCTCAAAGTGTGACGGCGTGGCTCCGGCAAGACTGCGAATAGGTCACGTCAAGATAAAGCCCTATTGACAAATCAAGGTTTTGGATAGAGTGACGGCTCAATCAATCGAGGAAACTAAGCGTAAGGAAGGAAAAGGAAATAAACAAAGCTGGCGCTATCTCCAGCTCCTGTCAACTGTATCGTTGTCAGGCTTTACTCATATGCAAAGAATTTCTAAGTCAATATCGGAGCCACATTAGAATACTAGTCATTACAAAAATTTATATTAAATAGGAAGTATCATCTATAAGAAAGAGATAAGAGATATAAATAGCCTTGGAACAACAATATCTCCTATGTAAATAATGTGCCGTTAAGGGGTAGAATCTGAAAATCGACTTAGGTTAATGGTCTTAGTGATGGAGTCAAGCTTCAAACCTCAAGAGTTGAAGACTGAGACCCTAGCCAGAAATTTCCTAGAGCTAAAGAAAGCCTTTGCTCGCTTGTTCTTTCTACAGACCGCGTTGCTTTCTGATTTGTGTTGGGGGTGACCACGGCCATATTTATGCTGTTCACTCCGTCACGATATAGGTAAGAACGCTTGCTGAAAATACTAAATGTAATAGTGCGGTGCATAAAACGTAGCCCAAGAAAGAATGCAGTAAATTGTAGGCGGTTTTGAGAGAATATGTTAAGCAAGATGAAGCGAAGACGAAGTAGAAGATGAGATGGAGGAAGTGAGTTGTCTTCGTATAAGGCAACCTGTGTGCTCTTTCTGCTGCGCACTTCCTAATTTAAATATTTTGGTCTGAGGGAACAAGGCCTGTAGAAACTTTGAACTCATCTGACTAGCTACTGAATGTCCCCTTCTGATCTCCCATTGAATTCCATATTCAAGCCCATATTCGAATTCAGCTTGAGCTTATCGTCGGGCAGATATTCTACTTCATATTAAGGGTTGTGGCGTGTGATTAGTAAATACGAAGTATTAATCACCTCATATCACTTAGGCCTGATTGTTAGGTTATATAGTTATAACCTACAGTAATAATGGGTATCAGGGACGGTAGTGGATAGATCCAGGGCCATTCTTTTCCTTCCTTTCCTCATGTCTAGTTACTCCCATGTCTTTCTCCTAAACCCCTTGACGAATTGTAAAGAAATATGGTCATGAGACTAGTGTCAGAGTTTTCTCTGGAACCCCTATTCTGTAGATAGCCTCTTGTACTGAGCAAGTCAGCTAGTATCCCTGAAATACCTACTTGTTTCCCTTGCGCCTATCGATCTTGAAATCTTCACAAGAATAACCGCTTATATGAGAAAATGATCATGAACAGGCCTTGAATAACCTCAATCTCAATTCAAAGTGCTACAATATCTTAGTAAACTAACGAGAAGATAGTTTATGGCAATACCTTATAGCATGCTGCCATAACCTTAGCAGAAATATTAGGATATATTCTTCTGCCCTCTCCCCTACCCTTAGATTGGCTTCTGCTGGCTTTGCGGAGAGCTGTTGATTCATATCGACACAAGGTAAAATTCTCGGTGTTCCATCTGGGTTCTTTCTCAACGGACTTTTCTTGATCCCGTTTTCGTTCAGCAGTGGAGCCTATACTAGGAAGCTCCTAATTGTCTGGTAGTTTGGAGGGATAGTAGCATCTAGGTGTGGCTGTTGATATCTACCAATATATTGGAGAGCAATATCGTATTGTGCTTCTGTTTGAGGAGTAATATATGTTTTAGGAATAGAATTTGAAAACCGACTTAGGCCAACGGCCATAGTGACGGATTCAAGCACTGGAAGCAGCAATAGACTGGGTGGTGACAAGAACCATATTCAAGCTGTTGTATGTTTTGCATTTTTCTTTTTCTTTTTTTGCTTATTTGGTTAGTTTCATTTTTCTTTTGGTAAGAGGTGGCAGTGTTAATTGTAGCTAAAGCATCATTGTTAGTTGCGGTTCGTCGATATCCGAGACGTTACTCTACCCGTCTCCATGTACGGCGGCACATACGACAGGAAAACATAGTAAGATGGTTGATCTGAACCAGGCCTTGAATTGTTTGAGTCGCAAATATTCATTAATAGGTGTGATGAGCGTATATTATATCAAGAGTAACCGGTCCCATCTTCGGAACTACGACGAATATATGGACCTTCTGAACGGTGGTGAAGGGAGAACTCGATCCATGGATGTCCATAATATCGCTTAGAATAAATATGAAAGATCGAATGCCATATCCTTGAAACCACTCGGTCTCTTGTTCTATCCTTATTTTTTGTTTAGCATGCATGAATATTATCAACGGCCTGGAAAGGACAAAAGTCTGCAACGACAAATTGAATATGGAAAATAATAACCGAGCAATTCATACACTCACACAATGTTCACATTAGACTAATGATACAGTAAAGAAGAAGATGAAAAGACAAAATCCCAGACCTTATCCAATTCCCCCATATAACAAAGTTTTCTCGCGTCATGGAAAGTTTTTTGAGTACAAGAAAGGAAAACAAACGGCACACCAGGAAGAATCGAATCGAAATGGATAATGCGACGCACAAAGGTTCGATTACTCATGTGCATGCAGACAATAAAATGAAACAGTAGTAATGAAGAACAGACAGGGAAGGACAAACTCCGAGTCTAAAAAATCATGCAGAAGAATAATGTCGAAATTCGAAGAGGCGATGAATATAGTCCACAGATTCTCAATCATCACTCATCTATAGGATCGTTGTCGCCGTCAATTAAACGCAAACGCTCCTTGGTCGTCTTTGCGCGCTTCGAAGGTCCCTTGGCAGTTTTACTGCGCTTCTTGCCTAGTGAAGATGAAGTCGCAGCGATTTCACCAGAGACAGGTGTTGCGGCACCAGAAGGTTTGGCGCTGACATCGTCGAAATGCCCTTCGCCTTAAAAAAAACAGTCAGAACAATCGTTGTGCGCGTCAATGGTGTATAGTACTTACCCTCATGATACATATCATCCAATGTAAGATCCTTCTTCTTCTTGTATTGGGCCTTCTTCCCCTTCTTGGCAGCCGGATCTTCTCCGCGTTCTATCGCTTCTCGCTCTTTTTGTTCAATCAACTCGGCTTGTTCATCGTCTGCAAGCCACATAGCAATGTCCTTAGTGCGGTTCTCACGATGACGAGTGTTGAAATCAACACCACCAGCAGCGCCACCTGAAATGACAACTCGCTGCACTTCTTCCTTTTGCAGAGCGCGCTTCCGGATCCGCTCTTCGATTGTGCCGCGAGTGATTAGACGATATACCGTGACTTGTCGTGTTTGGCCCAACCGATGCGCTCTGTCCATGGCCTGTGAATCAATAGTAGGATTCCAATCAGAGTCATAGAAGATGACAGTATCTGCAGCTGTAAGGTTGATACCAAGACCACCAGCACGGGTTGAAAGCAGGAATACGAATATCTCAGGACGATGCTGGAAATCTGCAACTGTGTCACGACGATCTTCAAGTTTGGTGCTTCCGTCAAGTCGACAATATTTATAATTGCGGTACGTCAAGTACTCTTCCATCAAGTCAATCATTCGAGTCATTTGGAAATAAAGAAGCACACGGTGACCGCCATTTTTGAGTTCGCGAAGGAGCTCGTCTAATTTCGCCAATTTTCCGGAGTCGGTCACAAACCGTCTCATGGACGGTATTTCAATCTTGGTGTAGCGCGCCTTGTACGAAATCGGCTCAGGTAGCATTGGAGCATGCGAGTAAGGTGCAGGATCTAATCCCTTCTCTACAATCTGTTCATCCAATTGGCGGCTATAAGTAGCGAAGAGAGCCTGGCGAGCAGGTACATTAAAAAGCACATCGTTTGTCTCCTTTGCTGCTGCTTGGCCAGAACAGGAAATGGTTATTGGAGGCGCAGCGGCCGCTGGACGAGCTGCGGGCTCGATTACTGCCAATCCTTCTTTCTCAAATGTCCGTTGTGACACCGTCAAAAGTTCGCGCATATATCCTTCGGTAGATGAATCATAAAGGGCAGTGCTATCGTTGCGCTCGACAACATTGAAAAGCGAGTGAGTAAGGATGGAATTGATGTTATCACCGTCCGATTTGTCATATGCCACATTAAATCGCGAGAACCGGTTCGGCACACCACGTCGACGTACTGCACGTTCAAAAAGCCCTACGCGAGAGGTTTCGTAGGCTTCTTGTGGGGAGACATCGACAAATCGCAAAAAGGAAAAGGCTTGATCATCAGTTATGCTCTTTTTGATGTTTTCTGGTGACCAAATATTCATGAGATGTGAAAGGTACTTGTTGCGGAAACCAGCTTTTGGGTTGTTTGATCCCGGGATATCAAGACGCCCATCATCGCTGAATAGTAAGCGAGGAAGGTCATACTTGATGAAATTGCGTGTTGAATAGCGCACATCAACAAAGTGACCTTCTCTTAAGAATGATCCAGTCTCTGCGAAGTGAGCCATAGAGAATGGAGAGTGAGTATCAGCACGTTCAAACAAATCTGGATGATTGCAGACTTTGCGGAACTGCATCACAAGGTTCATCAAAGTAGTGCTATCAGTTTCGTCACCAACAGCAGCCTTCTCAATCAAATCCATGATGCTCACGCGATTCCTCAAGTTCGAATAGTAGGCTCGCTGGCGGTACGTTAGGTCACAGAAGACATCCTTTTCAACCTTGTCACCCAACTCCTGCTGCACATGCTTCTTGACACGACGAAGCATGAACGGTTTGAGAATCATGTGAAGACGCCGGAGTTGATCTTCGTTGAGTTTGGTATTGCTCTGAGCGTGGGACTCGATATCCTTGGAGAACCATTCGCTGAATTCGTCGTGAGAGTCGAACAATGTAGGCATGATGAAGTGCAACAGAGCCCAAAGTTCTTGCATGTTATTCTGGATAGGAGTACCCGTGAGCAAGAGTCGGTTACGGCAAGAGAAACCCAACAGATTCTTCCATCGTGAACTCTGTGATGATTTGATAGCCTGAGCTTCATCGAGAATCATATACTGCCATTTGACTTTCTGGAAGTATTGAGCATCCAGGACAACGAGCTGGTAGGAAGTCACAAGAACGTGGAACTCCGACTCCCTGGTGTATGTGAGATGCTTACGGTCCCAGAACTTGCGCAGAATCTTGCGATCCTTTGCAGAGCCCCAATACGGTAACACCTTGATATCTGGGACGAACTTGGTGATTTCCTGCTGCCAGTTGTGAAGCGTGGATGCCGGAGCAATAACCAAGAATGGGCCCCAGATATTGTGCACCTCAGCAAGATATGCCATAACAGAAATCGACTGGACTGTTTTACCAAGACCCATCTCATCTGCCAAGATACCGTTGATACCTTGCTCGTAAAGATTAACAAGCCAGTTAAGACCTTTCAATTGGTACTCCTTGAGCTGAGCAGTAAGCATCTTTGGCTGCGAAATCTGAATATCACCCAAACTAGTCGGGTTCTGGAAGTTCATTTCCCCCTCATCGAGTGCCGCCATTGGATTCTCCTCATTGTTAAAGGCTCGTGCACGAGCCTGGGCTTCTTCCACTGCATTTTGAGCATTGGCCATTGCAGCTCGGCGAAGTTCAGTTTCGTCTTCAGCATCGAAATCAAGATCCTCGAATGCAGTAACCTTGGTCTTGGTATCTGCTACACTGTCGGGCAGATTGATAGTGTGAACATTCGGCTTTCCTGGCTGCACCGTTTCACCAGTTGCTTGCACGGACGGGTCGCTTGTCGCTTCTGCTTCGTCGGTTTTGATCTTACGACCGATAAAGTGAGAATATAGCTCGGTCTGGGAGATAAGAAAGTTGAGCTTTCGCTTCTGGCGGTTGGCTTCGCGATCGGCTTCTGCTTTCTTGGCCATCTCTAATTCTTGCTTCTCTGCCATACGACGTAGATCACGCTCCTCGCGCTCGTTCCTCTTCCAGAACGACATCATTTCACGCATGGTACGCTTAGCTCGTGCTTGCGTATCCTTTGTGCTCTTGTTGGTTCGCTCTTGCCATTTGCGGGACTGTTTGCTGGCTAATTGCGCCGTCTTACGCAAGTTTTCTTGACGAGTGCTGAGCGACATGGTCTTGATGCGATAAACTTTAGGAATATCTTTCCTAGCAATGTCACGCCATATTTGCTCGTATATTTGGTTATAACCCTTGGTCTCAAAGGAGGTAGCGGGTGTGGGCGTAGCTTCTTCCGAACGTGCGCCCTTCGCATCCTTCTTGGTAGTGGCAGCGCGAAGTTCATCTTTGGGTAGAATAGCTATCAGCTCATCTCTCTCTGCCGCCAAATAAGCCATCTCGGCCGCATCCTTCTCGGCCTGCTTCTTCTCTTTTGACTTCTTCGGACGAGCTGAAGGTGTAGGCCGAGATGGTCTCTTCTTCGCAGATGGCGATTTCTCTTTGCCAATGTGAAATGTGCTTGTAGTTCCACCTTCCATATTGGGAGCGAGAGGAGTGACCTCGCTTATTTCTGCCGGTTGATTGCCTCTCTCAAGAGCCCGTTTAACGCCTTTGATCTTCTTCTGGGCCTTTTCGGCTTCCCGCAGAAGTTTCTCTTTCTCGATAGGATCGACAGTACGCTTGGCCCGACGTTCAGCCTCAAGCTTCTTGGCAGTTTCGATACGCACGGTGTTCTCGCGACGACGCTTTCGCTGCATATCCTTCTTGCGCTCTTTCTCATCCTGGACTTCCTTGCGTTGGACCTCAGAGATGACTTCTCGCTCGTTTACTCTTCGGAAACGCTCGGCACCGGCTTCTGCGCCGCTTGCAAAATTTGCGCTCAGCTTCATGAGGAATTCGTTACGACGGCGCTGATCACTCAAGTTAGCAACTGCATCCAGATGAAAATGTGAAAATATGATTGATCATACCTTGATCTTGTGAGACTCCAAGTTATCAGCTTCCATGGCACGCTTCTTGCTCTTAGCAATATAAAGCTTGAACTCCGCCTCAAAGCCTGTATCGTCCTCGACATCACTCTTTTCGGCCCTATCAATCTCTGCCATTTTTCGCTCAATTGCATCGAGATCCTTCTGTGTCAAACGTGGCCCTGGCATAGGCCGCGCTTGAACGACAGGGGCCGGCTTCTCCTGTTGTTTCTTGGAGCCATTTTCACGGGTTGGTAGAGGAATCTTTTCCTCCCGATCAAAAGTAAGTGGCCGCTTTTCCACACTGGGTTTCTTTTCCAATCTAGGAAGAGGCAATACCGGGGTTGGCTCCGGCTCCTTGTTCAGAATCAGGGGATGCGACGGAGGGGGAGGAGGTGGCGGCGAAGCTCGTCGAGGTGGTGGTGTGTCCTCGGTAGGTTCCGAAAGAATGCTCGCAAAAGACATTGGATCGGCAGTACGTGTAGGTTTCTATTCAGGTATTAGGTATCGAATCGGGACAAGGGAGAGATGCTAGAACTTACAGTTTCTTCGGCGAAGGCGGACGCATCACCGGAGAGTGGGCAATATATCTGCTAGAGCCATTCTCGCGAGCAGACATGAAGGAAGTATCCGGATCTTTCTTTGGGGACAACAATTGACTGTCAAGACGGCTTGGCGGATGCGAGTGTCCTGGTTGTCCATACGAAGAAGGGCGAGTATCAGACATACCGTGGGCAGTATGAATGCGTGGTAGAGAGAAACCAGAAGGCCCTGACGCTGGATGTTGTCCTGGGTAAGAAGGTGAAGTATCCGAATGAGGACCGCCGTTCAAGGGAGGCAAAGTGTTGGCAAGCGGAGAACTGGCATGAACAAAATGCGGACTTCGGGAATATGATGAACCGTAGGCTTGAGGTGTCTCGGGGGGGTGTTGTTGATAGCGATCATCATTTGGATAATACGGTCGACCTTTCGGAGGTGAAGAAGAGTAGGAGTTGTAAGTTGATTGCTGGGCGGGTGGAGGAGATCGTAAGCTGTACGGTGGAGCCCCCGACATGATGCCAATCAGCGTCTCCCGGGACGCAGGACTCGATCGCTCAAAGAGGAAGAGTCGAAGAGGGAAATCGCGTTGCAGGAGATGTCAAGACGGCTATAATTACCTCAAGCGATAGATGCGAGCCATGGATTCTGTACCAAAAACTGGCGAGTTAATAACTGAGACACTGAGGTGGAAAGAAGCTTTCCCCGATTAAACATGCAATTAGGGCAAATAGAGGAGATGATAATACCTGATGCAACTTGGAGACCGGAGGCTGTCCTTGTCAAAGTGGACGAAGGGGCGAGACGGTGGTTGGGTTCTTATTGCCGACCGTTTCTCGCGACCCGACTGCTGCCACTTGCTGCAATCACGAGAGGACTAAGAGAAGCCAACGCCGCCGGGTCAGCCGTTTGTAAAGACAGATTTATCGTCTTTATGAAACCCAGGGAGTAGTATAAGCGTTGCCCTGGATGTAAAATGGATAAAATTAGAAGGATTGGTCGTGTCCTCCTCTTGACCGAGTAGCTGGTCAGAAACGGCGAGGGCGAGGTCCGTGAGGTCTATTGTCGATAACGTGGTAGGAGATGGTGTTAAATTCCGGTTCGATGTGGAGATCACGTACTTTCGAAAAGAGTACGTATGTAGTATGATGGAAGATGGATGGGAAGGGAGGGTGGTGAAGGATAAAAAGGGAAAAAGGAAGATGGGCGGGATTGATGATGGATGGATTGTGATGAGCCTGAGCTTGGCTGCTGGTCCCTCTGTTGCCCATTTTTTCCCTCTGCTTCCCTTATTCCCTTTTTTCCCTTTGGAGTTCTCGCCAGACGCCGTTCACTATCTCATTGTCCAGGTGTTGTTGGCGCGTATGTATTGGTATTACCATTACGTACTGTCCAACACCAAGTGCGTTCTATGGATGGTCTGGTTTTATTACCGTCACAGATAGAATACTAGCGTCCGTAACCGAATGCATACCATAAATACGGGCGTCATCATACATTTTTGGCTCTACGGTGCAAAAATAGATTACCAATAAAAAACGGATCACCTATTCCGATCGCGACTCAACAATGAAAAATGATACACCGCATCTCGTGGCGATAATTGTACGTGGCAGGGTATCATTATTCGATACGTCACATTCTGGTTGCAATTGGATGAGATACCAAAAATCACTGAAGATCGCACAAGACATTGTATTCGATATGCTCATGCTTTTGGAAAAGGGTTAGAGTTGCACAAAAAATAAGAAGCAAGTTCCAAAGTTCAACTCTATAAACACAAGTCGACCATCAAGATTAGGCAAGATGAAGCCTAATCATTTTTAAAACGCATACAAGGCATAGCAAAAAAAAAAAAAGGTCGGAGTAAGAATCAATAAGAGATAAAAAATCGTACACGTATATCATCAATCAAACCGCCCCCGGTCCTTTATGATTCGATTGATCAAGGAGAAGGGTAGGCTTAATAAAGTCCTCATCCAGTTGTCGGAACCATTCCGCGTGATCACCCGTTGGACCACCAGAGAACAATTCACGCAACGCATTGCGAGCTGTTATCGGCTCACGAGGAGTAGCTGTACTGCCCTCTGTAGGGCGTCTGGCAGGAGAAGCGTCGGTGGATGCGTTGACTGAACGGGTTTGGAGCTGGGATGGGGATCGACGGAGTCGAGAGGTCGAAGGTGCCGCTGGAGGGAGATCATCGTCTGAGACAGCGTCGACATCTAGGTCGAATTCATCTAACCGATCTGTGTCGATTGCCACTTGTTTCCCGCCGTGTCCGCCTGTAATGTCTTCATCACTGCCAATGTCGCTTTCGCTACGATTGCCAGAGACAACTCCTAAAAGTCCCTGTGTAGCGGACTGATCACGATCGGCAGAGCTGAATTTCTTCGTCTTCCGCGCCGAACTCCTTGAACGGGATGGAGGACTTGGACGGCGGTTATTGCCAGTTGAATAACTATCCGTAGTAGATATACCAGGTCGATCGACGACGGTATCTAGAGGGATAGTCCGATCAGTGGCGCGGGGGGTGTACCCGATCCCAGAACTATTTGCTCTCTTATAGTACGTTCCGCCATGAGTGACCTCGATATCGAACTCATCGTCCGAGTCAACTTCTTCAACGACTCCAGTGCGGATCCCGAGTATGTCCAGCATTCGGGCGGTTGTGCCTCCGAAAATAATGACTGTAAGCACGACAACGACCAGGACCGTCGCTCTCAATGCAGGCGCGTTAGGACCTGACATGCCAGCTGCCAGCGCAACACCGACTGCACCACGTAACCCGGCCCAGAACAGCATTGCCTGATATGAGAATGGAAGTTCATCGGCCACGTCTTTTCCACGTCGTCGTGCGCGGTAGCGAATGAACCAATTAACCGCCTTGGATAGCGGGAACACTGAAAGATATCGCGCAAAGCAGATTCCCAGGACGGCAACAATGATGAAAAGTGGTTTGAACCGGAGTTCTGATTCCACGAAGAGATCGAGGCCTAAGTAGATGAAGATGAAGTTCTCACTTAGTTGTGACATCACCTGGAATAGGTATTTGGTGGTGAGCTGTGTTCTTCTGGACATGTTGTAATAAGCATAATGTTTGAGAGTAATTCCGCAGAATAAGAGCGATACAATTCCTGATTGAGTGTTAGCAGTGTGATCTGAAAGGGGTATGGAAACTTTGCTTACCGGAAAGATATACTCCGTTCGAAAAGAAGTAGCTGGCATACGCAATCAAGACGATAAGACAGCTCTCAATTTTCGGCAACCGTCGAACATGCGTATACTTGAGGAGCAGAGCCGTCCCAATCCCAACACAAATTCCGACCAGCATACTACCAAAGAAGACCAACAAGAAAAGCCCTATGGCTTCAAAAAGGTTAAGCACGGTAAGTTTAGCCGCATCATCTTCGGCGTATTTCTGAGCAGTCTCAAACAAGACAATAGCGACAGCATCATTGAGTATAGACTCGCCAAAGATCACTGTATATAGTTTGGGTTCCACTTTGTAGAGGTTGAAAATTGCAAGGATCGTCACTGGATCGGTTGCGGAGAGAGTTGCGCCGACGGAGATGGCTTCGACAAGACTGATATTCAGCCCGTCTAGCGGAATGCGCGTCCAAAGATACAGAATGAGGCCGAGCACTATAGCAGAAATAAAAGTACCAGCGAAAGCGAATGTCAAAATGGTGCCAATGTTGCGGAAGAAGTTTGCCTAGAGATTATCAAGCGTTAATACACAGTCCGCACCATGAGACCCAATCAAACGACCCATATAACTGACTTGATGTAACTCATATCCCGAAGCCAAAATAATCGGTGGCAAAAGCAAGTTGAAAAAGAACTGATAATCGAATGTGACGACATCTTGAATCGGCGACGGAGGGGTTAATCGTATAATCAACCCGACAAACATTCCTATTCACGCGAAGACACTCAATGCAAGGTCCCAATAATGCTTTCAATGACAGGTCACTCACCGCCGAAGATAGATAACACCGTCTCATGAACGGCCTGTATTTTCCTCTGTTGAAGAATATAACTTGTAAAAAGCGCACCGATCAGGAGCATAATCAGAATGAAAAGAGCCCATGAGCTAAAAAATTCCTTCTTCTCTGGTTCCGGCGCATCTGTATTTCAAGTCTTAGTCTTATCTGGAAAAGATGACGCTTGTGCGCAAGTCGAAGTTCGTAAGGAAAATAAAGGATTAAACATACTGTCTTCCGGATCCGTATCTCCTGTCGCCCTGCCTGTAGAAGTCCATTAGCAACCAATTCCGTATCCCGAATAACCTCAATGTCGCCAGAGTTGCGCATTGACCAAGAAACATACGCAATAATTCCCCCGCAAAATGAAAGACACGGTTGGCCGCCATAATATCCTTTCAAATATATAATACCCAAATCAATGTCGCGCGGGTATAGGGTACAGCTGCTTGCCCCTGCAGCGATATATTGTTGTGCTTTGGTTGTCGTCGAATCAACGAGCTCCAGATGGAAGACGCCCGCGCCGAGATGTTGCGTACATGTCCCCAAGGAAACTAGCGAGCTGGGTAGAAGAATAGAACAATCGAGGAGAAGTGTCCGTGTACGCGACAAAAGACCGATCACTCAACTGGATAAATATTTCTGGAGAATTTGTTGTTGTTGATGTTAACTTAGTTACCTGGCCTTCCCCAGGCGACGTATTGGCACATGCTGGGCTGGCGGCCAATGAGGGAGCTGCACGGACCCGCCTGCTCGCCACCTTGATAAGGGCCACTGATTTCTAGTTCTAGATTCAAAAAAGATATGGAGGAAACAAATTATACAGACGTGTACATAGTAGTATACAAATTTATCTAGAATTAGAACCCTTCTCCTCAAGTCTCCGCGCCAGCAAAGCAGCTACCAGAGCAGCACATCCGCCAAACCGCATAACCCATCCCACACTATCATCCCAGGGCTCGCCGCGCGGCTTCTGCAACGCCTTGAATATCAAACTGCTAATCATCGTGGAGAAAATCTGCGGGAAAGATACGGCAACATTATGTAAGCCAAGTACGATTCCGGCTTGGTCGGTGGGTGATGCTTCATCGGTGTCGATCTTTGGGATGGTCGCTGCCGCTTCGATATCTTGTTCCTCCTCGTCCTCATCCTCTTCCTCTTCTTCATGATTCCTTTCGATCTCCGCGGTATGAGTTATCTCATGGCCAGATAACGCATCAAATTCGGCTTGGAGACGATTCAGTCGTCTCTCGGCATCACGTTGTGCCACTTCTGCGGATATCAATGCAAACGGGGCCCATAGCGTGACAGCCCAGGAGATACCAACTATACCAATAACAACTGTAGCTGCTTGTGCCGTAGTGATGAAAAAAGTGCTGAACATGCAAACTGAGAGCAACGCGAGCGAAAGTAGCCACGTACGTCGCAACGTTAACCCGGGTATCCGAAGTTTCTTGACAAAATCAAACCTTTTTTTCTTGGCATCGTCAACCTCATCGCTTTCAATTGAAACTGCCTCGTGAGATAGGAGAGGCTCAGATGCAATATGACCTTGCAACTCAGAAATAGATCTCCTAATCTCCTCCTCTGCGGAGTCAATATCTTGGGCCACTGGCATAAAATCGATATTATCCGTCGAAACCTGTATCTGTTTATACGACGGAACAATCAAGAGCGGCAGAACGATATTTGCCGTAAAAGAAACAATCGCATTCACCAGCAGTGCAAAAGATCCAATACGCGTGGCGTCCTCCCATGCTCGGTTGATTTCGTCATCTGTCAAGTCACGATGTTTTTCAAAAATCGGGTTCACGTAGAGTTGTCCGATGTAAGTTGTTGAATAGTATAAAAAGGGGAACCAAGCAATCCAAGCCGCTAGTTGGACTTCACACACTTTACGGATTTGAGGTGGTAGATTGCGAATGGATTTCCAGACACCTTTGAAGAATGAAATCAGACCCATACCAACTGGAGGTGGTGGTCCATCAACACGTGGATCACGCTCTTTGATGGTAAGGCAGCTGATTAACAGCGTAATACCGAGGGAGAAACTGGCAATCAAGCACAGGATTTTGAATTGAGTATTCCCGAAGATAGGAAACACTTTCGGCAAATCCATATAACCAAGGATGTACCCTATAATGTTGCCGGCACCCGTCAATCGACTAGCCCACGCATTCGCGGGCTCCTGTTGATGCGCCGGAGCACAATCAACTATAAAAGCTCGAATACCGGCTTGCACTTATAGTAGCAATCAAGTCAGCATTTGCAACTAACCCCCCCAAAAAGCCTGGGAACATACCTGTATTAATAGCAAAATCCAAACAGAACATCATAATCGTAGCAAACACCAATGTAGTAACCTTCACACCATTCGACTGCGCATCTGCACCAAATATACCAAGAACGCCAGTAACAATCTCTCTCACCCACGCCAAGATCATCAGACAAAAGATAGTAGCCAGACCACCTCCAATCATAAAGGGTTTTCTCTTGCCCCAAGGAATGCGGCAGTTGTCACTCAGGATGCCGATATAGGGTTGCACAAGGGTGCCTGTTAAGGGACCCGCAACCCATACGATTGCCAGGAGGGCTTTACTCATCCCCAATGAGAGTAAAAATGGCTAAATAAGTCAGCGCTCTACTTCACAGCAAAACTAGATGATAGACGAGATAAACCTACCGACCCATTAGAAAGCTCAACGGACCAAACTACCTGCAGACTAGGAATCGGTCGCGAATCAGCATCCGTCAACCCCATATAGGACAAGAGGATTTGTATACTCACCCTCCTATACTCAAAGTAAGCAAAACAAGATACCAAGTACTCTTGGATTCCTGGTCAGCCAACTCATTCCGCCGTCGAGCCCTTGCAAGCGCATCCGCCTCGATAGCAGCACCTTGACGCTGAAGATCAGCGCTCGGCTTTACCGGCGACATTACTAGAGGAGAGTTCTCATTGGCATCAGTCATATGATGATGATGATCAGGGTTCGACATTTTTTGTTAGGTCGGTGTGTGTGTCAAAGCTAAGAGGAAGCTGCTAGGAGCATGTTTGAGGGAGATGGTCAAGTTTGCTCAAAATGTAGGCCCGAGGGGGTTTAAATTATAATTGTCATAGAGCTTGTTAAATGTATATTTAATACTTTCTTGGATTTAAGTATATGATGGCCTCATAGTCCGTTGATACAGGGATGTTGCCGTGACGTTGACAGCTGGATGTTGCACGTGATACATTCATTAGAGCTAACACTAATCAGGTAAGGTCTATTTCTGTTGCTGCGAATCGCGATTGATCTATGAGCCAACATGACAGGTATCGTCTCCTGTGACAGTGTGACCACTAAATGCATTTATTCTATATTGAAGGGAATTGAATGATATAGCTTGTTCACTATGGTAAGAAACTCCGAAGCACTTACACCCACACACAGACATACACACAAAAGTCATGTACATGGAACATATCAGTATCGCCCAAAAAACCCATAACCAACAGCCCGGGGGGAACAGGATCTAAGTAGAGAAAAAAGAAAACATTTCACGGAAAATTATATCAATAAGAATTTACGAATTGCCAATAGAGCGAACCAACATTGCTCTTGGCAAAACTTGAAACATATAGCGCCGAGGTCACGAGTCAGAGAGCTGTGTTCTGAACTTTATACGCGACCTCATTTATTTATATCTGCTGTTGCAAATACTGTGGAGATATCAGATGCGGGGCAACCATTGTTGACATAGCGGCCATTGACATGGTTGTGGCCGCAGACATCGGTGTCATGCTAACCACGCTCGGGTGGACGAAACTGTGAGTATCCGAGACTGGTGACTCTTCTTCGAGCGAACCAAACTCTTTTTCTTCGTTCTCCAAGTACTCGTCACTCAGGGGTTGCTGCGAGTTGTGGCCGTCCTGCTGAGTTTCATGGGTCCGGCGGTGTCTAAAATTAAATTAATCAGTATTGCAGATCTTCAGGAGATTGCTTCAGAATAAAGGCATGGACTTACTGTGCAAGGTTGTCTGAACGGGAGAAGGCTTTGTTGCAGTATGGACAAGGATAGGGCCTTTCTTGTGTATGGGTCCTCACGTGCCTAGTAGCCGCCAATCAGATATTAGTCTCAGCGGTTAAAAAATGTAAGTGCGACCAATGAAACGCAGAAACACAACACTTGTGTATAAATAGAAAGTCACTGCAGGGGGAAGAAGAAGGGAAAAAAAAGGCTGCAAGGATAAGCTTACCGTTTCAGATGTTCTAATCTCTTGAAGAGGCGTCCACAAGATGGAATTGGGCAAGAATGAGACTTCTGTGGATATGGCCCTAGCTCCATCATCGTGGCACTCCGGGCGCGACGCACTGGGCCGGGACGATCAGATCGACCCAATAAACTGTGAGGAACAGACATCTCGATTGAATCTTGGCCTCCAAGACCAGCTAGCTCATCTTGTTGTTGTTGTTGTTGTTGTTGTTGTTGTTGTTGCATCATCGAATGGGAGTGCTCAACACCTTCTTCAAGGCTAGGGAGAGGGGTTCCGGTACGTGAAACTTCATGAAGCATGTTTTTCTGAGATGTGACGCTCGAGGTATAATCGTTTTGCAGGTTTCCAGAAGCAGATTGGTCATTTGTGTCAGTGGCTTCTGTGACGGGACCTACAGAATTTGAAACGGAACGCCGGAGGTCGCTTGGCCTGTATGCAGCGTAGCTGGTTGGCTGTGTCGTCGCGCCTGATACTTGGGCTGCAGCAATAGCATTGGTAATGCCAGGTGGAATGGAGGAGCGACGCCGGCGTTGCTTGTAGGTGGGTGACCCCTCAATAACGGAGAAAACGTTTCCTTGGAAATGACGAGAAGTCGCGCCAAGTGGAGTAGAAAAGTTTGAAGGCGGCAGTTGCATCATGGGGTGGTATGCAGTAGACCCAACGTCCGGGATCGCAGTGTAGAGACCAGTCTCTTCGTTGGCAATGTATGCGGGCTCAGCGGCTAGCATAGGCTGTTGAGGAGGCGTAATTGGTTCAAAGGAGATGCCTCGGTTGCTATAGTCTTCAAATTGAGATGAAACAAACGACGGCGCAGGGGAATATTCCATGTATGAAGGCATGGAGGTATGGCGCTGGTGTAGGCGATTGATTGGGATACTGGCGCCTCGCTCATACTGCATCTGGGCGTAGTCTGCCTCCCGTTTCATCGACATCTGGTTGTACAGAACTGCGCTGCCAGTGTCCTCCGGGAGCATCGCCATGGCGGATGGGGCCATCTGCGGTGGAGGCATAGCGTCAACGGACCGAACGACGGGAGAAGTGGACTGGCCATATGTCGTACTTGCGTGGGCAGAGAAAGATGAAGAATTGGCTTGTTGCGCCTTGGTAAGCTGTTCATACAGCGACTGAGATGAGTCAAACTCAAAAGAAAGAGCTGGCTCTGCCACAGCCACTGTAGTAGCTTCCTGGCCCATCTTCTCCCTTTTCAAGTCGCGCTCCAAAGCGTCCAAAAACAGGCGGTCGTGTGGAACGCTATACCAATAGAAAACCTTTTGTTTCTTCTGTGTGCGAATGCAGTTGTTCTTATATAGAAAGTCGAGAAACGGGCTTTTGGGCTCCTCAAGCGACGCATCTGTGCCGGATTTCAAGTTGCGCAAATCAGAGAAGATTCCTTCCTCGAACTTCTTCGAATTCTTGACCGGACGGCCAAACGCCTGGAAGCGGAACGATAGACATCGAACAATGTCGGTTCCGGAAATGTGGAAAAGGTTGTTCCTAAACTCAAGTCAATTATACGATCCCGTATATTTCTGTTCCAAAGAGACCCACCATAGCACGCAAGAAATGTAGTCACCCGTAGGAAGGAGGAAGCGTCGGATGAGTTGATCGGGACTCCAGTCGACGGGGGCTGATATCAAAAAGTATTTGACTTGAAATATAGTTAGCGCTGGGATACGGCCGACGCATTCGGTTTACTTACGGTTATCGACTTGCTGCAGAGCAACTTGGGCATCTTGAGGCAGACTTTGCTGAGCTTCACTGGATAGCATAAAGGTCTCAGGCTTCTGAGGAGGCGCCATCACGGCACCATGTTGAGGGTACATCTCCTGCACAGCAGAATAATAATGTTCAGTCCAAATCATCTTCGTGTATCGTCGTCTGGAAACGAGCGAGCCAACAAAACAACAAAGAGGTCGCAGTGCGCAGACTCTAGACGAGATCGGATGCGTGGTATCATACCTTATCTTAATGTTTCTTGAGCGTCGCAAGGGATCGCCCCGAGTTTCGTAGAGACAGTGAGACTATATTGGGAAGGCAAATCTTCGCAGGTTGAAACGCGCTGAATCACAAGACAAAGACGGACGGTAAAAGAGCAATAATATATGGATGGTAGTCCGCAAGGCAAGTCGAGGCTCGATTATACAACAGTAGCAAGGCGATAGGGTCGAAAGATTCTGAGCATTGGTCGTTCAGTTTTGTCGCATAGCAGTGTTTTCTTTTTTTTTTTTTCTATCCAGCCGTCTCGATATCGCTTTGAGATGGACGAAAATTCAAGTGTTGAGAGGAGCCAGCCTCTGAGACAATGCGATCAAGCAAACGGATCACCTCTGCAGATCCAGAAAGACGATGGATACAATGGTACAGTAGATTGCGGGCCAGCCCGACAGGTTTTTGGAGGGTCTCCGACGCTCTCTCGCGAACTGAGTGCGAGTTGCCTGAAGGAGGAAGGGGGAGTTTGGGAGCAGATAGCTAAACGAAGGGATATAGAAGAGAAAGAAACAGAGGGACGAAGCGAATAAAGCCAAGGATGGCAAACAACGGCGATGTTGAAAGAGGAGGGAAGAAAGAAGGGCGGAAGGAAGAAGACGACGTTGTTTATTTTAGGCTGGGCTGGACGGGAAGATCAGAGGCTGCTCTTTCTCTGAAGGAAAAAGGGAAAGAAGGAAGGAGTGGGGGGGGGGAGGAGGGTGGAAGTGCAGGGGCGGCCCAAGCGGCAAGTGGTTTGTTCATAACAGCCAGCACTATGTCTGTTTACTCAGGCAAAATATATTTGACTATTGAATTATCATACTGATATTATCATGCTTATGACATATATTACTATGATTTCTACAAATTGCCCTTCAAAGATTTTGGTCTGCATAGCAAGGAGGCTATTCTATCATGATAAATCTATTATCTACGGCTTCTCTGGCGGGGGAGATCAGATCAGAGCAGACCCAGATGCAAAGAAGACTGATCCTAGCAAGTAACCTAACTAGAGAGTCAATGTTGGCAGAGTATTAATCAACCAGCCAGCTGCCTGTGCAAGTTATGTACCTGAGGCATGGCAGGTACTTCCCGGATAGGGAACCACGGCGCTTCGGGGGGCCCCCACATTGGACAGACCGTTACAGTATCTCGTCCGGTACCGTATTGGTACCGATGGAATTCTAATGCTGCTGCCAATCATGCTGCGAGGTGTTTCCTGCGCCGTATGACTGGCTATATATATAGAAAAGAGCGTCTCTGCATCTCATCACATCGATCAGGTTCTGCCATCCAATCCGTGCTCTGTCAGCAGTAAGTGATCTATCTATCTATATATATACACGTACGAGTGCATCGATAGCAAACCGTTGAACTCGGTTGATAGACTTATCAGATAGTACTACGTATACGCAGTCCGTTAGTTAAAAGTTAAAGATTAATGCTGCTTATATAATTGCTCTTTGCGGAACAGAGCTTAGAGTGAACATAGACTTACCCGATTCTGTGTGATTGACCGATAGATGCCCCCGTTCTGGTCTTCTACTAAATTTCTAGACTGTGGAATATGGGCTAACAGAGCCGAAGAGTAGAAAGTTTACATCCGAGCAGGGATCATTTTAGATCGATAGACTATCAGACCATGGGACTATGATAGAAAGTCTCTGACGCTCGCCACGCTGTTACCCGTCCCTGAGTCCCTTGGTCCCTGATCAAGTTGCTTGTCTCTTGAAGGTGTATCTCATGAGAAGAGAGAGACAGAGAGACAGAGAGAGAGAGAGATAGAGAGAGACACGCAAGAGGAAAGGAATACGAAAAATACAGAGTGGGGCAAGATCAGGGGTCTCGCCCAGCACGCTGATTGGTGCAGCACATTCTCAAACTAGCGCGAGTCAGCAATCTGAATCACCCGCCTTCTGTTTCAGAATGCCGGCCTGGCCATCTGAGACAGACTGACAGACTGACAGGCTGACTAGAGATGCCTCTCTAGATCGCTGGCTGACTGCGAAGGTCATCCGTCAGCCACCATATTCTATCGAAAACCAAGCACTCGTAGAACAACACCAAAACAAAACAGAACCTAAGCCACGAGACAAACTGTCTGTCTGTCTGTCCGTCCCCGCAACAACAAAGTCAACGATCAATGGCATTAAGGATCCGAGCGAGATCAAGCGAGAATTCGTCAGTAGTTTCTCTTTTCGGAAGTGCAACCGTGAGTTTAAGTTGCCGGCCTCGTAACTACATGCTAGTACGTTGGATGCCGTTCTTTGCAGGCACTCAGGCATCCACCGCCGTCATCAATTCTTGGCCTGAGGCCGATATACTTCCAGAAGACCCTTTGCAGATCCAAGGGACCGAGACGAACATTGCCGTTGCTACTTACCACGGCAATCGACTTCTTGCGACGCGCGCACCTCTTTTTGGTGCTTACATGCATGTGTCCAAGCTTACTACGTCTGTAGCATGCACGAAGTCTCGTGAGGAATGCAGGAACACAGCCAGCCCTGATCTGCAGAGACTTGCGCAAAATCTTCAGGCCCGATACAACCCTCCACGAACATAGTTCATTTCCTTAAATGACGTTTACCCGTTCCTCGTTCTGAAACCAGGGCCTGAAAAGCGAGGTATGCATATCGTAGGTTTAGTTTCTGAGCTAAGGTTTCGAATGTTCAAGCTTAGTGTCCAGAACCCGGCTCATTCCATAGCCTCACTGATGACGGACTGCTCCGTAGTTGTGCCTACCTCGTGGCTAAAAACTCCGTATGGAGTCTATGGAGTCGAGGGGAGCTAGCAATGCATGCATAGTGCTTATTGTGGATTTCTCAAGCAAGACGATCACAGCAACGTACTGTACTCGGTAGTACTGGACGACTTTCGACTCCATTCGAAAGGCCCTCCCATGAGCTTTGAGCTTCGAGCTTCGAGCTTCGAGCTTCGACTACTGCACTTACTGAACCGTGGCTTGAAAGAGTAGGTTATGATTGGTACGACCCTGACAGGATGTACGTGTGTACCTGCTTTTCTCAATGCTCACAGACATACATGGATGTCCGGATGATAGATAAAAGAATCAATTGCGGAGGCAGGAAACTTCCCCCAAAGATCCTTTTTTACACACATAAGTTCTTAATCAGGCATTCTATGCCTTGAAGGCTTGCACTAGATCAGGAACAAGAATACCAAAACGGCAAACAAAAAGAGAGGTGGCAGGGCCTTGGAACTTTCAAACTTTCAAAAGGGAAAAGTCCATGCCTCAGATTTCAGAATTCAGATCCCGGAGAAACGCTTCAGAATGTCTCAAGTGCTCGAGGTTTGTTCAATTGACGCGTTTCAGATTCTGCTTCTAGGATATTCTAGCGTTGCGCTTGACGAGAATCTCTTTGTTCTTTTGAAAAGTCTTCTTCAACAAGTTCACATACCCTCCCCATCAGGGCCCGTCACAATTTAATTGGATTCACCAAGTCAATGGACCCCGAACCTGATTTTGGCCAGACCCCTTTCCCTCTCTTTTCCCTCTCTGTTTTGCTTTTTTCTTGACCTCTTTAGTAAAGATGGGTCCAATGATTCCGACTCCTCACTATACACTAGACTACTAAAGTGCAGTGCTTGCTCGAAATGCTACCATCGTAATGGTTTAATGCTTGCTGATATAGCTCCATTGACCAATTAACATCATCACGGGATGTTCCACCGGATTTATCGGAGAAGGGTTGACGCATGAATTTTTTTTTTTTCGCATTGTTTTTTTGCGCTCAATAATAATATATGTTGCCATGTTCTACATATTCTGAAACGGGGCTAGGAATTTTAGGACCGTTGTACCTGCGCTGGTTTGACGTGTAGAGTTACCCCCACTGTCTAGTAGATATATACATGAATGTTATTGGTCATAATTTATAGAGTATGTGTTAAGAGAGGGGATACTTCTTAAGATGGAGCATATATCTCTAGAGTTGGTTAGAAGATTGCTCTTTTTCGTCTTTGTTCAGTGTTCTAGGCCTTCCGGGATTGAGCTCATTCTCGCATGTTCAATGTTGAGCAGGACACATAGTCTTGCCAGATATGTACACCGTCATTCAATCGATAGTGTCATCCAAGAGTAGAAGGGCGTTATCCTGACTCCATCGCAAGTCCTCCAGCCATGTCATAGTTGCAATACTAAGCATGACTCGTCACTTATGGAAGCCCTCACAGTGCAGTCGTGGCTCTCAATCCTTCGGCCATAGCTCGGCCACTTTGTTGGTGTTATTAATGCTAGCCAGTCCCTCGAAGTATATCGAGCCATGGCCAAGGTGCAGTCCCACAAACCGGGATTCCGGAAAGTTAGCTCTTCACGTTGTTTATGCCATAGACACACCATACATATAGACAATTGAAGTGGCGAAAACAGGCGAGGAGAAATTGGTCCGCTCCATTTGTTGGGTTTGTACTGCAAACACGTTTTCGTAGTACGACGTAAACTTCGACAGCTCGTGTCAAGTATAGTGACCGCTATAGAGGTGGCAAAGATATCCCATATCACCGGCGACCTCTCTTATCTAGATCTCTTCTTTCCACCTCTCCCAGCTTTCCTAGAAGGTCCCTGGATACTCGCCAAATCATGTTTACTCAATCGTAACGTTCCCCCCGAAAACTTCCCAACAGCCGGAGCTCCAACCCCTCTCTCCCTTCGTTTCGTACTACTTTTTGACTGTTTGAAGACCGGCTTCTCAAGAATGATACCATTCTCACGAGCTTCGCGGCGACGATTTGTCTCCGTCTTTATAGCTTTGCTTTGAATACCCTCTCGATGCGATTTGGGCATTTTCTTTTGCTCGAATATTGATTTCTTGGCCCCAAGGGCTAGCAGTCGTAAGTCTAGAGCTTTGTGGCGGTTTTTACCCGTTGGATTTAGGTCTGATGAGTCCGAGTCGAGTAAATGTGATTCCTTCAGTAGACGTTGTAGTGCGAGATCATTCTGTAGATTTTCCGTTTCATTATCGACCTCCTCTTTGGATTTGGTGTCCTTTTTATTATTGGTGCTGGCTGACAAATCTGCAGATGTTGGGATTTTGGCAGACTGCATTCTCTCATTAGCAGCTATTATCAAAGCAGTTTGTTAACAAAAAGTACAACGTACCAAAAGCGCTTTACGGGTCTGCTTATCTAGCAACACATCCTCTTTGCGGGCGTCCACGTGTTCAACCACCATCACCTCCTCTTCACTCTCGCTTTCATTGTCTGAGAATCCTTCAAAGTCATCTTCAGAGCCACAATTCTCACCATCCTCGTCATCATAAATTTGACTTGTTGTCGCCTGGTTCGTGGGCATATCTAAAGGCTGGAACCGGCTTTCGAAAAATTTCCGTAAAAGATCGTTTGAGTGATCTGCTTCTGTTTCCGAGTTCGCATCCCTTGTCCCTGTGGAGGATCTTGATGTCTTTCTTCTTTTCACTACCGCTTCCTTCATATTGTCTGCGTAAGAAATAAGTCCACGTGAGTTCATAGCAGTCCAGCTTCAAAAAAAAAACCGAATGGGAAAAAAACATAAAACTAGGTCACGTGTGATAAGATAAGAACGACCAAATCGGACGGCGGGGCCGACGAAATTCAAGCATCAAGAACCGACCATATCAATCCAACTCAACAATTGCGCAGTATAAGAGTTTTGACAAAAAAGAAAAATTATTGAAAATGACAAAATTCCGACCCTGCATTGATCTTCACTCCGGCCAAGTGAAGCAAATAGTAGGCGGCACATTGACCACCGTGGATAGTGAATTAAAGACAAACTATGTGTCGAAGCTTCCCGCAAGTCACTATGCAAATTTATACAGACAACATGACCTCCGTGGCGGCCATGTTGTTATGCTCGGCCCTGGGAATACGGGTGCTGCTAAGGAGGCATTGAAGGCGTGGCCTGGTGGGTTGCAGGTTGCTGGTGGTATTACGGACGAGAATGCGTTGTATTGGATTGAGCAGGGGGCTGAGAAGGTGAGGATATAGTCTGTTTGGCTCATGCCCGGCACTACATATTCATGGATTCTTCTATCGATCAATACACTATACTATTCATAAATCGACCATATCTCATGAGTTAAAAATTCTGACAGAAAAATAGGTTATAATCACATCCTTCCTCTTCCCCGAGGGTAAATTCTCCCTCGACAGACTCAAATCAGTTCTCTCAGCATTAGGAAACGACACATCGAAACTGGTCCTCGACCTCAGCTGTCGCAAAAAGGATAACACATGGTACGTCGCCATGAACCGGTGGCAGACCATCACGGAAATGGAAATAACACAAGGTACACCCTCCCTTTTCCCATACCTATATCTCTCCACACGCCGTGTGGCCAACCTAGATACTGAATATTCGAGCAGAGTCAATATCAATGCTAGAACCATACTGCTCCGAATTCCTCATCCACGCCGCCGACGTGGAGGGTCTGCAACAGGGTGTCGACGAAGAGCTAGTCTCAAAACTTGCCGAATGGTGTTCGATACCTGTCACATATGCCGGCGGAGCGAGACATTTGCAGGATCTTGAGAAGGTGCATGTGACTAGTGGGGGGAAAGTTGACCTTACTATTGGGAGTGCATTGGATATATTTGGGGGATCGGGTGTGACGTTTGATGAATGTATAGGGTGGAATAAGAGTCATTAGTATTGGTAATATATATAAATGAGCGGTTCTATTGCCTAGAGCATTTTGGAATATAAAATATCCACAAGGTACTAATAGACGCATATCTCGCTACTAAACTAACGATTTAGGAGAGGCCATGTTCCTAAGTAAGTTGTTCTACTCCCCAACACTTGGATGCACCTGTCTAGTCCAGGGCATATACAGATTCGATGAACCAAGCTCGCAGTAGATATGTAAACAACAAGGAGCAACATATATAAAGCATAGGACATGCATAAACTATACTTCACAATCGCCAATTACACCCAACGCCAATCAAAGAAAGATCCATTACGGATGGAAAGTCTTAAAAAATAAGAACTCTGTATCCCGGATGAAACTTGCACATTTTGAAATATTTCCGCCAATAACAGAGAAGCAAACATTGACATATGTATGGTATCTATCGAAGTAAAAAAAAAGGCAATCTAGTTCAAGGAAATAACACCCCTCCGATTCGCTCGAACGTGCAAATATGCCTGGAAAGCGCAGAATACGAAGAAGCCCTGTAATTGAGCAATAAGTCAGAAATAAGTCACGACGGGACAAAAATCACCGAATGGGGAAAGCGAGAAGACGTACAGCATAAATGATCACGGCAGTGAAAATCGAGCCGGCTACCACCGTGCCATCTTCGGGGGTACCTTCTGATCCGGTGAATGCAGGATGATTTGACTACATTATTTGTAAAACGCCATATATTAGCATAAGGTTTGTTGTATTGTTGGAAAACTTGTTGGAGAAGCGGGGAGACGAACGTTGTATAGTGATCCGAGAATAGATAGAATGATAACGGCGAAGAATGAAATGACAACACTGTTTTTCACGAGTTATGGATTAGTATGTGTAGGATTTAGAGCGAATTGTAAAGCTCACCAGCTCCAAGCGTTCAAGGCAGAGAAGATTGGCTTCATGTTGATTGATATGCTTACGCCTAAGGCTCCGATGAGAGTGGCACGGATAGACGGAACGAGTGGCCGGATAAGGTGGTCGTGTGTAGAAAGATAAATCGAGGATCGATAATAACGAAAGATTCCCAGGAACGAATCTCTATGGCGATAATAGGCGAGTTCGATGGCTGAGTAGGTAAATCCGATGTTGATTGCTACGTCAAGCTGCCGTTTCTAGGTTGGTTGATGGCGGCGGATGGCGGCGGTTGGCGGCAGAAATCGGCAGAACTGACTGAGCTCAGTGACTTATGGGATCTGATTGGTGTATACGGGAATTTGAGCCTTGAGGATGGTGTGAATTTCTTCATTTTATCATCCCTCATGAGAACAACTTTTATATTCATATCTAACATCGTAAACATAGTTTTTCATACATGGATAAGCCATGTTCAGCCACAAGACAAAACACCCAGAAATGCCCCAAAAGCGCCTTGAAATGCGATTGCGTTAGGATTTGCTATACAATAGGCCCCGAAGTCTTGGGCGAAGCATCTACTCTTCATCATCCAACATTTTCGACATATAGGGTCCATCAAGCGTATATCCGAGACGCGCATAGTAGCTTCGGACACCAACGCCAGAAATGACACTAATCTTCTTACTACCATGCTCTTCCCTAGCAATGCGTTCAGCCTCCTCCATCAGAAGAGTACCAAATCCACGATGCTGGAATTTGCGAGCGTCTCGACCATGCAATGGCACAGCAGAGCCGTAGACATGCAATTCTCGTACGAGACTTGTTTGTTGACCCGTGAGCTCAGGACGGAACGTGTGAGTAGCACTGCATTTGCGCAAGCGCAAAAGACCAATGAGGATATCCTGTTTGGGATCCTCGTAGGCCAAGAATGTTTCCCAACCGCCATTTGCGGTGTAATCTCGCCTGACAAGTTCGATCTGAGAGGGTCTGATCTTATTCTTGACTTCGTTGATACCGACTTCTCGCGTTCGCACGTCCCGGCATGTCGTTCCAAAGTCCTTCATGCGACTCAGGGCAAGCTCACGAAGATTTCCATTCTCGACACCGGAGGTAACCAGCGGCATAGGGATATCACGCTGCACTCGATAAATACGGGTCCATGGAGGAACCAGCGCAAGAATTCGTGCTACTATGTCAATAAGGGCGTTTGGGGTATAGTTTTTATAGCGTCCCGTTCTCCATAATTCGTATAGACCTGTACCTCGGATCACAAGCGTAGGATAGATCTTCAATCCATCCGTACGGAAAGCCGGGTTCTCAAAATATTCCACAAACTGATCAAGATCTCGCTCCATACCAACATTCGGCAAGTCAGGCATCATGTGACTGACCACCTTGAAACCAGCATCCTTTGCGAGTTTGAATGTCTCTGCAACGGCAGCAACCGTGTGGCCTCTGTTGGTATCTCGAGCAACATCCTCATACAGACTCTGAACTCCTATTTCCAGCCTAGTACATCCATATCGCAACATACTGCTCAAATGCTGATCCAAACAATAATCAGGACGGGTTTCGATTGTGATACCCACGCATTTGATATTGCTCATCTCGCCCGCTTGCACGGCCTCGTCGACGTTGTCGGTCTGATAGCCGCTGAGCGCATTGTGAAGCTGCGATATGAAGGAATCACGGTAGTCCTCCGGAAGTGACATAAAGGTGCCGCCCATAATAATATATTCAACTTTGTCTACACTGTGTCCAAGCGACTTCAACTGGTCCACACGTCCTCGGGCCTGCTCGAAAGGATCGTACCGGGCTCGAATAGCTCTCATGGACGTCGGCTCGTAGCCGGTATATGATTGAGTGGAGTATTCGAAATCAGAGTCGGGGCCACCTGGGCAGTAGACGCAGATATTTCCAGTATATGCGATGTGTGGACAACGATGTGGTTTGCACATCACTGCAACAACCGCGATTCCAGACGAGGTACCTGTCCCTTGTTAGGTCTATCTCCTCGAGGTCAATCAATCTGTAGGGCGACATACGGATAGGTTTGGCAACCAATTTGGGTAGAATATATTTCTTATAATGCTCAGGGACAGCTGCGATGATTGCAGTCAGAGGTGGTTGCGCGGCCAGCGAATACTTTTTGGCAATTTGACCCCGCAGCTTGTTGAGGTTGATGTCTTTCTTGGGCCTCATAGGATCTCGACTAGCTTCATATTCCTGAATGAGAACATTCGCAACATCAGAGCAAGCGCGTAGGAATCGCTCATTTTCGGGAAGCAATTTCGACCTCTTTGCCAGAGTCTCTGGCTTCACCGTCATCGTGGCGGTCGCCATCGTGAGAAATTTGTGTTCGCGATGACCAGTAATGTTGTCGACGGACGAGCGACTTATGACAAAGAAAGGGTTAAACAAAGTAATTCTGTCCCAGTGACTATTTAATTAGCAGACAGGGTAGCAGTTGTCGTCGCAAAGACGTTGTCAATGTTCAAAGATAAAAATTGACCAAGGCGGGACCTATCAAATCGCCCAACCAGCATCGGGAGCCACCGCTTGAGTTCGGAAGGACGGTTAAAGCACTCGCCTTGGCGCTTTCCGAAGCGCGAAAAGTACAACATCCCAGCAAGCTGCGATAGTCCCCTGGTTCATTCTTTCTCGACGCCAGACCAACCTCCACTCTTTGCTTTCGTTTCGTTTTCTTTTCTTCGGATTCCCCAGGAATAAGCCTTTACAGCCATGCAGGCTTTCCGTCGTAATACTCTTTCTGCCCTGCAGAATGCTACCAAGCAGCGCCGAACCTACATCGGTGCCAGCTCAGCATATTCATCAACAATCGGCAACCTCCGTATAAACTCTGAGACTCGTGTCATTTTCCAGGGTTTTACGGGTAAACAAGGAACGTGAGTACTGCTTGATGGCTTCAACCGTGTGACTTTGGACTGACGGGATTTGATGTGGGTTAGTTTCCATGCTGAGCAAGCCATAGCATACGGTAACTGCACCCATCCCCCGGATAATTGATGGAATGACATGATGCTCATATATACAAGGCACCAAGGTTGTTGGCGGAACGAATCCCAAGAAAGCCGGAACTACACATTTGGACCGACCTGTTTTCGCTACAGTGAGCGATGCTGTGAAAGAGACTGGTGCTACTGCATCCGCCATCTTCGTCCCGTATGTCTTATATCTCAATTTTGGTGAACGATATGCTTACAACGAATTAGCCCACCGCTGGCCGCTGCGGGTATCGAAGAGGCCATTGCTGCTGAAATCCCTCTCGTTGTTTGGTTTGTCCCCTGAATCTGGCTTTCATACTATTGGCTCCGACTGACCAGCTCTATAGCATTACTGAGGGTATTCCTCAACATGGTATGTGATCTTGCCTACGTTTACATCATACCGAAGACTAATCTGATATCGACTTCTAGACATGGTGCGCATCACCGATATCTTGAAGACCCAAAACAAGACACGACTGGTCGGCCCCAACTGTCCCGGTATCATTGCTCCTGTACGTTTCACTTCTCATAACCCGATAGGATTGCACTCCGAGGTTGAATATCTGACTGATTTTGGTAATTGGAATAGGGTCAATGCAAAATCGGTATCATGCCTGGTTTCATTCACAAGCGCGGACGTATTGGTATCGTCTCTCGTTCCGGTACTTTGACCTACGAAGCTGTCAACCAGACCACTCATGCTGGCTTGGGTCAATCTCTCGTCGTTGGTATTGGCGGTGACCCCTTCTCCGGAACAAACTTCATTGACTGCCTGAGGGTCTTCCTCGAAGATGAGGAGACCGATGGTATTATCATGATTGGTGAAATCGGTGGTAGCGCTGAGGAGGATGCTGCTGAGTTCCTGAAATCAGAGAACAAGCAGAACAAGCCTACTGTGAGCTTCATTGCCGGTATCAGTGCTCCTCCTGGCCGCCGAATGGGTCACGCTGGTGCTATTGTCAGCGGTGGTAAAGGTGGTGCCGACTCCAAGATCTCTGCTCTCGAAGCTGCCGGCGTTATCGTTGAGCGAAGCCCTGCTCACCTTGGTAAGGCTCTTCGGGACGAGTTTGTGAGACGTGATCTACTTTAAAGTGGTGCTATGGTTTGAGGACATTGTGCCGTCCTTTTCGTCTACAATCATTACGAGTTGGAGCTGAAAGATTTACATGTCCTGGTAGATACGATGAGTGGTTGTACTTTGTTCCATTTGTGTGTTGATACTTGATAGTTCATATCCCGATAGATGTGCGTTTTACCTAATGAGACCTCTGTTTTGAGACAACAGGCTTCTGACCATTGTGTTTGTCTTGCTCTGAGCAACTCTATGCTCGGGATCGTGAACTCAACATTTAACTATCTTCCACTCTGACAGGCTCTATATCAATAGCATGAATAATATAAATAGTAGCTACATTATAATAGACACGTACTCTCTGAATATCTAAACATTGTTGTCGCGAACAGCGCGTGTTGTGATTGGCTCGTCAGCAGCGACGCACGTGACTCCAGCCACTCAAGGCAAGCAAATTGAAAACACACCGAACCAAAACAATAGGGCTAACTCGGTTGTCTGAGTGACGGCCCATTCTGTTTATCCTCCCTTCATATTCCAATATTCAATACCCTCCAACGCCTTGAACGTGACGACGACAGCATTCAGCCTAGTTCGGCTTCAGTAATTAATCTAGCGACTCTGTTATTTCGAGTTCGCCGCTATTTGTTCTTTTTTCCTCCAGGTTCGTTTGCCTTTATTATTCAGCCATTGATGACACCCGTCATCGCTTGTTGATGTTGATGTGACGATTCACAACAACCCACGAGATCGCCTACATTACCCGCGCTCGTTGCGCCAACTTACTCCTCTTTAATATCTGCTCAGTGTCTCGGAGATGCCTCCTGAAGTAGGCGAACACTGGGATCCTCATTTCGCGATGAGTACGTGACTGATGCTTCTTGCCGCTATGTAACACCTCCTAATTTTTGACTCGGCAGATCGAGCACACTCTCAAGGTTCGATTATGTCGCATACTCAACCTCTTAGTCGACCCGGTACAGCAGACCCACTACGCTCTCGCTCAAATACTGCCATATCGAGAGCCCACCGTCGTCCTCGATCAAGAGGCTCTACTGCTAGCATCCATTCAAGCACAACACAACAGACCCAGGATCAACATATGGGCGATGGATTTTCTCCCTTTATGCCCTCTCAGCAAGCACCACCCCATGGTGTGTTCAACCCGAATCCCGAGGAAATAATGATGCGGTTCAATCAACAAATGGCCCATTCAAACAGCCAGGGTTCTTTGGATGTCTCGATGCATGAAGCCCACGGAGCTGTCATGCCACGACCCGAGGATTTTCACGGGATCCCAAACTCGATGCCTGAAATGGTTCATGCTCATGGGATGCCGAGTATACCTGTCAGCCATTACGGACACATTTACGACCCGAACGGAATGGACTCTCAGACGCCGGACCGCGCGGGTGATGACAATGATAATTCTGAGGCCGGCGGGCGAAGGAAACGTGGTTCTAGCTCTACCATTGCTAATGATAACGAATTGAGAAAACTGTTACGTCAATACGAAGGTTACACGCTCAAGCAGATGGCTACCGAAGTCCAGAAGCATGAAGGCGCAGGCGGCAGATCTGAAAAGGTGAAACAGGTTTTTGCCATGGTGTGGTAAGTTGCTGAGCTCATATACGTCCATACTATTGCTAAAAGAATCCTTGTATTCAGGTTGAAGGAGAATTGTCGGAAAAGCAGCGGCTCTGTTCGTCGGGATCGTGTATATTGTTGTTATGCAGAGAGATGTGGAAGCGAACACGTATCTGTTCTCAATCCGGCTTCCTTCGGCAAACTCGTGCGAATCATCTTTCCAAATGTACAGACTCGTCGCCTTGGTGTGAGGGGCGAATCGAAGTATCACTATGTTGATCTCACCGTCATTGAGGAAAAACACCAACAATCGATCGGTCAAAGCTCACAAGATCAAAATACTGCGAACGAATCAATTAATACAGATGGAAGAGGGTTGAACTCGTCTATACGAGCTCGCAGGTAACTCATGTTTTTTCTTCTGACGTTATTTTGAGAATGGAAATTGACTTGGGTTTTATAGTATCAGCATATCGCAACCGCCAGTCGATACAGCTGTGTTTCCTTCACCTACCACTTCTTTCGCACCAAAGTTTCCACTTACTCCGAGCGTCAATGGATGCGGTTGTGAATCTCAGACACGGTCTAAAATCGACCAGACTATTACATTGGAAAACATAGCAACACAAAGTGGAAGAATGATACGCCAAATGCTCACATTTCCAGACTCGACTTCAACACATGTCGATAATGACTCTCTCAAAATACCCGACATCTCTCCCTTTCTTCCTACAAATACAGATACGAAAGTTGCCGATGCCTTAGCAGCTCTATACAGGACCCATTGTATCTCCGTTATTGACAGCTTCCGGTTTTGCAAAGAAAGAAACCTGTTTCGACACTTTTCCGCGTTTCATGGGACGTTGACGGTTCCCGTACAGAAACTTCTCATTCACCCAAACCTTGCACCCTGGATCAAGGAGTGCGACTGGCTCATGTACCAAAAAATGATCGAGTTCGTTGCGCCTTTGACTACTCAGGTAGTACCACAGCCGGTTCTTGATTCCTTCGGCTCTATCTCTCGACGTCTCACAGGACACATCTCCGAGACGTTCAAGACTCATCCTGTCCATGTGTCATTGTCGAGATTGGCACCCGCGCACCTTTTCTGCAACCTGCTTAAGCATATGCTTGATGTCAACCAAGCTGCCAATGCTGCTGCAGCGTGGCTTTGCCATCCAGATAACCGCAACCAAATGTGGCTTGATTTTGCTACGTTTGTCGATCCAAAAGAAATGATAATCAAAGCTCACATTCCCGCTTGTTCAGAGAAAGCAACCGAACAAATATTGAAAAATGACGTCCGTGCTCTTCTGACTCCGTTGGATAACCCGACATCACCTACCGTTTTGTCCTTCTATCAGCAAACAGGGGACGATCTGCAGGACCAGAAGAGCACTGTGGAGTCCTCGACTGGAGGTGAATACAACTTCCCGGATAAATGGATTTCTTTCATACTCAGTCTCCCATCACTTTTCCCCAACCACCCAGCACAGTGCATAGTCGATAAGGTCGACAGGTTATGGGACTGTGTCTTGCACCGCTTAACGCTTGCTGGTGCCCCTAGCTTCAGTGCATGGTGGATGACCAAAGTGTTTTTCCATGAGATGTTATTATGGCAAGTGGAAAAAGGCGGTTTTATGAAGCATACACCTAGTTCTATGCAGAGTTCCTCGGCACCATCACAACTGGAAAACTCGCAGGCACGCATCTCTAGACAAGGAAGTATTGCCGTCCCAGCCAAGAACGAGTCTTTTGTCGCTAATGACAATCCCTCCATGGAGTCCGGGACTATGATGAGCACCGCACATTGTCAGCATTCTATGGAGAAAACAACAAATCCTGGCAACAACAGATCAACGAATGACAAGAACTCGGGTTTACTTTCTGAAAGCTATTCAGGTCCCCAGGTACCTAACCACGACGATAGTGGTATCGGTCTTGATGATGATTCTATGCTCATGTCCGTTGGCAAATACGATATTATGACAGATACAACAGATGCGGAAGGCGATGTGGTTGTTGTCGCCTGAATGACCATGTGTTTCGAATATTTGAGTCAATTCACTGTCCCATTTTCTTCTCTAATTGGGTGGTATTCGTCTTGCATTGATTACCTTTATGTGGTTATTCCTTTCAAACTAAAGGGAGATACAGTAATTGGGGTGGTTCTGGCTTCTTTTGCTATTTTACTTCTTGCTTCCCTCGGGACCTTTTTTGATACTGCCTTCGTCCTTTTTCATTCTTCTTTTCTACTGTTTTGTCTTGGGAGCCTTTGGCGAATTGGATCATTAAACACATTATCCCCCCTTTTTCTTTCTTTGTCTTTTCGACTACATTTCTTGTCTTTGATTACCATATCATGTCGACTGACTACCTGTATTTGCCTTCCCCCCTTCCACAAATTCTTCGACGAGCGATGACGAGCGTACGAACATTAAAATTCGAATCGATGAAGAGAGAAAAGAAAGGCAGAGATTTCGATTGTCTGTGTTTCTCTAGCCCATGACCTTTTTTAATCTTTTTGGTCTTGCCCTACTTCTTTCTCACTTCACTATTGTCACTTTGTCTTGAGGAGTTTTCATACCAACCTACTTCTCACACACATTTTTGTAAATAGTAAATACCATTCGATGACCCTGCTTTTCCAAAGAATACCATATCATATGTAACTTTTGAGACTACATGATATGTATGTACGACTGGAAAGAGTGCTGAAATAGGAGATGAGAATTTAATTGGAATTATTAGATGGTAAATCGTAGCCACCTGGTTATATTCGATATCTATCAGCCATTAGATGGTAATTGCTACTCATTCCCAAAACGTAAATAGCTATCTTGTACGCCGAAACCCCCACCGGAAAAGACTTCATCATCCATCGTACACCTGAACGACTGTAACGACACATACATTCAAACACTCTGAATGCAATCATCGTGTCTCAAGAGCAGGGAAATAGCGAGTACCTGCAAACCCATGGGCCATTATACTCTCAATATCGATATTGCCACCACTATACGGACTCCATAACTTAATCAAAATATACCGTCCTGACCTGTTATCCGATATACATATTAGCAAAACGATCTATAACAGAGTTGCGCGGTGAAAGGAGGGTTGGACATACACCGGTGGATCAAAATTGATGCTAACCATGCTCTTTTCACGCTCAATGAAGAACCGCGCATGAGGTCTCATTATATCAGATATCCCATTTACATCTCCTCCATCCAGGCCAACCGTGGCAGCTCCTGATGAAGAGCGGACTGGTTCGATTAGACTTGGAGAGTCTAGGCGGTCATTACTTCCGAGGCTGTAGAGTATGTTGCCTTGGGTCCGACCACGTCGTCGTGTGTCGAGACGACCGCGGTTATTGAATTCGATCGTGTCACCGTTATCGCTCTCTTCTTCATCTACGGGACAGAATAGTTCGCTTTCTTCGCCACTATCCAAGAGTTCATTGTCGTTGCCGGATGGGAACTCGAAGGTGCCTTCGTCGTCATTCGATCTACCGTCCAGATTGCCGTCATGCTCGGTAGCTACCCTAAACTGAGGCTCTGCGTATGTAGGATTGAATAATGAGCGACGTGACCATGTTGTTTCGTTTGCCTGCGCATCAAGGTCACCAGAAGAACCGCCAGAGGCCCTGGTTTCGGTGCCTTGGTTTCGAGTTCGATACGCGTTAAAATACTCCGTAGATGGGTTAGTGTACTGTCGTCTGGAATTATGACACCGTCGACTTCGTTCTGGGTAGCGAATTTGATACTGGGCGGTCCGCTCCAAAAGTTCGTCTGATGTCATCGAAACAAAGATCATACCTTCTTGGATACTAAGGGTTTGTCAGTTATTATTACAATTTGCAAAGTCGGCGACATCTCAACTTACGGAGCATCGAATCCTTTCTTCGGGGCTCGTATGACAATCTTCTTGAGAGAGAATGGCGTTTCGCCTCGATGGTTCAAAATAATATTACAGCGACTCCTCTTTGTGCAGTAGACCGAAGAGTCATCAAGTAGAACATTTCCCGGCCACGAACTCTCGCCGTTATCTTCGTCGTAATAATTCCCCCCATCGCAGCTATTGATTTCCATCTTCAATAATCCAGGTACGACTTGGCCGTAGTGTCCGTAACTAAATCCCGTGAGCCCATCTCTATTGTCATCAGACTCTAGCTTGCGTCTCTTTGATCGCCATCTAGAACCTGGAGAGCCAGGGCTATCAGACTGACGTGGAGCGGCATCTAAATCAGAAGGATTTGGAAGCCAAGATCTGAGAGAAGCATTCAATCGATCGAAGCCCTCGTTGATGGAAGTCATTGTGGCTAATCGACGATCGAGGTCCTCGTTGACGGAAGTCAGGATTGGGTGACGATCGGAAGAGCTGGCATCATCTGACCTGTTGCTTCTGTTCGTTCTGCTCGCCAGCAACCGCATCGCTGTTTCACTAGGCCTGATTCGACGACGCCCTGCTCTGGTGCCGGGTGTCGATGATCCCGACTCCTGATTCATGGCGGTGCTGGAAGTCCTACTCGGAATGACAGGAAACCTTCCCCGTTCACGGGGTTGGGGTGGCGACAGGACGTCTTCTGCGCCGGACTGGGACACTTCGGACGAAACTTGCTGGAGCTGCCTATTCATAACAGCTTGGGCTTGCTCATAGATCCTTCGTCGTCGAGCGCTTTGAAGTTGGAGCTGCTCGATTTCGTCGAGAGCTTCCAGAGCACGGGCTGTTTCGCTTCTTGGTCGTGGAAGGCTGCGTCCTGAATCGAACAGTATCAAGTCACGTAAGTTCTGAAGTCGCGTTTGTCGATTCTCCTGTGGTCTTGATGAAGTCGAGCTGCGAGATGTAGAATTCGAAGCCGGTGGATAATCGTAATTACCCGACTAGGACAGGATAAGTCAGTGTATCTGTTAGAGTTCCACATATGAGAATATGTTTTGTATACTACTGTAACTATTGAAATAATCGGCAAATGGCATAAACGTATCGAAAATCATATGAGAGGCTTGAGAAGATTGGAGAACGCACCATAATTTAGCCGGGCTAGTTAGCAGATAGAAGCGGCCAGTTACACGCGATAATCGGCGATAATCAGCGATAACCAGTGATGAATACAAGGCTAATTTGTATATCAGAATATCTGAAACAGTTGGATAATGCTGAGTCCGTCTAGGAAATGAAGAAGATGGAAAAACGAATACACAATAACTGACAAAGAGAACAATTGATGGAGAAATAATGATGAGATAGATTAGCGAACCCGGCGGGAGACTTGGTCAAATACGTATGCTAGCATGACAGGTGGCCCCGCAAGCTTAACTTCTTAAGCTAACTTCCTAGTCTCATACAGTTCTACTACTATCATCATCCATCAATCCGACATCAGGGCATTGAGTCCTTGATTTCCTTTGATTCGACTGATCAGAATTATTTTCCTATCGTCAACGCCGATAATTATTGTGGCAAAGGAACAGCCCTGCTCTAGCTCACTCTTATCTATCTCCCGATTACTATCGCATGCGCTCACTCACTCACTGAAAACAGGTGTGTTTTGATTGAAAAATGGCAAGTCAAGAGAGGAACGGCCAAAGCATCAGCGCAGGCAAGTAAAGTCAATAAATTTAGGGAGCTACTACTGATAAACCATGCGTAGACGAGATTGCCCTCTATGATAGACAGATTCGTCTTTGGGGTGTCAAGGCGCAAGAAAAGTACGAACCATCCCTTGAGTCCTATTGCTCACTACTAACCGACACATCCCAGGCTGAGGTCGGCCAACATTCTACTTATCACATTCAAAGCATTGGCAAATGAAATAGCAAAGAATCTGGTTCTTGCTGGTATCGGCTCGTTGACCATTTTGGATCATGAAGTGGTTACAGAGACAGATCTATGTGCTCAATTCTTTGTGTCTCAAGAGCATGTTGGGCAGAATGTGAGGTCAAAACGTTGGGCTGTTCTAGACACAGTAAGCTGACTTTACTCAATAGCGAGCACAAGCTGCAGCCCCTCAGGTCAGGGCCATGAATCCGCGAGTGCAGTTGCATGTCGATACAGAGGATGTTCGAAGCAAATCTCCAGAGTTCTTCAAGGACTTTGATATTACGATAGCCACTGACCTCGACTTTGACACATATTCCACCATCAATGCTGCCTGCCGTATATCGAATCGACGATTCTACGCTGCTGGTCTGCATGGATTCTATGGTTACGCCTTTGCAGATCTCATATCGCACGACTTTGTAATTGAAAGGGAGAAATCGAATGTAGCACCTCACATGCAGGAGACGCCCACAAGATCGATCGTCAGTATCACCACGAAGAGAGAAAACGATAAGGTCATTGAGATGGTAACCAAGCGTGAAATTTATTCTCCGTTATTACTCGCCAATAGCTCCCCCCTTCCTGAAGAATTCACTCGTGTTGCACGTAAGAAGAGGAACGTGTCGCCTCTTCTCAGTTGCCTCCGCGCTTTATGGGAGTTTCAACGAACATCAAACGGCAAACTACCCAGCTTTTCCCGCACTGAACTAGAGACATTCACTCGACTTGTCAACGAGCGCCATCTCGAGTTACAGCTAGACATCAGCACAATTGACTCCTCATTCCTTCGAAGCTTTCTCGAAAACCTGGGTTGTGAACTCAGTCCCGTCGCAGCATTTATCGGTGGAAGTCTAGCGCAGGACGTTATTAACGTGCTAGGTGGTCGTGAGCAACCTCTACAGAACCTGTTGTTGTTCGATGGAGAAAAGAACGTTGCGCCCATCTACCCATTACACCCTATCTTCCCTCCTCAGATTGAAGATATGGCTGCTAAGATATCGCCGACAGCTACTACGGCTGTACCAGCTACATCCTTGCCTATCCTTCCCGGTACATCTGTACCTTTGGGTAATGGTGTTCCTACTTCTTAATTATCCTTTCCTCCAGCGGTAGATGGATATACTACATTTTGTCGCAACGGCTAAATAGATTCTTCGTTTCACTAGAGAGGATTTATTCTCATCATTTTGGCGTTCTCGATCATTCTTCAAAACGGCTATTCTGGGTGGCATTTTCTTTTCTTCGCGTCTACATTGGTTTCTATACTGACTCGCGATTTCTATTTTTCCCATCACTCTTATTCCCTCTGTCTTGCCACTTCTGGATTCTAAATCGAATTCGAAGTGGCAAGACACCTTTTTTGGCACTCAATTTTGGCGACATGGTCCAAATAGGCCGGTGTAAGAGGAAGTCTATTTATTCGGACCATGTTTCCAAAATTCGAAATCCGTGTATTTTAGTTCCTATGATAGGAAAGACTTCTTCCCCCCACCCCTTTTTCATTTGACGAAATGATAGATTTGAACTACATCTTCTCAATCATCGGTTCTATGAAACTATCCCACTATATTTGTCAGAAACAGAGGGATACCATATAAACTATTAATTCGCTTAAAGTGGAATAGATAAAACTGATGTAAAAAAAATGCAACTTTCAAATTCTATGTACATGGTTGAATGCCCAGAACGGAGATTGTTTGGGATGCGAAAACTATATAGCAATGTTGTATGACTCCCTTCAACTTAAAACGGGCTGAAGTCAAGGTATTATTATAATGTATAATGGAGGTGTAACTACATCTCCGAGAGAAAGACGAGAGAGGGAGAGAATTATCTGGAAACACCAACAAGACTCTCTTCCTCGTCATCACTCACTTCCTTCCTAGTACGCGGATTATTCGAACCCTCATGTTCATCTTCTGAAATGAGTCCTTGCAACTCAAAGGCTTCTGCGTCTTGGATCTGTTGCGCCTCTGCGCGTGAACGAGGATGGCCGTTTATGGTACTGCCGTTTGCAGGGAATCCGTCGTTGACTACAGTGTATGAGGAGGAAGAATCTTCGCGACGGAGTTTGGGCATGAAGCCGTCTTCTTCTGCGTGAGTGTTTGTGGTGACGGTTGCTGAGTCGGGGAAGGCGTGGATTGCGTAGACGTGAAGGAGGATGTTGACAACTGTGTCTGTTAGATTTTCTGAAGGTTTAGAGGGAGATGATGGGTTGACTTACAGAGGAATAGGATAAAGGCAACGCTGTACAAGATCAAGACATATGATACGTGCGTAATGCCTGCGTTGCTGAGAAGTGCCATTTGTTCTTCTGTGGCACCCATGAATAGGAAACCGGAGGCATAAAGGAGCTATACAGTATGGTTAGCATGTCTTAGACCGAAAAGGTTTAGGGGGAGACTCACGAATGGAGGAAGATATTGGAAGCTGTGAGGATCCGACCCATCAGGACTAAGAGTCGGTCGATCTCTGAGAACGAACGAAATCTCAATTATTCGAGCCGCTCCAGCGGCCATGAGCGTGTAACCAAACACTGTATGCACCATTGTACTCAACATAAGCGTCTGGGGATGTGCTGACATGGCATATCCCGTCAACAAGATAACGATGGCCGGAATTAGGTTGCGCTTGGGACGTCCATTCCTCTTGCGACTCAACCACATGCCCAATAATCCAGCACACCACCAGACGATACCCATCGTCGTATGCTGCAAGTCATTGTGAACCCAGGGCTGGCCCCATCGATGCTCAGTAAAGGTATTGATACAGCCCCAGATGGCAATGATGAGAGAGTCAAAGAATTCCTGACTCCGGCCGCTGCGTCTTAACCAGAATTGTCCAACAAGAAGCAAGATAGTCATCACAATTCCGTAGGCAATAAAAGCGCTTCCCATGATAAAATGAGCCAGACACTGGCCGAGATGGTCGTCACGGCAGAACCCGTTTGCTGTAATTCCACCAAATAAGATTTGGGCCCAGCTGACGACCGGCATTGCTTTTCCTACCACACCGTGCGCAATAACAAAGTACCGACGGATCCGGCCTTGGAACCCTTTTTCGAGATGAAGTTTCAAGTATACGCCAAGTGCGACTTGGACAATCAACATCAACATCAGTATATTGGCGAACGAAGCGTGGATATTCTTTGCGAATTGGCGTCCTTTATGCATATGACCCATGAAATAAGCAAGTACGGCGACGACGGTGGCCACAACCTGTACAGGAACATGCCAGCGAGAACGGATGATCTGGATAATTGATCCAATGTTAGTCTGCTCTTCCCAGGGTATATTTTCCGAAATATACTCACTCCGAGAACCATGCCGAACGGAAACATGATGCCGAACGTTGCCGTCATTAAAATCATATGTAGCCACAAGGTAGTATCCTAGATGAATTGACAATTGATTAGAACAGATTCATCCTTCAGACCATATGCGTTTTCATATTTGGAACTTACAATAGGTTCGCCTGAAACAGCCTCGCCTTCGGGGACCTCCTCGTGGCCTCCGTGAGCGAAAGCCTGTGTGGCTATGAAAGCCACCAAAGGTAGCAAATATCTTTGAACGGACATGTTTATTCTTTTGCAGTCGTAATTCGAGCTTCAGAGGAGCGGAGAGATGGGTTGACAATACAGGTACTCCGACGAGTACGGAGGGATAGTGTCCCGGTCAAGTCCCGGGACGTTCGTTGGATATCCGAGTTAGTAGTAATGAATGACTGAGACCGTGATCATCTTATACTCTGTCCATAGAGTAGCAGTAGACTTGATCGAGCTCTTAACACATACAACAAAGATGTCGAAAGTCGTAAGTTGTCGTGATGAAAAGGGTCAGTGTCGGAATTGGCGGGACTTTGTTAGAGCGGGTCAATTCCGGCGGATTGCCTAAGGCGCCGCGCCGAAACCATCTGATTAGTGGTCTATTATTGGCTGGCTTTTTCAAGAGTGGGGTTTCCTTGTTCGGACGTTTCTTCTGGAATTCTACGACAACCCCATTATCCTGCCCATTTATCATTGATTCGATTTCGTATCAAATGTGATGAACAAGCAGCAATTATCAGATCAAGCCAAGTCCATTAAGGACTCTGACATGGAACGTCATACTACGCAACTTAACGAAAAGATGGTAAGCTCTCTTTCGAGATGCATTGTTATGACTTGAATAGCTTGTCACTCTTTCTGCATATCAAAATAAAATCTTCACATACTGACGTTCGACCAAAAGAACTCATTACAGAGCACAATCACTAATCTCGAGAATCAAATTGCGACGCTGCAATCCCAATTGCAAGAAGCCACCTCAAAGCTAAGGTTGTTCCTACTATCTACTTTGCCATTCTGAGAGTTCATCGCGGGAAATGAACGATGGACAATGACGGACAACACACTGATAGAGAACAACAGATCCCCTAATGCTCCATCTCAGACAGTCCAGAACCACATCCGACTCCTGCACGATTACAATGAAATCCGGGATATAGGGCAAGGGCTGCTGAGCCTGATTGCGGAGAAACGTGGCGTTCGCTACAAGGATGTACTGGAGGAGTTTGGGGTTGATGCCAATGATTGATGGAGGGTGCCTGAGGCAACGAAGCGCACGAGTCATGCAAGCCTAACTTACACCATCGCTGGCTCAGCCCAGCTGGTTACAGTATGAGATATGAACGAACTGGATGTACGAGAAATGACAGATCTATCAAAGAAATTTAATCAAATTTCTTTCTTCCCTATATAGGATCGTTTAATAGGATATAAGATGGTCGTCTCGTTCTCGTTCTCATTTCCATGATCCATGGAAGTCGTTCACGCGAATAGTCCAATTTCATCCTAACTTTTCAGACCATTCATTCCCTCATACCTCTTTTTTTCTTCTGAAGTTTACGCTCGCTTGCCGTTGATTTCGATCAGTTTGACTTGGCTGTGAAAAGTTAGTAAATATACTCGAAAACTTCCAATGAAGCATGGGACGAGGGCATGGGAAAAGATGATAACCTACAAGATCAAGTCGGACTTGGGAGGAATAACTCCTGGGAAACCCCTGTTGTATCAAGCATGATTAGTAAATAATCAAAACTATTATCTCATGCATAGTTTAATATTCATATATGCAAGTAATGCTCGTGACTATTGCACGATGCGGGCATAGATGAGGCTGATTGAGATTTTGCGCATGAGCGTTTTATGAAAGGCCACCGATCCATGCCTGGCCACGTAGAGGGAGGGGGAAATGTCGGAGTAATGCGGGGAAATTATTGGCGTTGATCGTAAAGAAATACGAGAAATGGCTGCCCAATGCTTAATAATGCCTGGTCAATAGACGTACCTGTCACCGTAGGCGTAGCTCCTGTAGTTGCATAAAGTAATCAGCTAGGCTAAACTTATAATCAATTGGACAGAAACAAAATTCAAAGTGGAAATTGCGAGACTCCAATGGTTTTGCAATAACTGGTCTAAGAGATAACGACTTACGAGTCAATGGTCAAAATGGCCTCTTCACCGAGAGTCATGGACAAAACACCCTCATCCCAACCTGACAACCACACGGACAACAATCAACAATCATCCCCTTTTGTAACTCGGCGCATTACTCTCGGCAGGTAGTCCTACTCACCCTTGATAACCCGACCTCTGCCGATAGGTGTAGCCAATGGACCGCGGCCCTTGGAGGAGTCGAATCTGCCAATGACACCGAGGAGGTTAGCTTCACCGAGTTTTCGTCTTTTTTCGTCTTTTTTCGTCTCATAGGTATAGAATGAAAGACATACTCCTTTCCCTTCTCGTGGTCTGGGTTGCTGGGGTCTCTGAGCCAGCCGGTATAGTCGATCTTGACGTTGGCGCCGACTGCGGGCATATCAGTGCCGTTGCCGGGGGTGAGGACGGTTTTTTGCCAGCTCATGGTGATTGTAGAGATAAGGCGATTCTGTAGATGTCGAATGTAGATTGGAATAATGAGAATATATTTTGAAAGAAAGGAAAAGAGAGAGGAGGAAAAGAAAGAAGACGTTGTCTACTTTAAGTCTGGATGAATCGTGGTGGGGTTCGAAACTCTAAACAAATCCAAGATCAACAGCTCCGTGACTCCATCAAAGGTGGCGTTTCTTATGGCAATCTCGTGACGAAGAAGCTTATCTTTTGTCTGTCTTTGCTGGTTACACATGGCTCGACTATCTGCGAGCTTCATATACTGTAATAGGACGCAGTGACATGATCCTATCATTTGCGAAAAATGAGACCATCCCGATGAGGTATTTGCATTATCGTCCACGGCTATCGGACTGCGGTCTGACCAGTTCTATTAAACTCAAACGTGCCTAGATTTACATCTGGACCGGATGCCAACTGTGACATTGAATCTATAACATGCTGTGCGACAGTCTATGCACAGTCCAAAATGCCTAGTGCATAACAACTGCCAGATATCAGCAACCATCCTGTGCCAATCTCCTTTGCTGGCCAATGGCTACTCTATACACACCCCTGCAATCCGAGAAAACCGGTCCGAGGGCTTGTTGCTCCCGTGCAATTTTTACTTCTTTCATGGCATTGGTCCAGACTCCTTTTTATCCGGGTAGGCCGACGTTAATAAATTATTACAATCTTTTCGTGCGTGCATCAATAGCCACCCACGCAAGTCCTCTTCCTTCGTCTCTGCGAATCTACGCCAGTTGGCCCTAGTCTCCTCCAATAACCGTTCACGTGTCTTGCGCTGGGTGTTCGGCTGGTTCATGGAGCCTCAGCTTCTTGTAAACCATTATCACCTCATCCTGTGCCTCGGTCTGAGTCGTCAGGGCTGGCTAAGACCCTTGGTCCTCCCCCGTCTCAAATAGATACAGAAGCGACGAGATGACATACCACGGCTTTATGAGGCATCCAGTGCATTGGGAGGTGTCCATCACCATCACAAATAAAACCATCTTGGCTTGAATCCCAGAGCCACTATTGTCGAACAACGCTTTGCTTCTAATAACGTTCCACTTCTAATACGTGGAGCACTAATGTCCGAATAGAATCATAGTCCCCGGGGTCCTGTTAGTACTGACGTTGACGTTTTGCATCTTCAGTAATCTGACGAGATACCGATTCATCACTACCCGGAAAACGCCTAGCCAAGAACCATCTGAAGCCCCTGCTGCATCTGGATACCGTCTCGTAGGAATCTCAGGTGCATTCCCTATTTCACTTCCAGCAACGATGAATATTTGTTGCAGGCAGTATCTAGTAACGATAATCCCCTAGCCCCTCAATCAATGACCAGATCTTCGTGGGATCAGCTTCGTATAAATCACCAAGCGCTGGAGAAACACGGGAGGTCATCAACGCTACTACACGCCACAGCAATCTTGAATGGATCATGATGATCAAGACATCTTGTATGTCGTTGCCTTATATAACGATTTAGAATTGCCACGTCGTTCCGTCTGATTTCATGCTAGATAAGACGCCATCACCCTTGACCAAGTAGAGAGGTCCTCCATTAGTGTCAAGAATACCCCCGAGATCGCCCCGAGAAGCGCGGAAATCACTGTGCCATAGTTAGCAAATGGATACTTTTGATGCCAGGATTACAGGGGGTAGATCGGGGTCAACCCCGCCACACGGATCATCATGAAGCGGGGAACTTCATAATACGTAAGGCGTCAAGCTTATCGAGATTCAATTGTTCAGATACTTTATTCCAAAAGGGAATTCTATTTCAGCGCAGTAAAACGCAAAAGAAGAAATCCAGAATCCAACCAGAATTTAGCCATGCACGATCCCTGTGCTAAGTCAAACATACAGGGAGTATAAACGAATCAGGAAATGCCTCTTCTTCGAGACACCCCAATGGAGACTTTATACTCGGTTCAGACGAACTAGATATTTTGTGCATTTCTTCAGGCTATCAGTGCAGTGCGCCAATTCCCTTTCTGGCGCTGTAACCAGGGTAGAAATACAACATGAGGCATGGGACAAGGCAGTAGGACGTGACACATCAACTGCAGAGATAGTCACTTGCAAAGATAAAACATAATTATATCCTATCATGGTTCCTTGAAGAGACACAGACCCCGTTTGTGCATTACATCTCTCCCAGAACCGGATTTTCCATGTATGTACACACGAGCCACGATTTTTCGGACATCTTTATACTAGTTCTCGATAAAATGGCTTCTGTTTGAGCGCCCCAACAGAGACAGAACGGATCCTTACCGATGGGAATCGATCGTCGAATGTCGCGTCCTCGTCCGAAAGATCAAGGTAATGTATGACCGTTATGCCAGTCTGTTCTATAAATTCCAGTACTTGCCGATACCCAAAGCCGACTTGATCGATGCCATGGCTATCATCGGACATGCAGAAACGACCACCCATTGCCAGAAACTCCTATCCTCAGCAAAAAAAAAATGAGCTATTAATCTCAAGAAGTGGATTTGAGTGGAAACTTACTTTGCAAATCTCCCCCTTAGGATACGGCTCTGTCATCCCTTTCCTCAGCGCCGCCGAGTTCAGTTCCAGCATACCTCCATACCCAGCAATAAACCGAAGATTACGCAGAATCTTCTCCCACACTTTCGGATACTTGGCAAAACTTGCGTTTGGATCATCACTTTTCAATCGAATCAAATCAAAATGTCCAACAACCGGTGGCTTCAGCTTTTGTAACATGTCTAGTTGACTGTCATAGTAATCTTCAAATAAGCGCTCGTCAGTTCCACCTGCTATTTCTCGTGCTTTGTGGTACATGGAAACATCGTAGTCGATTGGGATTGTGTGTACATGATGCACGGACCCAACGAAGAGTTCGAATGGTAGACGAGATAGAGATGTTTGAATCAGTCTCAAGGACTCGGGTCGTATCCAGTCAATTTCAAAGCCGATGAGGAGTTTGATTTGAGATGCATATTTCTGTCGTAATCTCAGTCCCTCCGTATAAAAAGCTGCCTCGTTCTCAATAAGCCATTCCTCCGTTGACAACCCATCCGTTTTCTAATTCGAGATTAGCAGATGAAACGCAGAACAAAACAGGGCGACAAATACCTCTTCGGGATAAAAGTCCTCTTTGCCGCGTGGCATATGTTCTGTTAAACAAAACACTTCCATCTTCTGTGCAATGGCTGTCTGTATGACTTCTTCTAAGAGATTCTTTGCATGCCCGGGGCAGAATTGCCCAGAATGGCTGTGATGTGAGAACGGCATGTCTATCTGAAACGAGAGTGTAGATAAGCAGTCGACACTTTTACTTGCAATAACACGCCGAAAAAATGACTTCTCTATCCTGTTATTGGCGCTTATCGTTGTTAGAGTCACGGATTTCACAAGGAAGTGGGGTTAGATGACTTCTTACCTTGGTAGAAATAATTGGCAATAGTAATGGATCTTTCTGAAGGATATTGATTGCTGGCAGTCAATAACATTTAAGAATAATGATGGCTGCGAGATCCGTGTTGCGATACCTGGAGAAGTGGCATAAGAACGGAACTCGGAGGCGTACAGTCTATCCAGTAGGCGCGGCCGGACCCGCCATGTGCCATGACTACCGAGGGTTATACAAGCCACAATCATATTGATATCGACGGTAAGCTGTGAATATCAGAAAGATCATATAGCTCTACCGATTGGCAATATCAATCTCCCGCAGCAAGCACCGTAGCAACTACGTAGTCACCATCATGCGAAATAGACAACTTGCCCAGCCGACTTTCATGTCCATTCAGATAGATGATTTCCGGTCTGCTACTTCCAGCAGACGACGCCGGGGCAGCTCTCACAAGCACGTCCTTCCAACTGACAGAAGTCGCTCCTCCAGGCGCCGCTTTGCGTGCTGCTTCCTTTGCCGCGAATCGTCCGGCTAGCCAGCGCGCCATTTCAGTTGTAACGGGGATACTAGGCTCTTGCTCAAGAGGAGTAGGATTGTGCAATCCAAATCGGGCATGGAAATCTTGTAATTCCTGAGGGCAAAGTATGCGTCGGGTGAATTTGTGTAGGTATGCCGTATTGCTTCTCGAGCCACGTTGGGTTAGAAGACGATATATGCGTGGTAAGTGGACTACATCGGTTCCAATGTTGAGGGCATACGGGAACGGTACCGGTTTCATGGTGAATTGCAAAAGTGGACAGGAGGTACAATTGCTTTGCCTTGGTTTATTGGCAGGGTGAAAATGCAAGTGACAAGACTTCAAGCAGCGGATAGCATCAACATGTGCTCGGACCAATCATGACTCTTAGCTAAATTAATAGGGATTCCTTGATATTGAGCAGTGTAATTACTTTCAAGGCCTTGAAAATTATATATGGTGCCATTCTAGATTCTACCATACAATGCATACAATCTATTACTCAAAGGGCTAGATAGTAGCCGTGCCAATCCGTATATTATCCCAGGTACAATAACGAAATGATTCGTTCTATGGGTGATGATGATATAAAGTTGATGACGATGTAGATTTTATATGTACAATTCCCTCAGCAGTACTTGATGATAATAAACAATCCCAGGACTGCCAAACATTCGGAAGTTTTTCACAGGCGAATTCCCCCGGTAGACCAACCTTCGACGATCACGCTGATAATGCTCGGCCTTTTCTCATGATAAAATCGACATCGCGGTTATAATACAGACTCGTCACGAAAGATGAGGAGATTAGTGTTGTGCTTTTTGTTCGCCTTCAACGCTCTTGAGGAAGTCCCTATATGGAAAATGGTTAGCATCACACTTCCGACAGATGACGAGATGTTGTGTGCGGAATCAAGTAATTGGGAGCATGTAATTCAAAGTCATCCGATAGAGAAATAGACGTACTGAATGAACTTTTCCTCATCCTTGGATCCGGCGTTAATGGGAGGTGTTTGCACCTGCTTTTTGCTACCACCGCTGGAAGCAAGGTAGATACCGCCAAAGAGACCACCGAGAATGCCCATGGCAAGCTATATCGCAACAACACATGTCAGTCAATTCCGAGACTCTCAATAATCAAGTGTCCAGACTGCTCTCTTGACGTAACCAAAAGGGATGCGTGGCGGCGAAGGACAGAAGAACGTACGTGGTGGGAGCCAATCTTGCGGCCGGCAATGTTGTAGTAGTTAACCATGGTGAATGAGTAATCCGGTTGGGGTTTCTCGAACAATTGGCGAGTTGTATATCGAGTGAATCACGGTGCAAGGGAAGTATCGCATATCGAAGAAGTCGCTGTGTTTCCTCTGAAGTTATGTGCTTGGCACGCTATTCCTGATGCAGACCTAGCTTTTATAAATAATCACGTGATGATCTCCCGACTACTTCCGCTGCCAAGCTCGGTTTCTCCGAGGTAGATTTCGGGAGGCTAGTCCCAGGTAGGCTAGCTCTTCACTGAGGTCATTGTCTGGGAATCGGCAATGCGGAGCATCGAGCTTCACTCTCTCAATTTTGGTTGATGGAAAGGGGATTATAAAGGGAAGTTGTGTGCCACTTGAATACAAATACACCTCATATTTTTGCCGAAAAACTCGAAATCTCATTGTATGGGTGTCATCTTGCGCCTACTTCCGGATCCCCGCATTTGTATACTACACTACAATACCGTATGCTATATCCGACATTCCTGACGCTTAATAAAGTCCTGCATACCGAACTGTCCGACCGTTCTTTGAATTCGTTCTTACAAATACTGTGACTTGTGAATATATCGCTGTCTGCTCAAACCGATAGAAAACATCAAGTTCAACATCATGTTCTGGGGAAAAGACAAAAGCGACAGTGACAGCGACGAAGTTCCCCGTGTCCGTGAGGAGTCTCGTCCAGAATCCTTGAGAAGCCAGATACCACGCCAGAAGCTCTCTCGCGATCTACAGAAACTCGTCGACCGGGAAGATGACTACTATGACGAATTATACTCCCCATAGTAAGTTCTTTTCGCGCCGCTCAAAGCCAGCGCTTACGAAAACTGACAATCGGGTGAAGTTCTATCGATTCCACAAACACCAAGTTCAGATATGCGGCCTACGTCAATCGAATAAGAACCATCTTGCTATCCGCCCACCGCTATGTCGCTTATACTTCAGATATTGGCGAATCGTTTCGTCCTGTCGCGCATCCGTATCTTGTTCGAGGTGCCTATGCCATTTCATGGACATATATCCTCGGCGATGTAGGCCACGAAGGATACAAAGCTTATTTGCGTAATCGGCGAGCAGTAATTCCCCCCGGAGAGGCATATAAGGATGCCACAGACCTGAAAGCAAACCACGTTATGCTGGGAATGGCTACTGGAAACATTGGCGGTCCTTTAACATCAGAATCTGGACCACGCACCGAATCGGAAGGTGGTGATAAGTCAGATCCGTTGGTTCCATGGGCGACAACACGTATCCCATTGATTGATGATTACCGAATGGTTATGGCAAAGCGTGCTGTTTTCCAGAGTATCGCGAGTATGGGATTACCTGCATTCACTATTCACTCTGTTGTGCGATACTCGGGCCGCGCTCTTAAGAATTCGAAGAACACGCTTATTCGCACCTGGGGTCCAATCGGCGTAAGTGACCCGGTCTTTTGGTTGAAAGTAACCCGCTGACATTCATACAGCTGGGCTTGAGTGTTGTCCCCATGTTACCATACCTCTTCGACGAGCCTGTCGAGCATGCCGTGGAGTGGTCATTCGAGAAATTATGCCGTGCCATTGAAGGCGAGCAAGCAGTTACGCCATCACCTGCATCTCGAGATCTACCAGCAGACCAGGCATTGCCGCTGAGCCAGGTACTTGCTTTGCAAGAACAAAAGAAACGCCATGAGGGAGATATCGAGCCTTCCTGGGAAGAATATAAAGCAGATCGACAACGTGAAAGAACTGAACGTAAATCGAGCGGTGGAGTGAGTGGTTGGTTCGGATTCGGCAAGGAAAAAGACGAGTAGGTCCATAGCTGTGGAATCGGCAAGGGTGGTCATTTGCATATTCAGCGTTTCATATATCTCCTGTCTGGAAATATCTCCTTACACATTTCCATTCTCATATTGTACAAATATCAGCAGCTGCTGTATTATTCTTGCGTTATCGTTTCTCTTGTGTACGATTCGGATACCATTATTAGATATTTTGCAATGTATATCGAGTAGTATAACACAGTGAAGAAGACACGATATAAACGTGCATCAGACTCATATATCTCATATTGAGCACCGCTTGATTGAAGAAAGAAAACAACGCCATCCAACTCCGACTATACATAAATGCACTTTTGTTCATAACAGGGGAAAAAAAGGTCAAGCACCGAACTTCCTACTCCTCCGTTCATTCGCCCTCATCTTCCTCTCATTCCGTTTAATTCTCTCCTTCCTCTCCGCTCTACCCATAGTACGCACATTCGTCTTCCCTTCAGCCTCATTCTTCCATTCCTTATCAGGAACTTCCACAACCCAATCATTTTCGCCAGACTTGTTTGCGCCCTTGAACCCCCATCGAGGCACCCATTCACCGCTCGCTTCGTCATAGACGAGTTTCTTGCGTCGTTCCTTTTCGGCAAGAGCGGCGCCCGGTTTGCTGCTGTATTTACCGATTCCTTTCTTGCGGGCGAAGAGTTCCCATTTCGTCGGTTCTTTGGGTTTGGGTCTGTTGATGGGTATGTTAGCTTTTGTTTTTAAGAGTGGATGAGGAGAGACAAACAGGGGTTTGTATCGAGGGAGTAATGTATTAGGAGGAGGGAGAGATAATAGAACGCCATCTTTAGCGTTTGAAGTTACAGGGCATGTAGTCTGTACAGCCCATCCAAGATCAGTTCACTGTCTTCTTTTCATAGTGCGAGGCGAACATACAAGAAGTTGATTGAGCAGTACTTGCGCACCATCTCGTGCCACAGCTTTCAGGCTGTTATTAACACTTTCTGATTTGGATATCACGAGCGGATTAGGATCTTGTGCGAGAAGGTGGCCGAGATCGAATGTATACGGATTTTCTTTGGTGACGGTAATAGGCCTGGAGAGGTTAGAGATATGAAGGCCATTGAGAATTTTTCTGGACTCACAACTTGGTATTCTTCGGTTTGGCAGTGTCAACGTCCATCATCTCAATAGTAGTAGCCATGATTGAATGCTCAAATACAATGTGTGGTGTTGAACCAATATCGAATCGATTTTTTTTGTCTGGACTGATAAGTCGAGCTTATCAGAAAAAAGTGGACAATTTCCTGAGCCGCTTTATGTCAGCGTCGGATTATTGAAAGCGGCATCGACACTTTACCTGTTTAGGTTTTTCTGCTTGGCACTTCCGTTCTCCCAAGTTTCTCGTGATCGTAAATTGAGGCCTCAGCTACCACCACTCAGCATACCTGGTGCAGCGCCCATTGACCGTTCCTTACGAGGGGAAAGGTCGTCAATAGCACCACACAATGGTTTCCCAGTTATGCTGGGGTTGTCTTTCGACAACGGGGCTTCGCCAAACATCGCGAGCCCTGTTGCATCCCCAGTACCGTCAATTGGCCGCAAAAACAACCACGTCACTCTTCTCCACGAGCGCAATTCAATATGCGAACCCTCTACAAAAGAAATCAAGGAGCATGGAAGGCTCCCCGAAATTCCGTGAATCGAAATCCGCACGAATGCGAAAACCGAAAAAGGCTACAACAGATCGTGGCCGGCCACCGCTCGTCGGAGAACGAAAAGCTCTTAGAAAACGGATTGTATTGAGTAACACCAACGCCCTCGAGGTTCCCGGTATGCAGGAATTTTCCGAGGAGACGATGGTTGATTCTCGAATTCGTGGGTCGGTGCTGGCGTTGCCTGTGCCTATGATTACTCAATTGAGGGCTCTACAGGCTTTTAAGCCTTCTCAGGGCTGGTCACTTTTCCGTCGACCGGGAGTTGTTTTGAGACGTGAGACGTTAGAGATGGGCCGAGTTTTTGAGGGTATTTCTACCGAGGGTCCTGAAAAGGGGAAAGTGGTGAAGAAGATTCTTACGGGGAAGAAAGCGAGCGGAAAGAGTGTTCATTTGTTGCAGGCAATGGCTATGGCACTTTTGAAGAAATGGGTTGTTATTTCTGTTCCTGAGCGTGAGTATCTTCTGTCCGCTCCAAGAGAAATGGATAAGTTATAAAGGTCGGTGGTTATACTAACACGTTGATTAGCACAAGACTTGGTCATTGCTCAAACCGCATATGCACCTATCCCCGACACGAATCCAGTGCAATATGTTCAAGAACAAGCAACATCCGAGCTTCTTCAACGCACCGTCCTCGCTAATGAGGAAGTCTTGTCAAAACTGCATGTGGCCCTGGAACATCCCGAACTAAAATCCCTCATCCGACCAAAAATGACTCTAGACGAACTTGCTCGTTTAGGTATCCAAGACGTCACAATTTCCTGGCCTGTATTCCAAGCTTTCTGGGCCGAGCTTAATGCCACTGCACCACCTACCAAGGATACAGACGACAAGGCCAAATCATCATTCGAACCTCGCCCCCCCGTCCTAGTAACAGTGGACGGTCTATCCCACTGGATGCAAGACTCCAAATACCGCAACGCAGACTTCAAGCCCATTCACGCTCACGACCTCGCCTTTGTCAAGCACTTCCTTTCTTTACTCCAACCAGCATCATCCAACAACAACAACAACAAGCCCCAACTACCCAATGGCGGAATCCTGCTGTACGCAACATCAGGTTCAAACAATCCCTCAGTCCCCAGTTTCGATATCGCACTAGACCAACTCGCAGCTCGTCAACAAGGGATTGCGGAATCATCAGCGGATTTCCCTGAACCAGATCCATATGCAAAGATTGACAATCGGGTTCTGAATCTTTTCAAACAAGCATCTACCTCTAAATCGTCAAGTTTGGAGTTGCAGACGCTTGGTGGTCTAAGTCGCAGTGAAGCACGTGGTTTCATGGAATATTTCGCGCGAAGTGGTATCTTGCAAGAAAAGATTACTGAGGAATGGGTCAGTGAGAAATGGAGTATTGCCGGTGGTGGAATTATTGGTGAAATGGAGAAGTTGGGGAAGAGATTGAGGACTGTTTTGTAAAAGCAATATATAAAGTTGTTGCTTATGGGGGTTATGTAATTGTATTATTATGGTTTGTTTTCATTACTTCTATTTTGTTCACTGGATACATTGTATGATGAATATATCACGTGCATTTAGACTGGTCTTTCTTTTTCTCGGTTGCAGCGTGTCAAGTCATATAGTATGGACATGGACTCCAAGTGAAACCGTGCATCAAAAATTGATGTCGACTTGGTTCGACATATCTCATGACATAGTCGATGCGAGGGCATTAACGAATACAGCCCCAGGCGCGATGATGATCCTTTGGTATGTCGACTTAGATGATTTTGATATTGACCGGCAATGAAAAGAGAAGACTTTGTTATCGTATGGTGAGAGTGTCATATCCGCAAGACTGCGCCTGTCAACGCAGGGGATGCTTTCATGAAGCATTACGTCTCGAGGATCGGAAGAAAGTAGTTGAGAGAACGATGATATAGCATCTAGTCATGAATTCTCCGGTTTCCGCGCCGTCACAAATCGCACAGAGATAGTCAAGCCCTCAGATGTCATTAACTCCTGCTTCACCTTCTCGCATAGATCCCGTACTTCATCCACTTTCCATTTTCCAGTGGCGGTCAGTGACCGCAGACTCCTCGCCTCAAGTCCCTCCAGACATGCAATAAGAACCATCTTGCCCAACGTACTTTGCCGAAAATCTCGCGGCCATACTCCCACCGGAACAATTACATCCTGAACATTGACATCCACGAACCCAATGGACGTTAATAACGAGCGCTCCAAATGCTCCCTACCACGCGGATACCCCAAGGAATCGGCAGCATTCCGCATAGCAGAGACGAAGATATTATAGTAAGAATCTGGGTTTGGAACTGCGAACCTCAAATTATCGGCCGCTGGATCACTTTCCACTATTTCGATGTATCCTCCTGGTTGGAGGTGCTTGAATGCCTGCTCGTACACTCCCCGCCAATCTCTGAATGCGCCTGACATGCCGCGGAAATGGATATAGTTGAATGGCTTGTGATATGTCCATTCATCCTCGGCATCATCGAGTTGGAAGTGAACGTTGGGAAGACTAATGATCGCAGGACCTCCATCAAAGACGCTAATGTCCGTGGCGATAATCTCTGTGTTTGGATATCGCTGTCCCATTTCGACGGCCCAATCCCCTGGTCCAGTACCTACGTCCAACACACGACCAGGTCCTTCTGGTGGCAGGGGTGCTTTCGTCAATTCGCCATCTAGCAAGATCAGAAATGCTTGATGGACGATACTGAGTCGGGTTTGCTCGGGCTCGTCATTTGGCATGAAGTATATTTCGTTGCAGTATCTGCGTCCGTTTTCGTAGATAGGTTGGAGAGTTGAGTCTGATGGTGTGGACGTTCTGCTATTTGTTTGTTAGTTATATTTCGCACATTTTTACGTGTGGTATATGGATCATTGGTATTATATTAGGGTTTTCCTACATTGATTCTGTGCCATCAACTCCATTATTATCGTCATCGCTGTCGACTTGCTCGCCGCGTGTGTCGAGTTCAGATTTCACCATGACCAGCTTCTGATCGTCACGTTTCACAGATGGTACTCGAGAGTTGATGCGGGTAAACGGGGGGTGGAAGGTGTGATTTTATATTTGACGAGGGTAAAGTAGACATGTATTCTTTCTTCCAACGAGACTGCGTGGTTGGCAAGAAGATCAATCTGACTGAGTGAGAGTAGGAGTAAGTAAAAGTGAAAGATATTCTCGCTCGGACGAAATTGAAAGCAGGAAGGAGCAATACAATATACATGGAGAAGCACACAACCAATGAGAGCGATGCTAGTATATAATACCAGCCAATATTAACTAAATTATTTATAACACGCTTTTTCCCTCTGTAGTTGTCTGATTACTTCCCCAACTCACTGGGTAACCCCAACTCTTACACTCATGTGTAGTAACAGTTATGGTTAGTACTTAACAGACCGAGTGTCTTGTACAACCTCGTATCAACCTGGTTTCAGTGATGCCAACGCACAAGTGACAGGTCAGGGATAGCGGTACCGACACAGTGGAAACGGCAGCGGGAACTGAGAGCCTAATTTTGATTGAGCGGGGCGTGCTCTACGCCGGAACAAGCAGCTGTCCGGCCAGTTCCACTGCCACGGTAGCAGGCCAGACATTGGGAGTTGGGATAGGTTGGGTGAACTCTCGTCAGCCATGCAGTACGTGCACATACGAGGAGTACCCTTCAAGAAGAACGCAATTTAACAATATTGAGAAGTACGTAAGACCAGACTCGGAGGATTTACGCTGTTACACTGGATACTACGGAGTAATATCAGACGTGGCTCGTGTAGAGGCCCGTGGGAAAAGGAACCTGGGTCCGAGGGAATGGTTCGAATGACGTGGACGCCCTGATTTTATTCTTAATTATTAGAGTAAGCCTAGGATTCAGGAGTGACACGAATCATGCAACGCTGTGGCAGTCCTTGACATGACATAACTGACTTAGCGGATTCAGGGGTAAAAAAGTACGGAGGATAGTCCGCGTCTAGGGTTAGGGTTATTCGTTGAAACACAGAAGACCAGGGAGTTAAGCATTCTGATCATCCATGCAGTTTCTCAGTGTCGGACCCCATTTTTTCGGGATTTAAACTACCAGTCTAGTCCTTGGTTCGGAACGACATGTTCCCGAATATATAACGAAATGGTACAAAAATCGGAGGTTTTCCTGGGTCCCTGAAAAAGGGGGCTCCAGCTCTTTTCAATGTTGTGTTTTTAAACTTTTTAATTACTATTATCATCCAGCGTACTTATTTCTTTACCAGTCTTATCGGACGCCTTGTCTTGCGTTTTTGGAGATGAGGAATGGGGTTACATTTTATTATGTTCTGTCCATCTCGATAGAACGGAGGTAACTCGATACTCTTTGTGGCAATACCAATAGCATTCTGAGAATGAGATAGCAGGACTACATGCCATCAACCCATTTTCAGCCAACTCAATCATCCTCCTCCTCCGGATCAAAAATCTCCCCCGCAGGAGTCTTATCCAACTGCACCCTATCCTCCGTGATAATCGGCAAAGCCGGTACAACAACCGCAAAGACTCTAGCCACTGTCTCGCCCCGGTTCACCCAAGCATGATTCACACCCCTGGTGACGATAACATCATGTTCCTTGAGCGTCTTCTCTTCCCCGCCATCAGTAATAAATGTAACAGAGCCACTGAGGACAACGCAATAATCCAGACTGAGCGTGCGATGCATCCATCCTCCTTCCTGGTGGGGAGGTAGATCGATAATTCGTGCTGAGGGACCTTTTGTGTCTGCGAGGGGTACAAGGGTTCTGTGCGGATCGTTGTTCTCTAACGGACGTTGATTGTCCGCGGGGAAACCGCGTGTGCGATGGAGTTGGATTACGCCGAATGCGGATTTTTCAGTTGGAAGGGAGAATTCGGGCGCTGTTGTGGGATCGTAAGGTGTAAGAAGGTCGTCGGAGGCGAAGTAGCCGTTTCCTTTGGGGTCACTTGCGGTGAGGACGCGGCGGATTGGCGTTGATAGGTTGGTCATTTTGTTTGTATATTGAAGAATAGATGCCTGGTAGTCGATAGAATGATGAACGAAATCGATATTCCTGAGGAAGTCGCATCTTAAATACATTTTGAATCTGATCAAGTCGACCTCAGTCAACAAACTGATTTGTAATGCACAGCTCCATGCGGTCATACATCGCCAATAAAACGCACAAGGAGAAGAATATACGAAGGATTGGGGCTGTATGCTTTGAAATCGAAGTTTCTTGTTGTCTTCCTAATCGGATCATATTGAAGCAAATGTCTGATTGGCCAAAGGAGAGGTTAAACTCGTGGGGCACTTGCAGGGGTCGGGAAGCCAATCATTCGATCAGACCCACTTTTCTTATTTTTTATGTTGTGATTGGCTCACTTGATGAATACTAACTGATTGAAGACTAGTTAGCTAAGATCATCGTCAATTTGTCGTCAACGTCTTCAGACTTCTAAGTTACCTGCAATAGTCCAACAATTCTTGAACATCCTAACAGGTTAGTCGTGGCCGAATATTTCCTGAGAAATCAGTGTGAAGTGTACAAGCGTTTTTTGACGTCACGAAGTCCGGTTATTTCAACTGAGCAGCCCCAGTTCTAGACAATCCGGATGATCAATGCCACCCAGCAAGAGTCACCGAGATATTGACCACCGTGTTAGTGAGGAAGTACTCACAACTTAGACGATTCGCGGAACTAAAGGAAATGGGCTTTGTCAAGAGACTTCCGCTATTGACAGGGGGCTAGGTCCAGTAGAATATCTGCAGAACTACAGGGTATCAACCGGTTTGTCAGCCATTACTCTCAACATTATTTGTAATGTAGCATCTAAACTCAAATATACCAGAACATTCCAACTGTTAATTCCTAAACACTCAGTTATAGAAAAGGACGAGTATTTCTCGAATCTCTTTGCCTTGTTGCATATAGAACCACGCCAGCCAATCAGCAAGTTTGCCTGAGAACCACATTAATTTTTCCATCGAACATCTCGAAACGACGAAACAACATAAACACGAAACATCGCCATGAGTCTTTGTCAATACGTTGAATAAATCGAGAAAGTGCAGCTATTGCCCGGAAATATGTATAAAAAAAACTAGACACAGAAACCTACAAAGCAAACCCACTCGCTCTACAACCAGACGGAAAAAAGGAGAAGAAGAGACAAAAATGTCCACTCAAATCTACAAATCGCCAAACCGATTCCTCTTCATCGCGTCAATCGGCAATCCAGCACCATACACCGAAACGCGGCATAGCGCAGGTCATTTATTACTCGACGCCATTCAACCATATTTACACGAACGCGTCGGCTTATCATCCGCAGGAACAACAGCAAAATCATCAAAATCAATATTTTACTCAACATGGAAATCCCCATCGTTGATGAATGTATCCGGTCCGCCCGTCCTGCGACAATTCAAGACCTGGCTCGCTGACAGAAGAAAATATTTCGACTCTTTGAGTACTCATAGCCCCGAACAAAATATGCAACTGCGACTACTCAAATCATCCTCGGAATCAATAACAATTGATACCCGCGGTTTAACGCAGAGGTTTCGACCAACTCTTGTAATACTTCATGACGAACTGGAAGCTAGGCCGGGACAGATCAAGATTCGTCGTGAAGGTCCTCAACAAGCTAGTGTTAGAGGTCATAAAGGGTTGATCAGTATTATGGAGAGTTTGAGGGGAGCTGGTCTTCTCTCTTCTTCTTCTTCTGCTAGTAAGAAGTCGATGGCTATTCTTAGGATTGGGGTTGGGATTGGACGGCCTGAGAGTCGGGAGCGGAATGCGGTGGCGGATTATGTCTTGTCGAACATGGGAGTGCAGGAGATGCAGGCACTGAGGGAGGCGGTGCCAGAGGTTGTGGAGGTGTTGGTTCAGGAGATGTATAGGAGGGATGATGATGAAATTGCCATATAGCTATGTACTTTTAGTTTGTATATTAGATAATGTTCATAGCAATTTATTCCTAATTACTACAATCGTACCCTTCTCATATCGTATGGACTACTAAACAGTCCCTGCAATACTCAAATCCCTAATTTCCTGCAACACCTGCTCAACCTTATTATCCAAATCCCCATTCGCATACTGATCCCTCGTATCCGCATCCAGATACTGCTGCACCTGCGCCATCCTCGAATACGCCTCTGCACAAAACCTCAACTGAATTTTGACCAGCGCCTCAAAACTGGGATCCAAATACGGGACTCGCAAATCGATCAATTGCGGCAATTCAGTGAATAATTGTTCATTCAATTGTTCATAAGCCTGTTTTGCCATTTCGGTTTCTCGCTCGGCGCGAGGAAGCTTTGTGGCGTCCTTGTCCGGTTTTTCGACTAGCTTTTTCACTTTGGCGCGCATTGAGTCGTAGTCGAGGAGTTTGTTGTTGCGCTTTTTGATGCATTCGTTGATGTCGGGAAAGTATGCGCAGAAGCGGGAGATGGGTTCTAAGACAGTTGTTCTATTTTCTTAGTCCTCTCCCTCAGCAATTGGTTGGATAGGTAGACATACCGATATGGTCCGTCCAGCGCTTTAATGGTCTCGGCATCTAGATCCTCGACAGCCTGCTTGTAGCTTCGACTCACTCCGTCTCTGGCTCCGGCATCTCCGTAAAAGGCGTCGATCGTTTCTGCAATTCGCATTTGTGATGCAGTCATTGCTATGACGAGATTAGATTGTGTCACCTTAAGAAATAATAAAAAAAATACCTCGTAATGAATCAAGATATCCCTTCGCTTCCTTTTGTAGTCGATTAACAGCCGTCTCCATCGTTCGATATCGTCTATCACCTGTTAGACCTGCTCATCAATCTTGAGCAACCTTCAGCATAAAGAATCACCTCTCTTCAATCTCATAATCGCGATCATTCGTTTTCTCGACATGACCTATACCCTCAACGTCAGCTACTATCAAAACGACACAATGGCGGGGTCAACGGACCCGTCTTCATCATAACCTGCGTCGTAGCGCGGTTGACATTTTTCTTGAATCCTGTTCATGATATAAGCGTCAATCTCCATCTCATCTTAAAAACTGTTTGTGTTTCAACGAATCCGACATGTCCGGCGAACAAGCGCAAGAACGGGACGGACTGGACTGACCTGACCACGACATGACTGCGGCAGCGACGGATACTAATCGTCAACAAGAATCGAAAAAGGAAACCGGAAATATTAGAAGCTTTTAATTAAAAGAGGATCGATATCCTAACGCAGAACGAGAAGCGCAAAGAACGTAAAGTGTATGGTGAATGGTGAATGGAAGTCTGGCTACGAACGTACGTAGTGGAACAGGCTGTGCCCTGCTGCCTTAAGCTTGCCGTGGCGCAGCCATTGTATCACGTATTGTAACGTTACGCTCTGTATCAATACGTCGTCTACGTCATATTCCGGAAGCATATATCCAGGCAGATATTCATTCAATCGATAAAAGTACAAAATAGCAGACAATCCCCTAAATATATATATATATATATGCAGTAACAAAAACAAACTCGCTTCAAAATGCTGCAACGTCAGGTCATGAATGGTCGCGGTATAAAACCTGTGTGTCGTTGGAAAGGCAAGAAAATGGAGTATAATATGTATGCAATAAAATAAACACGAAGTGAAAACGTCGTTTCCATCTGTAGCGCATGCGCATCGCTAATAGAGTCGTATCAGTCATGAAACCGAGCCTATGCACGAGGTCCTAATCAAAGGACTAGAATAGAAGAGACGAAAAGAAGAAGAAAAAGCAAGATCAATGAAGCTCGGTACGCCTAAAGTAAAATACAGGCACGAGAATCGGAAACAAATGGTTCAAAAAAGTTCAACTCTCCCGCCATGGAAATAAAAAAAGTAAGAGAAAAAAGAACCACCAGTCTAGTGTTCTGGGGAAACCGCTCTGATATATCACAAATACTGGCCTCCCACTAAAGAATAGAGTCAAATGGTATGAGAAGAGGGAAAAGATACTAATGGAGTCGTTACTGCTGTCGTGATAATGCCATAAAATTTTTTTTTTGGTTTCGTCGGAGTCAAGGTAAAGATTGAAGAGGTATCAGTAGCCTTCTTCGCCTGCTTTGCACAGCTTGATCTCACGGACCCATTCCGACTTGAGCACCTGGGATGCAGTTATCCGCCGGCCAGGGTTGGGGTCAAGAATCGAATAAATCACGTTGCGACACCGGGCCTGGTATATATTGTCAGGAAACAAATTCCCCCCCCCCCCCAAAAAAAAGATAAAAAAACAAAGGTCTCATACCCGATGCAAAGTTTCAATCGGCGCATAGCCATCTTCATCCCGACGACCCTCAAGGTAACGTTCGTAAAACTCATCTTCATCCTTGCGCGCAACTCGCCATAGATGACGGCCCGTCCTCATGGCCATATAAATGACTCCAGTAGCCCAAACGTCGACAGCCCGGGGATCGAATTCTTTGTCTGTATATTCTTCAGGCGCGATATAAGGAGCTGATCCACAGAGACCGGCAGTCATGTGTGCCTGCGTCTCCCAGGCCATACGGAAGCATTCACCGTTGCCGAAATCAGTAATCTTCAGAGCTCCATGAGTGGTCAGGAGGAGGTTTTCGGGTTTCAAGTCACGATGCGCAACACCCATTTCATGCATATATTCAACACCGCGCATCAGCTGTTTGAAGAAACAATCTGCTTCGGCAACCTCAAGCTTGCCTGCAGCCAAAACCAAAGTATACAAATCACCACCAGCGCAATACTCCATCACTTCACAGTAATCACCTTTCGCATCCTGTAAAAGATCCAGCGTGTGTATTACATTTGGGTGTCGCAGAGACGAGGAGATGCAGAATTCTGAAGTAAGTCGTTTTTGGTATTTCTTGGATGTTTCCTGTGGTCGGCGTCTGAATTCCTTGACAGCATACAGCTGCTCCATCTTGGAATCATTCGGGTCCACCTTGTGCGAAATTCGCACTATACCGAAAGCACCGCGACCAACAATCTCCTGACATTTTCCGTATTTATCGACCAAAGTCGCTGTAGCGTTGGGGCCGCCCTTTTTATCCTGTGCCAGTTTCTCGCGTTCGCTTTTTAACTGATCAATCCAGCTCGATACCAACGATAACTGCTGCTGATCGTCGACATGGTCTTCTTTCTTCTTCCCGCCTCCCAACATATCTCGAAGGAGACCGCTTAATTTTTCCTGTCTCTTTGTCCCCTTGAGGTGATGCAAATGCGATCCGTCCGGCAACATCTCAAAACGCCTGTGGACGGGTAAATCCTTCTCTTTCGTACTCTTTGGCTTCACGATACCGTCAGCAGGTCTGTCGGGAGGCAATGAGGTCTGGTTAGTCAAAGATTGAGGCGCGGTCCGGACAATGCCATTAGCGGAGGGCTTTGCGCCATCAGAACTAGACTCGGAGCCAGCATCCTTGTGACCGTCGGTTTCTGCCCTGGGATTGACCGTCTTTCTGTCGCTAAACATTCGGGTTAAGCGATGGGCCATTGATGGTTTTGCTGTCTTGGCTTGCTGCGGCGTCGGGAGAACCTCGCCAGATGACGGCGCAGAGAGGCGCATGTCATCTAGGGCCCGGGTTACCTGGTGATCCCCATCATTGCGATCTGTAGATGCGATAGAGGGTGCTGCCGAAGAGACCGTCGAGGAAGGAGCAGGAGAAACGGCTGGAGGATTCATGTGAGACTCGATAACGTCGCGCACAGCGGCGCCTTCCACGCGGTTGTAGAAGGATATGTGTGTGGACCACTGGTGTATTAGAAATCAGAAAGCGAAGACTATAGTCGCCACCGCTCTAAACGAGAACAAAACAAAAAGAAAAATAGTCGAAAAGTGTCGCGGATCCCAGAGATGATGTGAAATAAGAATTGACCGAATGACTGCAGCGGCGAGCGGCGACGATCGGTTGTCGTGGTGGGTAGTCACGGGAGGGAAAAAAAGGTGACGAAACCGAGGAGAGCGTTGCGCAAACTGGTGATCGGAATGGAATGCTCTGGTCTATTTTCCGTCCAGTACGGTAGTTTGTCAGACAAATTGTAAAAACTGTTTTTCTCTTTTTTTTTTGTTTTTGCTTTTTGCTTTTTTCTTTTTTTTCAGTCGCAAAAAGGTACTTGACAATTATTTCCGGATGGCCACCGACGAAGAAGAAAAAAAAGGTGGTTGAATTTTGAATTTGTCCCGGTTCGTGCAGGAGGAAAGATTTTTGTTCTGTGGTGTGGGTAAAGAGGGCAATGACCTCTGGGGATATAAGAAGAGGCCCGACACACAAATCAGAGCACCACTCACTGGAAGAGTCAGAGAGGGATACAAAGGGGATGAGCAAGGGCAAGAAAAGAGGAGAGAAAGGAAGAGTCGGGACAAAAGAGAGAGAGGATTACAACGGAAGAGCGAGAACAGGCCAGGCTAGACAGAGGAAAGAAGAATTTGGTAGGGTTAATAATCAGTAATACTCCGCCAAAAGGAAGGCATAACGGGGGAGAACGATGGAAAATATGGAGTATAAGAAGTCCTTTTGGGAGTATGGACCCGGGCAACTATGGTCTGTCAGTCTGGTCAGACTGGTTCCGTCTGGTTCAGTCTGGTCAGTGTCGGAGAACGAAACGAGACGCCGTGCTGAGCGAGGCGACCGTCAATTCGCAAATAAGGGACATCTCAGTTGGCTCATCCTGGCTGTTGTGGGAACCGGCCTAATAACATGGTTTGGTTTGCCCCCCCGGAGAAGCTTTTTGGTGGTTGTGATTGTTTAGTCATACTACGTAGTATAGGAACATACAGTGCATTCGGCTCGGCGTCGGGGTCGTTACCGCGTATTTACGGCTGACGTCCAGGCAGATTTCCCCAACAGGAGATTTGCAGACGCCGAGGGGGTAATATTACGTATCAATACAGCAGGGCTTAGCCTGATCAGGGAGTTGTGCCACAATCTTGGCGGTACATTACAAGATTCAGCCATTGACAATTGACAATGGTATTTGTGGCTTTACGATGTCGTTTACGGCTATGAGATTGCAGATGATTGATAATCATTCTACTATGGGTAGTACGAGAGATATATTCCAGTCAATCATTCACTGAGGCTGTGCATATCATGACCTCACTCGGTTATCGTACGACTATGTATCTGCATGTCCTGCATATATAAAACTAGCCGATATAAGCTCCATTATTGGCTTAACTGCTGGCTATTGCATTGCTTCTACATAGGAAGCCGTGCGCTTTTGAATTGGACTGTGGCTTTCTGTTCTGGCTTCTGTTGTTCCATATGTCTGAGTGAGGATGGATCATTGGATATGACATTTGTCGGACGACAATCATATAGGTAGTATACTAATACTATATATATATATATATATATATATGTACACATATATCCACTCTATTCCTTGCACATGCCCCTCTACCACCCCTCTACCGCCTCTTAAGTACATACGTAGTTAACCATACTCCGGCAATGCCGTTGTTATCAACATCCAGGTGGAGAGACCAGCATTAGTCTTGACCGACAATTCAGCAACAACACGCGGCCAAGCTGCAGCCCTCTACAATCATCCAAATAGTGAGGGCTACAACCCCCGCCTTCAGCTTCTCATGGACTGACAGATGTATATACATATACTATGAGACATTTAATCTCAGCCACTCATTTGTTTTCCGGACGACACTATAAAATAGGATCCCCGATCCTTATCTGTTGTTTCTTTTCTTTTCTTTTTTCTTTTCTCCCTTTTCCTATCGTATCTCGAAACCTGCATGAAGAAATACATATGCCAAGCATATATACACAATATCTGTTGGATTGAATTATTTACCTCATCTGAGCTTGCCGTGAACTTGATTCTTGGCTTCTTGTTTTGTATTTTTCATGAGTCAAGGGAATACGCTGTCGCTCCAGAGTACGTACTCTGACTTGTAGGTACAACGTAGAGGGCGAGATAGATTGCGGGGTTCACCATCTTAAACTCATCGGCGTCGTATGGACTAGTGAGGATGTGGTTAGATACGAGGTTAAGATTAGTGACGTGACTCGAGATAAACCTAAATTCTATCCGATATTCGCTGTCTGCCACGGATGGTCTGGCAAAGGGCCCCAATAGAGTCGCTGTCGTCTGATCACAGAGTACCTAGGTAGTCGGGTATATATCCGACTGCCTTGAAGAGACATGTAAGTTGCCTCGTGCAGTGATTACTTACATATGCACATACACTCCCACCACCTGGAGTAACCGTCGGCCAAGTCATGCGTAGATTCATCATTCTATCATTCGATATTCATCACATGTCCAAGCCGGCATAACATGACCTAATAGAAACTTTCCACAATACTCTCCTTATTCGCATTCCCCATCCCCAACCCCTTAGCGCCCATCTCCCCCAGTCGAAACACACTCTCCATAACACTGAGTTCTGTCGCCGTGGTATCCAGACCCGTCACTGCAAGCCAGTCGTTCACCACCATACCGGCACCAACCACGGGGCTACCGCGATTCACACTGCCGGCTACGAGCGGTACTTGGAGGAGAGAGGAGAGTTCGTCTTGATCACGGATAGAGGTTTTGGGATGCACGATTCCACCTTGGTTGGAGAGCGCCATGTATGAGCCCGTTAGGACGTTGTCGGCGACCGTTTGACGGAATACTTCGACTCCGAGGACGTCGGCAATTCTGTATTGTCATCAGTATATTTCTTTTCCCTCTCCCCTCATCCTTTGTGTGTTGAAGATGGTGAGCTTACATCTCCTCCGTCTCCCGTTCAAGATCAGGATGTATAAGCGCAACGTGATCATTGCAACATATCACATTCCCCAACGCGGACAGCCTCTCTTCCACCCGTTGTATTTTGACCGAATCTGGGATTGAGTTTCGCAGATGTTGCAGTTCCTGATCTGTTGTGGATGTGGGCACGAGAAGACCTTTACGGTTTCTACATAAATCCAGTAAGCATTCATCCCCACCGCACGAATAAAAGATTGAATACATACCCTGCCGTTAATCGGCCAACTATACGAGTACCACCAATCGAAGCGTGGCAAATAGGAATCACGTCTTGTAACTCAGCTTCAAAGACACTATTATAATAAAACCCCGCAGTCAGGCCATAATCCTTTCTTTTAATCACACAAAGTCGAAAAGCATGATAACGAACCTGTAGAAATTTTCTGATCCTCCGATAGCAACAATTGCATACGAATTCGTCAAAGTTGCAAATACTCCAACCCTAGAGAAAAAAAAATTCTGTGAGCTTGCGAAGTTTTTTTTTTTTTTTTTTTTTCCCTTTCAGGCAATCAGTCTTACTCGTTGGAGTTCTCGAATTGAGCGCGAACAGCCATTTTTATTCCCTAGAAACTGACAAAGGTATGTAAAACGAGAATATTGACTGATTCAATGACGACGATTGCTGATTTTCGAGAGCTGGTAGTGTGCCCTCTTTTTTATGCGCTCGGTTACGAATGGATGAGGTAGAAAGAGGGGTGCGCGTAGAGACGAGAGGTGAAAAAATCAGATGAGTAGACTCAAAAGATAAACTTGATTTGAGATACAAGAAGTATGAACCAAACCTTCCTGATTTGTCTGTCTTTTTATAAATAAAAAAGATATGAGGTTGTAGTAGTAATCACTTCCTTTCTTCTCTTGGTGGCGGTCCTCTTCGCCCCGCAGTCACTTAATACGCTAGACCTAAATGGGACGAAGACTCATATCGACTCACGCGCTGTGCCTCAGCCCTCAGGCACCGAATGAGTCAGCCCGACTCATTTCGCTGCATGCCGTGCTTGTATGTATAAGCTTAAAGGGAAAAAAATTCTAAAGCTATGATAAGCCAAATAAGTGGCTGTGTTGAATTGCTCATAACAAGTACAATATGACTGCTGGCTTTTCCGGCCACCTCAATGTAACCTGGTGTACTCCGCAAAACCCAACTATCCTGGATATCGTAATGTAGCCTGTCCATTCGGACCAAAATATTCATTAAAATCAATAAACAATGATGATATAGAAAGCACAAATATCGAATCGAAAAAAAAAAAATTCCCTATTGTACAACCCCAATGCTTTGATGCGATGCTGAGAGACCAGACCGTTGTAATTCATCGTCAAGACCATCACGAGGATGATGCTGTTGAGACGGTGGCGGTGGTGTTGATTTCTGCCGTTTCATAGGCGATGCATGCCCGTTCTCAATCTCTGGTTCATCGTCGACGTCTCTTTTTCGTTTAGTTGTTGGCTCGTCGCCGTCATCTTCAGATACATTCAATCTGCCGTTCGGCTCGTTTGGGGACCCCGAGTCTCCTCGAGCCTGAGGTGTTTGCGACGCCGATTGATCGCGGAGATCCTTATCTTTCGACTTGCTGTCGTCATGGCCGTTTCCTTCTGCTTTCTTCTTCTCGTGCGCTTTGTGTTTCGCTACTGCTTTCTCGAAATATTCCTTGCAATACTTCTTGATTTTTTGCTGTTGCTTTTCGGAGATTTGGAGAATATCCTCGACTCTACCGTGTTTGAAGTCCGAATCGACTAACTTCGTGGCGACCTAGAAATTCAGTTAGCATGAGAAAAGAGATGCTTTCGATTGAGTTCATACCTCTTTTGCATATCTCTTCAAATCTTCTTTGGGCAGTTTCTTCTTGAACTTGTCCACCACATATTTGACATAAGGATGTATCTAGAAAGCAAGAATTAGATGGCTGACGCAGAGAAAGAGAAATCTTCTTACCGTATTCTCGTATATCTTCTTCTGCTTCTCTTCAGGATAAGATCTCCACGATTCCTTCTTTTGGTCTGCCTTTTGTGGCTGAGGTGTCCCAGGAGTGCTGGTGCGGTCACGCGGCGTTTCCATGCGAGATTCCATGATTGTGTCGATAATATCTTGGAAATGTTTCCGTTTCAGGGAAGCCACTGCAGGGATCTCCGAGGCTGGTTGAGTAGGCTTCTCATACTGTGTGTGGCCATTAGCCGTGTAGTAAATGGATCTCCCATCCACGTCAGACCTCTCAAACCAGCCTTGCGGCAGTGTTGGTGGTCGTGGAAATCGAGGTCCGCGATTATGTGGAACAGGTCGACCGCTGAATCCCCCTCTGCTCTGTGCAGCAGGTCCACGGGGAGGTTCGATAGACTTTGATCTTGACCGTGATCGGGACTTGGATCGATTGCGATTATCATTTCCTGTCGTTTCACGTCGCTCAAATTGGCTGACTACTTGTGGGGTGGACGCCGTGGGATCACGTTTCATACGAGGAATGCGGTACCCGACTTCCAGATTCGACCAAACTTCCAACAGTGAAGAGGCCTGTTTTCCAACACGATCATCCTCGGACGTAGTCAATGGTTGGACCGTAGACTCAATCCCAGAGTCGATGATTTTGTTTCGAGTGAGGGCTGGAAGTTTCGACAACACGTCAAGCAATTGAAGTACCACATTGATGTCATCCTTCCACATGCTGAGCTGAGAGTTAAGAATCCGATAGCCATGCATCTTCACGACACGGTTGAGAGCCCGTTCATCGTCACACCGCTGGATACGACTCAAAAGCTTGACCGCAATCCATTTCTCAGTACACTGCATCAGAGCCGCCATAACCTTTGTAACACCATTCTCATCCAAAGACTTGGGCTGTACACTTTCAACATATTCCTCGTCAGGCTCTTCCGTCTTCTTCTTGCGGGGCTTCTTGGCAACTGCAATATCCCAATCGTCGGAGTCTTCGATGCCCAGTGCTTCGATGGTGGCGTTGGACAGCTTCGTTGCTCGTTCCGTCTGTGTCTTGCCACCGATGAATCCAGTACAATTCGGTTCACCACAATAGCAGGGCTGAGGGTCTGCGCCGTATCGATCAACGTTGTAATTGAAAACAAGTTCCTCCCCGGCCTGGATGTAGCGCTCAGCGAAGATTCCCATACGTAGCTTCTCGCCCACCACCCATTTATCGACGTAGCAGTTTGGGTTACAGGAATGATTGCAAAATCGTGCCAAATTGCCCTTCTTCGTAGCGTCGACAAATTCACCTTTATTCAACGACATGAAATAAAAGTGCTTGATACCTTCCTTGTCATACTGAATCATTCGGCGTCTGAAGCTAACCTCGTTGATGACTTCGCCGATATATTCATAGATGAATTGGTGAGGGTGTATGTCAGACTCTGCGCGAAGACCAAAGCCTTTTTTAGCCGTCTTGATAACGGTGACATTTGCGTATTCTTTCCTTTGAAACCTCTGGTTTTGGCAGTCTTGGCCACAGCTACAATCATTCAAGCATTCAATTCTTGTTGCTCGGTTGATGCAGTCTGAGTCTTCCCCGCATGCGTGATTTATTTTCCCATCTATATGCCCGGTCAGTTCAGCAGATCACTGGAGAATATATATATATATATTATATATATGATGACTCATCGTATTCAACGAGGTCATTTTGAAATGTCAGAAAAACTCACCCCACTCTTCAGAGCAGTCGCATTCCATGGCGTGTTCTGTATGGCCCATGTACTTGCTGCTGTAAATACAGTCATCGATGACTTCAAAAGTTTGACGAGCCTCATTGACACTGTCGGGTAAATGATTGAATAGCTGAGGAGGACGAGCAATCACCTTCTGAGATGAGCTACGAGCGAGTTTTGGCGGTTTACCAGGCTCTTGTTTGAGCGTGATGTCGCCCCCGATACTACTAGTCTTGAGGTCGCTCATTTTCTCTTCAATACCTGCCTCGACTTTCATCAAAGGCGAGTCGCTCTGACTAGGCGATTTAATGGCAGGCGATAACGAGGATGAAGATGAGGGCGCATTCTTGACGCTGTCGGTAGTTTCCATGTGCAGCGATACTAGGGCGCCCGCATCGACTTCAGCCTCAGTCTTGATAGCGACCGACCCTCCATTTGGCAATGCGACTCGCGAAGAGTCTGAATTGGTGTTTACATCGTCGCCGGAAGGCATGACGACTGGACTGAGAGTCTCTCGAGCACGAACAATCGGCAAGGAAGAGAGGCCGACGAGAAAGCTCGAAGAAAGGCTCAGACTAAGGCAGGCTCAGGCGGCCCATTCCCGGGCTGGGATTGGCTGCAGCCGAGTGCCAAGCTTTGTCTAACCAGAATTGCCACGATCGCCTTTTGTGAAATAGATCTTTTCTGACAGTGCCCTTCTCTTGTCTCTTGTTTCTTGCTTTGGGTTGCTGTTGTCTGTTGTATTGATCTGTTGTGTAGAAAGATTCACCCTCGTTTCACTTTATTCAGTTATCACTATGTGTCTTCGTATTCGTGTTGAGACTGTTCCGTTGTTCAGCTGGACAAGGAGATTGCAGGGAATTACAATTTCTCCCCTTGCCGACGATGGATTAAATAGCTGCATTAGTCCTAAAGAAGACTAGTGCATCCTATTCAAGATTCACAATTTCAGATTCATACTATTGTTGCTTCTTTGATTCAGTATTTTCTTTCATAAGACTCTATATTCTAGAATTTTAGTATAATACTAGTACAATAAGCATTTGGTTCAAGCCAATGTACCCTTTGCACTCTGACCAGTTGAAAGCCATGGTTGTTGGCATCGCTGCCTGAGACTTCCGCCTGGCAACTACCTCAAATGGGGAGCCAACGCGCCATCAGATGGCGGTGTAGTAAGAGTGTGCTATGTACCGAAATATAAATACCGGTCGTTCATATCCCAGGAAGACTTGATTTTGGTTTCTTCTGTATCAGGGTTGAGTGGGCTCAAATGGAGATTGTTGCCTTGAGGCCTCAGGCAGCTCACAAAGCACTCTTCAGGCACGCACTGGGGAACTTAGCACTTTCCTTTTTCACCTTACATCTCCTGAATGACTTCTCCGTACATCGCATCTTCAACAAGGCCTATCAGCATGACAACTAGTACAGAACAGTGCCGTTTAACTCCGGAGACCGAAGATGTGTCTCTCACTTAATACATCAGCAAGGCCATATTTCTGGGCGTTGTAGCAAGATATCTGCAGCCCCAGAACGACAATTCACTGGGGTGGTCAAGGTTACAATGCATAAGTGAGCGATCATGCGAACGAGTGGGAGGCGATCAACCCCCGGCGACTTTGTTATCGGATAGGAGATTCATCGATGACTATTGTCAACGCAGGAAGACAGCCAGAATAGTTAATTGTGCTGGTCTCATACCGCCAATCAGGGGAGGGACCCGGAGGACGATGCCAGTTTATGGGCAAGAGGCGATAGATTTCACCGGCCGACTACGCTTATCTTATGCAAGCAGACGGCAGAAGGTGGTGGCTAAGGCAGGCTGGTTGTCGATTGATTGGACAAGAGGTGCTGAAAGTCCGAAAAAGAGCCAGGATGTGAGAGGAACACGGCAATTCGCCACCAGACGTGAATCATGCTGTTGCGACTTGCCGCTTACAGTACTTACCATTCTTTACCGGACTCAATACTGATGGTACTCGTGCCAGCCTTGCAGGGATCAGGGTTTTTTGAGGTGTTTTGCGGTTGGCTCAGCGCAACAAGCTCAACCATGGCCGCAATTTTCAGGATTCGTTTATTCGTCCCGATGAGACATACACCATCTTATCGCTTCAAATATTGGATTACGTATTTCAGTCTTCCAGTTACAGTGGGTCGATTGAATTCACATTCAACTCCAACTCTGGTTACGTGCTCCGACGGCCCGCACCCGTTCTCCTGTGGCTCTTACCCACGAATCCTTAACAAAGCCATTATGGAAATCACCTCTGATATTCTTTCTCATGCAATTCGAATTCTATTGGTACGATTTTTGTTCCAAGGTTACTCTGGGCAACCCGCCTCAATTAAGTACACTTACCGGTGATGATGTACGCAGTTGCTGGGCGGTCGCAAACCTATTGTCAAGAGGCGGCCTTAGCTACATGGTCTAACTCAGCCGACTCAAGGTTACGTCTTTATCGAGTCATCGCTAAGAAATTTGACAATCTGCGTCATTATCTTGAGCTTGTCACCTATGTTGAACGAGTACGTGTCTCTCCTTTGAGCTCGGTAACGTCAATGACCTTGAATACATCCGGGTAATACAAATACAGGAAATCAGCAGAACCGTGTTTGCAATGGCCGTCTTGGGAAAGGAGGACACTAAGTATGCATCTAACGCCGTCTAATGTATGAAAGAGGAGTCCGCGCGTGCACGAAATATTGCTGGACTTGTGTATCTTACCAGCTCAAGGTTTCCTATCCATCCACCATGTACGGACTAACAGTGGACTACAATTCCTGGCGGTTTGTCTCGTACCGGGCTGAAAGGACAATTACCTATCATTTGTATCTAGTGTAAGTTACTTCTGACTTGGCCATTGTACGTATCTTGTTCCGTCTGTACATGTTTTCTCGTACTACGCCACTCAGCGAGTAAACTGGTGTACCACGGGGCACGATTGACGTTATGAGGGTGTGTATACCCCATAAATGGTGCACACAAATTGAGACAACAGAGCGTTGATGCTCTCTGCAGGGGCATGTTATAAGCATTGGACGTTTCCTGACTTTGCTCCATGCATAGAAATGTCGCACGCGCTTTGATATGTACTACATGTGCCATGTAAGCCAACGATATCAAACTTTGCATCTCTTAGTTTTATGAACTGTATTCATGCTCATTATTCGGAGATTTTACTCGATCAATCAATTGAGCAGTTGAATATGAAAGGGAGATGGTATTTGACATGTGATACAGGCTCGCTTTGCACGTGCAACCGTGTCGATGATCTTGATCGGATTTGATCATGAAGTCGACAGCTTCGATCGCTTGAAATTAGTGATCGTGTATCCATAATAGCTGACAGGTGAATCTTCTAGTGTAAAGCGATACATGACACTCTGTAACATATGTAACTCTGAAGATTTCGTCCTGAGTATCAGACATAAATAGACGCTGACTCTTTTTTTTTTCTTTTCTTTTTCTTTTTTTCAAACAATGTCGTCTTCAATAATGTAGTATCATTGGTTCCTTAATTCAAGAAATCTGATTCGAAGAAATCTTTAGAGTCCTAGATCCTCAGTGCATATACTCTACGAGTGTAAACATCCCGATTGGCGAGACCGTATCTGTAGGGCAGGTCTGAACAGACCCTGGTCGTATGTATCCAAATTACACGTAAAAGTCTAAAAGCAAGCAACAAAAAAAAGAGTTTTCTACTGAAGCAAGCCGCGCGCATATGCTTCAGGTTGAAAATTGAAACTTCGTAAACGCATAGTTAGCGAGCTGCACTGAATTTCCTTCGATATATATAGTAGTTATTTAGTGTATAGCACAAACGTCATACAGCCCGTATATTTGAGACACGGATCATATGTTCCCTAGATAAACACTAGTATTCCAGAATTAATGACTACGCAGCTATATTTATGTGGTATTCGGAGAATTATCGCCAGTATCCGAACCACTGCGTACGGAGTGGTCCCTGTGAATAGTGGGCTCTTCCTAAGTTCCAGGTAGATTGACTAGGATGAACCCGCGGAGTATTCTGCATAGTGCATACTACTGCTCAAATCAGCCAAAAAGATATGTACGTACATATCGTGTCTCACGATAAATATGGGTTTATCTGCTTCGTCAGGTCTCTCTGATCACTCGTTGGTTAATGTTAAGCGCTTAGGTACATGGTAAATTAGGGTTGAGTTGTATGTATTTTATTGCAATATTAACTAATTGTTTCAAAATCACCGACAAGCCGGGTGCGTGGTGGGTCAGACCGAGCGGCCCGTCCAGATGACAACCAGACAAGTTGAGTGAGGGTCCTGAATCGCGTATTGTCTGTGTACTATCGCCATCAGAGATACTGTTCCAAATTCCAATACTGAACTATGTACCTGTTGAACCATCTTCATTCCTGTGCTGAATTAATGTAACATATTCTAGACCAAAAAGTACACTCTTTGGGTCGTACCCGGCTCCACCTTCGCCCGGAACGGGAAGTTTCTTCTTCTACCCGCTGCAAGTCACTCAAAGTACTTTGACACTGTTTGGCACTAGTAAAAGTATATGCACATACTAACTCCTGCATTAGTTTTGCGCTTCATTTTTCTCTTTGCAGTTGCTTTTTAGGTTGTTACTCTCGTTGTAGCTTTTATCTTGGAGTTAATATACGATTAATTGGTTGTATGTTATTTTTTGATAGAAATGAGTCTATAATTAGAGCCGAATTTGCGTCTTGCATAGGTAGTCCGTCAGACTATTATCCTTCGCTATGCCGTCCCGCTCATAGACACGCCTGCGATATCTTCGAGCTCTTTTCCCACGAAAATAGTAAAATACAAGGTACATGCTATGATAAGCCTCCTCTTCGTTGTCTCCACGTCTCCCCTCTTTTTTGATGCCGCCATGTGGGCTCACGATAGACCGAGAAAGCGGATGAAACGACCGCGTCTAATAGGACGATCTAGAAATTCTCCTGTATCGTACGGCCGTAATTTTTGTACGTTCCGTACCGAATTCGGTACATTTTCGTACAGACTCCATTTTTGCCATCATGGAAATATTGGAATATTATTATATATAATGGAGTACTTCATGCATGGTATTAGTATTCTATATTAACTAATTGTCGCTTTATTGACTAATCGGTGGTGTCATTCTTTTACTCCGTAGTTCATATCGTCAGAAGCACTGATCAACCGATTGCTTTGTGCTCGAATCCTAACCCTTTTATATGTATAGTACGTGCTGTTTAGCTATTAGTCTACGCCCTGAGAGAAACTGTAAACCTAAATCCACAGATACAAAATCTATCCATCAATACTCACCAACCAAAACGCCGAGACGCATATATATATATATATATGCACCTCCTCGGTAACTTGCATGTTCATGCTGAAAGTAAAAAGTTTTGAAGCCTTTCCTGTCGAATTATTTTTTGCTTCCTGATTCAGTAATGCAGGAAGGATCAGATCCTTTTCCGTTTGGCGCCCGCACAAGACATCTGCAGCTTTTTCTGTCTTACACCCCCCCTTGTAATAATGTAGGGATTTGATGTGCACGGCGAGGATATTTATAGTATCGAAACAATTGGCTCTTGGTTGTTGTTTTGCCGAATACTGTACATGCGTTCATCTGCATCTATGTGTACTTTATAGCTGCGTGCTTCTGCTCAATCTAATCGTGCGCAGTGAATACATGATGGGTGAATGACACGCCGTTACTCTTCCCGTCTTCTTCCTCCTCATAGAAGTCCTAAAAAGGCCTAGAGCCGAATCTGCATGGAACCTCGGGCGCCCAAACAGCCTTAGACTTAGGGGCGATTAAAGCCACCATTTCCAATTCTGTCGTAATCCATCCTTTAGTTGGAAGAATCCATGCAATAAGTTTCTTTTCAGTTAGCTTATGGGGTGACTACTAACTATTTTAGTCTAACTACGCAGTGCGTACGTTCTTTTCCTGACCGAGATCCACATTATCAAACTGTTGTTATGTTTTGCGTTTTTCCTGATTGATCTGTTTGGACTTTTATTTTCCGCTCGGTCCTTTCCTTTTTCCTTTTTCTTTTTCTTCTTTCTCTTTCTCTTCTCTTTCTCTTTATCTTTTCTTTTTCTTTTTCTTTTTCTTTTCTTTTTTTCTCTCCCTCGATCCTCCCACCCCCTGTCTGAACTCCTGCATGACGGTTATCGTGTTATGTCAATCCGGACGGTTCTCGCTCAATTCAAAAATTGAGTCGATTGCTGCATAGCCTGACTTTTCTCATTGGTTGTATCGTGTATTGTTATTTTGGTAACTGATTTACACAAGCTTGCTTTAGCCTTCCCGCTCTCTAACCCCGGGGCCTCGGGACTGGGAAAATAAAAGTAAATTACAGCGAATAACAATACTATGTACAGTTGAAAAAGGCAAATCATAGCTAAATGACTAAATAAAACAGTTAAACTAGAGTTAAACTAAACAAAAAATATAAAATACAAACATGCATACAAAAGAGAAATAATGCTTATTGCCTAGGCCCAACCATATGCTACTAAATCCAACGTACATAATCCAAATCGGTTGTTGATCTGGCGCGTTCGCTCCTTCCTTTCTTCTTCTTTCCTTCCTTCCTTCCTTCCTTCCTTCTCTCTTCTTTCCCTTTACATCTCGTTCGCTCCTTCTCTCTTTCCCACACCCCCTCCTTCCCCCTGCCACGCATCGCATGTTCTCTTCCTCTATCTTCTCTCTTCTCTCTTCTCTCTCTCTCTCCCTCTCCCTCTTCCTCTTCCTCTTCCTCGTCCCCTCCCCTCTCCATCCTCTCATTCGCTTCTATTCCCTTAAGATCATGTTCTAGCACCCCGAATCAATCTTTCGTTACATATTCTTACTTTCAATTACCCCAACCCGGTCAATTATAGAAGGAGGAAAGTAAAGAGCAGATTCAACAACGTCATCCGCATCCTGCGCGCGCAATACATCAGGGCACTCAATAGACTTGCCTTGCGATACTCTCAATTTCTGCAATTACACTCTCGTTCAACTATCGCGTGCACATACACCTACACGCGCAGGAATTATCATCTTCAGGCTTGCATCGCCTCGACACTCTTTCGTCTTGTCGCCGCCATATCACGACGTATTGATCTCTCTTCCACCAACAGAAGAGCAGCAGACGTACGACATACTAAGATCTATCTACGTACTTATCATATCTGCATGCGTATGACCTGCCAGCTTCTCTGTTGCTATTCATGAATCCAACTTCTACTTGTCGACTTTCCCCTTTGCGCCTCGGCTTATCTTGCTGCTGTGTCTCCAACAATTACTCCCAACACCCCTCCACTTGGTTCTACCGCGTGACGCAGCTAAGGATCTAGGCGCCTGAATCACGGTTTTTGGGAGGTTTTTGTCTACTTTTAACGATTTACTGTTTTTCGTTTTGTCTCAAAAGTCGCCTGCCGCCTGTGTACCGTCGTTTGTTCCCTGTACCGCTTCCACTGCCCTCGTTACATCCCTGGAAACGAAGTACCCTAAAGTTATTTTCTTCAAGCGTATACGAATTCTTATCTGAGTCAGCTTGGTAATTCATCGTCTCTCCTCATGGTTATTACCAGGACATGTCGGATCAACATGGCCGAGATTGGACGGAGGAGGAGAAGGTAAGCCTTTGTTTCTCTCCTGTCGTCACTGGATTGTTTACCGGAGTGACTTCGATGGGGTGACCAAGCAGGTACATTTGCTAACATAACGGCTTTCAGTATGCTCTGCTCACTGTGATATTGAGAAATTCCGGCGTTCCTTCAACGTCCTTGTTTGGTATCTTTCGTCAGTTCAATGTTTCACCACCATGGCCTGATATGCCATTGCCGCCAGGTACGATGACGCTCTCAGTCCAGTACTCAAGTTTTTCTATAATATAGTTTATATCAAGGTGCTGACACATATAGGTCGCTCCCTAAATGAATGTCGCCAGCAATTCGAGTCAATGTGGCAGACCCATCAGTCGCAGCCGTCGTACCGTCAGCCAGAACCATGGCAAGGCCCACTTCCACCAGCTGCATTCCCAGCTATGAATCCAGGCCCAGCGCATGCGCCTCCTCACCAGGCGCCTCATGATGCGTTCGGATCACGAAAAAGGCCATTCTATCCACCGGAGAGGCCCCCGGCATTTCCACGCGCAATCCAGCCTCGGCCCCCACTCAGTGGTGGTCAGTTCAGCAGTGAAAGTGGCTCGCCAGCCCCGACATCTCCAGGTTGGGTAGAAGGTGCTGCAGGAAAGAGTGCAGAGCCTCCTCGAAAACGAGGTCGACCAAGCAAAGCGGAATCCGAACGACGGAAAGCAGAGGCAGAAGCTCGAGGCGAGACTTACCCTGCGCCTCGACGTAGGACATCGATGGGCAAGTTGCCAGCTACACCTTCAGGCGCAGCTAGCGCCACGAGTGACAGTTCAATGGTTTCACCAATGCAGACAGCACAGACACCGGAAATGCCAAAGCAAGATAAAGGACCGGAGGCTCCCGTATCGACAGGTCAAGCCACTCGTGCAAGCCCACTTACTTCAGAAGTACCAGATACGGATCCAGTACGAGGGATAATCAGGTCACAAGCGAATCAAGACCGAAGGCTTCCACTACCCCATGAATTTGGTGCTCGAACATCACCTCCCGAGTCTATCTACTCTCATACTAGAGCTATGGAGCATCCATATCATGGCCTGTCCACATCCCGACCGGAGGAAAACACAACACAACCGACGACTGCTCGTCAAATCATTCAACATTCGGAAGCACCTACTTCTGGGGGAGGATACTTGCCGGCTATATCTCATTCAGCAGGAGCGACGACTTGACAGACATGACATTGCACTTTGAATCATGTCATGAGTGTGACGATTGTGACGCACTGATGAAACTTCAGCGCCTTGCTCTTTTTTAAGCGATTTACACTTTGGGCTCTTTTTTGTTCCTAGAAAGAGCCTTTTTTTTTTTTTTTTTTTTTGTGATTTTGCTGATGCCCCACGAATATGTGAAGGGAAGGATTTGTTTGCGACACACGTGTTATGGTCTCAATGGTACACGCTGAAACATTAAGATCCGTCAAGACCATACGCCGTCTCAAACGATATGATAGGAGGAGCATAATGCGTTACGAACGGACGAATTGATACAACTGCTTACCGACTAATGATGCATGCTGATCTCGACTTATTGATTTCTTTTCTCCGTTCCAATCAACTTGTCGGTTGTGGATAACCACATCAATTCCGATGAGTCGTTATGCGATATTCTTTATGCGACAATCAGCCATGAAGCAACAATCTTTTTATGCAGTCAGTTTTGTTACTAGAGCTTGCTTTGGATTCCGACATGAACGCCGGAAAGGACGTTCCACGAAAGCCCTGATGCTGGTAATCGTGATCGACCTAACGACTATACGGACCTAATTTTGCGCTCGCCTTCGCACTCATTTTCTGCTTATGACAGTATCTACCGACATTGCTCTTTTGTCTCGTTCTATTCAATGTATTGTGTCATATGATTGTTTTCCAGAATTTTGGGTGGTTTATTTCTCACTTCGCTTTGAAGAGGAATCTTTTCGAACATAATCGTTATTTCCTTCGAAGTACAGGAACATTACCATGTTCATGCTTTTAATGCCATTTACGGCCTGTATTGGTTGAGTTGTTTTTATAGTGGATACATAATGTATATTAGATTTTCGAAGGAATGATTTTTATACCATACAATTGAGTACAATACAGGTAGGATAGAAGCATATCTTCAGGCTTCTTCATTGGATTCACTCGGAACGTAATAGTAATCCCAATCTTGGTGTATATCTAGAGGTAGCCTCAAAACCGACATCAATGGCAATCAACGATCGAAGAAAATGGTATTCATTCATTATAAAAATATAAGAACGGAGTAAAATAGACAAATGCTGTCGTAAGTAATATCAACAATTGATCATCTGATCCAGAGAGAAAAGTAATTATGCTGGTAGTATTTGCTTGACACCAATCACCACAGGTAGGTAGACTGTATACACTTCAATTCAACACCCCTCTCCCATCGTTCTCCTTATCTGTCATACTCTCTTTCCCTCCTTTTGCCGCCGCCAGAACATGCCCAAAAGCCGCCCCAGCAGAAGCAAAAGCACCCGATGCTTTATCACCAACTTGAAGAATAACCGACTCCGAACGTATTTTCTCTTCTCCTTCTTGTTTTTGGTCATGTTGTTGACTATCAAGAATTTGCGACGACGACGACGACGAAACCATCCTCAAAACCTCATCTAAATGCATCTTCTTACTCTCCACCCGTCTCGTAAGATAGACTTTTGTCGCCGCCGAGTCCCGTCTAGCGAGACTACGACGTTTGATACGCTCAATCTCTTCGCGGTAGGCTGTTTCGTAAATATCGATTTCTGATGCGCCTGGTGATTCGCTAATAATTGGCACGGAGTCGGTGTCGATTGGTGTGCCTGTTTGTGGGAATTCGGGGATTCCGTCGATAGAGGTATCTGGCACGCTTAGGGGGGAGAGGATTGGTCTTTTGAGTTTTTCGTTGTTGTTATTATCATTACTGGGTTCGTTGCCATCGTCGTAGGTGGAAGGGAATTCGCCGGTGAATGTTGATGGTCCGATATGTAGGAATGGGAGGTCTTCTTCTAATGGATCTCGGGCGTGGCCTCGTGTTCCTTCAGATGTGCTTCGACACGGAGATCCTTCTTTCGATGATGATTTTGCTGTTGTAGCTGCTGCCGCAGCTTTCATGAAGAACGCTTTGCTCTGTCTGTTTGCGACGTTCGAGCCCTGTCTTTGCGGTGATCGTCCCCTGAATGACTCTTGTGAAGTGCTCGTTGAGCTTCTCCGGAGTAAATCATTCTCATTTATGACTTTTTTGAAAACGCCTAACGCTTCGATTCCTTCGTCTGGTTCGATTTGTAGCGGTGGTTGAACCATGTATGCGTCATGCTCGTGGCCGAGGATACTGTGTATTACTGGGACTGCTTTCGATGGATCAACGAGTTTCTTGAATTTGCTGACGGCTTTCATCTGTGTATGCTATTAGAGGTTGCTGTTTTTGGAGATGTTTAGACGTACCACTGAGAAGAGATTCTCGACATTATGTGTTATAGCTGATACCATTTCTTCCTCCGTAGGTAGCTCAACCACTTGTGCAGTATTTTCCTCCTCGGGAAGCAATGGGTCTTCGCCATTTTTGGTAACCCAGGGATGATTCTGTGCACGTTAGTACATTAAATATACATGACTTGAGAGGCACGCACCCGTAACTCTGACATGGTGATTCTTTTAGCAGGATCCTTCTCCAGAATCCTGTGCATCAAATTCTTAAACTCCTCATCCTGCTCATCTCCCAGATTGAAATCATCATTGCGAATCGACTCGTATAATTCGAATATGCTCTGCTTCTCAAACGGGATACGTCCATAACGCAAACAATATAACGTCACGCCCATAGACCATATATCGGCCGCTTTCCCAGAGACATCACCATGTTTGACAACGCACAGTTCTGGAGGCAGAAATGCCGGAGATCCCGCTGATTTTGCTGTGTACATATTAGAATCCTTAGCGAACATTTCGGAGACACCAAAGTCGACGATTTTCAGCACGTCATCCGATGTAAGGAGACAATTATCCGGCTTGATATCCCTATGAACGATGCCTTGAGCGTGCAGATATTCAATACCGAGAATGAGGTCGCGGAACCATAATCGACACCTTTCATCTTCGTACGGGTCCGATTTTTGTTCTAAGCCGACTTTCATGATAACCCCCTTTTTGCACATTTCCATCACCATATATAAGGAATCCTCTGTTGGGTCGTCTAGTACCTCAATTAGTGAAACCAAGTTGTTATGATTGAGTTTCTTCATGATTGCTATCTCCTGCCTGATCAAATCTAACGGATGGCCTTCTTGGTTTTCATCTGTTCCAGATGGATGACGATGGAGCGGTGAGTTGAATCCGGTCCCTGGACGTTGTGGTCCCCGTGGTCGTCGAAGCATATGTGACTGCTGTCGTTTCCTTAACCTGGCCTTGGAGAATTCTTTGACGGCCTGCAGACGATACCATTAGCTGGCGCGTCTCTAAAAAAAAACAGGATAGTTCTCACATATTCGTTCCCATATTGATCAACTGCAAAATGCACCGCACCAAACGAGCCCCGGCCTATCTCCTGCTTGATTATGTACTGATTGATGCGATGTTGCGCAGTTCCGTCATCTTGGCTTGTTGTATATTCGGATCGGGCATTGAGTGTTTCCTGCGATCAATTGATCGTTCAGCAGATTATTCATTGGCGCAAGATAAATGTGACAGACCTTGACATGGCGCGGTGCGGTGGGTTCTCGATGCTGATGCCTTCTAGGACTTTCGTATGATGAGGAGGAGCTGTACAGGTCAAATTAGCAGTGCGTCAGCAGATAGATAGAAAGAGACATACGTATATCTCACAGGCTTCACAGGGCCGCTGGGAGTGTGCTCCGTCTCTATATCTCGAATCGGACTCGGACTTGACGCCATTCGAGGGGCATCCATGCTTATCACCGCAAGTCGAAGAAATGTTTAGAGATAAGATAATGAGCTCTGAATAGGCGCAAATTCTAACATTCAGAACTGAGGATAGGAACAGAATATTTACAACTTGAAAAATTGACAAATAAATCAATGATGGGAGGATAATGGCCAATATAAAAAAGGTTCGACCCGTTGAAGATGAAGCGGGGATGTTCTATCAAACTCGGGACTTGACCGAGCTGCCTGTTATTTATTTTATAGCAGTTACCATGTATTGACGATATGCAGCCGGGGTCCACATGGAGCAGTCTCCGAGGGTTTGACCAACAGCTGCAGAGAAGAAGAAGTGTTGAAATAGATGCAGACGCATCACGAGAAGGATATGCACATCTGTTGAATCCCTGTCGATCAATGATTGTACAGGATGATGAGTTGGCTGTTGTTCAGAGAAGTACAACGTGTTGTATCAGACGGTATCGGACGGTAATGGTACGTATTATACAGATTAATGTATCCAGCTACAGCCAATCAGGGTGATCAGTTAATACCGAGATATGTCCGCCCACGGACCTCACCGCCTTGTCTGTCTACGAGAACAACAACAGATCATCTGAAGAATCGTCACTACAGTCACTTCACCACATCCACACACAATCGAGCCATGACTGTCTACGGTTTCTACATTTTTGACCGCCATGGTGAGTTTATCGTCCTCTACTTCCTTATCAATTATTTCGAATCATCAAAACTGACCTTCGTCCAGCTGAATGCATCTACAAACGTCGCTGGCTAGGTCGTCCAGTCTCAATCAGCAGCAAATCCTCGCTTCCCACCTCACAACTACAACAGTCGAACAATGCAGGGCCCCGAGGGTCGTCGCGAAGCGCTGATGATGACGCTAAGCTCATTTTCGGAACGGTCTTTTCGCTACGGAATATGGTACGCAAACTAGGCGGAGAGGACGATAGGTATGAATATTGTTCCACATGAATAGGGGGAAGGGATGAGAGACTTACCGAGAGCAGTTTCATCTCCTATCGTACCTCGCAGTATCAGTTACACTTTTATGAAACGCCTACCAACATCAAGTTTGTCATGCTCACTGATTTGAAGTCGCCGAGTATGCGCATTGCGTTGCAGCAGATATATGTCAATCTTTATGTAGAATATGGTAAGCCATTGCCCTCTATACCGGCTTTCCGGAAGCAATCGATGCTAATGGTTTTTGTAGTGGTCAAAAATCCGCTCTCTCCTGTTGAGCACCCCGGCGGAGTTGGGGTTAATAATGAGCTCTTTGAAGAATCTCTCGAACAGTTTGTTGTTAGTACCTGTCATCCCCACTGCTTCTTATAGCCGCCCTAACTCATTAGAAACAGACTCGGGTCCTTTCTTGAAACGTTCAATTGGTGTCGGTCATCACGATTATATGGCATATCAGGCCAAATCTGTTCTTATGGATCCATAGAACCTGTCAGAAGCCTTCAGAGACTGACGAGTGCGAGACATATCGGAGGTCCTATGGACTTTCCGGGAGCACGTGCCGTGTACAACGATCCCGACGACATCCCACCCACCGTGCTTCACATCTAGACGATTCACGATAACCTGGCTGTATCAGCTCTGGGGCGAGATATCGGTCTCAAACTCCGCTCGGTGCCAAGAGAATGGAACTACGTACAAGGTTGCCACGCGGAGTCGGGACCAGTTGTACAAGATTCTTGTCCGGGATGAATAGACGTGGGAAGAACTACTTTTACGTACATAGCTACACACTTCAAGCAGACCTGTCACAGTCTCACATTTTGGCAAGTCAAAGCACGCGAGTCATGGCCACTCAAGTACCCAGGAGGATGTATTTACATAAATGCATCAAATAACTCCAGCTCTTGAATGCATTTTTTCTCAACCAGCAATAACCCTCTCATTCCTCGCAGCCTACTCTCCCGGCAAAATCCTTATATCTAACTGATCCCACCACCTCCCCTCCAAAACAAACCCCAACTGCTCATAAGCCTTAATCGCCCGATTATTCCATTTGGCCACATTCAGGCCCACCCGATGCACGAACGCCCATTCCAGACCCCGTTCAATATCCTCCGGTCCGTAACCATGAGCCTAAAACTTGGGCCCGATAATGATACCTAATTTAGCGACCCGATTGGAGTGGTTTTGGCCTTGCTGTTTTGTTCTTTCTTGCAGATTATAACTGCTAAAATACTGCTTTCAATGGACGTGGTGCGGACGTGGGTTGTCACTTTTGGTCCGATAGGCTGGCAGAAGAGTGAGATGCGTTTTCCATACTGAGGGTTCGGAGAAGAGGCTGTCGGTAGGAAAGTCGGGAGGATTGGTAAAAGGTAGTCATTTAAAATTTTTGATCTTCAGATATATCCACTGTATGTTCGATTTGACTCAGGATACTACGTAGTAGTAGGTTCCAAGGTCGTAAGTATCTTCTCCATATAATCTACCCAGCAGCTGAGTGTATGCGCGAACTACAGTAGAACCTGGCTATAACGAACAGAAGGCCCCCTCAGGCCCAAATCAATACATTGTAGTTATCAAACAAATCAGATGCCCTTCAGTCCCATATTACAGATATCCAAGCTGATATCAGTGGAAATGTGGAGCGGCCTTCCCTTCATTATAGCCAGGTTCTACTGTAGTTCAGCCTTCAGCCGTGGCTACGTAAAATGAGTGGGCGCCTTAGTCAGTACTGTTACTTACCTGCCTTTTTGGGCAATTTACCTAGGTACAGCATTAATATCAGTGCCACCAGAGCAGATGATGAGTAAACACCGCGTCTTTGTTACACACACACACATATATATATGTATCATCCCTACCACATCACACTTCAAAAACGAGTTTAACATTGAACAACATACCATCTTCACCAAGAAACAGCGCCAAAATGGCCGAATACACCATCAAAAACCGCTTCGAAATCCGCAAATTGGGACCCCAACACCTCCCCTGGGCCAAAGCAATAATAACCCACAGCAACATCTTCCACTCCCCAATCTGGAAAGAGATATACCCCTCCCACAAAACCCAACGAGCCTACAAAACCTTCGCAGCATGCGATTATCTAATATCGCACCAGATCAATTCCGGATTATCCTACGGCGTGTTTGATACGCAATACAAATTCAAGCGTGAGACATCTTCCAAAACTTCGAAAGAAGGAGGAGGAGGAGGAGGAGGGGGCGCGTTGTATTGGGATGAGAACGATGCTTCGGCGACAGGAGAAGAGTTATTATCTCAAATGGATTTCCCGCTTGTCTCGATTGCGATGGCGTTGGATCAGGCTGATCCATTGGATTTACCCCGTCTGGCTCCATTGATAGATGCCCTCCCATTCTACGCGGATGTGCAGCATCAAATCGAGAAACTCGATACGCGTGACCCTGCCACTTGGTCAGCGTCTGCTCCGAAACAGGTCATGTTACGCAACGGCACGGCTACACGAGCTGATTATGAAGGATTCGGGATAATGAAGGAGACGGCCCATTTCTTGATGCGGAAAGCTGCGAGCCAGGGATTTGGAGCGATTAGTATTGAGTGCCTTCATGATGCTGTTTGTCATGTTTGGATGAATCCGCCCGAGCCGTTTAGGGCGTCCCTTGTTGCGCAGTTTAATGTTAATCAGTATGAGAAGGAGGATGAGGAGGGGAAGGTGGTGGTGCCGTATCCGGGGGTGAATCAGTTGGCGAGTAGGGTTTTTGTGGAGTTGAAATAGTATCAAGTATTCCGGACTTCGTTTATGATGAGCCACTTAATATGGACTTTCCTGGGCATTCTTTTTATCATGTTCATAGCATCTATCCAACCAACAGAAACCTAGTGTACAAGAACGACAACGAAACATCACCTAACTCCTCCGATAACAAGGACGGCGATACACCAGCAGCCTTGATACCACAAGAAACAGAACAATTCCCATAGAGTACAAGGGCGGCAATACATCAGCAGCCTTGAATCCACAGACGAGAAAAAAACACCTTTTCCATAAGTACAAACAGAAAAGATAAAAGAAACAAGAACAATCTCCCCCCCCCTCCCCAAAAACATTGAACCAACGCTAATGTAACTGAGCATAAACCTTTGTACATGAAAAGACCACTCTAGAAGACGGGTAATGAGTTTTTTAAGTTGAATCGATGGTTAATATCGACGAGGGGGAGCAGATGGTGGAGGTGGAGGCGGAGGCGTTGGCCCGCATTGATAAGGGTTTCCATGCGAGTTATTCGGATAGAAATAAGATGGAGGTGGCATATTTGCAGGAGTTCTTGCTGGCGGAGCCGGAGCGGGTACAGGATGAAATTGGTGTTGTTGTCCTGACCCATATCGTGGGAGAGGACCACCTTGCAGTGGTGGTAGCTGACGCCTTGTGCCCATAGTAAACACATCCGGGAAACCACGTGATGGAGGGAGAGATGGTCGCCTGGGTGGTGGCATCTGCGGCTCTGGCTGCATGAATGATGGTAGCTGTTGTTGATCTGATGTCGACTGCAATGGGATTGGGAAAGCGGTCAATCGGATCGCCGACATGGGCTGTTGTGTACTGGCTGCATCTGCCAGTGCAGACAAAGCATCAGTATTACCGACGGAGAGCGAACGCCCAGGTAAGCCAGCAAGAGCATCTTCACAAGCATGAAGAAGAGCTTTCATCTTATTGTCGACAGTAGACTCTTCTTCTTGGCTGATCTCGTTCAGCTTCGCGCGCTGCAAGAAATCATCTGCGCCATGTTTCCCACTCTCGTATGCTGCTCTGGCCTCAGCGTTTTTTCGAATGATTTTAGAGGTATAACCACGAGCGACTTTCTGTTCGTTCTGATAAAATGGCTCGTGTTCATAATTAGATCCAGTGGGTTGTTCAGATGCGGTGGCAGATCTGGATGGGACTGGTTGGGGGCCATCAACATCGGGCTGCGTAAAGTCAGTTCGTGGCTCTTGTAATCCAAGCGAAGAAGCTTACCTCTGTATGCTCCTCATCCCCTGCATGCTGTTGTCCTTCGACTACCTGCATGTATTCGCCTGCTGCGGCATGAAAAATCTCATCTTGGATGTTGAAAGCATTGGCCTGAATTCAAATATTAGCTTCGATCATGCAACAAGACAGACATGCACAACGTACTTCATATCGGGTTTGAATGATTTGTGTTTCGGCCTCCTTGACGATGTCCGCCTGTTGCACACGAAGACGGTGCTCGTTTTCTAAAATATCCAGTCTCTTTTGCAGGCCAGCTTGAAGCTGGGAGTTTACTTCCTCGAACTCAGGAACCTTAAGGTGGGCATTTTTATCACGGGCAAGATCCCTGTGTGAACGTGCAGCCAATTCGCTCAAAATGAGTTTGTGAGTAGCTCCGAGTTTCTTGAAATTCTGTTTCAATACTTTCTGCCGATCAGAAAGCTTTTGGGCAATGGCCGTAAGTGGAAGAGAAGGATCCAGTTCGATATCAGAATCCTCCTCATTCTCCTTTCCCTTCTTTCCACCATTACCTTTACCTTTTTTCGCATAGCTGCCCAAATTCTTGAGATTGCCTTTCTTTTTGCGACCACCTTTTCCGCGGCTTGTAGTACCTGAGCCGCTAGCGGTTCCATTCTGCCTTGAGCCTGTGCGGTTACCGTCTTCAGTGTGGGTCATTTCTGCAGATTCGTTTTGGTTGCTTTCCGAGCCTTGGGTGCCTTGCACTTCCCCGTTAAATGCAGACTCCTTTGCAACTTTTGCTTTCTTTGCAACAGTGAGAGAGGTATCTGTGTTAGCTTGTTCAAGCTTTCGCTTCCGACCACGAGTACGTGGTAAGGTCAGTTGTTTATCAGACTTTATGGTCTCTGTATCACTGCTCTTAGGAGTCAAACGTGATGTCTGGTTTGGATCAGAGCCTGCTGAACTCTGTTCGGTTTGTATGTTATTGGCAGTGATGTTTGAGTCTGTAGGCCCAGTCGAAGATTCAGGAGATGCTTGCGGAGGTAGTTCCGGCGCCGGTGTCTGTTTACGTGCTTTTAGCCTTGTAGAGAACCTGGTCGCCTGAGGAACCTTAGTTGGTGTAGTTTCCCGACGTTCTGGAGGAGGCTCTGTAGGAACAGTATCCTCTTTTGAACTCGTGTCAGAAGATATATAGGTATTTAATAGTTCACCACCAGCAGCCTGACTTTGTGCCGAGGTAGCAGCTGCTGCTGCTTTGCCTCGTTTGCTGCGGGTTGTTGTACCCTTTTTTGCCGGGGGAGCAATGCCTTGAGTAGAGGGATCTGAAAAATATCAGTCATGAGAAGTTAATAATATATATGAGACACGTACCAGCAGAAACTTCATTTGATGAGTTGGCGCTGTTTGACGCGGGTGCCTTTCGCTTTCTGCCCGCCATGGCGTGCTTCTAGCAGTGGCGTCAGTTATCAAGTTGTGTGAATATGTAACTGCAATAATTGTAGTAAATAGGTGAAGATGAAGACTTATGAGATGATAAGTGATGAGTGAAGTCAGTGATGGATTGTGTTGACGGGATGGGTAGATGTCAAGGCAAAGCGTGAAGTACCGGGAACTCGAGAGATGGATGAAGAGAGAGAAAGAAGAGGAAAGGAAAAAGCCGTCGAGGGAAACAAATAGACAGACAGTCTGCGCCCGGTTGCTAAGCAAGGACAAGAATAAGGAAGAGGTTGGCAAAAGATGATTTCAACTCATCAATTTGATAGGGAATGCCCGGATCAGATGCTTGCTATACAATACGTATTGAACAAGAGACGACGTCTTGTAGATTTGCCCGTCAGGCACCAACGAAGGTATTCTCTTCAGGATGAACTGACAAGCAAGATATTGATCGAGTGCAATAGACAAGGTTGTGGTGAATTGGAGTTGTGCAAGAGGGGAATGAAGGCAAATTGTATAGAGGTGTGTTTTGAGGGCAAACCCCAGCCATTGCTGACTACTACTTGAGAGACCTGTTTGCTCGAGAATCCTGAAATATGGCTGGCTGACACGAAGAAACACACAAAGATTGATGTAACATAGCGTGCCCTATGTCTTGGAGGTTCAAACAATGAGAGGATGACTTACCAGCTCTCGCTCCCATAGGGAGAAGGCATGAGGCGGAAGCAACACAGCGGCCAGATTGACAGTGTTGACGGGTCTATAGGGGAGAGAGGAATAAATCGAGCACTGGGCTCGATGCGTACAAGATGTAGTATTGAGGGCACAGTCAGATAGCAGAATATGGTGGTGATGGTAATAATGAGCAAATTGACATAGAGAAGAAAATAAAGTAGCGAGTGGAGCGGAAGTAGTCTTGACTAATGCTTGAGCTAGTGGACCCGCTTCTTACTTCTTACTCCGTGACTGGCCATGTATCTCTACGATAGTACTATAGTACTTTGAACGATTTGAGAGGTAATATAGACAATTGAATGTTTTTACACCTGGTAACACCCGGCATGACACCAAAAACGATAATCTACAGTCGTATTGCATAAAACGGGATTTATGGATGGCGCCCTGGATAGACGTAACGGCTGTCACGTATTGTAACATCTGTCCTTGGGCCTGTCTGTCCTCAGAGAACAGAGAGATACTCTGATGTCTCTGAAGTCTGACTGGATGGATATTCTATTTGGAAGCCCATCAACCGAATGTCACGAGATATATCTAGTAGATATATCTTCTCTTCAAAAGAACTAATCTCAATACTGTTTTCCCTAGGTTGAGGATCGGCTTGTACGGCAGCGGGTGGCCTAGGCTGCTTGTGGTTAGCACCGATCCACTCGATACTAGATCCGTTACATACTGTATTGAAAATACATAGATACAGTTGCAAAATATACACAGTATATTCTCTGTTGCTCATCATGCAGGAGGGCGAATTGCAAGACTGCATTTAAGGACGAGGAATCAGCTAGGCTTCATCAGGTGACGACTGATATTGGGAAGTACTAGTAATATTAATTACAGCATGTATAGTTACGGATCGTCCTTGAGTTTACGAGGATACTGTTAGTCCTAAAATCTCGGCAGGGAAGATGAACTGATATATATGCAGATACGACATCTCATCTACATGGTTGCTAGCATACAGGAGATGTACTATGTAGGGTTCTTCTTCATAGCAACTGGCATACTAAGTAGCCGACCAATCACATCCGGCCGAGGCAGCTCTTATGGTGCAGAGGGAACAACAGGTCGACTTCTATTTACACACTGGTGACTGATGGAAAAAAGCTGACAAATATTCGTAATCTTCCCAGTGTGTTTGAACGAAAAACCTGTGGCGAGCAGCTTAGGCTGACGTTAGCAGAGGGGAAGATTTCCTACTGCAAGTTGCGGGCCTGAGGCGGCGACCGCTTCCATCATTATCAGCTAGTTTAACTAGTGACCTTTTTGTCCGACTGCCCCCAACTTCTTTCAACAACCCATCTTCATCTGCAACAACCTTAAATCCACTCGAATCTCTCTTTGCTACCATTTCCATCACCACCTATTATTCATCGACTGGGAAAGGATCTCCATTTTCATCCACCGAGACGCCAGCCACACCTTTCAGGTGGCGTGAAGATGAAGCTCACTTTTAGAGTATGCCTAGGCCTCCTCACATCACCCCCGCCATCCTTTCTTCAGTGCTAACGTCTTGCTCCCCTACAGGATCTCAAACAGCAGAAATTTACCATCGAGGCCGAGCCCACAGAGACAGTATGTAGCCTTTCGATCTTCTCGATGCGTTTCCCCTCCGACACCAATCGTCCCGACATGCGGGGCTAACACTTCACTTATGAATAGGTCGGCCAGGTAAAAGAAAAGATCGCCCGAGAGAAAGGATGGGAGGCATCGCAACAAAAATTGATCTATTCAGGTGCGTACAATATATTATCATGAATAGAAGCAGTTTTCTTTTCTTTTCTTTTTTTTTTCCGACGTGCACGAGCTGACTGGCATTAGGCAAAATTCTTCAAGATGCGAACACTATTGAGTCTTACAACATCGAGGAGAAGGGTTTCATAGTATGCATGGTGTCAAAAGTATGTATCTCGTGCACTCTGATTATCCAAAAGGTTATCACAAAACTAATAATATATTCGGATAGCCTAAGCCCGCCGCTGGAGGTCCTTCCACGCCAGCCAAAGCAGCGCCACCTGCAACCCCAAGTGCACCAGCCCAAGCTCCCTCGGCTTCTACAGCCGCCGCTCCACAAGTCCCTTCAACACCAACTCCAGCGTCTTCCGGGGCTACCACCGCTGCTACAGGCGAGGCAGCAGCATTCAATGACCCATCAGCTCTGGCCATGGGTTCTCAGGGAGAAGCGGTGATCTCACAGATGGAGGCGATGGGTTTCCCGCGCGCTGATATCGATCGTGCTATGCGGGCTGCTTTTTTCAATCCAGACCGTGCTGTGGACTATCTGCTCAATGTAGGGTCGACAGAAAGAATTCGAGATGATATTACGGAGAATGACTAACCGGTTACTACCTAGGGCATTCCCGAAAACATCCAGCAGGAACAGACTCAAGCTCGCGCCGCCGCAACCTCTCCAGCACCAGCACCAGCACCAGCACCAGCCACCACGCCCGCTGCCCCTGAAGCCACTGGCAACGAACCAGTGAACCTATTCGAAGCCGCTGCGCAAGCAGGCGGTACAGGCCGTGGAGCAGCAGGTGGGGCGGGAGCTGGAGACGCTGGTGCATTGGGCAATCTCGATTTCCTTCGCAACAACCCTCATTTCCAGCAGTTGCGACAGCTTGTACAACAACAACCGCAAATGCTCGAGCCTATCCTGCAACAAGTCGGAGCAGGGAATCCGCAATTGGCACAGTTGATTGGTCAGAATCAGGAGCAATTTCTCCAACTTTTGGCGGAAGACATGGGTGATGAGGGTGAACTTCCTCCTGGTGCGCACGAGATTCGTGTTACGGAAGAGGAACGTGATGCAATTGAACGAGTTCGTCCTGCCTCCTCCCTTTCTTTCTTTATATATATATAAACGCAAGAAGCTAACCAATACTACAGCTCTGCCGTCTTGGTTTCTCCCGAGACTCAGTCATTCAAGCCTACTTTGCCTGCGACAAGAACGAGGAATTAGCAGCAAACTTCCTATTCGAGCAACCCGACGAAGGCGATGACCAATGATTTTTCCTCTCGACTAGCTGCTACGTCTGTCAAATAGTATCTCCCATTTTTCCTCTTTGCTTAATTCCTCATTAGTGATCTCAAATTCCCATGATGTTTATTATTCATTATTATCCGTGGATTATGGATGAATTTAAGCGTGTTCCTTCTTTTCTGTATTCCTTTACATATATCTAGCTATCGATATAGCAATGAAGTGGAAACCCTTATCATTCTGTACTGCATTCAAAAGGAGACCGCTTTGTGCAGGCCGTTGGGACGGTTTATCGGGATCTAATACGTCAACTACTTTAGCAAGATAGCTCGATGGTGAAATTCAACAGCTCGACCTGACTACACAAATCAATGATGAATGTAATCGACGCCAAATCGCTCGCCGTCGACCGCGTCATACTCAGCTTAACTCACAGATCGCTCACTGAGCAGGATCCAGCATGGAGAGCCTTCAGAGGCGCAAGTTTTGCTAATATCGAATGTGTTTCCCGCGTATGGTCATTTCTTGAACCCGGGAGACTTGTTTATAACCGCACATGCCATTAACAAGACCAAACTCTTGATCATTCTGGCAGCTCGGAAGATCTTCTAGAACATCCAGACATCAAGCTGTAATACTCTTCTGAATCCACTGCTTTCGAGAAGAGCATTGTTGCCACTGAAGAGACAGTTCCCCTGTTCTGGAGAAGATTGCGACAATAAGGGGAGGGGGCCATTCTTTGGAATTTCGAACCAGGAGGAGGACATTTGCCTCTGTCGGAAGCATGTTATGTTGGAGACATGAAATATGATGCTTCCATAACATACGAAACCCTATTCTCATCCACTTGTTCACCGTGAAGCCTTGGAGGATGTGCTCTGGTAAGTATCTAAAGAGGTCTTCAGCATCCCACACCAGAACTGGTCATCATCAATGTCCATTCCAGCAAAAGTCAAATGTCACTTCCGCCGTATCCAAACGGATGTCACGCATTCGTGGACTGAGAAAGTCACCGAGACACCTGCCACAGGTGCAGCCAAACTTCAAAAGTGACAACTCGGCTTCCGACAGTCGTTCCGGGATAAGTCCTTTTAGCAGAGCAAAGCAGGAGGTTGTCGAGAATCATATCCTGAGTACCGATCTTATACATCTTTGCCCTTGCAAAAACATACTGGTGGATTCTCCGTTTCTGATCCATTGACTCCTCCAGAGCATCACTTGGTGTGCTTCCCTCGGCATTCACTGTACGACATAGTTCCGGCTTGTTGTCCATCACCCAGCGTGTGCTCTGTGGCTTTGATGAACATGAGGCAAGGTGAAGAATGGTATTACCATCTTAATCCCCAGCGTCCCGTCTCGTATCGTCTAAAGAGATGCCATTGAATATATCCCGTAGCTGTGCGAGACATTCTTTATCATCAATGGTCGAAAGTCTCTTGGCTAAACTATGCATTTCCGGTGTAAACGACGCCTCCTCGAAAGGAAATAAGCCAAAATCCTGCTCTGGTGCTATAGTATGACTTGGATGGTCTGGATACGGCGCATAACCAAGCCACCGCGAGGAACCGATTTATCTAAAGCCAAGTCTTGTCCAGAACCGGAGTACTTTATCTATATTCTCAGACTACTCATCATCTGCGTCGTCACGCTGCCGGTTTTCATGTCCAATCTCACTAAAACGTATTTTAGGCGAGGTTACGACAAAGAAGTGTCTGCTTTTCTTCTCAGTGAGATCCGGTATTGCATGGACTACCTTCGAACTTAGTCCTTTAGGTTGATTGCAAATATATCCGATAATAAGTATATCCCCATTGTTCAGCTCGTCGTTCCACATCCCCATTTAATCGGATGGTTCTTGAATTTGGGCTGTATACATCCATATCGATCAAAGACCTCAAATGCTAGTTCGACCAATGCATGATCTGGTTCTTCCATGTCATTCCAGAAACGATCCGCAATTTCGTTTCTTCGAATCAGTAAAGCGTTACAGACTGCAGTCTATTGTGAACAATGTTGAAATGTGGCTTCCCCTTGAATCATTTCCAGCCATTCGAAGTCCGGATAAGAATCTACAAATAGTCCTCCCACTCTGAAATATGACTGTCTAGATCGGGATCCAGATCTTCGTCATCGGTGTCCCAGGATATGACTCTATCGTTCAGTATTTCCGTATTTTCTCTCACGTGCCCTTTTCCAATGTCGGATTCGGTAGCCATCGTTAACCTGTAATTTGGCGAAGGTCTTGCTGAAGTAGGATGTAGGTTTTATCGAGTAGCTTTGGTGGGCGAAAAGAGCTTCAAGTGTACTTGCAGTGTTCTTTTTGGTCTGATGATGTTTCTTTTGATCACTTCTCCCAGACCGTCGCATTGAGCTCCGTCGCGCGAGTGAACAACAAGAAATGCATATGGTACAAGAAAGATGGCGAACGAGGCCATTAGTTGCTTATACAGACACTATTAGGCGCCATCGTTCCTCTTTTGTCCATTGCATGTGGCACAGGAGGTCTCGGATGAGTATAGAGAATATAGCGTTGCTGGGATTAGACAACTCGTTTCAGCCTTGCCTAAACTGTCTTCCTTTGTGGCTACTTTTTATTTTCTTTTTCTTCCAGCTCCGCGACGATATTCTAAGTCGTACTTCACTCACTCTTCTCCCTCAACGCCACGACCAGTTCATGGAAGATTACTCAAATCTTCCTGGAGAAAAGCGCATTTCCAATGTTCATCGAATCAAACTTCTACCCAATGACTATAAGCGAAAGTTTCTGAGACGCGGCGAGACTGTGGTCCAGCATTCCAGGCAGGCTGGACCCGACCGTTTCTCGGAGTTCAACTGGGAAGCGGGCGCATGGAGAGTTATCTTTGGAAGACTTCAAGATGACGAACGACTGCGCATGTTAGTCAAAAATTAACCGTTCCTCCTTGGCAAGAAACGTAATTCACTTATTTGAGTGTCATCTTCTTGCTACTCTAGGGATAAGCGCGAATATAACTACAAGGCGACTGCTCTCGACTATTTGCAGGTTGAGGGTTCCAAATTGGTGTATATGGGCAAAAGGATTCCTGACATTACGTTCGGTTTGTCGGCATATGAATCCGGAGACCCAGCATACGAGGGCGTTGATGAGAGGGAAAGAAGAATTCGAAGATTTCTTCAAAAGGGTCGTCTGGGATATGATATATGGAAATCGGATGTATTCTCTTTGACCATGGATCCAACATACACTTCTCTTCCCCATTCGCAGTATACGAAGCAAAGAAGAACGAAAAGTTCGGAACTTCAGGTGAGGCTACAGCTGAAACTAGTATTCAATGCCTATTTTCAAATGACGGACGGCCTCGTTCGTCAACCTGAGAAAAGGGAGAACCAGTCGTCCGAGAGTAGGATACTTGCTATATTTGGCTTCACGTCTAGCGGCAACAGATGGAATATGTATGTTGGTTACCTTCCTGATTGCGCTCACAATGATGCTGAAGCAGATCCTCTTTGTGATGATGATAGCGTGAGTGGAAAGTCCCTGATCTCTTATATCATCATCCCTGAGCTGATTTCCCCTCAGCATATGAAATTAATATGGTGGGGGAACACATGTACTGCAAAGACTATCTATGTATCAGATCACAAAACTATCCGATGTAGAGGGGAAAAAATATGTTTATATTCTTCATTTATCTGTTAAAACTCCACAGTATGGAAAGACAGATATTCCTGAACACCACACAAAACCGCGTTTAGCGGATCTGACTCGCTTTTATATTACTAGCATGTATACACACACTATTATTTATCGATAATCTACGAATCGCAATTCAAGAACCTTGATTATTTCTCTAAGTAAATAAACAGACACACGTGCCAGGAGCGCGTTTATCCACACGCCAAAAGCAAGCAGAAATTGCCGAGATTAACTCTGTTCTAGCTCAACATACGTCTCCGCCAACATACAACCTCGCTCTTAAACTTCCCACAATCGAGCAATTTTCTCCAATCTAACTTCCAAAACTGCTAGTTAGGCTGACTAGCCAACTGAACTTCTCCATATTAGGGCTAAAATGGAGGCGCAGAACGGTCAAAAAGGGCGAAAGACAACAAATAGCAGGCCGGAAGGGCTATCGGCTGGGACCAGGATGAGTGGCTTCCTCTCCCCTATTTCCTAATTGAGTTGGACGTTGAATATGGACGAATCGCTATACGAACTCGTGGAATGGCGTCCGACTCGTAAGCATCGCTTCCAATGGCAGATTTGCTCTTAGTGTTGTCGGGTGGGCTGTTCAACTAACATGTCCATAGCTCTATTTAAGTAATATGGAGGGACCCGGGCATGCGAGGTGTTTCTGTACTTGTTGTGACCTTTTTACCGTTCAGATCATAGGTCCCTTCAGTCAAGTGGTCTCTTAGAGACATCCATTCGTTTATAGTACTACGCTCTTTTACTTTGCTTAAGGACTTTGCCCTCTTTCCTTCCTTTCTTTGCTATCACAAATAACCATGGCAAAACACCTCATTACAACTTTGGCACTTGTAGCCGGTGCCTTCGTCCCTGGTGTCCTCTCGCACAAGACGGAATGTTCGGACGTGACTGCATGGGCTGATATCAAGAATCCTTCCTTTGAACACGGAACTTCTGGATGGAGTTACACCTTCGAAGCAAGCACATCCTCCGCCCACGCTGCGAACGGGTCGGATTCTCTGTATGTCTATTGAATATCCGGCGCGAGGATTCTCCATTTTGCTAATGCTTTGCGACAGGTACCTGCCAGGTGAAGCTCGGTCCTGGAACGTATATCAGACAGTTGATCATCTCATTCCTGGAACATCTTATGCAGTTTCGGTCGATATTCTTCCGTACATGAACCCTACATTTTCGATGCTGGAAACATGCAATATTTACCTTTACCATGATTCCCTTACGCCACCGAACTTGATTTCATACAAAGTCGGGCAGGCATACAACAAGAACACCAACAACTGGTCTAAACTGTCTGGTACATGGACTCCAAAGGCATCTAGTGCCTTGTTGGGATTTTATGCCTCTTGTGGGCCATATGATCTCAATTCTATTTTCAGTATGTATATCGATAACTTCCAAGCAACTTATACAACTTCGGTGTGCACCACCAGCACAAGCACAAGCTCCTGCTCAAGGACCACTGCGACCTCTAGTTCAAGCTCAAGCTCAAGCAGCAGCACTGTAATTACGACACCGGCCAGTACACCGACGCCAACACCTTCGTCTAGCTCAAGCGCCGTCCGCATCAACACCCCGAGCAGCACGCTTAGCAGTTCTCCAACGACGACGCAAGCTTCCAGCTCGGTTGTTGTACTTCCAAGCTCAAGTGCTGTGCCAAGCAGCTCCGCAGTTGTCATTCCTAGTACGAGTGCAGTCGTTATTCCCAGCTCAAGTGCCGTCCCAAGCAGCTCCGCAGTTGTCATTCCTAGTTCGAGTGCAGTCGTTATTCCCAGCTCAAGTGCCGTCCCAAGCAGCTCTGCAGTCGTCATCTCCAGCCCTAGGCCATCACGCACTCCGTGCCGAACCTCTCGTTCTACCACCCCGGCAGTTCCCAGCAGCTCAGCAGTTGTCATTCCTACTTCGAGCGCAGTCGTCATCCCCAGCACTAGCGCCATTCCCAGCACTAGGCCATCACGGACACCATGCCGAACCTCTCGTTCTTCCACCCCGGCAGTCTCCAGCTCCAGCGCAGTTCGCACCGGTACAAGCACTCGTCGTCCATGCTCATCTTCCGGAGCTGTTACCACTAGAGCCTCTTCATCCTTTGTCAGCAGCATAATCACCACTCGTTCTACACGATCTTGCACTTCGACCAGAACTGGTACAGCCTCAGGTTCTGTGGCAACTACATCTTCTTCTGCCTCAATCTCTAGCTCTACCGCAAGCTCAGCGTCCTCCTTGACAACGACAGCAACCACCAGCATTTCAGACTCTGCAAACCCTACCACCACGATCAGTGCTACTACTATTACTGCTATAACGACTACTGCTATAACGACTACTGCTCTCGGCTCGACGACCTCAACAGTCTTCACGACCCGCACGAGCACAATCACTGCCTGCCCAACAACAGTCACAAACTGTCCTGCGCACTCAACCTACGTCGTAACCGAGACCATCGTCGTCTCAACAACCGTCTGCCCCGTCACAGCCACCGCACGCCCAACAGGTACCGGTAGTGGTACTGGCGGCACAGTCGGAGGAGGGGATCAACTCTCAACCTCTACTCTCCTCTCTACCCGTATCGTGACTATCACCGCCTGCCCATCCACAGTCACCAATTGCCCGGCTTCTCAGCATACTACTTATACTACCACTGAAGCCGTTGTAACTGGTACAGTGGTGTATACAGTCACAGGAACTGGGCCTGCCGGAGCCGGTGTCGTTGGCTCTGGTACCGCTGTTGGAGGTCAACCTGCTCCTACCACCGTCTCTGTAAACCCTGGCCAGCTTTCTGAAAATGGAAATAGCAATAGCAGTGGCAACAACAACAACAACAACAACAACAACAACAGTAGCAGCAGCAGCAATGGCAATAGCAGCGGTAGCGCCCCATCAACTTTCAAATCCTCCTCTTCTTCCTCCGCAACCCCCTCATCTCACATATCCCTCCCCGCCGTCCCAACCGTTACTGGTACTTCTTCTACCGGCAAACCCACCGGAACAAAAACTGCATCCGCCGTCACAGGTCTCTACACCGGTGCCGCAGCGCCAGGCATCACTCTCGATACTAGTATCTTGATGGCTGTTCCTGCTGTGTTGGCTATTTTGGCTTTGTAGATTTGATATTCTTCCCCCTAGTTATTATTTAATCTTTTTCTATTCTTCTATTCTCCTCCTTTTTGAGGATTTTTTGATGTCCTTTTGAGATTGCTGTTTTATATTCAATTGATTACTTCACGGTGTAGATTAGTGTCCTACTGTTAAGTGCATTTCGGATAAGACGGTCAAGACTATCATTTATATCCAATAACCCTAAAATTATACACATCCAACCCTTTCAACAGACCAAACCGTCAATCCCCGACGACCAATAACACGATAAATAGTAGCCAGAACTCCATCATCGCCAAAATCAATATCGTCCAGATTCAGATGGTTTTTATATGTCCATTGTTCTGTCATGTGGAGTTGTGGCTCCTTTAGCTCCGAAGAAATAGAAGATGTGTAGGTGTCCAGGAATGTGGCGGAGCGAGGTGCGACGAGGAAGATTAGATTGTTTGATTCGTCTGCGGATGAAAGAGCAGGACAAGCTGGGAGGATGGAATCAACCTGTTTGATCATATCGGTTCCTCGCATGCCCATTAAATCGCGTGTGCGAAGGTGGGCGTGTAGATTGGTGGTGTCACCTAGTAACCATAATGGAGGAGAATACGTCTTCCACCAAAAGACGGTTACATTCGTATATTCGGTTTGTTGATGTTGTGTGATTTTGGACGATATTATAGATGGCATCGCAAGTTGGGTGGGTACTACACCACCTTGATGATAAACGCCCATCAAAAACCCGAGGATGGCATTAAATGCGATCCATGAAAGGAGAAACGGCCGCGTTTTCAGCGGCCGGATACATGTCAGCAGCAACGGCACGCAAGGGAGCAAGAAACGGGGTTCCTGATGCGGAATTGCGGAGAGGATCATGGTCCCTGATACGGCGGAGATGGCGCGTCGGTTGTAGAATGTAGCTGATCTGATGCCTGGTTTCATGAATAAGGACACCACAAGGACCACGAGAGCTGGTCCGAGGAGTTGCGGGAGATTCACAAGGAAATGGTGATAATGAGGGTGAAGGCCATGCTCGGCTAGGTTCAGGCTATTGGAATTATATATTAGGTTATTTAAAGGGGTGATGACCGGATGACGGATACTCTCAATGAAAGACGAGGAACGATAGAAAATGGTATCGGTGAGGATTGCGAGCGCAGAGAATAGTGAGCCGAATCCGACGAGGACAGCGAATGCGAATGGTCTATATGCAAATTAGTATCGTAGGCCGACAACTGTCACACGACAAGACCTACTTCTTGATAAAATGAGGGACTAATTGAAGTCCAGGTATTAGAAGGAATGCCGGAAATGTAATCCTATTAAACACACCGAGTACCACCACCAGCGATAGCACGGCAGGCGAGAAAAATGCGGAGCGTTTCTGGCAGGTCAGCAGGTTGCTTTGACACACATGGAAAGAATAAATCGTACATTATTCTCCACAATACGCTGAATCAATACCAACCCCCAAGTGACCAACAGCGTCTCCAAAGAGTTGGAAAATGTGTGCGTCTGATACGTCCATGTGACATACGACGAGGCCACCAACACCACCGTGGGAACACGATACCGCGGAGTCGGCACTAATTCGTATACAGCCCAGTCCTCCAGCACAAAGCTGAGGACAAACATGCCACCGCGCAAAATGTAGTATATCAGTTCCGGTGGTGGACTACCACCCAGTCCCGTCTCGTTGTAGAACCATTTCACCACGTTCATGGGTAAGCCGTAGACGGGCCATAGTGGGAAGACGCTGCGGATGGGAGTGTCCGATGTGAATTCCCAGGTCAATTGCGAGGGGTACGAGTAGATGCGACCTAGGAATAGTCAGTCGTAAGTTGCCTGTATTTGGTCGCATTTAAGATCGCATACCGGCGAATACCTCCAGACTCTGGAAATGCTCATCCGGATGCACATAACTCGGCGAAAGGGCAAAGTAGATCCGAACAAGCAAGAGTAGCAGATACGTTCGTCTCCACATGATTATTCCGTCTTGATTCTCTCTTTGTGTTCACTGTCGCGCGCTTTGAACCGGATTAATGAAGGTGATGTCTTTGATTCTTGACGTCTAACATGTCGCATGGTAAAGTATTGTTGGTTCCTGTAACACGGCAGACACGGACATGGTGTGTTTGGAATGCTGAAGCTAGTGAAACGAAAGGAGAAACCGTCTTGCACAAAGACTTCAGCTATGTAGGTCTAGTCATTAGTAATGGAGGAGAGGTTAAGATGAGGATGAAAGGAGCTGAAGCGATAAGAAGACCGACCGATCCTAATCGGCGCGAAAGCACGGCGCGTCTTGCGCATGACGTCGGCTATTCGTGTCGTAGAGTAGCCTAGGTATACAGGTATACAAATAATTACTTAGAACTGTGTTGTGTCTATACCATGTAGCCTCTGTCTTTGTCGTCCAGGCAATGGAAGAATAACAATCCCATCATCTGTTATGAGTCTCGCTCAATAAAAGATTGATTGGGACAGCTGCCTGGACAGCCAAGCACCAAGAAGGTTAGTTAGTAAGGCTGCCGCCGCTAGTTTAGCCTGCAGACTTCCTCATATCATTGCTTCATTGTCTACTTATTCAGCCTTCAACTCCCAACCATTTCATATTCCCAACCCCGACATCATCAAAGGATTTCGCTTTTGTGTCTGTCTCTTTGGTAAGAAACTCTCCAGCATTTGTTTCTCTCGAGCTGTGGCGGGCGCAAATTTAAATATAAACGCCCAGTCTGACCGCACTCCCCGCTCAACATTCCCGCAATTGCTAACCTCAAACGCTCTATCTCAAGACAGTCTTACGATCTACCCCTCACCTCTCAACGTTTCAAATCAAATCGCGTCGATAAATAATATCGAAATGTCGGGACAAGTTACACTTCAGAGCTCCGACCAGGTGAACATCACTGTTGGTGCGTACACTCCATTTTTTACAATGTCGCAGTGGCAACTGTTTAGTTTCGTGTTCAACCACTCACTCTGACACAGAGCGTGCCGTCGCTGAGCGCTCTATGCTCATCAAGAACTTACTGGAAGATCTGGGCGAGTCCGAAGAACCAGTACCCATCCCCAACGTCAACGAATCCGTCTTGAAAAAGGTCATTGAATGGTGCACTCATCACAAGAACGATCCCCAGACCACCGGTGAAGAGGACGATAACCGTCGACGAACCACAGAGATTGATGAGTGGGATCAAAAGTTCATGCAGGTTGACCAGGAGATGTTGTTTGAGATTATCTTGGTATGTTGCTACTCTTGAGGACTGCCATGTCGGTTCACACAGTGGTTGAGCACCCGCTGACTGTAGTGACAGGCTGCAAACTATCTCGATATCAAGGCCCTTCTTGACGTTGGCTGCAAGACAGTCGCAAACATGATCAAGGGCAAGTCACCTGAAGAGATCCGCAAGACTTTCAACATCCAGAATGACTTCACTCCCGAGGAGGAAGATCAAATCCGTCGTGAGAACGAGTGGGCTGAAGAGTGAGCCATACTACCTTAGAAGATTGGTTTTGCATATTACTAACTCTGATATAGTCGCTAAACAATCTCGTTCCTTCTTTTTGCGAGTCGTTCTAAATGACTGTACGAACACGACACCCCGTACAGTCAGATAATTGCTATTATTCTATTCCCCTTGCATACATCCTAGTTAAACGATTATGAAAAACAACCGAGGCGAGAAAGGAGAATCTTTTTTTTTTTTTGGTGCGTGTTTGTACTAGTCACTCGAGTCCTCGATCATTCGGTCAGATAGGCGTTTTTTGAGAGTGAATGAGATTACTCTGATTGTGCCATGACATGTCCTTAAGTCGTAAAGATTTCATGCAATGGTGTATTTGCATCCCTGGAAGAATCAAGATTAAATTTCTTAAAAAGCCATACTGCTACTTCCTACGCGTTTCAAATCGGATAAAGTAAATCATGCACATTGATGTTCCCATTCATGACTAAATCAAGATCAAACCAAGATTCAATCTTTCAATACCCATATCCATTCCCCTCTCCCTTCCACAACACAGTCGACACCAAATGTAAAACCGAAGCAGGAAAGTCATGCATAAAACTTGTCTTGTCCCTTTTCCCTCTCATTCCTTGGATCTAACGATCATAGTCCTCAGAAATCCGGTGCCGTCAAGTGTCGCAAATGGATATTTAAAAAAGTAAAACATCAATAAGCCGATCGATTTTTTTTTATATTTCATTTTTTTCGTCAAGAGGGAGAAAAAAAGGTATTCGTCATTTGCTTTAGGGAGATCGATCGAAAGACAAAAAGACCATCATCATCAAAGGAAGAGCGCCGAGAGGATTGTTGCGGTGTGATTTCTGACGGGTGAAGGAGGAGAAACTTAGATACCGAGACGGGTCTTGCGCCAGTGTCGTCGCTTGGCGTTGTATCTGTAGATTTGTTGTTAGTACTATGCGTCTTTTGCGATTCGTTTTTATTCGCGAATGCCAGATCGACAGGTTTTTTATCGACGGCTTTTCAGTATCCCATTGGAACTCTCCCCGTTCAACAGCCGACGACGGACAACCACGATCGAAAACGACACGCCTCGCATTAACAAATATCGATTTACCTGATGGTGTTACCAGTCCTGAGACGAATCCATTGAGGGATAGGACGGTTCTGCTTCTGGGCTTTGGCAAGCTTTTGCTTGGTGCGGAAGGACTTTTGGCTCTGTTGATATTCATCGATTAGCACCCATGACGAAAATAAAATCAAATCATATTATCAGCGACAGAGATAATCGCAGAGACTGGCATACCGGCATCTTGATGGCTTGTCGTTCGTTCGAGATACTGAACTCAAGGTATTGTCGTCAAGTCGTGAAGGTCAGTCTTCGGGTAAATTTTGTTGTGTGGAGGGTTCGCTTGGTGTTGGTCACGTGAGCGGGTTGTGTGTCGTGTCTTGGCGTTGGTTGTTGCCTTGCTGCCTTTGCTGCCTGTGGAACCCGAACACGAGCATTTACTATGTAGTGCTCCATCTGAACGAACTTCACGAAGTAGACAGTGCAACCTGTCCAGCATTCGGATGTCCTCTCTCCGTGTTTATACATATCTACATATCAGCACTGCTTAATGTTGAATGCATCTGGCTAGATGTCAGATGGCAGCATCGTAAAAGTCTCCCGACCAGGCCTAGTGCAGCCCTGACTCGTGAGGTCATGTACTCCTTCGGATAGGGATTCGGACACAAAAGCACCCCGCGGATCGTTGCACACAGGCAGTCTCGATTTTCTTCTGTGTATCGTCGGGTCTTTCTTGACGAGGAAGGCCCGAAGAAAGAATAGCCCCCCTGTTAGTACGGGCCCGGTGCTTTCGAGCAGTGGGTTCGGTCGTTTATCTCGTTTTCATGCTTACGTGCTAGCTAGCATAATGAACTTATGAGCGAACGCTTTGAAATTACGAAGCATCTATTCATCGTTTAAATGGGAATGCGAATGCGAATGCGAATGCGAATGTGAACTATGTAGTGTCTCTCTCAGAGAATATCCCGCTGGCTACTTCATCCGGCAAGCACTGCGAACAAGAAATTATCAGATACGGAATACGACACTAGTACAGACATTAGAGCTCGCCGTCCCGATCCTTTCTCCGCTGTCACGACTAAATCTGACGCCGTTGCTCAGATCAGCCAACCAGAACACTCAGAATACGCGGATTGTCTCTGGACAAGACTCCTAACAAGTCGACCAGGATAATAAGCAGCATAAGTCAGTGCTCGGGGAGAGTTCTTCCCGTCGTTCATAGCATTCAAAGAATGCTATTCTGTCAGAGTTCTAGAAGATCCTACATAAACTGTTGCCTGCTGCTTCTTCTTCTTCTTCTTCTTCTTCTTGGTTCTGTTACTTGACTGCCTACGTGTCTTCCTTGTCACTCCTTTCTGTTAGTTTCACCCCTCAAGACTGGCTTATCTATAATATTGTGATGTAGCCTGCATTGCATTGTGTTCTATAACTAACTTCGCTAGCTTTCCATTCAACAGCTATAACCGAACTTCATATCGTTCGTTGATCTGTTACAAGATTTGCCCCTCCACTACTACTATTATCACTGAGCTCTATCATCCTAGCTCAAATCCTCAAAGCTTCACAGACCCCGGAAACCTTAGACCGGCCAATCAGAAAGCAGCTTCAGTTTGGACTCATACATATTGGACTTCCTGAACGACTTCTCGGCCCTTGCCCATTTCCAATATGGGCCCTACTAGGGCATCCCCTCCCGAGGGGACAGACTTATCAGCATCTCCAACCCATGCCAGCGCCGAAGAAAAGACACTAGCCGAATCCGAGAAAAATCAAGAAAGTCTCCCAGTCTCCTCATCCAGTAACACGTCGTCTGACAAAAAGAGTCCCAAGGAAAAGACGGAAAAGCTCACTGCGACGGGGGCGGAAGTGCCTCCGTCTGATCGTGCGGAATCCCTTGAACTGGAGGCTGTTTTAAAAGAACTTCCGGAAGATGAGAGACGCATTATTCAGGAACAGCTGGACTCTCCGACTGTGCAGGTCAATTTTTTCAGCCTCTATAGATATGCGACGACATGGGATCTGGTGATTATTGCTATTAGTGTCATCTGTGCTATTGCCGGAGGTGCTGCTCTACCGCTGTTCACTGTAAGTTAAGATTTTTGAGTCATTCTGACAGCTGCTAATGCTCCTGCGGATCCTCTTCGGTCAATTGACCACCGATTTCCAAGGTATTTATTTAGGCACGGTCGGGTACGACGAATTCCATCATCAACTCGTCAAGAACGTACTCTACTTTATTTACATTGGTATTGGTGAATTCGCTACCATATATATTGCGACTGTCGGTTTCATATATACCGGAGAGCACAATACTCAAAAGATCCGCGAAGCTTATCTCCACGCAATTCTGAGACAGAACATCGGCTACTTTGATAACATCGGTGCCGGTGAGATTACCACCCGTATCACAGCTGACACCAACCTCATTCAGGACGGAATTTCCGAAAAAGTGGCTTTGACGCTGGCAGCATTGGCTACTTTTGTCACTGCATTTGTGATTGCGTATATCAAGTATTGGAAATTGGCTCTCATCTGCTCTTCGAGTGTCGTCGCTATTGTCCTTGTTATGGGCGGCGGCTCGCAGTTTATTATCAAGTACAGCAAACTATCTTTGGAGAGCTATGCTGTGGGAGGCAGTTTGGCAGAGGAGGTTATCAGCTCTATTCGCACCGCCACAGCATTTGGTACGCAAGAACGGCTGGCCCAACAATACGATAAACACCTTGGTGTGGCCGAGAAATGGGGTGCCAGGCTGCAAACAATCTTTGCTCTCATGTTAGGCGGCATGTTCTGCATCATGTACTTGAATACAGGTCTAGGGTTTTGGATGGGTTCCCGTTTTGTCACAAACGGTGACATTCAAGTTGGCCAGGTTCTGACCGTGTTGATGGCTACGATCATATCGTCGTTCAGCTTGGGAAACGTTGCGCCGAATGCTCAAGCGTTTACGAGCGGTGTTGCTGCTGCTGCGAAAATCTTTAGTACTATCGATCGAGCTTCACCTCTTGATCCGACTTCGGAAGAAGGTCAGAAATTGGACGAAGTTGTAGGCAGCATTGAGCTGCGCAATGTGAGTCACAGGTATCCTTCGCGACCAGATGTGCCTGTCATGAAGGACGTGAGTTTGTTCATTCCCGCCGGAAAGACGACTGCTTTGGTCGGTCCTTCGGGTTCGGGAAAGAGTACGATTATCGGATTGGTTGAACGTTTCTATAACCCTATCCGTGGAGAAGTCCTCTTGGACGGTCACAATATCCAATCTCTTAACCTGCGATGGCTTCGACAACATATTTCGCTTGTCAGCCAAGAGCCGATTCTTTTCGCTACAACTATCTTTGAGAACGTCAGATATGGCTTGCTCGGTACAGAGTTCATCAACGAAAGCGAGGAGAAACAGCAGCAACGTATTGAACAGGCTTTGGAGATGGCTAATGCTCTTGACTTTGTGAACGCTCTTCCTGAAGGCATACATACCCATGTTGGCGAGCGAGGTTTGTTGCTCTCTGGTGGTCAGAAACAGCGTATTGCTATTGCTCGGGCTGTTGTTAGCGACCCTAAGATTCTTTTGCTCGATGAAGCCACATCTGCTCTTGACACGAAGTCCGAAGGAGTCGTTCAAGCAGCTCTAGATAAAGCCGCCGAGGGCCGTACCACCATCGTCATTGCCCATCGATTATCCACAATCAAAACGGCACACAACATTGTGGTCTTGGTCAATGGCAGCATCCAGGAACAAGGCACCCATGATCAACTGATAGACTCCCAAGGCGCCTACTACAGATTGGTTGAAGCACAACGCATCAACGAAGAGAAAGAATCCAAAGCTCTCACGGAAGGAGATGCAGAAGAGGAAGCCGCCGCCCTGGAGGAAGAAGAAATAGAGCGCACGACATCTCGTATTAAAATGTCTCGCACGTTAAGTTCCACTGGCTCTGGACTGAAACCCAGCCTCGAAAGAGAGACTACACGCAGATCAATATCGAGCATCGTTCAGTCCAAGAAGGAGGCCCCCAAGGAAGTGCATTATTCGCTATGGACACTCATCAAATTCATTTACTCGTTTAACAAAAAGGAGACTCCCTTTATGCTGGTCGGTCTTGTTTTTGCCTGTCTTGCAGGTGGTGCTCAACCTACTCAATCCGTCCTCTATTCCAAATCCATCGTCACCCTATCACAACCTCCGAGTCAATTCGCAAAGCTGAGACACGACGCTAGTTTCTGGTCCCTCATGTTCCTTATGCTCGGTCTCGTTATTCTTCTCGTGCATTGCACGCAAGGTGTTATGTTTGCATACAGCTCCGAAAAGCTTATTCGCCGGGCACGTAGCCAAGCTTTCAGGACAATGCTGCGTCAAGACATCACCTTCTTCGACAACGACGAAAACAGCACAGGCGCCTTGACCTCATTCCTCTCAACAGAGACCAAACACTTATCCGGCATGAGCGGCGCCAACCTCGGAACACTCCTAAACGTGACAACAACTCTGTGCGCATGCTGCGTTATAGCTCTTGCTGTTGGCTGGAAGCTTGCCCTAGTCTGTATTGCAACTATCCCCGTTCTATTGGGCTGTGGATATTGGCGTTTCGCAGTCCTTGCGCAATTCCAAGAACGATCCAAGAAAGCATACGAAAGCTCGGCTAGTTATGCGTGCGAAGCGACTTCTGCCATTCGCACCGTTGCCTCGCTGACCCGTGAAGAGGACGTTTTAAATACTTATCGAAAACAACTAGAAGCACAGACGAAGAAAAGTCTGTTTTCCGTCGCAAAGTCGTCTGTCCTATACGCTGCTTCTCAGGGATTGTCGTTCTTTTGTATGGCTTTGGCCTTTTGGTACGGTGGAGAACGCTTTGGTAAGCACGAGTACACCATGTTCCAGTTCTTCCTTTGCTTCACTGAAGTCATCTTTGGATCACAATCGGCGGGTACTATTTTCTCCTTTGCGCCTGATATGGGTAAATCGAAAAATGCAGCTATCCAGTTTAAGAAGTTGTTTGATCGTCGTCCGGCTATTGATGTCTGGTCGGAGGATGGACAGATATTAGACAGTGCTGAGGGTACAGTCGAGTTTCGAGATGTTCATTTCCGCTATCCGACTCGTCCTGAGCAACCTGTCCTCAGGGGTTTGAATTTAACGGTCAAACCGGGTCAATACGTTGCTCTAGTTGGCGCAAGTGGATGTGGAAAGAGTACAACGATTGCACTTCTAGAACGATTCTACGATCCAATTTCCGGTGGAGTGTATATTGATGGCAAGAACATTGCTAGTTTGAACGTCAACTCTTATCGCCAACACCTGGCTTTGGTCAGTCAAGAACCAACTCTTTACCAGGGTACGGTCCGAGAGAATATTCTCTTGGGAAGTAATGCGACAAATATATCGGAAGAAGACATAATCAAAGCCTGCAAAAACGCCAACATCTATGACTTTATCTTATCCTTACCGTAAGCCTCCCCTTCCCCGCCCCCCTGCACTCTCCTTTCGTAGTGAGAAGAATACTAACATCATCCAGAGACGGCTTCGACACCATCGTCGGCAGCAAAGGCGGCATGCTCTCCGGCGGCCAAAAACAACGCGTCGCAATCGCTCGCGCCCTTCTCCGCGACCCCAAAATCCTCCTCCTGGACGAAGCCACTTCAGCGCTAGACTCTGAATCCGAAAAAGTCGTCCAAGCCGCACTAGATGCAGCTGCTCGAGGCCGAACCACAATCGCAGTCGCGCACAGATTGAGTACAATCCAAAAGGCGGATGTGATTTATGTCTTTGATCAGGGTAAGATTGTCGAGAGTGGGAATCATCAGGAGTTGATTCGGAATAAGGGGAGGTATTATGAGCTTGTGAATTTGCAGAGTTTGGGGAAGACTCATTAATTTTCCCCCTTCAACTTTTTATATAGCATTCTTTTCCAGCGGTGTTTTGGATCTACGTTTTGGAGCTGAAAACTGATATACCCTACTTCCCTCACTTTATTCATCTCACTAACTTGCATTATTGTACTGTTCTCCCCGATCATCTCCTTTCCTATATATTCTTCTTCATTCCCCTTCTTCCTCAAAATCTCATTCATCATGTACATATCAACCTCGTCGAACTGTTTGACGTCCATGTTTACTCTTTTGGTTAGACACAGTTCTACATTTGTATACCCTTCTATGTTCTATTAGTCTTACACAAATCTTTTGCAATATATGAAAATATAATTACTCTCTCAGGTCTATAACTACCTACGATTCATGTAAACGGCAAAAAAGGAATCGATTCATTATTATATACAGATCAATGATAACGGACATGGACTCATAAGACAATCCATACCCATGCATAACGTATATTCTATGATAGAAATCCCAACCAGAACCATCCTAAACCCATTATCCCCTTTAATCCCTCTTCTCACTCACACCATTGCCCTTCCTAACATCCACATCCTCATCTTCCGCAATCCACTTCACAACATTTGTTACAGACGAAGACTCAACCCCCAAATCAACCCCACTAACAAACATCTCGCTCACAAACTCCAAACCAGCAACAAAGAAACAAAGCAAATTCGCAATCACAAAATGACTAATCGTCGTCCCAATCTCGAGCCACGAGCCATCGTCGCGAACCATGTAAAAAAAGTTCAGGGTTGAGATATCCGATATCGTCATGACAGTCATGAAGAGTGCGCTCGGAGCGACTTCGAGGCGTTTGTTGAGAATACCTAGGTTGGCGCTGATGACAGCGAAGGGAATCATGAGTTTTAGGATTAGGAGGGCGCCTTGGCTGAAGGGGTTGAAGATGGGGATGAGGCGGTTGACGCTCTCGAGGGAGAAGGAGGAGACGGATGCGATGTTGCCTGTGCTGAAGAAGCCGGATTGCACGAGGTAGAAGAAGAAGAGTGCTACGCGGGTGTCGGAGAGGGTGAGGGCGCGGTAGGAGTGTGTTTCGCCGGTGACGGTTGTTGTTTGGGTAGTGGGTTTGTTGTTTGAATCAATAGCCGGGGTTGGAGTTGATTGTTTCTGATATACGTAAAGAGCATGTTCCAGTCGGACCCACGTGGCCAGAGTCATGCAGAATACAAAGTAGAATAGGCCTTCATATGAAATGGTGAGAATCACGAATGTCGGGGCAAAAGTGAGGAAGATCATCACTAGTCGGTGTAAGTAGTAGCTATTCGGGTACATTCGATGAGCGAATGGGAGAAGCAACGAGGATACTGCGAAAGAATGAGCTTCAACTATTCGTGAAAAGAGTAGTATACTTACCCAAGACGATCCACCCCACGATCTGATTGCCTAGGGGAAGACCTGCTTTGGCTTGTAGGGATAGTGCGCTGGAACGTGTGACAATCACAGCGAGAAGTATCATGCCCAACTAGAGAGCTTCATTAATCAAACGAGAAATATTTTGGAGGACAGAGAAATACCTGTATTCCCATGATTATGCGAGACCCAGCAACGCTGATTGGATGCCCAGTTCCCTTCGTGATAGTTTCTTCAAAGGCTAGGTAGAACAAACCAGCCAAAAACATGAGCATTCCTCCAATGGTACTAAACGACATGTCAGACGTGGCCTTTGAAATATGAATAAGCACTTACATTGTTGTAGTATCCTCGACCTTGACAACAGGCAAAAGTGTAAAAATGCTCATGAGACAGCAACCAACAAACCAAGCTGCCGTAAGAGCGAGATGGCGCGATATAAACGCTTTACCGTAGAAAAGAGGCCAAAAGGCTGCAAGAATGAACAATATAGTAAATATTTCTCGGTGGCAATATGACTGTACCTGTAATAATAACGAGTTAGTGTCCTTTTACGTGTATCTGATTGCTGATGACTTACCAAGGCTTCCAGCACCCCTAGAAACACTACAGCCTGCAGAGCAAACACAACGTAGCCACCAACAGAGCTTACATGTTTCAGTAAAATCTGTTGACCAGCGACTAAAGCCTTTTTTCGAGCAAACACCTCCTCCCAGAAGAATACAGGGAAAGCCCCGTATGCATAATATCTCCACGAAGAACGTTGATATATAAAAATGGAGTATATCCCGACAAGGATAGACACAAAGACTGACGTGCTAAAAACCGTGCGGTGTGCATCAGATGATCCGTGCAGAACATGAAGATCGATGACGGTCGTAATTGCATATGCAATCCACCCTAGGTATCCTAAAGTGACAATTGTACGTAAGAAAAGCCAATCGTAAGTCTGCAGATATCGAAGTCCCGCGAGCGCAGAAGTGAAAACTTTTGAAGATACCTCGATAGATTCATCATATTTGCCTTCGGAAATCAAGGATTCAATTTCTGAAGTGAGTGCGGCTAATTTTTCCTCTCCTAACGGCGCATATGGCTTGAAATTTAGTTGGTTCTGGCTCTTTTGCTTCTCCTTGACATGATACATCTCCAAGACCTCCTGTGTATTGGCCCAAAACGCCAGAGCCTTTCCCCGTGGCGATGCATCAATATATTCAAGAGGAAGTCGGCCAACTGAGTTCACTGGAAATTCTAATCCAACTAGGTAAGCCATAAGAGCAGCAACATCGGCTTGTTCCACATCATGTCTTCTAATCTGATCAAACCCCCAGTCAGACGAGAAGCCGTCCTCATGGCCGCTGGACTGTCCCTCTTCCACATACTTGGGAGAAGCAACGCCGGAACCCCAAACCACAAGAGGAGTACGCGTATTATCAGGATGACCATCTCCATGGCTACCCCAATCACTCATACCATGATCTGCCGTGAATACGTAGGCGGTCTTGCCGTCATTGTAAAAGTTATCGATTAACTCTGTAATCTCCTGGACGCCCTTATCGACAATCTTGATATTATTCAGGTACTCCTTGGAATACGGCCGAAAACCATGACCAGTTGTATCCAGGCCAAGCAGATGAAGGAAAAAGACAATCTTGTCTTCTCTCAATTGCGCATTCAACTCAGGATTCGTCTTGGCCTCCGCAAAGAGCTCTTTGACTTTATCAAAGACCCAGATATCTAATTGAGTTGCGTCTGAAGTAAAATCCTCCGCTGCCTCGTGGTATGTATCGGCATCGACGCGCCCGGGAACGGCTCCTTCTTTAAACATGGGGAGAATATCCGGGCTACCCCAACTCCATGTATGTCGACTTCGGTTAAAGACACTGTCAAAATTCACCGGGTTCAATTTCCATCCTGTCATCACCGCCGAGACATCCTCGTATAAACCCGCAATCAGAGCAACATGGCCCGGCCGAGATTCCGTAGGAACACGGGTATGCGAAACTCCAAAGGTACCGTGATCTAACACTCGAGAGCGTACAAAGGGAGCTAAGCGAATGAGAGTATCGACGTCTTCCGAACCGAGTTCCGTAGGTGGTGAGGGATCTGGGAAAGCCTGAAAAGCTTTATCGGCACGAAGACCATCTCCGACGAACAGGACGAGACGTTTTGCGGGTGCTTCTGTTCCGATTTCGCGTTCCGTACTGAACGGTCGCATGCCACTAACAATGGGGCTGACGAAGTAGATGTCAAATATCGAATAGAGGTACATTAAATGAAAGGCGAGCGCCAGGGTCAAAAACCCCAAGCGGCCGATACGCGCCATGATTGCGGACGTGGAGGGAATCTTATTCTTCAGATGTAGTCAATGATGGATGAGAAAAGGAGTGGAGATGCTGCTATCGCAAGGACTTGGGCATCATGGTCATCGTCAGGTTGATGTTGTTGAGACCATGTAGAATCAATTGTTCATCGTCTCCTATTGCCCTGTTGTTCATGAAACCGGCAATAATTCTAGATCCTGCAGGGTACCTGTGAGAGCTCTGTCTACACGCGCTGATTGGTTGAAATAATCGACCGCCTTTCAAGTTCGGGCAGGATCAATTGTGGGTCTCTGATTACTGGAGGCCAATCGCACTTCCTAATAAACCCACGATGAATGGCAGTAAACATTGAACATTTAACGTTCAAGTTCTCAAGCGATTATCGAACTACTGAAACAAAAGCAATCTCCAAGACTTGTATGGAGTCATCCACAGCCAGAAAGGAAGAGCAAGAACGAAGAATATCCAACATCGAACGCATTAACAGACCCAAAACCAATAAGCCAATAATTCAATACTCCAAGCCCAGCGCCCAATGCATACTTCAACTCCATTACTCATCTGGATCAATACGTCGTTTCGTGAGGGAGTCCATAACCCTCGTGTAGAATTTCGATGCGTTCTGCCGCGAAAACGTAATATCCACAGTAAGATAGTCTGGTAAAATCTCAACTAGATCTGCATCGCGATTAGAGTCCAAAAGGGGCATATAATGGAACTCGGTCGTATCAAAATTGGAAGCCATGTTGCCGTTTCCATCGTGCGCAACAGCAAGTTTGAAGTGTAGAGCTGATGGAGAAAGTTAGTTCTGTAGTATGTCAAATGTAGGTATTTGAAGTACTCACTTCCATTCGCACCAGTTTGAATACAGTCGTAAAGATAGTCTGCGTCTCTTTTCTTGACATTTCGAATGATCAAGCCAGTCAAATCACTATACAAGTCCTCTTTCAATTGCGCAAGATGAGCAGCTTGAGCCGCCTCAGCTGCAACACCTGCTGCAGCATTGCGATTTGCAACGCTTTTGACAGCGCTTCCGGGGCCCTTGTTATTCAAGGAATCGTTTGGCACAGAACTGTTCCTTGCTGCTGCCAATTTTGTCTGCAACGCTTTGATTTCTGTTTGGGCCGTTGACAATTGTGTCGACAGATCACCGACCTGTGATTGAAGTGTATTCACCTCTATATCCCGCTGTCGTAGTTGCTTCTGCAAGGTCCGAGATTCTTTCCCTAGTACTTTCTGAGCAGCAAGCTCTTCCTTTAGAGACTCCACAAGTTTGTTTGAAACTGAAATTGGCGGTTAGCATGATTGTCATTGCAGAGAGCGAATGTCCAGTCTTACCATTCGTAGCGCTTTCACACTGTTTTCTTATTTTCTCAAAATTGGCATTGGCCTCCACAATACCAATTTCTCGCAAGTTGCGGTACTTCAATTCCAGCGTCTCGTACTTCTTTGTCATGTCGCCGAGCTTGCGTCTCAGATCCGGGTCCGATGATGCCTTTTCCACGGTGTCTGCGAAAGTGACAGTTGCACGTTTCCGACCAGGCCTCTCACCATTAGTCAAAGATTTCAAAGGGGAGCCTATGCTAGACCTCTTGTCTGAAGATTCTATCTCGTCTGCTGGGTTTTGGCTGTCGGGAATCACAGGCTCTTCCGTCACGGATTTCCGTTGCCTACCACGGGGTTTGGTAGGTTTGCTAGATTCTTCGGTGGGCTTGAATTGTCGCGACGCTGTTGGTGTATATTCAAATTCACCGTCTTCCGTCACGTGCGTTTGTTTCCTATTACTTTCAGATTCTCGCGGCCTACCCCTCCTCTTTTTGACTGGTGATACTTCTTCCTGCGCAGCGATTTCCTCTTCATAAGCACTTGCTTCTTTAGCAACATCATGAAAGTCCAATCCGTCGTCACTATCTTGGCCAGTGGTTTCAGGCTCTGCGGTGGCTGCTCGAGGCCGTCCTCGGTTCGAAACTTTCTTTGCGGGGACATTCTGCTTCACTGGTGCAGCTGATGAGGAGCGCGTACTTTTAGATGCTGCTGTTTGTTCCTCGACCTTGACTCCGGTCGATTTAGGTCTGCCTCTGGCTTTCTTCACAGGTCGTTCATCTGGTGATTCGGAATGCGACGCGACTGCGATGATATCGCCAGTATCGTCGTCGGAATCGACCAACCCCGAGATTTGAGTCGCAGCTTTCCTCTTCGGCATGATTGCGTAAAATATTATTATACTTGACACTTAAACTAGCGACTTATATGTATGCGGTTAACGTCAAGAGGAAGATCGCAACACCAAAGAGTGTCAACTCAACTCCCCATGTTTGTGAAGGCTTGGCGCGGCGCGCGAGAACGTGTGGACTCAGAATACGCGCTAAGACCTTTAGGGCGCCAAAGCATGTGATTTCCCTCTTCAGTGTCTCCGCGGCAAAGCCACATCCAATCACGTCGTCACCGCCACGGAATCAGGCATACGCTTGAGTCTACCATATTGCGGCCCATCTGTTTTCATATCGAACTATAGATCTCGCACTCATTCTCTTTGTCTTTCTTCTTCATATCTTGAATATGGCGTCAGGTGGAGTTCGAAGATGGCAGCAGTTTTTCCAGGAGCTGGTGATGATAGCCGGCACAGTAAGACCGTCAAATGCCCCAGACAATCCTTATGACCTCGTGCTAACCTCAACCATCTCAAGTCGGCCTCTGCTTATTTTCTCGTCCGACACTTACTATCGCGCATTGACCAAGATCCTGAAAACCAGAAGAAGGAAGAACAGAGGAAGAAATCCGCAGCTATTCTGCGAAGACTCGATGGCCCCGACTCCGACTCCGATTCCCCCAACCGAGGCGGTTCGCGCCGACGACGGAAACAGAAGAGAGAAGAGTTGGTGTTGAATCAATACGAACAAGCTATTGCAATGGATGTTGTTGCTCCGGAAGATATCGCAGTGTCATTCGAGGACATAGGAGGACTCGATGATATCATTGAAGAGTTGAAAGAGTCCGTGATCTATCCATTAACCATGCCTCATCTATATGCCTCAACATCGTCGCTGCTCTCCGCCCCATCCGGTGTTCTGCTCTACGGCCCTCCGGGCTGCGGTAAGACAATGCTCGCCAAAGCGTTGGCGCACGAAAGCGGGGCTTGTTTTATCAATTTACACATTTCCACCTTGACCGAAAAGTGGTACGGCGATTCCAACAAATTAGTCAATGCTGTCTTCTCACTGGCTAGAAAGCTACAACCATCCATAGTCTTTATCGACGAAATTGATGCAGTCCTGGGTACGCGGCGGAGCGGTGAACATGAAGCTAGCGGAATGGTTAAGGCCGAGTTTATGACACATTGGGACGGACTGACGTCCACAAACTCCCTGGGGGAGCCACAGCGGGTTGTAGTGCTGGGTGCTACGAACCGGATTCAAGATATTGATGAGGCCATTCTGCGACGTATGCCTAAGAAGTTCCCTGTTAGCCTCCCTCCAGCTGCACAGAGGCTTCGCATTCTCGCCCTTGTCTTGAAGGATACTAAGATTGACCGCGCGAACTTCGATCTTGAGTATCTTGTCAGCGCCATGGCAGGAATGTCAGGTAGCGATATTAAGGAAGCCTGTCGAGACGCGGCAATGGTTCCTATGCGTGAACTCATTCGAGAGAAGAAAGCGGCTGGCATCCACATGACGACAGTTGAGCCCAAAGAAGTACGCGGGCTGCGCACAGAAGATTTCTATAACCGTGCCGGTAGCGGATTGAAGGTTATCCCTAAACCACCAACTGCGCCGAGGCGCGAGGGCAAAGTTGTCAGTGAAAAGGATGAGAAGGAATGGGCAACTGATTCTGAGGGAGTAGAAGAGGAGGTGCAGCCACAAGCTACGATACCAACTACGATTTCCGAGCCGCATGAGTAGTGGAGACGTGCGAATTAATGTATCACTGCTCTTCCCTCTATTATATGGCTGTGTTAGGCATGCCACACTAGCATGCAGGGCGTTCTGGATATAAATTTCTTGTATACATATCTATTGCCTGATTTATTTGCTGGACCGTAAGACACATGTCTCTCAGCTCAATTTTTGTTTGATCTTTGCTAGATATAAGTTAATGACAACGTGGAATGATACCTGACAATCCAAGTATAGCTGGGCAGACGTAGTGTTAACTGTATAATTATCGAATAGTGTCAAAAGTCAGGAGTAACTTGTTTGATTGAGATGGGACTGTGGATCAGGCTTGGCGCCGCGTGGATAGCGGCGGCGGGATGCCAGATTGGATTCAAGGACCCCGGCTAGTGTCACTCCGGAGTACGTATTACTCTCGCCTTCTGACAGAAACAACGTACCTCCCATACATTTCTCGAACGACAAACCAATCGCATAGCCATCTGCTTTTGGGAATAATAGCCATATTACGGTATCGTCGACTTGTCTCAATTTATACCCCAAATACAGATCTTCAAGGCACCGTCCGAATCCGCGCGCTTAGTGGTTTCGTCACCTGTTGGCTTTGTACCTCTGCGTGTTTGCTGTCCTTTTCAACCAAGCTCTGACTTCGCATATATCCGACAAAAGTACGCCAAAGATACTCACTACACTAAAGGATATTTCTTGCTGAAGGAATGACGGAGAATTAAAAGGCTCCCAAGCGGTTACCACCCAGGCTTGGTGGGGAGTGGTTTATCGCCTTCGGAGGCTATATCGAATGATTTAATACTATCCCAGCCAGGCCTTCGCAGACGGCCCCGAGCGTTTTATCGATCTTCCACGTCAAAATTACGGAGTACGGAGGACCTATATACAAACAGAAATAAACACCCAGAGCCATAAGTCACTGTAGGAATGAGCTCCAATAGCGACATCCTCGATTGTCTCAACCCAGCGGCGGTGTCAAGCACAAGTCGCGGATCGAATACATCCGTCCGATCTCGAAATAGAGGGCTCATATCTGTGAATGATGATGGTGAGGGTGAAGGGACGCAGGTTTCGTCAACTTCTAGACTCGGATCTTCGTTTACTGGACTGTCCCCGTCCCGATCCCGAGGTACAACACCATCCCCATACGCATCGCGAGGGGGGTCGCCTCTACCTCAAAAACAGTTCTCAAGGATATCGGAGCGGGATCTCAGCGGCGGTTATAGGAGTGATGAAGATACGTGTGGAAGCAGAGACACTTTTCAGCCATTCAATACGTCGAATAATCCATCTGGATTTTTAGAATCGTCATGGTCGTCTATTCAAAACCTTACTTCGTCACTTCTGGGAAGTGACTTGAAATGGGGCAAGTCAAGTTCTAATTCTACAGCTTCGATGAAACGCCGAAAACCCTCGCGATCTGATATTCCTGTGAGTCTATCGAAACAGCAGGGGCTTTCGTCATGGGCCCCTCCGACTCGTTCAACCCCCCAAATCGGCGTGGGAACGCAGGAAGAGCGACAGGCTTTAGTACAGGCGAAGAAAAGAGAGGTGTTGCTGCTTGTCAATGGCGATTCATTATCTGAGATGAGAGGCTGGTATAAGCGAAAAGACTCGGATGGTAGTATCATGGATCCGGAGCGGGATGAAGAGGCACTGGTCTACATCCATCACGTCCAGCCGAGCGATACAATGACGGGGTTATGTATCAAGTATGGATGCCAGCTTGCGATATTCAGAAAGGCGAACGGCTTCTGGCCGAGCGACAGTATACAGACGAGGAAGGTAGTGCTCTTGCCCGCCGAAGCATGCTCGGTTAAAGGACGGCGTGTGAATCGGGGTAGCAATGTCGATTTTCTGGGCGATGATCTGTCTGGCGAAAGTTCCTTGGAAGACCCTGCTGGAAGCTCGATTATGCCAAGTGAATCTCCGACTACAAGCACACAACCCGAGATTTCGCAAACAAACGACAGTGACAATGAGCGCATATGGAAGCACGAAACCTGGGTAGAGATGGAGGGATTCCCCAGTCCAGTTGAAATGGGTCGTGTACCTCGCAAGACATTAGGGTTCTTCCCACGCTCGCGGCGAAAGTCCTTATCTCTACCGTATTCTGACGTCGAACCTCCAACTCCTACGATACCTACAGCACTCAACCGTATGGATTCTTCCTCCTCTTCTCAGGCTTACCAGCGCGATAGCTCCTCAAACACTCATTCACCACTTAGAAATGGCCGTCCGGCTCACAGGCGTACCGGCAGTATCACCTTACAGGGTCCAGGTGGTGTTGGAACACTGGGTCGCGAAGTTCATGCTCCGGGTCCTGCACAGGATGGGTTGAATAAATTTGTCTCGCAACATCTCCCCAATCTTACAGTTCCTCCTCCTCCGCCGCCATCGACATTGCGCAAGGCGTCGTTCGATTCGACCTCGAGTGTTCTCTCAGGGACGTCAAGTACGGGTTTAGAAAATGTCGGGGGAGCCATTGAAGGATGGATGAGGAAAATGGCATTACGAGCAAAATCGACTTTGAATGAGTTACAGCAGGGTGGTCCACATCAGACTTCCTCTCAGGGCCAAGCACTCGGTATTGCAGGACTAGGTGATCTTATTGAACTTGACGATGGCTTTGAAGGAGGCATTGCCTCTGAAGCTGCTATATCATCTATGGGCAATGGTCATACCGAGAGTCATAGTGGCCGCAATCGGACTATGGGAAACTACTCGCAATACGAACGCTTCTCAAACTCGCCCTCATCCAGGAATCGCACTCGTCTACGTATAGACGACGCACACAAAAACGACTGATAACGCCGCATTGATAGATTCCCGTTTCCTTTTCTCTCATACAATCCTGCCTCTTTCACCAGTCATTTATATAGAGCGAAAGATACCTCTTGTTTATATCATCATTGTTTTGTTCTGTCGTGGCTCTTGTCTGTTTCAACCTATTCGTCTCTGCAGCGTCTACAGTTTTTGATGTCCTACAACATTCTGCATGCCGCCGATTTTGCATGGCAATTAGTCATCAGCATGTTCCCTCTCCGACTTTCCCTTCCATTCCATTCCCAGGCAGCTAATCACTTGTATTATTCAATTGGTCTTTTTTCGATCACTGTGTCTTATGTATCAAACGCCGGTGCTTGTAGATATCCCTGTATCAATGAAACTGGTGTAATGTAGATTAGTAGAGCCATGCTACTAGCATAAACGAATCAAGGATTATGTATCCTGGTGGCAACGGACCTGATCTACCTAGACAACTGTGCATCACTTATTTAAGTAGTCTATAGTTATCTCATAACTATCCACATAGTTAGACACCTACAAACGTAATCAAATGAGGCCTATTTGAACCCGTCCTTCGTAGTATCCGTGAGCGTGATACGATTAATCGACAATGCAGGGTACCGTCGGCCATTATAATTTGCGGGTTCTATAAGACTTCAATGAGATTGTTCATGTTAAAGGTATGCGACTGAATGTAAAGCTGAGGTATGTGAGGAATAGCAATGTATTCTGTAGATTTCGTTACCAGCATATCTACAATTCTACATACATACCTCATGCACTATGATAGAGTTGTAAAATACAAACAATACATTACAAACCTACCCCGGAATTTCACCCCAAAATGATACTTTAACCTTGGATTTCCCTGACGTTAGCGTGCAATTAGGTTAGAAATTAGGAATATTTATGTGTCTTATTGGCTAAAAAGATTGGATTAAATACTAGGCTGATCAGCCACGTACCAGAGCCACGTAACTTTCTTGACAATTGTGCTTAATTCAACACATAATCGCACCCAGTTCCGGTATTTGTAATGGTATTACCACGTATGTATTAGTATTAGGCTCGTGCTGGCTGGTTGACGATCTTTCCATACAGCACCACAACTTCCACCTCTTCTATTTCCACTCGTCTCTTGCCCTCCTCCATACTACGACTGCTACTATAACAGCGATCCGCAAATCACCTAACTATTCATACAATCAATTTGACAGTTGCTGCCAGTGGCTCTCTCACCTCACTTACTGTCGGCACTTTGGCCCTTACTCCACATTTTCATGGTACCTAACCCCAGTCCTTGGCTCTTTCCTTCAGTCGCCGCTGCAGGACCTCCCGCTTTTATCCGCGTTCCCTCATTTCTCGCCATTCACACAGCAGGCATCGCTTTTTCACCTTTGAAATCTAGATAGGCCATCTTAGGCAGAAGACAGGGATTCCCGTGCCCTATCGCTTTTCGTTTCTTCCTTCTTACTTTGACGCCCGCACCGAAAGCAAAAGCCAGGGAGTCCATCGTCCGGATCGCGCGAACTCGTATTCGGTCTCATTATTACCTTTATTTATTTCTACTTTACTCGCTTCCTCTCGTCGATACTAATTCGGTTTACAATTTTACATCCCTGGAACGTATCCCGGAAAAGTGCGCATCCGATATAACAGACGAACAAGCCAGATACACAAACAAACAGACAGACCCCTCCAAGCATCGATGGGAATTCAGTTGCGCCCCGCAGCTATATAGAATCATGGTCGCAGAGAATCAAATGGCAGGTCAAACAGAGCAGCAGGAGCATCAGGAGCAGCAGCAACATCCCAGTCCTGCGTCTAGTCAGGACCGATCCAAACTTGGAAGCAATAATCAGTCGCAGTCGACACCTTCCTCGTCTACGGTGCCTAACGCAGGTATTGCAAGCTTTAGAAGGTATGTTACCATCTATATACTGTTCCGTGTTGTTTCATATCCCAATTTTTTATATGATATTCCTGCCAAAATAGAGCATGTTTCTCTTTGGCATGTGAATGAAGTCAATTTTTCATGTCCCGTGACGATCGCGATTTGGGATGAGCACGAGATGAAAAGCTTGCCCTCGTCGATAATACCTTTATCATCACGTCAAATTTTTCCATATATGTCTTGGCTAATCAGTTCCTGATTTATTAATTACAGGCAACGCGCATCCCGCGCATGCGAGGTACGTTTTCTAATCTCCCAGTCTCACTATCCGTCGCGCGCATTTCCCATGTTAAGGTGTGCTTGTGCCTCGGCAAATTCGAATGCCCCACTATCTGCCCGAAAGCAAACCCTAGAGATGCATGTCGCAACTCGTGCCTGAGGGTAGAAAGGGAATAGTACGAGGATGATGACGGGACATTAATTAGAGGAATTTCTTGCTAACACATGCTTTTGGAAAATTGAAATAGACTTGTCATGCTCGAAAGGTGCGTTTACCCTTTATAGTTCCTATGCGACTGAGACGCCTAGAAACATCCTTCGTGTCGATCGGAGTGGCTGGTCTTCTTCGGGTTGTCACAAGCCAATATCAATCGATAAGCTTACTGATTGGATTTGCATATCACAGGTCCGATGCGACGCTGCTAGCTTAGGTGTGCCTTGCACTAATTGCGTGGCTTTCGCTATCGAATGTCGTATTCCAACTCCGAAAAGGAAGAAGAATCAACAGCCGAGAAACAAGGATAATAACGGGTATGTTACTGGAATAAGAGAAAAGACCCTACTTCCGTCCGATAAGCGTCGGTTATGGTAGCTAATGAGTGACTCCCTTTTAGTGACACCAAAAATCATGACCAGAGCAAAGACGATGATGACGACGAGGATCCCAACACACCGCGGACGCACGAGAATCCGGTCTTTTCTGCAAACCCTCCTATATCCATCGATGGAATGCCAGCGAACACATTGGCGACAGCTTCCCAGCCGAATCCAGAGAAACACAATCCTGGCCATTATAGTGCTCAAATCATGAAGCCAAAGTTCACAAGAGCACCAATCAAAGAACCAGGAAGAGTGGCGTATCTAGGCGAATCATCGAACTTGTCACTTCTTGTTCATGATCGAGGTCATACAGATGTTGTCCATTACCCACTCCCAGAAACTATTCGCGGTAGTCGTGGGCACTTGACCGAACTAGACAGCTTGGAGATTGAAATCCTTCATCGGCGAGGTGCATTTTTGCTCCCTCCACGGGATCTCTGTGATGAACTTGTCGAGGCTTATTTCAAATGGGTCGCACCGGTCGTACCAATCGTGAACCGCAATCGCTTCATGCGTCGTTATCGAGACCCGCAGAATCCACCTTCGCTGCTTCTGCTGCAGGCCATTCTCTTGGCGGGATCCAGAGTCTGTAATAATTCCAAATTGATGGACCAGAACGGCTCAACGATACCTGCGTCTACCACATTTTACAAGCGTGCCAAAGCACTTTACGATGCCAATTATGAGGATGATCGTGTTACTCTAGTTCAAGCCTTGGTGCTGATGGGATGGTATTGGGAGGGTCCTGAAGGTCAGTTCCTCGTCCCGAGTTCTCTACTCGCTTGTACTCTGGTCAAACTGACAAGTCTTAGACGTCACAAAGAATGTGTTCTACTGGAGTCGAGTCGCAATATTAGTGGCTCAGGGTTCCGGTATGCACAGAAGGTTAGTAACCATCAACTACTATAACGGTTAGGAATGTATTGACACTTTGTTTCAGCGTCGAAAACTCCCAACTTAGCAGATCTGACAAACGGCTGTGGAAACGAATATGGTGGACTCTGTTCACAAGAGATCGTTCTGTAGCAGTTGCCCTTGGAAGACCAATTAACATCAACATCGATGACTCTGATGTTGAGATGCTTACAGAGGACGACTTCATTGAGGATGAAGATGACATACCGGCCGAATATCCACCGGATCCCATTCACGTGCAGTTCTTTCTTCAATATGTCAAGCTGTGTGAGATCATGGGTCTTGTTTTATCACAACAGTATTCTGTCGCTTCCAAATCCCGGCGCACGAATGCCATTGATCTAACACACTCTGACATGGCGTTGGCCGACTGGCTTCAGAATTGTCCCAGAGCGGTATACTGGGAGAGGAAAAATCATCACTTCTGGGCCGCGCTGCTCCATTCAAACTATTAGTAAGTCGTTGGCCTTTGCAATTTCCGCCGGATTGATACCATAAACTGACCGGTATGCACAGCACAACACTGTGTCTATTGCATCGAGCACACATGCCGCCAGCTACAGCAAGCGCGAATAGTTATCGCACCGAGGAGATAGCGTATCCGTCACGCACCATCGCTTTCCAGGCTGCTGGAATGATCACGTCTATAGTTGAAAAGTTACAGTCTCATAATGAGATCCGCTACACTCCCGCATTCATCGTCTACAGTCTCTTCTCCGCGTTGATCATGCATGTCTACCAGATGCGGTCCTCCGTGCCATCTGTTGTAGCTGCATGTCAAGAGCGGATGACTATCTGCATGCAAGCATTGAAAGATGTATCGAAGGTCTGGTTAGTTGCAAAGATGGTGCATACATTATTCGAATCCATTCTGGGCAATAAGGTTTTGGAAGAACGTCTACAAAAGGCGCCAGGTAAACGACACCAAAAGAATCGACCCTCGGAACACGAGCAGAATATTGCTTCCAATCATAAGAAGACAGAGCTACCCAAACGGAAGTTCGATGACATGGATCTCGGATTGCCTAATGGTAATCCCACGCCTCCAGTGTCGTATGAGAGATCACGCCCACAGACCCCTGCTGCAACGCCTTCGCGAGAACTAAATTCGATGACCGGACAACAAGGCGGTATGGGCTCTCTCCCTCAAATGTCGCCCAACCTTCTCAAAGGCCAGGATGGTGCACAAAACACGGGAATGTCGCGAGCACAAACCCCTTTTAACCCTTCTTACTCTCTCCCAGCCACACCTCCAGATCTTTTCTTAGTTACCCGTACTTCACCTAATCTTTCGCCTACCTTGTGGGAAAATTTCCAGCCAGATCAGCTATTCCCTGATGGCACCAACTTCTTCCCCACGCCGGCAAATATGATGGACCCTCAAATGCAATCGACAACCAACACCATGGGTGGCCAAGGTAACATGATGATGAACCACCACCAGCAGCAGCAGCAGCAGCAGATGCCATCTCGGACCTTACCAGGCGCTCAAGGTAGCCCGTCTCTAGTCTCTTCTGGAGGTATTCATCCTGATATGGGCAATCTACCCCCTCAGCCGTCCCAGCAGATGTTTGGAATGGAAGGAATGCAGAACTGGGCAGGTCTTGACGCAGCACTCGCCGGAAACCCAGATTCTACCAGTCAGGATGATAACTGGAGTACTAGCTCGCGCGGAAATCCGACAGCACCGACGACTCTCAATGTTGAAGACTGGTACGTTTACTCACCCGTTTTCTCGTGTGTATATCGGATAATCACTAACTTTTCTGTCAGGTTCCAATTCTTTGGTATTAATGGAGGCTTTGGGGATCTTATAACTGACCCTATGACTGGCTAAGAACATCCAGGCTTTTGAAGCTTATTATAGTGCGACATGATGTACATATGGCAGAATAATTGTAACACTGTATATTGAAATACTGCTATTTCTTCTGCTCATGCAAAATATGTCTGAGAAATTCGTATGATGGAAATACTCTCGTCGGTGTATCAAGTGTATGGCATCATCTGGTGTGTCGACTATACTTCCATATCAGCCAATCAGAACTCGTATAATCAGATTTACACCAAACTAGTCCTGATATAGCTAGACCGAAATGACGTGCTCTTCCTCCTGTTCACCGATATCGGACCAGCCAATCACAGCCGCTCCGCCCCAGGGAGAACTTCTCTCCGCAATTAACTTGCTTATCGAGCTAGCATTATGTTGCTCGCGAATGACTCAATATTTTGATTTCAACTCATCAGCTGAAAACATTTTCTACAGTCTTCTTATTTATCGCATCAATTACGATAACAATTGAAGACAGGGACGTCGGACACATTCTTCCGCCATTTTACCCCTCCTCAATAAACTCCTACCGAACGAGGCGCCTCGAATTGATACGAGGTACATAAAAACAACATTATAATGTCATCTCCCAGCTCCGGACAGAGCGGCCCTTCGTCGGCCAGTGCTCTGAAGAAGGCCTTTCCTCATGTCGATTTAGACGGACACAATTTACCTCCTTCACCAGCTCCGTCGAGTCCCAATGCTGGACGCCGATATGCTCTTGCCACTGAGTTGGTGTACACTGAAGGCAGTGATCAGTACAATGCTAGCAGCGTACCTATTTACCAGGTTAGCTGAGGATTTACTCTGCCAGAATATCAATGAGCAATAGAATGCTAACTTCATTTCTGCGATAGACCGCCACATTCAAACAGACATCCGGCTCTGGCGGTGCAGAATATGATTACACTCGCTCCGGAAATCCGACACGCACACATCTCGAACGACATCTGGCAAAGATCATGTCCGCACAAAGAGCTCTCGTGGTTTCGTCTGGAATGGCCGCTCTAGACGTTATTATGCGACTCCTACGACCGGGCGATGAAGTTGTTACCGGCGACGATCTCTACGGCGGCAGCAACCGACTTCTCACTTATCTCAAAACTCACGGCGGTATTGTCGTCCATCACGTTGATACCACTACACCTGAAAAAGTGCAAGCAGTTCTAAACCCAAAGACGGCTATGGTACTGCTAGAAACCCCGACGAACCCGTTGATTAAGATTGTTGATATTCCCAAAATTGCCGCATTTGCTCACGAAGCAAACCCCAATTGTCTAGTTACAGTCGATAATACGATGATGTCCCCTTTACTTCTTAATCCGCTGGAACTCGGTGCCGATATTGTCTACGAGAGTGGAACCAAATATCTATCTGGTCATCACGATCTGATGGCCGGTGTTATTGCCGTCAACGACCCTACTCTCGGCGAACGTTTATACTTCCCCATCAACGCATCTGGTTGCGGTCTATCTCCTTTCGATTCATGGCTCTTGATGCGCGGCGTCAAGACCTTGAAAGTCCGCATGGACCAACAACAAGCCAACGCGCAACGCATCGCCGAGTTCCTAGAAAGCCACGGCTTCAAAGTCCGATACCCCGGTCTGAGGTCCCATCCGCAGTACGAATTGCATCATTCCATGGCCCGGGGAGCCGGCGCCGTGTTGTCCTTTGAGACAGGCGACATCAGTCTTAGTGAACGCATTGTCGAGAGCGCAAAACTCTGGGCTATCAGTGTCAGTTTCGGTTGTGTGAATAGTCTGATTAGCATGCCCTGCCGTATGAGCCATGCTAGTATCGACGCAAAGACACGCAAGGAGCGTGCCATGCCGGAGGATATTATTCGGTTGTGTGTGGGTATTGAAGATGCGGATGATTTGATTGATGATTTGCGTCGAGCTGTTAGTTCCCCTTTTCTTCGTCTGTCTGTTCTAAGTGAACATTACTAACTTATAACTATGTTCTTCGATAGCTTGTCCAAGCCGGTGCTGTAAATGTTTCGCTAGATGGCTTCCAAGCAGTCCGCCCAGCGAGCGACTAAATAGCACTCGAAATAGAGAAAAACGCTACTAAGCAAAATTTATATGTGTACGAAATGGAGTCGATATTGATGATTAACGTTCAAATGGGATTATGTTCCTCACCTTTCGGCCGGCGTTTAGGAATTTACTGCTTTTGTTTTTGCCTGACAAAAAAAGCATGATGCATATACATATGTTGATATACAAAGATCAGACCTTCCGGAAGATCAAAATAATCTAGAGGCGGTATTTTGTTCTACATGCGTCTGTGTTCGTAGTAATTCTGTAGGTGCCCGACCTAGTGGAAGGCTATCTAAGTATATAAGGGTGCTGCATAAGCCCTCAAGTCTGATACGCAAAATATACAACTTGACATAACGAAGAGATGGCACCGTGTCAAAGTATCAAGCAGAATCCGACTTCTCATGCTCACAACCACGTTCTTTCTGACAAATACGCCGGCCCGCATGTTAAATCCCAAGTAGGCAAGCCGCCAACGCAATAGGCGCGAATTTCAAAGACCCAAAATACATCTCGAGAGACGGCCAATTTCCCGAATAGCCCTTCCGCCGTCTCCGCGAGATGAAACACAGTCCTCAACTAGACCGTAATCGTGGAGAGGGCAAACACCAGACAAAAGATTACGAGTCCATCTCTTTTAATAGCGTGTTGAGCTCTCAATAGGAATGTTATTGAAAGTATGATGAAAATACTCATAGCGAAAACCCGGTACGCAAGGCCGCCGAGGAGAATATTATTTGCGACGGTAGGATCTTCCCCGCGCGTTTCACTGGTCCCAACAAGAACGGCGCCCGTGATCTGAATCACCGTCGAAATAACATCGGAAGTTCCGAGGAATCCCAATATAACTCTCGGGGAGAAGGAGTATACCGGTTCCTATTGCTACTGTCGCCAATATCTCGTATCAGCACAGAGAGAATTGTATAAATACCAGCAGCTTCTTCCACGATCAGACCATCGATTGATTGACTCTATACCTCTCGATGGTACAACCATGTTGTCACAGTCTGGGCACCAAGCCCTCAGGTCCTTGCACTCATTCAAGCCTTTTTCCCGTTTCTCCACTGTCTCCAGAAACCTGGAGCATTAGCCTCAGATATCCAGTTCAGAGCTGGGAAACAGAATCGAGAGTCTATTCACTGGAGATAGGCTGGCCTCGTGTGTTGTTTACGATAAAAGGGGGAGATGACGATGTATCTTCCTGCCCGATCTACGATACGTTTTAATTGATTCTAACCTGTCTTGGCAGGCGGTCTGAGATCGCCAAGACACGTGTGGCTTCCAATTGACGCGCTATACCGTGTTTAGACTAGCTGCATCAAAGACATATGACTTCCTTTGAAAGTCCGCACAGCCAAAACGATGGCTTTTCAGCGGCTTCCATATTCCATAATGATGTTAATGGCCAGGTGCAGAGCAAATCCCGAGCCAAAAATGATTTGTATATATATGACATGTGGGAAGGAGTTGGAGATCGAATGTCCATCTCCATACAACCATTCACGAAATGACATCGAGTCCCCTACTACTGTCGTCAAGTCTGTCTGATTGAAGAGTCTTGACTGCATTCACTCGTTTGTTCTCTAGATTTTTTATTCCATACTTCCATTCTACATGGTAGCCGAGGCTGGGCAGAACCATCCTCCTGAATTGTCCTATCAAATGGAAGATGGGTTGGACATATCAGAGCGAGCTACAACTGAAGCTGCAACTTCGGATCCACTCCAAGATGAAGACTCTCCGGCGGACCATCAGAGCAAGCGGCGAATCGCAATTGTAATGGCTGCGCTCAGTGTAGGTGTCTTTACTGAACTGTCGCTTGCACCATGATACTCATACGGTTTGTCTGTAGCTGTGCGTCTTCTTGGCTGCTCTAGATATTGTATGAGATCTCTCGCCCATAAGCTAGAGTAATATGCTGACCCAACAGACCATCGTTTCAACGGCTCTCCCAAAAATTGTTGCACAATTCAAGGCATCCGACAGCGCATATTCCTGGATCGCATCGTCCTATCTTTTAGCTAATGCTTCTTTTGTTCCTCTATGGGGTCGACTGAGCGACATTTGGGGCCGAAAGCTCATCCTAACTACATCCGTGGTTCTGTTTATATGCGGAAGTCTGATGTGCGGTGTGGCCAGGAACGTAACCACAGTGATCGCGGGACGGGCGATTCAAGGAGTAGGAAGCGGAGGCATCATCGTACTGGCCAATCTGTGCGTCTCTGACCTTTTCAATGTGCGCCGTCGTTCAGCATACTTAGGCATTTTTGGTGCTACATGGGCCATCGCTGGTGCTGTTGGACCTATCATTGGTGGCGCCTTTACCACCTATTCAACATGGCGATGGTGTTTTTACATCAATTGTGCGTACCTCTGTCTCCACAAATTCCTTTTCTAACACATTGATACAGTGCCAATTGGTGGGATCTCCTTGCTAAGTCTCCTCTTCTTTCTCAAAATCGACAACAATCTTAAAAGCATCGTCGAAGGCCTTCGCGCAATCGACTGGATTGGTCTCGTGCTTATCGTCGGTGCTACACTGATGTTCCTCTTGGGCCTTGAATTCGGAGGCTCCGAATACCCTTGGGCGTCTGCCACCGTTATCTGTCTTATTATATTTGGTATCGTTACCGCGATCATCTTCGGTCTCAACGAATGGAAAGTTGCTCCCACACCAATCATTCCCATCAGTATCTTCAGCAACTGGTACAACTTCACAGTCCTCGTGATTAATTTCTGTCACGGAATGGTTTTCATCGGGGCCTGTTTCTACCTTCCCGTTTACTTCCAAAACGTTCTTCTCGCTACCTCCCTTATGAGCGGTGTCTATCTTCTTCCATTGGTCGTGGCGCTGTCAATTTCGTCTGGCGCGGCGGGGTTCTATATGCGGACTACCGGCCGCTCCCGTGAAGTTATTATACTCGGAATGTTCCTCACCACGCTCGGACATGGACTCTACATTGACTTGAAACCTTATGCATGTTGGTCGCGGATTATCATTTACCAAATCATTGCCGGCCTAGGTATTGGCCCGAACTTTCAGGCCACTCTGATTGCCCTGCAGGCGAACACCAAGCCCTCAGAGCTGGCACGGGGAACGGCGACATTTTCGTTCGTAAGGCAAATTGCAGCGTCGGTCTCGGTAGTGGCTGGCTCTGTGGTTTATGGCCATATAGTGAGCACCAAAGTCGAGCTCATGGCGAAGGTGTTAGGACAAAGGATTGCGACGGAGATAGCGGTAGCATCAACAGCCGCGGCGGGCATTATCGAGTCATTGCCCGGCGGAGAAGACAGACAGTTCGTGTTTAACGTGCTGACGGATGCGTTGACATATGTTTGGATTCTTTACACGGCTATTGCAGGGTTTGGGTTTTTGATTAGCCTCACATTGAAGGATTTGAGGCTGGGTGATGTAAATAGACAGGAGTCCACTGAGGTGGAGAAGGGTGAGGGTCACATACGGAGTACAGGTGGATAAGCAACTTGTCAATTCAGAACTGTGGAATGACAAGTCCACTGTAATACCATAGTTAAGCATCCATTACTTGCTTACGTTTGATACATTCGTAACAGTCTTGAATTGTAAGGACTTCCGACTTCTGCCAGGAATTCAGCTTTACTGTCTTATCGATCGTAGATGTCAACTCGGAGAGACCTCCTTTCTCCGGGACCACTAACCCCGGTCAGTCTTAGCGCACGGGCTCGACATCGGAACATTCGGCGTATGGGCCGGTCGTGTTATCTTATTGATGGCAGGGAATGACATGAGCTGACCAACGTGTCTCTCTTTGTCTTCTCATCAGTGTCATCTATATACGATGGCTACCTTCGAGATACCATCGGTTTCTATTTATTTTCAATGATACGTATTGATCTATTGTCTTATATCTTATAATTCTATCCTGATGCGCGCCATGAAATACTTACTAATCGCTTATTGACCTGACTCATTGTACATTTCCCTGTATATGATTGCATCGGAAAACCCATTCATGACACTCGAAACCACCAAATCTCATACTCCATCCTCACCGACTCTTTCCCTTCCGTCATCTTCTTCTTCGTTCAGGTCCCTGTGAGCTCACTAGCCTTCACAATGTCTCGAGATGCGACCCAGGCTAAAGTTCCAGCCATACCGATCTCCACGGCGAAATCGGAGAATAAATGGAATACGCGCAGTTTAGGACTGAGGTTTGCGGCCGATGCTACAAGTGCCGCTGTCGCGGGAGCTCTTATCTGTCCTATTATTACTATTATTGATCGGTAAGACCATTCGCGTGAATTGTGTACGAAGAACATAGACTGACGTTCGCATCTATTGAATAGTGCCATCATTGAAAAAGCGTCCAAAGGTATATCGATTCGACACACGCTATCAACATGTCTTCGGTCGATGATTACCAAACCCGGCGGCTTCTTCCTCTCGACCCCGTTTATACTCATATATACTCTGTACGGCGGTACATATTTGACAGCCAATGCAATCGATACCGTCACATCGACACTACGCAATCAACCCTTTTCTACCGTGACCCCCGGCACGGCCAAATTTCTTACTACAACGATTGTAAATATGTCCATATGCGTTTATAAAGATGCTCGATTCGCAAAACTGTTTGGTCCGTCGAGTGACCCGTCTACTCAATGCCATCCCTCCGCGCCGGCCGTTACTGTTGCTACTACCGGTGCGTCATCCCTATCAGCTGCCACTGCAACTGCTGCGACAATTGCAAAACAAACCCCGACTATTCCTAAAGTTTCATATGCATTGTTCTGCTTGAGAGATAGCGTGACAATCTTTGCTTCTTTTAATATTCCTCCCTTGATCGCTTCCTCGGTACCGGATTGGATCGTCTCAACGCCAGGCATGAAAGCCGCCGTCGCGCAATTCTCGTGTCCAGCGCTGATGCAGTTCGTCAGCACACCGATGCATTTATTGGGTCTGGATTTATATAATCGTCAACCTCCCGGTGGTCTCGGTTGGCGGGAACGACTCCTCCGTATTCGGAGAGATTATATTGTCAGTTCGTTTGCGCGAATGGGCAAGATCGTTCCTGCTTATGGGGTTGGAGGAGTTGTGAATGTGAGACTGAGAGCTGCTTTGATGGAGAAGTTGCAGCTAGATGATGAACGAAAGCATCATTCGTTGGGTCGCTCTTTGTAGGCGAATAGAATGATGAACCTTATGACCATATATGTACATTTGATACACGTCTTTACGCCTTGTTTCAGATTCTTGGCTTATTCTGTCGATACTTACACGTCCACACTCTACTCTGGCGTTTCTAGATGGATGGGATTTGGTACTCGGATCTTGCGTCGATCATACCAGTTTTCGGTTCGATGTTTACCTTGGAGGACATGGAGTTTGGCTGTTAGATATGTTCTTTAGATATTTTAGATTCGTGATAATAGACTCGTTTAATGTTTATCACGAGACTGGCTGACCAGATCAGATGCTAAACATCGGATGAAGTTGATTAGATCATACACTAATCCTAACCAAGTATAGTATTGGCGGGGCTGACAGCCTAGTAAGCACTCTTATTGGTCTACCTCGTTCTGAGTGATCTTGCGTAACCCAGTACGGACTAGTGGCTAAATATAGTATCCATTCCAGGCTCCGCATTCCCCAAATAATCCACTCAACTCCTCAACTCTCTCAACATTATTTCATTCAGATAACTTGTCCTTTCATCCATTATTAGACGAGAATAGCTACCCTGTCTTGTCCTTTCTAACGATGAACCACCACACATGAGTGAGACATGTCGCCCTCGGAACCGAGATTTACGTCGCCACTACGTAACACCAGAGGAGGATCACCGAACGTCAGAGATGCAACCACGGCGACAGGAAGCAATACTCTGAACCCGACGGATATAACGACGAGAACGACAAGCCCCCGTCCTAGTACACCTATATCAGCCACAATCAACGAAGCACTTCGCAATAACCCGTTTGGCAGCACCTCGCGATCCCGTGCCCTCGAAGCCGAAGTACAAGCAATCACTTCTCTGCTTGAACACGATGAACGGCGCGCAGATCTCGAAGACCGGAACCGTTCGATAGTTATACTCGCAGCGCTATTTCCCGATGTACGTATCGAAGTATTTCGGGAACTGTTGATGCGGTTCGATGGCAAGAGTCGGCTTCATGTCTGTGTTGAGCAGTTGCTGAGACATAAAAAGCAGTGGGTGCAGGGGCGATGGAATATACCTCTTGATAGGAAGGATGATAATAGTAATAATAACAATAATGCGGTCGGCCCTGGATTATCGGCGGACAACTATGTGGTGGTTGCTCCTGAGGAACTGTTTCGGAGTGAGACGTATAAGAATACCGTCAAGGCGGTTCTGTGTAAAGAGTTCAGTGGATTGAGTCGGAGTACTATTGACGGGGTTTTGGCCGAAGTTAATTTCTCGTACACCCGTGCGAGACCGACACTCAAGGAATTGTCCAGGAAAGGATGGCGAGCGACTATCAGCAATCTGAATCCCTTCCGGCGCAAAAAGGATAATACCAAAGATGATAACCCTCTGATCATCTGGGAGCGGTTTAGAGATGGCGATGGAACAGGCTTGGCCATTCCCCGCCTCAGACAAAAGACTGGCTCCGATGAACTCGACAATGAGATACAGGAGGCGTTGATTGCGCCGCTTCTCCGCGAGCGAAAGGAAACTCAGGAATATCAAGATTATCGTCTCGCATCAGAGATCAATGAGAAGGACGCTATGGCCGAGAACGCGCTCTACGAGTGTCAATGCTGTTTGGACGACGTGGCTTTCGAACAAGTCTCTGCCTGCTCATCGGATCAAGGTCATATGATATGTTTCAATTGCATACGACGAACCCTACATGAAGCTGTCTTTGGTCAGGGATGGGATAATTCCGTGGATCCAGAAAGATCAACGCTGAAATGTGTTGCGCCTGTAAGCCATGGGGTATGCGAGGGACATTTGGATTCGATGCTCGTCAAGAGAGCTATCCTATCTGAAAAGGCTGGTTCAGAAACTTATCACAAGTTCGAGGACCGCCTCGCTTCAGAAGCATTACTAATATCCAACCTGAAACTCGTGCGTTGTCCGTTCTGCTCATATGCAGAGATTGATCCGATCTTCCATCCATCCTCTATTTCGGCCTCTGGCTTTCCCACCGGAGGCATATCCTGGAGATTTCGCCGCGGGAACCTCATTTCTACGATTTTGACGACCATTTTACTTCTCGATTTGATACCCTTACTTTTCTTACCATTCTTAATAACATTTCTTCTCTACCCGCGCACGGCAGCAGCCATCTTCCGTGTCTCATTGCAAAACCTATGTCTCCGAACCCGCAGTCCCCGATTTACATGCAAGAACCCTTCCTGTCGACAAGTGAGCTGCATGACTTGCCACAAAAACTGGCGAGATCCGCATACATGTGAAGAACCGCTTCAGCAATCTCTGCGCACAACTGTGGAAGCTGCCCGCACTGCAGCAGTGAAACGAACCTGTCCTCGATGCAATCTGTCATTCGTCAAGTCCTCCGGCTGCAACAAATTGACTTGCATATGCGGCTATTCAATGTGCTACATCTGCCGCAAAGCATTAAACGGACCCTCATCTCGTCGTCAACAACAACAAGGCGCTGTACGCAATCCGTTTGTTGCAGGAAGAGAGGACGACAATAACAATGCTGCCGATGCAGAAGCAGACGAAGGAGATAGCGGATACAAACATTTCTGTGAACATTTCCGCGTCAACCCCGGTACTCGATGCACGGAATGTAATAAATGCGAACTATACTTCGCAGAAGATGAGGAGGTGATTGCTCGCAAAGCCGGGGAACAGGCTGAACGGGAATGGCGATTACGACAATCCTTGATGATTGACAATGCCAACAACACGAATAATAATGATAATAATAATAATAATCCAAATAATCAGAACCAGAACCAGCGTCCAGGGAAACAGATCCTCAATGCCAATCTCCCATTACGATGGCAAGATAACCAATCTCAGAAACTAGGAAATCGACATCCCGATCTTTACCGTATACCGACCATGTACAACCATCACCACAACCGATCATGGCAATACTGGCTAATCGAAGTATGGAAAGAAGGACGCTGGAAATGGGAACTTCAGGGCATGGCAGATAAATTAGTGGAAGCGGTTGTTGTTATTGTTGATATTTCATGATTGATCGTTCGAATTGATTGCCACTCTGGATATCAATATGATCATAGTTTTTGGGACTGTTAGTATTAGATGGGTTTGTTGTGACAGATAAATCTGTAGGTCGACATTAGTTTGAACATCCTCATCGTTTATTTGTTCTTGTTATCATCCAGAGCGAGCGTGAATTGTAGTTGTATGACTGTCCTATAAAGTCGACAGAAGCAGACAACTCTATACAAGTATTACCGTCGTCGTCTCGAGAGAACTCTAAATCAATCCACAGTTCGATTAGGGCTACAATACCTGATAGGTAGGTAACGGCTTCATTGTGCATCCATGGATGTCAACCACACACCTAATAGATACAGTTCATGACATTCAATACATAATCATATTCAACCCCCTCTACGTACGTTGGCACTGTCGTCCACTTTATAGGTAAACCAGACTACAATATCAATCCAAGAAATAAAAGTAAAAGTATTCATTAAACCCAACTCAACATCACCTCCACCATAATTCAAACATCTACCACCTCACTATATCAAATATACATCTGTACAAGAAGTCGCAAGCCATAGAATGCATCTTGCGTAAAAAGACAAGATTCATCAAGGTACTTCCAACTAGGAAGTCATATGATAAGAAGGAAAAAAGACCCCCAGAGGTCGGGAAAGAGAATGGTAACACCTTAGACATATACATATATAGGTATAAGTAAGGGGTATGACGATTGTATAGAAAAAGAGAAAAAGTTAAAACGTAATGGGGAATAATTGAAAGTTCAGAAATTCCATGAGAGAAGATGGAAGAGGAAATGAAAATATAAGGAAATCTGTCGATAGCGAAGTCGATAGTTGTCGGGGAAAAAAAAATACAGGATAGGCGGTGGTAAGGACAAGGGTGAAATTTGATTGTGCGAGAAAGAAAAAACAAGTCAGTTTGATACGTCGTTCAGATTAGTTCCATCCCAAAGAGTTTTCGGACATGACAGGTGCACTGATCATAGCAGTACGACCACTTCGGCCACTATTGTGTGAAATGCGAGCATTTTGAGCAAACATGGATGCACCGCCAACATCGCTCATGGCAGCGGTGGTGACCGAGGGTGAACGAGCGTGCAATTGCTTGCGCTTCCTGTAACGGCGGGCAACGTAGAACATGACACCAGCGTAAGCAGCGGCACCGGCAGCAGCTCCGACACCAATGCCGATAGAGCTGGTGCGGACGTTATTGCTGCTGGCTGCGCTACCATCGCCCGGGTTGGAACCGTTGTCATTGTTGCCACCAGTCGAGCCACCGTTTCCGTTTGAGCCAGGCTTGCTGGAAGGGGCAGATCCAGAAGGTTGTTGAGCAACAAGGGGAATGTCAGTGTTGAGCATAGAGAAAAGGTTCACAATCGACTCCTGGTTGTATGTAGGTGGGTCATTGGGTGTGTTAGGCTGCTTGTACAAGTTGGATGATGGCAAGAGTCGGAGACCGTTCAAAGTGTCGATCTGATCGCTGGGAATGAAGAACTTGATAATGGTTGTGTCGTAGCCGAGAGTGCTCTTGGTATCGTACGAACCGAGCCAGTAGTTGACAACGTCGCTTGTGGAGTCAGCAAGAGCGTATGCAACGCCGATAGGGGTATAGTAGTAGATTTGGTCAGCCCAATTGGCAGATGTAGCAACAGTCTCCCATGACAAGGCCTTGTTGAAACCGAACTGAACCAAGGTAGAGTTCTCAGGAGTGTCTGGAGTGCCACCTGGAGGTGAAATAGCCTGAGGAATCTGCGTAGGTCCAGAGGATGACGTGGCGGTCGTTCCAGTGCTGGTCTCGGTCGGGCTTTGAACTGGGGGTGGGATATACTGGGTTGTCTGCGTTGAAGAGGCGCTGGTGGCTGTTGAAGCGGTGGTGCTAGTAGAGGTCTCGGATGCGCTGAAGGTGGTCTGTGTTGTTGAAGAGTGCACTGCAATCGAAGAAGGAGCGACAGTTGCTGAAGTAGCAGTCAAAGGAGCAGAAGACGAGACTGAGGCAGAAGCGCTGCTGGACGAAGCGCTTGTAGATGAACCGGGGACCTTTGTCGTGACAGCACCGCTGGACGACGGGCTAGAAGTTGTAGCCGTAGGGACAGCAGGGCTGCTGCTAACAGGGATACTAACAGGGATGCTGACAGGAATGCTAGTAGCCGAACCGCTGGAAGCAGTAGGGATAACAGCAGTGGACGAGGTCAATGTCAAACTGGGAATGGAGATGGGGATTGACAAAGAAGGAAGGCCAGTTGAAGTGGTAGGCTGAGAAGAGATTGTGGCAGAGCTGGATCCAGTTGCGCTGGCGCTGGCGCTGGTGCTGGTGCTGGTAGTGGTAGCACCAATAGGAAGAAGTGAAGACAGAAAAGAGGGAAGAAGACCTTCACTTGTGCTGCTGCTGCTGCTGCTAGTGCTACTAGCAGACGCAGACGCGGACGCGGACACAGAAGATGCAGGTACGGATGCAGGCACAGACGAGGTCGCCGTCGGTATCGCAGGAGACGAGTAGATGCTGGAAAGACCTACCGTGATACCAGGAGCGCTCAACGAGGCGGTTGAACTGGGCGATAGCCCACCAAGCAATCCACTAGATCCCAAAAGGTCAGAAACCAAGTTCCCATCTGAGCTGGTGCTAGTAGATGTGGCAGATGCAGCACCGCTTGTAACGGGGACTGTGACTGGAGCGGAAGTTGCAGCTGTCGGCTGAACGACGCTAGTAGGAAGACCACTTGTAGAGCCTACGGCCGGAGTTGTGCTTGGGTCGAACAGGCTTCCCAGAGCAGCCAACAAATCGGGAGTTGGCGAAGTCGTAGAGCCTGCAGCGGCGGCTGTCACGGCACCAGCAGCGACAGTGGTCGGGCTTGGCGTTGTGACAGGGTCGACGATAGTCTTTGTTTGAGGCGTTCCAGTTACCGTAGTGGATTGGCCATCAGAACCGACGTAGACGTAGATGGGGACAACGACTTCGTTGGAAGTACCACTGCTCGTGGAAGTTGAAGTACTGTTGGTACGTCGGTTGACATCACGGGGGAAATAGTACTTGGGACGCAGAACTTCTGCTGCGAGAGACTCGGTCGCACACGAGAGCGCGGCAAGAGCCACGAGGCTGATTGAGCGCATCTTGGAAGAAATCCTATTTCGAAGCGATCGTTATTCGTAAGCGTTCACGAGAGGTCGATAAACGAGGAACGAAAAATGGCGTGTCAAATATCAATTTCACGATCGAATATGACTGAAAAATCCCAAACAATCAACACTATACTCTCTTTTCTGCACACAGTGAAACCCACCCACAGCAACAATTATTATCACGATATGTAAGGGTTTCGGAAGATGACCCAATTAACGACCGACTTGTTTTATTTCTTTTTCTTGCACAATCAAACGAGTGGATGGGGAATAAATGTAATTCCCCTAGAGTTGGTTTAAACGAGTGAATACGTTGTTAAAGGAGCGTAGAGCGGACGTCACTATCGAGGCTGTTTAGACGTGGCGTGCGAGACAGAACTTTAAAGATAGACGGGGATGCGAGAATTGCGCGACGACAGACATGCAGAGGGAGCGGCGAATGCTGTTGATTGTCAATAAATTCGTCCCGTTCAAAGGCGTCGACGCAGGGCGAGCGAGGCACCGCAAAACAAGACAGCAAATCGTCGGTAGCAGCAAGACATGGAATGGAGTAGAGGAGGAAGCAGGATGAAGACGGCGGAGCGAAAGGTTAGGTAGTTAGTTAGGGGGAAGGCTGAGCGGGCGGGTCAGCACTGAAGGACTTAATGGCACGCACTGCTTGATCTAATTAAATCAATAAATAGTCAGCGGTCCGGCTGCCCCACTACGAGCGGTTGGCTGGCTCAGAGCCACGGGTTTGCGTATTAGACTGTAATAATACGCATGTTTATGTATTGATATCGACTGTACGGAGTACGTACACGCTGTCTCCTCTAACAAGTACTTACTCTGTACGCTGGCAGCACTACTCTGTACCAGAGATTCGAGACAGACCGATATGTAGTGTACACATTTGTACTCCGTACGGACTCGCACAATCTCAATTATGCGTTTTTTTTTTCATTCTAACTCTCGTATCGAAGCAATCTGCAAAGAACTGCCAAGCATTGCCAGCAGCAAGCATTCTGACATACAAAACAAGGTCAAAATCTAGAATCACGACCTGAAGGATGATCAAAGAGGTCATGGCACAGTGGATCCCGGGAAATTGTTCAAACAGACGGGGGCATTACTCTGTACCACCTCGTACGTATTACAGATACACGTAGTAGTCGATGATACGAGCAAACTGTAACCACGTGATTTATGGTGTTGTATGGAATACCCGCTTTCATTACGTGGTTCGTTACAAGAGCCACTCCCAGTTCTGCATATCATTCAATAGAGGATTTACATGTTGATCCGCGTGTATCGATTGCTATTGGACGAGACTTTTACACTCGTATAGTATTACATATCGAGAATACATTCAAATTTTGATAGACTCCGCAAGCACGCGTATTCAACATCCCATGATGTTTTTTCACTACGGAGTACTGGGTCTTCAAATACGAGACGAGAAAACGGCAACTAAATCATTCTAGTCACAAACCAGTATAGCGCTTGTAACACTTTCCATGGATTACATTGGAACGTCAAACTCTTTTCGGAAAAGCGGCAGGGGTTAAAGCTGCAGCCAAGCCCCACCGGTGTTTCTAAGCTGAGAGGCAACGGTACCTGATCGTGGCAATAAGAATAAGAAAGTGCGTGCACCAAAATACATACAGATATGTACGTGAGATTTTGGGAGTCGTCGGTTGTTTATGACCTGAAAAAGAGACTGGCTATTTTCGGTGGCATCGCTTTGTTGCTGTATGCTTAATTAATAGGTCTGATATAGCCGTGTCTTTGATTTTATCCACCGGGGCTTGCTTCTCTCTTACTGACCACTGACCGGATGACATGTTCGGATGGAAGACTTGGCTTTGCCCCTTTCACCCAAACATACGGATTTCTTCGCGATTTCGTGCTAAGACCATGTTCTCGAGTACTTTACTATGTATGTCGATTAGTTAGGCTGGCTCTGTTACCCAGCGACTTGAGACTTGACGGATGTGGTCGAGATAACCCCAAATACTAATCTAGTGTGAACCGGCGTCGTCGCAGTCCATGGGCTAAGCCGCCGGTCACAATCATACCTTCATAAACAAGAGTCGCCGACAGTTGGGTGTTCAGAGAATGGGGCTTGAGGGAGGGTTACAGTAGGTCCGGCTAAGTAATCACCGAATCTTCACTCGGCCCCTGACTGGTCATGCACTACGTCGACTTTAGTTTTTAGACTCTGGCTCCTAAGAGTTTAGGCGGCCAAGATGACTCAAGTTCGTACGTGCAAAGTCCAAACATGACTGAGCAACGCCAAACAGATGCTAAGGCTAAGCCAGGAGAAGTGCCCTGAACGATCAAACTTCATCTCGACTCGGACAGTTCGTCTCCATTCATGACACACTTGTCTCGGGTGAAAACATGGCATTGGAATTCGTACAATTCGTCCTTCACCACTGTTGTACAGAATCTCTTGTGCATTTGACAGTCTCGGCCAGCATTGTCAACATGACTTGCATCTGGTTGGAAGTGGTTGCACAATCATGAAGGCCTAGGCTATGGCCGAGATTAGTTAAAATCCTCATTCAGCAAATATTTGATAGATCATATACTCTGGGAGGGCAAAGATCAACAAGCACATAGTCATGTGAGTTAGAATACTCGATCCATACATGATTCCATACCCATAAGTCAGAGTGCAAGATTTGAAGATATCTGTACATATCAGACGAAAGTCCGTTATACAAAGCAAGCATACCACCATTTTCACTTAACAATTAACCTGCACCACAGACATCCATGGATACATGTGGCTTATCACAGTCTCATTTTGAAACAACAGAAAAAATTTATTGCCTCGGCACAATCTACCTTAGACTTTTTATTCCCGGAATGAGCTTTGATGAAACAACCGCCTTGCTATGTAGTTACTTTGTATATACGTATTTGTCATGACTCACTGAGCTAGGTGTGAGATGTGCCAAATATGTTTGTACTACATCAGATCCGAGTAAGTGTTTAATCCGACATCTAACTTGTCCATCTCATTCCTGACCTTTGGGCACAAGCCTCAATACACAGTACATATAAACATGAAACAATTCCACAAGTCCAATGAACGGATCCATCGTCACAGCCACACAGCAATATAGACGATATTACCATAGTCAATGATTATCTGAAACGGCAAAAAGAATGTGTATTGAATGAGGTTATTCTTGCCGAAAGATGGGATGATGGAGAATTGCGCTAAGCCTGTTCCTGTTTGCCAAGAACGGGGAGGAGTATATTGATGGATGAGCCAATTATGTGCCTGTATTCAGTGCGTTGAAAGAGTACTTTCAAGACTCAAGAGAAGATGGTTTATGACTGAGTAGAGTCTGTATTCATTGAGTAGAGTATTTCTAGGAATCGAGATTGGTCGCTAATACACAAATCAAAGCCTGTATTACATGTAACTACGTAGTTAGTACTCCCTTCGTCGCCGCTCAGCTTCAAATTCAGTAAATCCCTCCGGACCCAGACCATCTTGACCACCTGTCACAAAATATTCGCATACAACCCCAATAGCATAGAATGTACCTGCGGTTGCAACACCGCTTAAGACGATGCGACGGAGGCCTCTGCCTAATCTTGAGAAAGGTGATCTGGTAGAGGTCTCGGTTGGTTGCGGTTCAATTGTTCCAGCGACTGGATTAGAGGATGGCGGTTCATAGGGTGACCAGTTTGGAGGGCCACCTGTAAAAACAATCTCTTGTCTGTGTACTAGTCTTGATTTTGACGGGTCTTTATCTAGAGAAAGCTGCGGTGGGGAATCGCCTTTCTCAGGAATCGGTGCGTCGGTGTCGGGTATCTCCTTGCCATCTAGAGTGAAGCCATCAAATCCAGCAGGTTGGACAGACCCATTAGTGACTGTCTTCCTGAATATGAGAACATCACCACCCCCCGAAACAATCTCGTATCCATCTGCCTTCATTTTGGCAAAGTATGGTAGAAACTTTGCTGGATTGTTTAATCGTAGTAGTACATCTGCTGTATGGCGGATTGGCTCCCCTGTATGCATTGACGAAGTCGCTTCGGCGCAGACAACCTGAGAACTGGCACAGTCAAATGCCAGAATACGTAATGTATCCGAAGGAGAATTTGCAGATGCTTCCAGTCTCTCGCATGCTTCTTGTATATCGTCGGTGAGGAGATGGACATCGTTGATAAGACGTCTTGCGTCTTCGAGAGTCTTGCCGATGGAGTTATTAAGTATGGCTGTCATGACAGTCGACTTACTGACGTTCTCTCTCGTAGTTGTATTTCTTGTTTCCCCTTCCTGAACAACCTCTGGGTCTTCATTGTGAACTTGCACCGCACCTGTTGGGGATGCAATACCAGGAACAGTCTCGCTTGCAAGGCTAGCATCTTTCTTTCGCCTCAGATTTTGCAGTATCAACTCGTCAACATGCTCGCTAGTAGTCAACGTATAATCCTTTTCCATAGCCTCCCTGAGCTTCTTCTTTTTCTCGGCCACTTCTTGCTTTGTCTCGCCGGCAAAGAAGGCTGCCCGGATGTCGCTTGCACGAAGCAAGTCCACATCGTCTTCTGTCACTTCTTTGGGTTCGTAGTGCAGTATCTTCTTCTCCCGGTTTTGAGTGATCTCTGACTGTTGAAGATTCTCATTCGGCGCTGTTGACCGGTCTTCTGATGTGACGGATTTGTCTTGTCCTGGACCTGCCATGTACAGGACGTTATCATTGTTGGCCTGTGGCTTGCGCTCTGGCGCTGATAGTGCATCGTCTCTAGGTCTGAGAGATCCTTGTTCAGGAACGGTACGCTCAAGTCTCGCTCCTTCAGAACTTGTGAAGACTTTGACCGGAATATCAATTCCTCGATTATCATCTCTCGTCTCGTCTCGTGCTACCTGTGTCGCTGACTGCTCTAAGCGCTTCATTCGACCACTAACAGGGTCGTACTGAAAGCCCTCAACATCAGAAGAAATTCTCGCCTTCACTGTATCAGCCTTGCTATCTTTCCCCACTTCCGAATCTTTTGCAGATACATCAGCAGTCGTGCTCTTCACCGAGTGATCCTGCACCGAAGACGTAGTCGATTTCTGTTCCGAAGACGCCTCAGGATCCAAAAACGAACGACAAAACGAGGACCAGCCCTTCCCTAGTCGCAAATACTCATTACTCTTCCCAAAGAGGAAGTTATACGGATCCTCCTCAATCTTCTTCACGAGCGCACTCATATCATCGTTCCAATAATTTCGTTGCCTTTTTGAGTAGAGCCAGTTATCCCCTCGTTCATGATGTGACTGCTTCGGACTATTATCCCAGTCTTTCCAGAATTCTTGTCGTCCCGACCTGCGGTTCGCCATTCGTTTGATGAGCACATATTTTCCACGATAGGCTTTTGCCATATCGTGTAAGACATCTCGTCGGTTTACTCGGTTGTGTTGGTTGTTATACCAGGCATACTTCCAGCCTCGGCCCCAGAACATTCGTACTTGAACAGAACATCCGGTTATAATGTGAGCGGATGTTGCGGCATTGCAAGTGACGAGCCTTGCGGTATGTCTGCTCTGGACCAGGCTGAAGTTGGTGATGGAGGTCGGCGTTAGAGCTCGCGTGCTCATTGCCGTTATTTCGAGATGTGATGACGAACTTCGAACAAATAAGGTATACAAGGGGTTTGGGATCAAATTCAGAGGTGCACCTTGAACGGCTATTGATGAAAATCGATGTCGATGCTTGTATAAAGCTGATAAATCAACACTCAATATATTAAACTGACAGCATTGATAAGGGCGTGCTGCGACGAATCGCAACAGGCTCAGAAATCCATCAAATGGAATCAAACAGAGACAGCCAATTCCTCTGCAGATGTTAGACCTCTAAATGTTACGAGACATCTGGCCTTCGATAGAATGATGATAAACAGCATTTAGGAGGGAAAGAGTCGCCCTGGATGGATGCCTGGCTTGGGGGTGGGGTAGATAGCTTATCGTCCCCACTGATAGCTCCGATAAGCCTACACAAAGAGTCGGAGATAAATGAATTGGCCCAAAGAAGATACTGAATAGTAGAGCTGCTAACAGCTATTGCTGTGAGATTTACAGGATTTTATGATATATGAATTCCTTCAGGGTTATGATCAGCTTACAACACTTTCGTTACCTAAGTAGTGAGTAGACGTGGACATCTCCAGTTAAATGTGTATATTCAAAATGCTAAGGATGATATCCTCTGTTCAAGTCCAGTATCATTACTTTCCTCAGTAAGGAAGAGATTCCTCCAGAACCGGACTCCCTCAATACTTTCCTCCCTGCACAAAGCTCCCTTATCCTCAGCCATCTCAAGTTCTTCTATAGCTACACCCACACTCCAACCAAAATGTTGCGCAGTTTCTTGCGCCGTGACTCCGCGGCTATATTTCTCCCAATTCCATGGTAAACCTTCAGTAGGGACTTGATATCGAAGATCTTGAAGCCACCTGTCAAGTTGTTGGATGACTTTCTCATCACTCCACTCATTCGATTGAACTACAAGAAGCCCACTCTTGAAGCGACGCAGACGAACAGGAAGCTTAAGTTTCTCCCATAAACGTGCAGCCTGCTCAAAATCGGATGGACTAACGAGTTCAACGCCATTTCGAGCTCGGTTGAACAGAGCCCAGAGGTCAACAAGGCTGATAATCCCGCCTTCCTTGCGCAAGACTCCTTTGCGATCATCTGTCAAGTACTCGGCCAGATTCCGTGCTAACTCGGATAGATATAGATTTTCCGCACCGGAACCCAGCATGTCCTTTGTTGTGACCATTCCCAGAGCAGCCGCGGATTGGGAAAGGACGGTACTGGCTTCAGTTGTTTCTCCGTTGGCTATTCCTGACTCAGAGGCTAGTGTTTCTGCCAACGAGACAATCTGCTTTGCAGAGGCCATCAATGCTTCCAAATCCTCAAAGGCATTTCCAATTACCAGTTCAGTATTCTTCCGAGCTTCCAAGCCACGCATCTCTAAGCCTGCAATACCAACGGCAGTTGGTTTCGGCGTCGTATCATTGGACCGGCCGGGAATAGGCGATGAGGTCGCTTCTGGGGCCGGAGAGCTCGACGGTTGGGGTATCTGAGGCGCATTTTGAAGCAGCCATTTCCGTTGAACTAGACACCCCCTCAACCTCTCATAGAATATCTTCTCGCCTCCGCCTCGAAAGGAAAGTTTGATATAGTCGCTGATTTCAGTATTCGTTATACTCGACTGGTTGAACATGGGCGCTGGAGACTCCTCGCGTCGTGGACCCGTAGCAAGCTTATCTTTTGGTGCCAACGACACAAGATATGCCCCACAAATCTCGCACTCCAACAAGGACGGATGGTTTTTAAATGTACATCTCGGACAAGATAATGAGCTGCCGTTAGTGTCTGATTGCAAGTTTGCGGTTGAAGAGCCAATCTGCTGCCGCTCAGAAGAGCTCTGTGTTGAGACCCCGTCCACATTATCAGTCGGCTTTCTGTTCGTAGCGGCTGCAATTGTGGCCTTTAGTATAACTGTCAACGGTGGTTTGATACCACATGCTAGACAAGGAGGAAGTGGTGTGGAAGCAGTGGCCGTCGCCGGATCGAAGTTAGAGGGAACAGGGTTTGAGAACGAACAGATGGGACAGACCCATGTCGCATTCACCGGCTTCGGTGCTGACAGCGCACCTGTAGAAGTACCCTGTGAAACAGACGAGGTAATACTCTCTTGTCTGATTATCTGTTTTTGCGGTTTGGGGTAGATAGTGATCTTGGCAGAGGACTTGAGAAAACCGGCCTGGCCTTGTCAGCATCCAGTAGAAGAAATACAGAGAGCTTGATCTACCTGATATTCTGCGCGGTCAACATCCTTCAAATCGATAGCGACGGAGTGTTGGCGGGGATTTTCAGTTGCAACGTAGCAGATACGGTGAGACGTCAAATATGCATGTCCATTTTGATAGTTGGGAATCTTATATTTTCTGGATTTGGATGGAAATATCAGCACGCGACCAGTGATGTGGTCGAGGGGGAGCGCTGCATACCCCTCATATAAGCCTACTGCGTCTTGGACAAAGAGTAACGACTCATCGGGAAGCAAAGACGGACGAAGGGCTGTCGTCAAATCCAAAGGCCTGAAGAACATCGAGCCTGTACGTATAGAATGAGTCAAGGATGAACACCATGCTGGGCCACTATGTAGCTGCTGGATAACAGAAGACTCGCTGTTCGATAAGCCCTCCTGACTCCAGCAACGTAATGCCAAGAAGTGGATGCCTGGATGCCTTGACGTTCCCGTGACCGGGTGAGTTGGACAAAATTGGCACACTAAGCGAATCCGAAGATCTTCTGACCTTTGAACTTTCAGTACTTCCTTCCTTCTTAATCTACATACACATCCTCTTCATACACATCGCTGTTTGGTTAAAACCTCCTTTTATACTATTTCCCCTGACTTTCACTCAGTTTTCATGTTCTTCATCGGTGACAAGTCTCGAATCCTGCACGCAAGGCTTTCTCCAGTCATTATCCCATCGTAGAACCCAATTCAGTTCACTCTCAGTTTCCTTTTTTTTTTTTTTTTATTCTTCACCATTATAGATTTGCTAAAGCAAAGCAACATGAGCTCAACTATTCCGCCATGGCGGGCTTCCGCATCAACAACTACCACGATGAAGTACGCGCCAACAGGTAAGTCGCTATTGCCACTTTGTTTTTAGTCTAGGTACAGAAGCAAGATTGCTAAAGCGGTGAATCTAGCATACACTCCTGTCCAAGCCAGACGTACTCTAGTACAAAATAATACAACAACATCCACACAAGAAGCCACGGAAGAGCGGAAGCGAGTGGAATGGCCTTTACCCGTACGACAATATGTCCAACGCAGTTTCGATCCCGAAAACCAAGTTGCAAGTGTTTCCCGACAAGAACTTGAAAGGAAACTGAAGCAAGTTATCACGGAAGCAGCTCAAAGTGAGAGCCTCGATACTGTTGATTGGAATTCTTTGCCTTTACCGCAGGTTATGATCCAGAATGAGCGTAACTCGGTGCTGACAAACTCACTGGTTTCATCACCATGGAGTGCCAGTGCCAACGTTGCAGCGATGAAATCTGGCCTGGCACACGATGAGCGAAGCAAGAAGAGAAAATCCAACGAGTTCCAGCACACAGATGGGAGCGACTCTCCACCGTGGAGAAAAGCTAACAATCGCACCCAGCTCGAAGCATCTTATACTCCCACTGACAAGCGGCCACGCGTAGATTACAACAGCAAATCCTCAAGTAAGTCCAAAGCTAGCCTGGAGTTGCGGAAAAGGCGCTTTGGGGACCCTCAAAGCTATCAAGATTCTTCCCGATCCGAGTCTCCGGCGGCCACTGTGATCCAAGGACCTATTGTTGGACGATGCCAGGATTTGGAAAAGAGGTATTTCCGGTTGACGTCAGCACCCAATCCGGACGTGGTACGACCTCTGCCTATCCTTGAAAAGACCCTGGACTTTTTGAAAAAGAAATGGCGCAAGGAGAACAACTATGGATACATTTGCGATCAGTTCAAATCCCTACGACAAGACTTGACGGTGCAACATATTCGGAACGAGTTTACAGTAAACGTCTACGAGATTCATGCGCGGATTGCCTTGGAGAAAGGAGACCTTGGTGAGTATAATCAGTGTCAGACCCAGTTGCGGGCATTATATGCGCAAAAACTGGGCGGTCATCCTATGGAGTTTATGGCGTACCGTATACTTTACTTTATCTACACGCGCAACCAGACGGCTATCAACGACGCGCTGGCAGATCTAACCCCAACAGATAAATCGGACCTGGCTGTAAAGCATGCATTGGATGTGAGGTCCGCTCTGGCCCTCGGTAACTACCATCGCTTCTTTCAGCTTTACCTTGACACCCCCAATATGGGTGCATACCTAATGGATATGTTTGTCGACCGCGAACGCTTATCGGCGTTGGCCTGCATATGTAAAACGTGAGTCCCTCTTGGTGGCCAATGAAATGTGAAGCTGCTAACCCTCCGACAGATACAAACCTGACGTAAAGATCCGATTCATCACGGAAGAACTAGGCTTTGAGTCTGATGAGCAGAGTGTCCGGTTTATTCTCGAGTATGCTTCCGGAGAGCTGCTGCAAGAACGGGACGGACACGTTCGACTCTTGACCGGCAAGGCGGGACGAATGTTTGAGGACGCCAAGTCCCAAGCGTACAGAGTTGTCGACATCAAGGGACAGATATGATTACGTCTTCTCAGCCTTCTCTTGTTCTTCCCGCCTCAGTTTTCCTCTTCAGTTCCCCTTTCCGCATTTCGTCCACCAGGCGTTTTATCATTTCTTTCGACCGTAGATTGCTTTTTCTTGAATTCTGGAAAACAGATGGTTGGCGTTGGAGCGAATCCGGGATATGCATTGATATTCCACATGGGCTTGATGATAATTTTGGCATGGATTGACTACATTATTTGGAATTTCTACAGGGGTGGTTAGCAATACATATAATTATTTCCAGGAGATACGTCTTACTCTACCAGTAACAAGGACCATATCATAACACGTAGATCGAAGTGACAAATCTTCTGTATACTGGTGACACAGGGCTGTGACAGACTCGTGTCCATTGCAGTACTAAGCCATCTAGGCACACGTAATGTTCTGACTTCTCTTCTACGGAGTAGATCGTTAGACCGTGCATAAGCGGAAACCGGAAGGATAAATCTTAATCTTAATCTTATAGAGTTCAGCTGAAGAAGTTCTGGGCGGGATGCATGATAAGCCTAGAACTCCGCCTGTATGACTGGTTGGAGGAATTTAGATGTCTGTACCTGCAGAGATATCGGACTTGTGTATTTTGTCTCTTCTTTTGTGGCTGCCCAACAAGATTTGATTGGCCACCAGGCAATGCTCTCGCGTATCAGATGAGTCACATGATCGTCATCTGATATAGGGCCATAGACCTGGCAAACTGACTAAGTGACTACTGACTAGGGCCTGAAACGCAACACCTCCACAGCATCCTGGTGGATAAATAATTTAGCTGGAGAGTGTACCCAAATAAAAAAAAAAAGGTCCCCACGAGGGCCAGCGTCTTTGTTATTTGCTGCCGGCAATTTTTTAGTTTGGCCGTGCTCACAGTCCAGACACATATCCCAGCTTTGTCTGGTTCCTTGGGACTGGTCAGCTATATCTGATCCTCTATGGACGCTTTGTTGCCGCCTAAATTTTTAGTCCAATCCTTTCCCCAAGGAACAGTTCTGGTGCCCCCTCCTTGGGACTGAAGGCGGGCGGCGCTGTTGCATCCTTCCGTAACTTGTAATACTACACACAATTCTCTCTCTCTCTCTCTCTCTCTCTCTCCCTCCCTCCCTCCCTCTCTCCCTCTCTTCCTCATCTCGCAGTCCACTGAGTACAGACAGTAGTTAGAACGACGTTTGCTCTCGTTTTCGATTTTGATTTATTACTCTTCACTCCTTTCTCACGACACCACTCGATTTAGTCCACCAACCCCAGTCTCCCACTTGCAGCTTTCCTTGCGTCCAGTATCTATCTTATCGAGTAACCATCGTCAATCAAATCGATCGCGTTCCTCGACTGTACATAAACCTGTACATTCTCTCCTACATTGCGACCACTAATACCGGTGTCTGTGTCTAGAGACTTGACCTTGTCATTTGCGAAGGGAACAGAAAGCGTCAACAATGAAGGTACGCTGGTGGTCGCGCTCCTTCCCTTATGTGGCTGTCTCACCCCTTCTGCAATAACTACACCAATTCTTCCTGTCAGATTATTGCGCCGTCTCATCATTTCGCTGGCATTCTTAGTCTATCACCTCTTATCTCAGCCATGTTATCCATGCCTGCTTAACTTTGCACTAATTAACTCTCAAACACCCACACATCCCCGCTCCCCTCGTTCTCATCCCTTCCGAATCAAAACTTCCCCCAATGACTACATCCGTTTCCAAGCTGACCTCAATTCTTGCTCAATCATCCAGGCCATTCGACGGTCTCTAAAAGGAGACAAGGAGTCCAAGTCACATCACGTCTCGATCACCCCCAAATCGGCTCTTGCGATCCTGCCACCGAAAAAGGTAAGATTTGTCTTGCCTTGTCTTGCCTTCGCCTTTGCCGCCGCCCCGCCACGTTTCTGCTTGCGATGTTTATTTTTCTGTTGTGTCTTTTGATCCCTCAATTTTTCTTTTTTGTCCTTGTTCCCATTTCCGTTTTCATCCCGTTTGGTCTTACATCGTTTCCGCTCTGGAATATTCTTTTTATCGCCTTTGATGACTCGTGCGCGTACTTATCATACCGAAGCGATTAAACTCACCTTTTGTTTCCTAATAGGTTATCAAAGCGCTTTACGACCACGAACCGGCCCCCGGCAACACCCAGGAATTGGCCTTTAGTAAAGGTGACTTTTTTCATGTCATAAGTCGCGAAGACGATCCGGACTGGTACGAAGCCGCCAACCCTCTAGTTCCCCACGCCCGTGGCCTGGTTCCCGTGTCATTCTTCGAAGTCGTACACAAAAACGAAAAAGATCGCCAAAGCGGCGACAGCAAGGAGTCATTCAAGCAGGAACTTCACGATTCTGGATATTCAGACCGTCCCATTCATCACGAACGTCAGGAATCATCGACGAATACGACCAAGCAGGCAGCTTTCAGAATGTCAACTAGTGGGAAAAACGGCGCCATGGTTTATGGTGTGGTGGTATATGATTTCAAGGCCGAACGTCCCGATGAGTTGGAAGCCAAGGCCGGCGAAGCTATTATCGTTATCGCACAATCAAACCCCGAGTGGTTTGTCGCAAAACCCATTGGTCGCTTGGGTGGCCCTGGTTTGATACCAGTTTCTTTCATCGAAATCAGAGATATGGCAACGGGACAGGCTGTACCGGATCCGCATGAAGCTGTCAGAAGGGCAGGTGTGCCTCGCGTGGAGGAGTGGAAGAAGATGACAGCCGAGTATAAGAATAGCAGTATCACGCTGGGCAAGTTGGATGGAATGGCTGCATCAGGCATGCAAGCCGTCTCCAACGACATGGAGAAGCTGTCAATGAATGGGCACGGCTCTTATCATAGCGCCAATGGACAGGTAAGTTGTTACACTGGTTGGCAAGCCAGGAAGGGAAAAAAAAAAAGGGAACTAATCATTTTTAAATAGGGATATCATTCGAGATCGGAAAGTCGAGCGGCGGGACCGTATTCTCAAGGATATGCACAACCGCACCACGCGCAGCCGGCTGCAGGCACCCGACTTTTGGCCCCTGTATCTGCTTCTATTCCCCGGTACTGCTTTGATCACGACAAATACTGGTACATTATTGAGGCGAAGATGGAGGACGGTACTCATTGGGAATTGTCACGTTTTTATCATGATTTCTACGATTTCCAAATTGCTCTTTTAACCCAATTCGAGGATGAAGCTGGCCACAACGGAAAAACTCGAACATTGCCGTTCATGCCTGGTCCTGTGACTCATGTCACCGATGCTATTTCGAACGGCCGGCGGCAAAACTTGGATGATTACATCAAGAAGCTGCTGGCAATGCCACCGCATATCTCTCGCTGCCCTCTTGTTTGCAAACTATTCGCTCCTCGTCCTGGCGATTTCGAGATCGACCCTAATGCAGTCGAGGATACATACCGATTTTCCGGGGAATCTCAGCAGTCATCTGGTCACGATATTTCGCCCACCGACTCTCGGCAGTCGTCTCAGGCACGTATCAGTGCTTCTGGCGTGGGATATGCAGCACCAAATGGTGTGCCTTCTTCTCGCGCGCCTCACCAGCGCCAACAACCATCTCTGTCTCAACAGAACAGCTTCGCATCGCAATCACGTACCGATTTACAGATCCCTCCAATGAATCGACAGGCCAGCTCGCTTACGCAGGCATCGAACAATTCTAGCAACAACGCTATGAAAGTGAAGGTTTTCTTCCAGGACGATATCATTGCTATCCGCGTACCGGGCGATGTCAACTTCCACCAGTTACAGGATAAACTACGCGAGCGATTAAAGGTCAACAACGAAATGGTAGTCCAATACCGGGATGAATCGACCAATGACTTTATCGACATGCTCAGTGATCACGATCTAGACTCGGCTCTTCAACGAAACTCGAAACTCACCCTTCGTGTTTCAGTTGCATAGTTGGTTTTCTCCACGGATTCTTTTCGTTTATTTCCGTTCCCTAATCGGTTTCATTTGTTCTGCATATTGTTCCAGGTGTTTTAACGGCGCATTCTTCTCTTACTCTTTTACCAATGATGATACGCCCGCTATGTTTTCCAAGATTGGCATTCACGCCTTTTTTCCCCCTCATATGATGTTATGTTTGTCACTTCATACCCCTGATCAAGTCCGACCTCCCTTCTACTTCACAGTTCTCAGTTCCCTGCTCTTACAGCTTGTAACCATTTTCTTCTTCGATCTCTGGTCGATTTCAAAACACTTTTTTTTCTTCTTCAATATGGTCATTGTTCATACCATTGTACAGCAGTATCGTTTGCCTTGCTGTGAGCGTATCTATCTATTTTTTTATTTTAATTGTTTATCATGCTTTCTCCCTCTTTCTCTCCTGATCGCCCGATGTATGTGGGTGAGGGGAGGGAGATAGACATGTTGAAATAGTAGATAGTTTCAGGTCCATAATGCATGAATAAATAAAAGTTGCTGATTCTATCTTGTAATTAGCATCTTGGAGAAAGCCTGGACGATGATTTTCGCTGGTAACTGCTCCCACTGTGAAGGTAAAAAAGAGAGGGATAAATCTCCATCAACTATCCCTCAAGACATTTTTCAGCACGGATGTGTAAGAACTCTAAGCGTCTATCTATTATACTTACTGTTTTATAAAGTTCTTCGAACTCTTGCAGCATGGATGTCGTACCGGAATCGTGGAAGTTGGAAATCGCGATCCGGACGACAATAGTGCCATTTTGAATACCTTTGATCAATCAGTGTGAAAATACGAGATGAATGGAGGCTAGGCTTAGGTACCTGGGTAGTATAAGCTGTACATTATCAGTCAAATAGAAGAAAAGCAGAATATCCCCATCACTCAATACACGTTGCATAGAAAGGTCAGAACAACTCAATTTCCTTCCCCCGAATATTTCATGAAAAATGGAATAATGAAAGAAGCTAGGTCTGAACTTGAAAATCGTAAAATTTTTTGAGGGATAATACAGATTTAGTAAGTAAGCATGTCGTTGGTTTTCTTGGGCCTAAGTAGAAGGTAAATACCGAATGCGGGAGTTAGGGCTAATTCTGTCTTCCGTGGCAAACAGGGCTTGGTTGTTGATTGGTATTAATGATTTGTTCTTCGTTTGATGGTATGTTTGTTAGGTTGGAATGCTATTTGAGGTATTGGTGAGTGAGATATTGGATCTGTGCAATCTAGGTAGTCTTTTGATTTTGCAGAGCGTAGGTATCCGAAGGAATAGCCAAATGGTATGAAGTACGATCGAGTTTGGTATATAAGCAAGTCTAACTTCTGAATTTTCCATTTAATTGTATTCGGAGTAAGTAGATTGGAATTGTCTATGGATCTTAAAACATTCTTTACAGGAATTGGAATAACAACCCCCCTTTATCGTGAGAACTCCATAACATTGCAAGGCTAGCTTCTCCTTTCTCTAGGCTATTGTATCGTATTCAATTAGCACAAAACCCTACTTAAATCCTTCCTGGACCTGTAGTATTGAGAAGCCCATTAAACGGATGGCCATAGTCCCCCCAGCCTTTCAGCAATGTACTTCTCCAGCCCAACCATGCAATCCGTACCCTCAACAAGATGCGCGCAATGCTCAATACATTCAACATGCTGATAAAGCGCTGAAAGTCTTCGAAACCGCCTGTCATAGCTGGGACGCCTGTAATTGTACATCCACTGATCGTCGACCCACTCGCGATCAATGTACTGTTCTTTTAGTGCGAATTCATGGGCGACGTAGGTAATATGAGTCTCGCAATATCCGGAGAAGCAACGTCAGATTCTAGATGTTCGAGCATACCGGAGAATGTTCTGAATATTCGATTGCAGCCGTGTGGTGAGCTGTAGCATAGTAGATCTCGAGGGTCGTGGGTTTGTTGGTGCTATTATACGGTTAGTGACATGGCCGTGAAAGAAGTTGGGAGGAATTACGAATTGCAAGTTGTGCTCAGCTTGGAAACATTCACCGCATGTGAGACAGAGGTCGTGGTATTTAACATCATGTTCGTCAAGCTCCGTCTGCAAGTCGAAGTACGTTCCACATTCTGGACACAGGTTATGGTACTCGATATCGTGATCCTCAAGCTATTTCTCAGATCTGAAAAAAGAGATGCAGTATGGATAGTAGTGATGATTATCCACGTCGTGATTTTCTAGTTGTTCGTAGGTCTCAAAATCCAAATCACATCTCTCACAGTAATTATGGGAGCTGGAGAAATGAAAATGGTCTGTTCTGGCAGCAGCTGAGATAAAGACTCGACTGCATTTTTCGCACCAGTCGTGCCATTGTCTGCAATGGTTGTGGACTTGGCCTAGAGTCGAGAAGCCATATGAGCCACAGAGGGTGCAGGCATATTGCCTTCCATCAAAAGTGAGATGTGAACTGAGTCTCATGGTGATGTTTCTTTGAGAGTATTTAGGATTTACAGTAGAGTGCTAGTGAGCTTGAGTGACTGATAAAAGAGACATAAGATGGAGGTTTGTTTTGGGATAGTGTCACCTGGTCACATGTGTGTATGTGAAGAGTAGATGACAACAATCGTCAAGTAGGCTGATGAACAGGAGAGCAGTCACAAGCATCGCATGTACCCAAAAAGTTCTTTCTTTCCAATCAGACATGATTTTCATTTTATGTGTTTACTGGTGTGAAGAAAGGAGGATCCTACAGTTTCAGGCATATTATCAAGATCGAGAATCTATTTATAACATATCGAAATAAAAGATGCTGTGTCGACGTCCCTCCAGTCTATCTCCTCCTCAACAGGCGCAGCAAGTGGAAAGCGATACCAATCTTTCTCCCAACCATGAAATTTATGAGGCCAAAGCCGTCGATGAATTTTCTCCAGCAAAAATTTCATATGTGGCTCCCGCAAAGAGGCCTGGTTGGGCCGGTTATTCAGAATATGTTATTTTGCTTTGACTTCAGGCATTCCATTTTGTCCAATTGTCAGTTCCACACAAATTGTGCGATGTATGCTTTGAAGCACATTGTGCAAATCATGAGCACCTAGACTCCATGGCTTCTGGGCTGGGTAGAAACGACCTGCATTATGAGTGCTTACCTTCATGAATTCCAGGGGCAGCACAGATAAATTCAACTTAGCGTTACATTCATAGAAAGATTCTTTCTCTCCAAGGAAATTATGTCCCAAATGCCAAGGGCGAGATCAGAATCTAATGCCACGTTGATAAAAGCATCCCTGATATGACCACACAGGGACTTAACGTGTGAGTTGAAAACCTGGAAAATAGTTTTCGGCGCAGTGTTGATCAAACTGATTGAAAGAAGGGTTACCAACCATCGTTGGGTACATTTCTGCTTTGGAAAGAGGTAGTTCAATTTGTCTCCCCTGGATAGAAGAAGCATCTAGGGACAGAGTCAAACGCCGTAGTCGTGGTAATGACCCAAGTGCTTTATAATGGGCGCATTCATTTGCATCACCCATAGTACGGGAGGTGGAGATGGTCAACTCCTCCAGGTAGGGGCAGTTGTCGGTTATCCAACGCAGATTGTGCAAAGATACTGGTTTCAACAGAATTGTTGAGAGAAATAGTTGTCGCAGTTTCAATCCATGCAGCTGGCAAACCCGGCCAATACGCAGTATTGGGGCCCACACACGTAGTATGAGAACTAATAGGGCCGGTGGACGAGTCAAGAATGAATTCCCAGCTTGATAGAGTTTATCATGAAATGCAGTGAAAACAAGCTCCAGTCCAGTAAGTGAAGAGAATTCACATTCTTCTGCCAGGTATTTAAGTGCTTCCACTGGCAAAGCAATCTTAAGCTTGAGCACTTTTAGTAAGGATAAATCGATGGCTTCCTTCAAGCTCTTAATCTGGCTTCTCGTTGGCCACCAGTTCATTATCGTAAAATTTTTCATCGAAGTACCAAGAGGATTGGTCTGGAAGCCTTCCCAGGGCGGACGCAATGATAAAAAGCTATCGATGGATGTAGTGCCTAATTGACGCATAGACAACAACCTCATATTAGGCATTATTTCAGTGCCAAGAAAGTTCAGAACTTCAGAGAAACTTATACTCCCCGGTACATTATAGGTCGACTCCGGTTCAACATCAAAAAGACATGGAGACCTCACTACATCGAGTTCGTATCCGTCCGTAATACCCTAGGGAGTCAAACTCGATAAATGAAAATTGGCTAAGAAAAGCTTGCATCGAGATCGGAAACGATGGAGGCTATGGAGCAAACATGGGGGAAACTGGCCGTCACTCGCAAAAAATAAGGACTCGAGACAGCTTAATTGTTGAATAAATTCCGCTAAAGGTTCCCACAAATGATTTTGTTGATGTGCCGTCTTAAGAGGCGTTAGGTATCTCCAACGTCCATGCGAGCGGCACACTTTTCCCAGGTAATGCTCAAGGATATCCTCGTCAGGACCTCTGTTCTCCTGAAGAGGTAGTCCGGGCCGACGCCACGGTTGTGTTTGATCGAAACCGCCATTAGGATCTTTGTAGCGAATATGGTACCAGACCGTGAAGTGGTCCTCGATGATTAGACGATGTACAACCCAAAAGCCATTTGCACGCTGCAGCAGTCGGTAATAATGCTGCACATCATATGCAAGTTTGGCACTAATATCTTTCTTCAGTGAGAACTTCAAAGTCCGATATAAGATGGTAACAATAAGAAAAAGGCAATACTTGCTGGTGCATGCCAGATTCAAAACACTATGATATCGATCTGGTCAAGACTCTCAACAATAAGGCGAATAGTCTCAGGCGGTAATGTCCCCAGCATCCTGATGGTATAGACTTATTTGATAAATGTGTATTTGTACAGAAAATGAATAATAAATGGGAGAATATATAGTGAAGGAGTGCCAGCTGGCACACCACCTAGGTGTGAGAGTTCTCCGCCACATCATCGACAATAAATAATTTGGTTCTGGTTCGTGGAGGCTGAGGTCTGAACTGTCTGATAAAGAATTGTGTCTCGATTAGATATTCTTCGCGCTAGTCTAGAAAAGGAATGGCGGCTTACGGCTATTCTCGAATATCTCCGAAGGTGGAACAGAATTAAAAGAAGCTTTCCTCCAGAAACAACCATCTTCGACGTGCAGACTTGTACATAGTTCTTTCTTTGCTTCGAAGAAGTTACTCACTCATTTAAAATATATCTTTACATACAGCCATACACAGTGACAAACACCTTTGTCCTGTATCGTCCCCGCCACCGCGAAATCGAATAACCGGAGGTCTTCCGCGGCCCGTTCATTATCCTCGAAGAGCCATTCATTTGGATTTTTACTAAACATACTGATTGTGTTTGTGAGGTGAAACTGCATATTTGACGGGAAAAAAAAATGAACAAAAATTCGGTTACAGCATGTGCGAAATATGTACATTCATTCCCAAGAGCAACAGCTAGTCGGGCGCAAACCGTTTCGCCAATATGTCGGCCAACTTCAAGCAAAGTCCATTCAGTAAACCGAGCACTGACAATATCACGATACGAATCGTCGCGAGCGGTATCACACAGTTCGTTCGTGCTGAATAAGTCATGTAGAATACCTGTGCTTTATACACCATACTCCATACGTTCCTTGGCGACTGCGCACGCAACCTCAACGCCACAGCAAGATGGAGTTGGAGGTCCAATCCACGAATACGAGAGGAGGGTCAAGGCAGACTTATTAAGAGATGATCCCCATCAACGAAGTATATTGGTGGTCAACGAGTTTGTAAACTGAGATCTGTTAACCTGCGACCTAGGTATCATCAACCACCTCCAATGTCTTCATGATATGCTAAAGTCGTATACACCACCTCCAATCGTTCACCCTTCTCCAGACGACCTTCAGGAGGACAAGAAATCATCTTTTTTGAGCTCTCTTTTCAAACGAGGTGCTGCTCGTTCAGATGTTCCGCGCCCGCGTCCAGAAAATCTACCAAAGGGACTTTATATGTATGGAGATGTTGGCTGCGGAAAAACTATGCTCATGGATCTATTTTACGACACGATACCTCCAAATATCAAGAGGAAGAAGCGGATACATTTCCATAATTTCATGCAGGGAGTGCACAAAGACCTTCATGCTATTAAGAAAGCTCGAGGTCGCGAGTTCGATGCGCTGCCCATGGTTGCCGCGGATATTGCAGAGATCGCTAATGTATTGTGTTTTGATGAGTTTCAGTGTACCGATATAGCAGACGCTATGATTCTGCGAAGGTGAGCCTTTCGGCGTATTGGCTATTTGTGTTTCTCGGCTAATGAGGACAGATTCCTGGAGCTCTTGATGTCTCATGGCGTGGTTATGGTAACTACTTCAAACAGACATCCTGATGATCTGTACAAAAATGGTATCCAGAGGGAACATTTCATTCCATGTATAAAGCTACTCAAAAGGGAACTCGAAGTACTCAATTTGAACTCGGAAACCGATTACCGCAAAATCCCGCGACCTCCTTCCGGCGTTTACCATCATCCATTAGACAAAGCAGCTGAACAGCACGCCCAGAAATGGTTTGAATATCTTGGAGATCCGGTGAACGATCCCCCACATCCAGCAACTCATGAAGTCTGGGGTCGCCAGATTCCGGTCCCCGCAGCAAGTGGGCGAGCAGCCAAGTTCACGTTCCAAGAACTTATCGGTCGAGCCTCTGGGGCGGCTGATTATCTCGAGCTAGTCCGACATTATGATGCATTCATTGTGACTGATGTTCCCGGAATGACCATTCGAGAGCGTGACTGGGCTAGACGATTTATTACTTTTATTGACGCTGTCTACGAAAGCAAGGTACGTTCTTCTGCCCTGCACTAAATAATCTAGCTTCATCTAACTAACTGATATGGAAAACAGGCAAAACTTGTCCTCACATCAGCAGTCCCTCTACAAAACCTCTTCATGTCCGAAGCCGAGATCAAAACCTCAATCGACGACTCATCTGCCGATGGTCATGAGATCCTGCCATCAGATATGCGTCAACTAATGGACGACCTCGGCCTCTCAATGGCTGCACTCAAATCCACATCCATATTCAGCGGTGACGAAGAACGATTCGCTTTTGCGCGTGCCTTGTCACGACTCACTGAGATGGGTAGTAAGCACTGGGTTGAGCGTGGGATGGGTGTTGGTATGAATGCGGTTGATGGGCTAGAGGATCGGGATGCGTATAACAAGACGAGGAGTAGGTGGAGTGAGGATAGTATGTAGTATACATCATTCTTTTCTCTCAAGTTTGTTTATATGTTTGATTGTTTTATGTCACGCGAGCGATGGTGGTTCTGTTATCTTTCCAATGTGGTTTAGCGAGATTACATAGACATATATGGTAAATAGATTATCTCAGTGAATATACCCTGATAATTCAGATCTAAGTATAATAATATTTTGTGATAGATGGAACGAACTCATCGCCAAAGCCACCCATTCATGTACGGCAGAATAAACTCAATATAACCTCGAAAGTTATATCTATTGTACCTATTTAACATGGCACCGGCCTAGGCATGAAAGGAGTAAATAATCATTCCGCGAAAAGATCAACATTAACTCCCCTCAAAGCATCAACTGCCCACTCCGGCGCCTTGAATCGTGTGCCATAATAATCATCAAAAAACTTTCGAATAAATCCCGGATATCGATCTTCTATGATAGCTTGTCTGATTGAAGCCATGAGCGATAGTTGATATTGGACGTTATGCATCGTGATGCTAGTGATTATCTCTTGTTAGAACAGGAGGAGAGAGAAGGGGAAAAGGTGGAACCAACGTACAGATGTGCGCCGACAGTCTCCTTTGCAGCTAGATGGTGACACCATGCTTTTGTGATGCCTAGCCCGCCCTCGGATTTTGGTCGACAGCAGGGGCATTTGCAACCTTCTTGAATTGGCGAAAAGTCATTTGCGTATGTAGTGTTGCGGAGATTGAGGACGCCGTTCGGGGTGATGGCAGCGCCGAATCTCTGTCATTTTGAAAGTGTTAAGTAGGGAGAATATTTGTAGGCAGAAAATGGTGGGACGTACTGCTGTTCGTGTCGGCCATACGCAGTCAAACATATCTGCGCCCAAAGCGACGGAGACGACGAGATCTTCTGGGTATCCCTGTTGATAGTATATCGTTAGAGGAGATATTCCAAAACTGTGGAATAATAATCTCACCACTCCCATCACATATCTAGGCTTGTTATCTGGAAGCAACCCGGTACAAGTGTCGACTCTTTAAGCATGTTCCGTTAGTGGTCTCTAGATAAAACAAAAGACAGAAGGCGAGATGGACTCACACTTTACAGTACTCAGCTTTCGCCTCTCCACCAGATAACCCACCGATAGCAATTCCTGGCGTATCTCGCGCAACCATTTCCTCGCAGCATTTCCGTCTTAATTCAAGGTCAAGGCCGCCCTGGATAATGCAGAACAGATTTTGTCGTTCGGGATACCTATGCGCATCGATACAGCGATCAAGCCATCGTACAGACCGTTCCATGGCTTCTTGCATTCTTGCGCGATCGGGTGATGTGGTCACGATAACGTCGTCGAGTTGCATTATTATGTCGGAGCCGATCGAGTTTTGGAGTGATATGGAATGTTCGGGAGTGAGAAGCCTAAGCATGTCGCAGTCAGATGGAAAATATCCGCTGTCCATTATATTGTCAGGGAGATCGTACATCGGTGTGCCATCATGAGGACTCAGAAACCTCACACCTTCTTCCGTGACAGTGGCCAGCTTCAACAAGGAGACCATCTGGAACCTACAAAAGTTAGAATCAGTTGGCGTTCCAAAGGCAGACTATTTCGACATTGATGGGCTATTCTTTGGGAAACTCACCCACCACTATCCGTCAATATATTCCTATCCCAACCCTGCAATTTATGTGCTCCACCAACAAGATCCAACACCTCCTGGCCTGGCTTCAAGCCCAAATGATATGTATTATTCAAGCAAAGCATGCAACCAGTCTCTTTCAATTGATCATACGTCAAGCCTTTGAGGGAGGCCTGAGTAGCCACAGGCATGAAGATAGGAAGAGGAACAGAGCCATGAGGCAGGTGTAACGTACTCGCTCGGGCTTTAGTGGTCTAGGGGAAGAAACAAGGTAAGTAATGATTATTAGAAATGAGCTATGAAAAAAAAAAGAGAGCGCAAAACCTACAGAGCATTTCGCATGCAAATCGAATGTCAATGCAGAGGGCATTGACTTAGGAGTGAATGTAGAAGAAGTAGCTGTCGACATTGTCACAGCTCGAATTCCGCGGGGAACGACTGCAGCTGCAGTCAGGACCCGCAATCGAATTGATCTGATAATGTTTTCTTAAATATCGCAAATAAAAAAATTCAAAGAAATGCGTGACCAGATGATATTGCTTTCAGTATGTAGCTGTGATTCTTTGATGTTGTGATGCAATGAGGGGATTCAAACTCCGCACTGAAACTACCAACTGAAACTTTTTGCGGTGTTTGACATGTTTGTACGCCTGTCTTAGTCACTACGCTTACGTAATAACACACCAATGCCTCGGCACTAGGTTCTAGCCCTGGATGATTTTCTTCACAGATCGGAGATTAAATCCAACGACCGCTGGCAGTTTGAGAGACGATCTTATCGCGATTCTTTAGCACGTAGGAGGACTGTGTCTATACCATTCGGACTTCCAGAAAAGAAATGCAAACCTGTTGTTACTAGTGGGCCTCGAAGCTGTAGACTCGATTACAATTCTCTATCGAGTAAGAAATATGATTTGAATCGATTATCATCGCTTGACAGGGGTCGAAAACTGACAGTGGCACGAAAGCATCCGGCGTGATATCATGTATCATGTACGTGCTACATGTGCCAAGTTACGATTCAAGTCTTGGACTTATACGTAAGAATTCTTATTGGAAAATTAATAATAGCATGCAGGCAGATTCGTCACGGAAAGGTAGCGAGACTACGCCACCGATCTAGGGTTGATGCTACTGAATAGTAGTAAGCTGCACCTTTTGTCACATACATTAGTCGCTTACCTACAGTACGTAGTTCAATTGATCCGAACCAGCCTCACTTTTCTTGTCTTATTGTGCGTTGTACATGAGATGCAACCGATCGAGCTTGCGCCTCAGCTAGTGGCAGCAGTGATCGTGTCCATCGACCACCGGATTTACGAACTTTACAGCTTATCGGCAATATGAAGGCCGTGTTCGTTTGTCACATGTCATCACAAACAATGGGCCAATCATACCTGAGTATCGTCTAAAAAAGTATGGTTCGGCTGTTCAGGCCATCGGCCCGTCGCGATCTACTGGTTCGGAAGGGCGGGAAAACGGGAAATGAAAATCCTTCTTTTTACTACATCCCTTAACTGTACAATCAACTACTATATACCAAGATCTAGTGAGAAAGTCGACTCAATTGTACGCTGCAATGTAGTTTGTCCAATTACGACTTAAATTTGTTGAAATACCCGACCCTGCGATTTTTTTTCATTTGTCATTCGGTCTGGCCGAGTCTCCACCGGATCATTTCATGTCCCCCTCCCTGAAGGACCAAGTGTCAAGAGTGATTCCTGCTCTAGAGAATGTAACAACAGGTGTGTGATAGTGATTCCATCACATATTTTGATCTAATCAGAAGGACCGAGGTCACCGTGAAGAGAGAGGAAGCGCTTGAAGAACAACATCTATTTCTTAAAATCATTTGTGCGACGTCACAGCCTTGCCCCTCTCTCCACCTACATTTCTCGTTAAACTGCAAACTCCACATGTAGTAGTGTCATACGTCAGAACGATAGGAAAGTCAACTGCTTCATAATCATACATGGTAGTTCTTAGGGCTAAGTTGGAACTAACGTGCTTTAGCCCTTAGTGCTATGCAAAGCGGCCCGTACAACTGTGCATGCATGGAAAAATTTAGCTAAAATATCGCTACCCAAGGGACAACAAGAGAGAAAAAAAATTTTAATTCCATTAAGGACTACGCAGTACTACCCACGGTGACCCGTCCTTCGGAACAGGCACCACTTGACATCAGTAAGCTACGTAGCAGGTATTATTTTGGTAGACCTTCTAGATTCCTTGTGCCGACAGGACAAGCCAACAAGTGTGGGAATATCACAATCCCCGCAATATTCCGAAACCTTGTCGATTTGAATTTTTTTGTCCTCGGTTTTTTTTTGCCAACGAAGCGTGGAAGATCATGGTATATTCAATTTCAGTAGGTCCATGATAAATCTCATTTCGCCAAGAGAACGGAAGGAAATAAGCCATGTCATAATCTGTCATTCAGAAAAGTAACAAGAAATAAACTCCTGGGCCGGAATTCCCATAAGTGCATCCCTTCAATTTCCCATAAAAGATTAAAAAAATTCATATCGTAACTTCGTACTAGAAGATCAGTGCTCCAGTTGTTGTTTTGTGCGTATGTATAGATAGTTCGGCGAGAGAGGCGGGAACAAGAGAAATTGTACAGAGGAAACGGTCTCGGAAAAATGTCCATTGTGGAAACGGATCGTTTTCAGGTGCTGACCATCATAGAAAACACTAGGGATTCGCTGTCGTCAAGAGAATAAACAGAATTAGAGAGAGGTGCGGAAAAGATCGTTCAGCCTGTCCGTCCGGTGCAGACTTTTCGCATCCGGAATCCAAAACCCAGCACATTATTCGCGTTCGAGTGTTGTATCCCAAAGCATAATATCAGTACAAGTCATCTTGTAAGCGTAAGCGTCAAGACGATTCTAAAAAGATTGTTGCCCTACCCTACGAGAGGCAACAGGGAAACAGTCTCATCTTATCGTTATTGTATGATCGTTCGACATCAAAGTCGCTTAGAATTGACCCGAATAGTTTGTCTGAGGAACGAATGGTTGAGGATCCAGTTGCCTTATTGCGACCTCGGCAGCATCTTCTTTGGCATTGTTAAGGTATTGACCGTCGTACCAGTACCGAGCAGCGAAATTCCGGCCTCCTACATTGACGGTTGCGGACCATGCAGTTCTGCCTCCTGGAAGAGAAATAAAAAGTCAACGATATGTCTTCAAGCACAAGGAGAGGAAGATTGAAGGTGGTACCTCGTCGATCCGACACGATATGAAACTCCGGAGCTGTCAATGCGTTTTTCGTGCAATATTCTAGATAAATGAAGAATCAATATCACGCAACGTTCAGAAGCAAAGAGATGAAGTAAATTAATGCGAACCCCCCAACATCTTTTGCCAGTTAGGCATTGTTCCCTGAGCACCAGCAGCCGGGGTAGACATTTTGTCTGCTTGGGTATAGGAGAGAACGTTGAAAAGCGGAAGTGACCCCAGAAGAGAACAAGATCAACAGTGTTTCTTTCCTAATAAGTTCGATCCGATTGGTGACAGGTCGACCCTTTTGTGAAAGACGGAAAGGTAGTCGACGTGTCTGAATGCCAAACTCAATAGATAGCAATACAGAAAAAGGTTGTGTCGCTTCGGGGCGGATAGACAGAGGCAAGACGGCAACTTGTAGGTAGTAGTGGATTTCTCTGAATGGGAGAGTTGGATCTAATAGGAGTAGGGATGAAGAATAAAAAAAAAGTTATCCTACACAAACGAGTGACAGGAGGGAAAGCTCATATTAAATGCCATAGACATATCATCAGAAGAACTGAGAAGGTTGCGTGTAGTATGTATGTATTTGATGGTTTGCAGATGGATAACATCGGACGTTTGCCCCTCTTCATGTACAAGTCGGCGGAGAAAGAAGGGACCAGTATGCATGAATAAAAGGGAAAAATATGTATGAAGCCAAGTAGCTCCCCATTTAGAATAGACAACAGTAGGGTCAAAAATGTGTGTGTGAGGGAAGGAAATGAAATATTGACGAAAAGAAATGTGCGAGCAAAAGTGACAACCAGAGATCGATACCCCTCCAAATGTTCTCATCCACTCGGTTAGTATGGCTAGGGTTGCTTCGTTTTTGTAACACATAAGAACATTAAAGAAAAGGAGTATGCGGATCATAGGAAAAGAGGCTGCAGGTAGGGGACGGCCCGTCGCACATTAGGTACCTAGGTAAGTAGCCCGACCATTTACAGAAGAATGTTTATCATATCCTCCGCCCGTGATCCAGTCGACATTTTACATTATGCACGAGCCGGGGCCCATGATCGATCGGTAGGGATGTTGAGCTGTAGGGGTAAGAAGTGCATTCATCAAGGATAAAAGAACACAAGACAAGGAAAAAGCAAAAAATAGGAGACCATGATGTTCGCGACCACAAGGAAGATCCGTAGAGGGGAGAGGATCCATGGATTAGGGGGTAAATTGATAGGCTGAGAAGAAAGGAAAAGGAGAGACAAGAAAAAAAAGGGTCCAATAAGTAAGTACCCTACCAATTTTCTGGTTATTTTCTGCGATAGCTGTCAAATCACTGAACGTGGTTCTAGCAGACTGGTTATCTGATTTGACATGCAGAATATCGATCAGCTAGTTATGAAAGTGGATAATCTTCAAGAGCCAAAAACGGGGCAAGAAACAGACGAACCTCTTATGAAAGCCTAAAGCCGGAGTTTTCTCCGGAACGCGACTGAGGAATCGGTTTTGGGTAGTTCAAAGAAAATTATCATTTAACGGATACTTAACAATACATTCTGACCTTAAAGGAATCTCCCTGATGACGCCTTATTGAACATTCCGTTGTCCGGTCAGTTGGGCTCCTCGGTATGTACGTATACCCGGATAACTCGATTATAGAAAACTAAAGGGGTATAGTAGATCAGGATTTTGAGCAAGACGATAGGAGAATTTAATATATGGAGAACTGGATTAGTGTACCACACTGTACGTAGGCTTCGGCTGCCAGCACATCAACTCGATCCATGGAACCCATACACTGAAGAAGAATGGTTAGTGGACAATAGCTAGCTAGCTACATGAACAACCAAGTAATAACCTACATAGGCAGCTTGGCGAGACAACAAGAGGTGGTACTCTGTACAGACTAAACAATAAAGCCATGGTTATTGAAAATGAACTGTCATCATTACCATGGGCGTCTATACCAAATTTTGGCCGGAGAACGAGAATGGCCATTACTCGGCTCCCATGGAAAAAATAAAATGCAACAACAGCGTCCAATCATGTACTCGGTTACACTTCTTCTTGATAAATGTGCGTTCTAGTTGTGAATATGAACAAGCTAACTACCCAGCTAGCACATTCTTCAATAACCACACACAATACATCCATGGACATATGTACCATACCTAACAGTAAACATGGGGCATTTATGCAGAAGGTAAAGAGAGTCAATACCAGCTAAGGGGGGAAGCTAGCAACCTTTTGTCTTTTATTTTTCGTTTAAAAGGAACTTAAAACGTTAATGATTCGCTGCTTTGCTATTGTATTTTCCCATCTATTTTGCCGATGGTTCTTCGACGTAGCACCACCATCGCATTATTTTGGGCATTCATGCCTGCATCCGTGAGGTCCATTGATTGATAGGGAATTGTTTCTTGATTTTATTCTTTTCTCCTTTCTCGTCGAGTAATACATCAATAAACAGATATGTAAGGCGATAGAAGACATGACTATGCCTCATGTATTAATTCTAATTTCTGATTGCCTACAAAGTGAAGAGAAAAGAAACAAGGGCAGAAAATTACCAAAACCGGAACCTTCCTTTTTCGGGGAGGTTTTACCTCTTTCGCCCAAACCCTAACTTTATTTGACCAGCACCAGAGAAGAGACAATTGCTTAGCGTAAATGATCCAATAATAAGTAATACAACATGATCGAATATTCCGTGACACATGAATGGAGACAATTACTATCAACCGTGCAGTAACTGACTGGGTAGGAGTTCAACTCTTACCTAGGGTTTTTCACATTTGTAATTGATCCTTCACATGCGATCAACAACTGCTAGATCGCCACGCCACTGAGACCAAACATGAAGGGATAAAGTCTCTGTGATGTTTCTTCTTGCTAATCTATAATACTACCTCCTGTTACTAGACTTGGTTGATAGGTTATCGGACGGGATGGTAAGATGGTGTAGTCAATTGTCAAATCATATACTATGACATTACATGCAAAAGGATCACTATTAAGCAGGTACACGAACTGGTCAAGGCCCTGCAGCAGCGAGAAACATGGCCAACGCAATTGGGTCCATGGGCTAAAATCCGAGGACAGAGACCAATGATGATAGATTGTCAATGGGAGATACAGCCGTTCCGGACCAAACCATAAGCTGAGACAACAAGTCAGGATTGGACACTTCCAAAAAGATAATTGAAAGTACTCAAAAGCTTTCAACACCACGCTCCAAGGAAAGCATACAAGTTACTGAATCAGACAAAGGAAGTCATTTCTAGCCCAGCTTTGGATAATATTGGGGCACCAGACTCTGATCTTTGTGCCTTCGGCTACACAAGCGAGCAGTGGGACGCATGAGACGGCAGTGTAATTCGTTGAGCATTCTCACGAAAGTTAGAATGAAAAAAGCTAGAAAAAGCATGCCCAGTGTATAGGATAGATAAAATTTCTGATTCTACTCAATCTATATCGATAGGTGAAGCCTATACCTATTCACTCTTATTGAACTCTTCAATCACACTCCTCGGTTTCTGATAAGGGCCGAGACCTTTAAACTCCATATCCAGCCCAAAACCCTCAGGCCCTCCAATTCTCAAACCTCTCTCATCCCCCGTCCATAGTGGATGCGCTGCCATAGCAATCACATCCACTTTGAGACCATACCGCAATTCCTGAGATCCAATGGCTTCTCCATCCGCTCCTAATACGGAAATGAGATCTGGCACCGTACAGATTACGTCGTGCTTTGATGGGTCGTCTGCACTTACTACGTCGTCGACGTATGCTGCATATAGAAACTCGTTCTGAAACGGAAGTACTATGCAGCGCTTCTCTTTTTCTTTGTTCGCTGAGCGGGTATTGTTGGGATCTTCCATTTCGTCGTCGGTCAAGGGCTCAATGGTACATTGACCCATGGTGTATCCGCGACTGACATCTCTTTTAACATCAGTGATTTTGCCGCTGTATAATAGGTTTCCAGGTGAGGTATCAAACTGTGGGAGAGAATTTGTTAGCACGTTAAAATAAAAACGAAACGGATAGGAGAGGAGAGAATAGACGTACTATCGACTTTACGATATTAGTCTTGTTCCTTCGTGCTTGATGAACAGCTCGTCCGATATACCATGCTTGGGACACAGTGTTTGGAATGCAATATTGCTTGATGATATCGCAGCTTAAAGGAACAGCGGCGACGGCAGCTTTGAGACCGAGATTCACACATTGAGATCTTAACATTCCTTCCACCCTCGTGTTAGATTCAGCATTCTGTGCAACGATGTCAGTAGGTACCCTGTCACACAATATCTGGTAGGAAAAAAACTGACCATCACAACACCGACATTCTGCTTAGCATCTGCTAAAACGCAAGGAGTTATGGGATGCCCATAGACGTATGGCGTCCCTACGCATTAGAGTTAGCTCGATAACCGCATATCGTGCGTTATTCGGACCTGAAAGACTCACCATGCTCCATTGTGGGATACGCACGCCCCATCAAATCGCCATCAATAACTGGGATGTCGTAGAAGCTGGAAGTTGGAAATGTCGACATGCCATTTCCACCACCAATCTCATCTGCAATCACTGCTTCAAAATGCGAGTGCTTCGATAATTGAACTGAGTAATCAATGGCTGTCATGATCTCTGTTCCGGCTGGGAGTCTTTCACTTGAGACGCTCGGTGCACCATACCAGGATCCGAACACGCACACATCGCTGTCTTTCATATATTCGGGAGCCACGACTCTCATACGTCCTTTAGATTCGGGAGATTGCAGCCAATGGAGGCACTGAAGATATTGCAAATACGACGGTCCCCCTCCGCCTGTCCCCAAGACTCCAGTTCCAGTAGCGATAAATTCCAGATCAGTGGTAGATAGATACCATACATTGTTCACCACTTCCGGTGCGTAAGAGTCAAAGTGGACAGAGGTAATATGTTTCGTGGAAGACGGCAAAGTCGCATCTTTCGGTGTTGCTGATGCTGAATCACCACTCGTTTCCTGCTCGGATACTTGCTCATCATCCTTCGACATCCAGTCTATCTCGGCCGGTTGGTCTGATGCTAAGTTCCCCTCAAATTTCGACGTGCTGAGTTTCCCCACAGCCTTGACAACTAACCTTATCGCCTTGTTTGTTACATATTGTAGCGGAATCTTCTCCACCTCGACGACTTTGGTATCACCCTTGTCAGCTCCGCGCGCAATAGCGGCCTGGATAGCTTGCTGCTTGGCCGCTTCCACCACGGCTCTTTCGTCTCGATTCTCCAATATCTCAATGACATCTACCTCCCCAGAAACCTTTGCGATTGCCGCTCCAACCGCATTAGCAGAATCATGGTGAGGCGGGATAATACACTTGGCTACACCGTTCAGAGATTCCGTGCAAACGATGGAGCCACCACCCACCAGGAGAAGAGTCACAGGCAGATCGGAAATTTTCATATCGTCAATGGTGCGTTCCAATATTCTCTTAATCTTCGCCTGTGCTTTTGCAAGCACCGAATCAGGAATATGCTTCACCTTGGACACATCACCAATGTCTGCTTTGCCACTAGCGACTACAATATCCGTGGATGTCATTTGAACACCTCCGAATACCAAAGCGTCGCTTCCAAGACAGTGACCAACGGAGTCAGGTCCAACAGCAACAGTATCCAGGGTTTCATCTACTCGGACGAGACTGCCCCCGCCTAAACCTACGGAGAGGACCTCGGGGATAGAGAACGCCGTCCTGACGCCACCGACCTCAACAAAATTTGGCGCTTTTCGTGGGAATCCTGACGGCAGTAGAGCGCAAACGTCAGTTGTAGTTCCACCAATATCCATGACCAGAATCTGAGTATCTGCAGCAATATCACTGTTCGCCCCTCGATTCAGATTTGCAAGGTATGCAGCTCCCGTCAAGCTGTTTGTCGGTCCACTGGCAAATGTTTTGATCGGCAGGTCGGCTGCGGTAGCTGCGTCTGTGAGAGTGCCATCGTTTTGTGTTAAGAACAAGGGGCAATGCAGTTGAAGATCACTTATGGCTTTACAGAAGGCACGGACAGTCTTCCGGGCAAGATTCAGAATGGATGCATTCAGGATCGTCGCGTTCTCGCGCTCTAGGAGTCCAACATTTCCAATCTTAGATGAGCACACGACCGACAAAGACGGATCTAGTTCAAGCATCATCTTCTTGCAAGCTTCCTCCTGGATTCCTTGGTGGTCTAGGGGAGAAAACACGCCGACGAGGGCTACAGTGGAAATGCCGGCCTTTTTGATTTCGGCAACAGCGTCTTGGATCTGCTTGGGAGAGATGGTGGAGATCTCCCGTCCATCTATTTCAAGACCTATTGGAATGGACAGTCAGCTTCCTTTGTTTCATGCGCTGGAAACATTCAAACACTATTTTCTTACCGCCATCAAGATAGAATATCGGTCCCTCCATGATCTCTCGTAGTTGTGGAGGAAAGTCGCTGAAAGGAGGAATCTTTCAATTACTCGTCAACAACCTATTTTCTATCCAGTGTAAAAGGAAGCCATGAAAACTTACGGCTCTCGTGAATGGGCCACACAGTCTGACCACGGCGACTTTGCTGAGTCGCCGAGGATCAGCCTCTACAACAGCATTGACAAAGTGCGTTGTGCCAATAGCGACACTTTGAACATCATTTCGATTGACCTGTGACTTGGCCAATACATTGATAATGGCTGTATAAATTCCGGAGGTCACATCTGGTGTGGTTGGTGTTTTGCAAGATGCGCAGACTCCTCGTGATGTGTCGTCGGTAGCTGTCACATCGATTATAGCACAATCGGTGTTTGTGCCGCCCACATCGACGCCTATTCTGTATGAAGACATCGTTCTGACGATAGTTAAGCTGATTCTTCAGATAAGTCCTCTCCGGGGTTAGCTCAGAAATTTGGCGAGGAACTATCAAACTATAAATTTCCAAGGTTATCGGCAGTTGTGAAAGCTGACCGTGATGATATTTTATCATGAGCAGCTCCTGATAGCAACTTCATAGGCCGGATTTCTCCGAATTGCATCTAGTCATATTCCACCAATCATCCGGTAAACAGACCGAATAGCTGAATCGTCCATAACGACTGCTATCATGCCCTTTGAATCCTTTCCACAGTTCTGTTGGGTGTTCTGTTCAGTCACCCATGCCTGATATGGGGTCTCTTGAAGTCCGCCAATCAAACGCTGCATCTATTCAAGTCCACCAATCACAACGTGCAATATCGTTGACTCTTTGGGGTACATTCTGCCGGAGAGGAGATAGGGGTTATGCTTATCTCTCGCCGTTATCAGCATCATGTCGGAGACTCCGCATTGCATGAGTCTACAGAATTATGCATCTGTATATATATGGGGAAAGGGGGAGGCCAGGGCCCGAGTCATGTCTGCTGCCATTGACTTGCGTCTGCTTGTCATACACTGAGCCCCCCATGTCGCTCTGGAGCAGACTCTTGAAGAAACTTGAGGTCCCCCACGAGGGCGGCACCATTCCAGATCCATGGATCAACAACGATATCAAGCCTGTGGAAACAGCGCGACGCAAATGGGGATTTTGGACATTTAATAACTACTGTACGAATATATTTCCACGCTAACATTCCCGATGGCACGAAGATTGACTGACTGGCTATTTTCGAAATAGGGGTGCTCATCAATTGCAACATCTCGACCTACATGACTGGGAGCTCGTTGATTCCCTTGGGATTATCCTGGTGGCAAGCCATTATTGCCATTGTCGTGGGAAATATTCTGGCTTCTGTGTTTATTGTTCTGAATTCGCTTCCAGGAGCATTCTATCACTGTAAGAACCTTGTTACCGACTTGTTCTTGGCCCAACGGTGTTGACGATGACCATCTAGTGGGATTCCCCGTAGCAAACAGATATGTCTGGGGAATGTGGGGATCGCAGTGGGTTGTTTGGAACAGAATTTTTTTGTCAATCAGTAAGTTCCATTTCATGTCGCATTTCGTACCGATGCTAACAGTGTGTCGAAGTCTGGTGTAAGTTATTAGATTCCTTCCCTGGCCCCTTCAGCATTGAGCGCTTTCCTAACGTGACCTCCCCAATAACAGATGCCTTCCAGGCCTGGATAGGTGGTGAATGTGTCTATGTTTGTTTACAGGCCATCTGGCCTTCCCTTGAAGACCGAATTCCAAACCATATGCCCGCATCAACCGGCATGACCACAGCCGGGTTCGTGGCGTATATTGTATTCATGGTAATTTCGTTACCTTTCGTCTACGTGCGACCACAGAATCTGCAGCTGCTGTTCTATTCCTCTGCCGCCATCGTGCTCGTCTTCGAGGTCGTCATACTCATCTGGTCACTGGCCACAATGGGGAGCAGCGGGTTTGGAGGTACCATGTCATCTGCAACAACCTCCTCCGGTTGGATGATCGCCTACGGCATTATCAGCACCATCGGCAGTATCGCGGCTGGTATTCTTAACCAGACCGACTATGCGCGTTTTGCGCGGAGGCCACGAGATGCTATTTACGGCCAGATTATTAGTGCTGCACTCTGTGCTATTGCGTCCAGCGTCATCGGCATCCTTGTCACTGCGGCCACGCAGAACCGCTATGGCGAAGCATTGTGGAATTTGCCAAATCTCCTGAGTGCTGTCATCGAGACCGGTGGGTCTCGTTCGCGTGCCGCAGCGTTTTTCGGGGGAGTGGCTCTTGTAGTTTCACAAATTGGTGTCAATGTTCCTGGTAACGCTCTTTCCGGAGGTTCGACTTCTTTCCCTTGATTGTAAACGCCCTTGATTGACAACAAAAACAGGCTTTGATTTCGCAGCCACCTGGCCGAAATACATCAATATCCGACGCGGAGCCTACCTGACAGTTCTTATCTCCATCGCCGCCAATCCATGGAAGCTAGTGAATACCGCGACCACATTCATCACTGTGTTGAGCAGCTACTCCGTCTTCGTAGGGCCCATGGTTGGGCTCATGATTTCTTCATACCTTATCGTCAACCAAAGCAAGATTAAGGTTCCGGATCTGTTTGTTGGAAATAAAAACAGCATTTATTGGTATACGTATGGAATCAACTGGCGAGCAGTGGTAGCGGTATGTTCTTTTCCTTCTGAATGTCATCGAAAATCTGTGTCTGTTACTGACATTTCATATAGTGGATCAGTGGAGTTGTCCCCTCTCTACCCGGCTTTGCTGCGTACGTGAACCCCAACGTCTCGGTCCCAATCGGATTGACACACCTGTACTACATCTGCTTCTTGACGGGAATGTCCATCAGTGCCGCTGTATATATAGCTCTGCACTATGCCGTACCCGACAAACGACTTCAAGCTTTTGTCAACTCTGCGCCTCCGGCCCGGCAACTGATGGCAGAGTATCGGGAGTTGTACGATAATCCGGATGAGGTGTCATACGTGGATGTAGCACAGGGTAAGATTGATGCCTGAATGTCGTTAATTTTAGTTTATAATGTAGAAACTAAACCATTGTTTACCATTGATCAAGTGACATATCTGCATCACCGGGTATCAGGTAGTCTAGCCACTGATCGAAGCTTAACATGTCCAATGCAACCTCAAAGTCGAGAGATGTAGAATCATTGACGGCCATAAATGAATTTTCGAGTTCAATTCTCGGATGCTCTGTACTGGGTGGAATCACATTATTGGTATGTCCAAAGTCGGACTCTCGTAATGTGAGTGAATATGGTGAGCGCGTTGGAGCTACATCAGTCGTTGTAGCCTTAGTAGAACCGAGCGCTTCATAAGACTGCTTCAAATACTTCTTAGCAAGCTCCTCTCCGCCAAAAACAGACGCAATCTCTTTTACCAAAGAGATTCGTGCCTGTGAGTCCTGAGAGTGCTCTTGCTCAAACAAGTCAAGCATCTTTCGCAGTACCTTGACTCCATCAGCCAGCATAGGTCTGAGATCTACCTGTTCGAGGTCCGATATCACCATTTGGACATCTTGGATCATCGACTGTGAAGATAATCCCGGCAATGAGCGTTCCACCAGCAAAAATGCCGCTACTGCTACAGCAGCGGTATATACCTGGTATTCAAGAGACGTGAATTGTTGCGATCTCAAAAAGCCAGCTACATTAGCCTCGCGCATCCGTCGATAGGGGACGAGGATATCCTGTGCGGCTTTGGCGCAGACAACCCAGGATTCACCAATACGTGCGTGGAGAAAGGGTCTGTTGAGTCGAATCCGTTGTAGACAGATACCAATATGCAGTATATTGTGCTGCCAGAAAATTGTATTCATACTTGACGCATGCCGAACGTTGATTTCGTTGTTTGTCTGGAAATACCATGGGAATCGGGATACGACTTCCTGAATCTGGCGATCAATTGACCGAACATATTCATAGGATGATGTATAGGCACCGTTGTCTTCAAAAAGTCGACGGAAGACGATGTAAACCTCAATGTGCGCAATGCTAGCACTCATATCGGTAATTTCCTCCATGGGGCGTGGCGTGATGTCTGTTTCGGTGACGTCGACGTCGTTGCAATGTACTGGCTTTGGTACTTCGGAGGATGAAGTATGGATTAGAGGGGGACGTCCCAGGCACATAGCCTGATAACTGAGGATGATAGAAGGTTAGCATAGCAAGTTGTAAGATAGCACTTATACGCACGTATCATTAATTACGAGTTCCCACCAGACACGACGCCTAAGTTCAGTATCGAGGCGGTTTTTGCCAGGCTTATCCTTGTCCAACCCGAGAGCCTGAGCATTTCGTACTGCCTGACCTAGAGCTCTAAAGTCATTTACTATTAGTACCATGTATATCATTAATGTCACCAAAAATGATCACTAAGGGACAGAAGGAGAACAAATCAAGAAATTCAGAAAGCACAGAATTGGGGGAAAGCAAATGACTTACGAGTTCAATATCTCATGGTTCTTGGTCTCCAGCCAATATATCTGAGTGCACACAAACACCTGCAACTGCGTCAAAGTCGGCTTCAACTCATAATCACCAGCATATAGCGCCTGACGAGAGGCTTGATGCCAGATATGGGCCCAATCACGAGCTATCGACTTTCCCATCCCCAACATCTCCACGTATTCTTTCGAAGTCATGAGTGCAGCCAAGGAAATGACTGTCAGCAACAGTGCCAACCATATGAGATCAATTTCAGCAGTGTTCAATGACCAAAATTCCTCGTATTGGCGCTGGAAGCTCGGGATATGGATAGTGTGATATATGAGGTCGATATTCTCTACGTAATACGATACAAGTCTATCGCACAGGTCCCGGGGTGGTAGAAGTGAGGACAACTGCACTTTCCAGAATAATTTGGAGTCGATCGAGCGAGATATTGGCGATGATGAATTGCCTCTTCCCGCTTCACTTGAGATCGATGCTGCAGACATGGATTGGGGTAGCAGGACGGGCAACGCAAACCGTGAGTGGAGAAACATCATCGTATGTGTGGGATCCAGTCGAGTATTTGATTGACAGGATTCCACAAGTTCCGTGATTGAGTATCGTGACGGACAACTAAAGATTTCTAGCATAAAGTCACCTTCTGACTTTGGTGCTGGCGAATATCCCGGAGCAATGCTCGGAGGCGGCTGTCGCACCGCGACGCGAGCTGAAGCAGACGGCGCGGGATTTTCCTTGCATTGATTTTCTCTTTGATATCTGATGCAGCTCTGACAGGGAATCTGACGGTCACATTTCAGCTTATGCTTTCTGCAGGGATAACAACTCAATGTGCGCCGATTAGCGGGCTTTCTTTTCTTCAAGTTCGGCGGACGAGAGGCAGCATTTCGACTGGTTACGGAATTCGATGCAGTCATTTCATGTGATAGATATACTGCGATATTAAAGGAAATCTTCCTATAATATGGTAGCAGAGACACTGTCAGACAGAGGCTTGCTTCTTGATAGATGTTTAAGCGTCGAGATAAAGTTTTAGATAATACCGAGGAACTGTTAGGCTTGTACAGGCGACCACCCCCCATCTTATCGGGGAGCCCACAGATATCGGCTCCATTCCGATAAGGGTTGAATGGGTCAACCAGATTGAAAAGAAAAGAACTGTAAAGAACCCTTACATCCTTAGAGTCGAGGTTAACAGAGTGTAAATTGCATTACATTATTTCACACTTTGCGACAAGCTCACATGGTGGTACGATTGAGAGAAATCGAATCAAACGAAGCATCAATAAGTGTGTCCCTCCCTGCGTCAAACCATTAGGGTTCGCTACCAGTCAATATGTATACAAAACGCAATTAACAACCCAACATGCAACCAATATATACCATCATAATAGTCCACAAATAGCGCGACTTGCGCTTGAAGTACATTACTTCTGTCTGTGTGCTCTGTCGTGAAAGCTTAGATCTAAGATGAAATTAACAAACCGACCCGCGGCGATGGAGGATTTCATCAATCAATCGTCTAGGACCCAAGGAGTCCAAATGCATATTCTGGAAAAATGTAGATGCTCTTCTTTTACCCAGATTCAATCCGACGTGTCGCTTATTGTGCCATCGACGTCTGATGCTGTCGTCCACTAGGACCATGATTCCAGTTGCTACAATTACACTGCATGATTTTGTTAGTCAACCAGCAGTAAGAGGTGAAAAGGGAGAAACGTACTCAGCTACGTCAGACATCTTCTCATAGACAGATGAATCACTCATCCACATCGAACATTTCGGTACCCAACCCCCCTTCTCCTCTTCCTCCTTCATCTCCATTGGCGTCAAGATTTCGGGGACGATGTAAGCGACCGTCCTTGAGGTTTCGAGGTTGACTAGATGATACGAGATTTCGTGGAAGCCCCCTTCGCGTCTGGATTCTCGTCTCCATTGATACTTTGTGCTCCAGTACTCGAATTCGTATCTTTTTGACGATGTGACGCCTACCCGAGACAGTTCGATGTGTGCGTAGTTACAGAATTCAAGGAGCATGGTATTCGACAACTTCTCTTCTGTTGGACCGGGAGTCATCGTCTCGTCATCTAGAAAGTCTTGTAAGGGTGACGACTTGGGTAGCGACTGATGATGATGAAGTTTGTTGGAATTGGAATTCCAAAACCCAGTCACAGAATGCTTATCACTCGATCCCGAACCCGGTCGCAATCCATTCAAGACACTTCCCCAAGACCTACGAAGATTCGGCCTCTTCTGCAACTGAGCGGTATGTGTCATTCGTCTCGAGTGACATACTTCCCGGCCCGAATCGCGACAATACCGCCGAAACGAAAAGTTGCGACTATGCAGATCGTGCATCCTCAGATGGAAAAGCGTGACTTCCTGCTGTCGCGTCCTGTCTCGGCGATTCAGAAGTGTATCGACGCGAAGGTTCATATTTCCGTCTAGCGTGGAATCGTCATGATGGATGAATAGACGTCGACCAGACGGAAATAAGTCAGCGAATGTCGCTGAATTGGAGGGTATCGCGCTTGAAGTAAATGTCTGTTGTCGCTCCGTCACTACTTCATAGTGGGGCTGCTTTTCTTCTTCTTCTTCTTCTTCTCCTTCTTCAGGTAAATCCTTACAAGAAGGTACCGTTGATGCATACGTTGAATTGGAGTCGCGCGGATCTTCTGTGAAAAAAAGTGCTTTGCAGGAGTCCTCTCCCTTGTCTGCGACGGCTATGCGACGGCTGTGTTCCGTCGGTGCTGTGCTTCTTGAGTGTTCAGAGTCCGCTGTAGATGATGTACTCGATTGACTGCCCTGCATTGGCACGTTCTGGTACGTCGAAGCCGTGGACATCATCAGATGGCCACGATAGCGTTGAATTGCGAAAAGTTGGTAGTCGAAAACAAAAACCAGCGATTTTCGTAGAGACAAGTTCGAAATATTAGTACGTGGCAGTATCTGTTATTATTTTTCCCTTTATTGATTTTCTTCATTCATTCATGCCTTGCTTGTGGGTCAAAAATGCTTTTTGGGTTTTGAACAACAAACATCACCCAACGCTTGCTGCCAGACTGGAATGTCCGATCACGAATCATGCGTCGACACACCAGAAGCCGCGGGGCAAATAATTAGATTAAGTCGGAATCGAGGAATGGAATTAAGTATGTGTTGCTGTATTATTATTCTGCTTTGGCGCAAAAGACCATCAATCAATATGCCAGGGTGAAAGATACGGATTCAATATTTGATAGACGCTGGATGAGCCTGAGACTCGCATTCAGTTATTATTCAGGTCAGAGAAAAAAAAAGAAAAAAGAAGTAGATCCGGTATTCCCATGTAAGGCAGGATAAACCAAGTGGAAATGGCCTGTCTGACTCTTGCAGAAGAAGAGGGGTGAAGGTGAATGTGAATGAATCTTGACCTGGACCGAGCGCTTATTCAACTACTTCTACAAGAATAGTAGCATTGGTACGGAGTACATTGATCGACCTGTCACAGGTTCCTCAAGCCTCAAACTCGTGCACTTAGTACGATAGGTATGTAGTTACTAGAAAGTAGAAACTGGTACATGCTTAGATTCGGGGCTGTTAACCCTGCCTAGGTTAAATGCTGTCGTGGCGCTGAGCATCTGGAGGCCCCAGTTAGGCTGAATCAGCGGGCGCGTGCCCTAAAATGGACGCTGAATTTACCAGGGGACACACCTTGATCGATCGCTACCATCCAATCAATACTCTCTTTACACCACACTGGCTGCCTCACTTCTTTTCAATCAGATCGTGGTGACCCGATTGATCTAACGGCCATTTTTGTCGTTCAAACTCTGCTACATATTCCGGAATCTTCTGTGCGATACGTACATACAATATGGAATCAGGCCGACCGTGAACTTCAAACGCCTTCAAACACCGTCCGCGATATGGTCTGATATCCTCCATTCCGAGGCTCGTCCTGAATTTCTAGAATTCATCACGTTACACCACCTACAGTCTGATACTGCGGCGTCTAGGGGCAGATGATATGCTGTGAATACTACGGAGTACGTAACCCCGATTATTCTCTCATAACTGCTTACTGCATATTACGCTCTCAGAATCCTCCTTCCGTCAGCTTCTGTAACGCGGCATACGCGGGGCTCAGCCCGCGTGTTTCAGCGCTGTGGACTGTCTCATATGTACTTCGGAAGAACTACTAATCCATCTTTCAGATACGTTGGCGAAGCTGTCGGGAGTAAGCTAAACTGAGGACAATCACAAAAGTCAGTGAGAATACACTCATCATCCCGAAAATATATCCGTGTGAGCAGTCCGGAATACGTACTGACAACGAGAGAGCCGGAAGAATGAGGAGTGTCGGCACTCGATTCAACGATTATTGGTGTCGGTGTATTTAGCCTCCTAAGCCCCCCTCCCAAACACCAACAACCTTTGTATCATTGGTTGTGACAAAAAGAGCACATGCCTGCAGGACATTCGAAGATACCATTGGACCTTTTATGCCGACAGTAGAGTGTATCGTTCGTATTTCAGCAAATTGTCAATCGCACACATTATTATTTCACGAAGTCCACAGTGACTTTAACTTTCTATTGGTTATTTGGCTTCTCGTTTGAACCTCGGATACGATCATTCAGCCAGCACGTTTTCGGCCTTTATCTCGGTGTGTCGACGACCATATTAACTTGATCTAGGGCTCGTATTGAGCTCTCTTTAATATTTTGAAGAATGTAGGTTCGATGAATAAGCAGTAAGTGAACATTTCACGTTGTCTATAAGCAATCTAAATCGATCTATATGTGCGAGAATCTAACATTGTATGAGCGAGGAGAAAAAGTCGGAGATTTTAACTCTAGCAGATTCGCTGACGAACCGCTATCCATAGCACCTCTAGGCACTTTTGGCATAGTCGTCCAGAATGGCATCAGCGACCTTCAAAGCCATTCCGTAGAAAATGGTCATAACATGAGAAGACACCTGAGTCGGAGGAATAGAGCCGTCAATGACACGTAGGCCCTGCGTACCGTACACCTTGGCAGTAGCATCAACAACACCACCAAGCTCTCTAGACATCATAGAACAGCTGCTCACAGCATGCCAGTTGGGACGGAAGTTCTGTAAGACATAAGCCGACCACTGGGAAAGAGTAGCATTCTCGGCCAAGTTGTATCCTGGAAGAGTCTCTCCGGCGAAGTACTCCTTCATAGCACCTTGGCTGGAAAGATCATGAGCAAGCTTGGAAGCAGCGGCCTGACCAAGGAGGTCAAACTCGTTCAGAAAGAATTTGGGGTCGTTGGCGAATTGCCATAGGTAAGGGTCGCTACTGAGGATATGGACGGAACCACGAGTGAAAGGGATGAGATCCCATAAGTCGAAGTTGATCTTGCCCTCGGTGTCCATGAAAAGCTCGGCGAAGGCAACGTCTTCGTCAAGGAGCCAGTTACGATAGTTTTCATATTGAACTTTGAGAGCAGTTACATTATGGAAACCACCGCGCGCAACGGTCTCCTCAGCCCATTGGTCGAGCTTGGTGTTGAGTAACTCTCTGGCCTGGGGGGCGTAGTCACCGAAGGTTTCAGTGAAATTGGCGAAGAAGACGGCCTGACCCTGGCCAGCACCAGCGACACTAGCCCGGGAACTGACAGTGGTTGTGGTCTGGTCTTGCATATTGATACCAACAGGAAGGTCAAGAAGCTGAGTGATATTGGCCTGATCAAGAACAGACTTCAAACCTATGCCAGAATATTCCAAGATCAGCGGAGAGATAGCTGAGCCAGCAGCCAAAAGGACCTCATGCTTAGCAAAGACGTCAAAGTTCACGACCTTATTAGTACCGAAGTTCACACCAACAGCCTTGGGACCGGATGCGGTCTGTTTAAACAGAACCTTTCCAACCATCTGGCCAGTAAGGATCTCCAAGTTGGAGCGCTGGTAGTTGGGAAGCAGCCATGCACGGGCAGCATCAGCACGAACTTGGTTTTCATCGACATTGTTCATGATCATAGAGACACCTCGAGGATGACCGCAGAGAAAGTCTTGCTGGACGGGGACACCAAGGGCTGAGACGGTGTTCATAAGGGCCTTCATAAGAGGAGACCAAGGCTTACCGTTGTCACGGGCTCCGGAGCGAACAGTACCGTTGGTTCCATGGCAGGTAGCATCGAAGTAGTGACCGGCGGCAAGTTGAGCATCAGTAGGGGGACGTGCAGCCTCGGCCTTCTTCATGTACTCGAACATATTGTCCCAATTCCAGCCTTCCATGCCAAAGACCTTCTCCCAGGAATCAATCTGGATTTTGTCCGGGCGAGTCCAGGAGTCACCGTTTATCAAGGTTGATCCTCCAAGACCCTTGCCGGCCTTGATATTGTTCGTGCGGTTGTTGATCAGGGGAACGGTGAGGTAGTTCTGGTCAACAGTGGTGCCGAAGATTTGTCCGTAAGCGTTTGGATCCTCGATGATGGCTCCATCGTTGGACTCATAGAAGCCCTTTTCAATAACCAGGACTTTGATCTTGGGGTTTTCTGTCAGTTTGGCGGCAACAGTAAGGCCAGTCAAACCACCACCAGCAATAATGTAATCATAGGTCTTTCCGGCGACCTTGCTGGGTTCACTGAGAAGACTGGACTGGACATCAATCTGTTCGGCAGGCAGATAGGCTTGGACCGTAGCCGCAGAGAAAAGAAGAGTGCTGAGAAATACAGACACCATTTCGAACGGGCAATCTCAAGGAGATGGAGAAGATAAACGGGATTGCAAGGAGAGTGGTGAATGACCTGATTGTTGTGCTGAAGAACTTGTCTGAACAGCGGTAGATGTCGCTCAATTTATAGACTTGCAAGAAGCACACATTTCCTTTCATGTCGTATCTTGGCCTCGCCACTGGGTTAGATTATCCCATTTTCTGAAAATGGACTCGTGCAGACATGAGTGATTCAGGCTGCAGACGGAAAGATGTGAGATACCACCCGTGCTACAGCTTGATCAGCAAGTGCTGGAATAACGGCTGAACCTAGGGACCTGGATGGAAAACGCTGAAGCATCCGTTCGTGCTCGAGGATGTGAGTGGTCAATGCATCGCATCAAGAGGAGTCTGTACGCTCCATCGGCATGTACGGCGATAATCCTCTGCAATAATTTCCTGAATTTTAGCTTGAAGAACCATTTACAAAATGTCTACGCATCTTGGCGTTAGAAGCTCAAGCACGTTGTTACGTTGAAGATTATCTAAAGATATGGCGATATTCATTCAAGCTCTAGGTTATCGCGGCAATGAAACGCAAGAATCCCAGCTCTGACGTCAACTTTGCCAGTACTCGTAAGACTGGCATTGACAGATACATAAAGTTGTGAATGAAGAGCAGATCAGAATCACATACGAATACAGAGAGTGGAGCGCCAAGAGCACATCGATATCATTGAACTATTCTCGCAATAGATACCTAAGTACGCTTTCACGTACTCAGTGACCTCGAGTACATTCATTTGACAGTTTCTCTCTTGCTCTTCTCTTCCTTCCTTCGACGGAATAGTGCAGATAGAGACTCCATATACAACTAAGCAGCACTAGTGCTACTGTCTCTTCACATACACAGCCCTGTGGATGAACATATGAAATATCACAGATTATGCTACCCATACTAGCGTCTGGTAAACATCAAATACCTCACTTCCCGGTGAGGCCTTCAGGAAGTCACAATATTCATTCTCACCTTGGGCTCGAGGCAGTGTGTCTTCTCTAGGACTTGAGGATAGCTTCACGGCATGCACCGAAGGGTCCCGATTGGTTTACAGACTAAAGAGTTGCAATTGGCCAAGTCTTGCACAAGCCAGTGATATCGGGCCGGTTGATCAGGTTCGTACATCCACTCGGTATCCCGAATATCTGAATGGAGTCGGCCCAGAACAATAAAGGGTTGGCATTGACAGAACGTTAGTTTTTTGGACGTTTATCATCGTATTTGTTATTTGGGGGCCGAATTGGGGCTAACTTTACCTGGGTATCAACTTGATTAACATCATTACATCTATTCATATACTATAGAAAGGTTTTATCTATGAATGTTCAAAAAATATGATCGAGATTCTTGATCAGTAGGATTTGAACAGTTTTTGCGCACCCAACTTTGAATGTTGAACTCCAATACAACCTGCCAAAAGGACCGTGTTTGATTGATGCCTGGAAACAATTACCTGAAATATCCCACCACTATTCTTATCTACGTACTTACAATCTGTTAGGGTTTAAGGTGGATACTGAAAGGACCACGAACCAAGATCCATCCTGAATACTAGCCATATATAGTATCTGCACAAGCCCCTCATATATGTAAATAACTATACAACTATACGTGCTTCGTATTAATCCTTGATTAATATGCATTCTTCAGCAATCCTTCCCTAATCTAAGCCCATCCTGTGGTCCGTGGGAAGCGATCAGACTCGGCGCCAATGCAGGTCTCCCCTTAGCCCTATGCACAACCTTCCATAGCCTTCCGAACCTAGTTACATATGACTATTGAATTATACCTAAGAGTATAAGACACGTTCTTCTTGGCTGGGAGGGTTTGGCCCCAATTTCTAAGCACACAGCCGAGATCTTTTGATCTTACTAATTTCCAGTGGTCTGGAACGGGTTCGTTTGAAATCGGAATCCCATATATCGAACCCAGTCAATATCAGATGTATTTGTGCATGGCTAGGTAAGGCTATTCTGTGCTTGTTGGTCCGTAATCTCTTGACTTATCTCACAGTGAGAAGGGGAGATTGAAGGGTCTAGATTGATCTATGATGAGGTTACATCCATCTGCTTGAGAACGTTGTGCTTACTGCGAGACTCAATGAGACGTCACTCGCAGGCTCTGTTACATTAATCAGCCTGAAAGCTTCAGAAGAATGGTGAACGGCCCTCTAAATAGCTTCTTGCAACTGCAGCTCTAGGTTAAGGTCAAACAGTGAGAACAACACCCGATACTGTCTAGATGAAGGAGCTACGGTTCTCAATCGCAGTATCAGTATGTCACTACCTTCAGACCAGTCAAAATAGGATACTAACTATGATTTCATTCCGTATTAACCTTTTCAGACCTTTTTCTTTTACGAGATGACTGCTCCCAGTCCTACCCCTTTTCGACAGGATGCCGCTTATCGACGGAGTATCGAGTATGGGAAAAGAAAGGAAAGGGAAAAGAGAAGTAGTTATGCTAGTACCACTCCGTGTGATTATATTGTGCTCATCTAGCTAACTAGGTAGGGGATCCCCTGAATAGGGTGACGACATGAAGCTATTCCCACGTATACCCGCGAACGGCATCGAACCTTATCTACAGGTGTCATATCCAGGTAAGGAAGTGAATAGTCAATAAATAATAACCTCATACGCTAATGTCCATCATTTGAATTCAAAGGCATGTTATAGTGACCCCGCCAAGGCAACCTTGAACGTCATCTTTCCAGCTCATCCACAACCACGAACGCTCCAAATACAATTTCCAAGATTGCAGGCACAGAAATGCTGCTCAACCCTTGCGATCTCCACTAAATTTATCTGTGCTCGTCGGACTAGAACTATCGAATGGACTGGGACTCTGCGTCTCAGTTGGTGACGAAGCGAGCTTAGTGATGAGACTCGGAACATTGATATCACTGTTGAATTGCCAACAGGCGTTGATAGTCTAATTGCCTCGTTAGATATTCTCCATAACTATCTTCTTTTGTAGTACTAACAGTTTGCAAAGCAAACAATCCACAAGCCAAAGCTGCCCAGTTGCACCTATACGATCGCTCATATCGTCAAGTATTGCGCTGTGGGTACTCGCTGCTCGAGATGTCTGAGAACTTGCAGCCAAAACAGCACTAATTATTGAGCTAGAGGATGCATCATTGCTGGTGTTGCCGTCACGAGTAATAGTGTATGAGAGTGGTGCCCATATACCGAAAACGATTGCGGCGGCGAGGACGGTTACGTTTACGGCCCATGTAAAGAATTTTTCTACATTTTTGTGAGATTTTTCTTTGGTAACAGAATCGGTTGTATTTGGGGCACTTTGTGCAGGGACAATAGTACATGCAGAGACAGGTTTTGGTTGTCCTTCCTGCGTTTTCTCCTGGTTGAATCTTTCATCTGCAGGCTCTGTGGTTTGAAGTTCCATAATTCAGTGAAAGATAGCTTATATAGAGTTAATTGACTTAATTCCACATGAATGCTAGCAAGGTAGCAGACAATCTATCTAAGAGAGAGATATTTTCAATTTGGCTGCGCGGTTGTTCGGCCTACGGTGGGAGGCCGACGCTTAGGGCGACCCCATAAGACAGCCAAGGGCTGCCTGCTGCGCCAACAATTACCCAGACTAAGAAAGATATAGTTGCCAAGTGTAGGCTGAGCCGGCCAGGACAGTTCACATGTACAGTAGAAACTGGCTATAACGAAAGGAAGGCCACTCCGCATTTCCACTAATATCAGCTTGGATGACTTTAATATGGAACTGAAGAGTCTAGAAGTCGTTGATACTAGAATGGATTAATATATTGGAGGAGCCCTTTATCCCTATATCGAACTCACTTCTGGATATATGGGCTTAGGCCTTGAGAAGCCTTCTGTTCGTTATAGCTAGATTCTACTGTAGTGGGTTGTCAGTTGGCTCGAACTGATCATGCATCAGACTCGGATTTTGGACTCTGTAACTCAAAAGAAGCGCTGTTAGATACAAAAATGCTCTAAGACCATGTCAGCGCTGTTTAGCACTGAGAATCGTGGGACTTGATCTGAGCACGAGCGATGCTAGCTTAGCTGGAGGGAATTGGCATAGGTTATACTTCAATCTACTGCCACTGAATTCAAGTTAATTGCCTTGTGTGATGTTCTCAGTTGAGTTACAACTAGCATCATGGCCTAGACGTGGAGATACCGAGCAGATTGATTCTTGTATTATCCAGTCTATACCTGAAGGCCAAGCCAGAAAAAAAGAAACACAAACGATCAAGATTTAGTCCATGTAGCTAAGGACTGAAGTATATTTGTGATCCCCAAAATTCGATGCAAACATGTAGCTACAATCAAACCTGTACCCAAAGGGGCTTGGGCAACGGCTCCCCGGGCTTGATCCTCAATGACGATCCGTGCGTAAGATCCGCAAGATGCGTGCTAGAAACCGGAGGATTGAGTCCAACATAGGCCTGGCGACGCTCAGGACTGCCGGACGTGACTGACCATGTATACAAGCCGTAATAGGTAGCGATCGAATGTACAAGCCATCGCCTAGCGAATCAATACTCAGCTATTGTTTGGCGAGGGCTGATGACGGTATACAATTGCACTACAGGAAAGGATAATGTGACTTACCCGAAAACAGCACCAGGATCATGAGCTAGACTTTCAAAGACCATCTTCTGTCCTTCCTGAAGCCCTTCATTGATCCTCTTGGCTTTCTCTTGACGACTGTGAGCGTCATGCATCTGACCATTTCGACCGACGAATACAATCTCGTCATCCGAATCCTCATACTCGGAGTCCTTCACGCTGTCGAGTTCGCGCTCCAGTTGTTTATCATTCCACTTTTCAAGAAAACGTCGAATATCTTCTTCCAAATCTTGCAGCATCCCGCGAGCAGCACGAGCGTGTTTCAGAGACTTGCGGATTTCCTTCGAAACTCGAGTCTTCTCATCTTCATGCTCTCTGTTTTTGCTCTTTGCTTGCTTCAATGACTTGCTCTGCTCCTTGTGTGCAAAATGACTATCCCACAACGGAGCCAAATAGTACGGGACAGGATCGTGTCGGGGATGGGTTGGTTGGACTGACCAATCACCAGGAGCAGGAGGTTGGACCCAGGGGTTACTCAAAAGACGATCTATCCCGGGTTAGTTGGATTTTACAGTTTCACTGGAAATCAGACGGCAGCCAAATTAGTTCCGGTAGGTCAAGGTAGAAATACCATTTTCCCATCGTTGTCTGCGCCGACTACCCTCTTTGCCCTTCAACAAGGCTTCGCGTCTTCTCAAACTGTCCCGGCGGATTGGCTCGCGACGTCGGTATGCAGATGTCCCAATAGTATCATCGGCCGCTTTGGAAATGATCTTTACGCGAGGAGTCGAAGGCTTATTGGTCGCGGTAATGGGTCCGTCAAGTGGGATCGATAGCGCATTCGCAGTACCTCGGATTGGGGTGGAAGCGTTTATTACTTCAATCTGGGCGACGGAATCAGAAATGTCAAGTATTTGAAGCGAAGCGGCCGCTTGTTCTGTCCATGCAGAGATATCCTGCTGGGTCAGATTGCTGGTGGATGCGCGCCCAGTGCGTAGGCTCGGGTGGATTGCCATGCTGGCTGCTGAATTAGTAGAGACCGTGGTGATCGGGTGATCGGGTGAGCGAGAGATAAATAGTAGTCTTAGACAGTAGTCAACTGAGAGACTCTAAGAAGTAAAGCTGAAGGTGGTTGAAGAAGAGAGGAAAGACTGAGGATACTTGGTCCGAACCAAGGATGAGCGCATGCGATAAGCCATCCCCGAGCGCCCCGATAAGTGTGGCCTCAGGCCACGCTTCGATTGGCTGATAGGCCTAGCGCGGTGGTGATTGGTCGGCTGAGATCCCGGTTCCACTTGAATATCGACTCATCCTGAATCATCCTCTCTCATTCTTCTTTTAGATTATGGGATGGTTTTTAGAGATTTGTCTGATATCCAAATCTGTTTCGGCAATTGTAGCTAAAGAAATACAAAGGACTAAAAGAGAAGAGAGAGAAGCGAGCGTGTCCCTGCATAGAGTTAACCGGATACAGGAAGGTGAGACAGCATCACGTGCTATCCCGGGCATATGATAGCATCATTCAAGATAAGCCTAAGTTAGTCAACTGTGGATAACCTCATTCTGTTACTTCTCATCCATCACTTCGTTCTTTCTCATTTATGGTTAGGACTTCATTCGCTTAAATTTATCCAGTGTATCTTCTACTGCAACTGCAACATGAAGCTACAAAACGTCCTCGCATTGGGCGCAGCCATCCAGTCAACCTCGGCTGCGGCTGTCCCGTATGAACAGACTCCTCTTGCTGACCAAGTACCAAGCGGCAAGTCACCGCTACCCCAGTATCTCATCGAACTGGCTCCGTACGACACGCGATGGGTGACCGAGGAAGAGAAGTGGGAACTGAAACTTGTGAGTGCATTTACTGACTAATACTGTCCAACACTAATCATGTTTTGTCTGGTAGGATGGAGTGAACTTTATCGATATCACCGAAGAGTCGAAGGCCGGCTTCTATCCCAAATTCTTCAAAAGCAACGCAGTACAATACCCCACCAAGTTCGCCCACAATGATACCATCAACTCGCTCTCCAAGAACCTCAACAAGACGAATATGCGAAACAATTTGGAACACTTTACTTCGTTCCACACAAGATACTACAAATCGGAATACGGAGTCGAATCTGCAACTTGGTTGTACGACCAGATTAGTGATATTGTTAAGAGTTCTGGTGCTGCTGCCAATGGGGCTACTGTAGAGAAGTTTGCCCACTCATGGGGCCAATTTAGCACCATTGCACGCATTCCCGGGAAAACCAACCAGACCGTGGTTTTGGGAGCACACCAGGATAGTATCAATCTGTTCCTTCCATCCATCCTTGCTGCTCCTGGAGCAGATGACGACGGCAGCGGAACTGTGACTATTCTAGAAGTCCTACGCACACTTCTTTTGGCGCCGGATATTGTTGCTGGCAATGCCACCAATACCATCGAATTTCATTGGTACTCTGCTGAAGAGGGAGGTCTGCTAGGCTCCCAGGCTGTCTTCTCCAATTACCGGCAGAATTATCGTGATGTCAAAGCCATGTTGCAGCAGGACATGACTGGATTCGTGCAGGGCACACTTGATGCCGGAAAAGAGGAGTCTGTTGGCGTTATTGTAGACTTTGTCGATGCCCCATTGACACAATTCATCAAGGACGTTATTACCCAGGTATGTTCCTAAACTTCTGCTGTAGCAAATATACTGAGGAGTATCAATTAGTACTGCGATATTCCGTTCGTCGAGACCAAGTGCGGTTATGCCTGCTCCGACCATGCATCCGCCAGTCGCTACGGCTATCCCTCTGCGTTCGTGATTGAGTCCGAGTTCCAGTACAGCGACAAGCACATTCATTCCACGGATGATTTGATCAAGTACTTGAGCTTTGATCATATGCTGCAACATGCTAAGATGAGTTTGGCTTTTGCCTACGAACTTGCATATGCACCTTTTAAGTAGACTACTCTTATCATTATAGCCCCTTGCCGTCAAGGTCGCACTACAATATGTAAATAGCAGCATTATCGCATCCTTAGGTTAGATTAAGTGAATACACTTCTGATCATGAGTGGAGCTCTATGAGGTCACTAATTCGCTGATCGGCCCGCAGCCAAACTTTGCTGATTCTTCGTCGATCTCTGACACCTTATACGCACTTACCCTCATCCAATTCTATACATACAACCTTGGACAGGATAAAAAAAAAAGAGAGCAAAAATGGACTACGAAAAAGAACTCTCCCTAGCAACCCTCACAATCCAACGCGCCTCGAGACTCACAAAATCCATCCTGACCGCCGTCGACAAAGGCGCCCTGGACAAAAAGGATAATACTCCCGTGACAATAGCCGATTTTGCGGCCCAGGCATTGATTATCAGTGCTATCCATGCTGTGTTTCCCGACGATGGGTTTGTGGGTGAGGAGTCTGCGGCGGCCTTGAGAGAAAATCCGGAATTGTTAGAGAGGGTTTGGGGACTTGTTTCTTCTTTTCAGGATGATGAGGGGAGCGGAGAAATAAAATTGGCCACTCCGTCGACGCAGGAAGAGATGCTTAATCTGATTGACCTTGGCGGTAAAGGTCAGGGTGGCTCAAAAGGACGTATATGGGTGCTGGACCCCGTCGATGGGACAGCAACATTTATCCGGGGACAGCAATATGTCGTCTGTCTAGCATTACTTGAAGGCGGGGAACAGAAATTAGGGGTCTTGGGCTGTCCCAATCTACCCATCGGAGCAGAGCAAGTGCACGAAGATATAGTCGACAAACATGGCGATGGACAGATTATATACGCCATTGCAGGGCAGGGAGCATATATCCGACCTATGAATTTCTCTTCGACAGAGCAGATATTATTAACACCTGCAACTCCCGTACCGAAATACTCACCTAACCTCAAAACGAGCGATATACGCTTCGTCGACTGCAAAGCTTCAACTTCAACAAATTACGAAAAACATGCCCTCGTCGCGTCCAAATTAGGGGCTCCTTGGCCTGCAACCGTGGACCTGTGGTCCGCCCAGATGCGATACGTTGCCGTAGCCGTCAACGGAGGTGGGAACACGCTTATTAAGATCTTGCAGGACGATTCCTATCGGTCTTGTATTTGGGATCATGTCGGGGGAATGCTGATTGCGCAGGAAGTGGGTTGTGTAGTCACAGACCTCAGGGGAAGGTCTATTGATTGTGGGTTGGGGAGGACGTTGGCCGGGTCTGTGGGATTGATTTGTGCGCCTGCTTCGGTTCATGCGGAGGTTTTGAGGGCGGTGCAGGAGGTGGTTGATATTGATTCATAGATTTATAGACTCATTTATTTTTGGTTACTTGTATATAGACCGTGCTGACTCTTAATATAGACTTCAAGTTAGGATTTAGATTCAGATAGACTTCACCTATGTGCAATTCCTCCATATAAACCATTGCCTCAAATTGGCCAATCACTACCAGAAACTGGTACCCCGCATTGTCACTTACAGATCGCCGACTTGCATCTTCTCATCCATTCATTCTCATTCTTGGTCAAGATGCTGATTGTGGCGATTGGAGCGGAGCCAAACTTGTTTCGTTTCAACCTGCATACTTAGCTAACATAATATCACCCAATATGACGCCAGCTTCTCAATATACAAAACTCCTGTCAAATCAGAAAACATCTGTATCTATCAAAGGCCAATAAGGTCCTAGTCTGAGTATGCATCAGGTCAGAGGACCTCATGTTTATGCGGACTACGTCTCGGAATACGGAGAGTTTATTCCCCGCAGGTTGGACATGCAATGTAGAGTTAATTATAGCCAATCCACGTAGAAGTACTACGTCTGTACTTTCTATTTTTGCGACTTTCGGGCAATTATCATGGCAGTATGGGCTAATTCCTTGTCCGACGTACTCAAAAGAAACGGCATGAGAATAAGAAAACACGGTTCTCAGGGATTGCCCATCAACAACAGTGCAGGACGTGCCTAATTCAGTATCCAGTCAGAATTTATCGCTCCATCCGCTGTGATTCGTCTGGACGGTTCGTAAGCCAGCATTGCCCGCAGTAAACTCCGTAGACTATCCATTTCCATTTCATCAAGCTCGCAGGTCTGCAGAGTCTCCCCTCTCCCCATTTGCCATAGTCGTTGACTCAAAGGTCTAAAGACAGATGGCTGTATGCAACTAAAATTCGGGTTCCAGATCCCGCCCTCAAGGAAGAATTCCGGTCTCTTCTCCCATTGCTGCCACACTCTCGTTGACAACTTGCCCAGGTGCTCACCATCTCCCCCGATCACCTCATCCGGATCGTCTGCCCAGGTCTCGAAGAGGGGTCTCTCGCCAAGCATGTCGTACAGAGTACAACCCAGAGTCCATATATCAGCGGATGAGTTGACCTTCCCACGAAAGACTATTTCAGGAGGACAGAGGACAGCCGGTGTATGCAGCGTTGAGGGCTCTTTACCGAGAAAGAAAGACGATCCAAAATCGGTAATCTTGGCCGTGCAATTCTTAACCTGATTGCTGGGGATGGTCAGATTCAGTGGAATCACGACATGTGTAGGGGCCTCTGGGCCGAGAGGACCCTCATCAATGCGGGAAACAGGGACCTCAAATATGTTCACATATCTCCTTGGTACTGAGGCAATCCAGCTCAGTAGGCTGAAGGAGAAAATTGCGAGCATGAAGATCTTAAGGTGAGCTCAGTCAGCTAAATCCATCCAACACCCTGGAAATTCCGAACACACCTCCATGACCAACTCCGCAAGAATGCATATATGCTAGTCCCATAGTAGCTTAAGCCGCAATGGTTCGAGCGATGTTGAAAGGCAACATAAAATCCGGACTGTTCTCCTCGGATTCAGCAACACTACAGCCGCTCACGAAGCACGTGCAGTGGCCGTGGGGTCCTCTGAAAGAAACCCATGAAGCAACGAGGAAACATATTTACGCCCGGGATGGTTAGAGTTCTCAGCTTGAAGATGCTGTAGAGTTTTCGACTCGATACTTTTACCCTAAACATCCGCAATTGCAATTTTTCAATGCAACATATCGATTCCCTTTCTGATCGTGAGCGAGCCGGACAGTCGAGGAGGAGCCATAGCCTAATTTATGGATGATTCTGTATCTGCCGTTTGGTAACCTCCGACGCGGTAGCTGTCAAGATTTTCTATTCCATCCTCAGGCCAGTACACCCCGAAGGAGTAAAGCACTCGACGTTTAAACCCTAACCCTAAAAGTAATCAATGTTCGTATCGTAGCTTTTTAGGGTTATCGATAGCCCTGACAATTCTGGTCATGTCAGATGCAGAGACCCCAGTCAGCTATAGCCTGGCAAGAAGTGCCGGAGGTTAATAGGATTGACTGCTGCTAGTATCTAAGACATAGCTCTCAAACATGAGACACGAACAGAAAACCAATCATCCCTTGCACGCCCTTGACAGGAGTCATGGGACCCTGCAAGAAGAAGCTCAGACAAACCGGATTTATTATTGCGTACGAGTCAGAGAAGAAAATCGCGGGGTTAGCGTTGGCTGTATAGTTTGTCTAGACTTCTGGAGTATATCACGCCACTGGGGGTGTATGCGCATACGTCATTAGCGGGCAAACCAGGCAATTCGCAGAGGACCTCGCGAGAAACCTCTTTTTCTTTAATTTTCCTTTTCCATCTGAGAGAGTTGTATTTCTTCATTATTTCTGCAATTAACCAGTCAAGTTACGAGATGGCCAACTGTGAGTACACATCGTCTAGAGTAATGCGATGTAGCTAACAACAACACAGTCAACCCCTTCGCTCGACGCGAATCTCACCACCGCAACACTCTGATCGCCTACCAGGTGCTATCAGTTCTGTCGTGGGCTCTAGTCCTTGTTGCTGGCATTTACTATTCCCTCCATAAACCCGATGATGTGAAACATGGACACAACATCTGGAAACAAGCAAACAGGCATCCGACGCCCTTCTCGCAAAACACCACCATCACCGGGATTTACTGGTAAGTTTGCCGTTTACTTACACGATATGTACTAACTTGTATTAGGATCCTACTGCTACTCTCTCAAGTCAGCTATGTCTGGCACTTCTTCTCCAACAACGGCACCCTAGTCACCAGCGCGGCCAATGTAGCCTCTCACTTCATCCTCAACAATCTCCTAGTCTTTGCATTCATCATGCTCTGGGTCCGTAATTACTTCTGGCCAGCTGAAATAATCCTCATTATCCATGTCATTAGCCAGTCTTCAGCATACTGGACTCACCGCGGCTCTCCGCCTTTTGTGCATTGGCCTGCTATTGCCGGGCCCTATGCATGGTCCCTTACGGCCCTGTTCTGGAATGGAGCTGTTGCCGTTCATGCTCATAACCTGCCTTCGAGGATCGTGGCCAACATCTTCATCTGGGTCATTTTCTTGATTGGATTCGTTCACATTTTCACGGCCAAGGATTATATTTTTGGTTACTCCTTGTCTATTCTGACTTTGTGTAAGTCATCTCTCAATCTCCCAAGTTTTGATTCTGTTTACTAATTGGACAGCCCTCGCCGTCGAACAACTCGCCATCAAGATCATTGCCCTGCAATGGATCTTCGCCTTTGTCATCTTCGCTGTCTTCTTTGTTGGTTCGTTGTACGTCTCTTCCGCAGCTTATACCGGACGAGACCTCTGGCTCAAGCGTGTTGTTGCGCCTGACTCGACGACTGATCGTGAACGTGAGCCATTGCTCAACAATCCTTAAAACGCCGTATGAGCGACTTATTAGTTAGGAATTCCGCCTGTCAATTTCTCCCAGGAGGATACTCCCAGCTCAGAACTCAACTACTTATTTATCTCCACTCCACTATGCAGCAACCAGAATGGATCCAATGCTTATACTGCCTGGTTGATTTTTGCACGCATTTAGCATTCAGGCTGGACTCTTGTCTTTAACCGGCCCGGTATAATTTGTCTATTCTTCATTGGCGTAGGCTATGTGCCACATGTTACTAATGCTTCATGTCCCTATCAGTATGATTATGTATGTTTCCAGACTGTAGTGGTTTTTTCCAATACACGAAAATAATCTATATATCTATAGTATCATACACGGCACTCCATCCCCTCCTCAGCCAACCAAGGCTCATGCGCAACACTATCATCCCCACTCCCACTATCAATTACCATCGCCATCCCACCGGCCAAATGCCACATAACATGACAATGAAACAACCATACGCCGGGATTATCAGCCTTGAACCGCAGAACTGCATATCCGCGACGAGGGATTTGCACTGTATCTCTTAAGACTGCTTTTGTTAGATCGTATGGATCTATATTCTCGTTGAAGGAAGGGGATGTCCACGGGTTATATGAGCCCCATCGGCCTGAACCTTCAGGTGATTCGTATATATCCACGACGTAGAAATTATAACCATGCTGTTAACCTTGTCAGTCCACCTCTCCAGAACCAACGAACTAAAGAAAAAAAGGGAAATACCAAATGAAACGGATGAGCCCCCTCATCCAAATTATTAACCACCAAGTCCACCCACCCATTTTTATTGCCTGTCGAAACAGCAAATTGATGTTTATCCCATTGATTGCGCGGAAGACCCAGTAATGGATACGGAGGATCACTTTGTATTTTCCACGTTGTGCGGTTGAAGAAGCCGTGCGGGATGTTGTCGAGGCGACTTAGTTTTTCGACTTTGGTATAGACAATGTGTGTTTGTTCTGATTTTGGGGGGAGGGAGGAGAGGAGGGTGCGTGTTGAGGGGAGGGTGTTTATGTTTATTATGTCGTCTTCTTCAATGTCGTTGGTGTTGTTGGACTGGGCGGTTGGGGAAGAGGGGAGAGAATCTGAAGGTAGAGGTGTTTGGAAAATTGGGAATGATTGTTGTGGTACGAGGGCTGGGTTCCCGATTGTGAAGTCACTAGATACACTTAGTTCAGCAGTCTTATATAGAGTATAAGGTGAGACATACGAGTCATCCATCTTCACAGTCATCCATGAAGTCTGACCTTTTAACGGACGCAAGACAAAATCCACACGTTGGCCTGGAAATAGGATTCCGACTGAAGACCTGCCACCATCGACTGCCTCCATCTCAACCGGGTTACCGCCATCAATTGTGATTACTTGTATTGATGTGCCCGGCGCAAAGCCAAGGATGATTCCAGTAAGGGAACTGGGTCCATGATTAGCGTTTTATTCCATGTTATCTGGATTTTGTTGACATACCCCGTATTGACAACTCGAACCCTATACGAACTGTTCCCATCAAGGATCAAAGGTGGCATCTCATCCGCGGATCCTATACAATCCAACGGCCGAGCTCGAACTGCTCTCGAACAATTGAACCGACCAGCACCGTTCACAAGCAGTGAGTCCGGAACAGGCTAAGCCAGTTAGCTATCAATTCAATCCATACAACTGCGTAACTTACTTCATACCCCATTGATCCCCACCAAAGATACCAACTAGCCACATCCGTGGCCGTACGATGATACCAATCACCAATCATCAGGACAATCTCCTTGTCGTATCCATACTTGACACTATCAGATACCATTTCCGAACGCTCCTCCAAGTTCTGATGCTTAACAAGTAACCCCCTTACATTCGGCGAGACCAGCGTAGAATCAGGCCGATGCACAACAAGACTCCCATATAACCCATCCGCTCTCTGAACGGCGGAATGCGCATGGTACCAGAATGTGCCGCTTTGGGTTTCGGAAATGGTGAAGTTGTACCAGAATGATTGGCCGGGTTGAATGCCGCATTGTGTAACGCCGATGACTCCGTCCATTGTATTTGCGCCTGCTTATGATTAGTTTGATGATTGTTTGAAAGTGAAGAAGTGTGGTTGTGTACCTCTCATGTTTAGGCCGTGCCAGTGGAGAGAGATCTGTTCATCTTCGAGGTTATTATGCACGAGGATTTGCAATGTATCGCCTGAGCGAGCCTCGATTGATGGCCCGGGAAACATATCTGTCGAAATATTAGCATTGTTACTTTTAGTTGAAGGAGTGAGAATACCATTAATCAAATAGATTCTCTTGTCAACTCCGTCCGGTCGCCGTTGTCCGGCAGTTACACTCCAATTCAGAGTCTGCGTAATCGCTCCACGATGGATATGGTCCTCGGGCCGAAGTCGTCCATTCTCATGTATGCGATTGTCATATTTCAATGTGGATGATATTGATTCATGATCATGTAATGAATTTGACAAGCGATTAATACTGTCGTCGTTGTTACTCTCGTAATAATAACGGACAAAAAGCACAACTGTTGCCAAAAACGGTAATATGCAGACTAATGCAATGAGAATCGATGGCGTGTGAAGTGTGGTCTTGGACCCTCTTCTTTTGTCGTTGGCTTCTGTTTTCTGTTGTTGTTCTACCGGTTGCGCTGTTGCATCTGGAGATTTTGTAGCATCTTGCTGTTGCTGTCGTTTGCTTAGTCTTCGTTGCATCGTGTAAGCAAACTACCAGTCAAGGGACATACAGATATGTCCTTGATTTGATTATCAGATGACAGCATATGGTATATTCGTGTCGAGTCCCTGTCATGCATGACCTAGGGTATTGACACACTTAGCCCTAATCGATCCGACGATCCCCGGAACTAGCCTGACGTTTCGATCCAAAACTTCAGATGTTTCTTCCTTCCCAGCGAATAATCGAAATAAACATGAGCACACAATCGAAGAAAAGAAGAAGAAGGAAGAAAAATAAAAGCTTATCGCCCACGTGTTACGCCTCAAATCGTTGTTCTAGACATATCGGACAAGAAAGAAGATAAATTAAATAGATTAAGCTCATGTGCTAAGATTCCTCGGGGCCCGCTCCGAGATTGTTTCTTGCAACCAACAAAACAGATCAAACGCTCACACGTGCCATTCCTGACTCCCGACTCTGCGAGTGACATTCCTTGCATTACTCAGTTGATTATACTACTGTACCACTACTTATCTGTCTTAATATGTGCGCCATTAATTAGACTATCAGACTAGTACGACGTTGTGGCACTTAACTAAGTAGACTACTGCAGAAAAAAGGGTATGTAACCACTCCCCCCTGCCACTTATCACCGTTGTTTACTGATCCTCATGCAGACACAATCCGTTATCACTGGTCTAAAGGAGATGAGGGTGTACCCCGCGGACAATGGAGTAGTCGGAGTAATCGGAGGAAAATATTCCCTGTTATGGCACTTATGACACTTTTTTTTGTTCAGATTCAACACCAGATCCGCCGGTTTGCTCGCCGCATCACGCTATCGGCCAAATACCGAGGCAGGAACCATGCGGAAGTCCCTGGGTAAAGATGGAGGCAATTTAAAATTAATAAAGAGAGAAAGAAAAAAGTGGTTATGTTGAGGAATGAAGACGCGATACTAGCTGCATGATGCATCTGCCCGGGCACTATATGTGTCCCTCGTGCCTCGCTCTGGAATGTAGATTTTCTTTTTTTTCTCTTTTCTTTCAACGACGACAAGAATTCACTTCACTGTAATCAGTCAACTTTCGTTCTTTCAAAATGGCACTTGCCTTGAGTGTTGCCCTGGGTTTGGCCTTGGGTGCCAGCCCAGTGAGCGCTGGTCCAGTGAACGCCAAACCAGCTGGCGGATTGGACCAGATTGAGCATGTCGTTCTCTTCATGCAGGAGAATCGGGCTTTCAACCATTATTTTGGAACCATGGCCGGCGTGAGAGGTTTCAATGACCCGAATGTTCAGGTCAACTCCGACGGACGTTCCGTCTGGTACCAGTCAGTTATCTTTGTTTTCCCTATCTTTTTCTCATTGTGGATATAGAATAACCTCTGATATGGTGTAGAACCGTTGACAAATCCTTGTCCACCGAGACTGACTATCTGCTGCCATGGTACCTCAACTATCTCGGCGGAGACTGGGCGCAGGCAACTCAGTGCATGGTTGCAGGATCCAATGGTTATGATGCTAATCACGCCGCTCTTAATGGCGATCTCAACAATCATTGGGCCATTAAAAATACGCCCTATAGCTGGGGTTACTTCAAGAGACAGGATCTCCCTGTTCACTTTGCCATGGCCGAGGGATACACTGTCAATGATATGTATCAGGAAGGTCAAATGACGGCAACTAACCCCAACCGTGTGACTTGGGTTAGTGGAAATATTAATGCCACTGGTTATCCTTATATTGATAACAATGAAACTCCCGGTATGTATACTATGTATTCCCAAAAGAAAAGACATCAAAGCGCAACTGAGAACTGACGCACGTTGTGATTTAGGCTGTGAATCCGGAGCAACCGGACCGTTCTCTTGCTACCCCCTTACCTGGGAGACTACCTTTGAGGTTTACCAGCGCCTCAACGTGACCTGGCAAGTGTGGCAGGACACCAACAACTTTGATGACAACGCAAATGCCTGGTTCCAGCAGTATCAAAACGCACCAGACAACTCTCCCCTGCACGTCCACGGCAACTCTTTCCAGTATACCCTCGACGACTTTGCTAAGGCCGCTGCCGCAGGCACCCTTCCCCAAGTCAGTATTATTGTTGGACAGACTGAATTGTCGGAACATCCTCCTTGGCAACCTAAGGATGGAGCCTGGTTGCATCAGCAAATCTTCAATGCTGTTGTCAACAGCCCCAAGTACCACCAGACTGCCTTGTTTATCTCTTATGACGGTAAGTACAATATTATACAAACAGTCGACCGCTGCTAATACGAATTGATTAGAAACTGGTGGCTTTGGTGACGCTGTTACCCCCTTCCACTCCCCCTCCGGAACCGCAGGTGAATGGATCCAAGATCCCCTGGGAAAATTCGGCCAAACCTACACCGGCCCTGGTTTCCGTGTCCCCTCCTGGATTGTCTCACCCTGGACTCGTGGTGGACGAGTCTTTGGCGAGCACTGTGACCACAACTCTCAAATCCTGTTTGTTGAGAAGTGGCTCCAGGCCAAGGGATACAGCAACGTCGAGCTCAAGGGTATGGCTCCTTGGCGCCGTGAGAACATGTGCGATTTCGTCAATGCTTTTGACTTTGCCCACGTAAGTTTTTTTTTTTTTTTTTTTTTTTTTTTTTTTCTCATTTCAACTGGGAATAAATGCGCATATGATTGGATGATTGGTACTGATTTGTGAATAGCCTGACTACAGCATTCCCCAAGTTCCCACCGCTGCTGCTCCCCATACTGACTCCAATGGCAACTTTGATGGAGCATCTCTCTGTGAAGCAGCCCACCCCTCAACAAGGCCACCAGTGCCATACGGTAAGCAAACTCTTCAGGATTCCTTGTACTTCGAAAACGGATTCAAGAAAGTGGTTGGCTATTTGACCGAAGGCCGCTATCTGACCTTTGAACTAAACGGATACGCTTTGACCAACCCTGGAAATGGTGACAAGGTTACTACCACCAAGGCAACAGCTGCTCACGACAGCAAGAACCAGCGTTGGGTCATTCATGCGTCCAACGGCACTTTCAAGATTTCAAGTGCCCTTGATGGACGATTCATTGGGGATCATGGCAAGGACGGAATTCAGCTGGGAGCTGCCAGTGATGCAGCTAGCTTCAATATTAGCTTCGAAGCTAATAGCGGCTATAGTATCCAGTACAACGGCGGCAAGTTCTTGGCTGTCAACCCGGCTGGAAAGGTGCACGCTATTGCCAGTGACAAGGCCCAGTATGATATCTACAGTGTGTCCTACCACAACTAGGCGCTCACTGTATTTCACATGATGCGGAATCATTGAGATAGTATTACATACCTCTTTTTGGCCTGGGAACACTCAGACAATAAATAGATAGAAATCCAAAGATAGTTCTAGCAATTCCACTCATTCTGAGTCTCGAAGCCCTAAATAAACTAAAGCGGACTAGCGCGAGCTGCTCCGTGGTTGCCGGGACAACAGCCACCCGTACCTGCCGCCTCCATCAACATTCACTCCACCTTCTCATGTCAATCATATAATCACCTCCAGACACAATTGGATTCATCAGTTGTTTCTTAAGACAGGAGAGCAATTTTATCCATTATAAATAGTGTTTGTGACGGTTATCCATATTGTTATTGTTATTTCTATCGATATCCTATTGTTTGGTCTGCACAGTGATCACTCTGTATCAACAAACCCACATCTGGACAGCTCAACCAATTGAGAGAACAAATCAATGCGATTCTAAATAGCAAACATCCGCGACTGTCTGTGACAACGCAATGGATCCATCAACCCCTTCTCGAGGCCAGGCCAATGGCCACTATGTTGAGCCCTATCCCGACGAGCTCCCACCATCATACTATGGCGATGAAGGCAGCAACATCTCATCGCCGCTTGGAAACGATATCCCAGGAGCTTCATCGTCTACCATGAGACTACTGCCCACTGGTTATGACAATGAAGATATCGACGGCGGCAGCGACTTGGGAACCAATGCTGCGCGCTTTCGAATGGGACAGACATCCTCCACCCGCAGAACGTATGTTGAAGACCCTGGTGATAAGCAACCTAGAAAATCGATTTCATTTTCTTTCTTGGATACCCATCATAAGGAACCCACTTTCCCCAAACCTGTTGCTCGTCCTGTTTCGCAGAACCCGTGCAAGCACAAGGTCGAGGTTGCTGCACCAGACACAGCAATCTCCCCATCCAAGAAACAAACCAAAGAAGTTTCTATTCGAAAAGTGGCACATACACATAAATCGATTAGAGATATTGTCCCTCCGCCGTTATTTGCCAAAATACCCAAACCTTCACGTCTTCCCGACAACACAAACCCAAAAGCTGAAACATTGGATCTCAGTATGATTGATCAAAGAGCTAACATGGACCCAATTAGTGCGAACCCATCGCCTACCAGATCAACCCCAAATCGTTATTCAGCGTTCCGTCCACGCCAGAACTCGACTGCGTCTAGTATCGGACATGCTCCGTCGATTCCGCCTCCCGCCGCCTCGGTTGTAGATTCACCACAGTATTCTTCTAGACCGGGCTCGCCGACGCGCCCTTGGACTCCATCCCGAGCATCGACCAGGCGAGGAGCCAACTCATCTATATCGGGAGTGAGCTATGAGCCGCCCGATCTCAATGGAAGCCCAAGACCGGGGACGCCGAGTTCGGCATACGGAAGTAGTCCACGCAGACCTCTTCCTCCAGCTCCATTGTTTTCGGGTCCTGCAGCAACTTCTGGAGAGACAAGTATAGACATTGGAGATGCGCGTTCTGCAGAGGATCCTTTTGGCGGAGACGGACAAACAATCGATCCTCGACAATCTTACGATTCTTTCAGGAGTGAATCAACAATGATCGCTGACGAGAAAGAGGATCTGGTAAAAGTCGATATGGATGAAGTTCCCCATGAATCAGAGGAGTCTGAAACGCTAGTCGACACGAATATACACTATGGGCCTGCACCTGAGGGTAAGCAAAGCCGTCGTGGAGTACGGCCGGCGCAGATGTCGAAGAAAGAAGTCCAGCTTATCAACGGTGAGCTTGTTTTGGAGTGTAAGATTCCTACGATTCTTCATAGTTTCCTGCCGCGACGTGATGAGCGCGAGTTCACCCACATGCGTTATACTGCTGTTACTTGCGATCCAGACGAGTTCAAGGAGCGGGGTTACAAATTGCGCCAGAATATCGGAAGCACTATGAGAGAGACGGAACTCTTTATCTGTGTGACTATGTACAACGAAAACGAAGTGCTGTTTACGCGAACTATGCACGGTATCATGCGTAATATCAGTCACTTCTGCTCACGAGCCAAGTCACGTACCTGGGGTAAAGACGGTTGGCAGAAGATTGTGGTATGCATTATCTCCGACGGTCGTGCCAAGGTCCACAAAAGAACGCTCGATGCCCTGGCAGCCATGGGCGTGTATCAAGGAGGCATTGCAAAGAACGTGGTGAACCAGAAGGAAGTCACAGCGCATGTGTACGAATACACAACTCAAGTATCGTTGGATTCTGACTTGAAGTTCAAAGGTGCTGAGAAGGGCATCGTACCTTGCCAGGTGATCTTCTGTTTGAAAGAAAAGAACCAAAAGAAACTCAACTCGCACCGATGGTTCTTCAATGCATTCGGTCGCATGTTAGAACCAAACGTCTGCATCTTGCTGGATGTGGGTACACAACCAGCTCCTACTGCGCTGTATCATCTTTGGAAAGCGTTCGATCAAGACTCAAATGTTGCAGGAGCTGCAGGTGAGATTATTGCCGGAAAGGGGAAGAATTACCTGGGTCTGCTTAATCCACTTGTTGCATCTCAAAATTTTGAGTACAAGATGTCAAACATTCTGGATAAACCGTTGGAGTCTGTTTTCGGATATATTACTGTGCTTCCTGGTGCATTGAGTGCCTATCGATACTACGCTCTACAAAATAATGAGGATGGACATGGACCTCTCAGTCAATACTTCAAGGGCGAGACATTACAAGGCAAAGATGCCGACGTCTTTACTGCGAATATGTACTTGGCCGAAGATCGTATCCTCTGCTGGGAGCTAGTGGCAAAGAAAGGGGAAAGATGGGTGTTGAAGTTTGTGAAGAGTGCTGTTGGTGAAACCGATGTTCCTGGTAATTCTTCCATTCTTGTTTGAGAAAACACACAATGCTAACAGCTATTAGACTCACTTCCAGAGTTTATCTCTCAACGTCGTCGTTGGCTTAATGGTGCTTTCTTTGCGGCTGTGTTTTCCTTGGCCAATATGCGACAGATTTGGGAGACAGACCACACATTGACGAGGAAAATCCTTCTACACATTGAATTCGTTTATCAATTCTTCCAATTACTATTTACATATTTCGGCTTGGTGGGTTTACCTTTTCTAGTTGACAATCCGTTCTAACATCTCGCAGGCCAATTTCTATCTGGCGTTCTTCTTCATTGCAGGATCACTGGCCAACCCGAGAATAGATCCATTCGGACATAATATGGGAAAGTACATATTTGATGTCCTTCGTTATGCTTGTGTATTACTCATGGCGTTGCAATTCATTCTCTCGATGGGCAATCGGCCGCAGGGGTAAGTTTTGTTATATCCTCCAAGGGAACTCCGCTAACAGCAGTAGTGCACGAAAAATGTTCCTCTTCGGTATGATTGTTTACAGTATCATCATGCTTTACACGTCATTCGCAACAATCTACCTGATTGTCGCAAAACTCAAGGGCGATGGGCTATCTCTCGGTGGCAACGATCTTTCCAACATTGTCGTCTCACTCATGTCAACCATCGGGCTGTACATTTTTACTTCTCTGATGTATCTTGATCCGTGGCACTTGATTACCTCCGCAGGCCAATACTTCCTCTTATTGCCAAGCTACATTTGCACGCTCCAGGTGTACGCTTTCTGTAATACGCACGATGTGACCTGGGGTACGAAAGGTGACAATGTCCACAATATGGATCTGGGAGCCGCCAAAGGCCTGGGAGGATCAAAAGTCGTCATGGAGATGCCCACTGAGCAACTTGACATCGACAGCGGATACGACGAAGCATTGCGCAATTTGCGAGACCGTATCGAGGAACCCGAACCCCCTGTTTCTGAAAGCCAGCTACAAGAAGATTATTACCGCGCGGTACGAACATACATGGTATCAATCTGGATGGTTGCCAACGCTCTTCTCGCCATGATTGTGTCGGAGGCATACGGCATCGAATCCGGGGCTAATAACGTCTACCTTGCCATCATTCTGTGGGCTGTCGCTGCTCTCGCTGCATTCCGTGCTATTGGCTCAACCACATTCGCCATTTTGAACCTCATCCACAAGATCGAAGAGGCCCGCATGAAATTTCAGGCTGGTTCTCTTGGTTCAAAGGTTCGCAAAGGTGGTGCAGGTGGCAGCAGTGTCGCTGGCTCGAGTCGCTACGGCGGTAGTGCCAGTATCAGAGATTTGATTTCAGAAGGTGGATGGAATATTCAACGAAAGGCGAGGAAATTAATGTTTTGGCGTAAATAATGTCCTATATCCTTTTTCTTTGAGTCTTTTCATGATTGTTCTTGATGTTTGTATAATTTGAGGATTGGATTTGGTCAAGATTCTTTTGGCGTTTGTTTGTATTATGCTCTGTCTCCTTTGTGTTGGAGAAATGACCTTGTTGACATGATTTTGATGTATTTGCTTTTCGTTTGAATGATACTTTCCTAGATTCTACGAATATGTTTAGCAATGGCTCTTTTACTCAATAGAAAGACTAGTTTTGATGTCCATCCATAGACCTTGGAACGATTCGCAATACACAGCCACTCCGCAGCGCAAAGTCATAAAGCTTCTTCTCCTCCATAACTAAGCGTGACGAGAAAGTTATTAATAGCATACCAATTCCGATTAACCACGTACGTACAGAGTAGTCAATTTAGTTGGGGGTCACGCTCTCAACACCATGCAGCCGACTCTGCATGGACATGCACGAGTAGTAGATGGGCGCGTGGAATTGTTTACCGGAATGCAGGCCGGCTCCCCTTCAGGGTTGTATGTAAACAGGTCGGCTTTAGGTTCTGCAGTCAGCAGCATGCAGGGACAACGGTCATCATTATGATATGGTATTTTCTTCTTTCAATTTGTTGATTAAGATGATCCGAGACACAAGCACAAATCTTCTTGGATCTGAGTCCTGTGTGATGTGTATCTGCCAGGGGCATCCATCCATACATTAACACTCCAATACACTAAGACATCTGACTGGTCCAAGAATAGCTAGGTATTGCGAAAAAAAGAAGAAAAAAAAGGCCTCGCTTAAACGAACCTTTTCTAGACCTCGTCGCAGCCGATTCCGAAACTGTGGAGCGGTGCACGGAGCTTTGCGGCTGATTGTTGTCAAGTCGATTCGGTCACTGTCGTCTTTTTTTCGTGATCATATGAACTACGTACTCTTCAGTTTTGTCATGCTGGTTAGCGCCAGTAGTTTCAATCTTATCATGGTCTCGTCGGGTACTACGGGTACCCATCTGATGAACGCCGTTGGCTGGAAGACAGACTGAGTAATGAATACTTACTCTCCAAATTGAACGACACGGCATACAAAGTCAGACTGAAATTAAGGTTGACTAGTAACCCAACCAAAGCTTGTCCAGCGGAGAATCTACAATGCCTTGAACCTATCACAGCCTCGCCTCATACCACTCATTCACCTTTTTAGGGTTAAGGAGGCACATCTTTACATGGATTACGGAGACCTGGACGATGGACATACATACCATGGTGCTGTAATATTTGTCCAATTCCATCAAGATCAGCGAGGCTTGAAGGGCGGCATTTTTTTGGTGCACACGAAGCCAACATTGAGGCTGAATATGGCCAAATTGACGATATCCATTTTCTTTCAGGGTTTCAAGTTCAAGTTGACCCCTACAGATAACTCTGTCTCTCAAGAGTATAAAAGCTCACTAATGATTATTCGAGCTGCAGCTTTGCAGCAAGCCCAAACTTAGGAAACAACTGACACAGTACAGGAAGTGGGAGTATGCCGCTTCATCGAGTCATCGACATTACTTCTCCCTTTCACCTGGGCAGGTTCAAGCCATGATCTCAACCGACATCGGAACACCGTCGAAATGTGCCGGTAAGGTGAAAACTGCCCAATTAGGTCAATGATGTATACTCGTTTCATTCCCATATTGGGCCATAAGAACTCGGCCTAGAAGCGAACGAGCCGAAGGAGCCAACTGCGCCTCTACCGAGATTATCAAACTTGCACTCGTATTTTTTATTAGATCTGCTCTGATACAGCGGCTTAAAAAGTAATACGAGTGAGCTATACTTCTTGGCATCATAGCTCTGAATCTTTAACGAATCATTCTCCAAAATAAGCGGATAACTAGCCATGTGATTGGGCGAACACGCATGATACCCCAGTTTTATCTCCTAGGGCATTGTTTACATGCTTCTCACCTCCTTTCTATGAACCACAACACAGACTGAGTCGCTTACTAGACAGCAGGGCTTAGTCTCCATCATAGATGGGCACGACCCGACCTGAGTCGGAATGACAAGGCGGATTTCGGTTTCCTGGAGTAGTCGAGCCTGTTGAGCCTAGCCAGAGGAGGGAAAAAAAAATTCGCTGCGTATATTATTAGACTGATCCCTCATTTGCTTTCTGTCCTTTTTTCTCTTCCGTTAGTGCCAATACCTCAAGCCAGCTCTTTCGAGACGAGCACACTCCAATCCCACAGTCAACTCACAACTCACAACCGCCAATATGTTGCTCTTCAGCACCATCATGCTCTCCCTTCTGAGCTTCGGTCTCGCCTCCTCCATCACAGAACTGGGTATGGTCGCCTACGGCGTCTGGGTTTACGGTTCAGACTACACATACGCCTACTACTGCGGTTACAGTGTCTGCGAAGAGACCGTCAAGGGCCATGTCCCCGATGTCGTTTCCTTCCTGATGTTCGCCTCCGTTTGGTCCACTCTTGCTACTGCCGTTGCTATCGGGCTTCCTCTCTACTACCATAAGCACAACGGTCATCACCACAACAGCTGGCTTGCTCCTAGCCTTATCGTTCTTCACTTCCTCACCTGGGTATTTTGGTTGGCCGGCTTTGCTTATTTGGCTTATCTGATTGGTTCTTCTGGCACTGGTATCATTGCCGCCATCCTCGCTTTTGGCATTATCAACTGGTTCGTCCTTTCTCATTCCGTTTATGGGGCCTATGTACTGACAGCTTTTAGGATCTTGTACACGGTCTTGTTTGTCCTCAGCTTCCTTGCCATCTTCAATATCATGCAAGGCGAATGGCCTGGTTATCTCGTCATGAAGGGACGCGGTTCTGCCTCTGCTCCTGCTCCTGCTCCTGCTCCTGCTGCGACTGAAACGACTGCTTATACTGGCGCTCCTGCTGAGCCCAAGTATGAGGGTCCCCAGCTTACTGCTTAAAGTCAGCCGATTAGCGATCTGCTTATCTTTGAGTCTGGCATGAGTTGTGAATGGTCTGAGGTTTTGGATGAGGTTCTATTGTTTATTTGTCCTAATAATACCCATATATACCTTCTGAATCAATGAGCGATGTATTCTCCCGTTGTTGTGCTAATAAAATTATCTAATACTCATAGTATTCATCTGTCAAATTTCCTAAAACGTAGAAACATCAATAGAAGAGCCTCATAATCTTCAACAACCCCCGCAGTGGGGCCTATGACGACTCCCCTCACGCTTGTTTCTCCCAACTTCATAGTAATCCATAAACGATCCTCAACACATCAATGATCAAGCAAAACGAAAGAAAATGCCAGTCCTAAAAGTCGGCATAATCGGCGCCGGCGAAGTCGCCCAAGTCATCCACCTCCCGACCCTCACTCTCCTCTCACACCTCTACCAAATCAACGGAATATGCGATATATCCCTACCCACCGCACAACACTGCTCGCACAAATTCCATATCCCATATGCAACCACTGATCCCTACAAGATCATAAACGATACCAATGTAGACGTGGTGTTTGTTCTGACTAGTGACGAGTTTCATGCCGAATATACCATTGCCGCTTTGCGAGCCGGGAAGAATGTCATGGTCGAAAAGCCACTGACAATATCCATCCCTGCTGCAGAGAGGATCATCGACGCTGAAAAGAAGTCAAGGGGGAGGGTATTCGTGGGATATATGCGTCGCTACGCGCCATCCTTTACGGGATCGTTTCTGCGAGAAGTCGCCTCAATCCCGCGAATCTTGTATGCAAGGGTTAGGGATATGTCCGGCCCCAATGCGTTTTTTGTGAATCAAAGTGGCACGTTTCAGGTCAAACCTGACGTCAAGGATATTCCCGCGGAAGCCTCGCAGGCTCGAGACAAGTTACTTGATGGACTGTATCGGGAAGCATTCCCCAACGCATCCGTGATAACGGATGAAATGAAGAAATACTGTCGGTTTTTGGGCAGTCTAGGCTCTCATGATCTATCACTTATGCGCGAAGCATTGGGTGGTTCGACTCCTTCCTCCATTGAGGGAGTCTCCGTGAACGATCCCTTCTATTCCGCCATTTTCACATTTTCACCTCCTCCTCCCACCACCACCACCACCACCATGACTCCAGAACAAGCTGGGAGAAGTTTTTCAGTAACCTACGAAAGCGGCATAGATACCATCCCCTCCTTTGACGCCCACCTCGCCATCTACGGCACAAACAAACGCGTCTCAATCCAATACGATTCCCCTTATGTGAAAGGATTACCCATCAAAGTGCACGTTGAAGAAGTGAATGAATACGACGAGAAACAAGTCAGAGAGGTTTTGTCGAGTTATGAGGATGCATATACGGCGGAGCTTACGGAGATGTATACCTGTTTTGTAAATGGAAAGGAGATTAAGACGAGTGCGGAGGATGCGTTGGAGGATTTGAGGTTGTATGATGCTATGTATAGGAAGGCGGGGTTTGTTAACTAGTCATGTAGATTGGTATGAACAGTAGATACTGGGGAATAGAATATCATCAATGATTCGTGCCTAGGTTAGAAATGAATGAGGGTTTTTGTGGTCACGGGACTTCTTATGGAGTCAACTTGTATAAAGTACTTCGCAAAGCAAATAATGTACTCATTCTACCTATTAATGGACCTGCCATCAAATAAATCATGCGTAAAATGAATGACAAAAACAGAGCAAGCTGATATGAAGATAAAAATAATCGCCGTTCCGTATCACATCCATGTCTAAGAATAATTCGGCTTCCTACCCCAAATAAAATGAGCCTGGACGTATAGCTGATAGTTCCGATTGTGAAGTGACATCTGCGATGCACGGACAATCTCTCTGATAGACCAGGCTGGGTCTTCCACAACTCTGGTACCGATAGCGAGTATATACGGCTCTATAGCTTCTATAGCGGCAGCTTGCACTCTCAAGCCCAAATCTTTCGTAGAGTAGTTTTCGGGCCATTGGCCGATTGGAACCTGACTTGTCAGTCTGAAAACGTCTTTCATAAAGCGAAGAAACACACCTTTTGTATGTCAATGGTGATATCCTCGAAACCAGCGTTCCGCATAGCTTCTGGCATAAGCAGCACATCATTGAACCCCTTTCCAAAATTTGTGCTCTCTCTATTGAAGACCTGAGTCAACATATCTAGCTGGACGCATCTCTCGTCATTTTCATTTTGGTAGTAAAACTTGGCCTCGATCTCATTCATCTCCAGCCAACCACCTGGTTTCAACTGAGCGAATGCCTGTCCAAAGAACTTTGTCCAGTCATGGATACTACCAGCCAACATACGTCCATGGACAAGATCAAATCCCTTGTCAAAGGTCCATTCATCCTCTGCATCTTCGATATAGAATCTGACGTTGAGCGGCACCATAGATGGCTGGATGGGGCTTAACTCAGTTCCAATCACCCTTGCATTAGGGAACATATCCGCGATCATGATGGCCCATGCCCCAGTCCCACAGCCAATGTCCAGCACTTTCTGCGGAGAGTCAACAGGTACCTTCCACGGCCGACCTTTCATTACCCGCGTCCAGAGTTTATGGCACCGATCGAGACGTTCCTGCTCACTCTCGTCGTTCGGAAGAGGATACGAGCCTTCGCGGAAACGGTGATAACGACGCCCGTTCTCGTAGACGTAATCAGTCACAGAAGGGGTGACGGTGGTACTATCTGAACCGTTGTCTTTTTCATTATCTGCTTCGGTGCCGGAATCCGACGATTCTTCTTCGTAGATGGTCTGCATAGTTTGTTTGTTAATCGTTTGAAAAGATATGGAAAACCAGGCTTGTTTGAGGGATATGAGGTTGTGACCTTTAACTCTGTTGGTGTTGTTTCTCGAAGGCGATATATGAGACTATCCATAGGATGGACAAATATAGGTAGGATGGTATATATTATTGAGAGGTAGATAATAGGTTATTGAGGCGTAGAAAAGGTGAATTGATAGGTAGATGAATAGGATAAAGGTAAGGGAGGATGAATAAGGATGGAGAGAATGGGAGGTATTGTTGTTATTGTAAGGCAGTCTCCACAATAGGAAGGTGTCTGCTGGCAGCAACTGCCTCAGGTACAACAAGCTATTGATCATGATAGAACACCAAAACAGCGAAATCAAGACAATGGAGATAGGCATCAGTATGCACATGAACTGAAAGCACTATATACCCCAAGATATACGAGAGAAATCATTTATCCAACAACACCCCAGCCCCCCTCAACAAAACAATCGTATGTCCCGACTTAACCTTACTCCCTTCCCCCCCAATAGCAACCGAAAACTCCAAAAACTCCCCCGACTCAACATGAAAGATCCGCAATTTGGCCTCCTCCCCACCAACACGATTATTCAAATTCTCAACTTTGAGTTTCCGTGCGGCATCATCCAGGACTCGGCCAACTTTCCAGCGAGAATCGAACCAGTAATTCCCCGAGGGGGGAGTTTCGGCGGTTGGTTTGTCTGTTGTACCGACGACATGAAGATAAATTCGTTTATCTGTGGGGATTGATGCTTCGCCTTTGGCGGTTCGTTTGATTTCGTTGAGTTGTGTTATTGCGTTCCCGCCTGTCGTCGTTCTTCTTGCCTGTATACTCGCCGGTAACGAGATTTTAGGTGCCTTGGGCGGTTGTATATTATTCCCCAATCCGCGCAATTTCGAGAACATGGATCGTATCGTAGCGGCATTATCAGTAGATTTACCACCCGCCCTCGCGCCGAGAGGAATCAAATTCGCACAATCATGACCCTCACGCAATCGATGCTGTAGACAATAATCCCGATTACACTTGTCACAATGCACACCCACACTCGTAGGTGTATTTACCAACGTCTTACATTGCGGATGCGAGCATTGATCTGAATTGTAAACCGTTGACTTCACCGTCCTTCCCCCACCACCACCACCGCTGGTTGTGGTCTTGTTGTTGAGTTCCCGTCTCCGTCGCGCCCATTCACCGGGATGTGTACATTTATGCGCTGCTTCGGTTCGATGATCTGAACAAAAAGTCCCGCGACACGATTCGCACCTGAACGGGAGGAAGTCGAGTTGGTGGCAGTATTCGTATTGGCAGTTGCGGCCGATGGATTCGAGGTCGACGTCGGCCATTTCTGTGAAGCTTGTGGGTTGGGGAGATGACATGATGGACCTGGGGCCTATTCTTGTTTTGAATATATACTGCTATATTTATTTAGACAGAGAAGAGCGATATGTCAGCATGGAGGTGTAAGTGGTGGCAACCAAGGCTGAGTTCAAATGAGACGATGAAGCTGTCCGTAACTCCGATTCGACCGCTATGCTTCAAACGACATATGTACGTGCGACAAGCAAAAAATAAGTATCCGCTAAATCAAAACGTAGAAAGAAAAGAAAAGATAATAATGAGTAATGTTATTTGAAATCCAACATGGCGAGACGTGCGGAGAAGCTTCCATGCTAATTAGTTAACTTACTCGGTGGCGCTTATCTAAACGATAAGCACGTTCCTGGCGGCTAGCCGTGTTTGGTTAGCGCGAGATCTTTTACATGTTCCTTTTGACCCAATCAGAAGTTTAGATCGAAGAAAATGAGTAATTGTGGGTGCATAAAGCACGTGTACACGATAATGTACGTACGTACGTAGGATGTTTAGCAGGTACTGCAATTTTGTATGGGTAAATGTATGTGATTGTGTGTTCTATCTCAATCAGGCCCCGACGCGGTCTTATATCCAATCCCTCTATCCTAGACGAAGTCATGTGAGGCCCTGCTGCCCAGTGCGTCGGAGCGAGGCATCTCGATTGCTTCCACAAACCAACAGTAATCGATTTTTAGCAAGCACACTCATTGCTAAATAAATCATTGATCCAAACTAATTGCCACCAATACTCCTAACTAAAGATACAAAACGCTCAATAGAAGAAGCGATATGGGTATCAACCTGAACCGTTGAAGACGATAACAAACAGACCACAAAACGGGGTCAGCAGACAAGGTGAACATGTAGGGAATAGAGAAACAGAAACTGAATGAAGAAATAACTCAAACATTAAACGTGTAAGATACATGAATGGGAGGATAGAACGAAAACGAAAAGGAAATGTGAAATAATAAGACAGGCCAAAAATACTTGCTGATTTCAATACGGACATAGAAGCTACCTAGCCAAGTAGGAGCCGAATTAAGCACTTTCGGAATGTTGCTGAACGCTACCATCATGTGGATGATATTGATAATTTGGGTCAGACTCCAGCTGTTGCTGGAACTGAGATTGAGGGTATTGGATTTGATCTCCTTGAGGAAAACGCATAGCAAAAGGAATATGTCCCGTAGAGCTGAATACAGGCAGACCCCCATTGTTGGCTTGACCAGACATCACAGAAGCCGGTGGTTGGACCATGATATGAGGCTGCACAGAGGGCGCGTTACCAGGAGCTGGTGCTGACGGCAACCCAAGAGGCGAGAGCGGAGATAATGGTAGATTGATTTGCTGAGATGTCAAACCAGTTGCCGGTGCACAGAAGCCTTGATATGAGTCCATGGAAGGGGATATATCCTCGGGCTCCAGTTTCACCGACACTTCTTTGTTGGTATCGACTGGTGCAGAAGAAGTGGGTGTAGTCGAAGGGACTTCAGCCTTGATAGGCACTTCGTACTCATTTCCTTTCTCGAGCTTTGTGAGCACGTTCCGTGCGGGCTGTGACTGACCTGCAGCAGAATTGGCCGCTTTCGAAGCCAGCTTGGTATTGCGAGCTGCCTTCGACGCGGCTGGTTTGGACGTTGTAGCCTTTTTGGCAGTCGCTGCTTTCTTGCGTTGTTCAGCCGCTTTCTTTTCCCGTAGTGCATTCTCCTCGGGAGACGGAACTTTGAGCTTGAGACTCATCTTCTTCATGCCGGCTGAGAGATCATCTATGCGATTCTCCGTCTCAGCATTGCCATTGACCTTCGCCGCATCTTCGCCAGACTGTGATGATGCTCTACTACTGGTCGACGGAGCATTGAGGTTATTCATGTACAGTGAAGGCACTTTAGGCAATGGTGGAACCTTTCGCGGGCTTGCTGATCTCTTTGGTGTCCCGCTAGAAACTCTCGTCTTCTTGTTAACAACCGGCCCAGCAGGTGCCTGGCTCGGGGTAGACGACAGGCGTGAACTGGCACGAGTCGGAGTTCTGCTACCAGAACCAGGAGTATTCTCTGCCTCAGAAACGGCGCCAATGGCACTCTGTCTTCGACGCTCGGGTTTCGCTGCTTTAGGGCCTGTAAGGGGCTCTGGCAGGTCACTTGCAGATCCAATGGTGGTTCGACGATTGTTGCGAGCACTGACTCGACGAGGCGTTTGAGCTTTCGCAACAGGAGTGTCTGGTGAAGTTGGTTTGCTCGTCCTGGCGCGAAGTTGTCTGCGGGTGTTACCGGACGGTGTCGCAGGTGGTTCGACATTTGTTTGCTTCTTCTTCTTAGCTTCGACAGCTCTGGCTTTAAGTTCATCATACTGGAAGCTTAGAGTCTCCCGGTCCGAAGGTATGACGCATTTCCACAATTCATGTGCAGAAGTTGCCCATCCCACCTCAGGAAGCGGTTCTGGTGAATAGTCGTCGACAGCAAAGTTGGCCGAAGACTTTCGTTCCCGTAAAGTAGTGGTGACTCTAGCAGTGGATGCATGAGTTGGGGAAAAATAGGTTGGTGCAGACTTTTGCGTCTTTTTGGCAACAGGCGGTGGGAATGCCAAAAGCTCCAACTCGTCCAACAATTCGGGTGCCCACCACTCAGTTTCAAAAGCAGGTCCGGTATTCTCACCTCGAGCAGAGTCTTGTCCTGTTTCTCCGCCTAAGCCCAACCGTCCGCTCATTTCAGAAGCCAGACCACTTTGCCGTCCACGATCAGCTGCGTCACTGAAGGTACGAGTATCTGCGAGTGCTGAAAGATGACTGAGAACTCCACTAGCCAGCGCTCGGTTACTATAACCTCCTTCCAGAACGCTGATAACCCGGCCTTCAGTACCGAGACCTTCTTCTTCTGCCAAGCGAATAACATCGGCCGTGAAGCGTGCATAAAAGTCGGTAGGCACATTGACCTTGTGTCGCTGCATTCCAGCACCTTCGTACTCGCTTGCATCAAAACCTGCAGAAATAAAAATTGCAGCCTTGGGAGCAGGTCCGCCTTCGATACTATCCAGACGTTGTGTATGAGAGCGCAAGAAGCTCCTAGCCTTATCCAGCAGAACCAGGTATTTGTCGTTATACAACTTCCAAAACTCTTCGTGCGTTTTCCAAGGTTCAAGATGAGCATTCCAAATCGACTGACCATGAGCGTTATCAATACAAACACTAGCATTAACGATCTTCTCCATCTCTCCATTCTCACAAGGAAACGAATTGATGTCGTGTAGGCTGTAATAACCGACGGCAGTCTTTTTGTGCTGGGCTGCATTTCTGGCAGCTGCGCCTCCGCGTTGCTGAAGGTACCAGGCGTGCTCGTTTTGCTTGTACGCGATGGCTTGAGAACCGTCACCATGGTGAAGATCGAAATCAATAATCGCGGCATGGGTTAAGCCATGGACCATTGCTGCGTGGGTGATACCGACATGGACATTGTTGAGCCAGCAGAATCCTGAAGGGTCGGTCGAAGCGCAATGGTGACCAGGAGGACGAACGCAGACAAACGCTCGGTTGGTTGAGTTGTCAGTCAGGACTATATCAACCGCATCACACACGCCGCCCAATGCACCCTGGAACGCATCCAGAGATTCAGGACAGAGATACAAGTCTCCATCGTGAAGAGGCTTTTCTTCCGGGTCCTTCTTCCCAGCGCTTCTTGGTCGCACAATTTCTCTTCCATTCAATGCCAAGCGCGATTCAGCTGCATTGCACATAGCCCGCAAGTCTTCCATCCATTTGTCACCATGAACATAAGTTACAGCCGGAGAATTCAATGAAATGGCTCTCTTGGATTTGCGAATCTGAAAAGGCGGCGGTGGGAGTAAATCAACGTTCAGTCCTGGGCGAGGCGCAAACGATGCACCGGCATGTCTCTTCCCGACACGAACGTAGGCAGTTGACATTCCCAGCAAACTGGCACGTAAACGCTCAGGTCTCTCGACGATAGTTGAAAGACCTTCCTTGCTGGTGTATGGTCTTGAGAAACGATGACCGTAACAGGCATCCTGGATAATGACGGCGGTCTTGGACTGAAGGTCGACTGACTCGTGCAGCGCGAGCTCGGCTTTGAAATGATCTGAAGCTATGGAAGAAGCAGTTGGCGCTTCTACCACTGCAGGAATGGGGGATTTTGTTGAATACATGGTACCAAGCACATTCGACGAGGAGCGCCTTGACAGGCTGGAAGCCACCCCTTGTTCTCTGCTCAGACTCACAGATCGCAGTGAACTAGTGGAGGCGCGCTTTTGTAGAGATGGTGTAGAGAGCCTCCGTTCGTCGCGTAGCGAGGCGTTACTGGGCGTTTTTCGTAGAGTGGACGGTGTCTTCGATCTCAAGGAGGCAGGGGTTACCGAGGAGGAAGCATTGCGTATTCGAGACGATGCTTGGCTTGGTGAGCGAGGCGAGGGAGTCGGGGACGACGCGAGTAGTGGACTACCGGGCGAAGCTGTTGTTGTTGCCAGCGACAAACGGTGGAAATTAACGGCGAGGTTGTGAGCGGTCATGGTTGGGAGGGGTGGTTCATCGGGTGAACGAGCAGGATGGTTGTTTTGATCTTCCATGTCTGCAGCTGCACATTGAGACTCGCATCAACTGAGCAATAGACAGACGACTGAATAACAGGTCGTTCTCAGGATAGCCATTAATGGAGTTATTGTTGTCGTGCGAAGCGCAACAATAATATCGAGGTCGAAGTCGTAAGCAAATAAATAAGGAAACCAGTTGGAGCTAAACAAAGCGGGACGCGGAGCGTGTCACTAAGGCAGGTGCGTGGAGCCGACAATAACATTCCACTCCTTGATAAGCATAAGTTGCATGTTATAAAACAGACGATAATATATATATTCGATATTTTACTGTATGAATAGACGATAGAACTGGAAGCTGGGTCATGTTATCCATGGCTATCAAGCTATCAACGCACCGACAGTCGTCATCGGTTTGCCACTCAAGGAGTTGGGAGTTTGGTAGAGCACATGTCCTTGGTATTCTATTGCACCTATTTACTTGAATATCTGACTGGTTGAAGCTATTATAGATTCCTGTTGACATGTGTGAATGGGAAACCAACCTACTGACGGCACTTTGCTGATAAGGGCTGATAAGGGCTGATAAGCAAAAACCAAGTGATTAGGGTTATTTTCATGTACCTACCATCACCACAGCGCAAGATTACCGCGTACAGTAAGATCTAATAGTGATTGTTGAGAGAAAGAAGTAAAACAAGTATAGTCAAAATTGTAGACACCGAGGCTGAACATATCTAATAACCCAAAACAAGCAAGCCACCCAAACAACCAGCCTGGAATATCTTCATAATTCATAGCTGATCCACCTGTATATAAACAAACGAATACTCGTAAAACCCATATAAACACGAATCTAGGCAGACACCGTACACCTAGTAATGCAAATATATCTAAGGATCGGCAGCGTCGTATCAACCAAACGCTAGACACCAAAAGAGAATCATAAACGCATAAGACATAAACCGTAACGAGGGGCGATGGCCGGCATCAGTCATCACATCAATGTACCGGCCTGTGTGACCAGACATGTTTGTAGAGAGGGTATAAATTTCAGTCGACGAACAAGGGAGACAAAAGAGACTAAACAAAGCTCAATCTCCTCAAATGCTCAGACCAACTCCTTCTAGACCTTCCAGGCGACTTTTCCATAACACTATTCGTAGCCGAGGAGCCGGGCCTGGAAGAAGAAGGAGAAGGAGAAGGAGAAGAAGAAGAAGTGGAAGCACTGCTGGTACTATTCAACGAATCCACACTAGTCGCACTATCCATAGACCGTCGCTTATTCTTCTTCTTATCGGCTTTGCGTTGTAATTTCCGGTCCTTTTTGATGGTGGTGAATCCGTTGGTGGAGTGGTAGTGGCAGAAACAGTGCAGATAGACTGTCTCGCTGTCTACGGAGTCGCAGCTGCCGTGACGGTTTGGTGATGTTCGACCGGTTTGGCATGTTTCGAGGATGTGGGATTCTTCGCATTGGCACCAGACGTAGAGGGCTTGAGATGTGCGACACATTTTGTTTTTATTTTTGGAGGGGCGGGGGGTTGCTCTTTGGAATGCGAACCACGTTGTGGAAAATTGAGGGGGCTGGGATAACGTTGTGCTTATCGAGATTTCCGCTTTGAGTAATATTGAAAAAACGTCCCGCGTGGTTTCGCGATAAGAGCCGATAACGTGTAGAGTTATACAAGTCCCTAACCAGTAGGTGACAGAGCAATGCTTGCAAAGCTTATAGAAGAAAGAAAGGGTCCTCTTATTTAAATATCTTTCTCTCGGTGTTAAAAAGAGTCTTCCGGTCGGACCGAGTCGGATTGGTGGATGATTAATGTGTGTGGGTGTGTGTAAGCGCCAGGACGGTATAGAAGTAGCGTCCCGATGAGAGTTGCTCCAGTTGACCCCTCCACGAACCGATAAGCGGGCGTTTTCTGTTATTTTGTCTCTATAGAAGTAAAAGAAGAAAGAATTGTCCTTGTGACTGTTCTACATTCTTTATACTATGAATCAACCCATCCGATCGATGGCTTTCGTCATCCATCGGACTCGACAACCTTAATGAACATGAGCATGATCTTACGCGTCCTCGACCCAATGACTTCATACAATCTACATGCTAGTTAACTTAGTTATGTTAGTTAATTAACTTACTTACTGTACTACGCGCACTTACATAAGGTATTACCTACAGATCGAATTTCTCTGATTGGTGTAGCAGTACTAGATCTGATGCAAACAGCCGTCCGTGCCGATTCCGGCCGGCTTAACCGCCATGCCTTTTAACTCCGTGTGACCTGCTCCCTTCTCGGCAGTCTAGGCATATTCATCGAATATTCAGTCAATTACGTCTATAGTCTAGGCATATCTCTTCGATATCGTGGAAAGTCGAGGATCAGACCAAGATGTAATAATCGCATCACCCTAAAAAAAGAAAAAGAAAAAGCAACGCAAAGTAAAGTTGGGTCGAGAATAGATAGGACATGTCGATCAGCCTGCGCCTTTGATGTCAGATCGCTGAAACTGCGTCTGGGCGGTTAAATACCTGGTCGTTGTTAATCAGAGTCATAGAAGCAAGGGTTCATTCTTGGCCAACGGTTACGCATTGCCAGGGTTATACTGAGGCATACCCCACAGAAAGTTGAAACAAGTTCAAACGACCAGACGGGCGTTTAAAAGAGTTATTTTTGTAGGTGTTTGTTGAGGATACGATGGCTATTTTCAGCATTCTCTGTTCCGAAGGGTTTGATAGGCCCAGTGTTTTGTTTCAGCTCGTGGTGTTATGAACTGGCTGTAGGTGATCTCATTCGACACGTGATAGAGCCAATCAGATTTGATGACGGCACCAGATACTATTAACCATGTTACTACGGAGTACGTACAAGTAGATAGACTTTCTGATTATGGCTAGACTGGTCGACGGGGGTAGCCCTAGCCCTAACGCCTTAAGCCGTTATCCATTGCAAAGAGGAACCTTGAGTATTATGGCCACGGAAAGAATCAGATGCTGAATTGCTCTGATTATCAGTATCTTCTAGTCCACTATGTAGCTTATAGTTATGTATACTTATTACGTGTCGACCGACGTACCAACCAGACATTGCTCAGTGTCGGGAGCTCGTATAGATCTAACCCGAAACGGAAGGGACTACAATATCAGAGAGAATGAATGCAAAATGGCAGTCTGACGATGGTTTATATGGCATACGGATTACCTAGGCAGGTTAGATGTATACGAGAAATGTCTTTAGTTGTCGATTCTGACAAATACACCTTTCGATCCCTGACTTGAGATGTTGTTATACCTGACTATATAAGCCACGAAAAATCCTTCGTTTCTGTCTTCAGTCCTATTCAGTCGTGAAGTGTTTTCAAAATAAAAAACATCCCAGTTCGACTTCAAAATGCCAAAAGTCCTCATCACCGGCGCAAACGGCTACATCGGCAACGCCGTCGCCAAAGCCTTCAACCGCGCCGGCTGGAAAACATACGGCCTCGTCCGCCGCGCCGCAGACGCCACAGACCTTGCCCAAAGCGAAATTCATCCCATAATCGGTACTCCACAAGATCTATCCTCGACTGAGGAAGAGGAGCACTGCGTATTCGATGTTGTTGTGTCCAATACGGAGGATTGGTCGGACTATGAGGGTCATTTTCGGCATGTCAAGGCCACGTTGACGCATATCGGGACTCAGACTTGGGAGATTGCGCATGTTAAGACGTTGGTGTTGTTTAGTAGTGGGTGTAAGGATTATGGGACAACGGGTATACATGGTGATAAAGATCTTGCTCCGCATACCGAGTCGAGTCCGTTGAATCCGGTGCCCTTTCTCCGGCCGAGGACAGAAAGTGCTGCTGGTTTGCTTGAAGAGTGTATCAGGGGCGCTCTGCCATTTGATATCGTTATTCTTCGACCCACGAACGTCTATGGTTATGGGTCCAGTCATACTGGTAGTCTGTTCTCGTGGGCAGAAAAGTCGAAGAAGGAAGGGAAAAAAGTGCTGCGAGCGGTCGCTGATCCCAACACGATCCTTCATTATACTCATGTTGATGACTGTGCACTTGCTTATTTGAAGCTCGCGGAGCATCCACGCAGAGACGAGGTCAAGAATCAGGCATTCAACATTTCGAATGCCAGATATGAAACGGTGCGTGATGTTTGCGAGGCTCTGGCTAAGTCATATGGGCTTTCGCTTGAGTACGAACAGCCTGGATCATTTGAAAATATTGTGCTGGGGTCAGTGGATGCCCTTCTGCAATATTCGCAATGGGTGTCATCCGAGAAGATCCGTCAGTTGACTGGATGGAAAGAGAAGCGGGCTTATTTCTCGGCTGGAATCGCAGAGTACCGAATGTCGTTTGAGGCGGCGCTCGCTGCTAAGCACCAGGGGACAGTAAAGATATATGAAATGTTTCAGAAACAAGCTGCTTAGTCACTGAGTGGAAGTATAGGCTGGCTAAAACCGTGTTTCTATTGGCTTTGCATCTCAAAAGTTGAACGAATGTAACGCTGTCAATAGTCTTCGACCACCCTCGGACAGAAAACCTGGATAATGAGGAACTGAACGACTAGACCTTGAGCCCTGCTTATCGCTAGGACCGAACAGAGTAGCAATGTAGACAGTAAGACCCATATCCCAGCCTTTGCCACAACTGCAGATCGTTGACACAACATCATATGCTTTCCGGCGAATAGAATCGTTCTGACTGTACGTCGACGATACAAATATAGAGCAGAACGGACCGAGAATGGGGAAGAAACCACTTCCTGATGTTGTATTGTCCTTGGTATTATCGAAAAATCGATGCAACGGACACGTAGAGCAATTCGTAGGGTCCGGCGAAGATTTGACAAGCGCATCCCCGATCTTCGCTATATGTGTCAAGTCTATTTCTGTAGTCCCGGATTCTTGTGCACCCCGCGAATCCATGAGAAGGCGAAATTTGAGGGAAAAAGCACACGTTGCCAGTATGAAGAAATCACAAACTTGCGTCGTATGGATACCGTGGCTGAGGTAAAGATTGAATGAGAATATCCAGCGATCAATCTCAAGAAGATCTTCATTTCGACCCGCTTCCTTTCTGAGACCTTGGGTTTGACGTTTTGAGAGAATCTTATCCAAAACATCAAGGAAATTTTCTCTAGCCTGGTCTAGGTCTGAGAAGCCAGCTGAACCTTTTTCAGACCCTGCAAACAAACTCAAAAATCGTGCACAATCAGGCAAATCAAAATGTGTAATCTGACACATATATCGAACAAAAAGCGACCGCAGTACACTCTCAGACACACATAGTTCCTTCACCAGACTCTCTCGCTCGTCCCTCAATACCCCCTGGAACAAAGCAAATCCAGACTGCAAATGCCTTAGAGCCGACTCATGATGGCCCTGCGATATCTCCAAGCCAACAAACAATAAACATGCCAATAATGAAATTGACATTGTCTTTTTGTTTTTGTCTGTTGAGCAGGTATCGGAATTCTGTCGTGCTAAAAGACTTCGGATAGCTTTCCCGTAGTGCTGCATAGCAACGATTCGTTGCTGCGTCGCAGGCGGACCGGTTATTTTGTATCGATATATCTCATGTAAAATACCCATAGCTATCATAGCGTGTCTCGTCGCTGGCTCGTGAAGAATATCCTGCCGTCGAAACGGTCCCGTAAGATCTGATGGAAAACATTGCGTGGTCCAGACATAAAAGCAATAAAGTGCATGCTCCTGTTCGAAATCTTCCGAAACTCCATTCTTCCAATAGACAGACGGAAGATGTGGTACATAGTATGTGATTTTAAAAGATTGAGGCTTCTTGTTCAATTCTGTGACGTCTGCGTAACCGGCGCAATGCCGGTTTGAGCGGAGACATCTTTGACATGCGGGCTTCCCTTCGTCACATTTTACCCTTCTCTCCCTGGAGGTTTGTCAGTCGACCTGATGATCCGGTTGAAAGTGGCTGACTAACTTGCAGGTTCGACAACCAGTGCGGGTCTTGCTCAAAACCATGCGGTTTCTAGTTGGTTTGTTTGTTGCATGCATACCTAGTACTCCTTGGAAGTGTCTGTGTACAGAAGTCATGATATCTAGAGGAGAGCTTGAAACAGCTACGTTCGACAATGCCTGGTGGATCCATGGCATCCTCCTTGCTAAGAATCGGGTCGTGCCGTTCTGTTAAGGGTTAGGGTCACAATTTATCAGGCTTACCGTTGAGCTTCATGATTATCATGAGGTTAAGAAGACATTTGAGGACCTTTACCGAACTATATCACTAGGAGATATCAATTAATGTTGCCACCCTTCAATAGTTCCCACTACCAAGACAGGCTCTAGATATTCTAAGCAAGTAAAGCTAGGTATATTCCCACAATCCTCATATAGCCCTGAGCTGTAATGTTATCAGGTTTGCTTAAACCCACCTTTCCCCATATTTCCCATAAACAGGGAGTATATTGAAGCTCAAAGGAACGGCATGGGACAATCAGGCAATCATAAAGAAACCACACATGCTAAATACCAAGAGAAATTGGCCTATGTCAGCTACAAAGGACGCCCAGTGTCCTATTATAGGCATATAGCATAACATCCATGAGCAATAAAGGGGCCCAATGGGCCTGAGTCTTTGTCAATTAACAATCGACAAAACATTCACTACCGGTTCTCAAGTCCTTTGACTGCATCTGCAAGGAGACAAAGCGTTCAAAGGCTTAGAATCAGCACAGGTCACTATGCCAAAAAACAGGCATGGAGGTCATTCATTGTTTTCTAGATCAGCAGACATATGATGTGCCATGCTGGGAAGGTGCCCTGTGCCCCCAACACCCAAGCTATAAATACGGGTTCTTCTCCCTTCCCCATCATCAACTTGGCACAGTTCAGGATTGTTTCATATATATATATATCTTGTCCTCTCTCCTCTTGATATCAATTATAGCATATTTGTCATGCAGAAACAAGGTCGCAACTTGCTCAACAACCCGAAACTCATCGATCCTGGAGATAGCTTCGATGACCGAATACGTGAGCTTCCCTCAGGGCTCCTCTTTGAGACATTGATGTTCTATCAATTTATGAGAAGGATTATGGCAATCCTGACGAAGATTATCTATTCCATTGTGTCATACTTGCCTGAAACCACCGCCCTCAGCTCAATAGTCAGTTCTGTTGGTACGTACATTCTGTACTCCATATATGATATTTCTTCTAACGAAGCGCAGACTGGGTTGTGTTCGATATGGATACAACGCCTATACATTCCATGACTCACCGTCAAATTCAGATGCCTCTTAGCCTACAGCGCCATCTATATTACATATCAGACCCAATCGAATGATGAGGCTCAAATAGAGTTACTGAGGACGGAAAGCTATTGCCTTTGTTCAACGCCTTTGATACTTCGCTTTATAAATCGATTATCTACATATGAAGTGCCCCAGCTACAACCTACAACCCAGAAACATGGAGTCAAACTCAATAAATGCTTCGGATATGAGGCTGGCTGTTCGCGTTTGATCCATGCTGGTGAGACGAGTTTGCGCCATTTTTTCAATCCCTTGATGATATTTCCCTCACCAAGACTTAAGGAAGAACATAAAACTTTCGCAGACTTTAAAACCACACATGTATTGTAATCGAAAGGCGAAGATGGGCATGGGGAAGAGCTTATGTCGAGGCCCCAACTGGCCAAAAGCCTAGAAAATTGGCGTGATTGCTGTGATGCTCTGGTCTCCAGTTATGGTTACTCTCGCCGATGTGCTGTGATATCTCCATATTTCCAAATAATATTGAGCAGTTTACGTTTATTGCCTCATAGTTACCGGAAGTTCGCTCCTAAGACGGTCCGCCGATGACCGAGTTCGTATATACTGGGGACTATCATCAGGGCAAGCAAGAATATATCCATGTGGATGTTCATAACAGGGAAATGTACAATTGGGATGAGCCTTTCTCTGAAGAGGAGGAGAGCTATTCTAGCGACAGCCAGGGCGCTGATATTCCTTACGACAAAGAACCACTCCTCCCCTTTCTCATCTGTTTCCTTGGTTCCTGGGCGATTGGTTGATCAGTTCAACAAACGTGAGACTTGGTGCGGAGCCTAAGCTCTCTTGTCTTATTAATCAAAGTTTTGAGACTGATCTCTTTCATTCCCACAAAGAAGTTTCTCCATTGATAGTTGAGAATCGGACAATATACCGTTGTATCAAGAACGAGACCCTGTCCATGGAGTTCTATTTTATGTGGTCTACAAAAACATTTTTCCTCTAACAGTACCTAGATAATAAGCTTAAGAAGTGTGCTGTACCTGTGATCCTGAATCGGTCGTAGTAGTTGATAAAAGCAGCAAAAGGTAAAGCCCCATATCCCCAGAGAGTTAGGATTAGGTATACGATCACGTTAACTCTAATGTGGATATCAGAGTCTGACTGTCTGCGCCTTTGAGGTAGTATATCAGTTGCACATAAGAATAGCAAATTAGTTTCAGTTCTCTAATCCATATCAGTTCTCTAAATTAGTGATCTCATGTTTTAAATCACTACTGACAATAGATCTAGAAACATGACCCGAAGAATTTCGGCCGGAGCGGGGCCCAGTGTGGGTTGAGCTTAGTAAAGCCGAAGTTAGGGCTTGACCTTACTTCCTCATGGACGTGTATGCAGCAAAGGGATGGGTCATTGTGGCCTTATCTTTGCGTCCATGAGAGTATTATTTGTAAGCCGTGAAGATCACAGAGTGCTTGACAAATCATCATGGTTATTTTTCGGCAAATCAAGCTGAGTTATCTTCGTTAAATGCTCTAAGGGCACCCCCAAAAATGCTTATTGATATTGACTAAATCTGGATCAATAAGTTTGACTGCACCACGACGAGGAGAACAAGAATTTATTTACTTTAAGTGTGTCTCTGTCAGGGCCTCAATTCAAGTTTACCATTATATCACGCACTATACAGTTTCCTGGAAACAACGGTATCAATCCTTTGTTCGTCATTCGATATTTTATCGAAAGGTTCACCTCTGAATCGCGGATATGGCCATTCTAAAGAGGCACGAAAGCGACGACGGCAGCTCGTCCAAGGAGAAAGATTACCAGCAAAGTAATAGCCATCTCAACAACTCGAACGATGACCTCCAGCGAAGCAACCCTACTGACTTTTCGCCAGCTACCACCGAAGCCGACGTACCGCCGCGTGACATTAATGGCTGGAAGTGGTGCTTGACACTCGTTTCCATCTTGGCTTCTACCTTCTTGTATGCCCTTGATGCGACAGTGGTAGCTGATCTCCAACCCGTTATTCTGCAGGAACTCGGCGGTATCCAGGAGCTGCCGTGGCTGAGTGTCGCATTCCTGCTAAGTGCAACGGCCACCAATCTGCTCTGGGGCCGCATGTACGGCCACATCACTGCCAAATGGTTCTACATATTCCACGTGGCAGTTTTCGAAGTTGGCTCTGCAATTTGTGGTGCTGCTCCATCTATCAATGTCATGATCTTGGGCCGCACTATTGCTGGGATGGGTGGCTCAGGGCTTTATGTCGGCTGTATGACACTCATCGCCACTACTACCACCCTCACTGAACGTCCCATATATGTCTCCTGTACGGGCTTTACATGGGGTCTTGGGATCGTTTTAGGACCTTTAATTGGAGGTGCTTTCAGCAAGTCGTCTGTGGGATGGCGATGGGCTTTCTATATAAACCTCTTCATCGGAGCGGTGTGCGCCCCCTTTTACATCTTCCTGATTCCGAAAAAGGATCCTCGTCCAGGCATCTCCGTACGGGATCGCGTGTCAGAGCTGGACTATCCTGGCATAGTGCTGCAAGCTGGAATGCTGTCCGCACTGATTCTTGCCATCAACACTGGCGGTATCTTATACCCTTGGAACTCCGGCCGCATTATCGCAACGTTTGTTGTCTTTGGTTTGCTCTGGGTTCTGCTTGGTATTCAGCAAGTATGGGCAATTGCCACGACAGTCTCACGCCGTATTATTCCAGTGCAGTTTTTCCGCTCACGTACTGTGCTTCTTCTCTTCGTGGCCACCGCAGCAGGCGGCGCATGCGCATTCGTGCCAATTTATATGATTCCCATGTATTTTTAATTCACCCAGACCGAAGGCGCACTTGAGGCTGGAGTGCGTTTGCTCCCTTTTGTGGTAGTCATGGTGGTGTTTGTCTTTGTCAATGGCCAACTGATGGCAAGACTAGGGCACTACATACCTTGGTTCTTTGTGGGCGGATTGTTGACCGTCGCCGGCGCCGCACTCATGTACACGGTTGACCAGGGCACCTCCGAAGACCAAGTGTACGGCTACACGGTGCTAATAGGCACTGGTGTTGGTATGTATCTCCAGGCGTCTTTTTCTGTCACCCAGGCTGTCGTGGATATGGAGAATATCGCACCAGCCATCGGTTTCATCACACTGGCCCAGTTCATAGGTATAACCATTGCTCTAGCCATTGCCAACTCCATTCTCTTGAATTCCAGTCAGGATAGAATTCAGCACATTCTGCCTGATGTGCCGGTATCTGAAATCCAAGGCGCCATCTTGGGCGCTGGCTCGAGCCTGGTACAGAATCTTCCGTTAGATCTCAAGATTCAAGTTTTCGCTGCCATTGTTGATGCCATCGATGAAGCGTATGTTCTTGTCATCGCCGGTGGAGCCCTTGTCGCCATTTCAAGTTTGTTCATGCGCCGCCAAAGGCTTTTTGGTGCCGCGCCTGCTGTTGCGGCTGCTTGAATTGACATCTTTGTTCTCCGCGGGAAATGGAAGCCATCTTTATTTTCTCCTGTTACACTATTTCCTAAGTATCTTGGATCATATCAGATTCCCATTCTTACCTCGATGTCCTCGGACAATAGATCAACATCGGCCGAGGTTGAATTTGACTGCCCTCAGATGTCTGTAGCCCAGAACCCACAAAACTGAAGAATTGCTTAGACGTATCCATTTATGTTACCAAAAGGCCAGTCAACCTAATCCAAGTCGGTATAAACACATATCCTTTGAATAACCATCGCTGAAGTAGAACCTCATTCTCAAGCTACTGCTCAAGCTTTTACTGCTTCCGCTCTTTCTATCGTCCCTTGAAGGAGCTGTGAAAGAGCTTGGGCACTTATCTCCGCCATGCGACTGACCTCCGCCAGCATCTGCAATCGGGTGAGGGCGTCGCGAATAGCGTTCACCCACATCTCTTGCTTGAGGTTAGCCATGCCTGCTCTAAGGGGATCCGTTTTTATTGAGCTGTAATGTCTGTTCTCAACTCCATCAAACAAACTTGGTTCCATGCAGACGTACACCAGGAGTACCGCGGCTTCGAATGTCGGTCGAATGATGTCTGGGAAGCAAGTTTGAGCGCCCCCCATCAATGCATGTAGGGACGAAGCACAAGTGAGTACATGCAATGCGGCAACTGCGAGGAATTTTCGCTGAGATGCTAGTAGGACCTGCTTGTAGTGAGGAAGATGCTGTGTCTGGCGTGAATTTCGCAATAGCGCAGACCGGAAATTGTAACACAGAGACTCGAATATGGAAATATGAAGGATTTCTCTTTGCTTTGAGAGCGTCAGAAGATGCTCATCCCATTGCCTGTTGGGTTGTAGAGCAAAGGCAGATGGAAGTGTAGCGAGATATTCATTGCAAAACTTTTCATACCGCTCCTCAGCTGCAACGATGTCATGCCCATCATTGCAATTGACGTGAGCGGTCTTCCAGAAGTTAGCTAAACGGGCTTGGAGAAGATGTTCCGTGAATTCATCTAGGTCTTTGTTATCATCGAGTTCGGAGCCCAGGTGCATGCGTGGCATGTTTTCCGGATTCAGACAATATGGAAAAATAAACTCGCGGTCTAGTTGCCTGGATAGAAGACTTCAAGGGGATCCCGGTCAGTAATAAAAACCAACGATAGAGATCCGAGTCATCGTACCTGTCCCATATGAATAAGTTGCAAAATACTCTGCGTCGCATCTCTTTCTCTAACTCTCCCATATCCGGGAAGGATTCTGCAGCTTCCCTGTCAATTCTGATATCTCGAGCAACATGTATTGCGCAACGGAGCGTATTTCGAAAGTCATCCACTCGCCCTTCGCATCGGGACTTGAGTCCCTTAAAGGCCAGGCTCTGCATACGAAGCAGACTGCCTTTAGGGTCGAGATGCGTGCATTTATTTGCAAGATCGTTAGCAACGTCATCACAGGCTTGACGGATATCCACCAAGTTCATATCATGAACTTGTTCGATGGTGCAAGATTTGGAAGGGATGAACTCGGAGGTATAAGAACATATTCGTAGAATAACAACTGCAAATTCTATATCAAAGACTGATGAAGGCATGTCGGTGGCCCACCATAGTTGATATTGTTCAAGGAACCACGGGAGATAGATTAATTGGTCAATCCTAGAATGAGATGACTGTCAGTTGAATAGAAAGAAGTCAATGAAAATAACCAAATACTCTCAAACTCACCAGTTCACCAGTTCACTTCAGCCACAAAGCATCTAACAATTATATCCAAGATTGGGCGCTCAGGCATTTTATCAAGAATCTGTTGAACATCTGCAACATCCTCGTCCGATAGGTTAAGGCCTTTACCATCGAAAGGCTCTTCATAGTATGATTCTACCTGGTAATGCGTCAATACGAAGACATGTAATTACCACTATAAGCTGAACTTACCTTGTGCAAGAGGGCCAATGTGTTAGTGTGACTATCCTTGGAATAGCCAAATACTTCTGCCAGTGACGAAAGATTGTTCGTAGAACTTTTGATGCCCTTCAGGTCGGAGAATAAGCCCGCGCCATCAGTTCGCTGGAGAGTTTTGCTTTGCTCGCTATCCTCCGGAGCTGTTCGAGGTTGAACCGTCTCTGATGGAAAATAGACGCAGTTTTCTAGGCGTCGTCGACGAGTGCACTGTAGATATCTCAGCAATTGTTGAATCAGAGCCAGGATACTGTCTATGTACCTTTTGTTTTCGCGTGTAGCAAGGTATGCAGGAAGACACCTTGCGCTTTCCCCCGGCGACTTGCATTGTGGCGCAAAGGGTGTATGTTTCGGTCTGGGGAGTTTTGTGAGATCCAGGAGCTTTGGAGGAGAACAGGCCCAAATGTCATGCTTGTTGATATAGCTTTAATACCCCACAGGTGACTGACTAATGCGCATGGTAGCTGAGATAATGCAGGTCTGAGATCGACATACAATGTCAAACCATCAAATTTGGACAAGTAGCATGATAATCTCTAATTGACCTTGATTGTCAGCTACTACGTATATGCACTTTTTTCAAAATGTGATTATACGACGACCTGAGCCGTCACGATAAGCATCATGCCGTTGGAGATACCCACCAATGACCCGCGGCGAGGCAAAAAGTTTCCCTCTGCCATCTACACCACATTCCTTCTATTATCTCTCGTCAGAACACAACACATAACAGAGGAAGCAACTAGCTCGCAAAGATAGAAATGACCTCAACTCTAGATACCGTCACAATGTCCACCCCCGCACGAACAGCCACCCTCCTCACAAACCTCAACAACGTCCTCGCACGCATCTCCGCCGCCTCATCCATCTTCCAAACAACCTCAACATCCACAACCCGTCGACACAGACCGGCTGACAAACCTGTCCGATTAGTTGCAGTCTCAAAACTGAAGCCAGCATCTGACATTCTCGCCTTGTACTCACCATCTTCTTTCCCGTCTGACGAAACGCCTACGGCAACAACAACTACCCCCTCAGCAACGCAACAACTCCATTTTGGAGAAAACTACTTCCAAGAACTCCTTGAAAAATCCCGGATTTTACCGCGCGGTATACGATGGCATTTCATTGGCGGTCTCCAATCAAACAAATGCACCTCTCTAGCCCGAGACGTGCGTGGTCTCTGGGCCGTTGAGAGCGTCGATACCGAGAAAAAGGCAAAGTTACTAGACAAAGGCTGGGGCGAACGAGACTTCACCTCCTTATCAACCGAAGAACAACAACAAAAACTCCGCGTCTTTGTACAAGTCAACACTTCCGGCGAAGAAAATAAATCCGGTGTTGAGCCCGCGCTCACTCCGGCATTATGTCGGTACATTCGTGATAATTGCCCCGGTCTCAAGTTACAAGGTCTCATGACCATTGGCGCAATAGCGCGATCCAAGGAGACCACTGCTGACAAGGAAAATGAGGATTTTGTGACTTTGATTGAGACAAGGGAGGTTGTTGTTAGGGAGCTGGGTTTGACGGAGCAGGAAGCGGATGATTTTGAGTTGAGTATGGGAATGAGTTCGGATTTTGAGGGGGCGATTGCGCTGGGAAGTGATCAGGTGCGTGTTGGGACGACTATATTTGGGGAGAGGCCTGTTAAGGCTGGTGCCAATGCTGGTGCTGCTTCTTAGAGAATCCTTATAAGACAGGTGATAATCAATTATAAAAATTTGCTTTTCGTTGTCATTTCAGGCAATCGACTTATGTACATGTATATACAATTTTTAAATGATGCATATTAAGAATAGAACGCATTGCAATCCAAATGAGTAAGAGTGAGAAGCAATAACAAACGCTGTCCATGCCGGATCAAACAACTTTCATCCATAAGAATAGATAGATAGTAATGCTCAATTCATCATAAGTGGACAGCCTGTCAACCAGTATCCGCGTCTCCTTTCTACTGCAAGTCGGCATCGACACTGACTCCTATTGACAACCGCTGCTCCATCTGTTTCGCAAGTATTTGAGGAACATTTTCCTGCGTTGCTCGAATCGTAATTCGATACATCTTTCATATCTTGTTAGCTATTTGCACGAAAGGAGACGATGGTAGAAGTAAACTTACATTCTTCTCATAATTCGGCTCAAGTCGTAACAAGCAACCCGTCTTACCATTCTCGGTCTGATAGACAGCACACCCGACAATGTTACTAGGATTCGGGTCCACACCGTTAAGAATCTTCCATCCAAAGCCCGTAACAACAGATCGGGTGAACTTCTCGTGGATCATGCGTCCCTTCGCGTTTACATTAAATGTCTTTTGAGCCTCAAGCGGTGGTCCGCCAATTTGTCGCCATCTCTTGAAAAAGTCTTCTGCCGATAGATCTGATGGATCCATATATCTATGCATCAAGATCGGAAGTTGAAGGGTGTAAGCCTGCAAGGCACCTGCCAGATAAGATATACGGATCGTGGGTGCGTCCGAGAATGGTCCATGGGCCTCTACGAATATTGTCTGCTGCGTCTGTCCAGAAGGCTGAAGGGTTGAATCAGGCAAATTCTTTGTGTCGATCTTCAGGTTAGGCAATGCGGGATTATCTAACGTCGTCGTAAAGGATCCAATCTGGAAGGAGGCTTTGTTCGTGAAATATATCTTGACCACACCGAGATGTGCACGGTACTCTGAACGCAAGCCGACCTGGATCTGGGCATCTTCAAACAAAATACCCTCATCGGCAAAGTACAGCCGGTTGAATCCATATTCCCAGTCGGGACTCAAGTGAGCAGCACTTGCCAGGTTGGGTGGGGGAGCAGATGGTTTTGCAGACATGTCCAAGCCAGCGAGATCCCTGGACGCACCGCCTTTGGCAGCGCTTCCATTGGCGGTACCATTACGTCCGCCATTGACGATTGTCGTAAACGTGCGTTTTAATCCCGTTGTTTGTGCCAATAGAACCTCTTGCTTATCTGTGTTGGCATCCTTGCCTCCGACAACCCAGGTCCGCTTGTCGCTAGTTCCAGCAGTCTTCTGGTGCAACCGCGACAGCAATACACTAGCTCTCTCGGAAAATGGTGGCATTTCGTCACACACGGTTCGTAAAAGCTCGTCCGACGGCATGGTCGCCAATTTCAAATATTCATATGCTCTCTGCTGCAGTTCGGGGTCCGGAGAGTGGCTGTATAACCTGAACATCTGCAGCAACTGAGGTTTGATCTCTGGAAACAGGTTGACGAATTTGATAAAGGACGAGAGAATCATGGCACGAGTATTATCAGAACAGGTGAACATCTTCGGCTGAAGAGCCAGGAATTGCTCGATAGGGCTACAGCCCTTGTTATCAGCAATCAAGTGACCAAATTCACCCAGCACATAGCTGCCAATCTTGATCAGACTATCATGGCAGTCACCTTTGAGGTATTTTAGCAGATGGTCTGCAGCATAAGCTTGTAGCTCTTCGTTGTTCGTGACGATCTGAATCACTCGTTGCCACACTTCATCACTCACATGGTCACCAGCCATTGCAAGCAGCTTGACGGATGTATCGATATACCATTGAGCGTCGGTGGCGTACTTTTCAGCCAAGATGGCGACTTTGAGCACCATCTCTTCGCGAATAGCATAGTCAGCGGACTGTAGGTATGTGAGAAGCTCAGCCACTATAGTTCGTGCGTTAGTCACATCGCACATGCTATAAAGGAGGTCCAATCCCTTTCGTCGAACGCTAATGTCGCGATCCCTCAATGAGCCGAGAATATATGGCTGGTGGCTTTTGATGGGATCCAAAGTCTCTGCTCGAGCAGCAAAATGAGTCATAGCCTCGAGACCAAGATAGCGAACATTGGTTTCGCGTGACTGGATAAATTTTCCGAGACGTGAAGATATTTGCATCATCAAAGCATGTTCCGTGTCTAGGTGAATTAGCAGGTTGATGGCCTCAAACAGAATGGCATTCTGAGCATTGTTTTGTTGCACATTTTTTGGCGTATCCATAGCTGAGTTCATGATCTGTTCTAACGATTGTCGGATCAATTCTCTAACATGGGTGTCCTCTAATCCACACATTAGTCAACTTAACATCTCCACTTTGGTAAGAGTACATACCAGATGGTGGATAATATTGCAGCAATCGAAGCAGCTTCACCTGGAGCCAGGGGTTAGGGACACGGTAGTAGAGATAATCGGCCGAAACTTCGCCATCCACAGCAATCTTCTTCAGTCGTTGTGCAGCTTTGACATAGCTCCCTTTATATTGTTCGGGGTTTTCCTGCACCAGAGCCATCACAAGCGAGGTGACGGATAACGTCACGCCCATATCCGGATCATCCATGATGGAGATGATACGCTCAGCCCATTCCGGCTGGACAATAGAAGGGTGCTTCCGGTAGAGACGAAGTAGAGTCAAAGCGGCTTTTTTCTTGACGAAGGACTTGGATGTTCTATTGAGAAATTAGTAAGCACCTCTAAATCAAAGCCAAAAAAAACATACGGTGAAATCAACAGTCTGTGGACATCGGCGCTCAAAGCCTCGCCCATCTCACGTCCACCAACAGTTGCAATAGCATGCAAAGCCAGACAGTTATTCAACTCGTTCATATCCAACAAATCCTTCCGGATACTATTCACCACCAAATGGAGCAACTCATGTTGCTCATGCAAGAACAAGGTAACAGCCAAGTACCCAATCTGTTTTTCCGAATAATTCTTCGCGGAGATCAAATTGACGGCTTCCAAGTGTCCGAATTCGACATCATAACCCTGTATATAGACGTATAAAAGTTTGCAAACGTATTTTTTACGCTGGTATCCGTTTAAGCCTCCGTCGCGGAATTTCTGTCGTATGTTGGCGAGTTCTTTGTTGATGCGCTTTTCTTCGAGTTCACGAGCCCGCGCGTTTCGCAAGTCGGCGATGAACTGGACAAGACCTCGCATGGACGACATGGTGAAGAATCGGAAGTCGACAGTGTTAAAGTATCCAAAAAATGATAGTCAGGCGGCGGGATTTCACTCTTCTCTCTTTCGTCGCAGGAAAGAACTAACTAAATCACCGCCCGATTCGACATAGCCAAGTAATCAATGAATTTCGTGACCTCTCATCACACACGATGTATAATATCATGCATTGTGCATTGTATAAGGACAGATCGGAGGGGACGGGATGGCGCGGTACAGTTTTTCGCGATACGATAAGATGCAGCAGTACGCTGGACTCGACTGGCTTGGTCAATTCAAATGACGTTTCTATAGAAATAATAAGGGGTTAGACTCAAAATAGGTGATAGTGGTGGCACTTTGACGGATAGAGGATAGGACCCACCCGCTCAAGGAGGTGACATGAGAAACAATACGCCGAAACAGACTCGAAAAACAATAGAGAATCAATCAGTGGGCTATATATGCCCTTTTTTATGGGTGTTCATGAAGCTATTCAATCGAACTATTGCTTATTATCGTTTCTGTTGACAGCTCTCCGTGGGAATATATTTAGTCCGATTTCCGAATGAGCAGTTAGCCGCCGGAAGGAACATCTTTGATGCGCGCGGCTGAAGCACGTGAGTCGCCTACAGATCTATGAAGTGTCATATCACATTCATGATGTCAATTATTATTGACTGTTGCGTTATACTAATACATCCACCAGGTACCGATCCTCTCATAAAATTGACAACCATGCTAAGCCTCAAAAATTAATCCCAAACTCCATGTCCGTTCACAATGCAAAATCAACTCGTGTGGGGAAGAATTAAACTTTCGTCGTGAAATCCGTCTCCAATCCTTCTTGGACGGCTGCGTCTATTTTCTCGGCTTTTTCGCATGTACATGATCCTAAAGTCCCAACAGTTAGTTTGTTCATAGCGGAGGGGGATGAGAAGGAAAAAGCATACCAGCAGGTCTCTGTCCACAAGGGCATGCCTCTCCACTAACAGGCCGATTCTCAGTCACCGATCTCTCGCACGTACATTGACCAGCAGGTCTCATCCCTAGATACAGCCCGGTTAGCCACAACGAAACCGAAATCAAACAGCAAGAGGGACAAAGAGAGAAGCATACGGCAAGAACATCTAGCCCCCTCGCTGTGTGGATCATGAGTAGCCTTCTTACTGCAATCGCAGTGCTCGGCGGTTGTCTTGCCGCATTCGCAGCGGGCTTGGGCGGCGCAGACGCAGCCAGTGGTTGATTGACCACAGCAGGTTGATGGGCGAGTCATTTTGATTGTATATATAGAGGGTAAGTATCTCGAGTAAAGTATGAAGATTTAGGAATGTGAGGATTAATTGAAAGTTGAAGTCAATTGTGAATGGAATACGTAGTAGTGGAAGGTCTTTCTTATATACGTCTTTAAAGCTCCAGGTCCACATACATCATCGCATGACGCATTTGCAATACCTCGTCTCTGGTTGGTTAAAATGTCTGAAGATTATCTCTTGGCGGGGTCATTGCCTCCAGATCATGTGACTGACAGCCAATCAGACAACGTTCAATAATAAGCATTTATCATTTTGACCAATTAGGAACCGTAGAATTGTAAAGCATTGAAAATACTCATTTGATAGCCTGTGATTGGTTAAAAAGTGTCATCACTTCTTGTATCACACAAGGCCGACGCCTTCCTCCGCAATCATGACCAGTGTGCTATTTGATCAGTCTATTCCGGTGTTATTCCTGAGGAGTTCATCATGGTTGCCCCTGTACTTTCAGATATCGCTCTATCTCGACTCTTCTGGGGAGACGGATGTGAGCTTGTACTGTGTACTCGGTGCAAGCCTCGACGATGCTGCATAACTAGCGGATAGCCTGGCGCGCAGTCTTACATTCAGTCTCACTGTCGCTGTCACTAACATGCCAGGGATTTTCATAACTAATGTGAGAGCGAGTCTGACTGCCTAAAACATTAGAAACAGCAATCAGAACCTAGTGAGGTTTACTCCTCTGTACAATGGCATCCTCAACGCTGTCGCACGAAGACTATACAGTGGCATGGATCTGCGCATTGCCGCTGGAACTGGAAGCTACGAAAATGATGCTAGATGATAGACATGATCGTCTTCGCCAACCTCCAAACGATACCAATAGTTACACGTTGGGTAAAGTACACGATCATAACATAGTTATGGCTGTCCTCCCGTCTGGTAATTATGGCACCGCGTCGGCAGCCACGGCACTTGCTGAGATCGGTCAACATTCCCATTACTTCGATTCGGTCTGATGATCGGCTTTGGAGGTGGTGTGCCTATGACAACAGATATCTGACTTGGTGATGTGGTGGTTAGCAAACCAACTGCAACTGGAAGTGGAGTGATAGCGTAGGATTGTGGAAAGACTTTTCCTGATGGGCAAACCCATTGTACAAAATTTCTCAATGAGCCACCTTCGGTCTTGTTAAAAGCAATGAGCCAGATCCGAAGCGACTGGGGGGTGTTGGAGAGTCAGATGAATCAAAGCATTGATAATATACTTGGGAAAAACAAAGCAAGAAGAGAACGGTTTTCTCGGCCTGAGAATGACTGGCTTTTGCACGCAACCTATCCCCATCAAGATGATTCCCCTGATTGCTCTTCCTGTGACTTGAGCTAGTTAAGTTATCGCCAGGCGCGGGAAACGGATAAGCCTTATGTCCATTATTGATTTATTGGATCCGCAAATCGACTCATAAAGAATCCGCAGGAATGAGGCCGGATCACCCAAGGCCATGATATACTCTGCTTTGAAATGGAAGCTGAAGGCCTGATGAATTAGCTTCCGTGTTTGGTAATTCGTGGAGTCTCTGACTACTGCGATTCTCATAAAGGAGACCAATGGCAAGGCTATGCATCGTTGGCTGCAGCTTCGTACGCCAAATTACTGTTATTGTTGTTCCGCCAATTCATCGTCAGATTGGGGCAAAGATCTGTAAGTGATGTCACCACTTTTAGAAATTCCAGTTGCTAACTGAATCATAGGAACTAAGTTTAGTCCGGAAGAGAATACACTTTTGGGGAGTCTATCCATTATTGATCGGGCCGACGGCCTGAATTATTTGAAGAGGAATGGAGACCGTGTTCCTGGCACATGCGAATGGATTATGGACACGCAGGGACTTCAGACTTGGCTTGGTGCACAAGAAATCTCTACTGAAATTAATCCCACCATCCTGTGGCTGCATGGCAATCCAGGAATTGGGAAGACAACAATGGCAACGACCATTGCGGATGTCCTTACCGCTCAGCCTAATTTTATCAGGGGAGAGGCACTTCTTGCGTACTTCTTCTATCACTACGGTGTTCAAGGGCGCTTTACTTACTTCGCGGCCTTCTACGTCGGTTGATTGAGCAAAGGCCACGATTGATGAAATATTTGCGAGACAAATTTGAAGAGCGAAAAGAAAAACTTTTTGATTCTTTCGACAGGCTATGGAACATCCTTATTGATATTGCAAATGGGTGCGAAAACTGTCAATTTTACTGCGTCATTGACGCCTTGGACGAATGCGATCAAGTCTCGCAGGAATCATTGCTAACCTAGATTACACAAACTTTTAGAAACACTGGCAAAAACCCTGATCTTCATTTCTTTATCACTAGTCGACCGCATCCTGAGATCAGAGATTATCTATGGCCGTTCAAATCCAAAGACTTGTCGACCTACCGGAAAATTGAAGAAGATCTTCAAATATTCATCGAGCACAAAGTTACTAAGCTTTCTCGGGCAAGGTCTTACTCTGCAAATGTGACGCAGGCTGTGAGAAGTATACTTCGAGAGAACGAAGAAAAGACATTCCTTTGAATTGGGATTGCTTGCGGTGAGTTAACAGGGATTCGGTCAAGGGATGAGGTTGAGAAACTTCGGGACTTACCTAAAGGACTTAATTCCTTATACGAGAAACTACTACGGAGAGCTTTGGAAAATAACAATCACAAGGACAAAAGCATAGCTTTACAGGTGCCCGGGGTTGTCGCAATCTCACGACATCCTCTCAGCGTTGCAAAGCTTTCTACTGCCTGTAGACTCTACGAGGAGAAAGACGAAGAAGATCGTCTAAAGTTTTGTCAGGAAGATATCAAATTATGCCGTTTCATGATCGTGGTCCAAGATGATACTGTCCGTCTCCTACACAAGTCCGTGAAGGACTTCCTGCTCCGTGCTCAAGAAGGGACATTGTTCAATGAACTCAAAGCAAATGCGATGTTAGTATATCGATGCATCGATTACTTTTTATCCATTACGCAATCAATGAGAGCAAGATACCATACAAGGAGGCGCCGCGGCGGATTTCTCCAGTACGCGATACTCTATTGGCCTAAACATAGCTCAGCTACACAGTCTAAGTTCAATGTCTTGCCAGCGCATACTCCTTTCTTTCAGCTAGTATCAAATGAACGGGAAGAGTGGCTGAAGGCCTACAACGAGTTAAAGATTTCTCGTCCCAAGGGATTTTCGGTTGTCCATGTTGCAGCAAGATGGGGGCATATCATACCTCATACACTTTGCTTTAGACCGCGTCTCGGGTATTCAAGGAATTCAATTGTCTTTCACAGACGACCTAGCTACCAGGGAGTCCATGAGGAGATTTTTGGGGAGCTGGAATAAACAAAAAGCCTTGGTCAATCTGAAAGGTGAGCGTGGCAGAACTCCACTTCATTGGGCGATCATGAGCCACCATAGTGATACTATAGATGTTCTCCTACAGCGCTATGCGGATACAGATTTGATGGATAATGAAGGTAGGAGTGCCTTACATTTTGCAGCAGAAACTGGGAACGAGAAGTTGGTTCAGTTCCTCATACAGGATCACCGCAAAAGAATCTGATAGATGCAAAAGACGCCCACGGCCAAACTCCACTGCTCATCGCAGCAAAGAATTTACACCTCGAAATAATCTATCATTTGATTAATGCCGGTGCACATGTCGACACTATCGACAATATGCATCAAAATGCCTTGCACCTCATTTGCAAGTCACGACAGTTATCAGAGAACATATGCTCATTGCTGCAGTTCTTAATTGAGCAAGGAACCCCCATATCTGCATGTGATATAAATAATATGGCACCTATCCTTTATGCAATTGAAAATGGAAGCGAAGATCTGGCAACCCTGTTCATTGAGAGCGGAGTTGATATTTACCTGCAAATTCACAGACAACATTGGACACGCCGAATGCAGAATTGTGTTTCGACTTATGACCTTGACAATTGCTCTGAAGAGGTAGCTGATTCTAGAAGGAGCGCACTTCATTTCGCGGCACTTAAAGGATGCGTGAGAATAGCTAAGTTTCTATTGCAGCATGGCGCTGATCCTAATGCGCGATGCGGTGTCGGTGATACACCCTTACATTTAGCGATTTCGACGGAACATCATGGGATGCGGATATGACGACACCTGGTTAGATGAGGAATATTCAATTGAGACTTTAACGAACTTCATCACAGATTACGAAAGCGAAGAAGCCCATGAAACTTACGAAATGATTCATCAAGAGCGAGTTCGTATTGTTGAGTACTTTTGGGCGAAAATGCCAACAGTGTGAACATCGCGAATAGTTAAGGAGACCGTCCGGTACATTTGATTCCATTTGACGAATCATGTGCTCCAGAGACATTGTCCATCCTTAGGGAAAAGGGCGCAGACGTGTCAAAGTTGAACCGGAAGGGTCAAACATGTCTTCATCTGGCAAGCGCAGCAGGGAACTCCGATGCTGTTTCCGCGCTTGTGCATGAAGGATGCGGTGTCACTCTACTCGACACCAATGGATTAAGCCCTCTCCACCATGCCGTCCAGAAGAATCACCCAGAGATTGTGCAATTCATGCTTAAACATCAAAAGTCCTCGATACCTGGCCTGGACAATGGCAGCCTCCTTGAGATGCGACTTCTACACTGTCACCTCAGATCGATGCTATGCTCCGTTGAAATGATCGATGTTCTCCTGGAACACGGATACAGACTGAGCGAGCTTGACGAAAACGGCCACTCCGCCCTCAGCCTATCTCTCAATTCGTACCGCCTCTGCCTCAGATAAGACGTCTTTGTTCGTCTAATCGAAAACATGGAGAACGTGAAATGGGTTAGTCAAGATGAGAAAACAATATGCACGCGAAGGACGCTGAAGGAAGAAACTTTCTACATCACGCAGCGATTCATGGAGCATTCAATGAAGATCTTACAAGTTTCTGCAGGAGAGGAACGCCCTGGATCTTCATGAAAAGGATTCAAAAGGCAAAACACCTCTTAACTACGTGGAAGAGGAGGCTAGTCGCGAACGACATATACATTTATTCAAAGGGGACCGGTGGAAAAGGTCGTTTCAGACTCTGAAATTTCTATCAGCATGCGAAACAAATCATCCTGAAGCCTAATTCTCACCAAAACATTATTTACAGAGGGTTATCTTCATGGAGCAGCGAACACACTGGACAGACACGATGAAGATCCAGATCTTGGTCATCTGAGGTAAGAAACAATTTATAACCATAAAGAATATTCCAGATAACTAGATAAGTATATCTTTAGGAAGAATTACAATCCAGTCACCCAAACCATTCGGATACGCGCAATGCCGACCTCCTTCATGATTGTCATCTACGCTAGTTCAGTCAAAGTCAGGCTGCCACACAAAAGGGCTTTTGATCCCTGATGAACAAATTGTCTGCTCTTGCTGCACTCTAGAGATGGGAAAAGCTGGACTAAGTATACCTAGGTAAATGGGTATAGGGTGCTGCAGCTGAAGAGATAGTTATACACTCGGACCTGGTTATAACGAAAGGAAGGCCGCTCCATATTTCCACTAATATTAGCTTAGTTGACTTTAATATGGAATCGAAGAGCATCCAATTGCTTATATTGAAATAGATTAAAACATTGTCAAAAGGTGCTCTTAATCCCTAAATCAAACTCTAGCCTTCTGGATATATTGTAGCCAGTTCTATTGCAATTGACATATATTGTTCAGGACACCGCTGCTCGATCAGATGTATCACAACAACCGGAAGTCTTTATAGTAGGCAGAATAAGGAGCAGATCGATCGTACGTTGAACTTCATATTTATTGCAGCCCATCCGACAGCCATACTAAATCAATATACCCAAGTTAATAAATATTTACAATAAATAATAATACAACATCGAATTTTCACCTGGGTACCCTTTTATGTATGATACCTACCCCATTCTTCAGAAACATCTGGCCTTGGAATCTCGGGGCGAAACGAGTAGCAAACCAATAACTCCGGCGCCTGCCCCTTTTTCTCTCCCACGTCAACTCCCAGAATACTTGTATATGTTTACCGCGCTTGGTGTGAAATATGTGTATTATGTTGCGATCAAGTGAATACCGTATATACGAAGAATGTTCAGTGATGTTATCGGTCCTAATATCCACCGGTATATGCGGTTTGGATGAGTTAAATCGAGAGGAACAAATGTAGCTCGCAACTATTTGACAAGGCGATCACCTCGTACCTCCCGGTTGCGAAGCTGAAAGTCTATGAGTCATATCATGATTCTCGTACGAAGAATAATTCCCGTTCGACGATTCATAAGCACCTTGCTGCGACGAACGCATGTATGAGGCCGGCAAACTGACAGTGGAAGAGTTCTCGTGTGTGTATGGTTGGTAAAAAGAATCGAAATTATATGACGGTGTGAATGGGGAGACTTGATATTCTTGCGGCGGGGGGAGCTGGCCGGTTTGTAACGAGAGGACATGACGATAACCTACCGGCGTGTTGTAGGCAGATTCAGCGACTTGGGTAGATGATGGATATTGTTCATTTGATGCGTGTGAAGGTTGTCCTGCTATCGATCACCAGCAATTAGCATGATACAATAAGTATCATATGAATGAAGTTCACCTTGATATGCCATCGCCGGCGGGAGAGGACTATTTGTTTGAGTAGAAGATCCATGATCTACAGAACTTGCTTGGGACCCGTGTCGGTCGTAGGTTGCCTCTGGAATGGTTCCAGCCAGACCCGGATATGAAGCAGTCGAACGGTGGAGGGGGTTTATGGTCTGTTCCGATTTGATACCGGCCTCTGATGGAGGCATATGAAGTCTGTGTGGATATTGTTGCCAGGCCGGCGCATACGAGCTAGAAAAGCTATGTGATCGATGATACTCATGAGAATGTGGTGCGTGATGCACACCAGGCACTCTTGGTAAAGTTGCCGGATGGCCAGTGTTGTTCGTTGGAGAAAATGGTTCGGAAAGTCCAGGTGAATTCACGTAGTTACCGTATGCTGATGCCGCGCTTGCAGGAGACACTGGATAATCGTCACCAGGATTGCGCTTTATGCTGTTCACAGCCAATGGTTTAGGGGCGGTGCTTGCGAACGAAGATCTCGCTGTAGTAGGCGAAGTCGGGGATGTAGTAGCCGATTGCCTGGGACCATAAGGTTGCTGCAACATTTGCGTCCTGTCGAAATGGTCGGGGAGCGCTCGAGATTTCAGCACTCTGTCTCTGTCCTGGCTCGTGAGGCGTTTCAACTTTGCTCGTCTAACACATACACGATAAGTACTTGTCAGACACATTAATACCCAGGACCCAGCCATACCTGTTCTGAAACCAGACCTGCACTTGACGAGGACTAAGGCCGGGAATTTCTCGCGACAGTCTCTCACGATGCGCTGCATCTGGATGGGCCTGACGAGTGAACTCACTCATAAGAAATCGAGTTTGATTATGTGTAAGGCTAATCCATCAGTTCATTCCTTGGATTTCACCATATCCTGTCGATGAAGAAGACATACCGGAATCGTTTCGTCTTTTTGCTATTATCTCCTGCATCGCCCGCGGACTTCCCCTGTCCACCCTCTCCCTCTTCGCCATTGCTAAAATCCTCCGCGAGCTCTTCTTCATTGTCTTCGCCATGATTTTCGGATGCGCGTCGCTGCTGTGTAGTCTGCGAAGCATTCATATTACTGCTATGAGCACTCCAATCCTGCGATGGCCGATGCTGCTCAGAAACAGCCCCTATTTCCCTGCCTTGAACTGCAGTGCGCTGATCTAAAGTGGTAGTATTTGAGAACTGTGTCGCAAAAGGCCCAGTCTCTGATAGTTTCGGTAGTATTGATATACCACCGGCTTCACTCTGAGCGTTACTACCACTTGAGGAGGGTTGTTGCGAACTCTCTTTGGCTGAAGTAGCGGCCGAAGGAGTAGCAAAGATTGGAGCCCCAGATGAAAGGCTCATTTTGCTTTCTTGAACTTGCCCCTGACTGAAGTTTCGCGCAATAGAATCTGAGGACGGAGCCAGGGGATGATGTCGGTACAAGTCAGACTGAGGACTCGGAACCGAACGATAGACACCGATAATCGACATTACAATTCTGCTGTTCTTGTATACAAAGATTGCGTTTTGATTAATTTATTGCCCCTCCGACCAGATGTCGTTTCGGCCAAGCAAGATATCGTCACCTTGTTCAGGTTCAGTGGGAAGTTAACCCTTCACTTTTCGGTAAAGGAAAGAAGGAAAACTCCAAAATCGAAGAGATGATGCTTTCGACGAATGAACTGCAACAGCGACGTAACCAATATGAAGTCGAACGTCGAAACCCCTCGCTCAATCTTAGAAATCAAAGTCAGGCTATACGGACATGTTGACCGGACATATCATTCATCATACTGTCACGACTGAGTTAGCAATTTAGACATCTTGACAGTGTATCTCTGGTCGGATCTTTCCGCCTATTGAATGGAGTGTCTGATGCAATGGGTTGCTGGATGGACAAACCTAGAATCCTGATGGTAAACACAGACCAAGCTCAATTTCTTCGAGCCGATCCTTTTGTAACTGATTAGCAAACCGCCACACGTGCACACAAGTCAACCGAGTTTAATTTCATAGAAAAGAGAAGAATATACAGGCATTCACCATATTTAAGGATATGGATTTGAGGTTCAGGGAGATTGAAGGAGGTTAGACACAGAAAGCAAAGGACACAAAAAGGGAAGTCACGCCGTTGTGCAATGTTAGTCAGCCATTGGGAGAGATGATAGACTGATACATAGTGTCAATCTGGTAGATGAACTAGGCAAGGCTGAAGAGCCAACTATTCCATTTGCAGCAGATGGCATGAAATATTCAGAAAGATGTCAAGATTCAGAAGATGAGTATAGATAGTTGTGGGTACATCCCAAAGTGACATGGTGAGATAATCAGATTAGGAGGGGTTGAGGAAGAGTAGAACCATTGACATACCTCTGGAAGCCTTTTCCACGTTGCTTGGCCCTCGAATGAGACGAAAGAAAGAGATCTGATCAATATGAAAGATGAAAGAAAGTAATAACTAATCAACCAGATGTATTCGGGAAGAGAGTCTGAGAGCACCAAAAGCAGAGAGACAAAGTGGGCTAGGGAGAGTGGCTTGTGGGCAGCAATTAAGGAATTACTATCACGAGTAATATCTCCACTAAACCAGGTACTTCTCCAGAGGCCAATAGAAAAGCACTTTGAAGATTATATTGGGCCTAGAATCTAGAGTCAAGATGTAAGTGGGTGGATAAAAACAGTCGGAGACTATAGTATCACCAATGCTAGCTAACACATGGTAATAGATAATAGGGATGATGATATTGACTGACCAATGTAGTGAAAATACGATCTAGTTATACATAGCTAGGTTCTACGGTAGACTAGATTGGAACAAGAAGGAGGATAGTAAAATTTTGATATGGAGACACAGACCAAATGGTGGCGTCTGCACCCCCTTGGGATCTGTCTCTCCAATTTTAGAGTTGGGCCGTTTTTTGCGTTCATGTTCACTTCTCAGACAAGATACGTGCTTTCTACTAAGTTTCTAGATGCTTAGTATGCCCTCTTCCATGGGATATAGAAGCCGTTTTATACGAGTAATAATTCCCGATGTTATAACCACTAAGCACACCCGAGCAGTCCTTAATCTTCTTTCTGCTCTATTCCACGAGTCATTGAGTGTTTCACTTGCAAAGTCTCTCGGCATGGATGTACCTGCTTAATGATTTTCCCTTTAGAAGGTTGAGGAAAGCAGGCAAGAGAGAGGGGGCATTGAATTGCTCTGATACAGAGCGAGACATTGTGAAAAGATTCCTGTTTCGTTGCTTCGCCCCTCCTTGAGGCAGTCTGGGAAAATCGCGCAAGGAAAAGAAAGAGTCAAGAAGGGCAACAAAGAAAAAAGGCCTGAATAAAATGACGTCGAAGAACTCGAGTCACACCACTCGAGCAGTTGACGGAGGTTTTGTACAGATTCTCTGTTCTAGAGTGGTATGCTCGGTGGCTATCAAAGATGGAGAAGGTAGCATTCAATTTTACCAAAGCTCCTCAACGGATATAATCCATGTCCATCTAACACACAGGATCCAATGACAGTGTGTGATATGCGATTCATCCATGGGAATTTTACCGAACCAAGCAGGTGCCACTGGATGAACGACGTGCACTGTGTACCCTGGTTGCAAGATATCTAACTGGATAGGGCAAATGACTAGAACTTGTGCTAAACAAGCTAACGCCCATGAGGTGTTCATTTCATTTCGGATCCTTCCTTGAGGCGTCAAGGTACGGAGATTACACATGAACTTTTTTGCCAGTGCAAAACGCGCATCGTTGGACCTGGCATGTAGTTACCAGTAACAAAGGGACTTATCAAACCTTGTACTGCTTAAAGAACCTGGACAGTGTCTGCTGCCAGCAGTGGCTAGCGTAACATCCCCCCCGCGGAAGTATACTTACGGCCTAACTCCTCCATACAACTTCGACTAAGGTTTCCCTCCTTGATCAGACTCACAAAATGTTTATTCCATTGACGGCATAGCTCCAAAACCCAAGTACCGGACTAATCCTTCAAAAATACCTAAAAGGATACCAACTCTGGCTGGCTGACCGGCTGGGTTAGGTTAGCAAAATCGACTCTTTATGGTGGAGAAAAACCTCTTTCTCCTCGGGATTTTGGTAATTTCCGTCCTGACTCCTCACGTCTGACAATGATTGAGTGAATAATTGTGTATTTCTAGAAAGATAAAAAAAGAAAAGAAAGACAGAATCTCCACCGAGTTCTAACGGGAGGTTCGAAAAGTGGCTTAGGGCACGGACTTCTAACCACGCTGGGCTCGCCGAACTTAACTCTTACTGTTCTAGCACTGGAAAAGCTCGAGACACCATGTGGTAGACTGCAATGTACAACCTAGTCAGGTTTTAGTAAGGATATGCTAGCAGGGACTTCCGTCTTCCGCACAGCATGAACATGCCCTTCCTCCGGGCAGCCTGAATTTGACTTGTTGTTTCAGTCCGAGTTAGTGGAGGCTTATCCATCGTGAGCCCAAATCCTTATCTGATTCTTTTTTTGCCTCCAAGCTAGACGTCATCTCTCAGAAGCGTCGAGACTCGATGCTCTTCCACATAGCACCTCTGAGACAAAGTATTGAGACCACGGTATCGACTGAGACCACGTGGAGCATCATGACATAACGATACGTAGTCAGGAAAGAAGATGTGAGAAAAGCTGGCGTCTCAATTCTCGACTCGACAAGACGAGACCACCGGTCGCCCGGGTCTATCAACGAGTCCGCGGCTAGCTGGTATGCTGGTAGTGGAGCTCTACGGGAGTCTAGAAAAAAGAGGAGAGCACTACGACTAAGCGTAACGCACCTACAGTAACTGAATACTAATTCAGTAGTGTTTCCGTTCTTAATCCAGAGACAACATCGTTTAACTGTTAAATGATTGTCGAATCTGAGAAGATTCATCTGTTTCAAGATAATTGTCGCGCGGATCAGTCAGCTCGAGCAAACCTTCTGGCGGAGGGTGCCGTCGGGAATTTACTCAAGATAACAATAATCGCTACGGCGAGCCCCGATTTGGTGGCCGTCCGACACTCCCCGCATCGAGGCTTGCGAGCTCCGCTGAAAGACTAAAGTAAAGTGCCTTTGGGAGGAGATGAACTACGTGCGTAGCAGCCTAGGAATGTTCCAGGAAAGAACAGAACTTTCAGCTAACTTGACAGCCTCACTAATGTTGATCTTGATACCGTATTGACGTGGAATTACAGTCTCCTCCGCCCAATTCCATCAGTCCTGGCTTTTAGCTCAATAATTCAGAACGTTATGACCATATCTTAGTAACGTAACTACCGATCTGACGATCATCTTGACGGTTAATTAGTGACTATTTTCCTATTTTTCCGTTGCATGATTCAAGGGCGCAGGTCGAACGTGTGTAAAGTCATCTCGGCTGAAGGATAGCCTAAAAGCCAAACGGATTCATCCCTAACTTCACTATGCCCAATTCAGTCACTGACTCGTTCAGTTAACTGTTCATGGCTCCGATAAACACAAGGAACCAATAGAACTGGAAGATACCCGCCACAGACACTTGACAGTTCTGGGGGCTGATACGAGCCACGCGCTGCTCAGCGATATTTCACATGAAAATGGGGAAGAACACTGCACTCTCGTACTTCGGTTTCCTCTCACCGAGCACGCCCGTACTAGTCCATCCAGGCCCCAGCTATGATCCCACTACGTATTCAGTTAAGTGCCGAGTAGGTTTATCCAAGCGTAGCCAAAGCTTTCCGAACCAGTGTTTGACTTCCACACGTAGTGTGCTGGCCATGTTACTGTTCCCGCGATGCTGTTTCGAATTTCCGTTCTTGATGGATCCGAGATACCCGGTCCGGCCGCTTCTAACCATCTTGCTTCTTACAGCTTACGGGCTTCTTGGCTGACCTTCACGATCTACAGATCCAGGCAACAGCCAACGGTTCTTAGTTGATTCGTCCCACTTCTGAGAGCGGTGCTGTTGGTAGCTGACTAGCACAATGCCTGTTCTATGCGACTCTCATTCTTTGTCTAACTAACAAATGTAAATTCAAGATTCCAAGGGGAAATATGGGGGCCGGGATGAAACGTCGACGAGCAACCTTAAAGCCAAAGCAGGTCCGTGAATTCAGCAACCGTCTCTTCTGACAGTCTTGTCTTCAGCCTTGGTAACACACTGACCGGCGGGGACTCCGGCGTACGGCGTAGTTACGGAGTATCCATTCGAGACTCCATTTTTGCTTGAACAGCCTGTTGCTCATCCGGCGGATCTTCTTGACGTGGGATGTACGGCGGTACACACTGATTTGCCGGCTGCATCGTTCCACCGTCGCAAATTAGTCTGATCCATCCATGTCCAAAAATCCATGCTATGGAGTCCTAGAAGACTGTAGAAAACTGGCAGTAATCGCGATCCTCGACAGAAGCAGGGTAGAAAGACAAATAGGCCGCACCGCTGGCGAGCCACATTAGTCAAAACGATCAGGGGCCTAAAGCATGAAAACAAAGCTGTTCTTGCTATGCAATCCGCTTTTGGCGCCTAGCATGGACGTGTGTGCACACAGTGCATCTCAGCACCTAGTACTATGTACGGCACGCCTAGCGTACTCCATTAGTTCGGTTTTTCTCAGCTAAAGACAGCGGTAGAAGGAATCCTTCGAAGTCGTCATCGTGTTCTAGTGGATTAGGTGGATACCACGAAAAAATCAACAAAACGGTGCCAGAACGAAACAATCTAAATAATGCAACGGATGGCGGTGTGAAACAGACCCTGGCGCCACGATGCGGGAATAGTGGACGAATGGTATGGCCTAGCTTTTAGCTCGTTAGCAACGAAGTAGACATCCTTTCAGCAAGGAAGAGCAACACTGTTGACAAATTATTTAGGCCAGTGTCTAGGAACAGGGCAGCTCTACCTTACTGTCTCGGAAGACGCATGTACAATCCACTCATGGTTGGGCGTTGGGGGGGGAGCAGGGACTGCCGAAACGTTCATTGGATGCCATTCAAGATACTACTATCTGCAAGGCCAGCCTCTCGGCTATCCATACGAGAAACGGAATTCACCTAGAATCAACTCAGTTGGTTGCCAGAAGATCGTGGACGTTTCCTGGAGCCCTTACTAGTAACAAATAGGAAGTAGGTAGCCGAGACTCATCGCCTGTTGACCAAGCCGTGGACATCATTGGCGCATACTCATGATGCTATGCCTCGGCATCGACTTGGAAAATATGTTTTTGTGTTTATCATCTGATAAACATGGTGATAGAGTTTGTTGGAAGAAGAAAGTCTTGCGAGCTTTGCGAAGTCGTGTTGTAACTTGTGTGTCTAATAAAGACCGCACCAGGCACGTGGTTGATCCTGCCCTAATTTCTATACTCGTCTCATCGTCTCTTTATGACAGAGACATTATTAAGTCAATAACCTAGTTAAAAGTTGCACAGATTGGAAGGATGTCACTACCGTCCATGACACGACTCTTGCAAATTGCTAGTTTCAAGGTTAATCAAGATAAGAAACTAGTAGAATAACGAGTATGATCTGCTACATTGAACATCATTTCAAGATACGGCTTGATTGACAGCTATCTCGCATTAGATTCTAACTATATGATGACCGCATTTGTCCTGAGACTAGTCCCATTGTTACCTCGAAGGCTAGAACAAGACTGACAGGGTTCATGAATCATCGATTGCCGGTAGAATCATAGCCAGTAGGACTCCCAGATTCATGACCAAGTTTAGTCGCAAGCAAGGCAGTTAAGTATAGCCTTTTAACAGACTTCTAAACCTCCTCAATTGAATATTGGGAAAGACACCAGCAGCAGAATCTCTAAATCCAACTCAGCGGGAGGTTCTGGAGCTCCAGAGTCGCGACTCTCGTTAGCTGCACTTCGGCGAACTAATCTCAGCTTGGATTCCCCTTATAAAAGAGTGAAGAGCGCTCGGAATATTAATAGTAAGATCATCATGTCGTTGCGGCAGTCGTCACTGTGGCACTATCCGCCTGTTGCGATTGTGTCTCGAGTGACCCGGCCCGCTCATCTTTGCTTTCACTAGCATTTTCTGCTTTCTTCTGAGTATCCTCTGAAACGGTTTCTTTTGGTTTCTCTGTTGGCTTCTCAAATAGTAGGTTGAGGTTCTTGCCATCCTCGATCAGCTCAAATTCAAAAAGCTTGCTTCTCGAGCTTAGGCGTAATGTTCGCCAATATTTGCTCTCCTTTGCTCGCTCTGCGGCCTCCTTTTCGTCTTTATCCTTGGCCATGTCGATGTTGAAAGTGTCATCTACGATACCCATCATGAATGAGTCCGGGGCGGGGGTGGTGTACCTGAGCAGTAAGTTAGTAGCTTGCAGAAAACAAGAGTCGTTCCAAGATAAATTTACCGATCTGGGTCCTTCAATTGCTCAAGACTGGATAGATTGTTTCCGTCGGCCAGGAATGTGAGATCCAGAGAGCCCATCGGAGAAGCTCTTAGACGCTTGTTGGAAAAAACTTTAAGCGCATTGTTACGAGCCTGGAAATAGTCGTCTGCTTGGATCGCCGGTTTCTCAATGGGAGGGCAGTTTTCAACCTTCCAGCGCACCCAATTTTTGTCTCGGGAAAGAACCGTATCAACCATTCGGTAGTAAAACTTGCCGTCAATACCTTGCTGTAGGTAGTCTGCAACAATGTCCCTAGTCTGTGCCGCCCATTTGGCCTTCAAAAGACAAGTCAGTAGACACGAAGGTTGAGCAGCGATTGAGATACTTACGTCTTCTTCGCTGACGGTATATTGGTAAAGTACTGTCTTGTTCAGGGATTTTCCAGGTTGCACTAACTTCATTAGCCTCTGACGAGCTTGTGGTGTCAACGACAAAATGAAGTCCAAGAGTATCAAAGCCTGGACGAGAACATGGCGTCGAAAAGCAATATCATTGATCTAGCCAATGTTAGCTATATTCAGGGCAGATTGGAGAATGGCAATCGGTATTACCTCCAGATCGAATAGTTCGCGGCTTGTCAGATACTTCGGATTAAAACTGCTAGCAACATCCACGCCCTCGCCGTTACGCTTCCGCTTTAACCCTCTTCGGACTTCATCTGGTGCTTTCGCAGTGCTCCAGGTATCGGTAACTTTGTTCATTAACTTGAATGTAGACAATGTCTTCTCTAGACTGGTACGAAATGATGCAAAGTTCTGGGAGTCGAACAACCTGGTAGGCGCAGAAAAAAATCCTTGTAGGCCCCAAAATATTGGATATAGCGTATCCAGATCAATGGTCTTGGTAGCCTCGCTTTCCTTCCTCTCGTGAGCAGTTTCTGCTACTGCGGGAGTTCCTTCCTTGGGCCCGGAGGTTTCACCCTTAGTCTGCTCGTCTTGCACAGATTGCGACGTCTTCTCTGATGTCTCTTCCTTCTGTTCAGTTGGTTCTATTTCCATAGTGTCTTCCTGGGACTTGAGTGCAATATCGTCGAATGTTGTAACGTTCTCGGTATGAAACTCTCCGCGAAGGTTGACCGAACTCTTGTCTCCAAGCGGGAAACTTTGAAACATGTAGATGAATACTCGTCCGCAGAATACTGTATCCTCCGCTCTCGATAGTCGACGAAGTAGCTCATTACACGATCGAAGAATAATCAACTTCTTTGACTCGAAATGTTTCTGTACCGGGTCAGCCCGATTTCTTAGTGTCAAATTGACGGCTTCATCCATACCGCAGTATTGATTTCTCTGCGCGACTCTAAATAGTCGAAAACTTTGCGACAACCATCGACCGTCTGACTGTCTAGAAGCTCCTCGATGAGCCAAAATATAAGGCCAGCCTCGCATTGTTCTATATCTCAAAAAACCCAATATTAGCTCGATATAGCTTGCTCATCCAAATATGAGTAGAGCACCGACCATTATCCGAGAAGATGGAAACGATATCCAGGAGGTTCCAGATATTAACGAAAGCAAGGTCGTCTATCGAGGTCGACGCCTATATCATCTGTCAGCTCCTCGTCCAATTAATCTAACTCAGTGTTTTCCATACCAGCAACTCGTAAAACTTTTCTCGGAACGCGGTTTCGACAGCGGCGAAACTCGTTTGTTTATTCGGTTCCTGTTGAATGTCGCCGTTCTTGAGATATACACGCTCGACCAAGTCACCTAGGCTGGCTTCTGTGATCGGAGGCTCAACATCATGCCCTTTTTTGATCTCTGCTGCTTTCGCTAGCAGATCGCGAACCAGTACGCGGTAAGCACCTGTAGAGTCGATGACTGTTTCTAACATTTTGATCGTAATGAACGGAGATTGCGACGTCGGGTGAGTAGGTTGTGCAGCTCAATGCGCGAAGTCGAATAACTTTCTCCTATCTCATCATGCGATGATTTGGCGTGCTCTTTACCAAAAACCCATCAATCAACAAAGAAAGCAAAGCAATAAAGTGTATCAGAGCTCAGCAGAGATGTGTATAGCTGACAATCAAATGACAAAAAGAGGAAACCAATCGGCGCGGCTGCCAGCTCACGGCGGCGGCGCGGCTAATTGCGCTGCGCTAACTCAAAGCAGCCATAGGCGCTTTCTTTTCGCGCCTAGAGCATTGAAGTCGACAAGATCCAACTTGCTCGCTATTTCAATGCACAGCGAGGATTGGGACTAGGGATACCTTCTGCGATGGCGAAGAATCTCGAAACCAGACCGTCCGTTCCTGATCTGGAGGGGGACAATCGCTGGGTCGCTCTTGCGCAGAAGCATTGGCTGAAGCAGAGCAAAATTCGCAAGGTCAAACAAGATGTCATCAAGAAAGAGATCTGGGATCCGTTGGAAGCTGAAGGGTTCACTACCCGCTCGCTCTTGACGCTGGAAAATCTGAATATCCTGGAAAAGTAAGTGGCGCTAAGGTCCATGGCGGGAGAAGTTTGAGAGCTTACTTTTCTCAGGTATTTGTGGCCGACCTATACCGACGATGCGTCGAACCATCACGTTCTACTTATCGCCGTGATAGTTGGGATTAAAAAAGGAGAACATCTGCCGATATGGGGTGAGTGGCCGTTCTGGATGTCTTTTTCTCGTGTCTTCTGACCAGTGGATGTAACAGAGCATTTTGCCGATCGTCCTGACAGCTTCTCCAACCTCTTCCATCGCATTCTCTCTCTGAGCTTGGACGTATCGCTTTCCACCTTTTCGAGGCTCTCAGTCTTATCTTTCATCATCTGCAGCTTTCAATCGCTCGAAAATACCCTGATCAGGAAGGAATGCGCGCCCTTAGTATCTATTTCCATCTGGCACAACCTCTCGAGTGAGACGGCGAGGAATCAGACCTTGGAAAAGACTCCCATGTTGAAGAAGGCATGGCGCGCAGCAGCTAAGCGATACGAAGCAGCCGATGAGTCGATGAAAGCAAAGATTCGATTTGAGAGGGCGTGGCTTTACACACTCATCTTGGATTTTCTTCAAAGAGTCAGTACGGCAGGGCAAGCCCAAGCTGATAACATCCGATACTGCGAACGATTCCTTGAATTACTTGTAGATTTGAACAGTCAGCTACCAACAAGGAGATACGTCAACACCCTTCTACAAGACTTGAACATACTTGCCGTGATTCGACTTTCGGAACTTTATGATTCTCCAAATAATTCCTTGATACGCGACTTTTTCACACTTTTGCACCATTTCATGAACTTCGCTATTGATGACTACTCCGGCGAACCTCTCTCCATACAGACAACATATGATATTCACTGCCAACGTCTTGCCCGACTGCAGAGGACCGCGATCAAGCATTTCAAGGACAAACTTACCATTCTTGCTTTATCCAATTACGGATCCCTTGAGCAGCGTTCAGAACTCGAAGGTAGCTTGTCCGTGTTGAATGATGCAGAACTCGAAGACCTTTGCGCGCGTCTAGGGTTTAGGACCACCTATCCAAAGCAGTCTCAGGTGATGGCCCATCGCCAACTATATCTCGAGATCTTGGTGTCTTATTTCGAAAAGAAACCCTCGTTTCAAGAAGCAGCTACCAAACTCAGTACTGTACCAACAGATGAGAGTCTTTATGAGCCAGCTTTGCTGCGGAATGAAACTTATGATGGATCACGCCCGCTTGCTATCCCCAAGCTTAACCTTCAGTATCTCAGTCTCGGCGACTTTTTGTGGCGCTCATTCATGTTATATCGAGCAGAGGCTTTCTTCTCCGTTCGAAAGGATATTGAGGCGGTGATGAAACGGTTACAACCGAGGATTAACAAATCAACACGCGAGGTTGTGTTTGATGGATTTACAAAGATGGCAATTCCCATTTCCAAACCTGCAATCATTGAGGTCGCTCAACCTAGGGTAGGGTCAACAAACCCTGCTTTCGTTCGTGCCGAAATTACTCTGGAAGTAGGCCGGCTAGCGGACAACATACGAAAGGAGTGGGAGTCTTTGCGGCCAGATGATACTGTGTTCCTCCTTGCAATAACTCCCCCACCGGCTTCGACCGCTTTGAATCTTACGGATAAGCCTTCTCTCACGTACGTCCGTACGGCTGATGTCGTACAAGTCTTGGATGAAAATGGACGTGTCTTGCGCGAACCTCAAAACCAGTCAGAAAACGGATTCACTCGTCGACCTCAGATTAGGAGACTTCTACTGAATCTCGATGCGGCTGCTTTTCAAACAGATCAAGACAAACAGTCACAGGGGAAACGAGAGGTATATCCTTTGATAAACGTCATAGTGAGAAGAAAGGGACGAGAAAATAATTTCAAGTCAGTACTGCAAACAATGCAACAGCTAATCACTTCGGCCGTTGCACTACCATCTTGGCTTCAGGAAATATTTCTCGGGTATGGTGATCCTGCTAGTGCTCGATACACTGAGCTTCCGAACCGAGCCAAGTCAATCGACTTCCGCGATACCTTTTTGGACTGGCAGCATTTGGTAGAGAGTTTTCCTGGGAAAACAATCGAACCTTCTGGCAAAGAATCCTCAAGTTTTGGGCCACCATACGTTCTAGAGACCGTGGACGAACAACCTCAAGATCAGAGTGCAGGGAACGCTTCAAAGAAACGTCGACGTGGTCAAGTGGAAACACAGGCTGAATCCGCCTCTATCCATGTGTCAACATACAAACCCCCTAACCCTGGGCCATATCCCGTCGATGCTCCTAAGCTGAATACAATCCGATTTACACCAGCACAAGTCGAGGCAATCGCATCTGGAACCCAACCCGGATTGACGGTCATAGTTGGACCTCCTGGTACAGGGAAGACAGACGTGGTGACGCAGATCATAAACAACATATATCACAACTTTCCGTCCGAACGTACCCTCCTGATTGCGCATAGTAACCAGGCTCTGAATCAACTATTTCAGAAAATCGTCTCGCTCGATATTGATCAGCGGCATCTCCTTCGACTAGGTCATGGCGAAGAAGAGCTTGGGACAGAAACCAGCTATAGCAAATATGGACGGGTTGAATCCTTCCTTGAGAATCGCACACACTTATTAGCAGAAGTTGATCGATTGGCCGCTTCGATTGGGGCTCTGGGCGCCCATGGCAATTCCTGTGAGACCGCAGAATACTTCAACACTGTCTATATTCAGCCCGCATGGACAAAGTTCTGGGATAAAGCAAGATCCGAGTCGGCCTCCGTAGAAGATATTGCAGTCTCCTTCCCATTTCACTCATACTTTTCAAATGCACCTAACCCTTTGTTTACTCCGGGAAGCTCTAAGGATAACGTCCTTGACGCTGCAGCCGGAGCACAGAGGCACATTGATAAAATTTTTTCGGAACTAGCAGATATCCGGCCTTTTGAGATTTTAAGGCAACCTCGGGACCGAGCCAATTATCTGCTTATTAAAGAAGCTAGGATCATTGCAATGACCTCAACACATGCAGCAATGCGTCGACAAGAAATTGCCGATTTGGGTTTCCATTACGACAATGTCGTCATGGAAGAGGCAGCACAGATTACCGAGATTGAGACATTTATTCCCCTCGCGTTGCAGAACATGGAAGATGGCCATCTGCTGCTGAAGCGGGTGGTATTGTGTGGTGATCATTATCAGAATTCACCCATCGTACAGAATCTTGCATTCAGACAATATGCCAATTTTGAACAAAGTCTTTTCCTAAGGCTTGTGCGATTAGGCGTGCCCACAGTCACACTCGACCAGCAAGGCCGAGCAAGGCCTAGTATTGCTGATCTTTTCAAATGGCGATATAAAACTCTCGGCCACCTGCCTCAGCTTGAAGAGGATCCGGAATATAGCCAAGGGAATGCAGGTTTCGCATGTGACTACCAGTTCATCAACGTTGACGATTACCAAGGCACTGGCGAAAGAGAGCCGGCGCCGCACTTTATACAGAATCTTGGAGAAGCAGAATATGCCGTGGCCATATATCAGTACATGCGACTTCTTGGATACCCAGCTTCGAAGATCACGATTCTCACGGCTTATGCGGGACAGAAAGCTCTTATCAGGGACATATTGAGTCATCGTTGTGCGAAAATTCCGATTTTTGGCATGCCTCGGATAGTCACAACTATTGATCAGTATCAAGGCGAGCAGAATGATTGTAAGCTTTCCAGAATCTTACGAGGTCTGTTATACAAAGCTAACCAGAGCACAGATGTAATTCTTTCGTTAGTTCGTACACGAACTGTTGGTTATCTACGGGATGTTCGCCGCCTGACCGTTGCGCTGTCCCGAGCACGACTAGGCTTGTACATCCTCGGACGCCTAGACGTCTTCGCGTCGTGTTATGAACTAAAGCCAGCCTTTGATTTACTCGCCAAGCGGTCCAATAAGTTGATGCTCATTCCTGGAGAAATGTATCCTACCAAGCGATTGCAAGCGGATGATGTGGAAGGCACGCCAATGGAGAATGTTGAGCATATGGGTCAATACGTCTTCGAAATGACGCAGGCAAAACTAAAAGCAATGGGCTCAGAGGGACTGACTGTTCCTGACGGATTCCCTGATGGTGATGACATTGAAGAAGTAGATGGAGACGAGATTATGGTGGGCGGGGCAGACGATGACGAAGATCTTACTGTTCAGCAGCATGTATGAGTGAAGGTCCTTTGTAGTCATGCAGAGTCCATATGATAGAAAAATGTAATATACGCTAAAACCTGGTCATAACGAGCAGAAGGGACTTCCATATCCTAATCAATCTCATATTGAACGGATATAGATACCTAGATATAGGAGTCGAGAGCACTCTGGTCACTACTAATTGAACATTTTACGATATGGGAGTGCTCTTCTTTTTTTAACTGTGTTATCTTTTAGGTAGATATGGCTTAAATTCCGAAGTCTGGAAAAAGCTTCTATTCCTGAGGTTGTTATAGCCAGGCCCTTCAGGTGTATTGGTATATAATGATTTATTCATCTATAGACAGAGGAAGAAGATGAAGACGACATGGTCTGGTACTTCCAATAGAGTCATATCTAGGTAGTATCTCTACTCCTTAGATTCCTTAAGCTCTTCCACAATATTCTTTGGATCCTTAAACGCAAGAGCAATATACCTGCAAATAGCCTCACGTTAATCGAAGGCTAGCATTCCAAACCCGAAAATTCAGGGGTTTATCTTACTTTGTATGACTTCCGCGAGCAAAGACTTCGCTTTTATCATTCATGAATTTGATGGATGTGTATGCAAGCGTTTTGCCAACTGCGAATATGGTTAGTGTCCCATGTTTCATAGCACAATTTAGCGGTTTAGGAAAGATGTGGTATACACTTATCGCATGAGACCTCCTATGAAACGAGTTAGCAATGAGCTTTTCCCACCTATAGGTCAGTAGGGGATGATTCAGGCACTAACAGCTTTGATCGTGTCTCCCACTTTACCACCGGAACTTAAGTAAGTGACTTATCGACAAGGTCAGACTATCAAACTCCCAGTTCTGGTCACCCAACACTCTCACCATTCAGGTCCGTGGATACACCAGTTGAGTATAGGCCCCTAGAGGCAACTGCCAGCGAACCACCAAGATCGACTAGGGATTTCAAATATCAGTTGATTCATGATTCAATCGGGAGGCAATTTGGCTCTTTTGACATACCCATACTGGCAATAGTGCCACCATGTAAAATGCTTAACCTGTTCTGTTCTATATCAGCCATCTGAAATTGCCAGCAGAAACTTGTGTAAGACGAGAGCATACCGTATGCTGCTTCTCAATGTCAAGTTCAAAGTTCACGACACCAGGACGAGCAGCAGTCACTCTGAGCTATAATCCATGATTTTAGTATCAGCGTGACCTTATCGGCGTATGGTGGACTTGAGACTTACACCATCCAAAAGTCTGAGGTAACAGTCTTATTAGTCTCCGTTGTCTAACTCAACTGATCAATTGATATATTTTGATACGGGCAGTTACCAACCTCGGCTCTAGACCGGATGTGGCCCGAAAGGACTGCCAGACCTATACGCGATTATTAGTCCTTAGGTTCTCACTTACGAGAGGCGTGAAACTCACAGAATTGACAAATTTTAAAGCAGACATCTTGGCTTGGTGTTTAATAGTTCAGCATCTGAGTAGAAATAGAGAGATCTGATATCGGCCAATGACGTGAGTCAAGTAAACAACCGGGGAGATTATGCGCTAGTCTTCAAAAGGACTAGCACCATATCATCTTTAAGTGAAGCCAAAGAAATAATTACGACACGATCCATAGCCACTACACCTCGACAACACACCCTCCCTTTCCTCTCGTCGTCAAATCTGAATTCATACTCAGCTTTGGCGACCACGATATGAAAATATCCTGATCAGAATAGAGCGGCGGGAAGCCTGAGCGTACAGGCAAAATGGCCGCCTCAACCAACCGATCGTTTGAATATTTGGAGCAGCTGCCTGGCGTGACTTTTCAGAAGCTGTACCAACAGCCTTCTACAGCTCTTGCAATCTTCCGACGCATGCTTCCCGACCTTGGTGCGTTAGCAAAATCTGTTTGAATATTCTGTTCTAATTGATGGGAACGCAGCAAAATGCCTTGTCATGGCACTGCTCTATATGCGAGACCCTCTTCCGGCGGCAGATCTCGAGTTATGGATCAAAGGGGAGAGCAAGAAGTGAGTTTTGTCAACTTCAAATGAATGGGACTGAGAATGGCAGTCAACTAACACACGAAAGAGAGCGGGACCATGCTATATCCATCCTCGGAAGACTTCACATCATGACGAATACAATGACTTCGAATCAAGTCCGAGCGTACATGGTGACGAATCCATTCGCTTCATCCTTACGACAAGCTCTTACTGGTGCCGAAAACTCACAGTCTTTCGGCGTGCCTTGTTCAACCCCTGATCCGAATCCCGTGTCTATTGCAGATCTTGACGAATATGCTCGGAGGCAATGGGAAGGGGTTCTGGGATACATGGTTGGAACCAGCGGGCCGGGTGTTCGCGAAACTGTTAGTCTTAGTCGAGGTGTGAAACAGCTCTTACAGGCTGGCCATCTCGTCGAAATTCACCACGGCAGAGTCGATATCACCCAAGATGGCTTCGCCTTTGTGCTACAAGATGTCAACACTCAAGTTTGGCAAATTATCATCCTATACGTTGAGAGCGCCAAAGCATTGCAAGTCAATGACGTCGAAGTTCTTTCGTTCATATTTCTATTGAGCAGCTTAGAGCTTGGCCAGTCGTATGAAAAGAAACATCTTACACCGGATCAGCTACGTGCTTTGACCGATTTGACGGACTTTGGCATTGTATATCAATACCCCTCAGCAGCCGAGGCCGACCGATTCTACCCTACAAGATTAGCAACTACACTCACTTCCGACTCTAGTGCCCTTAGTAACACGATGTCCAGCGCGTTATCAGCTCAGACGAACGCTGCCACAGGAGAACCAGGGTCTGGATTCATCATTATCGAAACAAATTACCGCCTGTACGCATACACATCATCACCCCTTCAAATTTCTCTCATTGCGCTATTCACAACACTCAAATATCGGTTCCCCAACCTCGTCACCGGTAAAATCACGCGACAATCCATCCGTCGTGCAGTTGAAATGGGCATCACAGCCGACCAAATCATATCCTACCTATCCACTCACGCACATCCTCAAATGCGAAAAGAAGATGCAGTCAAATCCACCTCGAATACAGCTGGATTACCGCGGTCAGTGTTACCGCCTACAGTAGTCGATCAAATTCGACTTTGGCAACTCGAAAGAGACCGCATCAAAGCCACCCCGGGGTTTCTATTCAAAGAGTTTGCTTCCCTTGCAGAATACGAGGGTCCTTGTCGTTATGCCGAGGAGATTGGGGTATTGGTCTGGAAATCAGACCGGAAGCGCATGTTTTTTGTGACTCGATATGAACAAATAGTCTCTTATTTGAAAAGTCGAAGTTCATAAGCGGCACCTGACATATCAACAAACAATACCATTGGCAGCTTTACAAACAACACTTATATATCTGCCAAATACGGAGTATATAAATTTTCTACCTAGGTAGCATTGATGAAAAAATGATTGATTAATTCACCCTTATTTCACCCTTTGCAACCTTAACCGAGCTTCCACTCAGCTCAACCGACTCAATTCCCTCACCCTTCTCCTTCAAAACGACTCGAAGACCAATATCACTTCTCCGTCCGATCTCTACACCCTGCACAACATGGAAATCATGCTGCAGTTGGCCAGCAGCACCAGCATCACTCAAAACAAGATATGAAGCCAACCCACTCGCCGCACTCCCCGTTGCCGGATCCTCCTCTGACTCTAGAAACATTCTTGTCCTTATGACTTTCTTACCAGTAACTTCATCCACAACGTTCCTGACATAGAAATATACAACGACGTGGCCATGTCCACCCCACCCTTCATCCAGATAACCGCCTTGCGTGATATCAGTGACAGGAACAGATTCTCCCCCCACAGCTGGTCCAACAGCTGCCAGTGCCTCGAGACTCGGTAACTCAACATGAATCTGTGTCATACCATTCACAATCGAGACAATTGGGAATCCTTTCCCGCTTTCAGTTTCGGCAGCGTTAAGAAACGGCTCAACAGAAGGATGTAATCTCAACAATTCCCGAAATGGGAACCTCTTCTGATGAATCCTCACATTATGCGGAATCAGAGCAGAGGCTTCATCGGATTTTGTCGGTTTTAAGGAAATAGGAATTGGACCAGCTTTGGTCAAAATCGTGTTCACCTTGGACACATTGTCATCAGATAGGAACAGAACCCACGACGCAGCACCGATTGTGGGATGGCCCGCAAACGGCAATTCATCAGTCGTAGTAAAGATATCAATCCTTTGCGCCGTAGGTCTCTGCGAATCAACAGGGTGCACAAATATGGTTTCTGAATAGTTGAATTCTTTGGCGATTTGTTGCTTTTGTTTCTGAGTTATGGCTGTGGGTGAAGGGAGGAAGACGACTCCGAGGGGGTTTCCCTCGAAAATGGTTTTGGTGAAGACGTCGAGAGTCACGTAGGGAATGGTTTGTGGTGACATTTTTCTGAATACGAGTAGTTATTAGCTGTTAGGATTCTGCTTCAATTTGTGGTTTATGCGAGAGATGCTTGTTAAGAAGATTGACAGATGTTGTGGAATTTATGTCTGGGTGATTGATTACCCGATCTATTTCAGACATTGGATTTGTCATAAGGCGTGAGATGACTCATAACTTGAACAACAATTGAGCCTCAAGATCCATATAGGCTTCTTCAAGGTTCATTTCATTTTCTGTCTTTCAACAGCATTTACTTCCATACTATACTGATATTCACGAGAACGGGAGGTCGCCTTCATAGAAACATCATGTGCCGAATGGGGTCTTGTCATCAATCATTATGCAATAAATTTAGGTATCATCCATAATAGAAATGCATTACTCAGAGTCATCCTCAATCACAAATCCAGCTCGCGCGCGTCGACGATTAGCCGCTACTGGACCATCCTCCGAGTCACTATCATGGGTAGCTTCAATAGTAGTTGACTTATGTTGCTCAAGTTCTTTATCAAGATCCCACTCCTCATGTTCTGTCGATGTCGGGGGAGTATCATCATCCCCATTAACTCCCTGACTGCTAGAATCACCGCCGACTCCTGTCATCAAGACGTCGTCGTCTTCCTCCTCATCGTCACTCATTTCAAACCCGCCTATGGTGACCCGTCGCTTCTTCTGACCTTCGCTATCTGTATCTTTATCACTTTCACCATTGTCCATACCGCGTCTCTTACGACGAGTAGTCTTCTTGCTCTTTGATTGCTCATTAGCCGCATCTTCTTCTAGTGCTTTTGTGACCAGAGCTTCCCGGACGCGTTTATCTTGAGCCTTTCTAACAGCTTCTTCGTGCTCAAAAAACGCTCTATCTGCTTCCTCATCCGATTCGTCGTCGCTATCGTGAACAAACAGATCACTCTTAATCTTGGCCTGTCTTGCTCGTGCGTTTTCTTCGCGGTTACGACGGCGTTCTTCAAGAATTGCATCATCTAGAGGCTCTTTGTCTTCATCGCGTTTGCTGCGCTTGCGACGTTTCTCCTTTAATTCTTTCAGAGCATTCGATTTCGATCGAATATTTGGTGGGAAGAGTGGTCCCTCTGGAATTGCATCTTCGCCCTCCGACTCGGAGCCAAAGTCTACATCCAATGTTGTTTGGTAAGTCTCTTTGGGTTCTGCCGTAGGTTTGCGTCGCAGTTGATCGCGAGGATCGAGTCCGTCAATCTCCTTTACAGGATTCTCCAGTCCCTTTTCAATGATTGAATTGACAGCACTAAGAGTAGCAGAGTCGAGTGATGCAGGAACCACCCAAGAAGCTCCCATTACATCCTCTGTTCCTAACCGCTCTAGCCCGACCGAGGTCATAAGCAGCCTCAAACGCCCGTTTCTGAACGTAGCTGTCCGGATGGAGTCATTGTCAGACTTGATTTCTAGAAAGTTGTTAGTGACGTCCTCGAGCACTTGTGCTACAACATACCTATGAGGGGACTGGGAGAAACAGCTGCTTCCGGTGACTCGAGCTGTCGTATTTCATTTTCAGCTTCCCAAGAACTGCGTTCGTTTGCAGCTGACCTCAAGGCTTCGCTGAGCCATTTGACCAGATCAGCTTGACCATCCATGAGCATAGCAGCGACCACTACATTCAACTTTTCATCCCTTGACGTGCCTGCACGTGGATGGACTTCAAGTTCAGCAGGTGGCCTAGTACCGCCGGTAGAGATGGTTTGTTTCTCATGACCATATTCAAGATAGAATAATGTAGCGTTGATCTTGCTGAAAAGCAATTCTGTGAACAATGCCGGACGTTCATTCAACTTCTTGATCATCCTTCGGGTGAGCTGTTTGACAAACTCTTCCCATTCTCGAAAAATGGGCTTGGAGGAGTCCAACGACTCCGACCCTTTTATCATGCGATAGAAAAGATTCAAAATGTCAAGACGATAAAGGAGGATGCTCAATTCCTGCTTGAAGGCAACCCGATAAAAAAAGCGATGTGCGCGCTTCAGTTGTTCATCATCGAGATCCCGGTAGTACGTTGTAAACTGAACAAACGTATCAATGCTCTTCTGGCTGCAGAACCTCGCTGAGAATCGTTTAAAGTCGAATTTGCGCTCCTTGGCAACTCGAGCTGCATCAGCAAGTTCCTCAGCCTCGGAGTCAACATTCTCTTCATTATCTGCTTCTTGGCCAGCGGTATCTGTCTTCTTTGCTCTTGCTCTTCGCTTCGATCGCACTTGCATATCCACATTCGCTTTGGAGTAATTTTCAAGCATCCTCAAGAAGACGTGAGAAAGCTCGGTACATGCGTCTAGATAAGCGAAACCTTGGTCCTTGTAGCCTCGCACTATGGATATGATCCTGTCGTGTGTAGTCTCTTCGTAGAAGATACGATTTAGAGTATTCTCTGCAATCTCTTGATCTTCTTCAAAGGTTGAGGCGGCCATTTCTTGAATCGTCAAGAGAATCTGTGTGAAACAGCGCATGTTTGCATTGAGATCTTGCCATTCATGATTATCGAAACTGTATTGCATTGCGCGGTTGAGAAAGACAAAAGTCTCCTGATTGAGTACGCTTGCTACCAAGGAGAAATTATCCGGCTCAATTTCTTTGGATGTTCCTTTGTTTCGTTCATTCTGCTTTCGCTGATAGCTGCGTCGTTCGCGTTCGGCTTGAAGAAACCAAGCTACCACGTAGAGAAACTGCCGCGTATTGATGTCAGTAACTCTATCAGCTTCACGCTCGATAGCCTTCCTAACATGCGTGAAAAGGGGATTGAAGCCTGTGTCGAGAAATTCTTCCACGAATGTCCGGAGATTTTTGGTTGCAGTAGACGTAAGATGCGTACTCAAAGTGAAATCACCACTGGCAGCTTCAGGCTGTTGCCGACGGCCGTGTTTGGGTCGATTCCATTTCTTCGTTTGATCCATCTTGTTAAAAGCAATTTGGCCGTCTTTTAGAATATCCTGCCCAGAAACTGTGGACACTTTGGCATCGTCCCGTTTCACCCAGATCATAGTTCCAAAACGGCCATGACGAGTCGGAGCATTTTTGGCATATTCTCTTTTGACGCCGGATTCCTTTTTGAGTAGATCACTAAGTTCATCATTATGTTTCGCCTTGCGCTCGGTGTCATTCATGAACAATTTCTGCACGTCGACACCTTTCACGAGATGAAACAAAATCTCCAAGAGCACGACGTCCTGAAAGTTAAAGTCCTCGCTTATATTGGCGGACATAGTGAGTATAAGCGCAAAAACATTCTGTTGTTGAAAGGCATTGATAGTTGTAGATCTTGATGTCTCTTCCTCATCAGCGTCGGTAACTAGGCCCTTGGGCGCAGAGATCATAGCGACGTTTCGCAACAGATACAACATCAGTTTCAAGATCCCATCATCTCTACTGGTCCGCTCAGATTTTGGCATGGTAAAGCTTGGCAATCCAATTTGGATGACAGCGCGAAGAGTCTGTAGACCGGTATTTTGATCTAGTATTCCCCGTTTGTATTGCACTTGAGCTTGTTGCAGATATGGAGTGTGTCGATGGTGATTGATTGTCATCTGGCCATGAATTTCCACTGGCCAGGTTAGAGGGACGAGCAATTCCACTACATACACATTAGCACTCTGTCTTTTGCCAAGGAATATCCAATTTCATACAGCATGCCAACGCAACACGAGTCAAATGTTTTTTCTTCTGCCCTTCACCATTATACCACAGATTCAAAATCGGCAATAAATCGCCATTCACGATATTCGCCTCTGCCAGACATCGTGCAACATCCAGTCGGTTCGTTTTGTCGTCGTACAGTCTGAGCCATTTCTTGATATCGCGTAAACATGCCAATGCGTCGTCTCCGAGGTTGTATTTCGATACATCTTCGCCGTTGAAGCCTCCAAGCTATCAATCATTTCGTCAGGACTTGGTTTGTATAGGAGGATTAGTAGACACTTACAGCAGTGACAAGACTGTACACATGCGCGCGCACTTCAGGGTCCACGACCTGGACATCACGTCCAACGGCGACGGCGTCGAGTTCCATGGTGAGTTCGAGTGTAATCACTTCACCATCACGATATCAATATCGATATTCAAGTCTTTCCCTATCGTCGTGTGGAGAGCAACGTAGATAATTCAACAGGACACTATCAGATAAGCAATCAACGCGAGCTGCACGCGTCAACGCGTTCTTGATTAAGTTTAGATCACATGTCACCACGGATCTCGGCGAAACTATTGATGCGTTTATCCGACGATAGCCGATGACGTCGGGTAAGGCCTCGGACTGTCGGCGTTTTGCTTAATCGGTCCATTGACTATATACCGAGTGATCTTTTGTGTTGCTGATGTAGACCTTGACTGTACTATACAAGACACGCTCAGGATGTTGTCTGCAACTATTCGACACGGCGCTCGTCGCCAGGCGCTCAATGCCCATCGCTATTTCAGCTCATCGACAAACAAGTTAGCTGCTGCCGAGGTTAAGAAATTGGGTGTTATTGGGGCAGGACAAATGGTGAGCTTCAGATGTTTATTGTCTTGAATAGGTAGGCAGAGAAGACTTATGACTGACGAACCAAGGGTCTTGGTATTGCTTTAGTAGCAGCTCAAAAAGCAGAGATACCCGTCGTCTTGATAGACAATTCGGAGGCCGGTTTACAAAAGGGACTCAGATTTGCCGGTAGGCCGATATCCTCTGCAATAGATCTCCATTGACTCTTAACATCTTGGATTTGTTTAGACAAACTCCTCGACAAAGACGTCTCCAAAGAGCGCATCTCCCGCGAAGCCGCCGACCAAGCCCGCAACCGCCTTATCCCCAGCACCAAACTCGATGACCTCTCAGACGTCGACTTTGTTATCGAAGCCGTCCCCGAAATCCCCGATCTCAAAGCCGCCATCTTCTCTCAACTTGCGGAAATAGCACCCAAACATGCCATTCTGGCTACAAACACGTCTTCGATTTCAATCACCAAGATCGCCGCATCAACAACCAAGGATCCCAACGATCTCCAGGCTCCTTCTCGTGTCGTTTCTACGCATTTCATGAATCCCGTGCCAGTCCAAAAAGGCGTTGAAATCATCTCTGGATTGCAAACATCCGCCGAAACTCTTGAGACGGCTCTCGAATTCGTCAAGCGCATGGGCAAGATCCCGGCTGTCTCTGCCGATGCGCCGGGATTCCTGGCCAATCGCATTCTTATGCCGTATATCAATGAGGCTATTATCTGTCTGGAAACCGGAATCGGTCGCCGGGAAGACATTGATAGTATTATGAAGTACGGCACAAATGTGCCGATGGGTCCATTGACTTTAGCGGATTTTATTGGCCTTGATACTTGTCTTGCTATTATGAATGTTCTTCATACAGAGACTGGAGATAGCAAGTACCGGCCGTCAGGCTTGTTGAAGAAGATGGTTGATGCCGGTTGGTTGGGTAAGAAGAGTGGTAAAGGATTTTATGAGTATTGATGTGTTTGACGACTAAATGATATTGTGGCATCTGAGCTATGTATTATAGAGGGTATCGCAGAGTTGAACTATGAATGTCTAGGTATGTCGATGTCCAAGACATAGCATGTTCCTGTCCACTGTAATAGGGCATTAGACGTAACACTCCGCAGTTATTGATGAGCAATTACTGTAAAAGCGGCCAAAATGATGAATATCTTACTTGCATTTTCTAATTCGGGTATCATATAATAACACATTCTTCCCAACAATCTAACCTAAACGCCGTGTATGAATAGAAAGCATCAATATTATATTAGACAGCTCCCGAGAATCGTCTCCCAGCCCATGCAGATCCATATTCGAGGTATTCCTGTCTCGTGATAGCAACAGATGCCACTTCTTGTCGATCTGTAGCGAAACGCGATGCTCCTAGCCATGTGGAGCGAATGGGACTAGACCGAGTCAGCTCGATGATATGATGATGCTAGCAGAATATGAACAAGAACTCACTCATTTGGCCTTTTCACACGCACAAGACATTCGGCAGATGCCAATTGTCGAATTTCCATTTCTCTGTAAGATAATCAGTATAGAAACAAGCCCAGAGAGAAGAGAGTTCTTACAGCCTGTCTATAAACCCGGGAATAAGTGCATTACCACCCACGACCAAAATATTGGCCAAAAACGCAGGATGAAGGCCCGTCGGTAAAACAGACAAGCTCTGCAACACAATCTCGGGAATACCAGCCTGCCTCATACCAATATCCGAAGGGTTAAATAGAATCTCCGGAACAGTAAATCTTTCATTACCAAGGACAAGAAAATCCTCAGTGACGAGATCACCAGAGCCAGACATCAAACTCTTGCGCTTTTTTGCATTGATCAAAGGGTCATGCGAACGCACAAATCCCTTTTTGTTCGCAGTCGGATCGGGAAGTACATAATCCACAACGATACCCTCAGCCGAAGCAGCGGCCTGGGATTGGCCGGGAGCCTTTGTCGCTTTCCATACTTTTTCCATATCGCCTTGGAAATTGCTAGAGACGTAGCATACTGCTTCCTTGACGTCGTTCATGATATGCGTCTCGTCGACCATGTTATATTGCCGCATCGAGACCATTTCTTTGATGTAGTTGGTGAGATGTTTACCTCCTAAATCGAGTCTTCGGATACCGCGTTGAAGTGGTTGGCCTTTGTATACTGGTGTGACGATTGTATGAGAGTATCCGGAGTCGATGACTAGTAGGCATTCCGCTGGAGAGATATCCGTTGCAGAGTTATTCGTAGGGTCGCCAAATATCGAATGTATATCGTTCCAAGCATTCAACGTAGGCCCTATACACATCAACAATACTTCTAGAATGAGCCTGGGAGACGGTAAACTAACCAACAATCCTAGCATAACCACCAAAGCCCCATTCCTCCATAACCATCTCATCCGCATTTCTCTGCAGCGCCGGCAACCCATTCGGCGTATCCGTAAGAATCAACGTCGTCTCCGCCGGATCCGCCACGCGAACATCTTTATTACGCGTAGTCCTCTCATCAAAGAAAGCCTGTTCCCAAATCTCCTTTTGAGCTTCCCAGTTCACTATATAACCCTTTTCGACCGGTCGACGGAATACGGCTTCGTTCCAGTCGGAGATGTGTGTTGAGAGCTGTGCGCCGACAAAGATGCGGTTATCGCGTGTTTTTGCGATTGCGTTGGAAATGGCTACGCATGCGGAGAGTGAATCGTCTGCGTTTTGGGGTGGAAAGTGGGCTGGGGCATGCCCTGCTTTGATAGTGCACGCGCCGTTGTCGATGATGAAGGTTTTATCGGGTAGGGGTTGGATTTTGGGCGCGGCCTGTTTCGCAGGTGCGCGGGGTTTGGAGACCATCCTGAGAGAATAAACTAGATATTAAATGGATTTATTTTGCGGCATGGCGATATATGTCTGGAGTTTGATTAAAGCGAGGTCGTGGAAGCAAGTACTTAGCCGCGGAGCGGAATGCAGATTTAATCCATCCAAGCTTTACGGATTTGGAAATTAGGGCAGATCATTAGGGCTGGAGCAACTTATCCAGCACAGGGTTGCCTATTTGGATCTTCTGCAAACGTTGATGAGGGTTATGATGTCTCTAGTCACCCTCCTAGGTGAATTGCTACTCTACTTTCGCTGGCTTGAAGTGACTTCTCTACTAAGCACCCAACTGACCGAAAACTCCTCCCTACAAGCCCCAAAAAGCTTGCTACAAAAACAAACCCTCAACAAGACAACAACCTACAAAAAAAAACAGCAAAAAATCTCCCCAGCAGGGAGTCGAACCCTGTTCTAGCGCGAATTGCTGCTATCGCAGTGACAAGCGCCAATCATAATCCGGTAGACCACTGAGGATTGATTTCAGTATCTGCTTCGAAAAAAGGAAAACATGAGGTAAAATATTACTAAGAAACGAGATGAGATGAGCCTAGCCTGAAGTAGGTTAGTAATGTGGAGACGATACGGGTATCTTCAAAAAGTGCAGATAAAAAGTGCCACTTGGGATTAGCATACACTCTTTTCTCATATATTGCAACCACAGAATAGACATTGAACGATCAAAATGTCTCAGAAACTTCACGCACTACTAAATACTGCCATAATACTTTCAGAGCAATTCCAAACAACCCTCGACACAACCCCACCAACAACATCCGAAGATGCTCCCACCATCACTACAACTGAGGGGCCAGCAGACCCGTTAAACCTCCTCTCAAACAGCACAAAATCCCTCCGAGCACAAGTCACAAAACTATCTTTACTCGCGATCACATCCCCATTTACACCATCGGCGATATCGACGTGTCTGGTCTCTGTGAATGATTCGGTGATGCCTTCGATGGTTACGGCGGCATTGCTGTTGACGCCTGGAGAATACACGAAGGCATTCTCCACCGAGGCGAGGATACTTGTCAAGACGGGATTAAAAGAATTTGCGGCTTTGGTTCGGGAGATTACTGATGTCGCGAACAAATTTGACACAAATAATGAGGAGAAAAAGGAATTATCAAAATCGGAAAAGGATGTGATTACATCCCAGACTGGACGGGTATGGGATGTTTGTGATTCGATTTCGACGCTTGTTGTGAATGGCGTTGTGGGCCACGTGGCCAAGAGAGTTCAGGAATGGCATGATCTCGTCAAAGACGCCATCGATGAATTGGAGGAATGGGATCCGGAGGATGAGGATGGCGGGTTTGAGGAGCTGATGGGTAGTGATGACGACGACGAATCGACCACAAAGATCGGCGAAGATGAAGATGGAGATCAAGATGAGGGAATGGAAGCCCTGCGCAACCAGAAAAAATCCCTCCTTCGCGCACTCAAACCCATTTCCCAGATTTATCCAGCTATAATCACGCATCGACTCAAAAAGGGTGGGTTGACAACAAGCGACAAGACACAAATCGGGAAACTGGAGACTCTCACGTCCAATCTGCAAAGCGTACCGGATCATGTGGACGAGGCTGCTGGATCGTTGTATGAGCACAATCTAGATGATTGTATCAGATTTCTGGGGCTGGCGAAGGTCACTGCTGACAAAGCGATTGAGTTGGTTGTTACTCCGTGGAGTACATCCGAAGAGGATAAATTTACGGTCTGGTCGAAGACGTGGAGGAAAGTTATGGGTGATGTGATTAGTGATGTCCGACCATAATATAAAACGCAACGCTAACATTGTGTCTAAAGAATTATTGTACAATAAACTAATATAACGCTGCATGCAAAATTCGAGGTGGAAAGCAAGGATAGTAAATTAAACTTCCGACTCGGCATTCAGCTCATCAGCCGGAATTCTCCCCTTCAACCATTCCAGAATAGCTTCAGTCCCCTTTTGAACGACCTGCCATCGCGGAACACGAAATGTGTTTCCGGCAACTTCCAGACGTTTAAGCCCTCCGCCGTCTTCTCCACCTAGTAATCCAATTTTTGGTGGTAGGAAGTCGATGTCGTTGTTGCTTATGTCTAATACTTGCAGCCCCTTGACTGCCTCGTATTCGAGACTGGAGAGTTGGTTGTCCGCTGCGAGATATGTGATTAGTTTAGGATAGTGTTGTCGAGCAAGCGGTAGAGAGCCCGTGAGACGGTTGTTGGATATATCAAGAAACTTTAAGGCGGGGGCAGTGAGATTCTCGAATAGAGAGTCGACTGCAGTCAACCCGCTTCCATTCAGAGTTAGACTTTGCAGCTGAGGAAAGGACACAGACTCTGCAAACAGCTGGTCTGTTTTCAAAGGATTCTTGGATAGATCTAGATCAATCAGAGTAGTCGAGATGAGATTGAGTGCGAGAACTGGAAACGTTTGAAGCTTGTTCCGCTGAAGGTAAAGACATTTGATGTCGTAGTTTGATAATAAAGGTTTCAGCTCGTCAGCGTCCAGCTCTGTCATTTCGGTAGCGGAACGATCGAGGACACCCCCGGTCTTCACTTTCCAACGGTTCAAATGACTGGGACTTTCTGGAGCCAACGTGAACTCAGTCGCCACGGAGCCTTCTTCTTCTTCATCACCCGCTTCACTTCGGGCCCGTGGTACCGGTGCCCCATCGTTATCTGGACTGGCTGTCGCCGGCGGCGCGCAGCGATAGCGTAGATCATTCTTGAGATCCTCCGTATCCATTGTTAAGAACTTTCTTTCTCTCAAAGGATTATTTGCAATGCAGAATGTGACCAAGTTCTCCATCAAACCAATACGTTCGTCCAGCTTGCTCAAATCATTAGCAGTGAGATCCACGTGTTTGAGGTTCCTCAAGTCAAAGAACCCGTCTGGCAACGTTGTGATACCATTGCCCTCTGCTGTTATCCTCAAAAGTGATCGACAAGCTACCAAAGATGGCAAAGATTTGAGACGGTTGGCATCAACTAGCAAAAACTGTAGGTTCGGCAGATTGAAGCCATCATCTTCAGATAATTTATTTAGCGAGTTAAATGCAACATTCAGTGATTGCAGATTCCTGAATCCTTCCCCGGTCGACTCGAACAATGTATCCTGGAGTTTGTTTCGAGAAGCGTTCAATTCTACTAACGGAAGTTTGCTTAATGCTATTGACGGCAGCCATGTAAGTTCATTTTCGGCGAGGTTCAACGTCTTCAAGCTTCTAAGCTCGGAAGTAGTATTAGGAAGAAGATTGACGCTGTTACCATGCAGATCAAGGACTTCCAGATTCGAAAGCTGACATATACCTGATAGCAACGTTCCTTTCAGGTTGTTGTTTGCCAGTTTGAGGTCAATCAGTTGATGAAGCTGCGCAATCACTGCAATGTCCTCCATCTTAAGTTGGTTATTTGACAGATTCAAAGAGGTCAACCGCTGTAGTCTCCTCAGCCCCATTGGCAGACTCTGAAGAACGTTACCGTGAAGATCCAAGATCTCCAACCCTCCGAATTGATTGCCTTTGCTTTCGTGTTCCATGTCAAGATCTTCAGGATCAATATCCGGAAAAGCTGCATCCGGTAGCGTAGCCAACTCATTATCCGCTGCAATGAATTTGACAAGATCGACGTTCTCAAACCAGTCAGAATTGGAGTTTGGATCGTACTCATACATTTTGAGCACCTCGTCTGGCAAAGTAGACAAGCCCAACGCTGCAATGTTCAGAGATCCAGACTTTCTGGCAGTGTCTACTCGTTTCTGCAGCACTGCCTTATTACCGCCGTCTTTGAGAAGCTGGCCAAATGGATCTTGCACCTCGATATTATCCCATACGTCACGAGCAGCAGGACCAGTACTACTCTGTCTGGCGGTCTTCCTGGCTGCCTTTGCTTTCGCAATGCTTTCACGTAACGCATTGGACGACTTTGAGACCTTGCGAATCTCTGTGTCGGGTTCGACAGTCTGATCTGAACCGTTTGACGAGTTTTTGGATGCAATTGACGAGGGAGAAGTCATATTTGATCCGATATTTGACGGTGGTTGTCTGGTTTTCTTGACAGTAACTGAAGATGGAGTGACTTCGTCCGGTGTCGGCTTCACAAAAGCAGACGACAAAGACAGCCTCGGCTTGGGCCGGCCACTCGCACCGTCATTGTTTCCAGGAACGCGTGCAGACCTCAAAGGCAGAGTGTCCCCACGCTTCGAGGGGGCTCCAATCATTGAACTGCGTTTTCCGGGTCCTAGACTTTGTCTCCGGGTTGAATTTATTGATGTTGCTGATTCTGTAGTCTTGTTGGGAAGCTGTGACGGTACAGACTCTCGGCTCGACATGGACACAGAAGAGAGTCTTGATGATGCCCTCCTGGCAGTGGGAGATGGCACACCGTCTCCCTCTTCAATGCCCAAGTGCTGCGAGGATCTCGATGGCGGTCGGGAGTAGTCATTCACCCTGGAGGCAGGTCGCAACGGAGGGCCCATTGATGTGTCGTGTCCTATATGAAGTGTTCTTCTATTGTGCGGTGATGGAGACGGAGGGATTCGTGATAAGGTTTCGATTGTGCGATCAGAAAGTGACGGTGCCCCTGGCGAAAGAGGATCAGTACGGCCGCGAGACGTATTCCATGTCTCTCCGTCGAACTCTACCGGTGATTCTGCATCCTCGATGAAACTGTGTAGTGTCTGAGTTGATTCGCGTCGTCTCAGGTGTTGGCTCGAGAGTTTGCGTGTCAGTGTCTCTTGTGAGGGTCGCCGCAGACGGCGAAGGTCAATTCCAGTGTCAGCTTGGAGTCGTTCTCTGGATGGCGATGGCTTTAGGGTCTTCACGGTCGTCTGAGTGGGCAACGGGATTCTGGAGACTGGTCGAGGTATGCCGCTTGGGCGATCTGGCATTTTGGTTTGTTGCATTGTTGCAGTTTGACTAGATCATTGACGCATTCATAAATCAAAGACGCGCATGCTACATATACCGCACCTCGATCAGTATATGAAGGTAGCTGTATGTGTCGTGAAATGCAGGCTCAAAAATCGGAGCAGCTCGCGAACAAGACCAACTCCTTCTTGCCTCGATAATCGTTTTCAAGAGTATCGTGAAATGATAGAATACAGGAGTAAAAGTAGGAGAGTTCGCGGAATGTCAACAACGGCAAGTGGGCACTGCAAGGAACCTTGTCGGCTTCCCACCCTATTGGAACGTTAATTATCGGAGCGTTCCTGGCAGTTTATATCAGTATTTCTCCATCTTCATGCTCAATGCTCAGTTCAAGATGTACTCCGTGCCCCTTGCCGCAAAATAAATTAATCTCCAGTCGAATCGCTTCTCCGGAACTTGAATAAAGACTTGATTGTCCCTTCCATGAGACTCACACATGCAATCTGAAATTGAGCTGTTCAACTCCGGCAAGGGGGGCTTTGTCAGGTCATTTACACGATGTGCTTGAAGCTAACCCTGGTCCTTAGAGCATAATAGGGCACAATTGTCAGGGCAATAGCCTAACTTCGAGCGCCGATTTACAAAAGTTCACGATCATCTCAACGCAGCCACTCCTCGTTGTACAGAACTACAGCTAGAAAAACAGCCAACGCCAGATGCAATGGCAAAAACTAGAAGGTTTTATTTTCAACATTCAAATCGAGGAAGTCCGAATAAAATGCTTACTCAAGACGGATACAGCATCTGACCGTCGCTCTCTTGCGAGACACCAGACAATGGACTGGTTTGAGTCCCTATCCCTGCCCAGACACGCCCATGTGCAGTAGCAGCTTGCTCCATAAGCTGGAGAATGATCTTCAGGGTGATCCCGCCCTTTCGGAAGTCTGTGTTTGTCCACCGTGCGACTGCCCTGACTGTCACTGCCCAGGCCCGATCAGTCAGGATGGTCCGTGGCCGAGCACAAAGTTCTGATAGCACGAACACTACCGAGTGCCATTGCGGATAGCTTTCGAAGAACCACGACCACTGTTTGGTTCGAGGATCTGTGTCGAGTAGATATGCAAACTCCAACACTTCAACCGCGGTTTGAAAGAGCTGCTCTCGCGTAGGATCTTGAACAGATGAGGTTCCCCTTAGCGTTATTTCCTCTGCAGTCACCCTCTCCGGGAGGTGAGCAATCAACCACGAACGGGCGAGAGCGAGCCGGATGACCGTAGCTGTCACCCACTGTATGGGAACAGAGACGTCGCATGACCGTAAATACCGGTCCTGCAGTTGGCCGCTTATTTGTTCCAACGCGTGCATCCGTTCCCCCAATTGATGTGAGGTCTGTTCGCCTTGGCTACTGCTGGTGCCACTGTGAATATTGAGGTGAAACCGTCGATGACGCACTATCATTTCACACCGGGCCAAGCAGAATGTCATCTCGGTGAAGCCCACCTTTTCTTCTGGAGCTTCGATCGAATCGGGCGATAGAGCTGAATCGTCAATATTCAGCGGTAGCCTGGTGTCGTAAGAGTGCTCGGTGATTTGCGGGCCGATAGCGCGGAACTCGGACGATCGAGAGTCTAGCAAGTAGATGGACCACCATAGCCGGCGTCGTATTTCGACCTCAAAGGGGCTCAAGCCAAAGTAGGTACCATCGCGATGGAGCCCTAGTCCCTGTGCCATACGATGGACCGCCGCAGTCATGGTCCAGACGAAGGCAGCGTCTTCCGGGGCTCGAAGACAAGTTAGGAAAAGAGTCGTGCTGAAGCGCAGTCAGGCTTTGCGATTGGAGAAAGTTCGCTCGCGCCAACGTTTGTTCCGTAGCAAACCGGTAGTGTTGCTGGAGGTACGAATGATCCTCGCCCAATGTTTCTGCGCACTGCTCTGGATCCATGCTAGTGACAGCGGCAAAGTAGACGGCGAAGATTACAGCTTCCAAGGCCCGGTCGATGCCACTCCCATCCGCAGCTACACTGGCCATGATATCACGGATAGATGGTTTGTGGAAGATCATCACGACCGGAATTACATTCTCTTCGAATACGTTCCAAAGGATACGCCGGTGCGCCATGGTGGGGTGGAAGACGGAAAGAGAGACTGCCATTGATGAATATCGAAATAAAAAATGAGTGCTGTTTTCTGAATTCTCGTTGCTTAGATCCGGAGCCTCTCTACCCAGAGTAGGGGCATCGCTATCCTTCCCAGGGGAATGTATGAGGTTCTTGAGAGCTTCGATCTTCGCATAAGGTTCGCGAGGTTTCTATGTTAGCACCGGGGTCTTCGTAGTCCAAAGGCATACTAATTTGTGTCCCAAGATTAACCAGTACTTTATGGGTAACATACTGGGTGGATCGTTCGTCCTTTAACAATGCCCCATGCTCATTTCCAACGTCGAGGGCGTTTTCTGCAGCCGGGGAAATGCATAAGAATGGACGAGGGACGGATTCAAGTTGCCGAGTCAGAACCTGCACCTCCTCTTCTAGGATCTTCAAGCGCGAGACAAGTTGAGCCTTCAGCGGCCGTTTTCTGCGTCGTGGGGCACGGCCTGGCCCGGGGAATACGCACTCTAAGCCGGACTTGAAGCAATTGTCGCACGGTTGGGATTTGCTACATCTTATCTTCTTTTGGCTGCAACGGCGACAGCTGCGTATATTTGAAGTTTTATCCATATCATTGATACAGATCAGACCATTGCCAATAACTGTGAAAGAGGGAGACATGAGATTACGTTGCGTTACCTAAACACTTGCGTTCGGGCTTCAAATAATGCCCGCATTAGTTAATCAAGTTGCAGTAACTTAGTTAGCTAGCTTAAGTTAAGTTAGCTATTTCTTAGGAGTCGAAAATCTGGAATGAACGTAATGTCACATTAATAGTAGTACCGTACATTTTTCTTCGCAACTGACCAAGATCGTAAGTCTATAGCTTTGGAACCTAGATCGACCCCCAAAGGGGCCGGATGTGTCATCGTCCGGATCTATCTTCCTCGACCAATTGACCAGGCCTGGTCCTTTCTGCAGCATATCATACCTACACGTATGATGTTCCTTTGCACAGACATTTATGATTTATTATCGAGACTGATGTATCCTGGTAGGAGCATATTCCGTTGACGTTGAAAATGTCGCACTTCTTATCTGGCAGGTCTCACTCATCCGGACGTGAAAAACGAGCGCCTCTTGGCATTTTTGACACCCCTTCACATAGAAACAAGTCATACTTATTCTTTCAAAAGGAGTTTCCTGATAGCGCCAGTTTTCCCCTGAACTACCAGGTCCAAATAAAACGGGACGTTTTGACAAATGAGAAGAGGGAGGGAAACAACTCTTGGGTGATTTTATAACCACTGACTAGGCGAAATATTTACCTATCAAAGCTATCAAAATCACCTGCTATTACATATGCACCGATGAATACAGGCTTGTTAATTTGCATGGGCTATAGCACATGTGCAGTCTTGGGGGAGCCTGTTCCTAGATGCTAGAATTGATACTATCAAATGTAATTAATAATAATAAATAAATAAATACATAATCACACAAACGATTCCCCCCAGTTAGCTATTTCTTGAAGCCGCTCTCCTTCTCTAACCAAGTCGCAAAATCCTTCATCTCCGGATTGAGCGCCCTTATACTGGAAATATCAGCCCCGTACCCCTCATCTCTGAGCCACTTGAACATATATCCCATATCCTTCATCATGGCCATGAAGAACGAGCATACAGGACGAAATGTCGTAGGCAGTGGCAGACCTGTCCTCTGTTCAAAAATTGATTTCATCCCGTCAAATGTCAGTTCATCACCTGCTAGAGAAACTGCCTTTCCCTTGTACTGTTCTGGATGCATGAATGCATCGGCGCCGAAAAACCCAATGTCACTAGTTGCAACCAGCTGCAGAGGCTTTCCAGTCAAAGCTATCTTGAAGCATGTGGTGAAGACTTTGCCGAGGAAGTCAGGGGTAAGATTCTCGTAAAAGGCTGTCGGGCGGAGTATCACCCAGTCCATGCTACCATCCTTGGTGCGATCCACAAGATGGTGCTCGATATTATGCTTCTTAATAAAGTGAGGAATATTTGTTGGGTTGGTGAACGAGCGGTCTTTGCCGCCGCGGTCAACAGAACTGTAGACGAAGAACTTGACTTTCTGTTTGATGGACTCGTCTATCAGGGCTTTGCCTTGGGATTCTTCGGCATTGTTGCCAATGGCAGCCTTATTGAGGCGATGTCAATAACTGCGGTGTGAAGAAGAAAAAGAAGGAATTTGGCTTACCTGCACGCTGTATACGCCCCAGATAAGTGATGCTGTCAAGCGTTGAGCGTTCTGAAAGATGACTCCCGGGTTTCCCAAATCGCCCTCAACTAACTTGATATTAGGGGATAGATTGGCCAGTTTTTGGGCAGAAGCTGAGGTTGGGTTCCTGGTAACAGCGAGAATCTCGAAAGGGGCCTTGCGGAGGATGAGGCTCCTGATGAGAGCACCTCCTTGTTTGCCGGTTGCGCCAGTAATGAGGACAGCAGTCATGATACGTAACAGAAGGACAGTACGGCCCTGGAGAAAGAAACCCAAAAGTAGAGATCTACTTCTTTTATATGTATTTGCATGCCGATTTAATTTTAATTCTTATTCTTATAAATATTATGCCACACTGTATTACATCACCATACTGGCCCCGGGCTTAACTTCAAGCCCGAGATTACATAACAAGCAACCAACTCCAAGTCTATAGACAAAAGGAGAAACAAAAAAAGAATCTTCCTATCTTCTCCCACATAGATTTGATCTTCAACACCTAGACATGCCTCCCAAAACTCTTCACGATAACGTCTCCCGACGCAAGAATGCCTCCCCAGTTGGCAGAGCCGTCTTCGTCGGCCTCCGTGCCCTGGATGTCTGGTGGCAGCACAACCTTCTGACTCGGGGATGGGCAATGCAAACCATCGAAAAGCTGGGAGGGCAGTCAATCTCAAGGTCCCAAATCCTTACTTCTACAAACGTCACCGGCCTCCAGCCGTACTACAGTCTCGTCAGTCTTCTCTCCCTTGGCAGCAGCATTAAGCAGATCGCAACCATGATCATTATTTCCGAGCAAGAGACCCCCGTCTCTTCCGCGATAACCGTGGCCGCATTCAACACCATATTCAACTCAATTAATATCCTCCTCTCCGTGTGGGCTGTGACCTCTCAAGCGCCCAGCTCCTTATCTTCAAGCCACTTCCCCAACTTCTTCTACGCAAACCCTCTAATTGCCTTCGGAGCGGGTACATATCTCATCGGAATTCTAACCGAAACAGTCTCCGAGTTCCAGAGGACAGAATGTAAGAAGAATCCCGCGAACAAGGGCAAGCCGTACAGCGATGGACTGTTCTCCTTCGCGACCCATATCAACTATGGCGGATATACAATTTGGCGTACTGGCTATGCGCTTGTCACTGGGGGGCTCCCGATGGCGGCTCTGCAATTTTCTATCTTTTTTTATGATTTCGTAACCCGTGGGATTCCTGTGCTGGACGATTACTTGGCAAACAGGGTAAGCATTTTCTCGCCGCGTGGATATGGATGGCTTAAAAGACAGATAGAAGAAGGGGAAAGCTGATCATCTCATATAGTACGGGGATGCGTATAAGGAGATCAAGTCGCGCGTCAAATACCGTCTGATTCCGGGAGTTTATTGTCCTCACATGTTAAAAGAGAAACTCGCCACTGTAGCTCGAGTAATTCTAGGTAGTCAGGGGGGTATAAGAGGCTAGGAGTACGTTAATAGCACCGGGTTAAAGGGACATACAGTATTCTGTCTTCATGTACAAACTTGATTCTGTTGATAGTTCTCTTCATATCCAAATCTGCTTCCCATCCCTCCTTACTTTCTCATGGTTACCGGTACCCTAAGGGATCTCATTTTTTCAGACACGATTGAAGGCTTTGGTAAGCATAGAAGCTGTTAGAAAGAGAATACACCCGAGAGCGTACCAAGGTACGAGTCAACTTGAATTCGATTCTAATTTATGAATCAGCTCGGGGTTGTTATAAGCACCGAGTGCCATGGTCTTTACAACCATAATCACCAAGTAGACTATATAAAGGGATCAAACGAACCTCACAAATCAATTTGATATTCTCTCCCATATACATATAACACCCGGAAAGAAACCCAGAAAAAATAAAAAATAAAATGAAGGTCGGCATCGCAGGAATCACCGGCAAATTCGCCCGCCAGCTCCTTACTCACCTACTAGAAGCTGAGGACGACTCCCTCTCAATCAAAGGCTACTGTCGTGACCCTTCCAAACTCCCCGGCACTATGAAGGCATCTACCTAGTTGGAAGTAATACAGGGCACCGCATTCGACAAGGACGCAGTCAACACCTTCGTTCAGGGCTAGTGACGTTGTCGTCTGTTGCTATCTTGGTGATGACAAGCTTATGGTCGACGGCCAGAAGCTCCTTATTGACGCTTGTGAATCGGCCAGTGTGCCCTGATATGTCGCCAGTGACTGGGCACTGGATTACACAAAGTTAAAGCTAGGCGAGCTGTCTCCTAAGGATCCCATGATCCACGTCAAGGCGTACCTAGATGCGAAGAAGAGTGTAGCGGGCGTGCATATTCTGATTGGTGGGTTTATGGAGCCCATTTTCAGTCCGTTCTTCAACATTGTGGATGTCCAGACCAATACCTTCCGGTACTGGGGGGACGACAACGAAATCATGGAGGGGACGACCTACAACGATGCTGCAAAGTATACGGCGAAGGTGGCCTTGGATGCGGGGCAAAGGGTGTTCTAAAATGTAAGTATGGCCTAAGTCTATTATTACCTTGCGGAGCATCATTCTAACGGGGGACTTTTTACATTTGTTCTAGTCGTTGGCGGCCGTGCTACCCTGCAGGAGATTGTAAAGTCCTATGAGTATGTCTACGGTGTCCCGGTGATACTGGAGAAACGTGGATCTCTGGAAGACCTCTAGAAAACAATGCATGATTTGCGAACGAAGAATCCCCAGGATATTTCCAGCTATATATCGTTGTAAGCTTCTGCCCTGTGTTATGTGGGCATTCCTACTTCACCATTTAACAAGATCTGACCGACCGTTTCTTTATAGGTTTTTCTATTACTACTGGGTGAACGGACAGACATTTGTCGGACCTGAGCTTGACAATGCTCGTTATCCTGAAGTCAAGCCTGTTGATTGGAAGGGATTCATGGCCAGCTGGTCACGGGAGCAAATTGGGACATCTTACTTTGCCTTGACTATGTAACCGGTGGTCAAGCGTTGGATAATGAGTGCAGCGATGGTATACAGGAAATTGGGGTCATTTCGTTAGATCTCTTGATACCGGACGGCCTAAATTGGGTGGAGCACCAACTCATCGCAATGGATTTGGGTCTAATGATGAGGCTTTTGTAGGCTCATAAGATATGTTGTCATGTCTGCTCTAGCTAAGTGGTGAGGTCGAGGGTTGATATCAATACCTCGCCTAAAACGGGCGAGTCCCAATATGGCACCGAGGCAGGCGTCTACGTGAGTCAGGTGATATCTTGTCATATAACGATAGCCGTGGCGTAGTTTTTCGTTCGGCTGGCTGTTCACTTTTTATCTAAACCGCCTTCTTCTTTCCGTGGTTGTGTCCTCGCTTAAGAAAGAATCACTTTCATATCAAACCGAGGCGGAAGTCCTCCTTCTATGTGATCCTTGGGAGTAGTTCCGAAGAACTATTCAAGATGAAGAACTTGAAATCAACATTTTATGACCAACGTTTGCTTCATTACCTAGGTAGAGTGTACTAATCCGTTAAATCTTACTCCTTGATTTTGGTGACCAATATTTGTAGGTCAAAGTGCCGGAAGCAAGTGTATAGATAGCCCAAGAACTGGTTGACTTTATCCTGAAAAGGCGATATAGTGCTGACGGCTATCAATATGACTGCCTCGGCGAGTGAAGCCGGTGGTGGCACATTAGCTCTTTTTTTTTCTGAGGACACCTCAATGTTGGACGAAGATCCCGAGTCCCAGAATAGCAAGATCTGTCGTAGAGTCATGTTTGCCTTGATACTATTTTCTGATCCCCATTACCATCGCCTACTGTTATGGGCTGACCCCATATGGACAGGGCCCTCACTAACACCACCATTCCTGAAGCTATTTTATGATCTAGCGAGTGATCCTAGTTGACAATACTTGGCCTCCTGGAGACTGGAGTTATTGTTCGGAGTATCTGTTTGGCATATCCGGACTTACAAAGGAAACTGTTGGTTTTACTACGGTCCGTCTCACGAAGCATAGACGGTAGTAAGGCGCGAACACGAAGCGACCTAACGAGCCTGACAATATGAAGCTATCTTGATTCCTAATATTGCAACTAATCCCCAAGAGCGAGGGGGACGGGGGATAGCTAGTTAGATATATACGCGGCACGCACGTGCCACATCAGACTAACTAATCCGGTGCCGAAACGCGTAGGGTTTGATATTCACGTTCCGACAGAAACTCTAGAGAAACAGCACGATTCTCTGTTTCTATATTAAGTGGTATGCGTAACAAGAATTTGCATGTTTTCTCCTTTTCCTTCTCATGTACGTTATCATCTTAGGAATGAACTCATAGTGTTTCATACGACGGGACTGGCCCGTAACACCTGCTAGTAGATATGCCTTGGTTTCGGCTGCTGATGGTGAGACTGTTTGACTTTCTGGGATGATGTATAGGATAGAAAAGTTCAAAACCCCCTTCTAGGAGAACTCTTTGCTATTTGCTTGGACAGTGTCGGAATCTCACTGACCTTTAAAAAAAAGAAAAGCTGTGCTATATTTTCCACCCAGCGAAATCCGTTTAGATTCCAACAATATGCGTAGTAGTTAGTGTAGCGGTGATAAGTTCACGAGTCCTTGAACTTTTGCAACATTGAAGTCACCAGTTCTGAGAATCGATCTGATTAGATCAGAGCATATACTACTAATCTGTACGTAGTCACCAATCACACTGAGAAGGCTCACATACCATGAGGAGGCTAGCAGCCCTATGGAATGTTGCCCTGTCAACGCAGTAAGGAGAACACGAGGAGAGCCGACTCCATGGCAACCGCTGTTTTCCTCACGTGACCGCACCGCCACGGCCGGGCATGCTGATTCGTCGAGTCCGAGCTTGTCCCCGCGCTAATGGACCAAATACGCAAAGCTGATTGGCTGCGGCAGAATCACCACATTGCCATGGGCGGCTGGGCTCACGTGGTTGGTTGCGGCGGGCGGTGGGTCAGACGATTGGCTGCCCAGCCTCCTCGTCCACTCCAGTACAATTAGGCTGGCCATCACCGCCATTACTTATCGTCTTCACATTCACCTTCTCTACATTCCTTCCTCGTCTTTCGCTCATCTTTCCATACCGTTCTCCCTTTCTTCGCGAGCCGCCATCATTTTTCATTCCGTGGTTCTTTTGTGCGCTTACTGAGGACTCATCCTTGGTTTATCTACGTGGAGCCTATCGGCGATAAGCGGGATAACTGTCGTCATCGCATCGCCAGCAACAAAGAAGTAAACAGTCGACAGCGGTGCCTGGCATTGCTTAGCATTGCCCCAAGCTTTCCCCTGGGAATTACCGACAAGGTGACTATTAGCGCTATATTTTTAGGCCTAGACTGCAATACTGACTGCCAAACTTAGGCCAATTGCCGCCCATGTCTCAAGATTCAGAGGTCCGGTCCCAGGCCTCCCTGGCTCCTGCGGCCGAGATCCTCATCCCAAGTACGCCGCCGCGGCGATCCATTCTTTCTGCATCCCCAGATCTGAAGCCAGTGCGGGACCACAATGGGAGCTTATCAGATAAGAATGGTGGCGTCTCTTCATCGTCTGAAATGACACCCCCTCCTTCGTCTCAGACTCGGGCACCACTTCGGCGCCGGTCGAGGTCGGGGTCCAACGTGGTTATTCCCGCTTCTCCTCCGAAGGAGTCCTTGGAGAAATCACTGTACGCGGCATATGGGGCAGCCGAAAACCTACCCACCATCGAGGATATTGATGCTGCCGATGACGCGCAAGTTCGAAAGATAGCTAAAGACCTGTTAGCGATAGCGCAGGAAGCGCGCATGTCCGCTTTGCATTTCAAACTACAGAACAGTCTTCTGTCATTCACAAGCAACGAAGCAATCAAGCGCGCCGAAGTTGAGCAGCAGCTTGCTCGAAGAGAAGTTGAAATTTTGCAGAGCTCAGAGTATCAGAATCGCCGTGCCAATTCATATTCGCGCACTCCGCAGATCTGCCCGACTCCAGATTCAGAGGCTTCTTTGAAACGGGTTGCTGAACTCGAGCGTACTAATGCTAGACTGGAAGAGAGACTATCCAATGCAAAAATATTGATTCAAGAGAAGATTGACGAAGGAAACAGCAAGAATGAATCTCTTTTAGAAGAAAACCGTCTACTCAAGAAGCGTATCCGAGATAATCGCGAGCATTTGACGATGTTCCTTGATGCTGGTTCTTTGTCACCCAATTCTCGCCCTGAATTCAGTACTCCTCAACGAAAGTCTCAACCGCGCGTATTTGATAGTGCGCGCACCCACGCCAGCAGTCGCGGCAGCAGTCATGACGCCTTTGCTACTCTATTAGCTGCTGATCGTGTGTTGCATGGTGACTCTACGAATGTGTCTCCGACGAGAAACCGACATCGGAATGGACATCTGGGAGGCGCTCACGTGAGGGGTGCTCATTCAATGTCTTCCCTGCCAGTTACGCCTCAACGTCATACACATGTCCATGGTTTTCAATATACCACTCCCGTCAGCAGAACCCATACAACGGTTAGGAAAGATACTTCTGATCCAGAGAACAACCGTCATGACCGTGACAGCACCATCTCAGTTTCTGACGCTGAAGAAGTCATTACCGACGAAGATATCCCAGCGTCTCAGGCCAGCTCTCGCGCCACCGATATGCTCCGTCGTCTACCAGAAATCAATCAAGAGACAAACTCCCCTCAAGGCCCGTCTGCAAATCGCAGTAACATTGGCAAATCAAGCACTCTCCTGCAGACAAAGATATTTGGTCAAGTGAAGAAAGCTGGTGTTGACCGATCTGGTCCAGCATCACAGAAACGAAAGGGATCATTTGTCGAAGAAGGTCCTGTATTGAAGAAGCCAAAGGAAGTTGGATTGGGTATTAGCAGTTGGAAGATATCTCCTGCATAGTCTTTGGATTGTATTTTTCTAGCATGTTATGACGATTGACGATGAATTTCAAGCGAAAGGACGGAAGGATCGGGATTGGCAAGGTTCTTGGATATTGTGTTGGTCTATTTGTTACGCGTTGGTGCTTTTGTGTTTTTGAACAGCCAGTACATTGGTACTGTGCTCACTGCTCATGGTTAAAAGCGATTTGTGTTTGCATAGCCTTGATTGAGGCTACTTTATGTACAATTATTATTCATAGCTAAGTTAGAGCTCAGTAACTTAGTAACTACGCCTCTATATCTAAGTTAGCTCCAGAAAAAAGCTTACATAATATCCTAAAACAGAATAGTCTAGGGCTCGCTAAGCGAGCGCCGCTCCGCCAGCAAACGCCGGCCTCTGACTGGCCCGCTTGGTCCAACCACACCAAAAAAAAGTTCCCACCCAATATTAACATTAGCCCGTCTTTACCCTCTTGAACCTCCAAGTCAGTCCTTTTCGAGACTCGACCAGCAACAACACCCCCGTCGACAATCCATAGTGAGACTTGATCTCCGTCCGGCACAATGGTTAGTTTCTTTGAATGTCGGATTTAGGATTGGGAATTGGAAATAATGGGCTGACGGTTTCGATGGGTATAGGCGATCAAGCACAACAACGTTATCCCCAACACTCGTGAGTTTTGACCACTTTTTTTTCAGCCCGGCATGATGGGAAAATGGAGAATTGCGCGAAGAAAGAGTTGGAATAGGAATTTGAGAGGAGAGAATGGATATTCGACGTGCAGAAAGAGGCATATTGAAGGACTTTACTAATGGAATTGGCTACTTTCAGACTTCCACAAGGACTGGCAACGTCGTGTCCGCGTGCACTTTGACCAGGTACGACCGATTTTTTTTACGATAACCGCGATGAAAAGAATTCGACAGCAATACTTGTCAGATCACGGATTGTAGAACTATCAAACTGACCAATTTCATAGCCCGGACGCAAGCACCGTCGTCGTCAAGCCCGTTTGTCCAAGGCTGCTGCTGTTGCTCCTCGTCCCGTCGACAAGCTCCGCCCTGTTGTGCGATGCCCTACCATCAAATACAACCGCCGCTCTAGGGCCGGACGCGGTTTCACCCTCCAGGAGTTGAAGGTTAGCACCATTCTACCAACCTTGAAAGTTTTCGTTACGATGGCAAAGAGGTTGGATGATAGGTAGATGGAGAGAACTAACAATATACAGGAAGCCGGTATCCCCCGCAAGCTCGCACCCACAATTGGCATCTCCGTGGACCACCGCCGCAAGAACGTCTCTCAAGAATCCCTTGCCGCCAACGTCGCACGTCTCCAGGAGTACAAGAGCCGCTTGATCCTCTTTCCCCGCAAGAGCGGTCAATACAAGAAACTCGACTCCTCCGCTGAGGACGTCGCAGCCGCCACCAAAGCGTTCAGTGCCGACGGCAAGGTCGAAGGATACACCACCCGTGTCTCATCCGCTCTCCCAGTCAAGAACATCTCTGCCGCCGAGGCCGTTACCGAGATCAGCCGTTCTGATCTTCCCGAAGGTGAGAAGGCGGCTTATCGCCGGTTGCGTGAGGCTCGTGCCGAGGCTCGGTACCGTGGTGCCCGTGAGAAGAGAGCCAAGGATAAGGCTGAGGCTGAAGAAGCTTCTAAGAAATAGATATCAGGGAAATGATGTTTTTGCTTCTTCTTCCACACAAAAATTCTCAAATATGATAATGATATCCTTTTTCAAAAATCTTATCCTCTTCCTTATGTCATTAGCATGCCTATGGAGAGACGGAACACATCAATTCGAGGTCTCAGGGGAGATCATGAATGTCACCTCGGGTAAAGAAAGTGCTGGGTCGATTTTCAATCATTAGTTGTGGGTACGGCGTGATTGTTACAAAGTGTCGTACAAATGGTGTTTTTATGTCATGTGTTACAAAAATAAAACTTCTTGATAATTCTTTGGTCGAGTAGCTATATACAGGCCTCTTAGAAGGCCGAAATAATCATAGAACATCAACCCCGAACAACACACCTATAACACCTTCCACAGCCTTCACAATAGCTTGCGCCTCTCTCTCTTCATTCCCTATCGTCAGAGCTTTGCTACTCCCCTCCTCTCTCAGAACAGAGTGAAACAATCGTTTCAATTCCACTTCTATCTTGCTCCGCGTTGACTCGCCCAGGTCCGAGATATAGACGCTTATATCAGGCTTGAGTTGCGCCTCGCTCGTCCATCGGTCCAGAGATAGGGGACAACTGAGAATGAGTTTTGGGTGTCTTGTTTGTGATGTCGCAGACGTATGAGGTAAAGGAGATGAGAATAGCATAGACGAACGCTGTAAATGAGGCAGAATGAACCTCGAGTCTGATTTTTTCAATGGTCCTGTCAGAGGCTCGGAATCGATGTCACTGAGTTTCTTCCTCTTGCCGGTTTTGCTTAATATAGATTCCTGGCTTTGGCGTAGTCGAGACCAGATCCGTGCTCGGGAGACAGATGCTTCCCAGAACCTGGTGATTCCGACACAGAGACCGGAGATATCTAGCCCTAGGATAGGGTCTGAGATTCGTGATTCAATCCATATCTGTAAACTGGGTGGGATCTTTGCTGAAGCTCGTTTCGATAGGGATATAGATGTGATTCGTTGGGATTGTAAGTCTGTTGTAAATTCAAGCGGGATTGTGAAATTGTTTGATGGAAAAGGTGGTGGAGCTGATAGAGTGATTTGATGTGTCTCGGTGATGGTAGATTCTGTGTCTGTAGATACTGATAGGGACGTGGAATGCTCCAGAGTCAAAGGTGCGAATGCAGTTATATAGGGTTTTGGGTCGGGTATTTTGTCCAGTGCGAATGCATTGACGGGCTCTGGAGAAGTTGAACGTGGGCGCACAGGTACAGCTTTTGCTGAAAACGGTAGCAGAGAAGATATAAGAGTTGAAATTGGGGGATGGTCCACGGCAGATGTTTCTGATAGTTCTGTCGACCTATTTGTCGAGGCTAAAATGGAGCTATATCAAGTCAGAGATGGAACATGTCGCAGTGATCATATATAACTTACATCAAATTCGAAACATCTTCCTGATCAGGCCGTTTACCGTCATACCCCCGTTGGGCTCGATTTGTCCATTTCTCCAGCAGATTGACATCCTTCTTCAACTCATCAAGTTGCGCAAGAAGTTCCCTTTTGAGTTTCTTTCGTTCCTGCACGGCTGGATCGAGGTCCTCATCTTCATCCTTGGGTATATCCTCTGCTGGCGCTACATCAGCAACGCCTAGTTTACTCGGACCTAACAGGTCCTTTCGTAACCCCCTCCCTGCACTTGGACTACTCAACCACTCCTGCGACGCTTTTCGACGTTTCTCACGGCCCAACTGCGTTGGTGTAGGCGGTAACTCGGGTTCTGGGTTATCACCATTCAGGGCGGATGGTGCTAAAAGCCCTGAATGTTCTAATTCTCGCGTTGCGCTATCCAGCTCTGATGCAAGTTGTTCGTCTAGATCGGTTTGACGAATAGGTGTATTTTGTGACGGTCCTTCTTCTCCTTCTCCTCCTTCTCCTCCTTCTCCTCCTTGATTGACATAAGTTTCACTTTCTCGACCGCTACTTCGTCTCGGCGACTCAAGCCTTCTTGATATCCTGCGCGGCGGCGCGGCAAAAGCCTGCTGCTGGGCAGCAGCAATAGCCCCTCCGCGCCGCGGTGACTGTGATAACGCTTTCAATGGAGAAGACTCCGTATTTGCAGTCAACGATGGTCGTAAAGCTTTTCTGTCTCGTAGTCCAAACGGTATACCCTGAGTCGAAGATTGTTGTTGTCGCTGCGGACTTCGCGTCGGAGATCGAGCGAGAACATGTGATAATACCTCTGGGTTTGAGCGTGCCAGACTCGATCTGGTAGGGGATTGAAATGATTGTCTGTGGGTTACTGATGAGCGTAAAGAAGGTGCTGCAGTGTTGTTCGCATCTTGTGCGGTCGTCGCGTCTGTGGTCGTCGGGCTCGTTCTGCGGCGTTTTGCTGGTGGATCGGACATTTCGTCTTTGAGACTGCAGTATGCAGACAGTTGCTATAGTATCAGCTTGTCCACTCTACTTAAAATGTCAATTGACAATTGGAAAATTGGGATCTGTCAATCGCGTCGCATCAGAGAGTAAATGGGTTATTCCCTTTTGGGAAGAACGTAATCAAAGCTCGCCGTGTGTTTGTCCTGTTTGCACTGTATGACATAACGCATCCCACCAGCCGATTTCTTCATATTCTCCGTCACTTCCGCGGCATTTGGTCTCTCAGTTCGAGACGATTGTACAGAATGGAGCGGTCGATACTGACGCCAAACAGGCTCTCAATATTGCAATCACTTTATAAATCTAGACAGTCTCGCCTGACTGATTGGTATAATTCCGCTGCGGCTCTACAATGCGATCGCAATCGTGGTCGTCTCTCCGAGTCGACATCACGAACCTCTTACAATATCCAAGTCAAACGATCATTTCATAACACCCCCATAAACAAAGGTACAACAACACAAAATAACCCAGAAACTCATCAAGCCTACCCTTTATCAGGCTACTACTCCGACGTCCTGTCCTTCAACCAACCAGCACATCAACAACCTCACCAACCACTTAGTAGCGATAACAACAACAACAAACCCACGGAAGAGAAGAAGGAACCAACAAAAGAAGAAAAAATGTCCATCGTATTCGGCACCCGTCTCGCAGGCCCAGGCTACCAGTCAACCCGCTACAACCCCGAAACCATGCGTCCAGAATCAACCTGGCAACAAGTCAACGGCATACCGATCCCGCCGCGGCCCATGGAACCAGATAATTGCTGTATGAGCGGGTGCGTACATTGCGTTTGGGATGATTATAGAGATGATTTGGAGCATTGGGCTTCGAGGGTTAGGGATGCTAGGCTTGCTGGTAAAGGCGGTTCGATGGCAACTGCTAAGGGCCAGAAGGGTAAAGAGATGAAACAAAGTCCAAGGAAGGAAGTTGCTAGTGCCAGTATGAGTATGGATGATGATGGAGGTGGGAGTGAGACGAATTGGGATCTACCTTTGGAATTGGGTGTGGAAAGTGAAGAGGATTTGTTCAAGGGGATTCCTGTGGGGATTAGAGAGTTTATGAAGACGGAGAAGAAACTGAGGGAGAACAAGATGCATCCATGATTTGAGGTTGTTATGTTTGTCAGCTTGGATATGTTATATACCCTTCATTGTGTATATATGTCATTGAATTTTTTTTTGGATAGAGTAGATATTTACGAATGACGAACTAGACATATCTAACCAATGTACAAACTAGGCACCTCTATATAATATCCAACATAATGACTTACTAGCTCAGCGATGCTACAGCCCGATCCATCAACTCCCTCAGCCTCTTCTTCTTTCCCTCAGGCAAAGACTCCGGCTGCAACATGTTAGTTCATAAGATTAGCAGTTAGGGAAGGGGAAACGTACATCTCTACCCAGCAATTCCTTCACCATAATCACAAGATTATCCCTATCCCCCCTTCTCTGCAACTGCTCATTCGTAGCAGCAGACTCATCATCAGCCACATCAAGACTCTTCTCAACCTGCGTATAGATGTCCGTGTCAATCAGACAGTCCACTACAGCAGGACATCCTTTATCATGAGACGCCATCAGAGCCAGAGCAAACCATCCCTCGCTACGCACAACAGGCCACTCGGTCTGCGTGATCATGGCGCCTAAGGGACGAGCGATGTCCTCATGAAGATCGAATAGTCTATCCAACAGTCGTGCAGTCTCAGCATCATCAACCTCCGATGCTTTCGAGCGAGATAATAGAGTCCGACAAAGAGAGCAGATAATACGGCCAATCTCGGTCTTGATGGGTGCCGTATCCGTCCTGCCGCATAGCGATAGTAGCATGGACAAATACGTACGTGAATGGGCAGGAGAGTCCGGATCAGAGGATAACGAAGTCAGCAGTCGAGTAATATTTTTGATATTCGATGCAATCACCAGACGAGTTACGCTGACAGCTGCCAATTGTACCTGCGGCACAGTATCGTACGTCCATACCTTGGACACAGCGGGTATGATATCTGCTTCTCCGAGTTTTTCACGGTTTGATTCTGCAATGGATAGGTTTTTGAGAAACCCGAGTGCGGCGTGGAGGACACCGCCGATTGTGTTGGTTTTCAAGATATGGATTAGAGATCGATGGATGTTTAGCTGGCTTATCATTAATTGACAAATTTCGTCAGTTCGGGCCACGTTGCCCAGCACAACGCATGCGCATATTTGTAGTGTGTCCCCTCGGCCTGTGAGCCATGACTGGAGGGTATCTAGCAATGGGGATCCGACAGGATACGTCTCGAGGAACAAAGGCAGTGCTGAGATGTCTGCTAACGTCTGGTTGAGTTTTAGACGTAATTGGTTTAATAGTTGAACATCTTCGGTCACGGATTCATTGACTTCGATGCTGAAGGATCGCTGAAGAACTGATGTGATATGTTCTACTAGCTTGTGTCGGATGCTTGCAACCTGGAATCTCTCTGTTTGCATGTACTGCTCAAGACAGGTTACGAGACATGTATACTGTGCGAATGTTGTGTCTTCTTTCAGAGCAATGGCCATTATAAGTACGATGGTACCGTCGGGGGAGTTCTCGATGCCCGCCGCTGCATAGGTTAGCATTTATTTCTAATCAGTTCATGTAGCACATACCTTGCCCTGCTGTCAGTTCTACCAATTCATATGTAAAGTTGAGAAGAGCATTTCCAGTAATAGCTCCGTCGTTTATCTGTTTGAGCAGAACATATCCAAGACGATTAGCGGCGACTTGAGCCTGAGCAGGTTCTGCAATCGTCAGTCATGACCAAGCCAACCAGGAAATATATTTCGTACCAAATTCATTGCAGATATTATAAATCACAGGTATGGCTACGTGGGCCAGCTCTGGATTCAGAACCAACCGCATGATTGCTCGGGTGTAGTTGTTGGATACAACAATCTCTCGATTCTCGTCTATTTACAGTTGTTAGTTTGTATCCGAAACAACAGGGAGTAAATGTACCGGTATCAGCGCAAGAGTTTCCAATGAGGCGCAATGAATGGAAGAGTAAATCTTTGTTGACCTCTGGTATGGAAATCAACTGTAGAAAGAATTGCAATACCCCTGACTGACCAAAAGGGATTCTCCAGGATGCTATACCAGCATTAGCAACTATCCAGCCTATATCAACGAGAGGATGGACATACGATCACGACTAGCATTCGCTAATGCATCGGCTGCTTCAACCAGGTACTGGGACTCACTCTGCCAAAGCTTCTGAAGGATCGCAGCTACTCCTCCTAGAAGCTGAGGACCACGCTGGCCTTCTTGAGCAGCTACATCAGCGGACTCAAGAGCATTCCGAAGCTCTCTGGTATCGAAAGCGTCTTCATCCCCTTCGGTCTTGGAGAGGACTCTCTGCAGTGCACGAAACATTTGGTCTTGTTCTTCCGCCGGAATGACTTCTGACTCATTCGATGAAGACAGTGACTTCAGCCCTGTCAAGTCTGGAAAAAGAGTGCCCACAGCAGGTAAGTCTATATCCGCAGCAAGAGAGAAGATATCTGTTGTTGCCGTTGCAACCGGGACAAGCCCGGTGCTCCCACCGTCTTTATAGTCTTGTGAAGCCATCTTCACAAAATCCTTGTCTTGTATCTGTTCCTTGATACAATTTCCTCTTCCAGTTTGTTCCAAGATACCCAGTGGATGCCTAGGGTTTAGTATGGATAGTTATGTGAAATGTAGTCATGAGCCAGTTGCAACCATCTACCTCCAGGCTCCAGGCGGCGCAAGCAAGCCCCACGTTGATTGACAATGAGATGACTTTGTGATGGATGTGGATGTCACGAGGGAGTCAGTCTCCCTATACAATCTGCTGTCTTTGACCTGAAACCCTGTTTTTTGCTGATGGTTGTACGGATATATTCCATGCAATATGCTGTTGGTTAAACTCGCGCGTTGTTAAACATAGATTATCGAGAAGCAATCGGGTTCGTAGCCATCCTTGATTGTCATGCTCCACGAATCAATCACAATCTTGGATATTTGTGACAATGAAATAGCGAGTCTGTTGCCTGGAACTAGATCAAGCCATGGCGCACAAATGTAAAGGAGTGTAGCGGAGTCAAGGTAAAAGAAATAGCCGGCCAATGTCGTGCGTCTGCCTGGATGCCTTGGTGCCGTATATGTTTACACCGATGCTTTACTGGAGTCAGTGAGGCTTATTTCTATGTAGTCAGGAAAATATTCTTGTAGTAATCATAATTGTGTATTATGATCCATTCTGATTAGACCTGTCTGGTGGAATTGTAGCCTCAGGCAGCAACACCTAGCCTAAGGAACCAACCTTAATACGGCGACCTTCGCGGCCACACGCGCAGAGACAAGCTGTTCAGACAACTTCAACTTCAACCATACTCTCTTTTTATTTCATTTACGTCGCTCTCCTGTCTTTGTCTCTACTATTCCTCCAATAATATATACTCCAATCGACCGACACAATGACGCGCGCCCAGCAGACAGTCTCAATTCTCCTTTTGCTTTCCTCTGTAAGTTATTCCTTTTCTCATACCCAGCTCATAATACTTGACACTAACCTTCTATTCTGACAGCTATATCTCGCCCTATACCTCGGCCTCATCCCAATCAATGAAACAGTTCAAACAGAAATTGTCCCTGTGGTACGTCCTTACTCCCTAATAATACCTATAGCTGGCTGTCGATATACTGACTTCAATATAGCTCCCCTTTTACGGCCTGATCGTATTAGCATGCTTCCTCGGCGCGCGACTCGGATACATGATCTTGACCTTCAACGACGTTCCGCAGGAGTACGAGTCGCTTCAAAAGGAGATTGAACAGGCAAAAATTGAGTTGCGCAAGGCAAATGTTGATGTGGATTAATTCGCTAGGATACGGGGATATCATTTTTGCATTCGCAAGTTATCTTTTAAAATAGTTTTTGAATGAAGGTTTGGATTTATGGACCGGTTCCTGGTATACTCGGTAGGAGTTGCTCTGAGTGTTGTATTGCTTTAGTGAGCTAACATTCGAGGGGACAATTGCTGGAAGTCCTCAACTTGAGTAATTGTAAATGTACATATTCAAACTTCAATAGTCGCAGACAAGACATATTTTCTAATTCTGGGATTATATCGTATTCTGACGTCTATACAAGCGAGAAGCTAAGAGGAAAGAAGACCGCTGCAACGAAGCTTTTGATAAGAAAATGTAATTAACGCCACCAGTTGTAATGTTGTAGGAGTGAGACGTAATGCATCAGGGTGTTGACCGGAGTAATCGCTTTAGATGAGTGGGAATTTCTTTGCCAATTCGTCGTGTTCGTCAATGTCCCTGCACAATGTTAGCATTATTCAATCTGCTTTATGTAGAAAAAGACGTACTTGGCTTCCCATGGATAGCAAATCCAAACATCACCAGTTGTAACAGCGGCATGATACCGGCCAGCGGCAATCATATCCTCCGGCAGTTTTCCTTTCTTTGACTTGTCCTTATTCTGCAAGAAGACCATTAGTCTCCGATAGCACAATAAAAAGCAGGAGGATATCTTACGTGCAAAACAAAAATCGAAAAGGTAGTCTTTTCACCCTCCCGACCCAAACTCTTCTGAGCTTGCTCGACATCCTTCTCCAACTCGCGAACGGCATAATCAAGTGTAGTACGCGTATCGTCCACCTCGTCCACAATCAAAATGTTCTTTCCAATCAAATTGGCCATTTCCAATGAACTCAGATCCAGCCATTGTGTGCGCGTAACCTTGGTACCGGGGACTTCTTCGGGGTCATCGCGACCTAGGTTCTCGTAAAGAGAAAGACCGATCGCTTGAATGGGGATGTTGGGTTCGCCGGGACGTTTCAAGAATGATCTAATATAAAATGAGCAAATCTCCTTATAGTCTCTGGGTAAGGATGCTGACGTACCGGAGGATTCGAGCGGGAATGAAACCACCACCACCGATTGCGATCATGAGATTCGGACGGAATTCCTCGAGGATCTTGTCGGCGGATCTTTGGCACAGCTTGTGCACCTGCAGATGTATCTCGTTAGGACAGTCCGATCGGGATATTACTCGAGTACGTACCTGATTATATGAGACGTAGACCTTTTCAGGCATTGTGAAAGAAGTTGATTATTGTATGGGAAGGGAAAAGAGGTATATGATTCTCCAAGGTCTGATTATGAACCGCAGTGTGATGTTCGCTATCTATCTCGTACAGAGCAAAGAGAGAGGAAATACGAAAAGCAACAAGGAAGAAAAAAATTAGACAATTAGAACCAGAAAAGGAAATTCGAGGATGGATAGGCTGCCAACCCCCGCTTCGACGACAACTTTTTTCTTCCGCCTCAGGCCATCACTTGCCTTTTTGAGTATGGCTGCGATCGATATCCCCGCTCTAGGTTGGAAGAGGACTAGACTGGCAGATTTGCATACAATTGCATACAAAAATCTATAAAAAACACTCTACAACTTTAAATGATACCTCAACCACCATTCTTGATCTTTGTTATGATTTAGGCCCATGTCAGATAATCAGACTATCTAAAGTCTTAAGCTATTCCACTGGCTAATCAATAGAGATTGGGCATGCCGATCTGGAGCTACGCGTAAGACTTGCAATGCCTGTTGATCAAGATCAAAGTCACGATTCGTCCAGATCCTCTTCTATGACACAGGCTGAACTGTTTCAGTCAAAGGATCATGAATTTCTGTTGAGATATGCAAGTATCCTTATATGTACGTACACATGCGGAACACATAGTTACAGTAGGAACAGCCGAGGCTGACTACAAAGCCTGCTATGTTTAGTGAGCTCCTTACTTAAACTTTCTAACTACAACCTACAACCACGAAAATCTGATAAATCATGACACTGCATGTACATTCGAGACTTCAACTCTTCATCTTATAGTTCATAGTTTATGAATACCAACATTTCGAAATTAAATTACCAGTTTAATTACTAGTTTGATCCAGACATGGCAGCTACCGGAGATCGCCGAAAGTCTGTTCTCATCACTGGGTATGTTTATGCAGCTATTCGACTCACTCTGTACAGAGGAGGCATACTCACAATTTGTTTTAGATGCTCACCCGGTGGCATCGGAAACTCACTAGCACGCGAATTCCATCGCAATGGCCTGCGAGTCTTTGCGACTGCACGCGACACTCAGCACATTCAGGATCTGGCTGCGATAGGCATTGAAACGCTCAGTTTGGTGGTTGACTCGGAGGAGAGTATCAAGGCTTGTTTTGAGGAGGTTTCGAAGAGATTAGATACAAACGGGTTGGATTATTTGGTCAATAATGCGTGAGTTTTATTTAATTGATCGTTGGGATGAGATGCTGATTGAAGGTCCTAGTGGACGGAGTAAGATTGCATTCAGTTGATCACGGCGCGTCATATCTGATAATGTATAGACTACACCGTACCAGCCATGGATGTGGACTTCCAAGAAGCTCGACTCACATTCGAAACGAACTTCTTCGCTGTGATTCGCATTTGTCAGACCTTCCTCCCGCTACTCATAAAATCAAAAGGAACCATTGTACAGATTGGCTCCGTGGCCGGTGTGAGTAAACATATCTACGAAACACTGCTATCGGCTGACATTTCTAGATGATACCGTACGTCTTCGGATCAGTCTACGGTGCGTCCAAGGCCGCTCTCCATTCCTGGAGCGACACGCTACGAGTTGAACTTGCTCCTTTTGAGTATTATAAACTACCTCTACAAATATGATATCTAACTGACAATGCGCAGTGTCAAAGTGACAACCGTCATCACCGGTGGTGTCAAATCACGTATAGCACGTACCGACCGCGAGCTCCCCCCAGGCTCTCTCTACCGACCAATCGACCCCGAGTATCAACGACGCACAAAACACAGCCAGGAAGGAGCAATGCCACATGAAGACTATGCACGTAGCGTTGTATCCCAAGTGTTGTATGGACCCGCGCCCTGGCGATGGTTATGGCCGAGCTATAGGAAGTATATCTGGGAAGGGAATCGTAGTTCTGTGGTCAAGTTTTTGACTGGAGGATGGTTGTGGTGTGGCTTGTTTGATAGGATATTCACGAGAATGTTTGCGCTCTGGAAGCTAAAGCGTCGCACTAATTGATGGCCAAAATATCCATCATTCATGTTCTGCAGCGCTTTATAAGTGCTGCTTCAGCGTCGGTTATCTTGCGCAGTCTCGTTTGGAGGTTTTGGGCGTCCTTGAAGCGGAAAAAAATTGTAAAAAGAGATTATAACCATCTCAAGCAATTCATTAAGAGTATTCAATCTCGAACATATGCCCAGAAAGTGCCTGTTTAGTCGAGTTTGTAGATGTCAAAAACAAAGATGGGTCGGCATGTATCGGATAAAGCACCCTTTGTAAGTCGTCAGGTGACGGATTATTCCGAATACGTGCAGCGGCGCAGCCAAAGCTTCCCGAAGATTTGCTTCTCAGCAACAACACTGGCTACATAGTCAATATCAACATCATCCCTGTTTTCCTCTTTTGCTACGAAATATCTCCCCTCTTTCTTGCTTTTTTTTTTCTCTCTTTTTTCCTCTGACGTTATTGCGTCTCGGTGATAATATCTTTTCTTGGTCAGAATGTTCAGATTCGCGCGAAGCAGGTCGATCGCGACGGCTCTGAGAGCCACGGTTGTAAGTTCCCCCATTGGTTTGTGATATAGGAGAATATTGGGAATATATGTCGCTTTTTCGCTAGATGTGTTCTCAATAACGACTTGGTCCTTCCGAATGTCGCTGACTTGTTTCTGTTTACAGGAGCCATCGCTTCAGACCAGATATGCTGCACAACAGAAGAGAAACCTTTCTATCCATGAATACCTCTCTGCAGATCTCCTGAAATCTGTGCGTATCAACCCTACCAAACAATCCGATCATCAATTCTAATCATCTCGTACAGTATGGCGTCGGTGTCCCTCATGGCCATGTCGCCCGCACCGCGGAAGAGGCCGAGGCCGTTGCAAAACAAATTGGTATATATTTATTTTTCAAGCAATTGGAGGACTACATGGTTTTGGACAAGTGCTGACTTCCTTTATAGACGGAGATGATATGGTCATCAAGGCTCAAGTTCTTGCCGGTGGTCGAGGCAAAGGTACCTTTGACAACGGCTTGAAGGGAGGTGTTCGTGTCATTTACTCGTGAGTCTTAGTTCCCTGTCACTGGGAAAGTCATTTCTGATATTGGTATCTCCAGTCCTACCGAAGCCAAAATGTTCGCCGAACAGATGATTGGACACAAGCTTATCACAAAACAAACCGGGGCTCGTGGCCGTCTCTGTAACGCCGTCTACATTGTCGAACGCAAGTTCGCCCGTCGCGAATTCTACCTTGCCATTCTCATGGACCGTCAAACTCAGTCTCCTGTCATTGTGTCCTCTTCCCAGGGTGGTATGGACATTGAGACTGTCGCCAAGGAGACTCCCGAGGCTATCCGCACTACTCCCATTGACATCAAGACCGGCGTCACTGACGACATTGCCCGTAGCATCGCTACCGACTTGGGCTTCTCTGCTCAGTGCATTGAGGACGCTAAGAACACTATCCAAAACCTCTACAAGGTCTTCCTTGAGAAGGATGCTACTCAGATTGAGATTAACCCTCTTACCGAGACTTCTGACCACCAGGTTCTTGCCATGGATGCCAAGCTTGGATTCGATGACAATGCTGAATTCAGACAGAAGGAGGTCTTCTCATGGCGGGATACCACACAGGAGGATCCTGATGAGGTCAAGGCTGCTGAGTATGTTTTCTTCAAGAATAATTACGATGAATCACTAACGCAATGCGTAGACACGGTTTGAACTTCATCAAGCTCGATGGTGATATTGGATGTTTGGGTATATTTTCCTAGCCAATCCGAAATTCACAAGGAATAAACTAACGGCTATAGTCAACGGTGCTGGTCTCGCCATGGCCACCATGGACATCATCAAGCTCAACGGCGGCAGCCCCGCCAACTTCTTGGACGTCGGCGGTGGTGCCACCCCAGCTGCCATCAAGTCTGCCTTTGAATTGATCACCAGCGACCCCAAGGTCACTTCTATCTTTGTCAACATCTTTGGCGGTATCGTCCGATGTGACGCTATTGCCCAGGGTCTTATCAATGTTGTCCGCGACATGGGTCTCCGCACTCCCGTCATTGCCCGTCTTCAGGGTACTAACATGGAGCAAGCTCGCAAGCTGGTACGTCTCCTTTATTTTTGATGGATAGAAGACAATCGACTAACATTCAATAGATTGACGATTCCAACCTCAAAATCTTCTGTATCGAAGATCTCCAGAGCGCCGCTGAGAAATCCGTCCAATTCTCAAAGGTGGTCAAGATGGCTCGCGACATTGACGTGGGCGTCGAATTTACTCTCGGTATCTAAACCTGTCACTCTGTGTGTGTGTGTGTGTGTTAGCGCACCTTTTTTCTCCTTTCGAAAGAGAATATTTGAACCTTTCCCCATGTCTCCATATTACTTGTTCCATAAGCCCTATTCCGTTATTTCAGAACCTTTATGGTTTTCTATCTACCTATCCAGTTTTAGACTCTGAATTCAGTTCTTTTTTGAAATGTCAGTCTCGTTACGTTTCTTATGAGAACAAATGATCATATCACTCAAGGAAGAGAAATAGTATGCTGACTGGTGTTGCATGGTATCCGGTTCGTCCGTACGTTTTCCCTTCGTGATTGAACAGTATCTTGATCTTGTATTGGTGGATACTTGCCGTTCGTTTCGATCGATTCAAATACTTTCTACGAGAGGTCGGAAGAGATGGAGGGTATGAAGAGAGATAGTAACGGAAAAGACACGACAATGGGATTGGTACAGGGAATGAGGTGGATTTATGGTAGGTATGGGATATGTTTGTTGGATACCTTGTTTCGTGTTGGTTGCTCTGTTTATATTTGCATGACCATATCGCTAGGCAAACTGATGTTATTCATATACGTTCAAATAAATCTAATACAAAAATCAAGACTTAATCTCAACCGGCATTTCGCTCCCAACCACCTCCTCCTTTCCATCCGGCTGCTTCCCATCAATCCTCGCCTCAGCAGGACCATGAAAATATTTATGCCCCGTCGTAAACCACGTAACCAAACTCAATAACCCAATAACTCCAATAGCAGCACTGGTATAATTCATCGTTTCCTCAGTTACGGGCGCTTCGGAGGGGAAATTGAATGTGATGAATGCGAACATGAGAAACAGAAACCCAATTAGGTTCATGGATAGAGAGATTGGTAGGGAAAGTGAGTAGGCGCCTGTGAAGGTGATTTTTTCACGGAAGAAGTGGCCTAGTAATCGGGCTAGGAGGGCGAGGGCGTATGATGCATCTGAGCAGGGGGTTAGTACTGTCAATGTCTATGGAAAGGAGAGAAGCTTACAGAATCCAGTCGTGGCAATAGAAACAACGGTGTTGAACCCCGTAACCGTCCCGAAATAGATCGAGTTGAACGCCATCTGAACAATGACGGTAACCAAAATGGCATAAATAGGGATATGTTTCTTCCGATCAACTTTCGACAATACAGCAGAGAAAGGAAGCCCGTGATCACGCGCAAAGGCATACAGCGAACGAGAACCATCAGCTACAAGACTGATGGTACTAACAAACATGATCACGACGATCATACTAGCCATGAAACAAGCGCCCACTTTGCTGTTTGTCGAGTCGTAAAAGATTTGGAGAACGGGCGACAAGGTGCTTGTGTCGGCTGTACTGGCGATGTCGCCAATGCAAAAACAGAGTGTCACCAGGAAGATGAAGCCAGTAACGGCGCCAATTACGACTGAGAGGATAACGGCCCGTGGAGCATCACGGGAGGCATGGGTCATTTCTTCGGTCATATGAACCGGGGTGTCGTAGCAACACATGCCGAACAGGGCCTGGAGAATACCTACGATGGTCGCCATTGCAGCTCCCAGGCCAGTCCCATTCTGAAAATCTACAAAGACAAATGAAGCGTCCTGTTTGTGGTCATTGGTAGCCAATAGAACAATAACAATGACCACGAAGGAGACCAGATTCCAGAGAAAGACGGCTCGGGCTAGACGATGGAGGAGTTGAGGCGTGAAAATGTTGATGACGCCGCCAATCAGAGCAGCTAGGTAGGCTAAGAGGACACTGTGCCAGCGCTCAATAGTATATTCAGGAAAGACAAGGTTGCACATTCCGAGTATATAGTTGGCGATGAAGGAGTTGTTTGCTGCTCCCATTGAAAGCATGCCTTTATACCAGTCAGTATGCCAGTCCCAACCAGAGCGTAGTAAGAGACAACTCACCCATCAGCATGAACCAGCCGGTTACATAGGACATCTCGCGAGCAATCTTTTTCGGCGCCATGAGAGCCACCCAGGAATACTGTCCACCAGCAACGGGCCATCGCGAACACATTTCTGCCATTGCGCATGCCACGGCCAAAGTGAGAATGCAGGTTCCTATCCATCCGTATAGAATTACGGGAGGACCGCCGGCGCTTACACCGATGATAAACACTCCGCTCAATGCTGACCAACTAATCAATGGTGTCAGTCGTTATAATGCAGTCGATCATTCGGGGGAGAGGGGTTACCATGTCACAATACTGAAGCTGAATCCGAGCATATCCAGCAGACCATAAGATCGTTTGAGTTCTGGCAATATGTTAATCCTTTCTTCCGGGATTTTGGAATGCCTCAATTGCTTACCCTGTTGGTAGCCCAGCTGTTCCAGCGTAAGATCCTCCTGGATTCCGGTCCCCAAGACATCCTTGCTCTTTCCCCTGGAAGTTGTATTCTCCATGATGTTATCTGCTTCAAACTAACTGATCAAGAGCAGAATTGCCCACAATTATACAGAAGTAAAAAGAGGAGAAAAAGAGAAAGGGGCCCAGCCGCGTGAAAATATCCATCGGAAATTCAGCTTCATGATTGAGGATGATCCCTGCTGCTTATCAGTGGATTTATTGACTGCGTATCTCCAACCTTATTCCTTATCAACTGGAGAAACGACGTTTAATAACTGGGGAATGATAACACGAATCCATCCTGAGTGGTTACATGGTTTATAAAGTGCTGGCAAGGAGAGTGATCTTTTTTGGTGGCTGTCGGCTGCTCCGATGTTTCTTCCCGAAGGGGATTGGCTTCTACTTCAACTATTCTTGTATAATCTGACTCACTCATCTTCAAGATGGATGGATCTATTGATGAAATTACTCGCTGAATTGACTGATATGCTCTCGTGAATTTCGCAGAGTCAATATGGCAATTGCAACAACAGTCCTCACGTTCCTCCATTTCTGGACGGAAGGACTGTTTATCCTACTACCAGCTGTGATCATTCTACGCTGCATCTATCGTCTATACTTCCACCCTTTGTCCAGAGTACCAGGACCCAAAATTGCGGCATGCACTTCTCTCTGGCTGGCCTACCACACCTATATTGGCAATGAAAGCAGTGTCATCTTCGACCTGCACAAGAAATACGGCCCAATTCTCCGTGTTGCGCCCAACGATGTGGATTTCGATGATGGGGATGCCGTAGAACCCATCTACGTCGCGCAAGGAGGGTTCCCCAAGACACCGCAATACTCCAAATTCGATATTGACGGTCACACAACCATCTTCTCAACCTTGACTCTACCCGAGCGTGCACAACGCGCAAAGGCCGTGTCACCGCTATTCTCAACCGCATCTATTCGAAATGCTAGTGGGACTCTTGAAAAGGTAATTGACGACTTTGTGGATCGAGTGCGTACCGAAGGTCGTACTGGGAAATCTGTGAATGTTCTCAATGCCGCTCGAGGCATGGCCATTGATGCCATTAGTGCATATCTCTTCCAGCAGCGATATGGAGGAGTAACAGAGCAAACATCAACCATGTCCGCATCGCCGTTTGTAGATGCCTATGTTGGTGTAGGTGCTTTCTTCAACTTGGTTCCCGGTAGAATCGGCGATTTGGTTCAAAGTATGGCCGATTATTGGTGCGCGGATGCAAAGACAAATTCCGCTTTTGCACTTATCAATGGTTTTACGCAGCAGTTGGTGGATACATCTGTTCCTAAGAGTGGGAGCTATCAGAGTCGGTTACTGGAACAAGTGTCACCGGAACAGTCACAGATTGAACTGAAGGATGTCTGTTTCGCGGGGACGGATTCGACAAGTACGAATACCGCATCTATCGTGTGGTTTTTGACGAAACACCCTGAAATGTGAGTACTTTCTGTTATGTTCATAGATGAAGCGTATAACTAACTCTATCAATAGTTACGACCATCTATGTGAGGAGGTCCAGCAGAGAACCGCTCAAAATGAAGACCCTAGCACAGGCCCCTATCTCCGTGGCGTTGTCCGTGAAGGACTCCGACTGTCATGGGCAAATCCAACTCGCCTACCCCGTCAAGTACCCAAGGGTGGCTGGCAGTTCAAAGGCCACTTCTTCCCCGAAGGAACCAGTGTCGGCATCGCCGCTACACAACTACACCAAGACGAAGCAGTATTTCCAGACTGTCAAGCATTTAAACCGGAACGATGGGTCAATCCCACAGAGGCAATGTTGACGCATTTCTTTGCTTTTGGAAAGGGTACAAGGACCTGTATCGCTAAAAACCTGGCTATGGCTGAACTTACTTTGGCGACGTTGAAAATGGCTCAATCCGGTATACTTCGTGGTGCGGAGGTTGTTACTGAGCGTATTGAGATGACTGAGTGGTTCAATTCGAGGATCAAGGGGGAGGAAATCTTGATCAGGTTGAAGAATTGATTAGTTTGATGGGTTTGACGCTATGGTTTATGATTATGATTATGATTTGAGTGTATTGTAATGATCCATATCTTATATACTCTTGCAATAATAGCGGATACAAAGGTAAACCAATAATTTATCCTCTGCGTAGGTCACTGACCAGCTAAACGACGGCCCTCCTCAAAGATTGCAGCCGCTTTGAAAACACTCATCTCATCCCACCTCTTCCCAATAACCTGCATCCCAATCGGTAACTTCACATCTGGTCTCTCCGAGACACTCCCAAACCCACAAGGCACACTCATTGCTGGATGTCCAGTCACATTAAATGGCGCCGTATTAGTCGTTACCCCTACCGCAACATTCACTTTGTCCATTATCGAACTTGCAGGCCCATCAGTATCCGCGCACATTTTAGGATGAGGCATAGCCACACTCGGCGTACAAGGCGTAACAAGTACGTCAAACTCTTCAAAAGCACGGTCATACGCAGCACGTAACTCAAACACTTTTCTATACGCTTTTGCCTCCGTCATGGGACCGAACCGTTGATTGATGAAAGGTGCGTTGAAGATGATATTTATCAAAGCTGGGTTGGTGGCTGTTAGGATTTCGTACATTTTTTGATCTGGTGGCCATTGGGTATGAATATGGGGAGGCGGGAATGTGAGGAACCCGCCTGGTTTGCCTTGACAGGCCCATTCGGATGTTGATGGTCGTGAGGCTGCTGTCCATATAACAATACCTTCGCGGTGCATGGGGATAGATACCTCGGAAACACTCGCGCCCGCTTGTGTGAAGTATTTCTTTGAGGATTGCAGAACTGTATCTCTGACTTGGGTAGTAAGGCCTGGGATGTCGAATGACTCTGATATCAGGCCGATTTTGAAATACGTACCGAGTCCTTCACCATCGGCAAGTGGACGAGATCGAAACTGGGATAATTGTTCAGGGTAATCGGGGACTTGATTTCTCAATGGTGATTCAGGGGTCATTCGAGGATCTATCCCATCATAACCGGCCATGACTTGCAAGAGCAACGCAATATCTTCCAGTCTTTCCGCAAGAGGACCTAGGTGATCAATCATGGGAGCCAGACCAACTGCCCCGGTATACGGAATCAATCCATGAGTAGGCTTCAATCCATATATACCTGTAAACGAAGCCGGAATACGAATGGAGCCTGCCTGATCACCGCCTATAGCGAGGTCAACTGTAAGACCAAACTTATTCTCAGTCTGGGTCTGACGGTGAACAATATTTGCAGAAGCTAGTGCCGCAGAACCACTACTACTACCACCGGTGGTATACCCATGCAACCAGGGAGAATGCACAGGTCCCGTAGCAGCACTATATGATAATGGCGAAGCGCAGAAGTTCTCACAATTCGAAGAACCTTTGATTATAGCCCCGGCTTCAAGGATTCTAGATACCACAGAAGCATCAATAGGTGAAATCGGGAGTTTCCCGTCTCTGCACAGGATTTCTGTAAATGTGCCGAGTGTTGTTGGTAGACCTCCGATAGAGATGTTATCTTTGATTGCGATGGTTCGACCCTGAAGCAAACGACTTGTGGGTTTTGAGGCGACGAGTTCACATCGATGGCGCCATGCATTCAGTGGATTTTGTTCATTTCTGTCTCTTGGTAGCCAGTATTCTCGCGGTTTAGCGGTTGAAACGGGTGATAAGGATGGATGAATGTAATCTGTGCTATTTTCTATACGTTGCATTACTGCCTCCATGGACTGGAGAAGTAATAGATAAGCCTCGGCATCCGGCCCATCTTGGATTGTTATGTTGAGGTTTGCAGCAATGTCTTTAAGGTCGTCCTTTGTGATTTTGGATCTATTCGGATTAGCTGTTGCTCTATAAACGTGGAGAGAATGAGGGGTCTGACTGTGATTTATCAGCTAGAAATGCGATTGACATGGTGACTACAGATTTATTGACTTGACGTTCGGTGATGCAGCAGTCACACTTGATAGATAAAAGTCTTTAACTGAAGTTCAAAGGCTGGTCTCCCTACGATTGTCTGCCTATCTGGGTATGTAAGTACAAAGATGATTGTAGAAGCGGACTAGCCGATGAAGCTATATCAACCGGCGGGGGAGCCGATGTCCCACGTTCCCACTAGCTTCATTCGTATATTTCGAGGATATATTTCGACGACGCATATTTAGAAATACTTTATTAGTTGAGGTGGAGTGAAAGTAGTCACATCATTTTGCGTTCATTAGGGCTAGGGCTACGTCCAAATATAGGGTTTTATACATAGGTACTTGAATGCCGTCAACCAACAGTAGAACAGACCCCATTGGAGTATACAGGTAGGACTTGATTATCCATTGACTGCCCCATTAACTCCTGGAAGTAGCCAGGCCCAGGCGCACAATTTAGGCATTTTGAAGATTCAGGGGAAATTTCGCCCGTAGCCAGCCTCCATACTTGTAAAAGACGAATGGTACGGCCGTGAAAGCAAGTGTGATGAACCCTAAAATACTGTGTCCCCAACCCAAGCCAAGCTTGTTGTACAGTGGAATTGCAACCAAAGGAAGAAAAGTCCCTGAAGCATTTCGTACCAGTATAAGAGCTGCCAGAGCAGACGCTGCACCCTGTTGGCCAAACATATCCACTATATAAAGCTGTGCAGAAGACGACACGACTAGTGTTCCCATCCCAATAAAAGATGTCCCGATTATAGGTACAATCCAATGTACACCACGGTCAGCAGTCCAGCCATACCAAAAGATGCCCGCCGGAATGCAAGGGCCCAAAAGGATCATCAGTATCAAACGACGCTCTGGTGCATCATCCTTGCCTAGGAGCCTATCACTTAGCAAAGAGAAGGTGGTTAGGCCTAGGACACAACCGATGCTGAGTCCGAGGTATGCTAACACGGTGATGCCGACCTCCCAGTGATAAGTCTCCTATGCGCTGGGCCGAGTTGAAGATTACTGGTCTCCTTGCGCATTTGTACTGCGTGCGCAGCCGATAATACACACCAAGCAGCCTCAGACAGTGGAGCGAACACCAGGGGGCCCATGGATGCCCCTAACGAGGCGATGGCAATGCTTACTACCATCACAATGTCACTGGTAATCCTGAACTCGGCGACCAACTCTGAAGCACCTGGGGCATACATAGTCATTGCGATGTTCCTGCATCAGGACCAGTCACTCAATATGTAACTCTTGGAGTTTCGGCATGACGAGAGTAACGTACGAGTATAATGCTGAAAGACTGATCAAGGAAGTATTAATCATCTTGATCTTCCTGGACCAGTTATGTGGATTCGCAGGATCGTCTGAGGAGCTCCAGTCTACAATGTTTGGATCGACGGCAGCATCGTCCTTCTTCTCAATGGAGTCTCCAATTTACACGTTGCTTTCAGAACTGCCCGGGGATACTGGTATCAGTTCATCGCCATCAATGATCCCAGCACTCTTGTTATCTGCATCACGTCCGCTCATTCTGGCCGGCCCTTAAGCTTGAACGCGCAGTATTTCGTGATCGATCTTCAAGGCAACCTGAAGCTGGATGATACAATGAAGAGGAAAGTGCTTTTGGCTGCCCAAATCCTGCTTTTAGTACTCATAGGTCTTGTAAAGCCTGGTCTGTATTACCGGACGGTCTGCATTTTGCTGCCATCCCAGGAGTACGGAGCAAGTAGTTGCTGTTGGTGTAATTTTTTCAACTTCAAGAAGGCAGCTGAATTTCGTCATGAGTTTGGCTCTTAATGTCCAATAATTCTTTGTAATCGAGATCAACACTTTGCCATTTCTATACGAAAAAAAAATGCCCCGTCATTCCTCGTCGATTCCTCCGTTGATTGCTCCGTTGATTGTTCCTCCACAGTACCGTACCCAGGCACCGGCAGCAAGGTGCGTAACTTAGCTCTCATTTGCCAAGTCTCAAAAATAACTACCTCTGTGCAAATAATGGAAAGGCGAAGGGGTAGGGGTTGGGGTAGATCTGTAGCGTACCGAGGTAGGGCAAATTCTCACTACAACTCTTACATTGTCTTCGTGGCCTAGTAAGTATATATCAAACATGCCGTAGCTAGAGTCGTTTCAATGTCCAAGCGGACCATAGTCGGAGCAACTATCGGTTGTTGTAGCAACTTTCAAACCGTAGTCTTCTGGTGCATTGGGTTCTGAATAGACAGGCAAATTCGCCATCCGTGTCTCTGGTATAGCCTGCCATCTAACATCCTTCTAACATCCTTCTAACATCCTGTCACTTAAAAAAATATTTTGAGATGACGAGTCCCAATCCATAAGACCATTATAAACACCTTGAGAGAATCTAGTGGCGCCATCTACGCGGCCTTGACTGACATTCCAGGCAAATTGTCCATGAGGCGTAGTAGAAGAAGCTGCTTCATTTAAGTCCAGTCTGTTGTGATTTTGCTCGCCAGGAGATCTCAACACAAGATTTAGATGGTTGACTACCTTTTGAGCATCCTGGGACGATGTGCTTGATCGAAACCATATAGGATACGTCTTCTGCAATAAATCGAGAATCATATCACGATCAAACGGGACATTTGTGCTTTTGAATTTCGTAAGCTGCGTATAATAGCATAGGATGCTCATCCCCAATAGGGAAATAGACTGTAGTAATGAAGACCGCATTCGACGTACGGGATACAACAAGCCGTCGGTTTGCGTCTTTCTTCAAAAATCTGCTGGAATTCGAGAATCTTAATCGCCGCTACCTTTGTATGGTTTAGGGTTAGGGCTTGCTTCACATACAGGAACCATTCGAGTTATAGACCTTGGTTAGAGCTTGATGATTCTTACTAACCATTAAGTATAGAAACTGGACTTCTTCTATCTGCCCAAATTTGATATGAAAGACGGAATTTGAAGCAACTATTCTTGCCCGTTAGCAAGAAGTACCCTTCCTCCATCAACACACAGCGATATCCCATCTACATAGGCCTGTGCAAAATTAACTGTCAGTATGTCACTTGCATACGACTGGTAAGTGCAGTTATAGACTTACCCCAGCTTTGCTGACTAGATACAACACCGTGCCAGCAATGTCCTCCGCAATCGCCGGCCTTTTTGCAGGGACCTTGTCAAATAGACTGCTAAAAATGTTTCCTTCTTCCCCCACTGGGTTCATATTACTTGGGACAACTATGCCCATTATTAGCACACTTCTTATCTAGCTGGTTTTGATATGAAAGGTCAACTCACAGCCAGGATTGATCCCAACCACTCTCACATAGAATCGATGATATTTAGCAGCCAACAATTTCACCAAATGATCAGTGGCAGCTTTACTCGTTGCATAACTCGTGAGATCGACATTGGTCACATTATGCATACTCGCACACGAACTAGTAATCACAACCACACCACGTCCTTGATCGCGTCCCTCGGCTGCAGCGGCAGCAAGAAGAGGTAGTAAAGCAACACTCAAGAAGTAGTGAGCAGTAGTGTTTACTCGAAAAGTTTTCTCCCAGTCTGTCTCATTGCTGGACCACATTGATTGTTGTAATTGTGTTATTGATGCAGTAAGGACGTTGCATTGAACAGGTGGATCGCGACGAATGCCAGCGTTGGAGATGAGCATGTCAAGATGAGTCTCTCTGTTGGAGATTTCTTGAGCCAAGGCTTGGATTGAGGATTTGGAGGAAAGATCGCAGGGAAACCTTCAAAAGTACACAGTTAAATTTCCTCTTATCTAAGGGCTTTTTGGCTGAGGTAGTATACCCGAATGCACTTCCTCCAGTTTCAGAACCGAGCTTATTGAGCTCGTCGACTACTTCATTGATGGGATCACTAGGCAGTGCAACGACGTACACTTTGGCGCCGTTTGATACCAGTCCCTAATTTAATGTTGTTTGTCAGCTTGCATTGGATAGGTAGTTTTGCCTTGATGGGTATTCTCACCTTGCATATCATAAGCCCTAGTCCACTGCTCCCGCCGGTGACTACTGCCACTTGGCCTTGGACGTTGAATAAATTAAGGCAGTTTAGTTGCGACATTGTGTACATTGCTAAACTTGAGGGCTAAAGGAATCAATACGGATGTATATGCTGTGTATATTTTTGTTTGACCCTAGGCAAGTTAAAGTTGACCGAGGGGATGTCGGAGGGCCCGACATTGGAGCACATAACTATAAGCTACATACGTTAAGCTCAAGCCAGAAGAATTATGTGATTATCGGCCACTTTGAGGAATTGGTGCTAGAGGTTCCTTGTAGTGCTAAATCCCATTCCAGCCTTTGCAATGATCGCCTAATGATACTTGAATTTAACCGCTATTCATTCTCCGTGCAAGCTACCGTATTCCTTGATTACGGAGATACCTAGGTACAGCTTACATATATTTACAATCATGAAACACTAACAAAAATCTATAATATCTCATCCTATCGTTAATCACTCCTTGTAATGATCCTTCGTCCGGGCCTCGGCTGCACCCAAACACTCGGCCGTCATAGCTTCATCTCTGGGAATAAGTTTAACCTTAAAATCCCTCGGAATAGCAACCAAAGCGGACTTGAACTGATTGTAATCAACATAATCCGTATTGGGCGGGCTATCCTCACTTGCTACAATCTTGTATGATGATAGGAGACGGACGAGAGCGACATAGAGGAGTCGTGAGGCAATGAATTGGCCGGAACAGGCGCGAGAGCCTGCTCCGAAGCTCAGGTGAGATAGACCTGTGGTCTCTTTTTCAGTGGGAGGGTCGAGGGATTTAAGCCATCGCTCTGGGTTGAATTTGTTTCCGTCAGGGCCGAAGTGGTCGACGTCTATATTGTGTTATGATTAGCATTCAGTCTAGTGGATAAACTGATAACATGAAGAGAGAAACTCACCGTGATTACCGGCCTGAGCATTGATCAAAATCATTGTCTTGGGCGGAATGATTGCTCCATTCCAGTTGACTTCCGTGACAGTCTTTCGAGGTAAACTCATAGCGCTGACGGTATAGTAACGACCAGCTTCCTTGATGATAGCATTGATGTAAGGAATCTTCTCTTCATGGATACAATCAGTCCAAGCATCGCGAACATCCGGATAGAATCTTTTGATATCTGCATATGCACGATCTTGCCATTCTTGACCTTCAGGCGTAGACAGCGATCCAATGGCTGATGTTAAAGTACCAGGAATCGTCTCAAATCCACCAGACACCAACGACAGACAGATGGAAGAGACTTCAACCCCCGTAAGCTTAGTCTCCTCATCCTTGAGAATAGCTGCCGAAATGCAAGGCTTGTCGGTTCCCTTCTTGATCATGGCTCGTACTTTATCAAGTAGGAGATTCAAGTAAGCATCTCGGCGTTCACGTAGCTCTTTGGACCGCATGTTCTTTTCGTTGTTGGGCATGTAGCGTAGAAGAGGAACATAGTCTTGCAGGTTTTCGGAGGCACTTCGAAGGAGGGAAATGGCGGATCCAACGTAGAGAATCTCACGGAGAAGCTCATCGTAGACCTCGTCCATTCGAATCCCATAGCACAAAGTCAAGGTAGTATTCAAGGCATATCTCTGAATAAAAGGTCGAACATTGAGTTCTACCTGACCATTGTTACTGTCACGCTTCAGATCTCGCACTATACAGTAACTCTCCAAATCGAACATGTTGTTGTAATTTCTCAATGCCGGTCTTCCCAATGCAGTTCCGGCGGCTTTGCGCTTTTTCTTGCACGAATCATCCCAGGGAGATGAGCCGATAGTGAAACCCTGCGTGCTACTAATGATGCCATGGAAGGTATACAATTTGGGACGATCAATAGTCGCATTCTGATGGCCCAGCAACATTTTGCGACAGTCCTCAAACGAGTTCACGACCACTGCGCGAGTATTTCCGAGACGGATTTGGTACACGGAATGTCCATACTGTCGCCACCAACGCTCGCAAACACTGGCATGGTCTTCACCTAGTTTGAGTAAATGGCCAAAGACAGGAATTGCGCCTGGGATTTCGGGGAGGCCTTTAATATGCGGGATATCTGTTGCAATGAGCCACTGTCAAGAGTCAACTTTCGCTTTCTTTCCCCCTTTGGAGACGACGACGAGATTCACCTTGTAGATCAAATACCCGACCAATGCTGCAAGGACACTGAGAGAGTAAGTTTTTGGAACGACATTCAGAAAAGCCGCCAGGTCGGCTTCCAGCTTCATAGCATCTGCCATTATGGTTGCTTGTGAACGGAGATTATTTGAATCGTGTAGTACTTGCGCAAGAGCATGGAAGAACTTGAGCTCAAATCTGCGACCGACCGTTTATATGGATACAGAGAATATTTACAAGGCTCTTCGTGGACGCTCTCCATCTCGTAATGCGATAAGATAAGTATGCTTGTCAGTCAGGTGGTCGGTCCGCCATTGGTGTTCCAAGTGATGAGATGAGTGTCGGATAGTCCGACATGCAGGTCATACAATGATTTATACCCATTTAATCCTCTGGCATATAGAATCCATACCCCGCTTTAGATATTTGGTACTAGAACTTTCTATTGCAAGAATTGTGTTTTCTTTTCTTTTTTTTGAGTAGATGACATTGCTCCCAAAGTTATGGCTTGTAGTTTAGGGCACGGGCTAGTAAATACGGGATACAGCCCTAACAAACGTATCAAACTGCAATCGTACTGTTTTCTCTGATGCGATTATGTACCTTGACTATGAGATAGCACTCGAATTGATACCAGAAAAGCTTGTATAATCACTTTGATTGGCTTAGAAAGAGAGCAATTCTACTATCCATCCAATGGTTATCCTCCTGACTAGCACCACTCCCAGCCAAATGGCCCCAAATCGAAGGAATGATGGCCAACTCTGCGTGTTTGATATATTTAGCCTCTTTTTCACTGACCTGCCACGTAAAGTACTGATCAGTCTGACACGGCATAAGAAGGCATCTCGCGCTCAGTTGGCCCAGAGCTTCCGAAACCGAAAGCACATCCCCATTGGGCCTTGAGGAGCTCATAGAGACACTAATATCGGATCGTTGCCACATTCCCAGCATCACCAATAAGTCATCCGGATACCAATCGTTATAATTCTTCGCGGCAACGACAGCAGCCCAATCATCCAGTGATTTATATCCCTGCTTCTCAAAAACACGTTGCTCAAACCATTGGGCGCTGGTCAACCAAGCAGAATATGCACGACCAAATGCATGCAGTCCACGTAGCGGGAAAGATTCTCTGTTGATCCGAAATTTTCCATCAATATAATCAATAGAACTCTCCAAAGCGGCTTTGGGACCTTCCAAAAACTGATAGTTGTGTAGACTTGTTTTCGCCGAGGAACAGATGATAACGGCATTGAGGATCATGCTTGGATACGTAGCTGCCCAATGATAAGTACATTGGCCACCCATTGAGAATCCAGCCATGACATCAATCTTTCCAAGACGTAGATGCTCGGTTATGAGTCTATACTGCGCGCGAACACAGTCCCGATAATCTAGGGTTTGCGGAAAATTGTGTGTATTTGAGGGGCTCGATGATTCGCCATTGCCGAATAGAGCCACCACAATTACTCGATAATCTCGCAACGCACCGTTAGCGAAGTTGAGAGTTGCGTTGATGCGGCCCCGGAAGCAGGTAGGGATAAGAGCGATTTTCGTTTTTGTTGGGTTGAATTCGCGATATGCCTGTTGGACTTGTGGGAGGATGGTTCCATCTTGGAATTCGAAGTCATTCAAGGTGAAGTATTCGATCTTGGTATTAGTATCGAGGGACATCTTTGCTATTGCTGTGATGAGGCTGTAAACTGGAAAACTTCAGTTCCCATGCGAAAATCCAACCATATTCATTGTCGAGCTATTCTCGATTAATCGGAAGTTCCGAAGGCACCTTGGACAGAACTGTACATTGGTGAATGATAATATACGAGCTATACAGAGTTGGAACCAAAATAGGCCTTCATAGTCTACTTAAGTAATCAAGAAAATTATTTCTCAAACATCGCAGTAGCTTTAATTTCCACCAAAAATCTCGGGTCCGGCAACTCTCTCACCCCAATCGTCGCCCTCGAAGGCGCACTGGCACGATCATGCCAGATCTTATTCCACTCCTCATTCATGCCCGCATACTGCGACTTCATATCCAGAATATAAACAGTCGCATCCACAATATTGTAAAGATTGGCTTTCCCATCGGATGCACCCTTGATGATACTTTCAATTCGTCGTAGGACTGCAGCAGTTTGTGCGCGGATGTCGAGTTCATATGTCCCGTCAGGGTTTTCGGTTACACCTTCGTATTCGCCGTCTGGTGTGACGGCGGCGATGCCTGAGATGTAGATTGTGTGATGGATATTTGGTTGGACGACTCTTGCATGGCTATATCGCATAGGACCGGCTTTCTTTTCAGGGTCGAGGAGAAAGGATTGTCCGTTGGTCGACATGTTGATGCTTTTCTGGGCCGCAAATCAGAGTGACTTTCCGGTGTTGATTGATGTCTTCTGCACTTTATTGATGTGTATTCTGTAGAATTGATAACTAAATGTACCGGCTATGGTCACTCGATATGTCAACATACTGCCATACTTGTATACAGCTCGAGGGCGGTCCGTCCGACAATTGGAGGCGCCACCACCGAATAGCTGGCTAGTAGACCCCTCATGCACTACAATATAGCTATTCTTTGCAAGTAAACGAGGGAAAGAAAAAGATGATTCCCAGAGGTATAATATTCTTGAATGGCATATAAACGTCTCTTGACGTGAACCTGACGAACAATCGGGGCTGATGATTAAGGCTAAAGTATAATTACTTAAAAAGGAAATAAAGCCCTAGCCCTAAGCCCCGAGCCCTATCGCCGGCCGCTTCCGATCGTGGTAGTCTTCAGCTAGTCGTCATCTCGATTGAAGAAGCTATTTTGTATACGCACTACGTAAATTAATACAATCTTATCAGTTTGTAAAGCACTAAGCAGTAACGTAGTGAGGGGTTGTACTGTTGTACAGAAGAGTCGGAGACATGTCCGGGGGGCTTATCGACTGGGTTGGGCTATCGATAGGCGGAGTAGCTCTATGAGTCAGGTCTATTTCTATCAGCTCGACAGTGACCACCGCAAATATTGGGGTAGAGGTGTAGAATATGTACTTGTTAGATATGAAAATTAAGCGCCGTTAGTGCTCAGACTGATCTAAAGAGTATTACTTCTGGTATTTACCTGTAGAAACCTGTAACTACTGTGTTATCCAACGTGGGGGAGTGGATCCACGTTGGAAGTGGGCTCAGGCGCTGATAAGCCCCCAGACGATGTTCCTCTTTCCTTTCTCCCATCATCTTTTTGAGTCACCGTACATTTGAGATGTGTGAGAGGGCGACAATAACAAAGCTCAAGATGTCCGGACCAGCAGCCCGAGCAGAAAGTTCCTGTAGAAGGTGCCACCGACGAAAGAAACGATGTGACAAGGCCCTGCCACAGTGTAGGGCTTGTCAACATGCCAATCAGCGATGCAGCTTTCTCGACGATGAAAAAGAGACGGCGACATTTTCGATCGCGTATGATAAATACTAATACCTGTCTATTATTTCCAGAGCTGACCTTCAACCATGAATTTGTAGATATGTACGGGGTTTAGAACTCCGTGTCAAAGAGCTGGAACAGCAATTAGCGATCTTCTTAGATATGCGGACGGCAGAACATGAAGCACTATTTGGCCCATCAAATGACATTGATGGTTCGAGGCTGGATTTTCAGTCTCAACCGATGGAAACGCCTCCGGTTAACTCAATCTCTCCACTGCAACCGTTGCAAGCCAGCCACCAGCAACAAGCCGTAGTAAACGGCCATCACATCTCCAATACACACAAACCCGAGTCGTTAGCGAATGAATTGAAACTACTCTCTTTGGAGGCAGCCGCAGATCGTCACGTCGGATCTTCGTCCGGGATATCATTCGCTAAACTTACGCAAGCAGTTCTTCGGCGCTTGTCACCAGATCGGCAGGAGTTTGTGTTTGAAGATGAATTAAACGATGAGCAAGAAGAGGAGGAAGACGAAGAAGATAATTATTTGCCAAATGAGAACGAAACTACTCCCACTTTCACGTTTGCATTCAATGAGATCAACTCACATTTGGTCTCCTCCCCGCCGTTACCACTCTATTATCCCCTATCCAACGATCAGCAACAGGACGGTCTTCTTCAAGAATCATTGTCTCTTCTCGAGCCAACACATATCAGCCATCTGTTGGAATTCTATTTTGCTCATTCTCACACTTTATACCCGATTGTTCGGCAGCATGAGTTTACGACTGTACTCTGGCGGTTATATGGCGATCCGTCTGATGCGCTCGCTCAGTCTCCATTATGGCAGTTCCGGATATGGATTGTTCTTGCTATTGGGTCCACGGCGTATTCTTCAGTTTCTTTGCTAGATGAGTCGGAATCCGTACAGTTGTTCAATAAGGCCATGGTGCATTTTGAGGCTGCTATGGGATGTGGTGATTTGGTAAGACTGAACCACCTGTCTGTGTTTGTAGGAAGCTAATATGACGTGTAGGCCGCATTAGAAGTACTGATGCTGCAAGTATCGTACTCTTTTTTCAACAAAATAGGTCCGAGTATGTCCATGATGCCATTCCTTTGTCACGGAAAGCATGCTAATCTTATCAGATACATGGATTTTGATCGGAATGGCTGCTCGTATGGCAACCGGCATGGGTCTTCACACAGCCGAACAATATAAAAATCTGACTGTAGACATCGCTGAGCATCAGAAGCGCCTCTTTTTCTCTCTATACATGATGGACCGGTAGGCTTCCAGCAATGGTTTCAAGCGCGGTCAAGCTGACACAACCAGTGTGGTTTCGCTGGCTCTAGGGCGCCCGTTTGCTATTCAAGATGATGATATCACTGTTGAGGTATGCTGATTGACTTTGTCCATTTATAGGAAATGCTAACGATTTTATAGCCCTTCGCGGATGCAGACGACGAAAACATCCAACCCGATGGTATCCTACCATCCACCAAACTAGAGCCATCAACCATGGCTATCCCGTTACACATCCTAGCACTTCGGACAATTGCCAGCGACATTAAAAGTAGAGTCCATTCAGTGCGAAACAGCGACCCAGCCAACCAGCAAGTCAAAGAACAAACCCTCCAGTCTCTTCACAGACGGTTGATAGAATGGCGACGGACAATGCCGTTCCCGTTACCGGACCTGCAGTCCAAGGTCCCTCATCTATGCACCAATTGGTTCGACTTCAATTATTATACTCATGTAATCATGCTCTATCGTCCATCACCGCTCTGTCAGACTTTAGACCTTGCCCAACTGCAGGTTCTTGCTGAAGCATCCAGCATGGCTATCCGACAAGCCACAACTATGCACCGACAACAGCGGTTTTCGTATAACTGGCTCAATCTCGCTGTCTTGTTCAACGCGACGCTCTCCCTAATGTATTCGACGACAGCACAACCGAACAATCTGTCGCAGGTGTTGGAGTCCAGTAAGGCCATTGAAGATTTGGAGTTGAGTATTGAATTGTTGCGGACGTTTAGTAAGAAGTTTGCTTCGGCGAAGAGGATTCAGGGGATGGTTCAGATTGTTTTGGCCAAGTTGAAGATGCAGGTTGTTCACACAGTGTAAGCATCGTTGATTCCGGTCGTTCTAGTGAAGACATGTGTTAGCTTGATATTCAGGTACATAGTCATGTCATGCTCTTACCAATAACAAGCTTCTCAGAAAACAGCCAACACCTGATCCCATCCACAACGAGATATCTTTGCTGCTGCTAAACAAATCAAGCTGGCAGCATAACTTACAATAGCAAATGTAATCAATCCCCAGTATTCTCCGTTGCAACGCTGAAGTATAGCGCCGCATATAGGAATTCCAGTAAGGGTACTGCTCATATTCACATATCAGTCGAAGAGTGTCACAACAGTCAGCTTCAAGATGTGAAATGCACAAACCTGATACTAACAATAACATATGCCGTGGCATAATATCTCCCAAATCTTTCAATCTTACATAACTGCCCAATACAAACCGGCGCCAGACTGACATTACTCCCACTCGCAAACCCGAACAGAACCGCGAACGCAATCGCCACGGCAGATGCATTCCCTTCTCTAACACATTCAGACTGAGCCGGAATCCAAAAACAAACAATAAAGACCAAACACATGGCAATAGTGATGATGAGTGCGTTGAATCTCCCAATACGATCAGCGCAATAACCGGGTATCCAGCGCCCAAAGACGGCAGCGGCGTTGACGAGGGATAACAACATGTATGCCGATTCGGAGGACATATTGATATCCAATGCAAAGGAGGTCAAATACGTCAATGGAATGAACAGGGCCCATTCCATAAAGAATATTCCCATAGTAGCGAGCATAAGATCACTCTGTCGAAAGATTGATAGATCCGGAACAAGTCTTTCGAAAGTAGCCTGTTTGGATGGAAAGCGTCTTGGAATTAATAAGAAAGCAAGACTGAAGGTGATTAGATCAACAAGCGCAATGATCCGCGTGGCCCATGCAAACCCTAACCTGGAAGAAACATGTTGAAATAGTAATGGAAACACAACACCGCCTATCGAAGCGCCTGAAGATGCAATGCCGACCGCAAATCCTCTTCGACGATAGAAATAATGCGCTACAATGGATATAGAGGGACTAAAGGCAAGAGATAGACTAATGCCTCCCAGCAGTCCAAAACAGAGCATGAAATGCCAATATTTCGTGCACACCTCAAGCAACAATAAAAAGCTCACAGTTCCTATTCCGCCTAATAGAATAAGTGGTCTAGGCCCCTTTGCATCAAAAAAGGGACCAACTTCGATGCCACAGAAAAAAGCGAGAAAGGAGTAAATGCCGAATATCCAGGCTATGCTACTGGAGGAGTGAGCCTGGAGTTGGTGTTGATCTAGGTAAGTTTGGAAGATGCCGAGACAGTTCATGAGGCCCATTGAACCAAAGCAGGACATCCAGCTGCCTAGTACCACTAGCCAGGCTGTGCGGCCTCCTTCGGGGTAGGTTATTTCGTCTTCTGCATTAGCACTGTCGGTGGTGTCGTTGTCGGAGTCGGTTTCGATTATGCAGGCTTCTTTGCTTGCGAACTCGAGGCTTGATGCATCTTCGGGATTTTTGGCAGAAGTAGAATTTACATCTTTGGTATTGCAATGAGTGCTTTTTGTGAGATGATTCTCTCTCACTATTGAGCTGCGCATTGGTCTTGAATTGCGACGTGAGCCGACCCGGCCGCTTCGAAGTACGGGTCAGCTGGAGGTTGCCTACACATCAAGGGGAATGAGGAAGAAAATCATTAAGAACTTCAGAGGGCTATCGATTGCACCGACAAGAGGGACGGGACCATTATCTGTTCGAGTCCGTAGATGTCGGGTGATCCGACGATTTGTGCACCTTGACATTCTCGTGTACCGGAGTCTAACCTTGGATGTCAGAAATCACAAAGGAATCAGTCGTATCATGTAAGCCTACGCCGATTTTGATTTGTAACAAAAGCTGTTATGGAGCTGATACGGAACAATGGTATAGAGAGACTCTCTATTTACGGGCGAAGATATTCGGCGTACTTTAGGTTCGCGGTTACAGCTTTTTAGTATGATGAATATCCACATGAATTCAAGAGGAAGAAGTAAATAGTCTCAAGCCCAACATAAGGGCTAGTAATATCAGGTTGGTATACTATCTCCGGAGAAGAAAGCAATAAGATCAGATAAGATGGTTTGACATTAACCACTTTCATATCTACTCTTTTCAGGTATGGAAAAGCCCTACTATTTAATGAAAGGCTCATCGCCGCTATTGTGTCTCACTATCGAAAGAGCTTCAGAAGCAAATCGTAATCTGGAATCGAAAGACCAGACTTTGATGCCCTCGGTATGCACAAAACCATATAGTCGATTGTCACCAAACGCAACAAAACATGCTCCGTCTCCTAAATAGTCCATGGTGATCTGGGTATAGAAATCTGTGAACAAAATGTCCATTTCGTCAAGGATTTGATTGACCCTGAAATAACGCCAGGAGGAGAGTGGATAGTAGATTGTCCCATCTACAGTTAGCATTTTGCCTTTGTTGTCCTGTAGTATCGTCTCCTCTTCGAATTTGTGTACTGGGATGCGTACCACGAAGGCTTCCGTCTTGGTAGAATAGTTAATGAAAATGGCGTCGGAAGAGATTTTTACCGGAAGAAGTTGAGAAACGACAGTACGATATCGACAGATAAATTGGTTGAATTGTGGGAATTGAAGAAAGGATGTAAAGTCAAGGTCGAACTTTTGATCAGAGGCTAGAATTCTGGTATCAAGGAAGTTGATCTCATGATCAGTCACTGCGAATCTCTGTCTAAAGAATCTGTACGATTCCGACCCGACCTCTCTTTCGGCTTGAACAACAAATAGAATATTGCTCTCTGTATTGTCTCCATTGCCCCAACTCGTGAAAAGAGGCTTACCCTCGATATGGGCTGACCGGACGTTGTCGCTGTCAAAATGCCAACTCAGAACTGTTGAACGGTCTGAATGTCTTCCGATGACAATAATAGCTCTGTCATGGCTAGCATTGATCTCTAGGATATGCGGAGATGGAAGTCGAATTTGATGTGACCGATGGGTCGACAGCTCCCAAGCAGTACAATACCTGCAATCATTAGACTCGGGAACCGTATGGGGATTTCCTAAAAGAAAAAAGAAATGAATAGCTCTCACCCTGAGGCTTGGGCAAACAGACAATGTTCAGATAGATGAATAAGACAAATGACGCCACGTGTCTCTGTCGTAAACTTCGTGACTGCTCCAGTCGTCAAATTTCGGACGCATACAACCCGTTGATCCGCTGTCAACCATGCTACCTTGCCGGAAGAATAAGAAATAGCCTCCTCCGCGGTAGGCATGACTGTGAATGAGGGGCGATCCAAGCCTTTAGGAAATGGAAACTCTGCCTCCGTACGTGTGATACCGTATTTACAACGCATGATATCTCCCGCAAACACTGTCTTGTCTCCCTCGTCAGGAAGCGGAGAAGGAAAGAAGGGAAACAGAATGGCACTGCAGATTTCCTTTGATGAAAAGACAGTCTGCCATCGCTTGGATACCTAGACGTGTTCTGATGAGCTGTCGCTCCAATAAGTACGTTATTGTAATGATAGCTTCGTACTCTTTGAAAGACCCAGGCTTCTAGAGGATCCAAATAACGTGCTATTTCAAGCACTAGTTCAAGAGGCAGGGAGCCAACGATGTCACGTTTTAGATCTTCCTTTGGACGAGCATTGAGCTCACGCCGCTCATCAAGGGTCAAATCATCTAGTATGGTATTCAATCTGTTGACGGCCCTTAGCAACAGTCAGGGAAACGGGAGCGCGTAGAGAAGCGGCTCACACCTGTAGTCGGGCATGTTTTGTGGATAGAGACTTGAAGTCCTGTATGAGACGATGGATAGCATCGTCGCCGCTGTGGCTGCCCATAACCTGGTAACTAGATAGGCATGCTTTATAATTGATTGATAGCGAACAGACACTAGTACTATATGTTGTTGTCGGACGGATGTACTACGTAGTAGTTAGACAGCGGGTCAAAGATAAGCCGGATGCCGACAATCATATACGGCCTGAGGCAGCATTTTGGAGACTCGTCTCGACCTTCTTTTTCTTGTCTCCTTCACCTACTCGGCCTATACAGTGGTATAATCTGATCCGTAGCATCCTTTCTATGCAGAGGGCTGGAACGCGACACGTCGCCTGGACCAATGTGATGGGCTCTCCTGTTCTCTGGTATGCTAGTGTGAAGCACCAGAAATTAGTTCAATCAACAATATCCAAGAGGTCAGTACAAGCAGAACTAATTGCAGGGGCAGTAACCCAGGAGTATATATATACTCGGCAATCCCGGCTCTGGCAGTAAGAATCCATATCCCTGCCCTTGCCTTTGATTGACATGAATTCGCATTGCAAATCATGCATACCACGCACATGCATACATAGAAGGTATGAGCAGCTCATAGCTCCGCTCCACCGACGAAGAGAATCGGAATTGTAGACGCTGCACGCGTAAGCAGATTCTCCTAGTTAGTCTCTCGGCTTGATAAGCACCTTTCTGGAAGGTGACAATTCCTCGGTATCAATGCGCATACATACATTATCATGACTATCGTCGTTTCTCATGCGTTATAGATGATTGTAAAACTACATATGAATCTGGCGGAATTGCTCTGTATCGCCGGTATAGACTCAAGATCGGATATTGGTTAGCTATCGCGACCAAGATTTGCCACGGTCGGCCAGTGAAGGTGGAGAAGATCGTAAGGAGGAAAGGATAGAAAGAAGTCAGAAATAATAAATCAAGCTGATCCTGTGCATAAAAGAATCTAGAATGCAGTAAATACTAGGTGTTGTCGTAGCATTCTGCAGCAGGGAAAGCTTCCACGAGGGACCCCCAGCGCCGATTTGCTCCCCCGCAACTCCCTTTTTTCTCTCCTTCGTCTGTTTTCTGTTTTCTCTCTCTCTTTCCAACACCTGTCCAATAACACCAACTCGGTCTACGATATCTTGTTCTGCCAGTATATCGACTCCTCACTACGACGATTATTTTTCCGAATTGCATCGTTTGCGGCCCTCCGACCCGTCCATTGCTATTGTGTCATCATGTTTAGGCCCATGGAGCTCATTCGGCCGTGAGTCTTTGCGACGTACCTTGACACGATCTGAGCACCGCGACTGCGTACGCCATCGGATCAGCATACGGAGTATCCTAGAAAGAAGAGAAGAATATAGGACAGATCAAGAGAGGATAAACACGCATTGGATGATAAAGGAGAAGTATATCGATAACCTACATCTTGTCGGCCAAGTCCGCAAGACGTGCCGCCCAAAGAATCTGCCGACGACGGTTGCGCGAAACAATCAGTTATAGTCGAATCGCCATGAGCAGAGTCGCCGATCTCCCTTCAAGAGGCCACTTCTCTGCTGCTGGCGATAGACAGCGAAATATACCCGTGCTCAACTCATCTGTGCCGGCGGCAGCTGACGCTAATCGCGGTGATCAGATGGAGGTGACAACGGCCGCGCCGGATGGCGATAATGCAAACGGCTCTTCAGACAACATGGGCCATATGAATGCTTCAGGCAGTGGTCAATCGCTAGGGGCCGCTGCTGCCGCGCAACAACCAAAAGTTGTCCAGACGGCGTTTATACACAAGTTATACAAGTAAGATGGCGCTTGGCATGTTCTACTCGTAATGCTAATATCGGAATGATTTCAGTATGCTCGAGGATCAGAGTATTCAACATCTTATTTCCTGGTCCAGTTCCAACGAAAGCTTCGTCATGTCTCCAACCTCCGAATTCTCCAAAGTTTTGGCGTAAGCGATCTTGTCCTGTGATAGTGAGTGGCCTTCTAACTCTCTACCAGACAATACTTCAAACACACCAACATTTCGTCTTTTGTACGGCAATTGAACATGTACGGGTTTCACAAAGGTAGCGTTTCTTCTCTCGGATAGCAAGAAAACAACGCTGATGGTCAGTAGTAAGCGACGTCTTTCATACAAGCTCCCCTGATTCAGCACTCTGGGAATTCAAACATGGAAATGGAAACTTCAAAAGAGGCGACTTAATTGGTCTTCGTGAAATTAAACGACGGGCTTCTCGACATACTTTGATACATCGAGATTCTTTTTCCAATAATAAACCAGGCGTGTCGCAACCGGGGACTCCAGCCGAGCCAATACCGGAGTCTGGGGATATGCGGTTGCTATCTTTGGAGAGCACTCTTTACGAGATGCACAGTCGAATGCAGCGATGGGAAGAGACCAATTATATGTTGAGCTCGCGGTGTCAAGCGCTGGCGGAGTGTCTCGTCAGATGTCATCAATGGACAAATTCAATCTCACAGGTCCTCGTCGCTATGAACCAAGACCGGGACAGTGCTTTATATCGTGATGGTATTAATTTTCGGTGCAATGATTGGAAATGCATATTACTAACCAGTTGACAGTATGCGATATGCAACAAGAAATTGAACGACATCTAGATAGCACGCGTGCTTTGGAGACACCTCACGAGACTCTGTTGGCTAGCCGGCAACAACCATTCTTTGGAAATGTAGCAGAAGCAGGGCCGCCGCTTTCTCCACGTCAAATGCCTCAAGACGACAGCCGCCGTCCTTCATTTGCGGATACCTCGAAGCCCATGAGAACCCATGTTTCACAGCATCTAGCTGTCTCTCCTCGTCGGTATGGATCAACTGGTGCAGGTCATTTTTCGCCAGGTTATAGTCGTCCACCGCTTCCTCCCCAACAACAGCAGCAACCCCCAATACCTCCACCTATATCTACGGCCACGTCGCCCTCGGATTCGGCAATGCTTGCACGTCGACATACGTCAGCAGATATCCGTCAGCATGGATGGCCACCGAGTGGGATACAGACCGCAGGAAACTCGTCAGGACCATGGCCATCCTCTCCGCATCGACTCCCGACATCCAGCGAGCAACAGGTCCGCGACGTCCTGGCGCAGTATGAAATCACAGGGTCAAGACGACGAATCCAGTTATCGCGACAAGCAACACCGCCTTTAGGACCGCCAGATCAACCGGGACCACCAACATTATCTGCGTCTGCATCATCACAGCATCTCACCGTGGATCCGGCGTGGTCAGCTGGAAGTAGCAATGGAGGTCCGCGGTATCCGCGATATGACAATTCACTCCCAGCAACACGTCGGTCCAGCATGGCGAGTAATGTACATTCCTTACTTAATCCAACTGATACCAGCGAACGACCTGAAGAAGATGATCAAATACTTGAAGATCGTAAACGGAAACGACTTCAGTAATTTTCTTCTCCCCCCCCCCTTTGCTTACTTTCTTCGCGAGTTTATACATTAATACCACGACATATATCCTGATCTCTTCTCATCTATATACCAATACTTTTATCATTTATACCCGAGAACGAGGATGGGTGAGTCTTTCACTGAAGGCGAATGGAGAGTTTTTGTTTTTCCTAATGTGTACGATACAACACACATATGTCTGTTCTTGTCCTACACTGATCTAGTTCTCTTCACAGAAGGAGAACTCTATCTTCACATATCTTTTTATCTTTTCATTCGATCCTTGATTTCCACTTGCATTCAAATTGACGGAGTCATTTCTTCATATGTCTGTTTATGCCGACTAATATTTGTGCATGTACTGGCCCTTTTTTCCAAGTACGTACAGTATACAAAATGCATAATGCTGGGTCTAGTCATTCCGCTTTTTCTTCTTCTTTCTCCGGTCTTGTAATATTTCATCCAGGTAACTGACTTTGGCAGTCTTTTTGCGTTTGTTAGATGCTGGTATGGTAGGTATAGTTGGTATTTGCGTTTCCGTGTCGTTTATATTCGTCTCGTCGATGTCGGGTGTATTATCAGTCACAATCCCATTAACCTCGGACTCAGTTCTCAAGGTCTGTTTAGGTTGTTTCTTCTTCCCTAACGATGTCCGACCTTCTTCCTCGTCGTCATCGTCATCCTCTACAACTTCTTCCTTCCCGTTCTTATCTTCACTCTCTCCAGTTTTCCCGCGGGACAAGGCGGCCTGTTGTTTCTGTTTCTGCTGCTGTTGCATAATCTTCTTCGCGTTCCGGCCTAATAACCTCTGTCGCAGTTTATCGTCTAATTTATTGGTGGTGGTGTTGCCAGTATTCAGACTGTTGAATGCATCCTTTACTGGTATGGGCGCGCCGAGACCGAGTCTGTACAATAACCATCGTCAGCTTCAATTGTATTCAGAGGTATTATAGAGAGACAAACCGTTCAGGAACAGCGACAAATATCTCATCGTCATCTTTCTCGTCGTCTTTATTTCCTCCCAACTCGTTGGATTGTTCGGATGTTGTCCGCGGCGGAAGCCATGATGCGACGAGTCGTTGGCTGCGCGCTAATGCGATATTGGCGCGGTTGAAGATTATGTCTGCTTCATTTGGGGGTTTTGTCGTTGACATTTTATATCTCTGATTTATTTAAGATGGATGTTGAGATGAATAATGCGGAGAGAATTGATTTTATTTTTGGTTTTAAGCTTTGGACCCATAGATTACTTCTTCGGGTTAGTGTACAGATATTTATTCAAGCCTCCATTCTCCGAACGACATCGAACAAGCTAAAAACATGATATCAGGTCGTAAATCATAATCCTAACACAGGATCGACTAATCAGCAAAACAGGCGTGATCCTCAGCATATTTCCGATATCTATTGAGTATATTCGTCACATCCAACCCTTCCTTTCCAGCTGCGTCGTCATAGTGCGACACCACGCCTTTACCGTCTATCAATACATCCCTTTGCTGTGACAGAGTCGATGAGTTTATGTTCGAAGCATTGCTATTTCCCGGTAGAACAACGAATGCCCCCGATATCTCGCCCGGCGGATTCTTCCATAATGGGAACTTATAACTCTGTAGTTCGTCGCGTTCGAGGTGATGCAGGAAGGAATTGTGTTGCTGCGCTTGAGAGAGCCAGGTATATTGCTCCGTTGCACTAGCGGAGTTTGAAACTAGGTATATGGAGGAGGAAGAGGAGGGAGCAGGGCGCTGCTGGCAGAACCACGACTCCAGCATATTCCTCCAGTACGACAAGAAAGGAATCCAGTTCCGTCCGGATGTCTTTGAGTCCTGACTCAGTGATTTTATATCCAGTAACTGTGGTAATACCACGCCCGCTCTTCGATGGAACTCCGCGACGGCGGGTTGGTGGATGACGTTTGCGGAGACAATACCCGTTTCTGGGTGTTGGAGTTTTGTGTTTATGATGGTGGGGATCACATTATCCTCGATGTAGACGACGTCGCCGTCGATTTTGATGTATATGTCTTTTGTATCCGCTGCAGGGAAGAAATACGGCCGGATGGAGTAGGATTCTGATTTGTTGACTGTCTCGTACAGCCATTCGAGATGTTCTCGGTCAGTTGTTTCGGGGATGAAGACGACTTCATCCAATAGACCGCCGTATTCGACGAGGTTTCTCTATACGACGTTAACTCTTTGTCTCTCTTTTCAAGGGCAACTGATCATACCCTCAAATAGCAGTTCAATATCGAACTCCTCTCCCAATTCCTATACTCCACCACAGCAGCAATATTCACCCCCCTGGGCTTCTCATCCAACGCAATACTACTCTTCGTGTTAATCCATTGATTCTGCAAATGATTATATTTGTGATTGAAGTGCGGATTCGTAATCAACGCTAATAAAGTCGCATCCGAGTAAAAGCAGAGTAGTATGATTCCGAATAGCGAGTAGAATGTAATGGTGCCGCCGAGAAGGGCTATTAGGAATATTTTTGACCTGCGATGTTGGCTATGTTTTGCGTAAATGGGCTCGATGTTCTCCTCCAGATTATGCAGCTTTTCGTCTGTGTAGGCCATTTTTTTTCCCTTTCTATGATGAATGTAATGCCAAGATCTTATCTTCGGAATGTACGGATAGCTTCATGCAGGCATTTCCGTCGATGAGCACAGTACACTGGGAAATCTCATGAACATAAACAAAGGTCGCACATCGAAAGTCCCGGAAATATAAATTTATAAAATCTATATGAATGTCCGAACAACAGGACTATATAAATCAGTCGGAATATGCGGACAGAAATCATTTTGCTCGCGTGATCGACACGGGTTCAGTCCAAGACTTTTAAAAATCTTTAGTAATCATGAGTTAATTGCTGCTCTGGGTCTAGTTTCTGCTTTTTCAGGCCCTGAAAGCAAGCTGCCACCAAGCTTTACTTCATCTTTGACTTCCGGAAGTCCCGGCCGCGGCACTGCATTGCCGGATGCGGATTGCATTTTTCGCTCTGGCTGGCTACTAGTTTTCTTGGCCTATATCATATCAGGACTATTCATGTTGCTAGCATCAGCAATGTTTTTGGATTTTTCAATGTTGAATTGAAACTTTTAGAAGCCACTATCAAGGATTGGAGTCCTCTCAGACTTATCAACTGCTTCCGGGCTGTATGGTTCATTTGTGTCATTCAATATTTCAACAAGTCGACTGTGAGCATGTCTGCGCAAGTAGAATTTGGCGGTGTCTCCAGAAATTAAACTTGCCAGTGCTCCCGTTGATCTCGTAGAATTTCAGCCACCACTGAAACAGCAAGGATTCCGTACGTGGGATGAGACCAACGGTATCCCACCCGGATCACCGGCATAGCTCTTCAACTCCTCCTCGCCCTCCTCTCGAATTCCAGGCTCGTTCTGCCTTCCATCGACTTGCACAAGTCATGAGGAGCTGGCACCATATTTTGCGGTCGGAAGCTCTTCAGGAACCTACTCGTGGTTGGTCCATCCACGTGTATCATTGTCCTATGATATCGCCCAGCAAATGGATATAATTCTGTACCAACGGAAAGTACTGGTGGAGAATCATGCTCGAGATCCATAGTCCACATTGTTTTCGTCTTGATTCTGAAAGATCCTGGTGCACTCATCTTCCGACTGGGTAGTCTTGCGCAATGTGGAAATAGGGCAACCGCTATCACGTGTAGGCTCATAAGTGAGGTAACCTTTCAACCTTCATAAATTCTGGAATCGTCTCTACTAGCGTTACCATACTTCTCTCGTCAGGAACCAAGTACGATAGCATCATCGAATCCGAATCGATATTATTACAATGACATACACCAACCAAGCTACTGGCATATAAGTCAATAATGCCATGACTCTGCCACCGTTGCCTCAGAAGCATGGCAGAGAAAATGTCGAATGAAGCTAGATGTAAGGTGTGTGATCTGGGTATTGATTATTATCTTCCTTGCCCATGGCGCAAAAAGATATTTTCGCAAAGCAGGAAATGGGCAAAGTACGAGCAGAACCCGGGACTTTTATTTCTCAAGGCAACACAGCTTGAGAAACATTACTTTCAAGAGAAATGCGGTTATTGGCAGACCTTGTACCGTCTGAGTAGGTGATAACCCTTCTCTCAATGTGACATGCTGCGAGATAGAATCATCTCTAGACGATGTTGGAAGCTAATTTTTGTGATTACCCCTTAATAGTTCTATATGATGATGAAAAGAAGAAACATTGTCTTTCCAGCGTTGGACAACCCACTTTCCCCGACATCTTCCCAGACGATTGCAAGTATGCAATGCCGAGAGAATCTGACCGGGCTTTTATAGGCAAACCTGCAAAGAACGATATGCGGTTCAGCAATGCCTATCCTGAGCGATACATGGCCTGGTGAATTGACTACTGGTATGGATGGCTAGATTGGCATGAACTGCCCCTTGCGGTGCACATGAGCTGTTGGAAAGTAGCGCAACTGGTATTAGGCCACACAATCGAGGATAACTTGGAACTCCTTGCTGCAGTGGCATTGTAAAATGCCAGAAACATCACTGAGCGTTATAAACGACATCGGCCCATTTTTAGTGAATGGGGAGGTAGGAACCCCTTTTTTTACCAAGAAGCATGAAGAACTCTTAGGGGTGACTAATATACTGAATCAATTGACAGTAAAGGCCGTCGATCGGATCCAGCTCAGTGATTCGTACAGGATACACATGCTAAAAGACATTATTGCTCGAAGTAAAAAGATCAAAAGACCTGGTTTTCCTTGGCCCGAGAGTAGCCCTGGTAGGCTATTAGATCTACCTCCTGGCCTGTTATACCGCCGAATCCTGGATCTGTTGACTTGCGAAGAATTACCACGACTGGAGATTGCAATGAAAATAGCCATACCCGATTGCTATCGGCGCGAAACGGCTTTCTACCTGGTTGAGATGGATGAGATCTCAGCCCGAGAGAGAAACATTAATTGGCAGTATCTGAGCACAACACCCAGGTAGTATTGTTTAATTTTCTATTGATAACAAGAGGTGCTTGATCAAGCATTTCGTGTCAAAGGTCATGAGCCCCAAAATGCAAGAATCAGTATGACTAAAAATATCACAATCTTTCAAGGTTAAGTCAATAATCATCTGCGATGGTTGAAATCTCCCAGAAATCAATATTCATTGAGTAGAACAGTCTGAGGCCCTGCCATAACATAGACACTGCTCTTCCATCTGTGTATATGGGCCTTTGGAAATGAAGCGATTTCGAATGAGTGACAGGGAGTCTCCGTATGTATAGTAAAATACCGATACGATACATACATGTAGAAACGTAATTTATCACCACAGAATGACGTACACAAACATCTGCCGCTGTTTCCCGTTCCCCCAAAAACTGGCTGCCGACTGACACATACAAGATACAATCCCGCTGTCCATCAACATCAATTCCTCCAACGTCGCTGTCGCCATGCTACACTCTTATTGCATGGCCTGCAGTCGTCGTTCTCCCTTTGCCAAACTATGAAAGCGCCCGTTGTGTTGTGCCGTCTGTGTCTCCGGCGCGGAGCACACCAGACCTTCGGCGCAACTCCGTCATTACGAACGTCGCTGCGGACCTTTTCTAGCGATACTGTCTCTCGATCGAAGACGCAGTTTTGGCATCGCCAATTATTACAGAGATGGAACAAAATAGGGAGAAGCGGAGCCCCAATTGTCGGCTCGGTCCTGTTCGCAGCCGCATTGGGTCCCGGTGCGTTTATGGAGTTGGCGGAGAAGAATGGTGAACATGAGACGGGGGAGATGCAGATGTTGGAAGCGTCGCGCCAGGAGATACGAAAGACGGTGTCAAAGGATGCACGCGGTTTCACTCGACTCAAGCAAGAACTATGCGTTTTCCTTTATTGTTACGTGTACGAACCTATTGCGACGGGCTTCAGATTTCTCCATTTGACTATCATATTCCTGCCTGTGTTAGTCTCGGCGCCTATAATATGGGTTGGCAAGAGAAATCCAGACCGCGACAACCAGCGATGGGGAACTTTGTGGTGGTTTAATTTTCTAGTAAAGTCAATGGAAAGGGCTGGTCCAGCTTTTATCAAGGTATGGCTTTCGTACCGTACATAATTTTTTGCCTCTAACTTGGGTCGTCTGTATCCAGCTAGGTCAGTGGGCTGCGTCTCGAACAGATATTTTCCCCCCCGAACTTTGCTCTCGACTGTCCTCTCTCCACTCACATGCGCCGGCGCACTCTTTACATGCCACAAAGAAGATATTATGCAAAGCATTTCACGGTCTCCCTTTTGAGGAGATATTTGAAGAATTCCAGGAGGAACCTTTAGGAGTGGGAGCTATCGCTCAGGTATACAAGGCGAAACTGAAGCCGGATATTGCAGCGCAATACCAAGAGGAACTGCAAGGCATGCCAAGAGACCTAGCAGCCAGAGTACGAAAGAATGTTGACGTTCTGGTCAAGAGCTCACCTCAAAGAGTCCCTTCGTCTTATGTTGCTATCAAGGTACTACATCCGAAAGTTGACGTCATTGTCAGGAGAGACTTGGACATTATGAGACTATTCGCAAATATAATTAACGTAATCCCGACTATGGAGTGGCTATCGTTACCAGGTGAAGTCGACCAGTTTGGAGAGATGATGAAGTTGCAGCTCGATTTGCGAATTGAGGCTACCAACCTGGTGATATTCAGAGAACATTTCAAGTCACGCACAACAGCCTGGTTTCCTTATCCATTCACAGAATATTCTACGAGAGAAGTACTTGTAGAAGAATTCGCACAAGGCATACCATTGTCTGTTTTCCTCAAAAAGGGCGGTGGTGTCTACCAGGAGGAAATTGCAGATGAGGGTCTTGACGCTTTTCTTCGCATGTTACTCCTCGACAACTTCGTCCATGCAGACCTCCATCCCGGAAATATCATGGTTCGCTTCTATAAGCCTAGTCAACTCGACATTTCTCTGAAAGCGCCGAAACGTGCTCAGGAAGTTACCTCGACTGCTGAATTAGATGTCAATGAGCAGGTACTGAGACGTCTACGACCTCACACAAAGGATCCCAAAGCTTGGAAGGCGGCCCTTGCAGAGCTAGATGCAGAGGGTTACCGACCTCAATTGCTCTTTATCGATACGGGTCTTGTCACCCAACTCAATGACAAAAACCGACGCAATTTTCTGGACTTGTTCCGCGCTGTTGCCGACTTTGATGGTTATAAAGCAGGTCATTTAATGGTTGATCGTTGTCGTCAGCCAGAGGCAGTCCTGGACCCGGAAATTTTTTCATTGAAAATGCAACATCTAGTGTTAGGCGTGAAATCAAGGACGTTTGCCTTGGGTAATATCAAGATTGGTGATGTTTTGAGCCAAGTGCTTCAAATGGTGCGAGAGCACCACGTGCGTCTGGAGGGCGACTTTGTCAATGTCGTTATATCCATATTACTGCTGGAAGGAATCGGAAGAAGTCTTGATCCTGACTTGGATCTATTCAAGAGGTATGTACACCCTTATGTTCCCTAGTCAGAAGAGAAAGCTAACGTGTATCAGCGCCCTTCCAATCTTACGCCAACTCGGTTCAGGCACAACATTACTACAAGACGTGTGTCACGGTGACACATCCATGCTCCGAGTATGGTTTGGTCTTGAAGCACGCACATTCCTCCAGGCCAGTCTGGAAAGTGTCGAAAACTGCGTCAAATATGATTTGTTGGCGCCGAATATCTGAGCTTGACGATCCTTAATATCGGCACACGTGCACATTGGGTGCTTTCCTGCACATAATAAACTATACAACATTATATATAATGTATGCTCGAACATCATACAGGCAATCAATCAATCATTGGATTGGCGTTATACAGGTCTTTGATTCTATGTACATAGCAATATGCAATTACGAGCGTACTCACTCCTTTCATACTTTTTACCATTACCTAGATATCTATAGCTTACAAATATCCTAGAAACGAAGAGTTCGGTATATGTATACACATACTCAACATTAGTTAATCTACTGTACACAGACATGAAAATAAATAAGAGATGTGAGGTCCCAACAATGGCAAAACGTACAGACAAATAATATACAAGGGCAAAGAAGAGGAAATCCGTAACCGAATAATCATATCAAAAATCGAACAGAAGGACGCCGAGCCCGAGTATGCATTAAGTAGTTCAATTGAAGAAAGGGAACTCGAGACGAGCGAGTTTTGAGTAACCATCGAATAAGGTCGGTATAAGAGCGAATACTGGGCGATCATTTATTCTCTCGTGCTTGACCACCACTAGCCCTATACCAAACGTCACCGCCCCAACGCATCAAACGCTCCACGGCAGCTGTTGGAGTATCGACGGCTGGACGGATATCGAGGAAGAAAACAGGTTCACCGGTTGGTTCTGGAGGTCCAGAATAGTAGTCGATGACGTAGCGGACTTCTTTTGTTGTTCCGGAGGGTGTGCGTCGAGATACATACCAGTCGTGTCTGTCAAAGGGTGGTTCGGTTCTTTACATTTAGTTAGAATTGACTTTCACCATAGAAATATTGAAGTACTCACCCAAATTTAGCAGGGTACAGCCATCCCAACGTCTGCATAATCCTAGCCTTGGGACTCAAATCCTGCGGTCTTCCCTGAAACCGCACCAAACACGGCTCCAACTCCTCCCCATCCTCAATTTTCTTCTCACACAACAACCTCTCCTTTGCCAACTCAATCGCCAAATTCTCATTCCCCTTTCGACACTTTTCCCATCCACTCTTCAACCCCTTCGCGAAAATCTGTTCCCATTCCACAATCTCCGCCCAAGCACCTTCGTTCAAGAAATTGTGGACTGCGACCATGGATTCAACCGCATCTTGCGGGGTGTCGGTATACCCCTTGCGAAGCATGGCGTTATACATTTGTTGCGGGGAGGGATATTCCCATTTCTCGCCGGCATTGTCGGCGCGTGGGATTGAGGAGATTTCGCGCTCGACTGGTAGATCGACTGTTTGAGTTGGGGCGCGTTCTTGAGAGATAAAACTGAACATATAATTGAGAGGGTTTATTTTTGATTTGCCGCTTGTATTTGCTGAAGCTTGTTCTTGGGGTTGTTGACGAGTGGTTTCCGATGAGGGAGTGTAGAATGGTGAATTGGGCGATCTTTTAACTGGACATGCGCTTGGTAGAGGTGTTTCGACCCCAGAAGATGAAGAGCCTGCTACGTGCATGGGACATCCAGGCTATTCACATCATTAGTATAAGGTTAGAAAATTGTCGCCTTCCAAACTCACTGGTGGTGTCGCCGAGATAGTGGTAGCAGTATTATTAACAGGCACAGCGGCCGGCCGCTCGGTATCTGCCCAAAACCAACCCATTGTCGTCGATATAAAATAATTAAGATGAAAACTATACAATGGCTGCAGAAGTATAATGATGTACAGGCGAGTGAAGAGAAGAATCGGATGCAAAGCGCTTCAAGAAAGTCGTTGTCAACTTTTTTTCGCCTTGCGGAGCGCAAAGGATTTCTTCCCGGTAAGCCGGCGCGATGACGCTCGGCGGTGGATCTTGCTGGAAGTGCCTAAGGGCTAAGGCTGCAACATAAGTTGTGCAGTATCGTGGTCTACATAGTAGACGAGGAATTACACTGAAAAGTACAAGGTCATGGATAGCCAAATAAAATAATAATTATTAGTCGAATGCCTGAATAGCTGTTAATACACAAATGTAAAGTCTATGAAATATAGAATAATCGACCAGCATAAAAGCTAATGTCAAACACGGCAAACACTCAATCCTCTATCAGCTTCATTGAATGATTAAGGACTCTGTATGTCCTGGTATAGCCTCGATATGAGCGCATATCCAAAAATCACAGCCAGTCCAACCCAGAATTTGTGTCGTCGAACCCAGCCCTGGCCTGCCTCTCTCGCAACGTGCCCACCTTCCATCACAGCGCCGAGACGCGGTCCACTTCCAACAGGTCGTCGACGGAAGGCTGAGGTTTCGGGCGAGCAGTTATTCGACGTCACCGCATTAGGGTCTGGGATGATATGTCCTGTCGCAGCATCGATACGGTTATCTTTTATCCACTTCCAGTTCTCCTGATCTAACTCTGGCCATTCGGTCCGGAACTTCAACCCGCCGTCACCAGCCTTGATGTTATTGATCCCCTTACTGGAGGCTGTAACGCCTGCAGGGAGGTTTGTTTGTGATCCTCCCCCAGTCGAGTTCCACCATCGTGAACGTGCGGCAAATAATCTGCGTTCGCTGTCCGAGGCACTAACACTACCGGTCGTCATTTCTTCACTAGTCATAAAACTCAACAGTCCGATAAGGATGGTCGACACCTCCCATGCGGGATTGAACGACTTGGGGTGGAAATCGCTGATGCTGAGACATAATCTCGTAGATGGTTGGAATCTGCCGCTGGGTGTATGCATTCGGATAGCTGGTGGTGCAAATGGATACTCGGGAGGGAATATCAATGTACCCCAGTATTGTCCGTTCTCATACGGAGTTTTCGGCGGACCGGTGAGGACATAATGCCATCTGGAGTCCAAAGTCAGTGGAAGTCAGTGGAATCGTCGTTCTGCCAAGAGCGGGAGACTAACTCTAGTATGTTGGTTTCTGAGGGATGTGCTACAATATATGGAGGAGGATTCTTTTGGATATTCTGATATTCCCTCGTAAGCTAGGAAAGGTCGCCAAAGGTCAGCTTAGAATCAATGATGAAAGGGTGCTCTCTGGACACATACTCGTTTGTGTGCTGCTTTTGTAGCCATGGTAACTGTGAGATGTGACTTCTGGGCGAGCTGATATCGACGAGTAAAGGAGGAATACCAAAAGCCGTAGTCTGAAGGTGTAGAATGGAGTGCGTATGGCGATGGTTGACTGAGGGAGATGATACGGCGGATAGCGTGTTTAACCAATCATTGTTTACATACGGTCCCGCAATCTAGTACATCGCCGCTGCCTTGAGAGCGATATCCATTATTATTAATAGTACTATATAGTCAAACAGAAGAAATATAAATTCCCTGGCCTTTGTACAAACATCGAGTGAGTAACCAGACTGAACAGTAAGTACGTAGCGTGGGTATTAGAATATATACCATTAAATATACCATAGAATCAATCATGGGGCGGTGGTGTAGTTGGGAGTCACATTCGACTGAAGTCTACTTTGGTTTCACATATATCGAAAGGTCACCCGTTCGATCCGGGTTCGTCCCATTTCCTTTTTCTTTTTATTTTCCCTTGGTTTTTTGTCTCGTCTCCATTTCTTTTTGTCTGTCAGATCCCGAAATGTCCCATACGTAGTAGTAGTTCTTGGGCAAAGTCATAAGTCGCCTCATAAACGTTCCTAACCCCCAAATATCTGTTGGCAAATATTTACATCGTTTTGATCTCTCTTAAATCTATTAATTACTAACTGCTATGCCATTCAGCAAGTTTATAAATACTAGATTGGATAAGAAAGGATCCATGATATTGTCGGAAACTTCGGTCAAACTACCGTCGAGTATATCTCGGATAGCTTATAACACGCTGAAGTTATAAGGCTTCTAAGTACGAAAGGCTTCTTGAAAGCAAAGTCTTAACAAAAGGATGAATATCCGGTTCGATAGAAGAACGTATACTCAAGTTGTCAAAGCTAAGGGGTACTTAGCACGGTTAATTCAAGACGATAGAATAAAACTAAATACATGCTGTAATGAGCGTCCTTATATATTCCATCATCAACATAGCCATCAGAGTCTCTGCTCTGCTTGCTCTGTTTATCTCATCATAGCCAACATAGCCATCGCTCTGTTGGCTCTGTTACCCTAACCCTAGTGGTTTCGGATAATCCTTGCTTCCGTGGTGCAGTAGTGTAACACTATCTAGTCAATCCATTGGCTGCGGATTCTTGATTCTTCTGACAGATATAATAAATAATAATACGCATTATTAGTTATGCCATATAAAGATTATAGAAGAGTATCTAGAATTCCTTGCCCATCCCAGTCCTTTGCGCATTCTGATGCTTCAAGCAGCCCTGCACTAGATTTCGTAAGATCCCATGGGACACGATAAGGAGAACCTGAAAAAACTTTTTCTGGCTTGTCACTCATTCCGGGTATCAAGAGAACTTCGATTGCAAACTGCGAGAGCCTTGGATATCTTCCATACCGGATAGACTGACTCCACCATTGAATGGCGGTGGTATCATTATCCAGCATAATTGGGTTCTCACCATTATAGTTATCAAACTAATCCTGATTCGACGGACGAGTTTGCTTCAAAATATGCATGTGACAAGCTTTACGGAAGACAGAGATTTACCTCTGGCTGGAGAGCATGCTTGCCTACACTTTCAGACTCGTACAGCACAGCTGAAAATGGAATTTTGTCGTGGAATCTCTCCCAGAGCTTCCGTACAATGTAGAGCTTCTTTTCTCCTTCGGTGGCGATACTCCCGTTCCCGTCTTTTAAAAAGGCTGTCCGACATTGTGGATTGAGAATACGGGCTGCTCATAGTACGGAAAGCGTCTAATCTCTGGACGTAGGTTGCGCACTTTTCCTGGGCACGTTGGAGTCGAGGAGCCATAGACTTGTGTACAACGTTGTTGTGGAGTTTTCCCATTGGTTCCATGATATCTCGAATGTTTTTGTCTCTTTCGTCAGGTTCCTCATTTTTCTTTTTCCTTTTGTCTTTCGACGTGGCTGGTAGTAGTATTGATTGTAAGGCTTCTTCCTCAGTCTCCTCTCCTTCCTATTCCTCATCTTCTTTATCGTATAACTCCATGAGCTTCTCACCCCCCTTTGAACTGAACAGAAAGGTCTGAACGATGAGGTTGATGACACGTCCTTGACAGCGAATTCTTTGATGCGTTGCGGTCCACGTAATCTCATGCTCGAGGCTGCCATTGGCCTATCATACGACAGAGAACGTCATTTGATCCGGCATGATCTCTAACGAGGGCTCCAATCTTCGTTTCAATTCCATACTCAATGAGAACCGGACGAAGCGCCTCCCACTGACCTGCTCCACCCTGACTATGTAATGGACGAAGGGCATTCAGAGGGTTCTGATATTATCCTGGATATCGACAAAGCCGGCACATATTCCGAGAAGAAGGGAATGGCTTGGAGAAGTCCGGATGTCAACAGCAAGATGGATGCTCGTCTTTGCAGATTGAAGTACTTTTCGCACAGTATCCTGGCCTTGGACGAAGTGTTCCGCAATCCACTCTGTTATTGTTGAACGATGATTGGGGATAAACGAGGGCTATTCTCGATTTAATGCCTTAACGAAAGTATGACATTTCAGCCATTCTACGCAGGAGCATGGAAGTCGTCGTATGATAATAAGATTCAAAAGTGTTCGTTTCACAGCATCTTGCTGTACCATCCGCCTTAGCACCTCGCCCTCAAGGCCCTGAACTTCTGCTTTTGTTAAAAGCTTTCCATACAGCTCCTGAACTGAATTCTCTCCGAGATTTCTCGCCGTCGTGCGAATACTATTCTCTTCCGGGCTCCAGTGAATCTCATGTTGTCTCCGTAGATGACGTTGCAGCCCCTGGGCTGACGCATGGTGTCTTTTTTGATCTTGAGGAGGGCAATATTTACAGAAATAATGTTCTTTTGGTTCGAATCTTTTCCTCTTTCGTTGCAGCACGGCAATGCTTGTGGATTGATTCTTGGGATTTGTGTAGAACGACTCGTTGAGATAGAGTCCACATCAGCTTCGGTGTCAACGGCGCCCAAAAGAGAAGAAGCTGTATTCACTTCAAAGAAATCATTGTCATGCAGAGTTTCACTATAATTAGCCATAATAGTTTTGTTTTTTCAACTTCTGTCCCCGTGGGGATTCTGAGGAATAATTGCCAAGCGCTGTCAGACACTGCTGTCGGTTCGACAGCCTGTCGGCCGCAAATCTGAACATCCCGGCTGTCAACACGCACGGACCATCACCAGTTCCGATTCCGTCAAGGTCTTCGTTCACCCTACACAAAAACACTTCCCAGTGCAAGCATTGCGCCGGAAAGATGGCTTCCTCGATTATCGGTGATGACGAGGATGTAAGTTCTATGTTTTGATGTACTGAATATACTGTCAAATGGGCGCAAAGCTTATTATCGCTAGATCTTCAATCGACTACAGCAACCCGCCGATCCGAAAGTATTGGAGGAGCAGCAGCAAGCTGTCAATGAGCGCATCAATGCCATCTACCAGAAAGCGCAAGCTCGGCTTGCAGAGATGGTAAGAATTGTTTGAAAGTGAAGAATAGAAGCGTCCTAATTCTGTCCCAGATTGATGAGAACTCGACGCTACCATGCACGATATCCCGCATACAGATACTCAACGCGAATCATACACGGAAAGGTTTCTTGGAACGCATCTTCAATCCGATACTCAGTGCCAATCAGACAAAGCCGTACACACTAGCAGAAGCTCTGCAACGTGTCTCGCAAGAAGCAAACAAACTCAGCGGTTTCGGTAGGACTCTTTTTCGTCTTCTACGGGCCGCGGCTAATATATCGTTCCAGACATCTTTCACGAACCAATTTCAGTTTTCCTGGACAAACCAACAGATCCCAATGCGTTACCTACAGATTTAGATGTGTACCTATCTGTCCGAGAGAAATCGCGGATCCTCCTGAAAACCGGAACTGACCTAGGCAACGCCGAAGGCTCTGCGTACGGAAACCTGCTGTGGCGCAATATCTTCGGCGGCGCTGAGTCTTTGAACTTGAATGCATCTTTGGGCACACGAACGAGATCTGCATACCAAGCTGCATTCGAGACCCCGATATTAAGCGACCCCAATTTTCGCCTAGAAGTCGGCGCCGTAGCTAGTGCAACGCAGAAACCCTGGGCCAGTCATGAAGAAGTCTTGAAGGGTGGATGGGCTAGACTACGATGGCAAAACCAATCAGGTCAACGACACGAACTTACATATAACGGATTCTGGCGTCAAGTTACTGCACTATCACCAGATGCTTCGTTAGTTGTTAGAGGCGATGCGGGCGACAGTGTCAAAAGCAGCATTTCATATACTTGGGTCCGTGATGGCAGAGATCATCCTCTTCTTCCGTCTAGTGGCACATATGCGAAAACTCTTAACGAGGTAGCTGGTATTGGACCACTTAAAGGAGACGTCGCATTCTGGAAGTCAGAAGTCGAAACTCAGGGTGCCATTCCCATCCCTCTTCCTTTCATCAAAGGTCCAAGCGGCGTCAGTTTCACGACAGGCCTTCGTGCCGGACTTCTCTATCCTCTTAATCTCAACTCAAGTGCGACACCACAACCATCGCGCATCAACGATCGCTTCTTGCTCGGCGGTCCCACAGATGTTCGTGGCTTCCGTCAAGCAGGGCTTGGACCGCGCGACGGCAGCGACGCAGTAGGAGGCGATATTTACGCTGCAGGAAGTGCGAATCTCTTTGTTCCTCTCCCTCGCGTCGGTAAAGATACGCCATTACGCCTGCAAGCATTTGTTAACGCCGGCCGTCTTCTCTCCCTTCGCACCTCCGAAAACGAACGGCCAAAGACCAACGATCAAGTGCAGAATGCGGTTTCGTCAGCCATAAGCGAACTCACCAACGGTCTCCCCAGTACTGCTGCTGGTATTGGATTGGTTTATGCGCATCCCGTTGCTCGATTTGAGCTGAATTTCTCTCTTCCCATCTACCAGCGCAAGGGAGAGGAGGGAAGAAAAGGACTTCAATTGGGCATAGGCATCAATTTCATGTAAACTTGTATTGTAGCATTAGATACATTGACCAGATTATTTAGAGCGTTCAAAATTTTATCCTTGACGTATTTGTTTCTATCAGCCTGCTGATGGTGGCAGCCAATCACGGGAGCTCCCACCGGCCAAGCTGTCTACTCCACAACTTCTTCTACAACTTTACAACCTTGAAACAACACGTTCACATCAATATCTCACGAAGTACTCAACAAACACATTCTGGACCTGATCCATACCGAAACCAAACCTATTCTCATTTTGGCTCCGGCTACCAAAGGCCTAAAAGAAGAAGACTGCGCACACATCTGGCCACGATGGCCCAATACTACGGCTCCCAATCCCCTCAAAACCTCCAATTCTACCCATCCTCCTACTCAGTCTCAGGCCACACCACACCATCCCAAGCCTCTTACGGTATCGGCTATAGCGGCCAACCATCCACCCAAGCATATTCCGGCTCATCAGCAGGTGGTGGTTATGGAGGAGCAGGCGGATTCGGTGCTGCTGGGGTCTCTAGCGGCGTATCTGGTAGAATGGGGGAACAGGGAGGGTTAAGGACAGGATGGTTAGCTGCGTTTGGTACGGAAGGGTATGATGGTGAGCCGCCGTTGTTGGAGGAGTTGGGTGTTAATTTTGATCATATTCGGACCAAGGTATTTCCCTCCCTATCAGTATAGAGTGATTGCGGATGAATACTGATGCTGATTATATAGACACTTACCGTCCTCAACCCCTTCGCACAAATAGACCAACACCTCATGGACGACAGCGACCTATACGGCGCAATCCTCTACATCGTTCTATACGGCACATTCCTCCTGTTCTCCGGCAAAGTGTTTTACGGCTACATCTACGGCGTCGCTGTATTCGGTACTTTGGCACTACATCTCATCCTGAGTCTAATGTCTCCTTCCCTGGATACAACCAGCGTCGTTAATGCGGCATCACCGATCCCCAATGCGGCGGATCCGAATAATTATGATCCTCATCAGAAGCCGCCTGGTCATATCGCTGGTGGGGTTGCGACAACGGGTCATTTTTCGGCTACGTTGACATTTCCGCGCTCCGCTAGTGTGTTGGGGTACTGTTTTTTGCCGCTTGTTTTGACCAGTTTGATCGGAGTGTTGATTCCTATGGATACTATGTTTGGGTATTTACTTACCTCTGCCGCCGTGGGGTGGTGCACTTATAGCAGTTCGGGCATGTTTTGTGCTGTGGGCAGAATGCGTGGTATGAGGTTCCTGGTGGCTTATCCCTTGGCATTGTTTTATATTGTGTTTGGCATTATGGGGATCTTTTCATCGAGGGGGAGTGGTACCTTGGCCGCTAAGACGGGGAGTTATTAATACGTACATGGCCTTCATTGACCAGAAACAGCTGAGATCTAAGCACGAAGGGTTCGTTATATGAGTTACTGGTAGTTGTATAGTAGACCGAATATACATGACTTATGATAGATTATGCTATGATATATGTATTATCGCTGTTCATCCTTCCTAGGCGCCCATGAACTCATCCACTCCCTCGCCTTCTCCAAATCCCCACTACTTGCCTCCAACGCAGCAAGACACCATCTCAAATCATACACTCCCTCTGCAGCAATCAATTCACCTATCACCCGGCGCTGTTGACTCATTTCATCCGCACAGAGATAGAATAACCTGTCTCCCTCCGCAGTCGAATCGGTCTGATTAGGTTGCGTGTTTATCGAAGCGATGAGAGGTTTAATGACTTGTAGAATTTCCTTGGAGGATGTTAGCAGCTCCGTGCTTGCGGAGGAGGAGTTTGGATGTCCTGTTTTGCAATATACGTTTCGACACCAGGATTTACCGCAACCTGTAAGCATTTGAGAGAGATATCTTCGCTCAATACGTCGTTTTAAGGCTTTTCCTTCTGGGTCGTGCGCATCTGTATACAACGGTGCAAAGCATATATTACACAGACCTAGGGGTGTAGTTCGACTTTTGAAGGTACGACCGCAATTCACATTTCGACATATCGATGGTGCAGGTCGTGAGAGACGCTCGAGGTCGTGATGGCGTAGATGGGTTTTCATGTCGCGGAGTCGAATGATTTTGTTGCAGAGATGACATTCTGTTGTACGGCCCCCGTCGATGATTTCGTGCGGTGTGAGACCAGAGAGTAAAACTTCGGGGTCGTTCATGTCCGGGTCTGAATCGCCCTGTTGGGGGACAACTAAGTGGCAGAACTGACACAGGATCAGCTTTCCGGGACACCTAGTTGTCCGATGGTGCGCGAGAGATGGTAGATTGTCTGCAGTATAGTCGCAATTGAAGCATGAATGCGATTTATGGAATATATAGTCATGTTTCTCTTTGCTCGGTTTATCGTTGCCGTAAGACTCGTCATGTTCACAATGCCAGTGATTTTGCCATTCGCTCGAGGATTTCTGAAAGACATTCTTGCACTTTGGACAGAGAATATTATTCCGTAGACAGAAATTCTCGTGTAAAAATAACGTACGTCGAGGAACCCATTGCTGACAGTTTTTACATTGAACTTCGTCGGGATTGTGCTCATTCACATCAATCATATTCTCGTCACCGTCAGCCTGGACAGTATCAACCACGCGAAGCATAAATTCGAACGGCGCCTCCGTATCATCTTCATCATGGAGCGAGAAAGCATGCACAGAGACATACAGCTTCTCCGCATCAGCCATTTCCGGCAGAGAAGAATCCAATTTCAAAACCTTAAACGACTTCGACGACATATCACCAAAGACATGCTCATCACTCCGAGGTTGCGCCCTTTGATATGCCGAGAATGGACTAACGAAAATATCCAAATCAGCTCCATCAACAGCCTCAAGTTCCAATTGTAGTCGTCGTCCTCCTTCCTTTATCGCCGTATCAGATAATTCATAATCCACGTAATCACCGCTCTTAACCCGTCCTTGGATTTGTTGACCTTTCTTAATCGGACCTCCCGGCGAGCTCCCCTTTTCAGAGCCTGGTTTCCGCGCCGCCTTTTGCGAAAGCTTTTGTAATGTTTCTCGCGCTTGTTCCTCATTTAACGGCTCGATATCCACTTCCAGATCGGTGTCGACTATACATATCCCACTTCCCCCTCCTTCTTCCGGTGCGACTTTGTCTATCAAGAATTCGAAGAATCGACCTCGTCCACTGGGGACAGTGAGCAGCTCGCCAACCGTCAACGTAGTGAAATTCTCGCGTAAATGTCGTTCTAATAAAGCCTTCCAATCTTCAGGGTCGTACCCTGCTTCAAGAGGTCGGAGTCGTACATATGTTCCCTTGGGAAGTTGCTGCGCGTGAACCGTGACCGTGACTTCCTCTTCTTTCTCATCTTTTTCTAGCTGTCCATCTAACTCCAAGGCATGCAGTAAGAATTTACTTAAACATACATGTCCCTCCTCAGCCGAAAACTCGCGAATACCCGCATATACCACTCGCCCATTACGCGGATTCACAAGGCGAAAGGTAAGCGGATGCGGTAATTGTGGTTGTTGTTGAGCGCCACCGGACGAAGCGTACGCGCGCGCTCTCGATTCAGCTGCAAAGGTATATGGATTGAACGGGTCGAATATGGATGTATGTTGTTGGTGAAAGTTTGTCTGTGGATTATCGACTTGTACGACCGGAGCTGCGGAGAGAAGTTGCTCGAGTGCTGAGGGGGGAAGGAGGATTTTGTCGCCTGGTAGTGATCGTGAGGTATGTGCCGGAGTGGATAGTATTAGCTGAGAGGACCATTTCAATATCATCGAATTGGAAGTTTGGTCTGCCATAACTGCGTTATGATATCAATATGTTCAGAAACTCGTCATTCAAATATTGTACATGTTTCAAATGGTTATAAGTTAAGAGGTTTGTTTTGTAGATGTTGCTGACGGTTGTTCTGGAAGCTACTTTGCGTTGCTAATCCTTATCTTATCTAATCGATATCCGCCCCGCGATCTTAATCAGCTCGACGGTGATTGGCTTCTACGATTCACTTTTACTAATGTACTGTATGGATGAAAATTGTTGAGATTATGTGAGTAGAGTGTAGTCTTTATCGTATCATAATAGTATAAATCATTAGAAGCCACCTTCAGGGTCTCGAGATACCGATCAAGTTTCCAGCACTATTTGCGTATCGTTTGTACTTGCTCTGCGTTATGGCTCGTTGTAATTAAAGAGTAGGGTTTATATCGGGACATTATTCGTAAGGTTTCCTCTCAATAGAGGTCACTGCCTAGTCGGCGAGAACTCGTGTTGCACCAGTCACACTATGAGCAGGTTAGACTAGAAATCCGGTACGTGGCGATGATACATACTTTTGTGGAGGAACATCCATCGTTGTGCTTGAGGCAGTACTCGCCATAGCAAGTACCGCAACTGCGTTGACGCTCAAGCTTGCAGCTTGCACACTATTATACAGTTAGTGAAATCCTACACAGTGTCTAGCTACTGAAACCTACTGTGGGCCCGCATTCCCAACAATCTCTGCTCACGCCTGGTCCCAGCCTCTCTGGTGAAAAATCTCTAGGTTCACCTGCGCCTGGTCGGCGTATGACAGTCTGATGAGGCGAGAGACGAGTCACTGCTTCCTCCGGCCTCGGTAAACAGTTGAAACAGAACCACTTGTGGCATTGATGGCACCACCTGCTCTGCAAACAATCTGCACAACGCGCAAACATAACAGCAGTCTCGTTCCTTGGCACAGGTCGTTTAGCATCGGTAATGTTGGATGCGTAGAGGGGTAGAGGGTTAAGTAGAGGGAAATGAGAATCAGGAGATTCGGCCCAGATTGCGGGACCTTCAGGAGACGTGCGACAACCATCGCAGCCACGGGGTCCCAAAGAGACTGTTGCAATGGCTGCAGGCAGAAGAGGGTCTCCTGGGCAGGGTAGCGTCTTGTTGGTCGATGCGTAAAGGTCGGCGTTGTGTCTCGGGCCCCGACATAGAACAGCATCAAAGGAGATGATACCCTCGCATTTCTTAAGCGTCTGAGCCCAGCCGGCTTCAATGTTGCGTTTCAGGACCTTGCCAAATGGTTTGTACCACTCATTGAGACTCTCACCTTGTTGCGACTCTGGATCAGTTGCCGAACGTGATGTTGACTGACCACTAACTCGCGTCTGCCACCATTCTCGCCGGGATGAGCCTCGACGTTGGTGTGACTTTTCATTTGATTCCTTCGGCGTGAAATAATATATACCTTTCACTTTCGGCGTCTTTGCCGGACGGGTTGGGCGCACTGCATATTCCAGTATCTGCATGAGCTTACGCTCATTGAGATGGGAGCATTCCCGAATCGAGAGAATATTCACATTAAATCGATCAGTCAGAATGATATCGGCGACCAGATCAGCCGGAACAGATAGACCGTCCAATATCAATGTTCGCACACTCCCTAAAAGTGACTGGCGCTCAAGACGGGAAAAGATCCCTCGTAACGGCCCAGCGTAGAACTCATCTTCCGTAACGGACTCATCCATCCTCTCGTTTCGCCATTGCTCGCCACCGGCATCGATGGCTTTTCTTTCCGGAATTTGAGCTACTCGACATGTGCTCAAATCGAGATGTCTGAACACATATGGAGTTTCCATGACGACGGAGCGTACTGCTTTATTCGTTGAAGCCAAAGACATCAATGCCGAGACTGGCAGCAGTGGAATCAGGTGATGCAAAACCACACTGTTGGCCAGGAGATCGAAAATATTAGTAGGAATGACCGGTAGCGGTGGGCAAATCTCTTCTTCAGGGGTAGGAACGATTTCTTGAACAGAGATGAGTCCTAACTCCTTTGCAGTGAGACGAGCAGCACTCCCAGCGAAGAAGTCATGGTCGTAACTGATCAGGTGGTTCTTGTGAGCAGCCAGCGCTCCTGTTGTGACATCGTCCAGGGACAATATCTGGAGCGGGCTGGGTTGGACTTCATGTAGAGCACTCCTGGCCCTTGCCAGCTCTATCTCTAAGAGATCAATAGTAGGTGTGTGCACGGCGGCAGACATGCTTAATTTCGTTCTGTGGACTGGTTGGATTTGTTCTTGTTATTCTGTCGTGAAGTGTCGGTGATAATCCCCATCCAAGTGTCTAGACTATCAATGTATATAAACTGATCGAGTGATGCGGAGTCAGAGGCAGAGTCAGAGGAAGAAGAAAGTGGGAGAGACAGATTCTTAAATTAGACCAATTCTTTGAAAATGCTCTTCTTTCTCGATCGTCCCTTGTTACTTGCACATCCCCCAATTGTGTCCCAAACTGGCAAGTAAGAAAAAAATTCCGGGCCTGGTTGACCCCTTGACTAGCAAAGTGGGTCGAAATGGAGACTCGGGAGCGCCTTTTGTTATCAGCAGCTAGATCAAACAATACAACGGCGAAGCTTGAAACAAGATCTGTATCAAGCATCGAGCAGCTGATTGAACCATTGTATATGATAATGGATATAAAATATTAATAATGGAGACGTACCGCGTGAACAGGTTGAATTTTTTGGTTCCTTCGATCTGTTCGAGCGGAAGGACCAAAAGAGTAAACCCGGAGGAACGGTGCCTTAGTCACCAGAAAAAAGGTGGTAAGCAACACGTGCGAGTGGAGTCTCCCAGCTCTGGGTTGTTTATTGGTTTGCTGGTTGTGAATCTGAAAGAAGAGGGAGAAGAGGGAGAGGGAGAAGAATGCAGAGATGAGGGAGGATTATATGTCTGACAGACTGACTGTCAACTGTCTCCAGGTAGGACAAGACCTTCAGGTGAAGCAAAAGAGACTAGTGTACCTGACAAGTCAGCCAATGGTTCGGGGTTTAGTATTCATAGAATAATAGATTCGCCTCATCAGTCCGGAGGAGTGATAGCCGGCTAATAAGCCTAAAAGCCTAAACAGATCTGCACCACCAAGCCATAGCCCCCCAAGTGCATATTCATCAGCCAATATCCACCGGATCTGCTGACAGGAGATCATCTTGACAGGCAGAGTGCGGAGGCGTCCGTACAACTCGGAAAAGCAGCCAACAGCCCGATAGAGTATTCGCAATCAGCATATCCATCCAGCAAAGATCGACTGGCTTATCGCCACTCCGGAGCACCGGCAGACGTGGATTTCTTGTCAATTGGGGATAGATAATTTTTATAGCATCGCCCCGCAATCTCCGCTTTTAAAAAAGAAAGGAAGGTCACGCGCCGGGGCTAGCCCGAGTGGGTCGATCTGACTAAGTCCAGACTCTCAGAAGCTTACTCAGGCTGAGTGATGCCCAGACTATACCGAGACAACACTGAAAATCAGATCTACAGATACAGACCAAGACAGATCACAACATGCAGGTAGCACATACCAAACGTAGTGCAACACTCGTTAAGCTCGCTATGATTCTAAATTACATAGTTCCCAATAGTCCATGCCAATGAAGCTATGCCAATGCTTGGCTCGCCGATCAAACAATGGTGTATGAATAGCGACAACTCCCAGCATCCTGACCGCGTACGACAACGACTACGACGATAACGTACGTACTGTCTATTTCCAGACCTTGCCCAGACTCACCTCCTTGTCGTCGTGCTTGTTCAGAATCTTGGCCGTCGCCAGGTCAAAGTCCTCCTGAGTCACATGCACTCGTCGCTCTCGTAGAGCATACATGCCCGCCTCGGTGCAGACTCCCTTCAACTCAGCTCCGGAGCATCCGTTCATCTTCTCAGCAATCTTTGTCAGGTTGATACCGCGCGTCAGGTTCATGGATCGGGAATGAATACGTAGAATGTCCGCTCGAGCTTCCACACTACATAAGAAAGGTCAGCATGATACTAAAATACTATAAAAGTAGACAGAACATACGTTGGAGGTGGGAATTCAATCTTTCGGTCAATACGTCCAGGTCGCAGAAGGGCAGGATCGAGGATATCCAATCGGTTCGTTGCCATAATAACCTTGATGTTCTTGGTGGGCTCGAATCCATCAAGCTGGTTCAAGAGTTCCAGCATCGTTCGCTGTACCTCGGAATCACCACCACTGCTACCCTCAACTCGACTAGATCCGATACTATCAATCTCATCCATGAAGATGATACTGGGAGCATGCTCTCTGGCCATCACAAACAATTCTCGCACCATTCGACTTCCCTCCCCAATATACTTTTGTACCAATTCCGATCCACTAACCCGAATGAACTTGCAGTCTGCGTGGTGAGCAACTGCTCGTGCCAGTAGCGTCTTTCCCGTACCAGGTGGTCCATAGAGAAGCACTCCCTTGGGTTGAGCAATACCGAGCGACTCGAAAAGTTCTGGGTGTTTCAATCCAAGCTCGATGACTTCCTTGATTTCCTTGATTTGTTGGTCCAGCCCACCGATCATATCGTAAGTACTGTCTGGAACCTTTTCCACCATCATCAGCGAGACGAGAGGATCAACGGACGACGGAAGCATCTTTTCAAGCTTATATGTATCGGAAAGTAAGGAAACACGCTTGCCGACGGTGAGTTTAGAAACATCCACGTTATCGGCGATGTCGACAACTAGACACCGCATCATTAGCCACTGAAACCGCTCATCACCATCACTTCACTTTTGCTACATGTACGCAAACTTACCGTATTTCCCCTCTGGATGGACCTTGACAAGCACCTTCTTGGTGCCCATCACCTTAACCACCTCACCAACATAGGATCCAGGTTGTTGTAGCAACCCAAGTTCTTCCCTCAAAAGACGGACTCTGGAGTTGTAATCATTTCGTTGAGCTTCTAATCTTCGTAGTACGGCTTGGCCCTGTATAATCTCGAGCTTCATGCTCTCGATTTTGTTGCGATAGTAGTTGTCCAACGCCATGGTTGATGAAGATGGAGAGGCGGCTCCCCTTTGACGGCGCAGGAGGTCTTGTCAGATTATATCGAGTTGTCGGTGGATTATGTGCAGTATATTGAGTGGCTCTAATGACAAGCAGGTAGATATCAAGGACGTGGAAATGGGTTGTGATGGGAGGCAAGCCGTGTGATGGGATGACGAGCATTTATCTCGACGAGCTTCCACGGAAGGTGCTCTGCCGCTAGCCACAAGCCACATCCACCAGCCACCGAGTGCATACCTATCAGCTGTGGCTGGATTCTTCCCCGCCAAGAGCTTCTGAGCAACGAATCTACAATTCACCTTCAACTGAATACTTATTCATATGATGGCTTAGTTTGAATGTTATGTGACTGATTATATGGCTGAGGTTGGTCAGATCAGCTCATCTACAGCTAAGCACGCTGTCTCGAAGCGAGGAAACATCCAAACCATAGCTATCTACATACGTACTAGTCAGCTGCATCTAGTCTGATTCCAATCCACCTTAACAATGTCTTGCGCGAAGGTCAAGGCTATTATAATAAATTCTCGAATTCTCGTCTATAGTCTCATCCTCTCTCTTCAAGTGACGTAGTAAACAATACCTAAGAATTTTAGACTCTTAACGTGGAAGCGGAGCAGACCCCGTGAGCTACTCATGCATAATTAACCTGCTTGGTCCGCCTGCCTCATGCAACCTTTAGCTTCCCTCCTTCAACTTCTGAATTCCTAAATGAGTGTTCGGGGACATCCCCAGCCTCTTTTACTGACGCAATATGCTTAACAAGAGCTGTCAATACGAACGCGAGAGGTAGATCAACTACATTGCAAACAGCTGACAGCGCGTCGCGAGCTTTGAACGTTATCCTAGCGGCCTGATATTCAAAGATAATCATATCATATAGACATCCTCAGCCGCAACAATGGCTGACCACGAATCGCGAGGCGACTCGTCGCATCCAGCAGAAGACTCTGGCGCAGAGTACGGGTCGTCGAGTTATGCTACTATTGTGCAGACTGACGAAGATGCGTCGTCCAGCAGAGAGGCGTTCCAACGGCCTAGGCAAGGCCGTGGTTATGGTAGGATTCCCCGTGACCAAAATCCTCACTTCAAATTCCTAAAGCTCATACTATGGATTCTAGGGTCTATCACTCAGTCTTCTGGACGGGCGAATTTAACGGAAGATGAATCGATACGTTCTGGATCTGGTCGTCATCAACACCCTCAATCTCCAAATATCGGTCCCCAGTCTGAGCGGACAAGAAAACCATCTACGATACGCCGAATGTCTTCGAAGCCTTATCGAGGTCAAGAGTTCTCCGTTGATGATGATGCCCGTGAAGTTGAGCAGGACAATGCCTTGCAGCAACAACAGCAGACGAGCATCCCGGCACAACCTTCCCCAAGGATCCTTCCCACGACGACTAAGAATTCCACACTGAGGCGACGAAACAATGCAACAGCCCCTTTGACCCATAAAGGTAGCTGGCAAAATGATGACGACGACTTTACACTCCCTGAAGCCGGACCGAGTAACTTCGGGGAGGATGACTTGGAGGATGGCTTGGAGGATGAGAATGGAGATGATAACGATGACGCCGACAACCGCAGTGAAGCAGAGAGCTTTACATTGAGGGACCGTCAAGCAGCGATCAACGAGACACATCCGTTCGGTATCAGAATTTGGAAGCCTGCGCTATACAAGAAGAACCGCTCGGTTGAGAAGACTGCTGAAGGTGATATCCACTCGTCTCCCGGTGGACGTGTTAACAACCTCTTATTTCTTGTCAATCTAATGTGGTCATTTATATTCGGATGGTGGCTTGCGATTGCTGCCCTGGTTGGCGGTATAGCTTGTTATCTTTGTATCTTCTCTCCTCACGCAAGAGAGTATGGAAACGTCTTCTTCGGTCTGTCCCGTTATATGCTTTATCCCTTCGGGTCATTTGTTCGGCTAGAAAGCGATGAGCATTATGTCGACGAGGATGAAGGCGAGGGTCGCAGTATCAGCGAATATGAGCAGTGGCAGAGCGGAGACTTGGAGCATGGACGACTGTTCTTTGGTCCCACAAGCAGCAGATCCCTTGTCGGGCGACGACGAAGTAGCATCGACTCGGGGTTCAGTGAACATGACAGTCTGCTCGGACGTACTGGTAGAGGTGGTCGCCTCGGGTCGAATTCTTCCAGACCAAAACGAAGACTGTTTGGCCGCGGCGAGTGGACTTTGGCCAGAGTTGTTTTCTTTGCATTTTTCTATTTCCTCACGGGCCCGCTGATGCTTTTGGTGTCATTAATATGTTGGTTTTTTGTCTTCTTGATACCCATGGGCCGCGTGATGAATATACTTGTGGACCACCTTCGTCGCCATCCTCTTGCTTTGTCTTTTCACTACGATTCCACATACACGCGGTTGCCATCTAGCCCTTCCTCTTCAATCCTCCTGTGTACGTACAGGGCGGCTGGTCTGCGCTACTGGAAGTACACTATTGACGGAACCAACATCTTCCTTTTCAACCTCATGAGCATCGTAGTTTTCGTTATCTTTGACTACTGGGTGCTGGATGTGACCTTCGGGTTTGATTCATGGTTGACACATCCGGGCCTTGTCTTCACACTATCCCTTTTGTCAATAATTCCTCTAGCATACTTCATCGGCCAAGCAGTTGCTTCCATTTCCGCCCAGTCTTCCATGGGACTGGGTGCTGCTATCAACGCTTTCTTCTCTACTGTAGTAGAAGTTTTCCTCTACTGCGTTGCTCTCGACCAGGGCAAAGCTCAGTTAGTTGAAGGAAGTTTGATTGGCAGTATATTTGCCGGTATTCTCTTCCTACCGGGATTGTCAATGTGTTTTGGTGCGATTCGTCGCAAAACGCAGAGATTTAACGTGAAATCTGCAGGCGTTACTTCGACCATGCTACTCTTCGCGGTAATTGCTGCGTTCGGACCAACTTTGTTTTATCAAATATACGGTAGTGTATGTGTTCACTCTAGACATGACTTTGTATCACGGTATACTGACTCCCGACAGCACGAGCTTAACTGCCGGTCATGCGCCAATTCGTTTGACGAACGTGATTGCCGCCGATGCTACTTCTCACAATCTCCTGCCATTAATGATGAGTTCTTCCGCAAAGCAGTACAGCCATTCTGCTGGTTTGCGGCCGTCTTCCTCTTTTTGTCATACATTATCGGCCTGTGGTTCACTCTTCGGACCCATGCTGCCGTCATATGGGCCACTGATGGAGACGAAAAGAAAGCTCCTGCTGTAGGACATGAATCGTCCATGCACGACTCGCGCCATTCTCAGCACCCAAATGGCCTATCTGGATTCGGTGGAGATATTCAATCGAATAATATCAGAGAGTCTCAATTATACAAACGTATCTTGGGACAATCATTGCAGCAAATTGGTCTTGAACATGAAAGCTTTGATTTTGGCTCCGTCAACGGGTTACCACCACATTTGGATCCATCCCGACCGAAATCTCCAGATGACCTCCACGGGTTGCACCTTCGCGGGCTGACGGAGGAAGACAACGAAAACCTCGCGCGTCAAGTGGCTGAAGTCGCAGCGACCGCTGCAACGGTAGCCGCGCGCGATTCCACTCGAAATCATCATCACAGAACCTCCGGGAACCCGGGACGAGCGCAAGAAGCAAAGACCACAAGTCAATCGGGACCTATTACCGAGGAGCACGAGTTTACCGGGGCACCAGTAGAGACGCATACTGGCGGAGGTCACGATGCGCCGAACTGGAGCAAAACGAAGAGTGCAGTTATACTTCTTGGAGCCACGGTTCTTTACGCCGTCATCGCTGAGATCCTCGTCGATACTGTCGATGTCGTTTTGGAAAGCGTGGATATAGACGAAAAGTTTTTGGGTATTACTTTGTTTGCATTGGTGCCGAATACAACTGAGTTCTTGGTAAGTTTTCTATACTATTTCATGATGAGATCACGACTGACTGGTTCGGATTCTAGAATGCCATCTCATTTGCGATGAATGGAAACATTGCGCTTTCTATGGAGATTGGTTCTGCATACGCTCTTCAAGTCTGCTTACTCCAAATCCCAGCACTCGTACTATACAGTGCTGTGAACGCACGATTCATTGACCCGGCTGACCTGATCAGCCATTCATTCAAGTACGTTCCACAGCTGCCACATATATTCTAACTCACAGCTAACGTGTCGTTTTCAGCCTTATATTCCCCCAATGGGACATGATAACCGTAATCCTCTGCGTCTTCCTCCTCTCATACGTCTACGGAGAAGGGAAAAGCAATTACTTCAAAGGCTCGATCCTGGTCTTAACCTACCTAGTCGTTATAATCGGATTCTATCTATCTGGTTACAATGACCTTGAGACCCTCGGCATCGACCGCTTTGATACTTTGGCACTTGGTTCGTCGTCGTCATCTTATTCAACTGCTGGTGGGAAGTTTTATACCGTTGGACAGGGTAAGAGTGGTATCGCTTTTCCTGCCTCCGCGCCGGCGTAATTGATTCCTGCAAGATGTTCTATATAATGCCCTCTCTTTTTGTGTAGTGTATGAAGCTTGCTTTTTGGTGTGGCTGTGTAGTCGTGGCATTTGGTATTTTTCTTGTCGTGCTTGCCTCTTGTTTAAATTGTTTTGATGAATATACGTTTATGTTTTTTGCATGCATTGTTGTCTAGACACAGGGTTTATGTGTATATGAAGGTAATACATGCTACACTAATAAAATTGGTCATTTTTGGATATGTATCATTGCATGATAATCCTCTTGCTTATCATGTAAAAGGGATGCAATGAGCCTTTATGCTAGGATACGATGACTGTGTGTCACAAGGAACGTGACACCTCAGCTATAATTGCTCAGCTACAACTTCATAGGGGGTAGGTATGTTAATGGGAACATGCACCTAGGTAAAATCAAATGATGAGCGCGAATTAGACGACTGGATTATGAAGCTTTTTCCAGTCAATGACTATGTGTAGTCAACTATAATAACAATCCTAACCTATTGCCCAATTCATGCTCTCCTCTTTCTACCTGCTATGTAATGACTACCATCAAAAAGCACCAATCTCAGCACCGGCCCTAGCCAACGTCTCATAAACCCTCGGCTGCAGCTTATATTTGATCATACCAGCAAACAACATCAAATCCTTGGCCATTGCCAACAATTCTTCGGCAAGGGTTTGGCGAATCTCATTCTCATAAGCGCCTGCATAAAGACGGTCGCGCTCACGGCCGATACAGGTTATGCTCCAGATGATTAGTGGTCCGATGTTGCGGGATATCACACTTGGTAAAGACGCGAAGGCTTGGGCTAGGTTGCGGATGTAGGGGACTGAGCCCTTGGCGCGGAGCGGAAGAATTCCAAGGTCGTTAATTGCCTGTTTAGAAAGTTAGAGATGGTTTGAACTAGATGGTTTTATGGATAAACTTACGTCCAGTGCTGGTGCCCAATTACCACTCTCAACGTGACTTTTCGCTTCCAGCATTCGAAGCAAGAGTCCGCATGCATCGCGGTTGATTTGGCGAATCTTTTGGTAATAGAGGGCGTTGCTGTTGTAAAGACTGATCATGTTCCTTGCCAAAGCCATAGGGTCGTAAACTGTTGTCAGACTAAGACTGCTGCCCGATTCCGCTGATGTAGAGGTTCCTTGTTCAACTCTGGGTTTCAAGGGTTGAAAGTCTGAGACTGACTGGCCTAGGTCTAGTGACACAGTATCGGATAAAGAGCGGTTGATGATTTCAATAACACGATCGTAGTCCTCGGCGAGATGGTAGAGAAGTACTGCATCGGCAGTTAAACCCTTGTCATCTGCAACTGTTGCCGCTTGCACTGTGATCGTCCGGAGGAACTCATCTTGGTCGACGAGCTTGATGAGTTTAAGACGTCGCTCTATAGCACCCTTAATTCTCACGCCGTCTGCCCTGATATCACCCAGCAATTTCGCAAAATCCCTGGTTTCCAAGATGAATTCCCGTAACGCTTCATGACAAACAGATGCTTGTGACTTTCCGAGTGCGCCAGGTAAATCGGCGTTCAGACAAATAAGCGCGAAATAATCGATAGTTGCTTCAACATTGCCAGTGCGGAACTCGCGGGTATATTGCGTGATCAAGTACGCAAAATTGATTTGTGGGAATTGTTTCGTTGTAAATGACACTTTGGAGGTCAGTATTCCGGTTCATCAAAATTGAAATTGCAGAACTTACAAATCTCCTCTCTACCTGTGTAAAAGTCCGCAACGCGCAGAAGTCCATAGTAATCCAAGGCAATTGCAAAGTGAACAGCACTGACCGGAGCATGAGACCCAAGATACGAAATTGCTTGTTCAAACATGCCGCCTAAGATTTGTAGTAGGAAAAATGTCCCATAACCACCTGGAGTATCTTGTCCCTTAGCAAACACGCGTTGTCCGATTTCTGTAATGTCAGTTTGGATGTCTTCGAGACCAAAGACATTTCCCGCAAACTCTTCGACGCGGTCATCTTCCCTGGCGAGAGCGAATTGTAGCCACATCCAATCCTCAACGCCCTGTCCAACACCATCTAGTCGTCTGCGACCCAAATCACATCGACCAATGATTTTATAGCAGGCCATCCTGTAAGGATCAATAGTATTCTCTGGTGCATTGCGCAGCCGTTGTTGGTATTCACCGTTGATCTTTTGTTGCAGATCTCTAGGTAACCTCCTGCTTTGCGCATATGTGGTCATATACGTGACGAATTTGTGATCAAGCGACCGGAAACCTGGATCGGAACTAACGTATTCAGCAGCTTCGGTCACAAAACCACATCGAAGTAGGAAAAAGATTAATATCCAACAGTAATCTTCGCCCACAGTTTGCGGTTCCGTTCCATCTGGTGTTAGGTCTCTTCTGGCAGCACGAAGACGGATATAGGCGCGAATTCTATTGATAGTTGAGGGAATTCCTCCCAGTTGCGCCTCGCGCGGATTTTTAGCAATGAGAGCCTCAACTTCGGAGTAGAAGAGTTTCTCCAGATACTCTCTAGAGCCCTCCACAATTCTTTTCCTCAAGCTGGTAGCTCCTTTTGACGTGTTTGACTCATTCAGATAGTCACTGGCGAACTCTCTCTCCTTTATAGCGCCAGGCTCACCAAAACTCGCGACATTACTCTTTTCTCCAGTAATTGATATCAACGCGTGATAGGCACCTGCTAGTTGTCGTGGCACCTATGATTGTTAGCCTGATATTTCATGAAGATGGCTTTGTTGAGCACATACATCGCCTCCAGGATGGTCTTCCACTGCCCCAAACTCATGGAAAATGGCGTATGGTTTTTCTTCAAGCCTTGCTGCATTGAGCTCTCCAACTTTCCTAGCAAAAATGCCCATCTTCTCGCGCTGAAAGCGGGTATCGGGACCTGGGGCTCCAGCGTCAGCCCTATCACCGTGGTCGGCAAAGAGCTGTGAGCTGGAAAGAGAGCCTCCTGGTTGTCCAATCACAGATTTCTCCAACCCCGAACGTCCAAATACACTTCGAGTGCCTGCTATACGACCAGGCAGCTTGGCTTGTGTAGTAGAACGGCCAAATGAGCCTCGGTTTAGGCTCTCACCGCCTGCTAGATCATCTCTAGACGAAAGACCAAAATGTTGGAAAATCTTGCGGCGTTGGTCGTCCCAGTTCATGTTCACCTTCTCTTCCAGGAAAGCATCGAAATCTCGGTGGACACGAGCAAGGCTTTCTGCTACCATAGCCTGTCGACCGCGTTGCTGTACACCTTTCATGAACTTCTCATTATCAGGATCGAAGCTATCCGTTTGCTTGAAGGGGCTAGGTATAGTCGCTTGAGAATCGAGGGCTTTTAGATCACGCAGCGCATGTCCCGGGGAGATTCCTGACGCGGCAAGGAGGTAGTGTCTGTCCCATGCAAAACAGTCCACTGTTAGTTTTGAAGAGCCAGCTATAAAACCCATTATCACTTACGCCTTTTGATCACCTCCTGATAGACGCGTCGATCTGGGATCCTGGCCACCAAGCTCCCTAGCTTTTCTGCGGATATCATCAAGGCCTAACTGAAGGCTAGGCAATTCGCCATAGCTGTTGTCCTGCGAGCCTGAAGCAAATGGTCGTTTCTTTCCCCGTTCCAGTAGGCTATTGAAAAACGCAGGCTGTGTAGCTTGAGCGGACTGAGTAGATTGCGATAGCGAAGCCGATGGGTTCTGCGCTGCCTGCTGTGGTTGCTGTTGTTGCTGGTTTGGTTGTTGATTTCCAGAAAAAAGTCCCGAGGAGCCTGCTTGCGCGGGCTGGTTGGTCCCTAATATCGATGGGCCTTTATTTCCTCCAAACAGTGAGCCACCGAACGCGCCTGAAGACATTTTTGCCGGTCAAAAGTCGTTGAGACAGCACAGTCGACGAGTTCTTTTGCTGTCTGGGACTGTTGGCGCGATCCCTGTTGGTGGCAGGATATTCGTCAATATTTGGCGCGTCGCACAAATTATCAACTCAACCCGTTCATCAATACCTCAATGAGACAAAATTGGACTTTTCAATAGACAAGGCGAAGCTCGGATGAGCAACGATTATTGTTGTTGGGGGGTTGCTTCAGGAACAAAACGAAGCACGGCTAAGAATTTCCTAGCTGTGCCCCACATGGAAAGAGCAATCAGATCGCTCCTTCCGATCGTTTTACATCCAACATACGATTTATTCTGCTTCGTCTATGATAATGCTTGGAATGGATTGATTCCATAATCTCTTTTATTCTTCTCGTTCTAGACGTACGTTCAGTGGAGAGTCCAACTTGATCAACGTCGAGCAATTTGAGCTTCTGCAGCAACGGCCAACACCACAAAATGCCGGCTTTCGGCTCAAAGACGTTTCGACGAGCTACCACAGCATCATCCACGCTTGGAGAACGTTTAGGAACACTTTATAGAGCGAAATTGCCAAGACACCCTTTCCTCCTGTTCGGCCTACCCTTCATCTCAGTCATCGTGGCAGCATCTTTTGTGCTCACCCCTGCCACCGCCCTCCGATATGAACGCCATGACCGCAAAGTCCGTCAACTGGATCAGGAGGAGGCAATGGCATTGGGTTTGAAGGGCGAGAATGGCGAAGAGTCAATCAGGAGGAACCCTCGGAGACATGTTATCGGTAGCGACAGGGACGAATACTACGTAAGTGCTTGTGGCAACCTGGCTGGCTGTTCGGACTCGGGTGCGGTATGCTTACTCATTCTAGAAACTGATGGCGAAGGATCTCGACGATTGGGAACAAACGAGGGTGAAGCGCTTCAAGGGCGAACCGGACGGTCGATTTGATTAGAAGTCTTTTTCTCGTTCAGCGACACATTTTCCGACATGTACAACACTTCTTTGCAGCCTTTTCTTCGATGTACCATAATTGTGCTACGAGATGTTATTATTTACGATGAACATATTCCACACATATCCACTCCACCGCTCCGTATAGCTTGTCGATTGTATGTATGATACATAGGATTCTAGCGGGAAGACCATTCCAGCGATGGTGATGCAGTGGCGCACAGCCATTGCCGTAGCGGTTGTTCGAAATAGTACCAGAGCGAACTGTATTTATATGATTATTCTAGGTCACATGGTAGTCAGTTAGATAACTATCTCGAATCGAGAGTTCTGAATAATCGTATTATCGAAAAAGAGAGTGCCGTCACAGTCGCCACTTTTGCCGGAGCGGACAGGTTCCTGAGGTTCCAGCCGGGCCCTTATAACGTCATTGCTTAACTAACCACCATCACAACGCACAACTTCACCTTTCGCTCTCGCTTCTCTACCTCCACTTCTGCTTGCATACACTATGATACTTACCGCCCCATTAGCATTCGTCGGAAACTAGAGGAGCCTGGCTTTGAAAGAGAACGCCTAGCAGATCAGTGATATCAGCAATCCCCACTTGCAAGCCTCCCGAGAAAAAAAAGGAAGAAAAAGGAATAGGACAGTACGTACGTTACGGAGTACATACACTGTATCCACCCCCCTATATGACCGACGTGGGCGATCTTCCAGCTTTCAGCATTTAGCAATATCAAATATTGCATTATCCACCCGTTCTTGCTTGGAACTACTGCTACCCCAGGATTATTGCTCGATCACGACGTAATCGGTCTGCACTCACTGAGGAGAAGGAGACGTGCTGTCCTTCCGTTGATTGATCCTCCTCATATACGACGTCGCTCAGAGTATGTTCTGGACTCTCTAAACATTCAATCGCTGTCTGAGTTGCAATATGGATACGCGCTGTCCTCGGTTCTACAATTCAAGGATTTATCTGCTTTAAAAATCCTTTATGCAGGGTTCAACAGCAGCAAGGCAGTCGCCTTCGTCATCACCTTGGGCTGCAGACCATCATTCCCGGCAGCTGGGCGATATCTTGAACACGTCGCCTTTCCATATACAACACCAACATCCAACCTTCACCGGCGCCATGCCATCACCGTTTCTATTCCCCAGGGATTCGTCCGATGGCGGCTCTGGCGGATCAGGGATTAGTGCGAACTACTTTGGCCTTCCCGTGGACAACTATGGCAGTCCGCCAGGATCCAACCCAGGCTCACATGCGAAGAAGAATTGGGACATGTTGTCACAGTCATATTCCTCAATACCCAGCCCAGGATTACAGAGGATATCACCAAACCTAGCCCAGAAGCATACGATCAGTCTGGTTGGCGGCAACTCTCAGACAGGCCCAGGAAGTCCCTCGCGATCGGGAGACCATGCCACTCCCCATTTTGCCACCAACCGGCCGGATTCACGAACGAACACGGAATCTTCTCGCTCTATGAGGAACGACATCCAGGCAGGTGGCTTTCTGGAACCTCATAATAGCGATATTCTTCATGCCTCGCCGATGCAAATATCACCTATGGAAAACTTTCAACAAGGACAGTCCAACCAAGTAGCTTCCTTCAACTTCCCAGATACATACTCTCCCAACATATCTCAACCTACTTCATCGACAAATACTCCAGGCGAAGGCTATTTACCCAAGAGACAGCAAAATTTTAGCTTGTCTTTACCAGGAACTGCGCATTCCCCTTTATCAAGCTCAAGTGGCGAAGATCATCGGCGCGCGGATACACTCCCGACACCTATAGATCAATTACCCATCAGCTTCATTACGGTTGATGACTGTGGACGGTTGCTCGAAACAGCAGCAGAGATGACACTGTTGCTTGATATTAGGCCGTATCCCCAGTTCTCACAGGCAAACATTACAAATTCACTGAACCTATGCATACCCACGACACTTCTGAAGAGACCGTCATTCAACACAGACAAGCTCAAGGACACATTCATCAACGAATCTGAAAAACAAAAGTTCTTGTCTTGGAGACAATGTGCTTACATTATAGTATATGATTCAAGTACGGAACAACCAAGGGACGCCACACCGCTCATGAACGTACTCAAGAAATTCAAGGCCGAAGGCTGGCGTGGTGAGGGAAGGATATTGCGTGGAGGGTTCGCCGCCTTTGCCAGCCGCTTCCCAAATCAGATACGACAGCAGCGTCAAAGCAAAGCGAAACCAACGGGAACGCAAAACCGTCCCATGACTTTGAACCTTCCATCGACTTTACCAGTAGCCGGCGGTTGTTCGCTACCAGATGCGGCTGCTGCTGATCCATTTTTCAGTAATATTCGACAGAATATGGACTTGGTCGGTGGCGTTGGTCAGATGCCATTGAAACTCCCGGATGCTTTGACGCCCCATCATAATAAAAATCTTCCGCAGTGGCTTCGCAAGGCATCTGCCCAGGAAGACAAGGGACATGAGGTGTCACAGAAATTCTTGAAGATTGAACAACGCGAACTACATCGCATGCGCGAAGCCCTGGACTCTCATGCCAATTATGATGAAAAGTCGTCATCGAATAAATTCCGCGTTGCAGGAATCGAAAAAGGGTCCAAGAACAGATACAATGACATCTATCCATTCGATCACTCTCGAGTTCACCTTCAGGATGTTCCCTCTGGCTCGTGCGATTACATCAATGCAAGTCACATTAGAGCGAAGCTCACCAACAAGACATATATTGCTACTCAGGCACCTATTCCAGATACATTTACCGTAAGTATTCCCTCCTCTTACTGAATCTTTGGTTCTCTGTCTCACCAAGGAAAGGATTTCTGGCGTGTCATCTGGGAAAACGACGTCCGTGTGATTGTAGCCCTTACGGCTGAAGTTGAGCGAGGTCAGATCAAATGCCACTCGTATTGGAATACCAACAGCTACGGTCCTTTCAAAGTCAAGGCTCTCGGAGAACGGCGTGTGTATGTGGACTTGCCACAAGATACAGCTACACCAACACAGCCTTCACCGGCCTCTGAGGGGAAGCCCTCCTCTGAAGGTCTGTTTAACGCAGGAGACGAGCGACCTTATATTGTTGTCCGCCACTTCACCCTCTCCCACTCTACTTATCCCTTCCAGCCAATCCGAGAAATCACCCAACTTCAATATTCATACTGGCCGGATTTTGGAACGACGTCTCAGCCGAGTCATCTGTTGAAACTCATTGAACAATGCAACAAAATTACAAGGAGAAGCAGTGGCCTCGATATCAGCGCGGAAGAGGCGGAGCCACCAGGCCTCCGGCCTATTGTAGTCCACTGCAGCGCCGGATGTGGCCGAACGGGTACCTTCTGCACAGTCGATAGTGTACTGGACATTCTCAAACAACAGCGAGCGAAACGGCACCGGCATAACGATAGTAGTAATAAGAATAACGACGACAACGAGAAATGGGTTTATGACGACTCGACGGATCTGGTCGCCAAGACAGTTGAGGATTTCCGAACTCAACGTCCCAGTATGGTGCAGAATCTGAGTCAGTTTGTACTTTGTTACGAAACAGTTTTGGAGTGGGCTGTGTCGCATAATACATAGAAACGGCATTTTTGAAGTCATTCATAAAGCCAAAGTCATAGGGAGGAGTATGCGTTCTATGGTTATGCGTACAAGGTATATAGCATTAGAGGATACCCTATTTTTCTTTTCTAGTCTTAGGAAACAATTTAGATATCATTGTATGACCATTTCAATTTACTTACTTTGAAAATCTTGAGGCAACCTTTGGATGCTAAAATAGAATTCAGCCTTGAATCTTGGAGTTTTGTTGCTAAGGTCGCTATAGGAGACACGGTACTTACCGAGATGAACATTGGATGGATATCTTCACGTCCAGGCAACAACTCCGCCACTTTAGCGTCTCAGGGCGACTGCAAAAGAAATCTTCCTACACTAGTATGTTTTCACAAGAGAATCTTACGACTCAGCAGTTGCTATTGAGAATGTGAAGATTTTCTTGGATATTTACATACAGTACGCGGAGAGAAAGAATTAAACAAGCAATTCTGGGGCGGCTCCAAACAACAGACGCCTCCAACATGCTTCTCGACCTCCCACCAGAGCTCGTTCAGCTCGTACTGAAACATTGCTGTACTTCAGCTTATATCCAAGCTGCTTTCAGCTGTCGCACCTTGTACAGAATTGCCTCGTCTTCTCGAGATGTTATTCTACATCACCTGAAGACCAACCCAGGCCCAGGGTTCAGGATGCAGGCTGATCAGAAGTCCAAGGACAACACTGAGCGACTGACTACGCGAGAACTGTTTTTACTGCTGCGACGAGGTGCCAGCGAACATCTACTCAATGGAAGTGTCGATTTTGACCGGACCATGTACACTTTCAACGGCAAGATCATTGATAATCCTGCATGTTCAATGAACTATGCCAAGGATCGAAAGGCTATTCTGTTGGTCTTCAAAGACGATGAACGAATCTATCATTGTCCAACAGGTGCTAACGGGAAGGTGAGGATAGAGAATGCTCAGACATGCAAACTACCCGTCTTGAACTTAGACCGGATCAGGATCATCAAGACTACATACGCTACTGATACCGAGGATCTGGTGGGTGTTATCATCAAAAACGAAGAGTCTACCCTTGAGGATGATGATGGGGAAGCACCTCCTTTCTTCAATGAAGAGTTGCAGCGCGAAAAACAGCGATACCGCACTGGATATCTCCTACTCTTTCTTGAGGAAACCCAAAAAATCACCCGGGTAGCACTCTGTCAACTTCCTGACGACGGCTATAAGGTCAATGCATTGGCGGCTAAATTTGCGCATGAATTTGCCATATCATGGGAAAAGATTGATGGAAGCGATCATATGGTTTCGGTATACAGGGCTTGGCTGGATGACTACAAAGGTCGATTCACTCATGGAGTACCTGGTGAGCATGAGAATCCTCTTCCCTGGCCAAAGTACAAGATGCTGAAATGTGGGGGGGCGCGGAATAGATTTACAATATTCCGAGACTGCAGTTGTCAACAAAGAGGGCTTGTGGGTGCAACCGAGAAGCGGTGTTGCTCAGCTCTCGCAGCATCGTGAAGTCGCGGGTTTGGGCCCAGTAGCGGAGCTCAGATATAACGACAGGAACCAGTTACTGCATAGTCATCGGGGATCTACCATTTTTAGTTATTATCATAACCTCTCTTTCTTGAGGGGTGAGCATGGTACAACGATCGTGGGCAATAGCGCTCATAGAAATTACGCCAGGATCATGAATGATCAATCAGACCTATCATTGCTCTATTTCACGGTAGATATTCCCTTTTTCGCCACGCATGAGACATATACTCCGCTAGACGGTGATAACGATATCTGTCGATGGAGATATCTTTCTTACGCCATTGGTACTCCTCGTTCCGGCGGGAAGGCAGTGGCATGTTTACTGAAAGCGCAATCCGAATGTCGTGCTATAACTTGTATGCACGAGACCAATCTAGAAAGGGGTCGACGCCTACCGTCATGGGAAGCTGTTGCAATGCTTTGTGGCCATCCTGAGTTGTCTCCAAGTACAATAGGTGGGATCTTTGCTGCCTCGCCCAACGGTACCCGGGTCGCAGTCTCGAATTGGAATACATTGTACGTCTGGGCGTTGAATCCGGGAGAAGTGATCTTGGGTCGTGAGAGTAGCTACTATCCCAGGACATGGTGTCTGGAAGAAGACGATGAGAAGTTGACTGAGTTGCGTCCTGTGGTGATACACATGGAAGCGGTTTGTTTCAAGCTCATGTTTACGGAGAACGATGATGTTATTGTAGGTTTGACGGATCGTGGATTGATGACGTGGGATTTGGGACCGCAAACACGACGGAGACGAGATACTTTGAATCTGGATACTGAAAACGCACCAATTGTGGGATATGGGCCACGGATTCCAGAGCTTCACACAGACTACTCATCCGAGGGCGGATCAGAGGCTGGAGAAGAGGATGCAGGGGATGACTCGGCGGATGAATCAGAGGAAGCAGATGATATGGCAGTCGATTGATCTGACAGGTCATTTGTGAGGTCATGATTAGGTTGTGTATAACAGTGTAGTGTACATAGGATAGTTGCTCAGGGCATTCAAACTGATCTACCAAGATCGTATTCATAACATCCATTTCCCCCGTAAAATGTATTTGGGATTTATTGTCCTTCTCCTCCGCCTCCAGACAACGTCATAAGCGCAACGATCATCAACACCCACCAATACCTACGACGACAATCGTTAGCAATGTGAAGACAGCAGATTTGATGGGTTGACATACTTCTGGAAAAACGTCTTCTCAACCTCTTCCTGAGGACCTGTACCATCCGGATTGACCACAATAGGTTTATTCAGCTCTGGCATTGCACCAGCCTCAGGATATATGAGTTCCACGGCAACAGAATCAGAGGACTGATCCGCATTATAACCCTTGTGGAGCGAGACGTGGTACAAGTCGTGTTGTTGTGAGCCACTCAGATATAGCTGCAAAGTATTATGTTGCGTCGTCAATGCAGACTGCGAGACGAGACTCCCAACCCATTGCTTCGAGCCATCTGCCGCAGTTGTATAGAATCCTATCCTGTAATGAGGTCCATTTCCACCGGTATTTTCAATGGTCGGGGGAGTATATGAGAGGACTTTGCTCTCGAGCGTGTCGGGGTTGTAAGCTATCTTGGCTAGAAGTGATGGTTGCGGTACATTCACGGCCCAGTGATAGACTTCTACCGATTTGGGGAGGTTATCGTTTGTTGCTTTGCATTGGACCAGGCCGATGAATATGGATACGAGGAGACAGCTTAGCAGGGAGACCAGGTTGCGCATTTTGGCCGGTTGACAATGATTCGACTTGAGTGTATGGAGAGACGTTTATCTCGTCGGATAACTTACTCTGGTTAGTTCCGGATAGCCCCCGCGGGATGGATCATGTGATGCGCCTCAATTTTATGCTCGGAGCATGGGCCGGAATCTGGAGTTCTAGGTCTCTCTCCTTCGGTTCTGTTGAGATATGGACACACTGGCAGGTCAGGATCTTGCTGTTCGAAGTAGTCAGTTGTCACAATTGATTGAGTCAGCAACAATACGAAGAAGACAGACGTGTAAGCGCAGATCAATGATAGGTCGTATCTCTGACTAAGGTGGGTAAGCTCCGCCGATGACGCAGTGTGTGGTTGGTGTACCTTCCCCACGAGGACCCTCAGCACACCGCACTCACGATGATCTCTTAAGGAAACACAATCTCTCCACCAGACCTTTTTTCTTTTCTGTCTCTCTTTCTCTTGTCTCAAGTACCTTCCCTCCCCAGTGATGTTATATCGGCCTGTCAAATTCCAACAGCGTGGTGTAACCTAGTTCCCTTGACAATCAATCAATCATTCGTCTCATCTCTTACCCTGTCTTGCTTGATTGCTGGTTACTCGGGCATTACCCCGTGTGAATTGAAATCTCCCAGTCAACATCATCCCTTCTCAGTACTATTTGCCGGTAGTACTATTGACGTGGACCTGTAACACCGCCTTGCAAGACAAATAAATAACCATGTCTTCGCTGCCGTACCGTCGTCAGCCGTCCAGACAGACGTCTCGACAGGCCTCAACAGATGACCGAGAAGCTGTGCAAGCCCAAATGGACTACTATATCGGTATCGACGTCGGCACTGGTAGTGCCCGTGCGTGTATCATCAACGACAAGGGCGATATTGTCGGATTGGCCTCCGAGAACATTGGATTGTGGCAGCCTCAGCAAAGCTACTATGTACGTAGATGCAACTGGCATCTTTCGATCCTTACTGATCAATACCGCTGCAGGAACAATCGACTTCGGATATCTGGCGTTGCATCTGTATCTCCGTCCAGCGTGCTATCAGCCAGCACAACATCCACCCGGAATTCGTCCGGGGCATTGGCTTTGATGCTACCTGCTCCCTAGCCGTGTTCTCGACCGAGACCGACGAACCCGTCTCAGTGACTGGGCCCAATTTCGATACCGATCGCAACGTGATTCTGTGGTTGGATCACCGTCCTGTCAAGGAGACCGAATTGATCAATGCCACTAACCACAACCTACTCCGATACGTGGGCGGAAAGATGTCCGTGGAGATGGAAATACCCAAGGTCCTGTGGTTGAAGAACAACATGCCCAAGGACCTCTTTGACAAGTGCAAATTCTACGATTTGGCGGATGCACTCACCCACATTGCCACCGGCAACGAGAAGCGTAGCTTCTGCAGCGTTGTTTGCAAACAGGGATTCGTCCCAGTTGGTGTTGATGGAAGCGTCAAGGGGTGGCAAGACGACTTCCTAAAAGAGATCGGCTTGGAGGATCTTGTCAACGAGGATTATAAGCGCATGGGCGGTGTCGACGGGGTGGTGAGCCTATTTCTTTTCGTTGTCTTACTGATTTCTTCTTTGATTGATCTTCTCTTCTATCTTACTTACTGTCACTAACTCGGTTTTATATAGAATGGCGACTACCTGAGTGCAGGTGAACTTGTCGGAACGCTGTGTGACAAGGCTGCTGCGGAACTTGGACTTCCCGCAGGTATTGCAATTGGTAGTGGTGTCATCGATGCCTACGCCGGATGGATTGGAACAGTTGGCGCCAAAGTTAACTTGCAGGGCGATGAGATCGACGCAGACGTTGCGAAGAACGACCGTACTCAAGCTTTCAGCCGCTTGGCTGCAGTTGCAGGAACATCGACCTGCCACCTGGCCATGTCCCCGAATCCAGTCTTTGTGCCTGGTGTATGGGGTCCGTACAGGGATACTATCATCCCAGGGTACTGGATGACAGAGGGTGGACAATCTGCCACTGGTGAACTGCTCAAGCATGTCATTGAGACACATCCCGCATTCAACCAGGCTATCTCTGTCGCCGAGTCATATCACACCAACATCTACGAATACCTAAACGAGCATTTGAAGGAGATGATGGAAGATCAACACGCGCCTAGCATTTCCTATCTCGGCCGCCACTTTTTCTTCTACGGAGACCTCTTTGGTAACCGTTCCCCAATTGCGGACGCCAGCATGACTGGCGCCGTAGTTGGACTAACTAGCGACAAGACAGTTGACAGTCTTGCCATATACTATTACGCTACGATGGAGTTCATCGCCTTGCAAACCAAGCAGATTGTCGATACCTTGAACGAGGCTGGCCACAATATCAACTCCATCTTCATGTCTGGATCTCAGTGCCAAAACGAGATTCTCGTCAAACTCATCGCGTCTGCTTGTAACATCCCTGTTCTCATCCCTCGCTATGTTCAGGCTGCTGTCTGCCATGGTGCTGCTATGCTTGGTGCTAAAGCTGCCAGTGCAGATAGTGAGGGCAAAACCGAGGATCTATGGTCTATCATGGACAAAATGAGCAAACCTGGTCGAAAGGTAGTTCCTACGACTGACAGGACTGAGCTGGCTTTACTTGAAGCTAAATACAAGGTCTTCCTGGAGCAGTGCTTCAAGCAAAAGGAATACCGGAATCTTGTTGACGAAGCTATTGGAGCATGGAACAAGAAGAACTAACGCTTGGAATATCCTAGTGATTTACTTCTAGGGAGATACATAGATTTGTGCCAATCATGATAAAATTTAGTACAAAACTTCAATTATACCTCATGGGCTGTTTAGACATTGGTGTTGATCAGTGTTTGTTCTCATTAGACTACACATAATAATGGCACGCCACTATTTCAGTGTCTTTCTGAGCCTTATATCCCGATGGTAGCACTTGCAATGTTCGAGTCGTACAACGAAAGAACCATCTATCAGCTCTCACTCGTTAACATGACGAAACATCATTTTCGTAGACACAAATGTCTTATATTATTCCACAATTATCCAAGACATATCGTTCAACTATTAAAAATCGATTTTCGACTGCCATCCCCAGCTTGTGCAATATTCTCAGCTTCAGCCAATAGCATATCCAAATCGTCGTCTGGCGGTGCATCATTATCATTATTTGCGTCAGTTACAGGCGCCTGCGTGTTTGATTCGTTAAATGTATCTTGTTCTGTCGTGCCGTTGACATTTTCGGCTTCAGCTAGCATCATTCCCAGGTCGTCATCTGGCGGAACATCGTCATTAGATCCGCTAGACGTATCCTGCTTTGGCGTGGAGCGACGCCTCGGCGCTTCACCGAATAAGTCTTCCATGTCATCGTCCAGAGGTACGTTAGCATCCGCTGATGTGTCGTTATTTGTCGCTGTTTGAGCTCCTGGCGCCTCATCCCTTTCCGCGACAGGATTGCTATTGTCGTGATTATTGTGGTCTTCGTCATCTGCATTTCTGAGATAATCTGGCTTCTCCTCATTTATCCACTCTCTTCGCATTATTTGTATCCGTTTCGAGTGGCCCAATTTCTCGATCATGGCCAGGCCATCGGCGAATTTTGCGCGGGGATAGAGATCGTCGAGCCATAGTTGGTAGAAGTTGAGGAGACGTCCTAGGTCGGAGAACTGGAGAGATATGTTATCAATTTGAAATTCGTTGTTCAAATTTAAGAGTAGGTAGACTGACCTCATGAGCTTTGCCTTTGAATTTGAGCTTGGTTTTGACATCCTTTCTTAGCTTTGGGATGCCTTTTTGTGACAGTAAACTGTATTGATTCTGATTAGTAAGTGATTTATTTTGCGTTCCGGAACATATCTCACCGAGCCTCGTCAAGTTTAGCTATAGGCACTCTTTGCTTGGTAACTTTTAAATCTGCATCCAGACCTAGTACTTTGGTCGCGTCAGGCTCGTCGTTATTGCCCTTTTCTGTCTGCGATGTCTCCTTATTCTGGGCTGAAGGGAGGTTTTTGAGGATGTCGTCTAGACCGGCGTCATAGTCGAAGAGGTCATCGATATCAGACATTTTGAATTAATTTCGTTCGTTTCGTTCAATTGTGTCACATCTCAACAGGATGTCAGGCTCGCGTTCAGACGCGACGAACAAGTTGGTGATCATTTAACCCAATTGGGAAACACAATATTAACTAACCACATATGGTATAGAATATCAAGCTACTCCTCTTATGGTTAGTCGTTTTGGGTCAGCGACATCCGGAATTCGACCTCACCTTTTACCAACGACCTCGACGTCTTAACACACTTTGGGAGCAACGAGTTCACCGACATAATGGCCATTGAACCCACAAAGGCTTTGGTCCCTCCCAAGGGGCTCAAGACCGACTATCCGGTGAGTTCGGCATACGCTACAATTGGTTTGAATTCGTGCTAATTCAAGTTCTCTCCATAAAACAGTTGATTGATTCCGACCCGTATGATGACACCCAATTCCCCGAACCGCTTTCACTTTTCCAATTCCCAATGATACTGTCTGGATAGACTTCTGACCCTTGGTGCAGACATATTAAGAGAGTTTTCGGCTATGCTCGACCTTCAGACTATGCCGTCGGTGGTGCCGCCGCTGCTGCATCCCCGCTCGCCTTTTGGCTTATGGAAAAGTTCAGTCCTTCGCACGTCGGAAAGGGAGGATTCGCTCCAGTTATGCGTCTTGCGACCGCAATTGGTGTGCTTGGAGGTCTACACATTTGCTACCAGAGATCTATAAGTATGATTCTCTCGGGATAAGGTCCCTTGGAGAGTGATATTCTAACAACCTCCCTATTAGACCGCTTCTACGGCTTCACAGAGAATACATGCGAGGTGGAAAAGGATATGCGAGAAATGGTTGATAAAGTCAAAAAAGGCGAGCCACTTTACGGCAAATCACAACTTTCAGAATACCTTCAAGGTGTTGCTGCCCGCAATTCGCGATACACCGGTCTCGTTTCACATATTATTCCATGGTTCAATGTGGTCAACCATGACCAGGTATGTTGGGAATCTTTATGGTATTGCCACCCGAGCGTAACTGACTTTTATGGTACAGCACGGTGTGGACACAGCCAAGTATTATCAGCAAGCTGAGAGGGAGCTTGAAGCTGAGCGCTTGGGCAAATGAATTTGTCGGTCGTTTTCATAGATTTTTTCTAGTCTCGCAATGTATTTTATATTCCAATGAATATGTTTTTGAAGGAATCGTGAGGAGTACGCTAGTTCCGTCGTTCTGTCTACTATTTGTATCGCCAGCAAGCACTAAGCGGAGGTCTATTGCGAAACATTCATAAAAAGTATACAGATTCACTTCATTTATAGGTCACTTGCAAACTCGGTATTGAGTTCACGGTTTCGCTTAGACCGAGGGTTCGGTGCTAGAGTATGAGTCAGTTAGTTGCTCGTATTTCACCTCATTAAACATACCATTTTCATTCTCTTGTATATAGAATCGTCGAAGTAACATGATAGCATCGTTCTTGAATATTCCGCCATATACAGGATAAGGCGGGTCTATAGAGGGACTGTTGATACATTGGAGATTAGATATTGATACAGTGACACAGGACAGAAAAACTGCGAAAAGGAAGACACAAAAACTGACTCTGAATGTAGTGACAAAACACTCCCAGTACCACCGAATCTCTCATTGGCACAGCCAAAGAACACTCGGCAGATATTATACTGTCTAAGTAGAGACGCGCACATCACGCAAGGTTCTACCGTCACGTAGAGGTCGACTTCCCTGAAAATCGATCTAGGGTAGGTTTGAAGTGCCTCCTCAATGGCGAGGAATTCTGCATGTCTTGTTCCCTGCTCAGTTTCCTATTGATCAGAAAGAAGGGTTTATACATGGCGATTGCTTGTGTTGCATTGAGACATACATTCATTGACCGGTTTGTATCATTCATTCCTGATCCGATTATTTTCCCGTTCAATACCAGTACACATCCTACTGGAGTTTCGCCAACTGCCAGGGCTTTCTCTCCCTGTATTCGAGGCAATAACAGTCAATGGGATGCATCTAGGAAGGGAAAGATTTTGTTACCATTAAAAGTGCCTCTTTCATAAATCTCTCCTGATCTTGTCGGGTGACATCTTCGTTTTCTGGGTTGGGATCACATTCTGAAGTCATTATTGGAGATCGCTAGCTCATCAAGCGATGTTGTATCATAAAACATTGGATAAAGTAAGAAAGTTATATTGATAAGGATTAAAGATATTTTTGTATTGTAACAAGACTGTAACAAATCGATATTACATTACTAAATGTGGTAGAGATGTCGTATTTTACGGTATCGGCTATGATCGTGGGGCTCTTACTTTCGTCGCCTTAGAGCCTTGTCGCGGCGGCCTTGTAGCCTTGAGAGACGCGTTGGCGGGTAAAATAATGCAGCCAATTAAATCTTGTTGATGATTTTAATACTTACCAAGAACCTCGACAGAGCAAGTCAAGCAGCCCGTCGGCCGAGGTTTAGTCTTTTCACTTAATAAGTATCATCTGTGTGTCTACACATCCTTTGTCTTCCCGCTCCATCCCTTGTGAGGATCTATCCATGGATACGGCTGAACGGGGACTATGGCAGGGGATGAGGAATCAAAGCCTCGAGGCTTACAGTCGGCGAATGGGAACTCTAGCGCTGCAGACCCAACAACATCATCAATACTGATGAATAATATATTTCCAGGTCACTTGTCTTCAGAAGCCTTTGATACCATCTCTCAGCTACGCAAGGAGTTGATCGAAAAAGGTCCTGGGTCATTTTCTCGAACTGCTGACGATGTCAAGAATACACAAGCTCTGATAAATGTCGCTCTTAAGGTTGCTTCTGAAGTTACGACGATAGACAGCCAACTTCCTGGCGACGAAACAGAGAGACGTCTCTTGGATTGTCTCGATATCGTCCAACTGCTCATTGAGAATTCCCTTAGAGGCCTCGATGGAGGGGATTTCGACACGGAAATTCCAGGCCAGGATGCGCCGTTGCCTTTTCATCTTCGGTTAATCATTGAGTTGATTGATCTCGCCGTCAAAGTGCGGCTAAATGGCGTGGGAGCCAAAATCAAGTCCATTCTGGTTATGATCACACGTTCTCAGCATGATATGTTTCGGGCTCCGCTTTTTCCCAGGCATTCTGTTTCAACTATACTAGGTGTTATAGCTACTGGTAGAAGAAGTCCCTCATTTCCCCGAATTCTGGACATATTGCTAAGCTTGAAATATCGCAGACATCATCAGGTCACTGGAAATGGTAGATGTTTCGAAGAATACAACCCTGAACATCACTCTACCTGGCCCTGGAAGCCCATTAGAGAAGCATCTAACAGCAAAACTGAGCCTGTCAGGACGACCTTTCCAGGCCCCGATTCGCCTGGGGGATATCACTCGTGCCACGTATATACTACTTCAAATCCTTGAGGCACTTCTTCAACCTGCAGAACTAAAGTCGGGTAGCTTTTCTACATCTGGGATGGTACAGGATTTTACAGCTTCCCTGAACTTGGCTAGTCGCATAGGGAAATACCTTATGTCACTGATGAGGCGTCGTGGCATGAACGGCAGGCGGAATATCATCGATCCTGTGGTCCAGTACCTCTACTTCTGTGACTTGTCACTAACGAGATCATTGGAGTATAACAACATCGGATCACTGGATGCTCAAGCTAGTAAGACTCTTATCGAATTCCTGGTAATTGTGATATCAGATTCCGGTCTCAGCCATGAGCCCCAGGTTGAGCAGGCTTTGTGTGATTGTCTAGAAGGTTTAAAGGAGAGTCAAAAAGCTTCACTTTTAACGAGCATGACTGTACAAAGTGTTCTGGTTCCTAGACTTGTTGACATTCAAGCTAGAGACGAGCAGTCCGTCGATCGTTCGTCACCGTTCCAGGTCAGTGGCATTCAAACGCAGATAACGAAAACCCCATTCTCATATTAGGAAACAGAATTCCATAAAGGAGTTTATTAACGCCCAGAAGGCTTTATATCCACATGGTAAGGCCCAGAATTCTCAGTAGAAAAATAAACTAACCAGAGTTCTTTTTCGTCTCAAGAGATTGATCTAGCTCAGCGTGCCCCCAAACGTATCAGACTATCTGAGCCTCAATCCGAATCCGGCGAGAAGGATATCAGTCAGCAAATTCTAGAGAAAGCCTCGAAACTCATTGACTCTAACGGCATAACGAGGTTTGATGAACTGGCACTAGCTGCGAGGTAAACTTAGCGCTTCGTGATTTCCGCCAAACTATGACTGACGCTTCCCAGGCAAAAGTACAAAGATCTTTCGGAGCAGCAAAAGTGCGAGTTTTTCACCATAATTTCAACTTACCCATGTATTGCAGCGTCCCATCGGTTCAATGGATCTCTGTCCATGTCTACGGACTCATCAAGCACCTTTCACTGCCGCATCTGTGACTCGGAACGAACAGTTTCAGACGCAGTCGTGGCTTGGCAAGGCAACGAAGCTGATGAATTTCGAAGCTTTCTCCTAGAGTTTCTACCTAAACCTTCACGTAGCTCACCCTTACGGGTATCATACCTACTTACGGTGAGGCGATTCCTCTATCATGAGCCAGAAGTAAAGAGCCTATCTGTCAAGTCCTCGTCAGTTGGCGAACTATGCCTTCACTCTCTGAAAGCCGCCTCAAGGGAGTTGCGGATCACAACGGGGTCAGTAATTCTACGGCTTGTCAAAAATAACCAGTACTGACTTGTGAAAAGACATATCTTGCCTTGCTTCCTACGCAAAGCTGTGGATGTCCAAATACGACGACAGAATTTTGTCATCATTCTGGAGTGTCTGAAAAGCGTATCAGAAAGAGTCGACATTCCTTCTCAGGAGACTTGCATCTTGACATTATGCCGATTAGCAGAGTAAGTCGTGGGATACGGGTAAGAGACAGAGGTATAACAGTCGGCTTATTCACTTTTATAGGGTATCTGAGGACGAGGAGCTTAACATCATACTTCTCCGTCTTCTAGAGTATCTAGGACACGCAAATCCGTATATTTGTGCAGTAGCTTACACAGAGGTGAGCCATACCATCTCTAGCTGACGTTTTCAGACTAAACAAATCTTGCAGCTTTTGAAACTATCGCAAGAATCATCAACAACAGTTGCAGGTCTACTTCGCCCTTTCTGGAGATCCTTGTCAGTGACCGTAGTAAAAAATCTGAGGAATCGCCCTCACATGGCAGAGCAACTGTGCGATCTATTGGGAATGTCGGTTGACAGCTTCTTACAATTGACCGAAGTTCACACGCTGCCATATCTCGTTTACACTCGCAGGCGAGAAATTATTATGAGGATAGCTGCGGCTTATCCCTCCAAGTCAGCTTTCGAGCTTTGCATGGAGCGGAATAATTTTGCAGCAATCATAGCATATTTGTTGAGTCAACCGGAGGAGAACCATGAGGCTATGATATATTCTCTTTTGGTCGATATTGATCCCAAGTTCAAGGAAACCTCGGTTACCATGCTGCTCAAGACAGAACCCATCCCTATTACTCGCGAGCTGTTGAAGAATATGGGTGATGCAGGCGAGGGTAATGATGGAAAGGTTGGTTTACTACATTTATGATGATTCTAATATCACTCACTAACTCTCTATAGTTTGACGGCGCACTTCGCCTCCTTGCTAAGCTCATATCCTCCAAGCAATCCTCGGGAACGTCAAATTCAAAGTCCCATCGTCAGGTTGGGCTCTTTATAGAGGAGCATCTACTAGGTCTTATAACAGAATTCTCCGACACCGTGAATGATGTCCGCATACGTTACTCGAACATGGAGAAGAAGCGAAATATCATAGCAATTGGTGAAATGATCAAACTTGCCAGAGGTCATGTTAACGTTGCAATTCCCCAGGTTTGTCTTGCTCTCAGATTGCCGTTTCGGTGTGCCCATCTGACTCGTCAATCTAGATATGCTCTTGCCTTAGATCATCTCTGGAGGTCGAGGAATTGTGTGACCATGCATTTGCTGTCTGGTGTATTTTGATCACTCATCTCGAACCTGACGAGGTTGAAGCACTTATAGATCAGTCCATTGCGATTATCCTGCGATACTGGCCAACTATTCAAGAAGGAAGTAAGCAAATGGCGCTGGTCCTGATGGATCATCTTTTCCAGCATCATGGATATCAGCTACGTGAGATCTTCCAGACTCTACCATCATTGCTATCCATTCCCGAAATGTCCCGCTATGAGGATCAGATAAACAACTTCAGAGGTTCCATGGATCTGAGTGAGCGTTTGATAGCATTCAGTGTCCGCTGTCAAAGTGAAAGCCTCACTGTCGTCGAGCAGGCGCTACAAGAATTGGTTCCCTTCTTAGATGACAAAAACGAGATTCTGCACAGGACTCTACTCAATCACCAATCAAACAGCGGAATTGCACAGCTTACCCGCTCTCTTCTTGATTGCTGCGTGAAATTTCAATCCGAGTCTGATACGATTGCCATGTCTACTGCACGTTCTCTTGGTTTAATAGGATGCTTGGATCCAAACAGGGTTGAGATATCAAAAGAGAAGAAAGATATTCTCGTTCTTTCCAACTTTGCTCGCGCAGAAGAAACGTTCGACTTTACAATGTTCTTCCTTCAAAATGTCCTCGTTGATGCATTTCTATCGGCCTCAAATACTCGAGCACAGAGCTTCCTCGCTTATGGCATGCAGGCCCTTATGAGCGCAAGCCATATCACAACCGAGATCACAACGCCGTCAGATGACCTTGAAAAAAATGAGAAGCATCGGCGCTGGCTAAACTTGCCTGAGATTGTGAGGAATACAGTGACTCCTTTCTTAACGTCAAGATACTCTATTACTTTGGGTGCAGCTAAAACCGAATGCACCTATCCATTATTCAAACCAGATATGAGCTACGGAAAATGGCTGCGTACGTTTGTCATGGACTTACTTCAAAAGTCATACAGTTCCAATGTGAAGATGATATTTTCGGTATTTGCCAGAATCGTTCGAGACCAGGACATCACGATTCCCGCTTTTATTCTTCCTTTTGCTGTGCTGAATATTGCAGCGGATGGTCCTGAAGAGCATAAACGAGAGATTCAAGAAGAACTGGTGCGTGTGTTGTCTCATCCTTCTCCTGAAGGTAGTACTCGTGTGAGAGAAAATGTTCTTCTTTGTAGTGAGGTAAGCAAATCTCACCACCCCTGGCAGTTTACCGATATGATTCTAACCGATGTTCTCACAGAGTGTATTCAGCGCTCTTGACTACCTGTTAAGATGGCTGCAAGGAAAGAAGAAACAGCATGCTATACTCGCAAGCAATCTTGCCGGGAAAAGTACACAAGCAGAGTTGATGCTTGATCTCTCTTCGGCCCAAATCAAGAGCGTCGAGCAGATCTTGTCCTCCATTCGTCCAGAAGTCATATCGAAGAGAGCTGTCGAGTGCAAATCTTTCTCTAGAGCACTTTTCCACTGGGAGCAATACATACGACAAAGCAAAAGCTACTCGGAACGACGCGACGACACGGATCTGGAACCTCTTTACCAACGTCTGCAAGAGATTTATACACAGATTGACGAACCTGACGGCATCGAAGGCATTTCGACTTATCTTCATGTACTGGATGTTGATCAACAGGTCCTCGAACACCGAAAAGCTGGCAGGTGGGATGCTGCTCAGAGCTGGTATGAGTTGCAATTGGACGAAGATCCGAGTAACATCGACACACAGTTGAATTTGCTCACTTGTTTGAAGGAGTCTGGCCAGCAAGGTAAGCTACCTGTAGTTCTATCTCATCCTTCATTTACTAATTGTTACTTGTTAGATGCACTTCTAAGCAGATTTGAGACATTCAGCGAGTCTAAGGAATATCCCTCAAAGCTATTCCCATTCGCTTTAGAAGCTTCCATCTCAACAGGGAAATGGTCAAAACTCGAAAATTTTCTCAAATTGTGTCCCAGAGATAACACCACAGACTTCACGGTGGGTATAGCTTCAGCTCTCAATGCTCTTCGTAATGGCGACAAATCTGCATTCAATGAAATCATTCAAAAACTACGGCTCAATACTACAAGGTCAATGACAGCAAACTCAACCATATCCTTACAGACATGTCATGATACGTTGCTCCAGTTACATGCCTTGTCTGACGTTGAAGCCATCGTAAACGCAGACAGTCAGATAGGTATGACGAAAGCCGAACTTCTCGATACGTTAGATTACCGTCTCGACCTTTTAGGGGTCTATATATCTGAAAAGCAGTATCTTTTGGGATTAAGGAGGGCTGCCATGGAGCTTGCGTGAGTCTATCGTGTGACTATATCTGACCTCAACTCTAATCTAGTGAACAGAACCGGATTTTCAAAAACAGATATAGCTGCTGTCTGGCTGAAAAGCGCCCGACTATTTCGAAAGAATGGCCACATTGGCCCAGCTTATAATGCTGTAATGCACGCAGCACAACTCAAAGCGAAGTCCGCTACGATCGAGCACTCGCGCCTGTTGTGGACTGATGGACATCATCGAAAGGCAATCCAGACGCTCAAGGGTGCGATAGCTGCCAATGCCTTTGTTTCTGAAGAATCCGAAATATCAGTGAGGGCTTCTGTCTCAATGACTGGAGAGAAACTAGGAACGCAAAACATCCTTGCTGCCAAGGTGAGTTCGTAAATTAGTGCTCTAATGAGCATATAATTTTATAGCAGTTTTGTTATCGAAAGTAATTCATGCTGACTAGAAATTAGGCCCACTTATTACTTGCGAAGTGGACGGATAGAGCAGGGCAGACTCACTCCGAAGTCATTGTCCAAAGATACCGAGAGGCAATCAGGCTCTTCAGCAAGTGAGTGGCGCATTTTCCTAGTGTATCTTCAGGACCATTATTCTAAACAGCTTTACGCAGGTGGGAAAAGGCTCATTTCTACTTGGGAAAGCACTACAATAAGATCATTGAATCCGAAAGGGCGAAACCACCTGGCAAACAATCTCAAATATAGTAAGTTTCTTTGAATATACCATTTTGGGCATCTTTTACTGATCGACTTAATATCAGTCTGAGTGGAGAGGCCTCTAAACTGGCCATTGATAACTTTCTTAGGTCTTTAGCCAGCGGAAACAAATTCGTCTTCCAAAGCTTACCGAAGATATTGACTCTGTGGCTTGACCATGCAACAAATGTTGATCAAGCTTTCGATCCTAAAAGGGGAGACAACGTGTAAGTTCAGAGACTTGGTAAATGAGGCCTAGGCTGACATTTTCAAGCGAGTTTCAGAAACTGATCACCGCTCAGCGAGAGAAGTCTCTAGATGAAATGCATTCTCAACTAAATAAATATTTTCTCCGTCGAATCCCGCCCGAAGTGGTAAGTTTTCACTCCATACAAACTTGAACTTTGACACGTTTTGTTTTTGCTTGTGCTGACTATACTAGCTTTTCACGATTCTCTCTCAAATCGTTGCTAGAATTTGTCATACGAATAGTACGGTGCATGAGCTATTGACAAATACAGTTGTCAAGATCGTCGGAAATTTCCCACGTCAGGGTCTATGGACAGTTTTGGCTCTGGTTAAATCCTCATCAAAGGATCGCGCTTCAAGAGGCATGGCATGTCTTAAAAAGATAACGGTATGGCCTGAATTTTTCTGCATCTTTCAAGAACCAATCTGTCTAACCAGTACCAAAGGAGGAGAACAAGAAGTCCAACAAAAGCGGATTCACCCCGTCAGAGATAGGTTCAATGATAAAAGGTGGGCAGAAGTTTGGCGAAGAACTGTTGAGCTTGTGCAATGCGCGGGTCGAAGAAAAAGGGACAGCGAAGATCAGCCTGTCGCGAAACTTGGGTTTCAATCACAAAGTTGCTCCGTGCCGTCTAGTTGTGCCATTTCAAAGCATGCTGACACCAATCCTCCCGCCGTCTCATGAAGGGACCTTCATCAAGCAATTCAATCCCTTCCCGGGCGATGTCGTTAGCGTTGAGAGTAAGTAGACAACTCGATTGATAGGCTGTCCTGATATGTTTGAAACTAACAATGTAGCAGAAGTTCTGGACGATGCGTTGGTTCTCAATTCATTGCAAAAGCCCCGCAAAATCAGTATTCTAGGTACAGATGGAAAGATTTATAGTCTCTTATGCAAGCCGAAAGATGACCTCAGGAAGGATCAACGTCTAATGGAGTTTAACAATATGATCAACGGATTTCTCAAGAAGGATGTCGATTCGATCAAACGTCGCATGTGTAAGTATCCCTTTCGGATTATCTAGAGGATTGTTACTGACTCCGGGAAGATATCAAAACATACGCCGTTACACCTCTTAATGAAGAATGTGGACTGATAGAGTGGGTTGACAATCTACGCACTCTACGAGACATAGTCATGAAACTACTAAGAGAGAGAGGCATTACTCCAAATGTGAGTGAGATACTCGAAAGCTAGTAAACAATACTGACAGATACTAACAAATCTTTGTGGGTAAAGTTCAATGAGATTCGTCATTATCTGAACGAAGCTTGCTCACATCATGACAAACTTCCTGTCTTCACGACAATGATCCTGTCAAAGTAAGAATATATCTCTATATCCTGAAGTCATATGGCACAGCTGACACATCTGTGCAGGCTTCCTCCTGTTCTACACGAGTGGTTTGTCGAAATGTTCCCGGATCCAGGAGCATGGCTGGAAGCACGACTGCGATTCACTCGAACCAGTGCCGTGATGTCGATGGTCGGCCATGTTCTCGGGTAAGTCTCTATGACCTCAGGTACAAAAATGGTCGAACACAGATCCTAATGAAGCTACCAGATTGGGTGATCGCCACGGTGAGAACATACTGTTTGAAGAAAGCACAGGAGGTATTTTGCACGTCGATTTCAACTGCCTCTTCGATAAGGTGCGCTCGACCGCAGACTACACACATAGGCTTGAAGGCTGATATGATATGTTAGGGCTTGACGTTTGAGAAACCTGAAGTAGTCCCGTTCCGTCTTACGCACAATATGGTGGACGCCTTTGGGGCATATGGCTATAATGGTAAACAAGACACCATTCCTCTTTCAGTCTCGAACATCATTGAATGTCGAGCTCACTGCATTACTCTACAGGGCCATTCCGAAGGACATGCGAAATAACACTTGGACTATTGCGGCAAAATGAAGACGCACTTATGAACATCATGGAAACGTTCCTATATGACCCTACAACAGATTTCATAGGGAAAAAGGTAAGACATACATTCTCAACCCCAAACACTTTTACATAGAGATCACGCTGACTGAATTTTTTGTAACGACAGAGGCGAACTCACAAAGATGTGCCAGATACACCAGAAGGGGTTATGGAGAGCATCAGAAACAAGCTGAGAGGTCTGTTGCCTCGTCAGTCGGTGCCGCTTTCGGTGGACGGACATGTGGATGAATTGATATTACAAGCCACAGATAAGAGGAACCTGGCTGCCATGTACATAGGCTGGTGTCCATTTTTCTGATAAGACGCAACTACCAACGTTAGTGTAACGTATTACTTAATGACTGAAATGAAACCCACAAAAAAGCATAATGCTCGTTGAGATAACATGCCTTTTTTCAACGTGTAGTTGCATTTCGAATTTCTTCCACGAGGAGATTCAAATAATAGGACGCTGATAAGTCGGGCTCATTTCCATCTGTTGTTAGACCTCTGAGGTCTGGTCCGGCTTGGGCTGCGGCTTCTGTCAGAGTAGTTACTGGCCCTTGAGCTGTAGCTACTGTAGCTTGGACTTCGACGTCTACGATGCCTCGAACGCCTTCCCGGTGGGCTTCTTCTCCTTGGTGGGGAACCCGAGTCAGAGCGGACAGAATATGAACGGGCTCTGGAGCGTCGTGGTGATGCAGAACGCGACAGCGATCTTGGGCGGTAAAGGTCATGTCTGTCTGAAGCTCCACCATTGACGTGGTGGCGTCTTGGAGATCGTCTTCTTGGCGGCGGTGATGCCCGAGATGGATGTTCATAGCTAGGTGGGTGTCTTCGGGGTGAGACCGATCTGTCGTCTGCACCTGATCTTCTGGTTGGAGGAGGACTCCTTGAAAACATTCGTCTGGGTAGGACTATGGAAACTTTAAGCACGGCACCGTCGATTTGAGCTTCATGCATATTGGAGACGGCAGATTCAGCATCAGCAGCGTCGTTGTAAAGAATATACGCAGTGCCTCGATTGGTCATGACTAAACAAGGAAGCATGTCAGCAAAGTCGCTGTCCACGTAGTCTAGCGTGCAAATGGTTCCATACATGTCTTGTTCAAGGGAAGATCTATACTCTGTATCTCGCCAAAGGTTCCAAAGATATCATAGAGATGTCCTTCAGTTACGTTTTTGGTCAATTTCTCGACAACAATCTATAGCTCAGTTAGCAACGTATCACGCATAATGAATATCCTTTTCTTCGTTATCTTCTCTCGCGAGTGCTCCCATATTTCGAGTTCTTACCTTGGAACTTCTTTTGGAGCTTTCAGGCGTAGGACTCCTGGTATAGCTACGGTCTCGGGGCCATCTACCGCTACCACGTCGAGGGCTTCGCGAAGCTCCGTGTTCAGGCGTAAATGATCGACTTCTTGACCTCCCCCGTTTATAGCTACGTGTTTCGCTTGGGCTGCGGCTCCTGTTCGGTGATCTCGAACGTGACATGGACTGGCGGGTTCTAGGTCTTGGAGGCATTGCGGGCGACCTGGGCGGCATCGGTATTTAAAAGTTGAATTTCTTTCTGTTCGCTCGTCGGACGTACTTTCGCGAATGCTATGGACAGCAGTTGTGTTTTATCGTCAGACAGCGCAAGCAGTGAAGTTCAGGTGGTCGTAGCTTTACTATTTAGAAGAGAAATGGTCCGCGACTTAGCGCGCGCTGAGGTGGTAGAGAGGGTCAATGCGCGGCGCTAAGGAACCGCGATGCACTCCTCCGTCAAGTCACAAAACTGCAATATCTACATCATGGAATCGAAACCGCGAAGGGAACATTGATATTTCTCTCCCCTCCTTATGAGTCTCATGACAGCTAATCGAATACGTCTCTGCTTTATGCTAGTAGCCTAACAGTATGACGAACCCAATCAAATACACATGTTGATTTATGCTTCTATCGCGTGCCTGGTGAACTTTGAAAGCTTCGATAAAATTTTCTTGCTCTCATAATTTGGTCCATGGTGCTGAGTGAGCCATATTGAGTCACGTAGAGTCCTATCGCTCTATCAGCAACGTAATTAAAAGAATCCTGATGTATTCCCGCATGGCTGACTATCAGAAACAGTGGGACAGACCAAGGGCCATTGGATCTCTCAAGATCACTCGAGCTAAGTTCTCATCAGGTCAATATGTTGGGCAGGTTCATCAATCATTTCCTATCATAATGCAGACTTCTCGGCCCATTGCTCGTATTCCGCTATAATATCGGGTGTCAATTGTGTCTTGACTCGAGTGAAGGCGATTTCAAAATGATGCCACATAACCTCCTGTGGCTCGTTCTTTTCATCTTCTTCGTCCAATGCCGCTTCGCCGGCGGTTTCGCATAGACTGATGATTTCTGCACCAGAATATCCCTCCGTCCTGGCTGCAAGGTCATCAATGCTCAAGTCTGAACTGACAACCGACTTGCTTGTCCATATTGAGAATATTTCTCTCCGCGAATCGTAGTCCGGCGGGCCAACATATACAATATTATCTAAACGGCCTGGCCGCATCAAAGCAGGATCGAGAGTGCCAGGCTTATTGGTCGCTGCTACAACCAAAACATTTTTAAGCTCTTCGATGCCGTCCATTTCGTTCAAGAGTGTTGTGAGAACATTGACGCCGCCACTGGAGCTAGTACGCTTTGCTGCAATGGCATCTATTTCGTCAAAGAAAAGAATGCTAGGCCTAGCAGAACGGGCTTTCTGGAAAATCTCCCGGAGTTTCCGCTCCGACTCTCCAACATACATGCTCAAAATCTCAGCGCCTTTAACGGCCAAAAAGTTAAGTCCAGCTTCGGTAGCTAGAGCTTTCACGACAAGTGTCTTCGAACAACCTGGTGGACCGTAGAGCAGGATACCCTTTCGGCTTTTCACGTTGAGTCTTCGCATCCTTTCGGGGAACTATGGCAGGTTAATATCATGGACATTACCTGTTCGTGGAAAGGGAGCGTACCTTTAATGGCCGCTCGACCATTTTCTGCAGATGCTTCTTGAGCGCATGCTGTCCTCCGATATCCATCCACCTTACTTTAGGAGTCTCAAGGAACACCTCCCGCATCGCTGTGGGACGTACTTCTTGCATGGCTGCAATAACATCATCCTCATTTACAATTAGCCAAGCTGAATTCTTTTCTTTGGAGACCTCATCAACCATAGGAACATCCAGGCTCGGGGACTCGATATTAGGAATCAGCCGATCCCGGGCTTTGCGGCATGTCATTTGCAGGAGGGCAAATAGATCGGCCCCAACATATCCATGAGTTTTCTCGGCCATAAAGTCTATAATAGAGTCGCTAGGCTCTGATGACCGGTCACGTATTGCACATAGGATCTCCTTTCTAGACGCAGCTGTTGGGATTGATACCTCAACTTCGACTGAAAGCCGGTGGGGTGTCCTAAGTGAATCATCAATATCATTGGGATGGCGCGTTGCTGCTACGACAAGCACTTTGGCATCTTCCAGCGCATCTATACTCTCACATAAAGCATGAGCTAAAGATGAAGCCTCTGGAGACGATCGTTTTGGGGCCAGAGAGTCAATCTGATCGATGATAATTACACTAGGCTCCGCCCGAGAAGCATCTTTAAAAATCTTGCTCAATTTTGCCTCCCCGTCACCTGAATTGCGAGAAAGTATATTTGACCGAATCGAGAAGGTTCTGTGCCAGCCAGCTGATTCAATCCTGCGCAACAGTGAACTTTTTCCCGTACCCTTTGGTCCGTGAATAAGAATGCCTCGATTTAACCTATAAAATCGCGGCATATCTGCCCCGTGAGCTCGCAAGTTGAAGTCTACCAACAGATGGTTTAACCGAATTATCTGATCTGTGAGTCCACCCAATCCATCCTGAACAACCTTAAGAGTAGCAAACCCCTTATCTTCTTTTGGCCCAGTGCCAATCTGTACGCGCGAACGCTTGGTGAAGAGGGATATCGTCTGGTCGGTGGGATTGGACGTAGAGATCTCAACAACCTTGAAACTCCTACACTGGCCCTTGATCTCAGCTTCAAACCCAAGGCCGACTGAAAGGATGCCACATTGTGATAGAGGATATTCCAAAGCCCATTCCCAATGAGCTAATTCCGTAGCATCAGATAGAGGTCCGTAAATTACTAGCTTATCCGGATGAGTGCATTCTTCAAGCTGCACCCTGTCTGTTTCGTTGAGCGATCCGTCTAGCTTGGAGATGGTGAGCTTTTCGCCAAGTTTGATACAATAGCATTCTTGCAAGATGCTTGACGCTTGAACAACGGTTGTTTTAATATCTCCGACAGCATTCCAAGCAACAGCGGTCTTTTCAATTCCTCCCTCTGAGCGGAGAGTACAGAGACTGCCGGGTGACAGTTTGAGATATGCTAAGGAGCTGGCGGACAGGTATATGCGGAAGGAATCGCGGAGGTCGCTTCGGTGTGGTTTTGGCAGCGGCCGTAATGTGAAGACGCGAGCTTCAGCCATGTCTCTGGCACAGGAGGCCGTGTCCAAGAAGCATCAATAATTGAGGTCAATGAGATGAGAGTGGTGATGAACAATTCCGGACTCCGGCTGGGGCGTGTCGGAGAGAAAAAAAAATATATATAGTGGGGTGAGTTATCTATAATGCGGCTCCCCAAGCCCACTGGCTAATTATGTACGGTACGGAGTACATACAAATATAGCTTCAGTTTGAGTGGCCTTTTCTACAGATGTCCATCCCTGAATGAAGTGGTCGTTCACCAGACTGTCAAGCACATGCTATAGAGAAGCCGTTAACCATCAAGTAACTTGTCATACTAATTCACGTACTGATGTAGTTTCTACCCATAAGCGATTATTCCGCCGCTTCAGACTACAAGTAAATGACTAAAATTACAAAGTAGATGATATAACGAGACGCATAACTATTGGCAAGGCCGCTGTTTAAAAAGTGAAAAATCCCCGACAAGCACGATGAAATGACCAACATAGTAGAGAATAGGGAACCATCAAGAACTTATAGACACAATAACGAACAAACACGCTGGGAGAAAAGTCCAATCAAAAGGGTGCACCGATTCCGTAGCTTCCTTGAAGCGGATTCTATATCAAACAGACCAGGAATAAGAATCAACAGAGGCAAAAGAAGACGATCAAAGAAAGGAGAAAGGGAGGATTGTGAGGTGAGGTTCTGAAGGATTTCTGATTCATAACGTCCCACATAACAGTAACTCAGCAACACTTTCCACCCAGGTTGCCGTTCGACCCTGCATTATGCTGGTCTATGTTGACCCCTTGAGTGCCCGCTTGTTCCGACTTTGTACTGTCCATGACCTTCTTGATCTCTGACGCGAGGCTGTAGAATGCTTTATCGACGTTTATATTGTTCTTGGCGGAAACCTCCAGGAAAGGGATGCCGAGTTCATCGGCCAGTTTCTGGCCTTGTTCGGTCGTTACCGCCCGCTTCTCTTCCCAGTCGCATTTGTTACCGATGAGAATCTTATGCACACCCTCACTGGCATGTTGCTCGACGTTGGAAAACCAAGTCCTAATGTCTGCAATGGTTTGTTAGCATCCGTCCCACACGTTTGTCCTTTAGGACTTACTGTTGAAAGATCGTTCGTCTGTAACATCATAAACCAGGAGAATGCCCATTGCGCCTCGATAGTAGGCGGTAGTGATTGTCCTGAATCGCTCTTGTCCAGCCGTATCCCATATCTGCAACTTCACACGTTTGCCATCGAGTTCGATTGTGCGAATTTTGAAGTCGATTCCGATCGTCGTGATGAAGGATGGTGTGAACGAGTCCTCGCTGAAGCGGAGAAGGCAGCACGATTTGCCCACCCCGGAATCTCCGATGAGCAGTAACTTGATCTAAATAGTAGAATGTTAGAAGCTGGACGCTCAGAATATAGTGGCCAACGGTATACATACTAGAAAGTCATAGTTTCTTGTGCCCGCCATGACGAGGTGTGGATTCCAGAGTTGATGTCACCGGGGGGGGGGGGAGTAGTTGCGATATATTGAATGTGTGTTGTAAGTGTCGATGTAGCCCCGGTTGTAAGGAGGAATAGGTGACGGTAGCACACGAAATAGGGAGATATATCGAATGGATATTGCTGTCTTCAGGGCAAGCTTTGGCTCTCTGTTGGTTGCTGGTGGTGTTGTTGTTCTTCTTGGAAGAGTGAGGCCAGTCCGATCGATGACCAAACGAGCTTAGGGTGAAGGGTCGCAGAAGTCTCCAATCAGAAGTCGGCGGGTACTCTCCCTCTTAAGACATATGTTGGACTGAACTCCGAACAACAGCAATTTACATAATTAGGCCAGAGATCTAGTCCGAGACGATATTCATTACGTGCATGGGACTGGTACAGATTTACTAGGTATAGTACAAGTAGTAAGCGATGCCCTGTAAGTGTCCAATTCCTCCCCCCCAATTTGACATGTCTTCCTCAGATGATGTGGTATAAGCACAGGCGATCGCTACGCATATATTGAATGCCAAAACCCTCAGAACCATTTCGAGTAGGTCCATTGTATGCGCTGAAGAGCATTTCGTTGTCTCCATACCCCGTGGCTCAGGTCTGTAAGGTCCGTCAAATCCTGCTGAAAGATTGGCAAAAATGATCTCGGGACGGTATATTGAGCCCTCCGTTTCAGGATCTGGGCTTCGTAAATGCAAAGTCCGTAGTCTCGATAGGATAGGACACTGTCTGGCGTGGTTGGATATGCACCAAGAATACGATCGATATTCCTATAGTAATGAAACAAAGGTCAGCATGGAGATTCAACCGTTTTCAGACCCAGTAAAGGATGAATGAAGCCTTACCGCACTGCGTTCCTGAACTTTTGTTTTTCAATTCCCGCTCTGAAGCCCTTCCTGCTATCGAAGAGACTGGCAATCCACCGAACAGTGGTGTATGTTATCAGCAACCCTGGAGTCAAACCGATGAACCTAGAAGACCCTTAGCATGTTCTCCCCGTGTCATTGTCGAGAAATACCAACCCAAAAACGAGTTCCTGGCTCTTGAGTAAGGCATCAATACCCCCCATAGCTACCTCCACATCCACTTTCGTCTTTTGTATCTGAATGAGAAGAGCGCGAACGAGGTCACCCCGAATTGTTCCGATGAAGGGCTTACGAAGATCTCTTTCATAAGCCTTTAAAACAGGTGTAAGGTCCCCGTCTCTAACCTGCGCTGCAATAGTCGAAACGTCGGGCCGCGTGTTTCCACTATTACTCTGCGAGCTGTTGTCCGATACGAAATCAATGACCATCCTTTCAAGGCTCTGTCTATCCGCTTCCAAGCTGGTTCGACTCATAATCGCAATTTCACTTTGCTCATCGTGCCGGATCGTCCCGATCAGCTTACCCACCGGCTGCAGAACCCAGTTTCTCCAGAAGTCGACGACAGTGGCCCCAAATTCAGAAACCCATTCCAATAACTCGGCTCTGCGATTTGTGAGAACACGCAGCGATGTACTCAGTGACATTAATGTGATGACTGTTGGAAACCAGTAACGCGCGAGGGTAGATGGACGGCCGTGCTTGCGGATGAAATATTGATTGTAAGCAAGGTTGTTTGGAATCCTGTCCCTCAGCACGTAAATTAATCCCTCAACAACATCATTCGCTTGTACCGATTGCTCTTCAAGAGATGAACGCTGCTTCTCCTGGAACATATTGTCAGTTGCGAGAAAAACGGTTTCTTCAAAAATTTTAGGTGATTCTAATGACTGCGACAGATCTTGAAGGGTATTTTCAACCAATAACACAGTTTTGTATAATCCATGAAACCGTTCACGATTAAATTTGGCGTGAATGGGGTCTGATGATGGTTCATTGCTGGCAAATGTCAGACATTCCTCGAGAAGAATACCAATCGCACTGGCGTTTAAATCCTTGAGCTTTTCGAGTGCTTTCCGCTTTTGTCTCAATTGCAACCTACATCGGGTAAGTGGTGATGACAACGTATTTCTGGTGTTCCGCAAAACGCCTTCTTGGATATTGTTCTGAACGATCTGGTAGAAGCGTTTCCAATCTCTGCTGATTGAACTCAGAGACGTCATGTTCTCACGTGCAGATGCAGTTTTCAGAGTTGAAATGACTTCAGATATCCACAACCATATCCTGGACGGCGCCGTTTGAATGGTATAATGTCCAGTGAGTATGCTTGATCCGAGGACATCGTTCCAATAATCAATCTCAGCGCCAAGCAAGGAAGACTGTTCGAGTAGGAGGCCAAGGACACTACCCAATGTCTGCGTGGTAAATTTGGCAAGTAAGAACCAAGACTGTTCGTCAATTGCTTCTCCTTTGAAAGCATCACTATCAGCTTGGAATGAAAACAAGTTGTCCCGGCGAGCTTGGTTCAGTAGGCGCAGTAGATTGCGACGAGACAGTAGACCATGATTGTCCACGGATAAGGCCCGCACTGTAGCCTGAAGACTTCGGACATTATGAATAGGCGAGGCTGATTCCTTCAAATTGTTCGCATTGACATGCTCAGTAGCACGGGAGTGATATCGATCAATATTGATATCTAGACGCGACACAATCCTAAGAAGTCAATCAGTATATGTTGACATATATGCACAATTATACCTCAAATCACGAGACTTACTCGGTTACTAGGGACATGGTGTCGTGAAGAATGTAATGTCAGAGTGCAGATGGGGTTGGCATCGGTTGTCCGTAGAGAGACGGCATTACATCATAGGCGGATTAAGAAAACTTGTTGTACGTAGTAGTAACCTCGGTAAATTTATTGAGGGCTAACCTTGATTAGATGAGATTGTTTCATTGGGATTGCGTCACGTGATGATCATACTGCAGGATCAGTACTGCGTACTGCGGGGGTTCTTCCTCCTTACAACTGCCTCATGAGAGTCAGCCGCTCGCCTCCGCAAGTTACTCGTCATCTCTCACGCAGTTAAGACTTGGTTTTCCGACCCTTTTCTCGATATTTCTTCCTTACTTCCACGACGACGTCCTCCAGCCAGCTTAGCACCTCCACGCCGCTCCCTCAGGACTCCGCATGGCCGGAGGCCCATATCTGGGAAACTATGAGTACAATGGACCGCACCGGTTGGCTAGCACAAATACAAAAGGGCAAGACCAGACGTCTTGAATTTGATGAAACTGAGATCGGTATCTGCTGGAGGCGAACCCACTTGGACCAACGGGACGACAAGGATAATTAAGAAGAAAACCGTGAGCCACCCCCTAAGGTAAAACCGCTCATCGATACGTTTCTGGGTGTCTTCGCCGCGCTTTTACCCACATCTTCGAAAAAAAATTGAAGGCGACTGAACTCATTCGCTTTAGAGAGAAATCAGTAATCCACACATCTCAAGAGGATTAAGTCTTTAAAATGACCGAGTCAGGCGGCACTGTAGGCTTCAAAAAGATAGCTTCATCGCTTAAGGATTGGGGTCCTAACCCTTAAATATGGACCAGCTGCTTCCTTACTTACTCGGCAGTCATAGGATATCTTTTTGGTGACAAGTCTGCTAAGGTTATCCCCAACCTGCTCGTGTTTTTAAGGCAGATTCTGAACTTCGATTAGACCTATCATTGGCCGGAAGCAGTACTTCAATTTCCACAAATATATACCGGACAAGGGGAATAGGCATTTTTGATTCCGGGGGAAAAAAAAAAAGAATGAATTTCTGAAATTACGCCACCAGATCCGGCCGGAAAAAGGCTGTAATTCACGCATGTTATCGTCTGAGTCAAGCGCTGTCGATTGAGCCTAGTTTTACTAGGTAAGAGCGTAGTAACGGCTCAGGCGCGAATGTTAACGCCATTGACGGATGTGAAGCTATCTCAGGGGGCTTGATATGTTGTGGTTTTATCACGTGACAAAGCTTTACCCTCTGGCTGTAATCCTTTCCCAGAACAACGTTCCTCCGGCTCCGTTGGCTCAGGAATATCAAATCGGACGTGCTTCTGAATAACATTCTGCTCAGCCGTCACACTCTATCTATAGCCTTATTTCCAGGAACATCTTTGTGGCCTAGAATTCACTATAATGTTACATTGATCAATGATATTCTTATCTATATATACCCGTCGCTTCACCTCCCCCCACCCTATTCGGACTGGGGGTCGGCCCGGGCTCAACGCGCACATGGGCTCAACGCTCAAAATATTCAAATTCTTCAAATTAATGCTTATAAGTCCACCAACGCCATGTAAATTATATAAAAAATCTAGGCACATGAGAAATACATATATGATTTACCTATTACCCGTAGAATCAATGAAAAAACCCAAGTTTTGAGGCTCTCTTGGAGCCTCAGCATCCTCCGCCTCCGGCACCCCAAGTACGTGCTGTTTATAGTAGTAGTAGTAGTATTGATATACCCGCTGTAGCTGGCCGCTGACTAAGAGCCGCTATCCAGGTGTGTGCCTAAGCCTGCAGGCACCAATAGATCCGCGGCCCAGCCACGGGTGGTGCGCCATAGAGGCGCGCCACAGAGAACGGAAGCTAAGGAAACAAGAATAACGGATGCAAACATGTCAAACAAACAAATAAATCAAACATCTTGGTCGGCTAGTGCGCGTACGCCCCGCCTACAAGAATTCCCAAATTCTTTTCAAGTCCTCCGAACTGCACCAGTTCGCTTCAAACCCACATATCCTGTATCCCTTATAAAAATCTGCGTATCTCACCCTTTGCAAATCCGAATTGTACGTCCTCTACATCGCATCCCGTTGGCTGGCTCTGAATCACTTGTTCCAAGGCTTGTATTTGTGTCAATCCTGGTCCTTACTGATAACGACGTCGACCTGGAACGCACGTCATCTACGTGCGTGTTCGTACATGTTCCCACGTCAGTGTCCTTGTCATTTGCAGGCTCCAATTAAGCCACTATTTCTGCGCTTTCATAGGTGCCAACTGCTTCCGGATCTACCTCACACAATTGATCAAGCACTCGCGTGTCAATGATGAACTGCGCGATTGCAATTGCGGCCTTTTTTTCCTTAAGTAATGCTTGCAGATCTGTTGTGCGTCGGAATCCCTTGATTCGTGACCACATGAGACCGCGTTCATTCTCATACAGTGGGCATTCCATGAGGATATGTCGTACTGATTGACCAGATAGGCCATAGGCACAGTATGGTTGTTCTCGCCTGTTAATTCGCCACAGATAATGCGCCAGCCCGATTCGTTCGGTACGCAGCTGTATCAGTATTGACGATGTTGCTTTGCGGAGAAAGGTCCAATATTGGAGTGTGCGCTTGGAAGGCTGAGTGACAAGTTTTTTGGTAGGTTTCCCTGCCTTTTGCTTATCCCACCGTCTCTCCCAGGCATCCTTGGTTGATTGGCGTATTCTGCGTTTTGCAGCTGCTGCGAGTATGGTCCATCCTTCACTTAATAGATCTCCAGGTACGATTTGCCTTCGTGCGCCCATTAGAGCCGCACGTTTTGCAGCCCTGTCTGCAGCTTTATTTCCAGGAACGCCCTCATGGCCTGGAATCTACCTCAGTGTTACATCGATGTCCTCATCCGTACACTTCCTCAGTGAATCGACACAGCCCTGAATGTACGTTTGACCAGAGACCATACGCAGGTTCATGAGAGTTTTAAGCGCGGCTTGGCTATCTGAGAAAATAACTAGTTTCTTGGTTCGTATGTCCTGATCTGCAATTTGAAGCGCAGTTTCGAGCGCGAATTTGATCCCACAGACCTGCACGCTCGTGTAATATAAGACGATGAAATAAGGTTGTAGATAAGAATGTTAGATCGATTGTCGATTGTGATTGGCCACGTTCCCAGGTGACTAGTCCTTCTTCGGTAGCAAGCTCGATTCCATGGCGATCCATGATCTCAAGCAATTCTGTGGCTTGTTCGTCGATTTTGGTGCCAGGGCCACCCCAGGCTGGATGGTGGACGTTCATGTCCCCAAGAACTATATGTGCTGTGGTTCGTGAGCATCCTAGTCGGGTTAGTTCTCGATCTATGTGCGTAAAGGTTGTCGAACGTGGTTCATTATAGATATTGTGGATATAGAGATCGTGCGGTTCAGAATTTGAATTCGAATGTAGGCAACGTTGATAGCGAATATGTAGGATTTGATAGTCAGGCGATATGACAGTGTGAGACCAGCTAGCCGGATCGATGCTTTTATTGACAAATAAGGCCACACGGGCTCTCTTATTGTTATTAGTGTTGTTGTTGTTGTCGTTAGGTTTGGGATAGAGGAGTTAATGTATAAGACTCACAGGCTGGTGCGTTATATTGTTTAGTTCGTTTCTCCATAGTTCCTGAATTGCAATCACAGAGGCGCGGAGAGCTCGGGGATCACGTAAGAATGTGGCTATGACCTCATCCTTGGATTTATGCGTGTTATACTGTATAATCTCATATGGGGACGAGATAGTGATTTTTGAATTTTTGCATGCATGATTCTGATAGGGGTGAGGCCGATAGGGCGTCACCAAGACTTCCAGTGGTCTGTCATAGCCAGTAGGGCTGGGTACGGACAATAAACTTGATTAATAATAATAATAATAATACTGTATAATCTCAAATATTACGCTCATTAGTCGAGAACATCTGGAGACGAGCATGTGTTCATATCTTGTACAGTTTATAGATTATCCTCCTCCTCTTCTTCCTTAATAGGGGCTACGCGTGGTCCTTGACTGGGATGGAAACTATTCAAAAGTTCTGTATAGCCTTCTGAATTAATAGTTGTGTTATCATTAAGTTCACGGTAGCTAGCTGTGCTACTTAGGATGACATTGTTGTCTTCTATTGTCATGTTTATCTGTGGAAGCTGTGATATCTGGGGTAGTGGTATCTCATCCGAATCTTGAGATCGTGTACGTACTTGGCGGTGGGCCTGGATGCGCTGTCTGCGTATCTGTTTAAGGTAGGCTCTTGATCTGGTGACTGGAGCCGTTGATTTTGCCATGTTATTATTATTATTATTATTAATCAAGTTTATTGTCCGTACCCAGCCCTACTGGCTATGACAGACCACTAGAAGCCTTGGTGACACCCTACTGGCCTCACCCCTATCAGAGTCATACATGCAAAATTCAAAAATCACTATCTCGTCCCCATATGGCCGATATGCCAGGGACCTTTGGGCACTCTCCCTAGGCTAATCCTTCCGGAGATCCCTTATAGTTCCAAACCCGTGGGCACACCTAATCAGTACAAACTCTGACTAGCGTGCCCTCACCCCTATTCATCCTCCAATGTGACACCTAGGCCACCTTCCTCCAACGTATCCCACCCCCACGCATCACTAGACTCAGCCCCCCCTAGGAGTATTGGGGGGATACACATTAAGCTACTATACATTTATATATATGCACCCATAGTAACCGGCTGCCGCTTCTGTCCTCTCAAGCTAGATACAATAGTTCCTTATCTTTCCTATTGCTCCACTACCGCCCACTTGTCACGGACCTGGATCCACCTTAGTTCTAACAGCGGTGCGTCGTGATACGTTAGGATAATTGAACCTCGCACAGGTTCCGACCAATGAGATAGTGGAGCGTGATGGATCGTATGTAACGAAGTATCGAACAGTAATGAGACGGTGACTGGGAATAGTAACAAACTAAGATAGAAGAGATCCCCCGTACAGCCTGGTGCCCGTACGAGTTAGAATGCCTTGCTGACTCTCACTGTTGTATTCAAGTGACTTATGTCAAAGAGCTATGAAGAACTAAATACATGATAGTAAAAGAGCGTCCTTATATATCCAGTCCTCCATGTTTTGTATATCCTATATCGTATACCTTTGAAAGGTAGCAAGTATAAGGTATACGATATAATCCAATGATGTATCGTTGTTTTATATACCCTTATCTTATCCAAGATAACGGTATATTAAACATATCTTCACGTGACTTGGTGCGTGTCCCATACCAAAGTATCCACTTTGTGACATACTTCCATCTTGTTTGTAATCGTATGGTTCATACGCTCCAAACACCAAAGTGACCTTTCCTTCTTGGTCATAGTATAATTTAGCGTCATGCAGTTCAACTTCGTAACATCACTCCCCCTCTCTCAGCCTATCGTCCTCGATAGTATAAGTAGAAAGACGCGCCCTCGTTCCCAGCGTGACCCTGCTTTCTTCCGTTGGTAAGTGATGTTTCTGTGTCGTTCCCATAATGCCTCGTTCAAAAGCGAAATCCAAAGCTGATCCTGAACGCCTTAAAGCTGATAAACTTCTTCAACGCATTTCCCAATCTTCCAAAATTCGAAAGGACGGTTTCATTGTCGAGTTTCCTTGCGAATATTGCCGATTCAACGGTTTTGATTGCGTAATGGCTGATAAAAATGAAAAATGTGCTGCTTGCACTCGTCGTGGTCGTCCTTGTGAACGCCGGTTTCATAGTGATAGGGAATGGCAGACCCTTGAGTCTAATCGTCAGAAAAGAAAAGCCGAAATTCGAGAGACCGAAGATAAAATCGAATCGTTGTTTGCAAAATTAAAACGTCTTCGTCGTCTTGAAGAGTCTGATAATGAGCGTGTCGTGAGCATGCGTTCTCACAATCAAAGAGTGTTGGAAATCTTGGATTCCGAAAATCCTCCTTCTGAAGCAGAGGTAGCCGCTGCCGATGCTGAAATTATGAGAGAACAACTGGAATCCCGTGCTCTTGCTGCGACCGTCGAGGAGTTTGACGCGTGGCTCGCCAGTTCTAAACAATTTCCCTCCGGTTCGTTGGATGCCGTCGGCGATACCTCTCTAGAACTTCCTCAGCTCCAACAAGGTCTCAATAGGTTCCCAGGTGCTTTCCTTTGGTGCTGTAGTCCTTCCATTTGACTAGGTAATAGAGCTTTCCGTTTGGTGATTCTTTTTCCGCTAATATGCTTTCAACTTCATAGGTTTCTTGTTCGATAGTGATTTCCTCCTGTGTCTTAGCGTTCTGTGGTGCTGGTTCCAATAATGAGATATGAAAAATTGGATGTACCCTCATAGTGTTGGGTAGTTTCAGTTTGTAGTTGACTTCGCTAACTTTTTCTTCAATTTCGAATGGTCCAATTCGTAGGTGATCGAGTTTGTCGCTTGGTCTGGTAGTTTGAATGTTTTTTCGTGAAAGGTAAACCTTCTCCCCCTTTTTGAAATCAGGTCCCTTCTGATGTTTTTCGTTGTAATATCCCGTCGTAAGTTTGTTTTGATTGATGATTTCCGTGTGAAGATAGAAATATAACGCCTTCATTTGTTGTACTTTTTCTTCTGCTGTAGCGTTGACTGATTCCTTGAACTTTGGTTGTCCCATTAATCGTGGTTCTCGTCCGTAGTTTGCAAAGAATGGTGATACACCGGTTGTCGAATGTTTTGCCGAGTTGTATGCCAGCTGAGCCATAGATAGTAGTTCTGCCCAGTTGTCCTGATGGTGATTCACATAGTGCCGTAGATATTGTATCAATGTCTGGTTTGTCCTTTCTGTTTGTCCATTTGTCTGTGGGTGGAATGCTGTTGATAGTCGTTGTTCTCCTCCCATAAGGTCCATCATTGATTTCCATAGTTTTGATGCGAATGTGGGTCCTCTGTCTGAGATAATGATCTCCGGTATTCCATGGTGTTGAAACACTCCGTCTATTAGTTCTTCTGCTAGTTCTTCAGCGTTGGTTCCTTCGGTTGTTGGTATGAAGTGTGCGTATTTCGTCATTCTATCCACTATTACTAGAATAGCATCACATCCTCGTGATTCTGGTAGTTTGACAATGTGGTCCATCGTAATCCATTGCCATGGGTAATCTGGTGCTTTGATTTCCTGTAGTAACCCGTATGGTTGGTGTCTGCTGATCTTGTTTTTCTGACATGCGTCGCATTCCTTGATATAGGTTTCGATGTCTTTCATCATTCGTGGCCAGTAGTAATTCCTGGTGATTCGTTCCATTGTGTTGAGTTGTCCTGGATGACCACTAGTTAAAGTGTCATGGTTGAGTCGAATGATTTCGTTTCTTAGTGATTTCGGTATATAGATTAAACCATGCCAAAATACTAATCCTGTCTCTGTTGCTGTAACTTTGTCGTCTTCGTTTTCGATCAAAGACTGAATTAAATCGTCCTTGGCCGTTTCTTCAACAATTTTGTCTTGTAATTCTGAATCTGTTGTTGTTTCTGCCGTTGCTGCGAGTGTAGCCACTTGTGGATTATACTCCAAGTGTCCTTCTTTGTTTAGTCGTAGCAATGCCGGTTCGGGTTTCTTAATCCCTTCTTCGTGATCTGGTCGTCTGCTGAGAGCGTCTGCTCTTTCGTTTTCCTTGCCTTTGCAGTGTTCGATAGTAAACCAGTAATTTCCTAGTAGTTCTGACCATCTGGCTTGTCTTCTTGTCAATACCTTTGTTGTCGTGAAGTAGGTAAGGTTCTTGTAATCCATAATGATTCGTATCGGAAATGTTGCTCCTTCGAGATATACTCTCCAATGCCGAAGTGCTGACACTATAGCCAACAGTTCCTTATCGTGTATCTCGTAATTGAGTTCTGCGTCGATGAGCTTTCTTGAGTAGTATGCAACTGGTCTGGGTCTTCCATCTGTTCCTGGTTGAGTCATGGTTGCTCCAATTGCAAAGTCTGATGCGTCTGTTTCCAATGTTGTTGGTAATTCGGGGTCATGTTGTGCCAAAATAGGTGCCTTTGTGAGTCGTTTCTTGGCTTCTTCAAATGCTTTTTGTTGTTCTTCGTTCCATTCATATGGTATTTCCTTTTTCAGTAACTTGAACATCGGTGTCATGATTTTTGCGTAGTTTTCAATATATCGTCGATAATAGTTGATCAATCCAATGAATGACTGTAGTTCCTTAAGGTTCCTTGGTTGAGGCCAATCCTTGATTGCCTGAACTTTCTCTTTTTCTATCTGTATTCCTTCTTGTGTGATCCTGTGTCCCAAGAAGTCAGTTTCTTGTACATGGAATTCGCACTTTTTTAGTTTCACTTGTAGTTTTGCCGTTTTTAGTTGTTCGAGTACTAATTTCACGTGTTTCACATGTTCTTCCATGCTGTTAGAGAATATTAAAATGTCATCCAAGTAAGCGATGGTGAAGTCGTGCAAATATGGTGAGATCACATTGTTGATGTATCTCTGGAATGTTGCCGGTGCGTTGGTGAGTCCAAATGGCATGACCAAATATTCGAAATGTCCAAACTTGGTCTTGAATGCTGTTTTCCATTCTTCTCCTTCCTTGATCCTGAGGCGATTATACGCGTCGGTGATATCAAGTTTAGTGAACCATTTCTTATTTCGAACTTTATCTTGTATCTCTGTGATCAGTGGTAAGAGGTAACTGTCCTTAACCGTAATGTTGTTGAGTTGCCGAAAATCAACACACATTCTCAAATCTGTTGTTCCTTTCTTTTTGACGAATAATACTGGGTATCCTGCCGGTGATGTCGATGGTCATATGTACCCTTTTTCTAGATTTTCTTCGATGTATTTCTTCAGAGCTTCTTCTTCATTTCCCGACACTGGGTAAATCTTCTGAGGTACTGGCTCTTTTCCTTCCTTGAGTGGAATAGTATGATCCCATTCATTGTGGTCTGGTAAGGCCTGGTATGTTCCGTCGAACAAATCTCTGAACTGTTCGTATTCTGTTGGTAACGCAACGTTCGTACTGCTTGCGAGTTGTCGTTCCTTCGCCGCTTTTTCTAAAAGTTCCCTGAACATTTCTTGCTCTTCATGCAGCGTAATCTCTTCCGTGACTTCAGCGATGACCCTACCCTTGGTCTCATCCTGTTAAGGAGTATCTATTGCTTCCTGAATGTCGATCTCCTGGCTCTCTGTCGTCTCAGAGGCTTTGATAGTCCGGGTTGTTCCGCATCTACATCTCGTCAGATGTAGGTGTCCTTTATCCCATTGGATCTCTGGGTTGTGCTTTCTCAACCATGGTATTCCTAGGATTACGTCATCTCTTCCTAGTTTCGCAATATCAAAGTTGATCATCTCGAGGTGTCCATCAATGCTCATGGCTAACCACCCTGTTTCGTCGGTGATTCCTTCTTCTGACAGTTTCTCCCCATTGAGCCCTATCAATGGTATCGGTGTAGGTTTCTTTCGTCCTAGTATCTGCAGTTTCTCTTGCGTCCTTGGGTCCATATAGTTCCCTGTCGCTCCTGAATCAATCATGATTCGTACGTCACTTCCTAAGATATTGGCCGTTATCTTGAAGTGTCGTCCGTGTGCGGTGGCTTTCAAGTCTTTTACTTTTCCGATTCGTTCGATTTCTTCTTTTCGTAGTGTAGTCCACTCGTGCATTAACTGCTTTATGTTGTTTTCAATCTTTCGCTGTCTCGTAGCGTTACTGTCTTCTTCTGGACTTTCCTCATCGTTCCTTAGCGGTACTAGTGTTCGTTGTCTTCGCTTCGGTCCTTCAGGCTTTTGGGCCTCATTCGTGTCCCCAGTCCCTGCCGACTGCTTCGCTGTATTGGGCATAGCGGTATTGTCAGTTTTCGCCAAACTGATCCTTGAGGGTCCTTCGTTGTCCCTTCTTAGCCATTTGCAGTTTTCTGGCTTTATCTCTTGGTGTGGTCTCGGAAAATATCCACTCCCTTGCTTTGCATCCAGATGCACACTACACCAATCGTCATTACAGAAGATAAATGCAATGGATCCATGCCCTGGATGTTTCGGGTCTTTGTATAGCACTTGACAATCTGATCCGCATGGGTTTCCTAGTGCTTTAATCTCTTCCCATTCGTCGTTAGTGGGGATTTCTGTTTCTGGCCGTTCTTGAGCGTCCTGGTACTGGCTCTTAGGCTCGTCATCGATTTCTGGATAATCGTCAACCCTGTTGTTTTCGTTTCCTACCTCTTCGTAGTCTGCTGCATGCATTGTTGTGAGGTGGAGGTTCATTTCGCTTTCTGTTCCGCTAAAGCTGCTGCATATATCTCTATCGTTCTGATAGTCGTTTACGCCATAGTCGTTATCCCATTCGGCGTATCTTTCTTGGTCTTCTTCGTTAGAACCGTTTTCTTGCGTTGCTTTGATCTGTCTTTCTTTTCTTGGGCTTCTGCATTCTTTTGCGTAGTGTCCCGTCTTGTTGCAGTTGTAGCACTTGACTGTGGTCTTGTCGAACCTAACTTTCTTCTTTTCATAGGTTTTTGCTTCTACGGTTGCATCGAGTTCCATGGGCATTGGTCCATATGGATCATGTCGTCTCTGCCCATGATTGCCTGACCTATGTCGTCGTTGATTTGCTGGTAGCGCCGTCCCATGGCGTCTCCATCCTTGTATTTCTTGTCGTTTTTGCTTGATTTCGTACAGCTTGTCGTCGATCTTGACAGCTTGTTCAATAAATTCGTCAATATTGTCTGGTCGATCCATCTTGATGAGTTCTACTTGAACGTCTTCCTTTAGCATGTTTTCAAACATTGCAATGAGTACGTCGTCACTATAGTCGAGTATCATAGCGATTTGTTTGAACTTGATTGCTAGTTGTCGTGCAGATCCTGTTTGTCGTAGTTGTCGTAGTTGCCTTTCTGCATTTCTTGCCTCGTCGATATTGCCAAACGCGAGTTGAAACTTTTCTTTGAATGTCTTGAAGGATCCCAATATTTCCTTAGTGTGGTCGCTCCAATCCTTCTTTTCACTGTTGTAGTATTCCCTAAGCACTGGTTCAATCCATTGAAACGCTTCTCCAGTGAGGCATGTTGCCACAAAGACCACCTTGGATTCTTTGGTTCCGAGTGATACTGCATTGATTGCCACATGCATGTCCATTTGCGTGAGGAAATTCTTAAGTTCTGATCGTTTGCCGTCGAAGATTTGAGGTTTGGGTGTCTTGGGTTGTTTTGCTGCCAATTGTGCTTCGAGTTCTTGGATTCTCAACTGAAGTCTAGCCACGTCACTGTTTCCTCCAACAGTACTGCTAGTTGGTGTTGTGGTGTTTCCTGCCATTGTTAATTTCTCAATTGGGTAATACTTTCCTTATCTGGCAATTTTCTTTCAATAGTACTTGAGCCCTAAAGTATCACGGAGTCAAGACGATAGCTCTTTTGTCACGGACCTGGATCCACCTTAGTTCTAACAGCGGTGCGTCGTGATACGTTAGGATAATTGAACCTCGCACAGGTTCCGACCAATGAGATAGTGGAGCGTGATGGATCGTATGTAACGAAGTATCGAACAGTAATGAGACGGTGACTGGGAATAGTAACAAACTAAGATAGAAGAGATCCCCCGTACAGCCTGGTGCCCGTACGAGTTAGAATGCCTTGCTGACTCTCACTGTTGTATTCAAGTGACTTATGTCAAAGAGCTATGAAGAACTAAATACATGATAGTAAAAGAGCGTCCTTATATATCCAGTCCTCCATGTTTTGTATATCCTATATCGTATACCTTTGAAAGGTAGCAAGTATAAGGTATACGATATAATCCAATGATGTATCGTTGTTTTATATACCCTTATCTTATCCAAGATAACGGTATATTAAACATATCTTCACGTGACTTGGTGCGTGTCCCATACCAAAGTATCCACTTTGTGACATACTTCCATCTTGTTTGTAATCGTATGGTTCATACGCTCCAAACACCAAAGTGACCTTTCCTTCTTGGTCATAGTATAATTTAGCGTCATGCAGTTCAACTTCGTAACACCACTCTCCAACCACTTCTGAGCTTCCAGTTACCAATATCGGCATCGCAGCCTACTTATTGGCCGTCACAGTCTTGCCCCATAAGGGACTAACCACTAGCTAGGCTAGCCTCGGGTGTCCTGTCCCGTGGGCGGGTCGGATGGTTTTTAAAAGGGTTCCCGAGAATTGGTGCGGTTCTTAGGGCAAAAGCCCTACGGTGGCTAGATATAAAGCGCTAGCACGCGAGCCTTGGCAGCGGCACCCACTTGCAGCTGCCACGATAATTTGTGGTAATTGTTTTGGTGAGGGGTGTAGGAGTCGAACCTACGGCCTTGTCAATCAGCGAAGATGGGTACCGAATGGAGGCCCCAAGGATAGCCGTTACCACTTCAGCTATCCGCCCCCCTGATTTTGCCATGTTATCCTTGCTGAGTAGTGTCGGGTCAATAGTCTCCACAGGAGCGCTCAATTGAGTGATATCTATAGCCGATTGGATCTGTTCTATGGGCTCTGATTCGTTCTCGTCGTTATTGTTAGATAATTTAGATTTAGATGGTCTACCACGGGGCTGTTTTTTAATAGCTGTGAATGGGATTGCCTTAATTTTTTTAGCTGTTGGTATGATTCGTGAGGTTGTAGGGGCCTCTGGTGTTTATAGGCGTGTTGTTGATACTGTAGGCTTATTGATTTCAGTAGAAACTATAGGTGCTGTAGTTAATGTCTTTGTACGCTTTACCGCCCCTGAGATGCTTTTAGTGGTTGTTGATTTAGTCGTATTGGTGCGCTTCCTTGTGGTTGCTTGGATCTGCGCAGCTTCGTGAGGAGTAGGATCCTCATTCGCAGTAGTATTCTGTTGCATCGGCTTGGGCTGTAAGTACTGAGGCACCCAATGAAATGGTTCACAATTGATTAGCGCAATCTTAGCCTTATCTAAGGCCTCACGTCGTAAGCCACACTTGGTACTTATGACCTTATGTGAGCCACTGCAATTGGTACATTTTGGTGTGAATTCTATTCCCTGGCACTTCTTGCACATCTTATACCATCCTTCTCAACAATAAGGCCTATTGGTGTGGCTCCGAGATTGCCACACTATCCCCATGGAGATTGCATTGTTAGCCATAATTGGATTTATAAACTCAACAACAAGAGATCCTTCATGCTTGCTTTTAGGATTGGTAAGCCAGCCAACGTGTGCAATCTCAATCTTTACATTCCGGCTCTAGGTATGGTAATTTTCTACAGCTATTCGCTGTTTGAATTCCTTACCTAGATCTACGTTCCGGATAGGCATTCCATCAATTACAATTCCCCACATGGGTACCCGTATGTACGCTGTTTCCCTAAATTCATGAACTTAATTTTTTGCATGTCTGCGGAGGACCTCCGCTGCCGCTGCGTTCGATGCCCGTAGGCTAACATCCCCCAATGGGAGTGGTCAAGCAGCAATGAATACATGACTGGCTAGAGGCAGGCTTGGAGTGCCCTTCACTGCGTGGGCCCTGGCTCGTTTGGCTCGCTTCACGATCTCCGCAGGATGCAGTTCACGTATCTCCTTGCGGATAGCTTCATCGCGGATCTTAACGACAATCTCACAGTCCATACTCAGCTCTGTATGGCTAACACCTGGTGCGGAGGAGCCGGCGCTTCGAGATGAGGGTGCGGCTGCGCTCCGAAGACTGGCCTGCCAATTCTAGGTATTCCATGCTTTCCACGGGGATACAGATGACAATCTGGTTGTAGCGCTTGATTGAGATGCTTGATTGGATCGTGTCCGGAGCACCGCGGTGTCCTTTTGGACATCTACAAGCAGCCGCTTGAGATCTGTAAGGATTTCTGGACCAGATTTGTGAGTGGTAGTGAAGTCTTGTACGTTATTGATAAATCCTCTAATCATTGGATTATCCTTGCCTTCGCGAGGGTTTGAGTATATATACTGAGCGAGCAGCTCCGCTGCCTTAGCAAGGTCTTCCATTTTCGTATAAGTCTTGATTGGTCGTTGTTGGTTAGTGATTGGCGGTGGTGGTGGTGGTTGTTGAGCCCCGGCGCGTATTAGGACGCGTTGTTGTGGATGCAGATTTTCACCTGTTGAGTGTGTCAACATGCGCGCCTGAGCCATTACTACGCTCTTACCTAGTAAAAGTAGGCTCGATTGATAGCTCTTGACTCAGACGATAAACTGCTTGAGTTACAGCCGTTTCCGGCCGGACCTGGTGGCGTAATTTCAAAAAATTGATTTGCGCGAAGATAGATGTTCCCCACTATGTCATATTGTACGTGCTGTTTATGAATCCTCAATAAATCCCCATTATGGCGGCGTTTTATGAGGCGATTCGCATCTTTTAAATAAAGTGCGCCTGAGGCTTTTATCTGACGCTTGGTTTTTCTTGTTATTTTTGCGTTGTGCTGTGTCGCGCAGCCTTGCAAAATCCTCACGGTGTGAAAGGGTCAATCTTACTGTATTGCTGAGCTGAGCTACATACAATGAGGTACACGTACACGAGAATATTTGACATGGAGAGAAAAAGAAAGGAAGGAAACAAGCTCTCGATCCAGCCACAGAGATCTATATAATCTCTGTGCGTGGCACCTTGCTAAATACAGTACCGCTCTGGCGGTTCCCTATCTGGCAACCCGTAGGGCTGCAGCCCTACGACGGGAATGGCTTCACCTTTGACCTGGTACGGAGCCGGGACGGAGGTGGCTCTGTCACATGTATGCGCTTCACTAATGCTGGAGGTAACCCATTAGCTCTGCAGAGTGAGTTTAACCTGATTATCGTATTTCTTGCTGTCTTAATTCAAGCGTTGTAGTAGCTCTTCCATGTAAGTTGGCTGTCTAGGAGTATCCCGAGCCACCGTACTGTAGATTTGACAGTTGCTAACTCGCCTCCAACCCTAATCCGGGCTTGAGATATGTTTTGAGCCACTTGACGTCTGTGTCATCTATAAAAGAAAGCGGCCTCAGTCTTTTTGCGATCAAATTGTACCCCGTTAGCCACCCCCCACTCGATGGCTACTTCCGCGGCTTTCTCAAGGATCCTACAAGCCTCCTTCACTGAGCTTGCGGCTGTTATTAGGCCTTGGTCGTCCACAAAGGATAGACATCGAACCTCCGGCACACTCCTCTCAATGGCTCTTGATAGCCCATGAACGTATAGAACAAAGAGAATGGGTGACACTGGAGAGCCCTGAGGTAACCCAGAGCTTATCGGTACTTCCTTTCCCACGTGTCCATCAATTATAAGAGTGACTCGCCGGTCAGATAGAAACGAGACTACCCAGCGTATAAGGTCTCCATCCACGCTAGCCTCTCTGAGGACCTTGATTAGTCTGGCTAAGACAACATGGTCAAAGGCCCCCTTAATATCCATAAACAGTGCTGCAGCCAGCTTCCCATTCGCCCAGGCTTAGTGAATCTCCTCAACTAAGCATGCCACGGCGTCAATTGCACTGCGTTGCCTACGGCCTCCAAATTGGCCATCGTGGAAGAGATCTTGGGCCTCTGCAAAGCTTGTGATTAGCTCTGCAACGAGCTTCTCAATCACCTTGCCTAGGCACTTCAATAGGCTTATCACTCGATACGCGCTAGCCAGTGTGTAGTTGGTTTTGCCGTTCTTTCTCAAGAGAACCCCCTTAGCTATTTTCCAGATCCGCGGATGTATCCCAAGCCTAAGGCACTGCTTTACTAGGCTGACCACGCGCTCTGAATCTAAATTCCACAAGAGCCTGATGGCTCGGAAGTTCAGTAAATCTGTACCTGGAGCTTTCTCTAGTCCCTGGCTAAAGAGGGCATTCTTGACTGCTCCCTCGTTAACCAGCTTGTGGGCAGATCCAGGCTCAGGAAGCTGCAGCTCAATGTTGCTATTTGGAGCCTGTGGGAAAGCACGGTGTCTAAAAACCTCCTTCTTCTCACTAAAGATGGCTGCAATCACCTCCCCAGAGGCCTCGTCAGTTAGAGCTGGTGTGGTACTTTGTGTTTGTAGTTTGGTATTATTATTATTATTATTATTATTCAAGTTTATTGTCCGTACCCAGCCCTATTGGCTATGACAGACCTCTGGAAGCCTTGGTGAGACCCTACAGGCCTCACCCCTATCAGAATCCTACATACAAAAATTCAAAATAAATCACTATCTCGTCCCCATGTGGCCGATATGCCAGGGACCTTTGGGCACTCTCCCTAGGCTAATCCTTCCGGAGATCCCTTATAGTTCCAAACCCGTGGGCACACCTAATCAGTACAAACTCTGACTAGTGTGCCCTCACCCCTATTCATCCTCCAATGTGACACCTAGGCCACCTTCCTCCAACGTATCCCACCCCCACGCATCACTAGACTCAGCCTCTCTGGCTGTCCGCTCCTTATCATTGAATAGGTTGGCTTCAGCCACGAATTGCAGCAAACCCTGCGTCGCCCTAGGCTCAGCAAATAGCCTAGCCTCGGGGTTTTCCTCAGCCGCTGTAGGCAGTGGCACGCCTGCTTTTTTGAGGGCTTGATAGAGAGTTCTTCGTCCTGCACGACGTCCACGGCACTCAAAGAGTACATGCCTTACTGTCTCATGAGGTTCCTTGCAGGCCTGACACTCAGGCGATTCCCGTTGGCCTATCCGGTATAGATAGGTGCCAATTGGAGCATGTCCTGTCTTTAACTGGTAGTAACGACTAGCCACTCTTTTTGGAGCTTTTCCTGCCACTGGGTCAAGGTTCCAGCCTCGAGGCATCTTGTAGACACGTCCGTCTCTATGCCTGCCTTGTACAGCATTGATTTGAGCCCATTCAGATACTGCAGCTCTCCTTGCTTCCGTGCAAGCCCTTCTAACGTGCGCCAGAGATAGGTGCTCAAAACCAGGCGCGGTTTGTTTACTAGCTGCACGTTTAGCAGCTTGATCAGCCTGCTCGTTCCCTTCAATCCCTGAGTGGCCTGGGACCCATTGTATTGTGACTGGCTGGCCTCTCAAGGCTAGTTTCTTAGCTGCCCTGTGAGCCCTAAGAACAAGGGCTTGCCCAGGGCCTGGCCTTGTCGATCTGAGGCGATCAATAGCATTCTGTGCGTCAAGTAACACCCAGATAGGATCAAGAGGTTGCCTCTCCAGTGCCCATTCAAGGGCTGTGGCTACTCCCACTAGTTCTGCGTCAAAGACCTCGTGTCCGTGGCCCATTGGCACTTCTACGTGTTCCCAGGGGCCTTTAGGTACAGCCTGTAAAGTGACACCGGCTCCTGCACGTCCTGTATCGAGTCTGGAGCCATCAGACCAAAACGTTGTTCCAGCACGCTGTTGATTAGCCTCTGTTAGGGCCTCTTCCTTGTCAAGTACTCGGATCGAGCCTGGGAAGCCTTGGAGCTCGCATTGTTCAGTTCTCTCAATTCCTCCAGAGGGGTCTCTGCTCAGCCGTTAAGCGAGGTGCTTTGCAAGCCTTTGGCCGAGTCGATTTAGCACCTTGTTGTCTCTAGAGGCCCATTCACGGTCGTCCAGTGGTTGCTCTCCAGGTTGTGCGTGAAGGTCACCATGTCTGAGGGTGACTGGAAGTATCTGTGCTGTAGGATGCGTGTCAGGCAGTGTCAGTAGCCTCGCTGTATATTGAGCCACTCTAGCGTCCATTAAGACTGTCGCTGGCTCTAACGCTGCCTCTCTGATTAGGGCTCCGATTGGGGTTTTTGGGAACATGCCCGTAATACCTCTGGCTTGCTTATTAATTAGAATCTGGATCCTTTGTGCCCATGTTTTCTGGCCTTGCCACCATATCTCAGCACCCCACAGCAATTGGGCTTGCACTGTAGCCTTCTGTATGCGCCTCACTAATGCTGGAGGTAACCCATTAGCTCTGCAGAGTGAGTTTAACCTGATTATCGTATTTCTTGCTGTCTTAATTCAAGCGTTGTAGTAGCTCTTCCATGTAAGTTGGCTGTCTAGGAGTATCCCGAGCCACCGTACTGTAGATTTGACAGTTGCCAACTCGCCTCCAACCCTGATCCGGGCTCGAGATACGTTTTGGGCCACTTGACGTCTGTGTTGTCTATAAAAGAAAGCGGCCTCAGTCTTTTTGCGATCAAATTGTACCCCGTTAGCCACCCCCCACTCGATGGCTACTTCCGCGGCTTTCTCGAGGATCCTACAAGCCTCCTTCACTGAGCTTGCGGCTGTTATTAGGCCTTGGTCGTCCACAAAGGACAGACATCGAACCTCTGGCACACTCCTCTCAATGGCTCTTGATAGCCCATGAACGTATAGAACAAAGAGAATGGATGACACCGGAGAGCCCTGAGGTAACCCAGAGCTTATCGGTACCTCCTTTCCCACGTGTCCATCAATCACAAGAGTGACTTGCCAGTCAGATAGAAATGAGATCACCCAATGTATAAGATCTCCATCCACGCTAGCCTCTCTGAGTACCTCTACCAGTTTTGCTAGGATGACATGGTCAAAGGCCCCCTCAATATCCATAAATAGAGCTGCAGCTAACTTTCTATTTGCCCAAGCTTGATGGATCTCCTCAACTAGACATGCCACAGCATCAATTGCACTGCGTTGCCGACGGCCTCCAAATTGACCATCATGGAAGAGGTCTTGAGCCTCTGCAAAGTTTGTAATTAACTCTGCTACGAGCTTCTCAATCACCTTGCCAAGGCACTTCAATAGGCTTATCACTCGATACGCACTAGCCAGTGTGTAGTTGGTTTTACCGTTCTTTCTCAGTAGAACTCCCTTGGCTGTTTTCCAGACACGTGGATGTATCCCAAGCCTAAGGCACTGCCTAGTCAGGCTAACCACACGCTCTGAGTCTAGATTCCATAAGAGCCTGATAGCCCTGAAGTTCAGTAAATCTGTACCTGGAGCTTTCTCTAGTCCCTGGCTAAAGAGGGCATTCTTGACAACTTCCTCGTTAACCAGCTTGTGGGCCGATCCTCGCTCAGGAAGCTGTAACTCCATGTTACTGTTTGGAGCCTGTGGAAAAGCACGGTGTCTAAAAACCTCCTCCTTCTTGCTAAAGGTGGCTGCAATCACCTCCCCTGAGGCCTCATTGGTGAGGGCTGGTGTGGTGCCTTATGTTTGTGGTTTAGTATAGCGTAAGGCTGTCCAGCACCGTTTCTGATCTGGCAGAGAGCCCTCAGACGTGCCCTGAAGGAAACCCTCCCAGCACTCTCTTTTAGCTCTCCTGATCAGTGAATAGAAGCCCTTACGTGCTTCTCGATGCTTCTCGTCGCTAATCTCACCCGCTTGGTAGGCCTTACGAGCCTTGGAATACACGCTTTGTTCTGCCTCAATCTCACTGTTCCACCACCGCTTAGATTGAGCACAAAGCCTGATCTGTTTGCAGTGCTTGTTCAGGACCTCTGTCAATGTTCTCTCGATCCACTCAGCTTCACGTTCCACTTCCTCTGTTGAGGTTGTGTCTGTTAGTATTGGTTGAGTCTTTGCTAGTTCGTTCCAGGTGTCTTTTGCCTCCTGCAGAGCCTCCTTGTTTCCTAGTAGAGCCTCTATCTGCCACCCTGTGACTTCTTTCCTTGTGGGCTCTGTACTCGCAGTTGTCGGAGGTTCCCAGCTAGCCCAAATCATAACGTGATCTGACGGCGTGAGCCTCTGGCTTTCGATTTCCCATCCAGATAGAGGGCCAAGGGCTTGACTACTGATTGTGAGATCAATAATTGAGACCCTAGGCTCAGTAGATGTTTCTAATGATGCTGTAGAATCTCTAAGCTTATGAGGCCTTGTTGGCTCGTCAGGGTCGTTATTAATAAAGAGGTCATGCCTCATTATTAGATCCTCGAGGGATCTTGCGTTAACCCTCTGGTCGATATGGACATTCCACATCGGGCTGTGGGCGTTGAAGTCTCCAAGAATGAGGCATCGACCCTCTAGAATTGGTCCCCAATCAAGATCCGTGAGGGCTCTTCTTGTAAGTAGGCTCTCTCCTGAGTATGTGTGACGTGCACCTAACCAGTTGTCATAGCAGTTCACTATCCTCGTACGCCTCCCCTGTTCTAGCACGTCAACCACCATAAAATATGGATGGTTAGCTAGATCTGTACGCGCCTCCACCACTAATTCTCTCACTAAATCTCTCCGAATCGCTGTCACTACTCGAGCATGTTCTCGAGGACCCTCAGGCCAGTAGAACAGGAAGCCAGGATGGCTTATCTGGTATTTTCCACGTACTGGGGGTTCCTGGAGACAGGCTATCCCGGCACCAGCCTGTAGTGCTGCTTCTAGGGCTGTATGTACTACAGCGCCTGTACGGGCACAGTTATGTTGTAGTACTATCATAGATCCTCACTTTGAGGCGCTTCAGTGGCTGACTTGAGCTCTGGCTCTAGTGGTTGTTGGCTATTTCCCTCGTGAATATCAGCCTCTAATTGCATCTCAGGCAGCAATTCATCTTCTTCTGGAGTTGACGTCTCCTCCTCTAGAGACTGTCCAGGTCTCTCCTCCAAGGTCAGTACCGGTTTTGGAGGCACTACCGCGAATGTCTCATCTAATGGGATGAGGTCTTGTAAGGATTGTTCCCTCATTCTCTGGATAGCCCTTTGACGAGCCTCCCTAGCTTTAGGGCACTTAGGAGATGTAGCCTCGTGTGCACCTTTGCAGTTAGCGCACTTGATCACTGTGTGTTTGCAAGGTTTAGCTGGGCCAACCCTACAATCCACTACTATACATGAGTGCTCTACCCAATATAACCCGGACCCCAAAGGATTCGAAGCCCAGATCGATCGCCTATTCCTACGCCTATTGAGCTTTGCAAGGGCCTTTGCAGGCTTCTTTGCATCGAAACACCCTCATGGAAAACCCAGAGAGGCCTCCACGGGCCGCTGGGGATCCAGAAATCATGGGACCTGGATCTGGGGTCGATTTCTCGACACCCACCCAGGAACCGCAACAGCTGCCTTTAAATGCCCCTGCACTGTTTGCAGGACTTCAAGACAGCCAGAATCAGTCCAAAGAACCTACTTTGGATAATAGAGATACTCTACAAGAGCCACGACAGACTGGAGAAACGCAACAGACTCCAAGAACGACTCTCGAGAAAAGGAAGGCTTCTAGGCTGACCATAGGATCTCGGACCCCAATAACTAGATCTGGATTGAACGCAGCTCCAAAAAGAAAGATTACACTTGCCACAATACGTGCAACAAGTGCTCCCATAGAGAACAGCCTCGTGATGAGCCTGATTGAGGATCTCAACAGCCAAACGCAAGAGGCTGTCCAACAGCTCTCCGTCGAGCTTACAACCGCAAGAAACGTGATCAGCATGCAACAGGGTCTTATTACCACCCTCAACGCTAGGCTAGAGAGCCTAGAGACTTACGTGAACGCGCTACAAAGCCGTCAAATCCTACCACTCGACCCCTGTGACACAACGCGTGAGGTTGCGGCGCACGGGCCACCGCCAAGAGCCGCTTCCACGGGAGGTTTAGCGTCCACCCCAATACAGCTAGATGCCGCGCCTGAGAGCCGCGCGATAAACTCAACCGCACCTCAGCCGCAGCCGCGATATCAGAATCCAACAAAGGCTACGAAACAAGCCGTACAGCCACCTGAGGGCCCCAAAAAAGTATTTGGAACCGCCGCGCAGACCACCAAACAGCCTGAAACTACCGCTAAGCCACTGACCAAGCCCGCACCTACGAAATGGGCCGCTATTGCCGCGAATAATACCCAATCTGGAGGATGGAAAACCGTCCAGTATAACAGGCCTCAGCACCCTCTAAGGCTCTATCGATAACTGACTGGAAGCCTGTGAGTACCCGGAGCAAGGAGGAAAGACGCCTCATCTTCAGACGACGATATCCTAAAGATGCTCCGACCGCATTGAAAGCTGATGTTCTCTTGGCCCTTAACCGTGCCCTTGCAAAGGCAGGTTTTCCTGACTTTGTAAGAGCAGTCGATTCTGGATACGCGGCCTCAGGGGCCTTAACAGTGCTCCTAGAGCGAGGCACTCGCAGCAGCACCCTCGTGCCCGTCTACAACGATACTCTACTAGCCGCTGTAAGGCAAACAGATCCAGCAGTTATTTCCGTGGAGATTAGCGAACAGTGGCACCGTGTTAAGGTACAGGCAGTGCCTGTGGACCGCTACATGTATAATGACCAAGGCCTAGCACTAGCCCAAGAAGAGATTGAGCTGGGAACACCATATAGGCTTAAACGAGAGCCAACGTGGCTCAAAAGAGCCAAGACTATACAGGCTAGCAACCAGAGATTTGCCACGATTGTGATCACAGTAGGTTCTTTGGAGGAAGCTCGAACACTGATCAATAAAGGCATCAAGTTTGGAGGCCGACACCATCGAGTAGCACCTTATTGGGAGTCAAATCCTGAGAGTATCTGCCCTCGATGCTGCGGAATTGGCCACTCTGGCTTCATGGCTTGTGGTGGCAGGTCTCCTAAATGCGCGATCTGCGCAGGTGATCATGAGGCAATAGAGCACTCATGTATAGTAGTGGATTGTAGGGTTGGCCCAGCTAAACCTTGCAAACACACAGTGATCAAGTGCGCTAACTGCAAAGGTGCACACGAGGCTACATCTCCTAAGTGCCCTAAAGCTAGGGAGGCTCGTCAAAGGGCTATCCAGAGAATGAGGGAACAATCCTTACAAGACCTCATCCCATTAGATGAGACATTCGCGGTAGTGCCTCCAAAACCAGTACTGACCACAGAGGAGAGATCTGGACAGTCTCTAGAGGAGGAGACGTCAACTCCAGAAGAAGATGAATTGCTGCCTGAGATGCAATTAGAGGCTGATATTCACGAGGGAAATAGCCAACAACCACTAGAGCCAGAGCTCAAGTCAGCTACTGAAGCGCCTCAAAGTGAGAATCTATGATAGTACTACAACATAACTGTGCCCATATGGTGGCAAGGCCAGAAAACATGGGCACAAAGGATCCAGATTCTGATCAATAAGCAAGCCAGAGGTATTACGGGCATGTTCCCAAAAACCCCAATCGGAGCCCTAATCAGAGAGGCAGCGTTAGAGCCAGCGACAGTCTTACTGGACGCTAGAGTAGCTCGATATACAGCGAGGCTACTAGCTCTGCCTGACACGCATCCTACAGCGCAGATACTTCCAGTCACCCTCAGACATGGTGACCTCCACGCACAACCTGGAGAGCAACCACTGGACGACCGTGAATGGGCCTCTAGAGACAACAAGGTGCTAAATCGACTTGGCCAAAGGCTTGCAAAGCACCTTGCTCAACGGTTAAACAGAGACCCCTCTGGGGGAATCGAAAGAACTGAACGATGCGAGCTCAAAAGCTTCCCAGGCTCGATCCGAGTACTTGACAAGGAAGAGGCCCTAACAGAGGCTAATCAACAGCGTGCTGGAACAACGTTTTGGTCAGACGGCTCTAGACTCGATACAGGACGTGCAGGAGCCGGTGTCACTTTACAGGCTGTACCTGGAGGCCCCTGGGAACACGTAGAGGTGCCAATGGGCCACGGACACGAGGTGTTTGACGCAGAACTAGTGGGAGTAGCCACAGCCCTTGAATGGGCACTGGAGAGGCAACCTCTTGGTCCTATCTGGGTGTTCCTTGACGCACAGAATGCTATTGATCGCCTCAGATCGACAAGGCCAGGCCCTGGGCAAGCCCTTGTTCTCAGGGCTCACAAGGCAGCTGAGAAACTAGCCTTGAGAGGCCAACCAGTCACAATACAATGGGTCCCAGGCCACTCAGGGATTGAAGGGAACGAGCAGGCTGATCAAGCTGCTAAACGTGCAGCTAGTAAACAAACCGCGCCTGGTTTTGAGCACCTATCTTTAGCGCACGTTAGAAGGGCTTGCACGGAAGCAAGGAGAGCCGCAGTATCTGAATGGGCTCAAATCAATGCTGTACAAGGCAGGCATAGAGATGGACGTGTCTACAAGATGCCTCGAGGTTGGAACCTTGACCCAGTGGCAGGAAAAGCTCCGAAAAGATTGGCTAGTCGATACTACCAGTTAAAGACAGGACATGCCCCAATTGGTACCTATCTATACCGGATAGGCCGACGGGAATCGCCTGAGTGTCAGGCCTGCAAGGAACCTCATGAGACAGTAAGGCATGTACTCTTTGAGTGCCGTGGACGTCGAACAGGACGAAGAACTCTCTATCAAGCCCTCAAAAAAGCAGGCGTGCCACTGCCTACAGCGGCTGAGGAAGACCCCGAGGCTAGGCTATTTGCTGAGCCTAGAGCGACGCAGGGCTTGCTGCAATTCGTGGCTGAAGCCAACCTATTCAATGATAAGGAGCGGACAGCCAGAGAGGCTGAGTCTAGTGATGCGTGGGGGTGGGATACGTTGGAGGAAGGTGGCCTAGGTGTCACATTGGAGGATGAATAGGGGTGAGGGCACGCTAGTCAGAGTTTGTACTGATTAGGTGTGCCCACGGGTTTGGAACTATAAGGGATCTCCGGGAGGATTAGCCTAGGGAGAGTGCCCAAAGGTCCCTGGCATATCGGCCACATGGGGACGAGATAGTGATTTATTTTGAATTTTTGTATGTATGATTCTGATAGGGGTGAGGCCTTTAGGGTCTCACCAAGGCTTCCAGAGGTCTGTCATAGCCAATAGGGCTGGGTACGGACAATAAACTTGATTAATAATAATAATAATAATACATGAGTGCTCTATTGCCTCATGATCACCTGCGCAGATCGCGCATTTAGGAGACCTGCCACCACAAGCCATGAAGCCAGAGTGGCCAATTCCGCAGCATCGAGGGCAGATACTCTCAGGATTTGACTCCCAATAAGGTGCTACTCGATGGTGTCGGCCTCCAAACTTGATGCCTTTATTGATCAGTGTTCGAGCTTCCTCCAAAGAACCTACTGTGATCACAATCGTGGCAAATCTCTGGTTGCTAGCCTGTATAGTCTTGGCTCTTTTGAGCCACGTTGGCTCTCGTTTAAGCCTATATGGTGTTCCCAGCTCAATCTCTTCTTGGGCTAGTGCTAGGCCTTGGTCATTATACATGTAGCGGTCCACAGGCACTGCCTGTACCTTAACACGGTGCCACTGTTCGCTAATCTCCACGGAAATAACTGCTGGATCTGTTTGCCTTACAGCGGCTAGTAGAGTATCGTTGTAGACGGGCACGAGGGTGCTGCTGCGAGTGCCTCGCTCTAGGAGCACTGTTAAGGCCCCTGAGGCCGCGTATCCAGAATCGACTGCTCTTACAAAGTCAGGAAAACCTGCCTTTGCAAGGGCACGGTTAAGGGCCAAGAGAACATCAGCTTTCAATGCGGTCGGAGCATCTTTAGGATATCGTCGTCTGAAGATGAGGCGTCTTTCCTCCTTGCTCCGGGTACTCACAGGCTTCCAGTCAGTTATCGATAGAGCCTTAGAGGGTGCTGAGGCCTGTTATACTGGACGGTTTTCCATCCTCCAGATTGGGTATTATTCGCGGCAATAGCGGCCCATTTCGTAGGTGCGGGCTTGGTCAGTGGCTTAGCGGTAGTTTCAGGCTGTTTGGTGGTCTGCGCGGCGGTTCCAAATACTTTTTTGGGGCCCTCAGGTGGCTGTACGGCTTGTTTCGTAGCCTTTGTTGGATTCTGATATCGCGGCTGCGGCTGAGGTGCGGTTGAGTTTATCGCGCGGCTCTCAGGCGCGGCATCTAGCTGTATTGGGGTGGACGCTAAACCTCCCGTGGAAGCGGCTCTTGGCGGTGGCCCGTGCGCCGCAACCTCACGCGTTGTGTCACAGGGGTCGAGTGGTAGGATCTGACGGCTTTGTAGGGCGTTAACGTAGGTCTCTAGGCTCTCTAGCCTAGCGTTGAGGGTAGTAATGAGGCCCTGTTGGGTATTGATCACGTTTCTGGCAGTCGTCAGCTCCGCGGAGAGCTGGTGGACCGCCTCTTGCAGATGGCTGTTGAGGTCCTCGATCAGGCCCATCACAAGGCTATCCTCTGCAGGAGCACTTGCTGCACACATTGCGGTAAGTGTAATCTTCCTCTTCGGAGCCGCGCTCAATCCAGACCTAGTTATAGGAGTCCGGGATCCTATAGTCAGCCTTGAGGCCTTCCTTTTCTCGAGGATCATTCCTGGGGCTTGTTGGGTTTCTCCAGTCTGTCGTGGCGCTTGTAGAGCGTCGCTGTTGCTCAAAGTAGGTTCATTGGACTGTTTCTGACAGTCTCCAAGTCCTGCAAAGAGTGCACGGGTAGTTGGAGGTAGCTGTGGCGGTTCCTGGGAGGGTGTCGATGAATCAACCCCAGATCCAGGTCCCATGATTTCTGGATCTCCAGTGGCCCCTGGAGGCCTCTCTGGACTTTCCATGAGGGTTTTTCGATGCTAAGAAGCTGCAAAGGCCCTTGGAAAGCTCAATAAGCGTGGTTCGTCGTCAAATCAGGATCTCAGAGATCGTGACTCTGTGTAACAACGTTACGAGGGATATGTATAGTTACGTTCGAGAGGGATCACTGAAGGCTAAGCACACAAGGTAGGGTATGGAATGTCAATGTACTGAAACCTATCTTCTGCTATCCTGGAGCATCTGCTATCTTTATAGACATATAAGTTATACCAGATCTCCCTATTCCGAATAGCTCCAACAGTCGAGGTGGAGCTGAAACCATCCTCGAACATATAAACCTTCTCCTGCTGTAGTTGAAACCCAACTTGAGACGTCATGGGTGCATTTCTTAGAATAGTGAGACCCCCAAGCCTGCTGGTTGTTACAACTATCCCCCTCTTCAAGGGCTTGCGTCCACGCGAGCCATGAAGTACGCATTTGCTAGATCTGGTATGATCCATGTAGTGGGAAAACCGAGGATATTGGACAAAAACCACTATAGTACATCGTCTGGCTTCACCTTCTTTTGCGTTTTCGGGATTTCTCGAAACCTTGGATCAACCTTGGTACATTCATATCATCTTCTGGTATCCATTGATTGTATTCCGAAGGCCATCCTGTCCACTTAATCAGGTAGTGAACCTTTCCCTTTATCATTCATTTATCTCGGATTTCTTCCACCTCATATTCCTCAGGATTGTCTTCTAGTTCTGGTAATGGCATCATCTCTTGTTTCTCCCTAGAATGGTATTCTTCGAGCAACTAGATTGGGAACACATCATGAAGTCGTGAGTATTACTGGGGAAGTGCTAGTCGATATGCCTGAGACCCTATTACCTCTGTAATTCGAAAAGGGCCAACAAATCAAGGTTAGAGCTTCTTGTTTTTAAGCTTCAGATTCCGTGTCGATAACTTCACTAGGCTTCCTCTTTTAAAGGTCTTCAGCGTATGTCGCTTGTTATAATATTCGATTTGACATTGCCGTGCCGTGTTCAGCTGGTCTCGCAGTCCTTGTCTGAGTTTATAGAGTTTTCGAATACGGTCCTTGGCTGCAGGTATCTCCCCTTCTGGGACATTGTCCGCAACGTCGATGTGAAATTCCAGGTCAAACCCATATAGGGCCTTAAACAGGGATACGCGAAGCGTGTGATTCATGCTGTTATTGTATGCAAACGCGGCTGTAGGCAGTAGCTTTGCCCAATCCATTTATTCAAGGCTAGTAAATGCTCGCAAGTAGCCTTCGATAATCCTATTTAGGATCTCTGTCTGGCCATCGGTCTGTGGATGAAAAGCAGTGGACATTCTTCTCTTGATAAAGGAATAGTGGCATATCTCAGCCTAAAACTTACTAGTGATTCTCAAGTCTCTGTCTGATACAATCCCACTGGGGCATCCATATCGCAATTCGACTTCTTTATGGAGCAATTCCGCCATCTCGGCTGCGTCAATAGTATCCTGGACAGGCAGGAATATAGCCATCTTAGTGTATTGATCCACGACTGTCAGAATGGCGTTATATTCCTCCGTCCCTACTTTGGATACTAGCAATTAAGTGATAAAATCCATTAATATCTCCTTCCATGGCCTGCTTGGCTGTGGTAAGGGATCCAATTGCCCATAGGGCTTATGTCTTGGAGCGGCATTTCCTTGACAGACTGGACACATCTGTACGTATTCCTCGACGTCTTGTCTCATGCCCTCCCATTTGAACTTCCACTGTAAGAGGTCCAATGTCTTTTGGATTCCCCAATGCCCGGCGGATGGTTCGTCATGGTGTAACCTTAGGATCTCATGTACTAGACTCCTTTAGTTAGGGACCAGTATCCGGCCCTTGTACAGTAACACTCCATCACTTGTACGGCCATAGTGCAGTCTTGTAGAGTCTCCTTCGCTGAGGTCCTTGTCTACCCGCATACAGAAGGCATCTTCTATCTGGGCAGCTGCTACCAACTGCCGCAGGCCCTCTGAGGGTTCCTGCCGTGGTGCTTCGTTCAGGACCGCCTGCTGAGCCCTTTGGCGTGTGACCTTCTGAGTCAATACACACCGAATGAGGTGATCAGCCTTAACCCCATCTCCTTGGGGTGTCACAGAGGGTCCCAATGGGCCCGGACACACTGTCCCCCTCTGCTATTTGGATTCCTGTCTTCCCGACTCACTGTTGTATACACAGGTTTCTGTTAGCACTTGTCGTCCCAACTCACTGTTGTATTCACAAGCCCAACCTTGCACCTGTTGTCCCAACTCACTGTCGTATACATAGGTGACCACATCTTGTGGCTTTTTACTTGCTTGCGTTGACTCCTCGCCAACCTTGCAGGTCTTCTCTTCCTCACTTCCTTGAGGATTTCCATCATCGCAGGATTGTATCACCCTCCGACGATAGCTTGTGCAGATCTGTTGTACGCGAGCGATCTTTGCCCTTAGCGTCATCAATAACCCTAAGGATAAGTCTTCTGGATCATCCTTCTAATTTTGTCTTATATAGTCTGGTCTTCGTGATGGCGCGTCTGCCGGATTTGTTGATCCCGACCGCCATTTAATTACGAAATCGTATGGTGTAAGGTAATAGCACCATTGTGCTTGACGACCATTTAGCCTAGACTGCTTCATGAAAGTCTGCAAATTGTGATGGTCCGTCAGTACCTCCACTGGATACTTACTACCCTCCAAGTAGTGTCTCCAATGCTTGAAAGCTCTCACAATTGCTAGCATTTCTTGGTCCGGTGTCCCATAGTTCAGTTCGGGACCCTTGAACTGTCTAGAATAGAAGGCAATAGGGTGCCATTGTTCTTCAAACAACTGCGATAGTATTCCACTAAGTGTGTATTTGGATGCATCAGTCTCCAGCCGCGTTAGAAGGTCTGGATCGAAGTGTTGCAGCAATGATACGGTTTCAAAAGCACTCAATAACTCAAGGAATGCCTCCTGCTGAGTATTACCCCATTCCCTGCGGAAATCACCAGTTTTCTTGCCATCCTTACTGCCCTTCATCAGGCTTGTAAGTGGCCTGGCAATGCGCGAATACCCTTGAATGAATCTTCTGTAGAAGTTACAGAACCCAAGGAACACTTGAATATCCCAGTACGATCCTGGTGGATGTTCCTTCCACTCGCTAATCGTTCGGACTCTCTCTGGGTCCATTTTGACTCCCTGGTCATTGATGATGAAGCCCAGGAACTCCATTTCATTCTGGTAGAACTGGCACTTCGAGGGTTTTGCATACAGTTCGGCTGTTCGTAGCCGTTCACATACAAGTCTTAAATGCTCCGTATGCTCTTCCTCCGTCTTGGAGAAGATCAGGATATTATCCAGATACACAATGCAAAAGTCATCAACCAAACCTCTCAGGGCCTGGTTAATATAACCTTGAAACGCCGCTGGTGCATTTGTCAGCCCAAACGGCATCACTAAGTACTCATAATGGCCATAACGGGTGCGGAATGCCGTCTTCCACTCGTCTCCTGGCCGGATTCGAATGCGATAGTATGCATCCTTCAAATCAATCTTGCTGAACACTCTAGCTCCATTCACGCGGTCCAGTATTTCGCCTATCAATGGCAATAGGTATCGGTTCTTAATGGTGACTTTGTTAAGGCCTCGGTAATCGACACAGAGTCTCAGTGTACCGTCCTTCTTTGGTACGAATAGGATCAGTGATGCAGCTGGACTTTTTGACGGTCTGATGAAGCCTTTCTCGAGATTCTCTTGGAGGTAGCGCTATAGGACTTCCAGTTCTGCTCGTGACAATGGGTAGAGTGGCCCATATGGCGGTTCTTGTCCTTCTTGGATCTTAATTGCCAGGTCAACTCCTTCACGGTTTGGTGCTAGCTTTTCTGCATTTTGAGGAGAGAAAACGTCGGCATATTCCTTCAAGGTACTTGGCAGACTATCCTTGCTATCTATATAGCTAGTCTTGTCAAGTAGTGGATTATACTCCATGAGTGCGTATACCTTTAGTCCTTTCATCAGTCTCTTCCGGAATGTCTTAGTCGATTCGACTTTTACATAGTGCTCAGTTGGTTCTCCATTGGTGGGTAGGTGGAATCGCCACTGGTTGCCCCCAGTCTCTTTTGTCCGTAATGAGATATCAACTCCAATCTCTCCCAGTGTATGTTCTCCTAAGAGCAATGGTGCGTCTTCTGGCGCTTTATTCACGGCTAGGAAAGGCCTTTGATAGGAACGAGTGACCCCATAATGGTTAGTCATACTCCATGTGGCCCAATAAGCCCCTTTCGCTTCGTGCTGAACATTCCCAGCTGACTGCCATAGCTTAGGGTACCCTTTGATATACGGCTTCAGTCCTCGCTGTTCTGCAAAGTCAATACCAATCGTGTCGATTTCTGCGCACGTATCCAGTGCGATCTCTACGTCCTCTGGATCGCTGTCCAAGACGTTTAGCTGGCCCATGGTGCGTAGGTAATTCCCCGTACGCATCCGCGGCTCTTCTTCAGGACCCGAAGGGAGCCTTATTCGTTTTCCGACAAGTCTGAAAGGTCCCATGCCTGCTCAGCCATTCGGTTATGACCTTTCTTCCGGCCAACTTTTTGGATGATGTGAATGCCTGGTTTCTTCTTCTCAGCATCTCCCTTATCATCCTTTTTATGGTAGCTAGTAAGATGCTCTGTACTACCACAAGTGAAGCAAATTCGCTCTCCTTTCTCATTTTTGCCCGAGGCAAATTCCTTTGGGCCTCTTAGCTTTCCTGTTTTATTCTGGGCCTTGTCCTCATTTTTATTGTCCATTTTTGAGGCATGCTTTGATGAAACAAGTGGGGTGGTTGGATTATCAGTCCTGGTCTCTGGTTTTTTAGGGTCCTTCTTTCTAGGATTCTTTTCATCATGCTTGATCTCTTCCCACATACGTGTGGCGAGAGACAGCATTGCTTGTCGAGTTTGAGGCAATGGATTGATTCCGCTAAGTTGAATGGCACGCTGTAGACTTGGTCGCAACCGGCTGAAGAATTCCATTGCTTGAGTACGTTCATTCTTCGGCTCCATTTCTCTCTCAAGGCTTGTGAGATAAGCGTCAAAAGCCCATGGGGTTTGATCAAATCTCTGTCTGGCCTTGCTCCACTCAATCTGTGTTTTGATCTCGTCGTTTCCTTGGTCCCGAATAGTAGAGTCAAGCCAGGTACTAAAGGCTTTCCAGTTATATTTATCGTCAGGAGCGGAGCGGATATGGTTATTCCACATTGTTTTGCAATCTTCATGAAGGTGAATCAGTGCCTTGATTACTTTGGTTCGGTTGTTGTCATATTTATATGGGGATGCATTGAAAGCTCGTTGGATCTCAATCTTCCAATCGCTCCAGGCTTTGAGGGTTGCACCTATTTTGAGTTCTTTGATATTATCGTATTTAAGGTCATGATCGGCTCGTCGTTTACGTGGTCTGTCGTCCTCATCGTTGGTGTTTTCATTAGCCCGTTTTCCTGTACGAGCTTTCACGAGTACCCGGATCCTGTCAGTAAGGACTCGAAGTTGTTCGGTAGACAGTGGTTGATTATCCACAATCTCTTGCATCTCGCGAAGTCCCATCGGTCGGTGGACGTCCACTTCGCCATCCTGGGTTTCGCTATTGTCGCTGGATTCGGTGGGTCCCTGAGTAGGACCAACGCCCATTCCATTGTCCTGTTGGTCGTTCTGGCTGTCCAAAGACTCTGAACGAGCAATTCTCCTTGTAGATACTGCCATTGTGATTGGTCTCGAAGGATAGAGGTTTCAGAGTTGTAACAACGTTACGAGGGATATGTATAGTTACGTTCGAGAGGGATCACTGAAGGCTAAGCACACAAGGTAGGGTATGGAATGTCTATGTACTGAAACCTATCTTCTGCTATCCTGGAGCATCTGCTATCTTTATAGACATATAAGTTATACCAGATCTCCCTATTCCGAATAGCTCCAACAGTCGAGGTGGAGCTGAAACCATCCTCGAACATATAAACCTTCTCCTGCTGTAGTTGAAACCCAACTTGAGACGTCATGGGTGCATTTCTTAGAATAGTGAGACCCCCAAGCCTGCTGGTTGTTACACTCTGATGGCATACTTGAATAGAAAACTAACATCCTCATCCCTGAATATGTACTGACTGCATAGATGTGCCCTGGAATATAATCCAAGTGTGCCATGATACATGAAGCGAATGATCCCGCCTATTAGTATAATGATTTTGTCAAAGAATGTAACCTTGTGGCCAATCGTTTAGAGTAAATTGCTAAGGAGGAAAAGAGCTCCGCCAAGGAAGCTAAAGACGCGAAGGATGGAAAGGCTTCTAAAGACAACAAGACCAACAAGTCATTAACTGGACAAGGAGGTGGAAAGGGTGCTGCAAAGGCACCTAGGGTTTATCTCTCTGAGAAGGAAAAAGAGCGGTTGAAGGAGGAATAGTTGTATTTTAACTGTAAGTAGCCAGGTCACATCAACCATAACTGTCCCTTGCGCAAGAAGCCTATTATTGATGTCAAGAGTATTGAGGAGTCGGAGACCACTGTTGTCGACTAGGGAAACGACGAGGCCTAGGGGAAGTCTCCTTCTTAGGCCAGAATAGTATCAATTGTTGGGCTTTGGATTTATTTAGATTGCTAGGGAATAATAAGGAAAGTTTCACAATACCAATCTGATTAGCAAAGAATTCGCTATTAATCGCATCTAGAGCATTAGCTGATACTGGAGCAAACGGGTTAGCCTTAATCAATCAGCATTTGGCTAGCTTGCTAGTACGCTACTTTCAGACCAGATTAGTCACCTTGGATAACGCTCTTAAAGTTCAAGGCTTCAATAGAGCAGAAGCTGAGCCAATCAAGTACGCTCTCATACTTCACCTTTTAGTGGATGGGCGACAAAGAATGAATTTACCCTTCCTTATTACTTAGCTTAGCAGGCACAAAGTAATATTAGGGAAGAGGTAGTTAGCAGAAAATCAGGTGTTACTGGATTGCTATTAATGGCGTCTAATCTGGCCTGAGGAACGCTCCCTTCAAGAGGAGCTTGTTAGCAAGCATTTTATGAATCTCCCTAGAACGATACTAAAGAGACCTGTGTCTAATCCCAAACATTAAAAGAATATGGACCGGCGAGATGAGCTACACGAAGCCACGATCTACACAGATAATCAAGCTGCGATATGTGCCACATGCCAGCCAGAGAGGTCTTCCGGGCAGTACATCCTTCAACGGATCGTACGACACCTGGGCCTCCTACGCAATAACCGATCCCAATATTCGTTAATGATGCGAATACTCACTACATCTCGCTCGTGTTCAAATGCGCGTACAACTACAGTGGGTCCCAGCCCACGAAGGGGTCCCAGGCAACGAGAAAGTAGACTAACTTGCAAAGTGGGCCACAACTTCCCTACTTCTGAATAACCTTACGCTGAGCCGTCACATTATCCCCCCCTTCGACAGGTGCTTGCCTTCAAGCATAAGATGAAGGATTAGTCCTAGCGATAGTCGTAACTTGCGCATCTAATTGGTTGCCATCTAAATAAATATTATTCTCCTCCACTTTGAGCCACTTCGGTAGATTCACTGGAGGTCCCGGCCTTTCTAGATACCATTCGTGGAAGGCCTTCAGATATTAAGGTGCATTCTTAAAATTTGATGCCCCCACGGGCTTGGAACTATAAGGGATCTCCGGAAGGATTAGCCTAGGGAGAGTACCCAAAGGTCCCTGGCATATCGGCCATATGGGGACGAGATAGTGATTTTTGAATTTTTGCATGTATGATTCTGATAGGGGTGAGGCCAGTAGTGGTGTTCCGCAGTTTTGTCGAACCGAACTCGATTCTGCCGGACAAAACCGATTACGGTTAGCGTATCCCAAAATAATCTAGCGCTGTACTATGCCTAAAATAATATTAAGTAAACCTCCGGAAGCTCAAATCCATATCAATTTACATGGCGTATATAAAGATTATAGATTAGAAGTTTATATTTTGACACCCTCACCGTTTAGCTATGGCGCTCGTGTTATCAAGAAGACAGAAAATACTTATTATTTTGATTATACTGCTAAGTTTACTGGCTGAGGACGAACATGCTGGTAGATTACCCCTTCGAGAATCCTATTATACACCATTCATATTCGATATTGATATGCTTAGCGATACGTGCCTACGAGAGAATATACGGTTTGGATATGCCTAAATCTAAAAATATTACAGTAGCTAACTCCGCGTTCTATTATTAGATTTGACCGGCAAGAATTCTGTCAAATTCTTCCTTATTTTGAGCTTCATACAATTTCATATACTGGACGAAGAACGCCGTCGCCCTCTATGGCTCTTGCAATATTGCTTGCACGCCTGTCTTACCCTCGACGAGTACGAGATCTTGAGATTTTTTTTGGGCGCTCATTTGGCTATATAAGTACCATTTTTAATGACGTCTTACAACACCTTTATCGTCGGTACAAAAGGCTATTAGAGTGGCATCCTTTACTTACTCAAGAACGCTGTAAAGCGTACGCCCAAATCCTTGAAGCTCAGGGCGCTATTCCTAGGGGCTGGGGTTGTATTGATGGGACTTTTAGGGCGACATGTCGGCCATCTAAAAATCAACGTATTGCCTATTCAGGATATAAGAAACGCCATGGCTTCAAATATCAAGGAATCATCACACCAGATGGCATGGTTCTCTCACTAATTGGGCCCTTTGAGGGTAAGATTGCAGATTCGAATATATTCCAAATATCAAGGACAGACGAACGACTTGAGGCTATAGCTGGCAATGAAAAACAGCTACTTTTATATGGAGATATTGGATATCAGGGATGTCCTTTTGTCCTAACACCATTTCCGAAGATTGGGGAATTATCTGCACGTCAAATCGAGATAAACGATAGGATAAGCGCTCACCGAATATCTGTAGAACAGATATTTGGGAAAGTTCAAAACCAGTGGCATGGAAATGCGCTTTATACCAATATGCAGCCAATAAAACAAGCCGTTGCTGCTTATTATGCTGTATCTATTTTACTCACTAATATAGCTCATGTTTACGTGAGAATCTTGTGAGTAAAAGATATGGAATTGAGACACCTTCGTTAGAGGAATATCTTGGTGTTCCGGATAATGAGCCCTAACCCGTACGCTTTTCCCCTATCATTGAGATTAATTTATCGAGCTTCTCATCAAGATTTTTATACTGATTTTGAAGCTCTTTGACATCCCCAGAAAGCCGTTCCAATTCGCTTTTTTTTGCAACCGATTCAGGCTTTTTTGACGCTTGTCTATCCTCTTCTAATACGTCAACTAAGGCGAATATCGCTTCCTGGATAGACCGCTTTTTTGACGGCCGTGAGGCTGTAGCAGTCTTACGATATTCTGGTACTTTCCTATTATCAGACCCAGTATCATCCTCAGACGGCTTAAGCTCCTCTGGCGCTTGCTTTTTGGATTTTTGCAAGCCTGTTGAGACCAGTTGGTCTCGATATGCAAGCACCAACTGCGAATTTTCCTTATATTTGTTTTTTTCTGCCAACTTCTCAGCCTCATCTTTCTCATATCCGTCAATAAAGTCGTTCCATTGATCGATAAGCTCGTCCAACTCAGATGTAGCCTCCGCCTCTCTACCAGTAACGTATTGAGCCAGGTATAAGCGCCGTTTCTTAGAGAGCCTCTCGATCTGAGATTTGCACGATTTCCACGAATAAGAATGTCCAATAAGGCGCACAAATCTATCCTCAACAGCTTCCCAATATTTTCTCTTTGGTTTATAATCAAGTTTGAGGGAACTGTACTCCGTTGGACTCTTATTTCTTCGCACTCTTATTTCTTCGCACTCTTATTTCTTCGCACTCTTATTTCTTCGCACTCTTATTTCTTCGCACTCTTATTTCTTCGCACTCTACTTTATGCGCGCTCTCCCGCTGCGCGGTGCAGATAGGGGGCTCCCGCGTTACTTAACTACGCGTATTCTCGGGTTACTCGACGCGTTGGATTCCGACGCGTCGAATAAACCCAGCCATATGGATCTATTTAGTAGACACCATATTAAACCTCTCCACCTCGGTGGAGCAGTCTATTGAAAGATCGGCTGAGGTAATGCGAGATTCTTTCGATTACTACTATTTAGAAAGATGCCTAGGGGCTTTCCGAAAGCCAAATTGATCGCAAGAGGGATATTGGATAGGAAAACCACCCGACACGAACCTGTTCTAGGAGAGTGACAGGGCACCCTCGAGTTCAGCCAGCTCTGAGATTGAGATAGAACCCCAACGTTATGAAATTACCAGTGAAGCTATCTCAACGAGGGCTGGAACGAAGCCTAAGTGCTCTTAGAAAGTAATGGAAGTTGTTAAGGCTGACAGAAAAGTGGTTGCCGGATGTGTTAAGGGCAAGGCCTACACTGAGACCGAACTACTTATCATTCTGGACAGACACAGCGCACCGCTTTCTAAGTATAAAGGCATAGGGTGGGAACTGAGCTAGGTTAGTAGGAGTCAACACAAGTATTATGCCAGGCGGGTATTACAAGTATTGACTTCTGCAAGACATGGTCGGCTGCTAGAGGGAGACTTCTAATAGTAACGGGAAACTACTTTATTATAGTAATAAAGTAGCGGGCCGTAGCACTATGAGGATGACCAGAGGGTAACTAGGAAGAATGTGTTCCTAGCTCGTACCTAGGCCATGGCTATCTAACTGGTATCTTTGCTTCCAACCCGTACTTGGGCCACAGCAGCGTGGTATCGCCGGCACCTATACTGATATTTTATTGGTATCTGTGTTTTCAACTCGTACTTGGACCGCTACTGTGTGGTATCGCCGGCATTTATATCTATTAGATTGGCAATGTGGTATCGCCGATATATTCTTTCTAGGAGGCCTACGGAGATCTTATAGTGGCTCGAGAGGACGGATGCGCATGTCGGTCGGCTTAGAGAAGGAGTGCATTGTGCCTGACTCGTACTCAGGTCCCTGGGATATATATCCTAGCGCGGTATCGCCCATAATGCAATTGCCTTTGCGGCTGGCTTAAGGTGCAAACTCCAGAGATGTTGATAGCAGCAGATCTTTTGGCCTGGGGTTCTGCCAATAGGAATGGGTAAAATCACCACCGAAGCGAGAAGGCAAGGTGGAAGATGGTATTGGTATCGACCGGACTTGTTAAGGCTTTGCCACAGGCGACCGCGAGCCGCCCAACTCCTATTGTCTCTGGCGCTGACCGGCGAGTCACTCTTGTGATTGATGGACACGTGGGAAAGGAAGTACCGATAAGCTCTGGGTTACCTCAGGGCTCTCCGGTGTCACCCATTCTCTTTGTTCTATACGTTCATGGGCTATCAAGAGCCATTGAGAGGAGCGTGCCGGAGGTTCGATGTCTATCCTTTGTGGACGACCAAGGCCTAATAACAGCCGCAAGCTCAGTGAAGGAGGCTTGTAGGACCCTTGAGAAAGCCGCGGAAGTAGCCATCGAGTGGGGGGTGGCCAACGGGGTACAATTTGATCGCAAAAAGACTGAGGCCGCTTTCTTTTATAGACGACACAGACGTCAAGTGGCTCAAAACATATCTCAAGCCCGGATTAGGGTTGGAGGCGAGTTAGCAACTGTCAAATCTACAGTACGGTGGCTCGGGATACTCCTAGACAGCCAACTTACATGGAAGAGCTACTACAACGCTTGAATTAAGACAGCAAGAAATACGATAATCAGGTTAAACTCACTCTGCAGAGCTAATGGGTTACCTCCAGCATTAGTGAGGCGCATACAGAAGGCTACAGTGCAAGCCCAATTGCTGTGGGGTGCTGAGATATGGTGGCAAGGCCAGAAAACATGGGCACAAAGGATCCAGATTCTAATTAATAAGCAAGCCAGAGGTATTACGGGCATGTTCCCAAAAACCCCAATCGGAGCCCTAATCAGAGAGGCAGCGTTAGAGCCAGCGACAGTCTTAATGGACGCTAGAGTGGCTCAATATACAGCGAGGCTACTGACACTGCCTGACACGCATCCTACAGCACAGATACTTCCAGTCACCCTCAGACATGGTGACCTTCACGCACAACCTGGAGAGCAACCACTGGACGACCGGGAATGGGCCTCTAGAGACAACAAGGTGCTAAATCGACTCGGCCAAAGGCTTGCAAAGCACCTCGCTTAACGGCTGAGCAGAGACCCCTCTGGAGGAATTGAGAGAACTGAACAATGCGAGCTCCAAGGCTTCCCAGGCTCGATCCGAGTACTTGACAAGGAAGAGGCCCTAACAGAGGCTAATCAACAGCGTGCTGGAACAACGTTTTGGTCTGATGGCTCCAGACTCGATACAGGACGTGCAGGAGCCGGTGTCACTTTACAGGCTGTACCTAAAGGCCCCTGGGAACACGTAGAAGTGCCAATGGGCCACGGACACGAGGTCTTTGACGCAGAACTAGTGGGAGTAGCCACAGCCCTTGAATGGGCACTGGAGAGGCAACCTCTTGATCCTATCTGGGTGTTACTTGACGCACAGAATGCTATTGATCGCCTCAGATCGACAAGGCCAGGCCCTGGGCAAGCCCTTGTTCTTAGGGCTCACAGGGCAGTGGAGAAGCTAGCCATGAGAGGTCAGCCAGTAACAATACAATGGGTTCCAGGCCACTCAGGAGTGGTAGGGAATGAACAGGCTGATCAAGCTGCTAAACGCGCAGCTAGTAAACAGACCGCACCTGGTTTTGAGCACCTGTCTCTAGCGTACGTTAAACGGGCTTGCATGGAAGCAAGGAGAACTGCAGTATCTGAATGGGCTCGAATCAACGCTGTACAAGGCAGGCATAGAGATGGACGTGTCTACAAGATGCCTCGAGGCTGGAACCTTGACCCAGTGGCTGGAAAAGCCCCAAAAAGACTGGCTAGTCGGTACTACCAGCTGAAGACAGGACATGCCCCAATCGGCACCTATCTACACCGGATAGGCCGACGGGAATCGCCTGAGTGTCAGGCTTGCAAGGAGCCTCATGAGACAGTGAGGCATGTGCTTTTTGAATGCCGAGGACGCCGTACAGGACGGAGGGCTTTATACCGAGCCCTTGAGAAAGCTGGAGTGCCGCTACCTACAGCGGCCGAGGAAAGTCCCGAGGCTAGGCTATTTGCTGAGCCTAGAGCGACGCAGGGTTTGCTGCAATTCATGGCTGAAGCCAACCTGTTTAATGATAATGAGCGGACAGCCAGAGAGGTTGAGTCTAGCGATGCGTGGGGGTGGGATACGTTGGAGGAAGCTGGCCCAGGTGTCACATTGGATGATGAATAGGGATAAGGGCACACTAGTCAGGGTTTGTACGGACTAGGCGTGCCCACGGGTTTGGAACTATAAGGGATCTCCGGAAGGATTAGCCTAGGGAGAGTACTCACCCAAAGGTCCCTGGCATATCGGCCATATGGGGACAAGATAGTGATTTTTGAATTTTTGCATGCATGATTCTGATAGGGGTGAGGCCGATAGGGCGTCACCAAGACTTCCAGTGGTCTGTCATAGCCAGTAGGGCTGGGTACGGACAATAAACTTGATTAATAATAATAATAGTACTTAGTTCTTCATAGCACTTTGACATAAATTACTTGAATACAGCAGTGAAATTCAGCAAGCATTCTAACTCGTACGGGCACCAGGCTGTACGGGGGATCTCTTCTATCTTAGTTTTGTTACCGTCCCAGTTATCGTCCATACTTCGTTACTTACCACTCGTCTCGCTCCATTGATCATTGATCGGAACCTGTGCGAGGTTCAATTATCCTAACGTATCACGACGCACCGCTGTTAGAACTGAGGTGGATCCAGGTCCGTGACACTGCTCCAGTCCATATTTATCCATGAGATTAATTAGCTCTATAGCTTGGTTGTCAACCTGCCTTTAGTGCGTGCCTGTCTAAAGTGGATAGTGTAAATTGAAGTCTTCAAGTACAGTATGTTAAGCGCCTAATGTTATCTGCCTGCGAAGGGTGCCTAGTATGGAATTTTTGCCACTAGCTAGCCTTGGGTTGTAAACGTTATGAATCTATATTGTGCCGTGGGTAGCTGTATGGAGGGTTACCGTGCTCAGATCTTTGTCGTGATATCGGATCTCCCACGTAGCTGAATCTAGCTTTCTGTTCACATAGAAACAGACGCGTGGTCAAATATTGTAGTCTTTTCGTGGCGTCGGCTGTAGTAAGATATGGAACTGGCCCCTGAGGGCTAGTGAGTACGTTGTAAGCAGTGTTGTTGTCAATATTTTTATTATCAATGCCGTCAATCAATATTGACAATTGATAAGGAGAATATTGATTGACTATATTATCAATATTTCTTGGCATTCGGGAACGGTCTTGGCAACCCACATCATTTTTCCCCCTCCATTCTCCAAACTGTACAGAATAATAACAATACTCGATCGATATAAAACTATGGACTCTGAAATAGACCCATCTCTTCTATCAGTTCCACTCACCCAAGATTCAACATCAAGGCCAAGAAGTATTAGGAAACTATCGGCTCATGAGACATGGTCACATACTCGTACGCCGCGAGAGGGAGAACCAGAGCGTCAAGGAAAGAACCGTCTTTTCTACTGCAAGTACTGCGAATCCTACAGTGCTCAAGCAAGTAACAATTTTCGTGATCATCTTAAGAAAAAACATGGGATTGATATTCAGCCTACACCCGAAGGTCCCTGGCATATAGGCCATATGGGGACGAGATAGTGATTTTTGAATTTTTGCATGTATGATTCTGATAGGGGTGATGCCGATAGGGCGTCACCAAGACTTCCAGTGGTCTGTCATAGCCAGTAGGGCTGGGTACGGACAATAAACTTGATTAATAATAATAATAATAATAATAATATTCAGCCTACATTAGGTCCAGTTCAATCTGCAACACTGGATCAGTTGCAACAGTTGTACCTCCGAGCAATATCATCAGGCCAAACACAAGAGATCGATACTCAAGTTCTTCAGAAAGTCCTAGATAAGGACATGATTAATGAGGCACTTGTTTCATTAATTGTTGCGCGAAATCTCCCATTTAATGTTGTTGAATGGCCTGAATTTCATGTTTTTTGTCGACTACTAAATCCAGAGGCCGACAACTTCATTACAACGGCACACTCCGAAATCGCAAAGAAGATTGAACAATCATATGAAAGTCAAAAGGATACTATACGGAAAATCCTTCAGTCAGCAGAGTCAAGTATCCATCTTTCACTTGATATTTGGACATCACCAAACAAGCTTCTTTTCCTTGGAATTTGTGCCCATTTTGTTGGACGAGATCAAGGAAAATTATCAAAAGCTCTAATTGGGCTTCGTACAGTTGCAAATCATTCTGGAGTAGAGCAATTTGCTACTCTTCTTCTTCTTCAAGACTACGGTATCGTACAAAATATCGGATCTATTATTGCCGATAATGCAAGTTCAAATGATACCCTTTGCCGTGCAATAGGTGAATACCTTAATAAGGAAGAAGGGCTCCAGTGGAATGCTTTATTCAAACGTATCCGCTGTATTGGCCATGTGATTAACTTAGCTGTACAAGCTTTTCTATTTCATAACTACATTGAAATAGATCAACTTGGATTATACGAGATCCAAGAAGAAGCAGGAGAGCTTGCAAGTGATATCTCTATCCAGCAGATATTTCGTGTCATGGGACTATTAGGAAAATGTCATAACATAGTTATACATATCCGTGGCTCAGCTGCTCGTACAGCATATTTTAAGACTCTTGCAGGTAGAATGATTCCTCTGGACAACCGAACAAGATGGAATAGCTGGTCTTATATGTGTGAGGTGGCACTGGATTACTCAAGTGCAATTGATACTTATACAAAGGAGTATCTTGATGATCTTCAGGATGATTATCTAACCCTGAGTGACTGGTCAAGGCTTCGTACAATTAATCAATTCCTTAAACCATTCCGTCAAGCAACTCTAGTTACTCAAGGACATCAAGCAACGATCGATCGTGTACTCTTTACGATGGATGTCCTTATTATAAATACTTGGAAAAAACCGTTGTAAGTACACATTATATGTGATGGACGCTCAAGGCCCAGAAACAACTTCATTTCTAAGCGTAGCAGTATCGACGAAGAAAACTAAGTGTGAAGAAGAAGAAGAAAGGGGAAAACTGGCGCTGAGCCTTGAGGCTCTCCAAATACACTCTGTCATGGGATGGAGGCCTTATGGGGAAAGCGGTCTAAAAAGGCAGAATTGTAAGATCCTATCAACCAACTTGTTTGTAACTTAGGCCTTCCCTTCCTCTTCTCCCAAGCTTAGGATTATCATTAGAATAGGCTTATTGAGACGTCACATTATATTAAAATTGAAATTTATCTAAAATATATAGGTTCAATATCGTGAAGATAAAGAGATATGCTCTCGGGTTCAGAAATGCTGGGATACTTTTGATATATATTACAGCAAGACTGATGACTCACCTCTTTATGCTGCTGCGCTTATACTTCATCCAAACCGTCGTACAAGATATATCCACGCGAATTGGAGAACGACCTGGCAAAAGCCTGCGATAAACAAAGTTAAGAAGCTTTGGCGCACCTACCGAGAGAGGGCTCCTCCTCTGGCAATACTAGGGCCATATAGCAAAGCTTCAGAGGACCCCGACAAAGAACTTTCAGAGTTTAATCAGATTGTACGTGACCTAAACAGTTTTACTCGGCCAGCAAGTCAGGATGAGTTTGATGATTATTGCAGTGGAGAGCCATATGATCCTGGAGATGAATCTGCTCTTTGGTGGTGGTCTCAAGAGAAACAAAGAAAGCGTTGGCCAAGGCTCTCACTCATAGCAATTGATATTCTTTCTATTCCAGCCATGAGTGACGAGCCTGAGCGAGTCTTTTCAGGAGCACGCCGTACAATATCATGAGATAGATCAAGGCTAGGGGCTGAGATTATTGAGCAGGTGGAATGCTTGAAAAGTTGGCATCAGAGTGAACTGTTGAAGGAGGATTTTGAGAAGTAGGTAGTATAATCTATGCCAAGAAAATTGAATTCTATGTGAGTGAAATTCGTTGTCCTATAAACATCCTTTTGGTATTCTAGCCATTACCTTATGGTATTATTTGTATCTAATAGTGTATTTAAGTATTTGAGATAACTAAATAAAACATTTCCTAATAGAATAAGTCTAATCTTAGAGAGAATAAGTGTATTATGGTGAATAGAGTAGTTTACGAGTGTCAAAATATTTTGATGTGGTCGCAATTCCGTAATGCCAAGGAATATTGATAATAATATTGTCAATTGTCAATATTATATTGACAATGTTCCATATTGATTGAATCCATATTGACTAATTAAAAACAACACTGCGTCTGACTGCATCGGGGTGGGCGCTAAGCCTCCCGTGGACGCAGCTCTTGGCGGTGGCCCGTGCGCCGCAATCTCACGCGTTGCGGTGAAGGGGTCAAGTGGTAGGATTTGACGGCTTTGTAGGGCGTTAACGTAGGTTTCTAGGCTCTCTAGCCTCGTATTGAGGGTTGTTATAAGGCCCTGTTGCGTGTTGATCACGTTTTTGGCGGTTGTAAGTTCGACAGAGAGCTGGTGGACCGCCTCTTGCATCTGGCTCCTCAGGTCCTCGATTAGGCTCATCACGAGGCTATCCTCTGCAGGAGCGCTCACTGCACGCATTGCGGCAAGTGTAATCTTCCTCTTTGGAGCCGCGCTTAATCCAGACCGAGCTATAGGAGTCCGAGGTCCCGTACTCAGCCTAGAGGCCTTCCTTTTCTCGATGGTTATTCCTGGAGCCTGCTGGGATTCTCCAGCCTGTTGTATCGCGTGTATGGTGTCGCGGTTATCCAGAGTTGGTTCGTTGGACTGTTTCTGGCTGTCACCAAGTCCGACAATCGGTGCAGGGGTGGTTTGAGGCAGCCGTAGCGGTTCCTGGGTGGGTGTCGATGAATCGACCCCAGATACGGATCCCATGATTTCTGGGTCACCAGTGGCTCCTGGGGGCCACTCTGGACTTGCCATGAGGTTTGTCGATGCTTACTTAGTAGCCTGCAAAGGCCCTTTAATGTAAAGAAATCGGTGAATGGATCGTTCGAAGCCAACCTCCTCGGTTAACTCCTTGGTCATTGATCTCCCCGCATCTAGAGCATTAATTGATACCGGAGCAAACAGATTAGCCTTCATCAATCAGCATTTAGCTGGCTTGCTAGTACGCTACTTTTAGACCACATTAGTCACCTTGAATAACACCCTTAAAGTTCGAGGCTTTAATAGAGCAGAAGCTGAGCCAATCAAGTACGCTCTCATACTTCACCTTTTAGTGAATGGGCGATAAAGAATGAACCTACCCTTCCTTGTCACTCAGCTTGGCAGGCACAAAGTAATATTAGGGAAGAGGTAGTTAGCAGAAAATCAGGTATTACTGGATTGCCATTAATGGTGTTTAATCTGGCCTGAGGAATGCTCCCTTCAAAAGAAGCTTATTAGCAAGCATTTTATGAATCTCCCTAGGACGATACTGAAGAGGCCTATATCTAATCTCGAACATCAAAAGGATGTAGACCAGTGGGATGAGCTTATAGATAACTTAAAGCCTTTGAGTGCTTACCTTGAGATCAGCAAGAAGCCCGAGCCGGAGATACGAATTATGCATGGGAGATCTTATAAGAAGAGTCATGAAGCTTCAATGATTCATATGAAGAAGGTCTTTCATCAGGTAAATCAGGATTAACTAGAATTAGTGACCACAGTTCCGCCACCACTACACAAGAGAGACTGGCGCGAGAATGCAAAGAAGGCAGCCAAATTGGATATCGCTCTCATCAGCGCGGTGGGATTCGCGAGGCACGCGCGCTAGCCTAGGGTAGAGCTCTGCATGACGAGCCTCTACAAGATCGATAAGCGCTTGGATGAACTCAACCACCCATATGAACTGGAAGAGCCAGAGATCAAGGAAATCAAAAAATAGTTACCACAGCAGTATTAGGAGTTTGTGGATGTCTTTCAGAAGTTAAAGTCAGACGAGTTGCCTCCGCCTAAGCTATATAATCACAAGATCGAGCTAATCAAAGAGCAAGAGTTAGGTTACAGCCCAGTCTATCGACTAGGAAGAGAGGAGCTGGAAGCCGCAAAGGAGTATATTATTGATAACCTGAATAAGGGGTTTATAGTGGCTAGTCAGGCACCGTTCGCGTCTTCAATCTTAATAGCTAAGAAGCTAGGAGGGGCTCTTCGTTTTCACGTCGACTATCGGAAGCTTAATTCCATTACCAAAAAGGATTAATACCTATTACCATTAGTTAATGAGATGTTTGAGAGATTGAGCAAGGCGCGTATATTCACGAAGCTTAATATCCGACAAGAATTTCACCAGATCTAAATGCATCAGGATTTAGAGGATCTCACAACCTTTCGGTGCCGTTACGGGACCTTTAAGTATTATTATTATTATTAATCAAGTTTATTGTCCGTACCCAGCCCTACTGGCTATGACAGACCACCAGAAGCCTTGGTGACGCCCTATCGACCTCACCCCTACCAGAATCATACATGCAAAAATTCAAAAATCACTATCTCGTCCCCATATCGCCGATATGCCAGGGACCTTTGGGTGAGTACTCTCCCTAGGCTAATCCTTCCGGAGATCCCTTATAGTTCCAAACCCGTGGGCACGCTTAGTCCGTACAAACCCTGACTAGTGTGCCCTTATCCCTATTCATCCGGGACCTTTAAGTATAAGGTTATGCCTTTCAGAATCACAAATGGACCGGCGACCTTTCAAAGGCTAATAAATAACATTTTTATGAACTATCTGGATAAATTTTTAATAGTATTTGTTGATGATTTGTTAATCTATAGCGACAACGAGCTGGAGCACGAGGCTCATGTCAAGAAAGTACTAGAACAACTACAAGAAGCAGGCCTGCAAGCAGCTATCCACAAATGCGAGTTCTACGTCACGACGACTAAATATTTAGGTTTTATCGTGACTCTAGAAGAGATCAAGTGTAAGGGCTCATTCAATAGTCATATTGGAAGCTAAGTACAAGAATACCAAACATGGAGAAAGAAAGAAAAAGCTAGGAATGTGAGGCTATCTGCAAACAAGATGTATTGTCGTGATCACGTGACAGAATCACGAACCCCCCTACGTAACCCTAGCATGTGACTACGTAAACCGAACTCTGCGAATAACCTCATTACTGACCGTCACATCAAGGTTGACTTGTCGAAGATTGATGCCGTAGTTAAGTAGACTATGCCTACTACCATACATAGGGTGCAATCGTTTCTGGGTTTCTGCAATTTCTATTGTAAATTCATAGAGGCATATAGTTGAGTAGTAGCACTGTTGTATCAACTCACACGGCTGGATATATTATTTATATGGAGCAAAGCTTGTCAAGAGGCTTTTAATCAGTTGAAAGCGCTTCTTATGAGTGCTCCTATCTTAGCTCACTATTAACCAGAGCGGCCGACTTGTGTGGAGACAGATGCCTCTGATAGGGTAGTTGCTAGGATATTATCTTAACTGCAGGAAGATAAAGAGTGGTACCTAGTGATCTATTTTTCTTATATAATGACTCCTACTAAATTGAACTACAATATCCATGATAAGGAGATGCTAGCCATCATTAAAGCGTTGGATGAATGGAGGCCGGAGTTAGTCATACTGCAATGTGAGGATAGGTGTAAGATTCTCTCTAATTATAAGGCATTAGAGTATTTCATGACTACTAAGAAGTTAAATGCTGGGCAAGCACGTTGGTGCGAGTTCTTACACAATTATTACTTTATCCTAAAGTATTGTTTGGGACAAGTGAATGTATTAGCAGATATATTAACATGCCAAGAAGGTACAGAACAAGAGAAAAACCTAGATCACCATCATTAGACCCTTCTTCCCCTGGACGTGCTTGATTCTCAGATTATACAAGAACTAGGCCTATTGGAGGTTGCTGAGATTTATACTTCCATCAATATTATATTATGAAGCCGTGAAGGAGGAGTCCTATCTAGCTCTTTTGAGCAAGAATAACAGTTGGAGTGTGTCAGAAGGTCGTCTCCTCTCCGGTGTCACCTATCCTGTTTGTTTTGTATGCTCATGGGCTGTCTAGAGCTATTGAGAGGACCTAAGACAGTTGAGTTACTGCAACTCAAATGCCCTACTGAAAAGCCAGGATGTGAATGTGTTTACGAAGAAGAAGCTCACCTATACCATTCAACGATCGAAACAGACAAGTGTCAAGTACCAGGATGTTTACACCATGACGAATCAGACTGGATATTATGAAATATCAGACTATGAAACTACTATAACCAACACCAAGCGGAGCCAAAAGTTATGATCGCTACGACAACTGAAACCGACGCAGATTACAAGACAATTACGATACTCGCAAAAATCCAAGGGAAAGGTATCCGAATCTTATTGGATTCAGGAGTGACAGGCAACTATATGAGTCAAAAGTTTGTACACCTTAACAAGATACCCGTCAAAACAACTGACGAATGGACGAAAATCGTTGGAATTGATGGAGAAACAATTACCGAAGGGTACAAAAAGAAAACCAGTGGAATACTCATGAGATCAGGGAAATACGCCACGACAATCACGTTCAACATTGTACCAATGGACACTCAGTATTATAACGCAGTATTAGGAATGGCATGGCTAAAAGAATAGAACCTAATAATTGACTGGGCCTCCGGAACAGTGGCAGTCGACTCCAGCATGATAAAGACAAAGACAGAGAACAGAGATATCGAGAAGATATTGAATCTTCATGAGGAATCAGGGACATCCTCAGAGAAAGGGCAAGCTAATACCCTAAGAAAGACACGGAAGGTGACGTGGACTCAGGAACTAGAACAACAAGAAAGGAAAAGGGAAATTAAAGCGCAGGCAAGACAGATTGCAACAGTACGACCAAAGCCTAAGGAACTTTACAAGAAAGAACTGGCCGAAGTCAAAGCAAAATTACCGGAAAAATACTACAATTACATCGAACTATTTGTGAAAAAGGAATACCGACTACCAAACCATCCAAAAGAGTATGAAGTACGAATACCATTGAAATCAGGATTCAAGGTACCCTCAGTCAAGCAACATTACAAATCACAAGACGAACTAGAAATGGAAGATAAACTCATTGAGGAATTTCTTGCTGTAGGATATATCCGCGAAGGACGAGGATCGGCCTCAGCAAGAGCATTATTTGTACCAAAGAAAGATGGAACCAAGCAAATAGTTATCGACTACAGAGCACTCAACAATAGAACTGAAGATGACACGAACAAAGCACCACATCAGGAGCAGAAACAAGATCTACTCTAAGGAGCAAAAATCATGACAGTCTTTGATATCCAATGGTGTTATTACAATCTCTGAATGGCTGAAGAAGATATTTGGAAAATCGCATTTCTTACGGATAAAGGTCTGTATGAATGGGCAGTTGCTCCAATGGGACTGAAAAGACTACTAGCAGAATTCGCACGATTTATGATATATGTTTTGATACAGTACCTTAACAAAATTGTTGCAGTATACTTCGACAACATCATTGTATACTCAAAGGACCCTAACGAACATGAAGGACACGTGTGACAAGTTATGACAAAACTTATGGAAGCCGGACTTACGCTCAAGATCAAAAAATGTGAATTTGACATAACCACAGTCAACTACTTAGGAATGATTTACATACCGGAAGGACTGAAGATTCAACCAGAAAAAGTAGATGCTATTACGAATTGGCCAACGCCAGCCAACATCAAAGAAGTACAAGGATTTTTAGGAGCCACTGGATATGTCAGACGCTACATTCGGAATTACTCTGAACATAGCCGATCTATGACGGAACTCCTGAAGAAGGATGAAGAATTCGTATGGAATAACAGACGACAAAAAGTATTCGACAAGCTTAAACAACTAGTTACTGAAGCACCAATTTTAACACTGGATGACCTAGAAAAACAAAAGATTATTAGATTAGGCGCATCAGAATACATACTCAGAATTGCACTTGAACAAGTAGGAAGCGACGGCATTGTGTAAATTGTTGCCTTCTACTCAAGACAATTCATAGTAGCAGAAAGGAACTACGATGTTCATAATAGAGAACTACTCGCAATAGTAGAAGCATTCAAGCAATGGAGATACTACCTGCAGGGAGTTAAGGAAGAGACAATTATAAAGAGTGACCACCACAACCTGAAATACTTTACAACGACAAAAGAACTTACTAGATGACAAATACGATGGGCTGAATATCTATCCAGATTTAAGTTTCGAATTGAACATATCAAAGGAAAAGAAAATGTTATTGCAGACGCACTCAGTAGAAGACCAGACTATACTATTGGGATTGAACAGCCAAAGACAAATATCCTAAAGGAAGACGAAGACGGAATACGCTATAATGTTAAAGTAATACTAGTAGCAATAATTACAGTTAATCACCACGACTTTCATAACTGTATGATCCAAGCAACACAACAAGACAAGATACTTACGACAGCAATTGCAAACAAAGAAGCACAGAAACAGAGTGGATTAGCCTTATAGCAAGAATCAATACTAGTACTATCGATAATAATTATTGAAATCATCAAGATGCACCACGACCTACCAGCACATGGACACCAAGGAATCGACCAAATAATAAGAAAAATACAGCAATCTTACTATTTCCCAAGGATGAGAAAACACGTTGAAGACTACATAAGAAAATGTGAACATTGTAACAGAAACAAGCCAATTAACCACAAACCCTACGGAAAAATGCAGATTCTAGAAATACCAGAAGAACTATGGTAAAAGATTACAGTCGACTTTATACAAGGTTTACCAACATTGAAAGATCTAATTACAGGACTTACATATACGGATGTAATTGTTATTATTAACAGACTCACAAAATATGTCATTATGAGACCAGTACAGAAGAATCTTACAGCACAATAATGCGCAATACTGATGATATGAGAAGTATTTGCATGGACCGGACTACCAGATGAGATCATATCCGACAGAGACAAGCTATTTACATCGAACTACTGGCAGACAATCACAAGAACATGTGGAATGACACACAACCTATCAACTGCAAATCATCAACAGACTGATGGACAGACTGAAAGAATGATTTAAGCAGTTGAGCAATACCTCAGACATTACCTTGATTGGAATCTGGAAAATTGGGTAGAACTATTACCGCTAGCATAGTTTGCAATAAATAATACTACAAACGTATCAACAGGACAAATTCCTCATTTCGCCAACCTTGGAAGAATACCAAGAATGAGTTGGGAGACAGTCAAAAGAGAAGGAATGTCAGAAGAAGTAATGATTCAATTAGCTCATATGCAATTGATATATAAGACAATGTCAAGAGATATTATGTGGGCAGAGCAGAGAATGAAACGATACTACAACAGTAAGCGCGAGGACGCATCAGCCTTATAAGTGGGAGAGAGAGTTTACTTACTACGACGAATACCAGGATCAAAAACTTTTAACATCAAGAGCAAGCGACCAAGCAACAAGCTCGACATAGTCAAATTTAGACTATTCACGATTAAGGAAAAACTCGCTAATGATAACTATAAACTCCAATTACCAGCCAGAATGCGCATACACCCAATATTTCATATCTCATTACTGGAACCTACAAAAAACCCAGAAAACAGTGATGAAGAAGCAGATAAAGAAGAATACAAAGTTGAGAAACTACTTGAAAGAAAGTTAGAAAAGAGACAAATCTATTATTTGGTTAGATGGAAAGGATACGGACCAGAGGACGATACATGGGAACCTATTAGGAATTTGAATTGCCCTGAGAAGATTCGGGAATTCCGGCAATCAGTTGGTCAAGGAAAGAATTATCCAGGACGGAAGGATCGAAAGCCTCGATATCAGCAGAAGAAGGAAATTCAAAAGCAGCAGTTAAGTTTTGACGAGCTCTAAGAGCCTCTGACTCTTTTTGACGCTCAGCCTCACGCTTTCTCTCTTTCTCTTCCTCCTCTTCTAATTTTTCCAGTTCCTCTATTTCTTTTATATCATGAGCAATAAAGTCGCCAGCACGTTTTTAAAGAAGATCCTCTTGTTTTTGAATACGACGTTGCTGAGCAAGCAGCTCAGCTATTTGATCTTGAACTTCAAGTTCCCGAGACATTAACTCATTTTGGGTCGCAATAAGCCGCCGCCACTCTTTATCGGAAAAAGATATAGGTGTCTGAATACACTTCACCCCCGGAGTTTTTGCACACTCACTGCAACGATTGGACTCATTGGGACATTTGACACAGATTTTATTTAAATGAGAATAACAAACGCAGGGAAAGACTATTTTGAAGCCTTCCTCTTTGATGTGACGAACGAGATTTTTCTTGCGGATATTTAACTTTGAAGACATGGTTAGCTCAGAACCATAACACGAGCAACATTTTAGGAAGCAAAATAAACCTACAGCGCAGATGGGATACACAGACTATTTATTGAGCTGTTGGGACGTCAGCCTTCAGAAGAGGGAATTGTCAGAATAAGCACGTCACAGCTAATGGATAAATTGTCACACTTACCCAAGAAGGTTAGCCTAGGGCTTTACCTATCACAGGATAGTGCAGAACCAAGAATAGACTAGGACAAGTTAGAGCTAGGAACTAATCAGGCGATTAGACATATTGTAGCGGAAGATACAATATGTATAATCAAGCGATTATTATTATTATTATTCAAGTTTATTGTCCGTACCCAGCCCTATTGGCTATGACAGACCTCTGGAAGCCTTGGTGAGACCCTACAGGCCTCACCCCTATCAGAATCCTACATACAAAAATTCAAAATAAATCACTATCTCGTCCCCATGTGGCCGATATGCCAGGGACCTTTGGGCACTCTCCCTAGGCTAATCCTTCCGGAGATCCCTTATAGTTCCAAACCCGTGGGCACACCTAATCAGTACAAACTCTGACTAGTGTGCCCTCACCCCTATTCATCCTCCAATGTGACACCTAGGCCACCTTCCTCCAACGTATCCCACCCCCACGCATCACTAGACTCAGCCTCTCTGGCTGTCCGCTCCTTATCATTGAATAGGTTGGCTTCAGCCACGAATTGCAGCAAACCCTGCGTCGCTCTAGGCTCAGCAAATAGCCTAGCCTCGGGGTTTTCCTCAGCCGCTGTAGGCAGTGGCACGCCTGCTTTTTTGAGGGCTTGATAGAGAGTTCTTCGTCCTGCACGACGTCCACGGCACTCAAAGAGCACATGCCTTACTGTCTCATGAGGTTCCTTGCAGGCCTGACACTCAGGCGATTCCCGTTGGCCTATCCGGTATAGATAGGTGCCAATTGGAGCATGTCCTGTCTTTAACTGGTAGTAACGACTAGCCACTCTTTTTGGAGCTTTTCCCGCCACTGGGTCAAGGTTCCAGCCTCGAGGCATCTTGTAGACACGTCCATCTCTATGCCTGCCTTGTACAGCATTGATTTGAGCCCATTCAGATACTGCGGCTCTCCTTGCTTCCGTGCAAGCCCTTCTAACGTGCGCTAGAGATAGGTGCTCAAAACCAGGCGCGGTTTGTTTACTAGCTGCACGTTTAGCAGCTTGATCAGCCTGCTCATTCCCTTCAATCCCTGAGTGGCCTGGGACCCATTGTATTGTGACTGGTTGGCCTCTCAAGGCTAGTTTCTCAGCTGCCCTGTGAGCCCTAAGAACAAGGGCTTGCCCAGGGCCTGGCCTTGTCGATCTGAGGCGATCAATAGCATTCTGTGCGTCAAGTAACACCCAGATAGGACCAAGAGGTTGCCTCTCCAGTGCCCATTCAAGGGCTGTGGCTACTCCCACTAGTTCTGCGTCAAAGACCTCGTGTCCGTGGCCCATTGGCACCTCTACGTGTTCCCAGGGGCCTCCAGGTACAGCCTGTAAAGTGACACCGGCTCCTACACGTCCTGTATCGAGTCTAGAGCCGTCTGACCAAAACGTTGTTCCAGCACGCTGTTGATTAGCCTCTGTTAGGGCCTCTTCCTTGTCAAGTACTCGGATCGAGCCTGGGAAGCCTTGGAGCTCGCATTGTTCAGTTCTCTCAATTCCTCCAGAGGGGTCTCTGTTCAACCGTTGAGCAAGGTGCTTTGCAAGCCTTTGGCCGAGTCGATTTAGCACCTTGTTGTCTCTAGAGGCCCATTCCCGGTCGTCCCGTGGTTGCTCTCCAGGTTGTGCGTGAAGGTCACCATGTCTGAGGGTGACTGGAAGTATCTGCGCTGTAGGATGCGTGTCAGGCAGAGCTAGTAGCCTCGCTGTGTATCGAGCTACTCTAGCGTCCATTAAGACTGTCGCTGGCTCTAACGCTGCCTCTCTGATTAGGGCTCCGATTGGGGTTTTTGGGAACATGCCCGTAATACCTCTGGCTTGCTTATTGATTAGAATCTGGATCCTTTGTGCCCATGTTTTCTGGCCTTGCCACCATATCTCAGCACCCCACAGCAATTGGGCTTGCACTGTAGCCTTCTGTATGCGCCTCACTAATGCTGGAGGTAACCCATTAGCTCTGCAGAGTGAGTTTAACCTGATTATCGTATTTCTTGCTGTCTTAATTCGAGCGTTGTAGTGGCTCTTCCATGTAAGTTGGCTATCTAGGAGTATCCCTAGCCACCGTACTGTAGATTTGACAGTTGCCAACTCGCCTCCAACCCTGATCCGGGCTCGAGATACGTTTTGGGCCACTTGATGTCTGTGTCGTCTATAAAAGAAAGCGGCCTCAGTCTTTTTGCGATCAAATTGTACCCCGTTAGCCACCCCCCACTCGATGGCTACTTCCGCGGCTTTCTCGAGGATCCTACAAGCCTCCTTCACTGAGCTTGCGGCTGTTACTAGGCCTTGGTCGTCCACAAAGGACAGACATCGAACCTCTGGCACACTCCTCTCAATGGCTCTTGATAGCCCATGAACGTATAGAACAAAGAGAATGGGTGACACCGGAGAGCCCTGAGGTAACCCAGAGCTTATCGGTACCTCCTTTCCCACGTGTCCATCAATCACAAGAGTGACTCGCCGGTCAGATAGAAATGAGATCACCCAATGTATAAGATCTCCATCCACGCCAGCCTCTCTGAGCACCTCTACCAGTTTTGCTAGGATGACATGGTCAAAGGCCCCCTCAATATCCATAAATAGAGCTGCAGCCAGCTTCCCATTTGCCCAAGCTTGATGGATCTCCTCCACTAGACATGCCACAGCATCAATTGCACTGCGTTGCCGACGGCCTCCAAATTGACCATCATGGAAGAGGTCTTGAGCCTCTGCAAAGTTTGTAATTAACTCTGCTACGAGCTTCTCAATTACCTTGCCTAGGCACTTCAATAGGCTTATCACTCGATACGCACTAGCCAGTGTGTAGTTGGTTTTACCGTTCTTTCTCAGTAGAACTCCCTTGGCTGTTTTCCAGACACGTGGATGTATCCCAAGCCTAAGGCACTGCCTAGTCAGGCTAACCACACGCTCTGAGTCTAGATTCCATAAGAGCCTGATAGCCCTGAAGTTCAGTAAATCTGTACCTGGAGCTTTCTCTAGTCCCTGGCTAAAGAGGGCATTCTTAACAACTTCCTCGTTAACCAGCTTGTGGGCCGATCCTCGCTCAGGAAGCTGTAACTCCATGTTACTGTTTGGAGCCTGTGGAAATGCACGGTGTCTAAAAACCTCCTCCTTCTCGCTAAAGGTGGCTGCAATCACCTCCCCTGAGGCCTCATCGGTGAGGGCTGGTGTGGTGCCTTGTGTTTGTGGTTTAGTATAGCGTAAGGCTGTCCAGCACCGTTTCTGATCTGGCAGAGAGCCCTCAGACGTGCCCTGAAGGAAACCCTCCCAGCACTCTCTTTTAGCTCTCCTGATCAGTGAATAGAAGCTCTTACGTGCTTCTCGATGCTCCTCGTCGCTAATCTCACCCGCTTGGTAGGCCTTACGAGCCTTGGAATACACGCTTCGTTCTGCCTCAATCTCACTGTTCCACCACCGCTTAGATCGAGCACAAAGCCTGATCTGTTTGCAGTGCTTGTTCAGGACCTCTGTCAATGTTCTCTCGATCCACTCGGCTTCACGTTCCACTTCCTCTGTTAAGGTTGTGTCTGTTAGTATTGGTTGAGTCTTTGCTAGTTCGTTCCAGGTGTCTTTTGCCTCCTGCAGAGCCTTTTTGTCTCCTAGTAGAGCCTCTATCTGCCACCCTGTGACTTCTTTCCTTGTGGGCTCTGTACTCGTAGTTGCTGGAGGTTCCCAGCTAGCCCAGATCATAACATGATCTGATGGCGTGAGCCTCTGGCTTTCGATTTCCCATCCAGATAGAGGGCCAAGGGCTTGACTACTGATTGTGAGATCAATAATTGAGACCCTAGTCTCAGTAGATGTTTCAAATGATGCTGTAGAATCTCTAGGCTTATGAGGCCTTGTTGGCTCGTCAGGGTCGTTATTAATAAAGAGGTCATGCCTCATTATTAGATCCTTGAGGGATCTTGCGTTAACCCTCTGGTCGATATGGACATTCCACATCGGGCTGTGGGCGT